CGAATATGTACTTCCTTTTCCTTCATGTGCATACCTATTAATAATAATAAGAACACTTACAACAATAATAAAAGAACAACGAGTTAATAAAAACAATAAAAATAAAAATAAAACTGAAACCAAGAAACGAGTATAGATTCAAGATCAAATAATTATATGGAAATCATTTATGCGCTTAGGGGATGAAAATGAATTTTGCCTGTCCTCTCTCCCTAATTTTATTTTTTTAGTTGCTTGAGGATTGTGAAATGTACGTTTCACCTCAAAGTTTTTTTTTTTTATTTAATTAATTCAAATTTTAATTTATTTTTATTGTTATTTTCTTCATTTGGTCTAGCATATTTCATGTCCCTGTATATATTCACAAACAAACGAGGAGAGTAAGAGGAGGTGGTGGAGAGTGCACGGAGGAGCAAAATTATGAACCCTAAATTGGTAATCCAAAAGATATACTTGCATTCCGATCCATATTCATTCGCAAATTGAAAAGCTTAATTTTGAATAGCAAACTCAATCCTACAACTCGACTTCAAAATGTGTTATTGGCACCGGTTTCTTGAACGATTAACGATAATTTAATGGACCTTTTAAATGCTTTTGTTTTGTTTTAGTTTGTTCTCCTTATAATTGCGCCAGCCGTCGATTATGTCCGCTAATCGATGGTACTAACCAAAGCAACCTATTCGACTCTACAATGCAATGGTTAAGTGGTTCAAACCATCAAGCAAACTAATAATAGTTACTCTCTTTCTCCCAAGACAAATCAGAAAAATAGAAAAACCAAAAAGGAAAAAAATGCGGAGGTTCAAAAATTTTTAAAAATAATTACTACTTGTAACTATATGGTTAAAAAGTACTGTCGTAGTTTTTTTTTTCTTTTGATGAAAAGCGGAGACAGTACATATATAACCCACACCACTACCAGTTAGATATCAAACCGTAACTATATAGACCCCGACGTAAAAGTCGGTAAGATAAGACTTTTGGATACATAATAGCGAATCCAAGACAAAACGAATACCATAATAAAACATTCTGTAAAGCGCAAAATTTCAAAATAGATTTTGCACATATTTTCTTTGTGTTATGGAGAGTTGATACAGTTATGAATATCATAAAAGTTTAAATTAATTACAGAAAAAAACAAAGGAGAATGATCACAGTAAGATAAGGTGGGCTAACTATTTTGCTCCGTAATTAGCATGGTATATGTGGTTGCTATTAAACGGGGTAAACCACACCAAAGGGTTATTATTAGAATATTTGCCAATTTTAGCCCCTTTAAAAAAAAGACAATTTGTTATATGATAAGAAAATAAAATACAATTTAAGTAAGAATAACAAATGGAGGGGATTCGGATTGAAAGGTTGTGAGGCTAGAGCCATTACTATTGATATTTTTATAAGTTGAAAATCAACAAGATCATTGATTCTTTTTATTTGAAGTGATCTAATACTACATGATCCACAAAAATATTAAGGAGAATAATAATAATTACAATAAAAATATTTATTATTATTAATGGTAAGACGATGATGAAATAAACCATCATAAGGCCCTCACCCTGATAAGAGATATCATTATATTTGACAATTGAAAAGATAACGAAGTTCAAGGGTTATATTGTGAACGTATATGTTATTCTAGCAAAAGGTAAAATTTATTTAATCCATAGATAGATATAGATTAGATATACTCGCGGACAGTTACCCGTAAAACATCCCCGGGTATAAGAAAGATATGGAAATATAGATACATAATGTACAATATGCAGATTTTTGTTCTCTGGTGGATCAGGAGTAACAGAAATAGACAATCCTAACTTTCTTTTTTTTTTGTAGGTTATTTTTTTGATTATTTTTTGTTTCTAGGCTTAAACCTACATGAGCTATGTACAGTATGCAGCGACCATTAGAACAAATAAAAAATCCAAAAGGATAAAAAAAGAAATTTAAACATTACACAATAGTAAGCTCTATTGTGAAAAATGCCATCAACTTATTTTTATATTATTGAATCTTTTGAATGTAAAGGGAGATTGTGTACATTAAACTTGGCAAGGTCAAACTTTTACAATTTTGTGATTGGTATTATTATATTTTATTGCAAAAATTTGGGATTGGGATTTTCTTTCTTAAAGGGGGACTCTCATAAGGTTTACCCGATATGAAATAGTCAAATATTAAAACCAAGATTTTTATTCTAATATGTTATGTATGTCATTTATGAATCAATGTATCAACCTTTTCGTTTGTTTCATTCACTCTTTGCCTCAAACTAATGAGTTCAGGATCGGAAAAAAGGAAACGAACTACGAAGTTGTATATGTGGTGAAACATAATACTAACAAAACGCAATATTGTCTAACTGAAGGTTGCATGATTCACCTTCAAATGTGAATCAGACTGAAACTTAAATCCTACACATAAGAAGATAATTGATTACCTAGTTTATTTTCCCAAGACTGTTATAATAGACTCTCGTATAAACGTTAAACCTCGGATTAATTGATAAAAGACATGATGATATAAACATTGCACCACTTAAGTTTTGATGCGGTATCTATGGATGAATGGTGATTGAATAAATTAATAAAGTGATATCAATTAAATATTATTCGTATTACCAATACATTTATGGTTGACATAGACAGACAGATTGATATTGGAATAAATTAATAAATTACGGAAAATTACACAAATGGGATTTGAAAACAAATGTTATACAGTTAAAACAATAGAGAAATATTTGTTAACTAACATTTCGTCATTACGATATATAGACATTACTCCTTAAAGCAGTAACAAAATTGCTTTTCGCTCATTAAGCTTTTCTTTTTTTTTTTTATTAAGCGTTTAATATTTAATTTTTTTTTGTTTGGTTTAAGCTTAAAAAAAAAGAAAAGATGATGTAAGAAAATGATTCAATAAATCTTGTCATGAATTCTATAGTAGAATGACTTAATTCTTGATAGATATCATCATTGTTAGCAAATGTAGGTTGTGACATTAATTGCTGATGCTGATATGGTTTGCAGGACTTTTTGATTCGTAACTATTATGATAAATCCGGTATACCTTATGAATATATCTGCTCACTAAAAGTTAATGTAATATGTTCAAGATTTTTCTTGACTACTATAATAACTCGTATTTGATTGGAAATTAGATAAGGTTACATGAACTAAAGGTAGGATGATCAGCAAAGGTAACCATCAATTGATTACAATTAGTATAATGGATAAATGATTGAAGAGAATGGAAGTAAGGGATAATGTAGTAATTGCAACAATAAACATACAAAAATGAGAAAGACAAACTAAAAATTAAGCGTTTAATATATTAAGAAAATATGCACATACAATTATTTTGATGTTTCATTCTTACAAAACTACAAGGTTTAACGATTGAGCAATTTGGTTTTAAATTTGAATTGAAATGGGATTCCAATTAATGGTCGAGGTCCCCAACCCCGAATCCCCACTTTTCTAGTTCGAGATAAAGATTTACATGATGATGATGATGGTCTCCTTATGAGATTTTAAAAATATCATAATAGATAGAGTATAAAATAAAAATAATCTATATAAAATAAAATAAAATAAAGCAAGACAAGACAAGACAAGACAAAGCAAAGATTCAATCAAATCAGTAAGTGTAGAAGTAAAACTTGACATATTTCCACTTGGCGGTTCGGACATTAGTAGATAGAAGTGGAAGAATAAAATCCAATTGACGAAGAAGGAAAAAGAAAGAAAAATAATATGGAAGAATAATACAACCCACCACATAGAATAAATATTTGATGATGGTAAATGGAAAAAGGGTCAACGTAATTGAGGATTAAGTGGGTGGGGGAGTTTAGTTAAGTAAACATATTTGAATTTAAAAGAATAAAGGTAGTAAATACTACCATTTTACACCATTGTTAAGTAGCATTATTATTTGTAGAAACAATTAGAACTGGTTAAAAATAATTCAATTGACTTCATATTATTTACTCCTTCAAAGTTGAATTTGAGTTTGAGTTTGAGTTTCGGGTTTGGGCTTTGGTTTGAATTCTTTTAAAAAAAAATTCTATGGTTTGAATTCTGATTGTCTAAAAGCAAAGGAACAAAATAAAAAAATCCAGAAAACAAACAAAGTCATATTTCCTTTCAAAATGTACGCTAATAAAACCAAAAAAAAAAAAAAAAGAAACCAACCACAAAACTGATCCAGAATAAATGAATAAAAAAAAAATAAATATTTCATGCACCTGCACAAACCAGCACAATTATTTTTTAGCAATTTATTATTTGTGCTTCTAATTAATTTTTTTTTAAATATTGTTATTATTTTTTTTTTTTTTATTATTATTATTTCCCATTTACATTAGTTCCCCCTCCGAAACCCAATTTATACTTCCAGGACGTAATAGTATACTATCATGGTTTAGACATATACTAAATATTTATTTATAAATCCTATATTCTATATATATATATACTCAATTGATCCCATTTAAATCAAATTTCAGATAATACCAATTTCCTAATTCTAGTCTATATTACTTTTATTAGTTATTATACTATATTCCATTTACATATACTATAATATATATATACTATTTGATATACTATATATATATTCACACTTATACATCCATACATACATACAAATCAAAACATCCTAACCTCCACAATCAAACCATAACCATACCCCGACGCCTCCATACCTCAATACAATTTTCCATTCGTCTAACAACATTTCAACCATTAAAAATTTGTTAATAACAAATCAAATTACACAAAGAAAATTTTTTTATATTTACGCCCTTTCTCACTATTAAAAAAAAAAAAAAGATTAAAAAATAATTTGAAAAAAATTTTTTTTTTTATTTATTTTTCAGTTATAAAGTAGTACAGGGCAAGAATATATATATATAAAGACTAATTTCAAATATTAAAAATTTTTCATTTGCCGTTGGATTCAAAAGTATCAATTATCATAGCATTATAATGAGTTCTATACGTAAGTCTGCTCGTGCTCGTACTTTAACTGCTAAGGTTAAAGACAATGCATTTAACACCACCACTAACTTTAATTTAGATTCTGGTAAAAAGAGAAATATAGAAAATCATCATCATGATAGTAATAATAACACTAGTCAGATTAAAAAGAGGAAAGTGATAGAGGAACCAATACAGGATGATAAGATTGATCCAGTGGAGAAGTTGTTAAGTTATACTAATATTAATAATGATTTCTTATTGGATTTAGATTCTGATTTTATTGTATCATCTCCTGAATTACTCGAGGATGATGAAGATTCAGATGAAGATTCAGATGATGAAGAAGATTGTCAAGAGAAGGATATTCAACAGGTTGATTTCACAAAAATCTTACATGACAATATAAGGCAGTATTGCTCTAATTTCAAAAAATCTCCTATGGAAATTTATTCAAATCCATCATTTGCATTATTAAATAAATCAACTCATAATCAATCATTTTCATCTGCATCGGTTGTTCCTTCATCAGGTCAACAACATCATCAAGTTCAAAGATTTCATAATAGTGAACCTTCTCGTTCCATTATAACTTCTTCTTCATCTATTGCATCTTCAGCTCATAATAGTATTACTTCTGAAGCTGGCACTTTAGCATCTCGTTTAACTTCAACTACTGCTACTACTGCTCCATCAACTCCTTCTATTTCATATCATAATCATAATGACGTTCCATTCTTTAGAACAGTTAATTTCTCAGGTCCATCAAAGAAACAACAACAAGCTCAAAATCAATTAAATTTACAAAATAATTCATTTGATGAATATTTTTCATATGGGGATGAAATTAAGATTGAAAAAGTTGAACTGATTAAAAAGGTTATGAGTAATACTAAAGATTATAGTTATAATTATGAAGATGAAGATTATATTTCTCCAACTGATCAACCAGAACCTAAACAAGAAGTTATTCAAGAGACTATTATTATTGAAGATGAAGAAGATGATGAATCACCATTATCTACACCAACTTTAAATGATAATAAAATGAGTTTCCATTGGAGACAAAATCATAATAATTTAAACTTGGCATTAAATGATTTTTCCAAATCAGTTAATCATAATCATCATCATCTTGATCAACCTCAACAATCTCAATTCATGATGGATCAACAAAATGAAGATATTTACAAAATCTTAAATAAACATTCAATTTTAACTGGAAAAGCAAGTGAAATGATTAGTTCGGGAAACTTTTTAATTAATGATTTTTTCATCTAATCAAACAGAATCATATTCATATTCATATTCATATCATATCCAAAGCATTTACACTTTTATCTAACTCACACCCCTTCTTTTCCTTGTTACCAACTCATTATTTATTTTTCAATTCAAATTTTTACATAGTAATAATTTTATTTATTTATTAATTTATTTTATTTATTTATTTCTTAGTTTAATAATTTTTTCTTAGTTTGGACCAATACGGGACTTTTCTACATATTTCTTCTTTCTTTCATTTAGTTTACCTTACCCAAAATACCTTTTTGCATAGTTTCATGATTATTAATATAATCATGTCATTCACCTCAATTTATTTTAATATATTAATATTTGAATACAATACAATATAATATAGTTTCGTATAAACATTAAAATAGGATCGTTGTAGTATTTTTTTAAAATTTAAATTTAAAATAAAAATCCCTTCTCTTTGTTAAATATTGTTGCTTATATCAATTGGCTAAGAAATATTAAAGGAAAAGGGAAAGGGAGAGAGGAGGGGACAATAATTCTCCGTATATATTTCTTAAAATAAAAATTATTTTTGCACTCTTTTTTTATTAAAAAAATTTTAATTTTTAATTTTTTTTTTTCTTTGCTAAAAATAAATTTTTCTGGAAAATCTTTTTTTTTTTTGAAGGGAGAAAAATGTCGGCCGTCTCTTGTAAAGTGCCTTGAAGAATGTCTCCCCCGCCTCTTCCCTTCATATCCCACCCCCCTTATCGAGGATGTCGTCAAAATTACTTAATCGAGTAAGGAGCCGAAAATTAACACGAAAGCGGATACAATCTGAATCATGTGATTAAACGAACGTGACTGAGATAATTGATCTTTTATATACAGGACAGCAATTATAACAGCTTCAAAGACACGACTACCAATTTCCTCCCCCCCTCCTTCTCCTTACAACCAAATCAGAAATTGGCAGCATACCAACTAATTCAATTTGATTCAATCAATCAATCAATTAATCAATATATAGGATAAATCATTCATGATATAGTACGTAAATCATCTCAACCGTTAGAAACATAGAAACTTCTGAATCAAAGAGTTAACCGATTAGATCAAAATCAAAATAAAATCAAATCAAATCACTGATAAGTAACCCTGACCTCATCTATTACTTCTACCATAACTTCACGTTAGCATGGGTTGGTTGTTAACTTTATTAGTAACTTACCTTATTGGCGGTCTAACCTTTTTACCTGGTGTACTAATCCTAATCATATATTTACATCCGATATTGAAAGAGTCTTCTGCTGATGATGGATCAAAATCAGATTCATCTCATAATGATGATGATAATGAAAACCCTATAAAAGCTGGCGAAATTGAAGAAGATAAAAAATCAGGCTTGGATGCTTATAAAGCAGGGTGGATTATTGTAACTCAAGACTATCTTGAATCAACTGATGATATCACATCTTCAACTCAATCTGTTTCAGAATCAAATGAAAATAAATCAGCTTATTCTTCATTATATAAATTGGTTCAAAAGGATAATAATGAAAAAATTCAAAAACTGGAATCAATTGATTTAACCACTGATAATACAATCACTAATGATAATAATAATGATTTGGATTCTTTAAATGATACTATTTCCACCACTCCAACTACAGCTTCAACAACTTCATCTACCACTAATAATTTACCTCCTCAACAACAACCATCATCTACCACTCCAACTAAACAATCTCATAAAAAACATCGATATTATGGTGTTTTAAAACATGGAAATTTATTTCTTTATAAAGATGAAACTATTAAAGATGTTAAACATGTCATTGTTTTATCAAATCATTTCATAACTATATGGCCACGAGAATTAACTGATGGTCAATTATTTACTAAAAGTTCTTCCATTGCTTTAATAAATTCCAATAAATTATCATCCATTGAAGAAACAGCATCAACATCATCTAGAGAAGCAGCTCCAAAGGGTTCATTCTTCTTATATTGTGATGTAAATATTGATAAAGAAGATTGGTATTTTACTTTAATTAGAGCCACAAAAACAAGTGAATTACATGAATCATTAAATCCAAAAATTTATGCAAAAACTTTACATTTTAAAACTAGTCATATGATAAATTTAATTCAATCATTATATAGTTCAGAAGGTCAATTACAAACAAAATGGCTTAATGCTATAATTGGAAGATTATTCTTAGCATTTCAAAATACAAAAGTTTTAGAAGATTATTTATACACCAGAATTTCAAAAAAGTTAAATAAAATTAAAAAACCAGGATTTTTAGATAAATTTCAAATAACTTCACTTTATCCTGGTGATTCAGCTCCATTTTTAACTTATCCAAGTCTTAAAGAAATAAGTCCTGATGGTACTATTTTAGTATCAACTTATTTTAGTTATCATGGAAATCTTTCTTTAAAAATTGCTACTAAAGCAAATATAAATTTAGGAGGTAGAATTAAAACTAGAGAAGTTGATCTTTTATTAAGTATAACTTTAAGTAAATTAGAAGGTCCAATATTAATTAAAATGAAACCTCCTCCAAGTGAAAGAATATGGTATACATTTTCTAGTGAACCAATTTTAAATCTTAAAATTGAACCAATTATAAGTCAAAGACAATTTACTTATAATTTAATTACAAATTCAATTGAAAAAAAATTAAAAGAAGCGGTAAAGGAAAGTTTGGTATTACCTCATTGGGATGATATTGTATTTTATAATACTATAGATGAAATTTATAAGGGTGGAATTTGGGATCCAAGTGAAAGGCAATCATTTTTTACAAATCAAAATCCAGATCCAATTCCGAATACCAACGCAGATTCTGCATCTATAAATTTGAACTCAAACAATGGGGTTGATCTTGATAATCAATCAATTTATAGTAAATCTGAATCTTTAAATGATGATATTGAAGAAAAATCCGAATTATCAAATAGATCGTCTAGATCTGCTGCAAGTACAAGACTTACAAATACTTTGAGTGATTTATCTAAAAGATTAAAGAAAAAAACATCTTCTTCAAGTACAATTGAAACTTTAAATATTGAAAATCATAATGTAACTCCAACACCAACCAGATCTAATAATAATCCACCTGCTTCAACTACCACTAATGTAAATGGTACAACAACTATGAATACTCTTAAAAGAATTGGCAAATGGTATTTTAAAGATGATAAAGTTAATCAAGATGATAATTATACTCCACCGGAAATGATTCTGAATAGAAGAGCTCCTAAAAAGCATATTGATGCTCCCTCGCTTACTACCAGTTCCCCTGTCCAAGAGATATCCAAAACACCATCTCCAAAGAATTTCCCATCTTATGATTTTGGTAAACTGGGTTATCCTGAATCTGTATTTAGTAATGGTGGAAGTGCAACTATTGAAAAGACTTCTAGTATATCAAGAAAGGTTAGTTCAAGTACTATAAGTCTGAGTATAAATGAAAAGCAAAGTGTTTATGAAGTTCCTGCTTTACCACCCCGGGAAGAGGAGGTTACAGATCTTATTTCTTTGACTAGTGAGAAATTAAAAGATACTAATGAGAATGTATCTAATAAGGCTGCTGAAGTGCAGGTAACAGCAGCAGCTCCTACCTTATTAATGGATGCTACTCGAATCTCAGTTGCTCCTAATTCTGCTACTACAGGCTTGGTTAATACTCAAGTTACTAGTTCTAATTCGATTGATAATGGATTACATAAAAGTCATAGTGTAAGAAGAAAACCACCACCACCTTCTTTACTGCAGTCACCGCCAGTATTACCACCTCGCGAAGAGGATCCTATTATTACATCACCATTTAACGACTCAATTAATTCTGAAAATTAAAATATCATTTGTTTGACTATTTACAATTTTTTATGTACATATATAATTTATATATCGTTCTATACATAGGGTGCCCAACCACCATACATTTGACATAATCTTTCATTAGATGTAGCTTCTTGAATAAGAACATCAACTTGTCCACTTATATTCATTGGTAAACCTTCCTTTTCATTAACTAACCCTCTTAATTTTCTACGAACTTTTGATAAATGAGCATCTGGCTTTTGAGTTTTCCAATCTAATAATGGATCATATAATAAAGTTTCTAAAATATTCATCAATGGAGCTTCATTGTCTCGTAATAATGATCCAGTTACTTCACAAGTAATTCTAAAACTTCCTTCAATACCACAAATCCCCATAGCATCAACTAAATTTTGAGTTAATCTAAATGGAACAATCTCAGGAGTAGGTAATGTGGAACCCTTTTCAAATAAACAATCAAAATCAATATGTAGGACTGATCCTGTTTTCTTAAAGATAAGAATATTTTCACAATGTCTATCACCTAATCCAATAATATATCCTACAATTGACATTACTGCTAATGATCGAGTAAAGTTGGTTCGAGCCAAATACCATGCTGATGGATCAGAAAATTGATCAATGAACCAGTGATGTAAAACAGGTGGGTTCTCTTTAATAAGACGATCATATATTCTTAGCAAATCTTCTCTTGGTTCATTATCCTTAGGTTGTGCATGTTTAACTGATTTTTGAGCATTATCTAATCTTGTAAATACCTTTCGTTCATTAAATGGAACCCCCATTCTTTTCCTTTGTTCAGCAATTATTGTCTTTATAGGTGAAACATCAACCACAAATTCAATCACTCCTAGATTATCAGCTAATGGTATAACAGCATAATTTGGAATTTGAAGATTTCTTTTTCTAGTTGCATTACTAGATGATAATAATCGATTAATCACAGTAGTGAATTCACCAACTTTGGCATCCTTTCTTGTATCATCTTTCTTCAACATCAATCTATACGCTTTACCATCGGATCCTCTGACAGTAATTTGTCTTGGCATCTGTAATGAAAAGAATATATTGACTTGATCGTCAACTCCATCAAATGTAACAGATGCAGATTTAGGAAAAGCATTAAACAGTCGTGCATACACTGATGGAAGTCTGATTTCTAAATTGGATCTCACTGGGATGACTAATGATTCAAATGGTTCCTCAAGATTATCAACCAGGAAATCATTACGTAAAGATAAGTGTCTCATTTTAGATTGCTTGGAAATCTTATGAGATGCAATCTTAATTAAACTATTAAATAATATTCTTGATCTGTCAATGTCATTATCTTTGTTCATAACTCTTCTTAAGATACTGCCAATCTTTTCCTTTCTTACTTGATCATTCGAGTTTGAATGAGATAAAACATACCATACACTATGACGTGGATACAGCTTTATGATTAAATACATAATCAGGGCCATAAGCTCATATGATTCTGTATGTTCGTGAACTATCCTAGAAAGTATTTGAGTTATAGCCGTATACCAAACATAAACTGGAATAGTAGTTATACTTTTACCCAAATCTTCTATTATTAATTTGATCCTACGATCTGCTTCTTTACTTCTATCTGTTTTTTGAGCTAGATCCAACCAAATAGTAATTACTTTGGGTAAAGCTTCAAAAATATATCTACTCCCCAAAGCTAAGGATTTTAAAAAATTCCGAACTGTTTGTTGTTCATAATAACCAGATTGATCATTACCAGATTGAAAAATCTTATTGAAATAGGATCCTAAATCATAGTAAGCCTTTTCAGAAGACTGATTGAGATCTATTGCTTTCGTATATTCACTGATAATGGCTAGTGACGATAAATGATTCGACTCATCTAACCATTTCGCATATTGCAATTGAGCTTCGGCCTTTATTTCCTTGGTTTTAAAGTTGTCATCCTTGATAATTTCTGATAATGATTTAATAGCTTCAGTCTGTTTGCCTTGAGCCCAAAGTAATTTAGTATACTCTGTGTTTGCATCTCCATAATCCAATGCCATTGCTTTCATAATGGATCTTGTTGAAATGTCCAATCGATTATTCTTCCTAGCTAAAGATGAAATGTAAAGCAAGATTTGAGAAACTTTCGCATTATCAGATCTTAATTTATTACCCACATTGTGCAATGATAAAATTTGTAATTGAGTATCAAAACTTTGATCAATATTACTCAATCTTCCTCTAAGAATTGCTTCATTTTGGATTTTTAACGCAGCATCATCTATGTGTTCGAGTTTTGTTATTAATGATAAGTCATAAATTGAATGAAGTTGGTTCATAAAATTAACATTTCTTGAAAAGCTGGATGAAATACTAGGAACTATACTATTACCAATAACTTTGTAAAGATTATCCATACATTTTGTAAATTCAGATGTCTTGTCTTCAAATAAGAAATTTACTCCTTTAGCGAATTCATAGTTTATTAAAGTCTCAACATCTTGCGGCCTACCAATAGAATTAACAATGAAGAACCACTTTTTGATCTCTTGCACATCTCCAGAATAAACCGAGGACTGCAACCCAACAAGCGCCCAATCCAATGGAATAGAGCTCAATGTCCTTTCATCACACTTCTCTGCTAATGTAGACAAAACTTCTTCATGTAAACCATGTTCATTTAATGACTTCAAAAGCTTGGTGTTATTTTCGACTTGAGTATCACCGGTCGTACCTAATATTTGAAATGATTCTTGAGCTACTGACCAATTATCATTATACTGGAATGTTTTCAATTTCTCCCCTAAGTTATTGGTTGAAAACTTTTGTAACACCCCATTTAACTCGTCATAATCATCAATATTTGAATACATGGCTTGTAAAGTGGTAACAAAATTCAAATTATCAAGCTGCAAAGATGCATCCACTTTCCCTTCACGATAACACTTTTCAAGATATAGAATTGTTCTTTCATACGAATCACATTCAGCAGACTTAATTGCAATCAAATCCATGGGAATAATATCGATAAAGTCGCGTACATATACAATGTTTCTTTTAATTGTCTGCATTTCAGTCTGTTCTAAGTGGTTTATGTTAATATATTGTGCTGCAGTTGAAACCCACTCGTTCAAGTAATCCAAAACTTCAAATACAGTTTGAAAACAAGACTTCAACAGCTCTACCCTATCAGGAGAAGTTGAGGTGGAATCAATATGTAAAATATTTAAGAACTCCTCTTTAATATTCTGAATTGCCGATTCATTTCCATTACTAATATGAGACAAGGCGACATATTTAAGAAGATAATGACAAATTGAATTATCTTGATCTTTCACTAATCGAGAACATGTCTCGAAAATAGCACTTTTCAGACCTTCATCACTATTAGTAAACACACTTAACAATGGTCTTTTCAACAAATCAGAAGTAAAATCCACTAACCAGTTCTCATATTTCATACCCAACTTGAAATGAGGGAAATTTAATGGTTCATATTTTGATATAGGTGCCACATATTTAGACGATAACAATGGAGTCAAGGTTGATTTTGCAATATCACTAAAATTTTTCCAAACATTTACGAGATAATCTTGACTATTTGGAGTTAAAATCTTAAAATCTAATCGTAAAACCTTAAGAAAGTTCTGCATAGCATAAGCATAGAATAATTGATTAACGGGATCACTTGAAGCCCAAAAGGTCTTTAACACTATATTTTCAATAAAATCAACTAAAAATTCACTATTTTCTCGATAATCCTTAAAATCTTGAATAATAACAATTTGCAGCTTGATTGATTTATACTTAAATTTGTTAGCATCTAGAGCACCCATAATTGATAAAGCCTTTGCACAAGCAGTTGATATTTTCACGTTCTTATTTTTGAATTTAGCTGCTGTATCCAAGATTGATCTAACAAGATCACCAATACATGGCTCTAAAATTGCATCTTTGAAATAATCAGATTGACAATTATATTGATATTGTTCACAATAATTAGTTAAATCGAATAGAGCTTGTTGAACAACATATTCATTACTGGTTTTTAATCTTCTAGTAAACTCTCGAAAAATTACTAATTTTGAAATTTGTTTTATCTTTTTGAAACCTCCCAGTACAATATCGCTACTTTGAAGATAATCTAAGAAGGGAATTGACAAAAAATATAACGCATATTGATTATTCTTATCTTTGATTTCTTCATAGATTCCTTTAAGAACTTTACCTGCCAAATCCTTTGAGGTTTTATCAAACGTTTCAAATTTCTGATAAATCAGTGATATTATAATATCAATCATAGAAACTAAATGTTGTTGAGGTAATTTTTGAACTAAAGCGTGAAAATTTCTTAATGCAAAGTATTGAAATTCTGGAATTTCCAATGAAGCTTGTAAACAAGTTGAAATTTGACCAAGAGCAGTCGTTATTGCATCAATATTAATGTTAATCAAGAATTCAATTGCTCTTAATGAACTTACCTTTTCCAAATATGGTTTGCTACCTTTGATGTGATGGACATTTTCGCTAAATTTTTGAACTAATTCTAATACATTTTCACCTATATGATATTCCACATAATTACGCTTGGATTCAACTGATCTACCCTTTTGCTCTAGTGAAATTTTGGCAACGAATTCTAATGCTTTAAGAATTCGTTCGTTATTTACAATTTCATTATTTTCATCGACATCAATCTGAATTAATATAAACCAAGTGACTTCTCCAACTTTTGAAATCAAATCACGTAAGTTTATTAACTTATAATTGGGTGAAACATTAGCCAAAACGTTAATTATATATTTTTCATCAATGGTTTCATCCTTAACAAGATAATAAGCTATGATTCTTGATAAATTTTTAGTAACCAATTCTAATTTGCTTAAATTAGAAGCTTCTGCAATTTCTTGAATAAAATCATATTTATAATATTCCAACAAACGAGGGGTAGTATATTCTCTAGTTCTGTTTAAAAAGAACCTTTTAGTTACGCCTAATAATTCAGTAACTCTTGCAAACATTCGTGGTTTTTTTATGATCACTTCTGCGATACTTGGGAGATAAGGAGATAATAATTTATACGGTGCTAATGATTTTGCAGTTGCAATATTCAAAAATGAATTATAAACATAATTAACATGTTGTTCGTTATATTGACCAAAGAAATCAATAAGTTTGATAAATATAACACATAATCTTTCTCCATGAGAAACAATAGCTAATTCCAGTAATGCCTTGATGGTTGATTCAGCAAAATGTCTTCTATTTTCATTGCTAAAATCAATATTGGCTACACTTTGGAAAATGGCTTTAAAAGTTTGATCTGTATTTACCATTCGAGCTTGAATTAAATATAATGGGAATATTCTAGCCACTAGTAATCTGACATCTCTATTATTATTATTATTTAATAAACTCATTAAGAATGCAAATATTCTTTCATCATGAATGGATACCATCTGGGGATTATAACTTGCAAATAGTTTGTAAATGGTTAATAATAAATTACAACATAACAATGGATTGTTTTCAAATACTTGTCGTTTCTTTGATATTAAAAAGTCGGAGATTATAACTTCATAAAGAATGATAATTTCTGGGGATGTATAAAATACTTTTCGATTAGGATCAATTATATCATAATAATTTTTATTCATAGGACCAGTACCACATCTTACACATTCATTGATTTTATAGTCATAATCATTATTAAGAATACAAGGTAGATTACCTAAAGCTGTGATGAAAGTATAAAGAGTATAATCCACATCAAAAAGCTCTGGATTATTTATTATTAAATCTTTACTATGACTTATCCAATCTGAACAATTTATCTCCTGACTTATAATTTGCAGTTGGTTTCCATTTTTATGATGATGATTATGAATTGTATTTTCTTCGTCGAATTTATGTTCCGACAGTACTATGAAATCCAATAATTGACGTTTAATTATATTTGTATCAAAATAACTCTTACGATCTGATGATTTGGGATTTGCATTGAGGTTTAATAATTTAAGTCGTAATACTTCCAAATCAGAATCAGGGTAAGATGTTATTATAAATTGATTTAAATTTGATGTTTGATATTTATTAACCACGGACTCTTCATTGATTAATAGATTATAGTAAAATCTTATAATATGCAATGATTTCAATATGATTAATGGTAAGTTGGAGATAAAGATTGTATCATTCAATTTGGTCAATAAACTTTTTAAATTATGACAATTAATAAAGTTTTCGATTATATCTTTTTCAATACATAATAAAAATATCTTTAATAAAGTATAAGAACTTGATTTATTTAAATTTGTGAATTTTCCGAAATCTTTAGTATCGAATCTTAAATATTCAATAATCCATGTCAATACAATTGAGATCTGATTCCATGTAATTGAATCATGTAATACTAGATTATCAGTTAAATTCATAATTATAATTGATTTTAAATTATCTAATAATTGTACTATTGAATCTTGATTATTATTAGGAAAGATTTCATTTAAGATAAACCAAATTTTTCGACTATAACTTTCAAATTTGAGTTGATAATTGATTAAATGTAACGATAACTTTTTAGATAAATCATAATCATTTAGAATTGAAAATAAATGAACTGTTTGTATAAGCTTTTGATTGAAATTAGGGATAGAAATATCATTGGCGATATTTAGTAACAACTTATTTAGATTTGCTTCAACGATGGATAGTAATTTTGATCGTAATAGTTTAATATATTTGATGTTATGCAATTTTGTGGTAACAAGGTTAATAATATGAATAATGAATGATTTGATTTGATTCAAAGTATTAACATGATTATGATAATTCGGTATATGATATAAAGCAAATAATATGGACCATTCATAAAGTAGGATAGGTTCAGATGAAGATAGTATAGACGAATCTTCTTCATCATTTCCTTCATTAATCATCATTGAAGGTTGAAAGATCAGTTTGAAATCATCATATTGAAGTTGAACATTTAAAAGATGTAATCTCTTTGATAGTACCAATTCAATTGTATTTATCAATTTAAGTAATAGTTTCTCTTCATCAGAATCTATATTAGTTGATTGATGGGCATGACTTAGAAGTTTGTCATTGGTAAAGCTGAATAAGTATAAGATCAATTTTTTGAAATCAGCATTATCATCAATATTGATATTCTGTTCGATATCATCTAGGAATAAGTTCAATTCTGAACGGGTTAATCGTTGCGTCGCTGATACTGGAGTCGCTGACATGACATGATACGGTTCTATATGATCTGATTCATCAATATGATGGATGGATTGGTAAGAAGGAACAGTTTTGCAGCGTAACGCGTTGTAACCAAAATATTTTTGACTGCCATTTTTTTGCTGTATTTTGACGGCCAACTTGATAATGAAGGTCAACAGATCTACACTTGATATATATCAAACTCGATAATCAATCAGACAAGGTGAATATGATGATGAGTCTACAATAAAGAGTTAACATGAAAAGGAATCCATTTAATAACAGGGCATATACATAATATATAATATATATACCCAAAAGTACATATACAAAACATATACACACACACTAACCTCACGAACTAAAAGGGGGTATATTAAGGTATGCTTGGTTGGGATGATGATTTAAATGATAAGTTTGGGTAGTAGATAATGAAATAAATAAACATGGATTAATGATAAAGACTATGCACATTAGGGAGGAGGATATGAATGAATGAATGAATGAATGAATGAGTGAATCATTTTTATTTATTGACCATAATTGTTAGGTCTTTTGAATAACAAAATATGAGGTTCAGGAGCATGGGTTTCATAATGAGCCCACCCTAATGATTGAGTTATACCTAACCCTCTCCATTCTTCTTCTAATAGTATTCGTAAAGTTCCAGTTTCGGGATTGAAATAATCTTGAGGAATCACTTTTAACATATTTTTAGGTAACATCACATGTCTATATTCATGGCTATCGTCACTGTATCTTGGACTATAATGGATCATATCTTGGAATTCAAGAACTTTGGCTCTTTCACTATCGGTTAGATATCTTGGTCTTGTCATATTTGTTGTTGGTTTGTTGTGTGGTTAATGAAAATGAGGGGTAATGTTGAACACAATTGATTTTTTTGTTTTTAGAAATAGGTAACTATCAGAGCAACTTAACTTTGACTAGATGGTATGAACGAATGGATATAATTACTAGCTATTGATATATTTGATGATACTATAAAGCTATTATGATAGTTGGATGGTTAACTAAATAGAAATTTTTTTGTTGGTTTTTTCAAATCGCACAAATGTGGAAGACGCGTACGATAATAGTGGTAAATTATAATTATAAAGGTTGGAAGTTGACGGAGTGATGATAAATGTATATGGAAGAACTATAGATAGTAATGATGTGGGTGGTATTCCATGGTTGGACACTACAACAGAAGGGATTATTCTGCCTCAATTGGGATATATACCATTTAAGATCCTGATATTACCCTGGTTACTGCAATTGTTAGTATTTGAATCTGATAAAGTAATAGTGGTATTTGAACCAAGTGATAATAAGGATGAATGGGATAGTTTGTTTAATGATGTTCGAACTCTATTAGCTTGTCAATTGCATAATTTGAAATATTTAGTAATTAAGTTATCCATCCTGTTGATATCGAAATTTGAACCGCAGAATGATCTAATTCAATATCAATTAAAACAATTAATAACCCTTGTTCCTCATCTAATTGTTGAATTACCTTTATTGAATAATATCCAACTATGGAGATTCTATTTCAGATACATCAGACTTGACAATCTAAACATCTCATTCGAATTGATCGATGCTAATATAATTACATCCATTTTACAACCATTATCTATTGAAAAACTTCAATATATAAAACTTAATGTAAATCATGATGATTCGTTTAATCATTTAATCTATAAATTGGTCAACCTATACAATTATAAACAACTTCCTATAATACTACCTCAACCATTACAACCATCATCTATAATATCATCTCTAACTTTACCAGTTCACAATCCAACATTTAATACATTGATTGATCCTTTACAACCACTACGTGATGATTTGGATATTTCCATTTATGAACAATTCGAACAAGATTTCATCAAATATAATCAATATGAAAAGGCTATAGAATTAAGTATATTGGATCTTATTGCAACTAATAAATTCAACTCAACCGCCATTAAAATTATCATCATTGGACCAGGAAAGGGAGGTATTCTTCATAAGTTAATCAACGTTGTAAATAAATTTAGTCATCAAACATTTAAAATATATGCCTTTGAGAAGAATATCAAATGTATACCATATTTGCATAAATATAATCAACAAAATTGGAATAATCAACTCGAAATCATTCAAGATGATATAAGGAATCAAAATATAACTAATGTAAATTTAATTATATCTGAATTATTAGGTTCATTTGGTGATAATGAATTATGTCCTGAGATTTTACAACAATTTAATAAACCACAAACATATCCCATGATTATGATTCCATCAAGTTATACATCATATTTACAACCAGTTTCTACTGATTTAACTATCCCAGAATTTGAACGACCTTATATTGTTAAATTAACCAAATATATTCTGCTTTCCCCATTCAAACCCGTATTTGATTGGGATTATCCTGACCCATCTTTATCAAGCTTAGACAAAGTAACAACAGCCTTGAATTTTAAGGTGGAAAATGGTTTACTTGATGTAGTAACAATCACTGGGTTTTATGGATATTTCACAGCGGATTTATATGGACATTTAACGATTCAAATCATAAATGATGAAGATAGGGATACATATTGTAAATCGTGGTATCCATTTTATTTCCCCATTGATCCAGAAGATATCGACAATGGTACTTCAGTTGAATTTAACATTTGTCGGATTAATAATGGTGTTGATAAAGTATGGTATGAATGGGAGTTTAATGATAAGGTATATAATAAAAATGGGAATCATTATTATATAGAATTTTAATGTTATGGTAATTAATAATTGGGTATGGATTTAGTAGAAGTCTTCTCGGTGGTACTGTCTGATTTGGAGGAGTGACTCAGATGATGATGTCTATGAGATGATGATCTATGAGATGATGATCTATGAGACGATGAACTATGAGATGATGAACTATGACGACTTGAACTTTCTTTATGAATTCTATGATCATCTTTATGTCGTATGGATGAACTTTCTCTTGATCTATGACTATGTGATGATGATAATGAAGGGGACGGTTTTTGTCTTTGATATCTTTCTTGTTTTATCTTTAATAATGGATCATCAATATTATTATTTGAATTAGTGATCGATTTACCAACATTTAAAATTTGATTTAAATTATCATTAGCGAAACTTGAACTTTTCTTATCCTTAGTTGATTTCAGAAATGACTTATTCCCATTTAACAAATTCTCCACTTCATTCTTCCCATCTAAGAATTCTTCATTACTATCCACAAATCCATTTTCACCCTCCACCTCTTCATCATCTTTCTTAGGCATATCATCATACATCCAATTTAACTTATTTAATTTCAATTTCTCATTATTATTCAAATCCTTCTTGTCAAACCCTTCTCCATATTGTAAAGTTAATAAACTTTTATATTCATTTTCTTGATGATATTCTTGTTGTAATTGTTTAATTTGCTTAATTTCTTGTAATTTATCTTGTTCATCCTGCCATATTTTCTTTTGATTTTTCATCAAGGCTGGATTCCATGATTTCTTTAAATTTAAATCCCCCGCCATGACTATTAGTATTGTATCTTTCTTAGTTGTGGTGGGATAGGTCAAGTGTTGTTTGATAAGGCTTGTTATGTCATCTATGATTTTTTGAATCAATTTTTTTTTTGATATTGCGCTCTTTGCTGCCAAATGTTTTAAAACTGCTTGAATATCTACAAAAATGAAAATTGAACAACACACGCCCCCAAAATATTGCCTATATTTGGAATTATACCACCATCCCCAACAAATTAATCTTTATAGGACTATGTATATGTTATATAACATATATGATCAAGTAGATCCAAAAACTCACATCTCAATTTCTCTTGTAGTTCCAGAGTTAGAATCCATTTTAGACCAATTTTATCGATAAAATTGAACGGCGCACTACTAAACTTTTTGCATTTATAACCAATTTACAACTATTTCTTTATCCCAGTATATTCTGTTATAAAATGATACATGACGATTTTACTTTTTCTATACTCATGTAGCACCCGAAACTTGTATCTCAAAATTCCTATGCTCATAGATTTACAACCAAGTTTCAAACCCCATTTTAATTCGACAAATTTAATTCTATTAGCTGTATCAACAATAAATAATCTATTATTAACCACTAAGAGTAATCTTAGCAGATGCGGTAAGTACCAAGATGAAGCCTAGTAAGTTCTATTGAAGAAATTAGATATTGTTTGGCAAAGAGATTTATTTATTGTTAATTCTGACAATTAAAGAGTTAATATTTTGTATATATATGATTGAAAATAAATTTAAATCGAGTATTTACTAATTGTTAAGTATAAGATTCATTATCATATTATCATTCTGCTAATGCTCTTACTGCATAAGAATGGGATCCATACCACTCTTTGTTTTCCTTTTCAACAACAATTTGTTGATGATTTGATAAAGATACCAATTGAGGAATCATGAAGCCTGAAAAGTACTTTTCGATGTTTGCGATACCTTCTTCACTTAAATTCTCCACTTTTGCCAAGTGACCATCTGGACGAATTACCAAAAATGCTCCAACTGATGGATCAATACCATACTTCTCATATGCATGACCATGTCCGTGATGATACGATTCATCGTCACTAAAGATTCTGAGGTAGTCCATACGACCTTTGTAATCTCTAGGTCTGAATGCCGTGTGAAAATCATTCCATTCGTAGGCTTTACGTTTAGAAGCATGAACTAATAGAACTTCAATCACAGAATAAATCTTTGCAGTTGCTGGGGTATATTTCTTAACGAAATTGTTTTGAGAATTCAAATAATCACCAAATAAATTCATAAAGTTCTGGAGGTATTCATTGTTTTTAATATCTCCAGCAAAGTACAACACTCTCCAACGCCCGTCTGAAGGCATAATATCTTCCAAATAAACCGGTTTAGAATCAGATTGGACTAAAACTTGAGAAGAACCTAAACGGCGACCAATAGGGCATCTTTTAGCCAATGGAGAAGTGAAGATATTCTCTTCATCATATCTAAATTTCCTTGATCCAGAATCAACTTTATCAATGAGTATAGATTTGTTGTAATCTACAGTTGTTCCTGATGTAAATTCGTTACTCTTTTCAAATACTCGATGAAATTCTTCAAGATCGACCCCTGGAGTTTCCTTACCATTTACTGCTGGACGACTGGAAAATAAACTTGCTATGGTAGAATCAAATTCAATTAAATTTTCAGCGACTGTCTTTCTTTCGGATTCATAAGTATCTAAGATAATTGGACTAGCCAAACCCTTAACCACGTGAGCTATCTTCCAGGATAAATTGTAAGTATCAGCCATGGAAATATTCATACCTTGGCCAGCCTTAGGTGAATGAGTATGAGTAGCATCACCTGCCAAGAAGACCCTACCGCCCTTTTGAAATTCAGTAGCAACACGTTGACCAATTTGATACGCGGTATACCATTTAATATCAACCATTTCAATAGTATAAGGGTATAATATCTTATTTGCATTTTCCAAGATCAATTCAGGAGTGATCTTTGATCTATCAATACGTCCACTATTAGAATCATTTGCCCTTGGAGCCTTTTGCAATTGTATATATAATCTAATCATGTTATGTTCTCTAGGAATAATCATTATGGATCCATTTTCAGCTGAATGAATAGCACAACGACATCTAATATCGGGAAAATCTGTTACAGGAATTCCATCGAGAACACCCCAAACATAATCAGTTGATTCTCCAGTCATTGATATTCCTAATTGTTTACGTACCCAAGAATGAGCTCCATCAGTACCCAAAACATACTTTGCATGAATAATTTCGGTTTCCCCTTGAACAATCTTATCGCCATCTCCATCAAATTGTCGAAAAAGTCCATTGGAAATCTTACTACCAAATTGTTCAACTGCAGCTTGATCATCATCCAAATGTTCAACAGTAACTGTCACCGGGAAACTTTTGAGATCGGTTGATTGCACTGATTGATCGATTTCCAATTCTTTCGCTTGTACTGGTCTTTCAAGAACAAGAGTGTTGTCGGACCATTTCTTCCAAGAATCCCTCATCCAACCTTCAACTGTTCCTTGATGAATAACAACTTGTTGGAATCTAGACAACCCTATAGTAGTATCAGGAATAGCACCAGAACGTTTTATACCTTTACTAGCATCTTGTTCAGGTTCCCAGAAACAAAGTTCCAACATATGATTTGATTCCTTTAGAGCACGATCAGCAAAGCCAAAGGATTGGAATATCTCGAGACTACGACTTTGAAGACCATCTGCTTGGCCAACAAATTGTCGAGCACTTCTTTTATCGATGATACGAGCATTAACACCAGTTCGTGCAAACCAAGTGGCTGCCATATGTCCAGCTGGACCGGCCCCAATAATTAACACGTCAACATTTGATTCTCTTGTTTTGTAGGACATTCTGTTGTTTAACATAAACGTTCTTGATTTCCATTTCCATTTTCATTTCGATTTGCATCCCGAAGATGCTGTTTATATATATTTCAGACCATTTGATTGAGCCATTTTTTGATTGCAAAACAGTCGGCACGGTTCTTAAGCTGGAAGAACTCTTATCAGTGCCAAAAATCCCCACACTAATTTTTTTTATTTTTTTTCGCGGGGTACAGCCATAAGTAATAATGAGGTAAATTTTACTAAAGCCCAAACCTCTTACCAATCCTATTATTTTAATAATGAATTACATTTATTTGAAAACGCTAACTCTATTCAGCAGACATAGTTCATAGGAAGAGAAGGTTTAAAGGAGTATACCAAAATTCTAGAATTAGAAATTAGAAAATAAATGTTAAAATGGCACACTTCCTTTATTTATTTTACGATCTTGGTCCACATATTTAGTAACCATTAGTCAAAAATAACGAAAAAGAAACAATAAACCGTTGTATTTTGTAGTAAACCTTCACTTGTTGGGATATTGTCCTGGAGAAAATCGGGGAGTTTTATTTAGTCATAGCTTGTACAACTTAAGTCAAGGTATTAATAAATAGACCATATTACTAATGGAATTAATGATCATTTTATTTTGTCATATAACCTACAATTTAGTTTTATAATTTCCAAGTGTATTTCCTAAGTATTGAGAGGAAAGAAATTTGTAACAACAAACAATAAAGAAACAAAATATATAATCTATATATAAGATTTGAAATGAAAAATAAAGCAAACAAGGGTATATTAAGTTAATGAATCAATGATCAAATCTGAAATCTAATCTTTTATTACCTTCATCAGTGGTGTTTTTAATATAATCTTCTCTTTCTTCTGGACTCAAAGCATTCCAAATCTTATCTCTCTTATTATTTCTCCAGACGTAGTAAATCTTGGTTAAAACTAATAATGGGATTAATGCAGCTCCAATAATAACCAATTGCATATTACCTCTATGATAAAGTGGTAAATCATCCTTTCTATAGATATTATTTCCTGCAACATTACCAAGTTGGACAAACATATTATAAACAGCTGAACTAATGGATCTAGTTCTAACAGAATTGGAATTACGTGATACCCAAGAAACACAAATTGCATGAATATATGGTTGACCTAAGTATAAAGTATTCAAGGCATATGATGTCCATTTTTCCTTACCTGAGCCTGGCCAATATCTAATAGCAGCAATGATTGGTACAGTATAAATTGGAGCAAGTGTACAAGTTAATGATCTTTCCTTAAGGAATTCTGATAACCAAGTGATAAATAATAATAAAATGATATGAATAACACTGCTTGGAATTGTCAAAATATTGGTAGTAAAAGTATTGAAACCTAACTGTTTATTTAAAAGACCAAAATAAGAAGTAAATGTACCTTGACCAATATAGGCAAGAAGACCAATAGCATAAACGGGCCAAAGATCATAATCCATTATACTCTTAAAGATCATTCTGAAACCTAAAGCTTGACGATTGTGCATAGTACCTTTACTTGGATCATCTCTCAAAACGCGATTAACAACAATCTTTTCTTCTCTTTCAGTGAACCAACCTTTTGGATGTAATTTACTCTTAGTTTGGACAGCAGATGGAACCATAAGATAAAAGGATGCGATACCAATAATAAAAGTGAAAAGACCTTCAATCAAAAATAACCATCTCCAACCTGATAATCCACCTTTACCACCTAATCTTAAAATACCGAAAGCCAATAAAGATGTAAAAATGGTAACCAAAGATAATGTAGTCCAAAACCAGGATAATCTGGTAGATAATTCTTTACTGGTGAAGAAGTAACTCAACCATAACACTAAATCAGCAATAAAACCACCTTGTAAAGCACCAATAATACCTCTAGTAAGATAGAAAGAAACCTTTCCTTTTAAAGCAGCTTGAGAAGTAGCAGTTATACTCCAAAGAACAATTTGAATAGGAATGAAAATATCAGGACCAAGTCTTTTAGAAATCAATTGGGATGGAACTTCCGCTAATAAGAAAGTAACCAAGGCAATAGTATTACCAGTATTATAATTATCAGTATTTAAACCAAGTTCAGGAAGCATATTATCAGTAACAGCTTGAGCTAAATTACCTCTATCAACTTGTAAACTAACGAATAAAACACAGGCAGTCAAAGCAACTCTTAAGTTTAATTTTGTAAGTAATTTACTTTCTTCTTCTGGAGTCCATGTAAAAGTTGGATCAAATGCACCATAACTTTCATAATGAGCAGCTTCATAAACTTCACGATAATATTCTTCAACTTTAGGATCTAAAAATGGATTTTTGGAAAGTAAAGATTCTTCATCTGAAGATGAATCTATTGATCTTAAAGTAACCACTTCATTGGCACCTTTCTTTTCACTAAATTCATCACTTGAATGTTCAAGGGGATTTTCACTAATGTGGATTTTGGCTCCAGTTTTAGCAACAGGCATTTTGAATAAGATATGTCAAAGTAAACCTGGTTGTCTTGGCGGTGTGTGTGTCAAGTTAAACCTTAATTATAAGACTAAGACAAGATAGAGAAGAAACAATTAAAACCAAGAAATTAAAACCAAGAAATATTGGTATTCTTTTATATAAATCCCAATCCCTTATGCATATTACAAACTACTATAATTGTATAAATGGTTAATTATCAGATTGTTTGATCCGCCTGGGCTTAATACTGCAAAAAAAACAATTAAGGGATTCTTGCAAATTGTTCAATCTCTACAATGAATTATAAAATTTTTGAAATGGTTGCGACATAATTTCTTATCTGCGCAATTTGACCTTATAAAATTTGATTGATTGTGGTGGCGCGTCGCAATTTTTTTCATGTCAAATTGCAAATCGTCAGCCACATCCACACAGTTTATATGAAATAAAAATACAACGTTAATGAAAAAGTGATTCAATATTTTAACTACTACACAATTGATGGATATTATGGGTAATTATAGCGGCAATTGATGTATATCATTTAACCATTCATGACGTTTGTGTGGATGGTTAATTCAATACAATACAATACAATTCATTACATTCCCCAGATGTATCTTAAATTAAAATAATGGACTGATAGATCCAACCTTTAAACTGTGACTCCCCGAATGATAAGAGGATAATATAACCCTAGATGGATGAACAATGCCGGTTAAGGATCATCAGTCCGCTTGCTTGTAGTGTATCTCTCTCGTAAAATATTTGACTTATAAGTTCCAACCGGGATATTATTGTCAATTTAATCAACATAATTTGACATATAACTAGTTTTAAAAGCGTTGAGGACAAAGTACACGACCATACTAAATATCCCGCCATTATACTATTAATTATAATATGATATTGATCTAGTTGATAAGTCTCTTGGAATATAGTGATGTATATAGTTCAATAAATATTCCCTTCAATAATGCTATGTCTTTTTAAAAGTTGAAGAATCATTGTCGTGTTGATGACAAATTATAATCCAATCAATATTGATAATAGTAGTAGTATCCCTCTATTCAAGATGAAGTTCATCAATCTTAACTGATCTGTTTCATCCTTTCATACTATGTCATAGCACTGAACCAGTTCAATTTTAAAGTCAATTATAATTCATTAAAATGAAGGCTTTTCTTAGCGGTTATGTTTAACTTAAAAAACCTTATTTTTACAGAGGGGAATCCATTTAACAAAGGCAAAATATTCAAAAAAAAGTGTCATAGCATAGGTTGAAGCTTAAGTTTCACCTTTTTAATATATCAAAAGGGTATATACCGTTTATCATGTTCATGTTAAGCTACTTATTTGTCGGGTTGCTTCTGGTAGCAGCTGTTTGTGGAAGAAGAAGCTTTACTTTACAACGAGAGCATAATGGAGCTTGTTTTCACATAAACAACATCAAATGGAATACTGCCATTATCATTGAGAATTTAAAATCTGATTCTGATTCCATTCCATATTGTATTTTTGAACATAATGATACTGAAATATTCAACAATATCCCATCTTTTGCTTCCTTTCTTCATTTAAATGATAGTTTGGAAGAATCTGAACTATTGAAATTAAATGAAAATGGTAACTTGGAAGTTATCCTCGAATCCAAATATGATAATCAATCTGAAACAGCCTTTACAGGCTTTATCGATAGTGATACATCCATTCCAATTACTAAAGAAGGATGCTACTGCATTTATTTTCCTTGGGTATACCAAAATGCAATGATAATCCCTGAAAGCTTTGAAGTTGATGTTTCAATAATAAACGAAGCACCTGCAATAAATGCTTCTGTGTTTTGGCCAGGAGTATTTATGGTGGTAATTATAATTTATTGTTCATATATAAAAAATGAAAAATTTAATCAATTTTCAAAATGTACCAAATTAGTGCTTTACTTTTATTTAGCAACATTTATTAGAGAAGTGATTTATCTATTACTAGAATCAATCCCTCATTTCAAAGGAACCCATTTCATTCGTCAAGAATTAACCTATCTTTATAGATTAGCTACTATAACTTTTATTAAGTTATATTCACGATGGTTACATTTAATTATTTTTATGGGCTATGGTTCACTCTATCGATTTAGAATACCCTCATTGGTGTTACGGAAATCGAGATTCATAGCCTTTTTGGGTCTAATTATAGATATCACTAGAAAGAATAATCTACATGAATTCGAATTCAAATATCTTGTTGTACCAAGAGTATTGGTAGGTGATGGTATTATTCCTAACACAAACATTTATGAATCATTCTTTGGGGAATGGGTTTATCATTATTTGGCGCTTATAATGTCTATTATATCCTTATCTAGGATTGCATTTTTCGTCATTACAGTACATTACTCCATTTCAACCTATAGAAAATTAAAGTCGATGCAAAAGCTAAGTGTTCTGATAAGATTTAAAAGAGCTGCAGTTTTATATTTTGTTATTCTGCCCATACTTCGTGTGGTTTACATTTTGTTTTTTGAGGTTGGACACTTTAGCATGGATGATAACATTCCAACGATTCTTATCGAATCCGAAGTAATGGTTTATGAAGGTTCAAAAACATTTTACAACAATCTCCACTTATTCGTTTTTTGGTTAACATGGGCAAATGAAAAGTATGAACCTGAGCCGGAGTTGGATTCGAATGAAATTCAACTTTCAGATTTGTGAATAAAAACATCCTTCTACAATTATATCTCTTTTATAATAACAAATATGTATATGTGAACTTAATTACTATTGAAAGAAGAAATATTTCTATTTATTAAGAAGAAAAATATTAACTTTTTTTTTGAATTAATTATACAAAATAAAAAAGAATAATACCAAAATAAGCCAACCAAACAAAGCCCGTTTAAAACCTAGCGATCCATTTGAATAAACCTAACCTATATCAAATGTGAAATAAAAATAAAATGAATGGAACATAAAATAAAATAAACTAAAATAAAACTGAATAGTGGAATATAAAACCAAAATGATATAAATCAAACAAGAAAAAATAAGAACTAAATGAATGTAACAGACCATATCTAATGGTTACTGTATATAATCAAACCGACTAACTTCTCTAACCCACCTTGAAAGTAATCAATAACTAATGAACTATAGCATCTTAAATAATGAGTATAATTTTGAGATATTTCCGCAATTTCACGAAAAATATCGGATTGACCCAATGTATTATAAAATTGATTAATAGAATCCAGAAAATCAGCTGTATAAGAATCAATCATTGAATCCATAATCATTATTGGATTCAAATTTTGCTTTAAAGGTTCATTATTTAAAACCAATGGTGTTTCACTATACGATCTTAATAAACCATCATATATGTAAAATCCAAATAATGATGCCGCTCCACTGGCTATACCAATTCCAAATCCAATACCAATACTGAAACTGCATATCAACCAAAATTTAGAATTCTTTGAAGATGAAGTTGATGAGGATGATGTTACTTCTAATATTTGAGTTGATTTAATATTATAAGGATCAAATAATTTTTTAACTATGGCATGGAAGATATTTAAATGAGAAAAATTAGATGTAATTTGTAATGGATCATTAAAACTTGTTGAACCTTCTAAATCTGATTTAAATTGCTTTTCTATAATCTTATAATCAGGTTTCTTTTTTGAAATCAAACTTGAATACATAGTTCTTGATCTATCCATTGATTTCAAAGCTTTGAATTTAGTCAAGCTTAAATTCTTATCTTTCAAACATAATTCATGGTTTGAATTATCACTTTCAAGTTTAATAAAATCTTTAAACTTATTGATAAAATTCTTTTGCTTTAAAGAAGAAGCTTTCCAAATTTGGTAAGGTTTCAAATAATTTATTAATTCAAACAAATTTATGAAATAATTAACTGTGATCATATTTATAATCGTCAATTTAGGTAATATTTCATCATCTTCTTCATCTTCATTATTATTTATAGATTTACCAAATATTTCAATTAGATATTGTAAAAAGTTAGCCGATCCATCATTAATGATAAAGATTAAATCAGAATTTTTAACGATTGATTTATCAAATTTCGTAGAAGAAGTTGAATTTGATGAAAATTTGTTAATTGTAATATGATGAATTCTAATTAGAAATGAATTTAATTCATTTTCAATATTATTGACCAAATGTTTGGTTTCATTAGTATATGAATCTTGACAACTTAATATAACAATCAGAAGAAGTTGGTTATTTTGAGTTTTGGATTGCTTCCTATTATTATTAGATGAAGTTTCTGATAATGATATTTTTGGCATTATAAAGGAATCTGGATTATGAATAAAACCACCATTTTCATTATCTTCAATACCTAAATCATGATTTAAACCATCTTCTTCATCGGTTTCAAACACCATTACATTAGATGATTTTGGAGATGGTACAATGATGGTTGAATCAATATTTTGATTAATATCTTCATCATTTGTGGTTGTAACTGATAAAATAGAAGATGTAGGAGGTCTTTTAGTATTAGCAATGGTTGTATGACTAGTATTCTTAATAATATGATTTTCATCATCAGATAAGAGTTTTGGTGAAGCAAATTTTGAATTATCGATTGATTGCCATGATGTAATTGAAAAAGTGGGATCAATCATTAATTCAGGGGTAAGACGAGGAGTGGTAAAATCACGACCAACTAAGGGAGAAACATCAAGTTCTGGATTATTTAATGTATTATAAATTGACAGATGGGAACTTAATAACTTTCGTAATGAATAACCATTGTTAACTGATGGATGATGACGATTATGAGTATATAATCGATTTGATTCATCATATAATTTGACGGCAGACACGCGATCATGATCAAATGATTGTGATTGTGATTGTGAGTTATCGTCGTTAGATCTATTAGTTGAGATTGTGATTGGGTTGAGTAGAGGGGGAAGGGATACTGTGGTGGTTGTCAATTTATCATCATGATTACTACTAGTAGTAGTAGTCCTACTGAGCTGAGGCGATGGTGATGCATCGATATCAGATCTATGCTTAATCATATCTCAAGTTAAATGATTGATTGATTGATTGATGCCAGGTAATTATAAATCAAAGAAAGCTGTCAATTGATAATGACAACAACAAAAATCAAAAACTGTTAAAGCTAACTCCAATCAAAAAATAAAATAAAAATAAAATAAAAATGACACTACCAAAAATAACCACGATAAAAAGATCACACTCAAATATTGTAATTGTAATTGAATTTAAAAGACGTGACTTGCTGTTAACAGTTTAACTTGATGATTTAAAAGTAGTTGTAAAGTTTAACGGTTAAGTTGTCATTTAGGGAGAGACAGACACAGAGAGGAGTAAAAAAAAAATAAAAGCGAATGACAAAATTGTGATAAGGAGGGGAGGAGGAGCTAGCTAGCTAGCTAGGAGGGGGGGGGAGGTAAGGAGTGAGTGATGATATTCTCCCCATAAAATTTTTGATTTTTTGATTTTTTCCTTATCGGGGGGAAGGGTGTGTACTTTGGCCAATTCTTGATAATAAATAATTATAATTTCTAAAACTCATTATCCGCTTATTTTTGATAAATAGGCTTAGGGCTTTTCAGTTTATTCGTTAATTTGATTGCAAATTAGTCATGCAATTGAAAATTTAGATGTACATTTAGATTGATAATTGATTTAATCGTTAATTAAGGCAGAAATTTCAGCACTTGATTTCATTTATTTCTAGTAGATCCTGAAACGAAACCATAAATTGCACTATATAATCATCCCACATTTTTATATATAAATATTATAAAATAACTACTATGATCTAGATAAATTAATTATAAACAAAATAAAATAAAATACGAATAAACAAAAAATAGCAAACAAAAATAATCCATTAATTCTAATTCTAATTTGGACTGCCTAATAGCCTAAACCTGCTTTTTTGTGTCTTGATGGTCTTGGTCTTTATTGTATTTATTCTCTGGTTAAGAACTTCGAATGATGCTAATAACCTTTGGTTTTATGGTTTATAATTGTTCTCTATAAAGAACTTAACTTCAAATAAATAAAAAAAGGTTATTATAGGGAACTGTTGCTCAAAATCAAAAGCCATAAAATCTTGGCTTTGAAATCCTCTTTTATTAATCATCTAACTTTAATAATCCTCACATTAATATTGAACTTCGCTTGTCATCATTCTTTGTTCGATACGAAATGATCACTCCAAGCCACCTTATTCAATCATATCTCAAAACAAATTCCATTTCAAACTCTAAATCACAAGATTAAATCCTATACCTATTCATTTCTTAACTTCTCTTTTGAATGACGAGGCAGTAATCTAGTATCGCCTTAATTATTTGATAAGATTTCGTATGTTTTTCATATCATTTACGATAATAAAAAATATTAATCTCAAATTCAATCCAGAATCCAAAAATAATTTGCAAACACAACCAAAAAAAACAGGCGAATGGTTTTATAAACTTCTACGTAAATTTTAAAACCCCTAAAAAGAAAATCTTCTTCTAACTTTAATTTTAATCATTTAAAAAAAAATTTCTTAACCTGAATCTTGTCTTGCTTCTTATTGATCATTTAACTGAATATGCAGTTTCATCGTTCCTATTATATTTAGTTGGGCATTTTGTTTTGTTTGCTTTTATTACCCTTTATGATCATTTTTTCGTATTTTAAACGTAAATATCACCAATTTCAACGCTATAGCCATGATTAAATTTTTCATTCACCGTGGATTAAACAAATACATAATATTTTCTCAAGATGCATTATTATATTCTTTAATTGTTTGCCCTTAATTATTTTATTTTATTTTATTTTATTTTATTTTATTTTATTTTATTATACTTTTTAAGCATTTATTTTTTAAATTCCCCTTTTTACTATGAACGTCTTTTCACTTCCATTTTTTGCATATCTAATATTATTTTCAAAATTATTCATTCTCAAATTAACATTACAGGTGAATGACTTTTTAAGTTTCTTGTTTGAGTCGATTATTTTCTATTTATAATTCTTCATAACAATTGACAAAGCCATTACTTTAGTTAAATGTTATTTTACTTTAAAGGCGGCTTGCTTCAATGAATTTTCTCGTAGAATCCCTTTCCCCTATTTCTGAATAGAAATTTCTCATGCTTCCTCAATAAATAATTATATATAAAAGACAACTGAATCCCCACTGAACACAATCTTGAATCAAAGTACAAATATCAAATAACTAAACCAATTAAGTTACTATTATTAATCATGAAATTAAGTTCCTTACTTCCTTTATCATTATGTTTGACATTGGTTGTCTCAATCAAACCTTACCAATTGTATTCATATTTCAAGAGGGATGATACAAGTGGATGTACTAATGATTGTTACCAAGCAGGCAAATACCTCGAAAGTCATTGTGAAAATGATAGTTCTGATTACAATTACATAAGTTGTATTTGTAATATTAATGACGATTCTTTTTGGAGTAATCTAGCTGGCTGCGAATGTGGCGAAGATAGTGCTGAAACTTTAGATGCATCTGCTCTTCAATCCGATTATTGTGAATATGCTACTTTATATGAATCTTATTATACAGAAGGTGATTATGGATCTGCATTTGGGGGTGGTGGATTAGGTAATTTCGCTTCTTTAGAAGATTTCAGTGAAACTGATTTTGGTGATGAAACTGGAACTGACTTTGGAGCAACTGAAACAGCTAGTGGAAACGGTGGTGGTTCAGTTGATTCTGCAAACCCTTCATTAGAAGAAAGCTCAAATGGAACACCAGAATCAACCAGTCAATCACCATCATCAACCCATTCAGGCTCTGCTACTGCTGCTGCAACAAGTTCCACCCATGCAACCACAAGTTCCACTCATGCCACTACTTCAGCCACTACTTCATCAACTTCTTCAAAACATAGCACTAGTACTGGTTCATCTTCCAATGTTGCTAACACAGCATCAATCGGTGTCCTGCTTTATTTGTTATTGTTATGTTTATTATAGGAATGAAAAGCCTTTGATGTTTCAGTTGTTCTTCCACTGTTTTATGTCTCTCTCAAGTATTATTTATTATTCATTATTTTATTGTTTTTGCAAGCGCAATCTTTTTTCTAATATTTTATTTCATTGTGATTTAGTTATGTAGAACTGCAAAAAGTTTACTAATCGTCCATAGTCAGAAATGATTTCATTGTGTGTAGTCTAATGTACACCGTCCCTTCGAAATCTTAAGATTTTTTTACGACACGCGAAGAAATCTAAAATTAGAAAGGAGTTAAATTAAAATGGTTGCAACAACAAAAAAATGCATAGAAAATATATGCATCTAAAGATTTCGTAAAAACAAAAACAAAAGAAAAGAAAAAGACACGAACATGTTAAAAAACGCGTCAAATTTAATGGAATTATTTGCAGACATGTAAATAAATAAAAAGTGCCTTATAAAATTATGTTTATAACTCCTAAAGCAGGGGGGATGTCTTTAATAAGGCTTCTGTATTAGGTGTTATTTATCACAATTAAAGAATTCCTTCATTTCGATGTGTAATTATGATCCAATTAACCGTCCCAATTAGGAAAAATGAACTCTTCTTACAATCCTGATACAAAGTTCTCCTCGCAACATGAAAAGTTTCATCCCTTTTGATTAATGACCTTCCTACCAATTCATTCTATATATTTCATTCAAATCCTCAAAATGAACTTGATTGTTATAACTATGAACTTCAGTCATTCTTTATCATTCATAGCTACCTACCCCATAAGCTTCGGCAACTTTTAGGACGTTTTACACTCTTTATATTCCCTAGTTATCCAACTATAGTCAATCCTTACAACACTTTCATTAAATTTTTAGACTCAATATGTCTCACACACTCTTTCTTTCATATATTATAACGTTCTTATTGTTAATTGGAACAACACTTTCCTTTGATATACAGTCCAATACAAATGTTGTTGCTTATTGGGGTCAAGGTTCTGGTCAAGGAACTTTAGCTTCTTATTGTACTACCAACGAAGTAGATATTATCGTCTTATCATTTTTGAATGGGTTTCCAACTCTTGAATTAAATTTTGGTAACCAATGTTCAGATACTTTTTCCGATGGTTTATTACACTGTTCTCAAATAGGACAAGATATACAAACTTGTCAACAAGCCGGTGTTAAAGTTTTACTTTCTCTTGGTGGAGCAGTTGGAACTTATGGATTCTCTTCTGATTCACAAGCTCAAGATTTTGCTTCTGTGTTATGGAATAAATTTGGTGCTGGAACTTCAGATTCAGAAAGACCTTTTGATAGTGCCGTCGTTGATGGTTTTGATTTCGATATTGAAAATGACAATCAAACCGGTTACGTTGCACTTGTTAATCAATTAAGAACCTTCTTTGGCACAGATACTTCCAAGACATATTATATTTCAGCTGCTCCTCAATGTCCATACCCAGATCAATCAGTTGGAGATTTATTATCCCAAGCCGATGTTGATTTTGCTTTCATTCAATTCTATAACAACTATTGCTCTTTATCTGGTGGTCAATTTAACTGGAATACCTGGGAAAATTTTGCTTTAACTGTTTCTCCAAATAAGGATATAAAATTATTTGTGGGATTACCAGGTTCTGTTCTGTCAGCTGGATCTGGTTATGTCGATATCAGTACTGTATCATCAACTATCAGTACCATTATTTCAGATCCAGCATTTGGAGGGATTTCAATCTGGGATGTGTCTACAGCATCCTCAAATATTATTGGTTCCCAAAACTTTTTACAATCTTTAAAATCAACTTTAGTAAGTCTTGTTGGTAACCCATCTGAAGAGGAAATTGTGTCACAAAGCTCTTCAACAATTGTTATCTCCAGCTCATCATCTTCAACTAGTGTTTCTCCTACCAGCTTTGATCCAGTCGTATACGAAGTTGCTGAACCTTCAATTTCTACCGATACCACATATGACATTAGTACAACTGTAATTACCATTACTAGTTGTTCAAATAATGCATGTCAAACTCAAGCAGTTACTACTGGATATAGTATCATTGCGCTGTTGAATTCTACATATACCACTTATGTTGCGTTGTCACCATTAACTACAGCCCAATCCTCAGCTCCTGCCCAAATCATTCCAACTGCTTCTAATGTGGATCCAAATACTGCAGAAGAAACTACAACTTACACTGTTACTAAAACCATATATAGTACCATTGGTGTTACAGATGCTGTACCTGAGACTACAATCAATCCTGCTTTCACCTTATTTTCACAATATGTAAATACTACTACTGCTGGGCCGGTCAACAACGAAGTGTTTGAAACTACTACTGATGATGTTATTATTGACCCAGCAACAGATGCGGCTGACGCAGTCACTACTTCTGATCCAACTACAGGCGCAGATCCAATCACTACAGTCTATAGCAGCAGCAGTGCTATTGTTCAAGCTAATTCTGTTTATCAGAATTTAAGTAGTTCAATTTCTCAAAGCAGTTATTTGCCTTCTAATTCAACTACATTTGCACCATCTACTTTCATTAACAGTACCACTTCATCAGAATCAGAAATCATTGAATCTACAGTTAGTTTAAGTTACATAACGGTTACAGTGACATCTAAATCTACAACCACTGCGATGCCTATCGAAGCTGCTGCAATAATAAAGAATGTTGTTGCTACTACATCGGAAGGACCAACGACTTCAACTTCATCTTCATCTACCTCTAGTGTGGCTACTGTTGAAGCATCAGTATCAAACGGTGCAAATAGCCTTTCTTTTAATATGGCCTCTGCTGTAATGTTGGTGATGGTAATGGGATTATTGGTTTAGGTAGTTTATAAATAATGTACAATTTATAGGATAATTGTTAAAAAATAACTTCTGTAAAATAAAGTTTTGCCAGGAAAAAAACAAAAAGGCATAAGCAAAGTATAAACAAAAATCGACATAAGTAAAAATTCCTTAAACAATAGAGTATTATAATACTTGCCTGTGGTAATAATTTTATGATTTCTATCTTCGTACAATAAACTCAACTAAAGTAAATCAACAAGAGGATATTATTCTTTAGAAAAGAGAGAAAGAAACATACATTTATAAAGTTATCATCTCAAATCAAATTTTTATAAATTGATAATTATGATCCTTTACCGGCATCTGATCACAAGCCATAAAAAGTTGCAACAAGAAGCTTTAGACTTAATATTAAGGCATTTCTAAAAAAGATAAGGCATTTTTACCCTTTGCGCATATAAAGACGCATTTATTTTTCTTACTGTATTGTCATAATTCAACTCTAATTTATTAACCATATAAGCCATTTTGACTTGATGAGCTCATTGCTTGAAGTACCCATCAATGTCGGGCGTCTAATTACTATTTTATTCAGAAACCGTAAGGTAAATTAGAGCGCAGTGCATGCTGCTATTCACTAAATCCTGCTATGTTCTATTGTTGCATGGATTTAGCCACAGCTGTACTAATTAATTAGCATTAATTAGTTAGAGTTAATTAAAATTAATTAATTTATCAAGTTGGCCCGACCCGATAAACATATTTTAAAAAATAATATATTATAATATAGAAAAAAAAAACATAAGAAAAAGAAACCTATCTTGTCTTTACCATAATATCAAAACTTGTGTAAATATTTTTGATACCTTCCCATCCTGTTCTATTTGTTTTTTAATAGTTACAGGTCATAAGCTAAGGGGGGAAGAATAATTTATGTCTGACTTGACAAAGGATACAGAAACTACTGTATTAATCGAGGAGCATGATATTGAATCCTGTTCAAGGATATCTGAATATGATTCTTGTGAAAGTATTTTGGATCCTCATGGTGAAGTTGAATTGATTCCAGATACAAAAGTCTTTTCTACAGTGCCGAATTTCTATTGGATTGAAGTAACTTTATTAATAAATGTTTTTTTATCAGGATTTGATGGTACAGTGACAGCATCAACTTATACCGTTATTGGCAATGAGTTCAATGCAGCAAACTTAGCTTCTTGGATAACAACTTCATATTTAATTACTTCAACTTCTTTTCAACCATTATATGGATCCTTTTCAGATGTAATAGGGAGAAGAAAATGTTGTTTTTTTGCTTCGGGGACTTTTGCATTAGGATGTCTTGGTTGTTCATTGGCCAATAACATCACCATCCTTAATCTACTGAGAGCCTTAACAGGTGTTGGTGGAGGTGGATTGATTACTTTATCAACCATTGTGAATTCGGATATTATAATACCCAAAAAGAGAGGATTATTTCAAGCAGTTCAAAATCTATTATGGGGATTTGGCGCTGTACGTGGTGCCTCTTTTGGAGGATTGATTGCTTCTACCATAGGTTGGAGATGGTGTTTCATATTACAAATACCTCCTTCGATTCTTGCAGTTTATGTTGGATATAAATATATCAGAAATCAACCAGAGTTTGATACATCTAATCATAAATTATCATCGTTAGTTCTTCAAAAGATTGACTTTGCGGGATCCTTTGTGTTGGTGTTATCCTTAACTTGTCAGTTATTTGTCTTAACCTTAGGTGGTAATGAACTTGAATGGCTGGATTATAGATTAATTCTTCTTGGTATTGTTGGAGTATCTTTAATGGTTTATTTTGTTTATATTGAAATTCATACGAAGGCAAATCCAATTATACCGGTCAAACGTTTTAAAAGTCTGTTCACTGTTTTGCTTATGGGCCAGAACTTTTTACTAGGATTAAGTTCTTATGCATATCTTTTTGCCTTACCATTATTATTTCAGTTAGTCTTAGGAGACTCTACCGCTAAGGCTGGTCTCCGATTAGCCATACCATCTTTAGCAACTCCTATTGGTGGAATTATTACTGGTGTGATGATGAACAAGTATGAGGTATTAAAGGTGTTGGTATATAGTGGAACATTTATAATGGCCACCGGAAACTTTTTGTCAATGTTAGTTGGTCCAGGTATGTCAGGATGGTTATTAAGCTTATTATTAATGCCCTCGAATTTGGGTCAAGGTATGGCATATCCTAGTTCTTTATTTACATTCATTTTTGCATATGGAACAGAACATCAGGCTACTTCAACTTCAACTATTTATTTACTGAGAAGTGTTGGTGGAGTATTTGGGGTTACTAGTGTATCTGTTATAGTACAAGCATACTTAAAGTATAAACTCACTGACGATTTAAGTGACCTCACGGATTTGAAAAAGCATCAAATTCATAAGATTGTAAAGGCAATTACTAGATCAACCGATGCAATTTATGAGCTTTCTCCAGAAATTCAAAAATTTGTTCTTCAAGATTATGAATCAGCAATTAGATTGGCTCAATTGTTTTTCAGTGTATGTTGTGGATTAGCTTTCGTTTTGTGTATCTTGAGAGATGTATTGGGGTCAAAGCCAAACATTTGTTAGTTTATTTATTTATTAAATGTGATGATAGAGTTTATAAATATAAATATAGATCTATAATTCCTAGTGTAAAGTACTCTTTATATTTTAGTTGCATCACCCCAACCTGGAAATATATTGGATAAATCAAAATTATTAATAAAATCAAGTGAAGGCGAACTAACTTCACTTGATACGCCTACATCTTCAGCTAATGTATGTGTAAATGGAGTTGGAGTATGTTTAAGATATGGCTTTGGAGAATTCTTATCATGCTCCGGAATTAACAAACTCAGAATGTTCATATCTTTTTTATCTCTAGTATATTCTGGTTTAAACACTTCACCAACTTTACCATTACCATAATCATGCATTGAATGACGTAAATCATCATCTTGAACAGCTGATGAATTTTCTTTTGCGACAGTAGCAAACATTTTTTGCAACTTAAGACTCGTTGTGTACCAACCATTTCCTAACCCCCAAACTTTTCTCCAAGTTTTTAAATTACCAAGAGTTTCATCAGCCAAATCTTTATATTTAGTTTTCAAATTATCAACTTCAATTATCAATCTATCATTTGCAGTAGGTTTTTGTAATGGAAAATTTTGTAAAAGGAATTTTTTTGGAAAAGCATTAAAATATAAACTTGTAGCTGCGACGGTAAAAACTTGAAATCCAGTAAAGGGAGCTATTACCATCATATTAATTGGTTTTAAAGTCCTTGTGATATATGTTAATTCATCTAAAGTCTCTAATAATACTCTAGTTTCATTTTCCCACCAACCATCTGGGAAAGAGAATGGAGTACAAAAGAAATACTCTCTATTAAGGAAAATACGGCATAAGAAGAATAAACCATGGAAATAACTAAAATCAGCAGCTGAGCCATCAGCTATATGAGCTTCTAAATTAAAATGATTAAATTGTAAATGTACAGGTAAACTGTCTCTAAATGTATCCAACTCTTTTGAGAGTATATAATAAGGAGAATCTTTTTCCCAAGGTAATAATTTTTCTAATTTACCTCCTGTTTCACCACACCATTTAGCTATTTTTGCCCAAGTTTCAAATAATATTATTAAGAATCCAAAGCATGAAGTATCATTTAATAAATGTCTCTTGGTTGGATCATGAATATATCTATTAGCTTCTTCAAAAGTTAAAGAATTTTGTCTATAATTACCGAAAATAAAATCCTTTTCTGTTGAAGGTAATTTTACTTGAATATCATCTAATCTTACACAAGAATGACGATTTCTACCACTTGAATTACATCTATCCATCATGTAAACCGCCCACATAGTTCTTCTTTTACTTTCAATACAAATAAACTTTGCTGCTTCATCCAAATTTTTTTCTTCATCTTCTTTACTGAATAAACCATTTTCAGTACCTAACCCAAGTAAGAAAACCATTCGAGCAGCAATACCAACATATAAATAACTTCTTGAACTACAACCTTCACCCCATTCATGACTACTTAGAATGGTTAATGCTTGTACTCTTTGAATGGTTGGACTATCAAATACTTCTTTTAAGATATTTCTAGCATGCCAACCAAAATAATTTGAAGCATTTGAAGCAGCATGATTATTATCATTATCTATAGGAGTTTGATTTCTTATATTGGAAAGATTAGGGATATATAATTGAGGAGATTTATCTTCTGAAAATTCACCATACATTTTTGGCATATCAGGATGTAATCTTGCACATAAAGCTAGGATGGCTAATAAGATTACGGGATCAGGATATTTCAATGAAGATGTATAACAAGTATCAAACTTGTCATTATAATAGTCTATGATATAACTTTTGGGATTAAACTCTGGAGATCTTATAAATGATATTATGGAAGGTTTATGTAGATGAGGAAAAATTCCTTTATATTGATTTTCAAAATAGATTTCAGCCACTTCTAGGATGGTAGATCTATCAGGTAGAATAATTGAATAATATGGTTTATTTCGAAGGTTTGAAATATCATCAACATTATCGATACGATTATTTTCATTCAAAGAATTTATTGAATCTTTACTTTCACTTACAGTGAGGATAGGAGCTTTTAAATTCAAACCTGGAGCTTTTACTTGAGATTTTGGAATTGAATTATCATTAGATGGTAAATAATGTTTTGATAGTTTTCTTTTCTTCAATTGACTTTTCTTCAAAGTATACGAACAATCAAGATCTAATAATGTACATCTTTGACATCTTGTATTATCATTATTATTTAAACATTTCAACTTTGTCTCTCGACATAAATTACATGCAACACTTGCCCTAGTAGATTTTGAACCTAACTCACTATTCTCAACAGTAGGACCCAGTACCAGCACCAGCACCAACGACATCATTAATTATATAGAATCTCTTGAAACAATCTTACAAATAAATTTTCATTATCTACGGTTGTTTTTTTTTGGTTAGAGTATATAATTATGATTGAATTATACGTGAATTATACCATAGTAAATTTTGACTCCACAGTTAACCAAATTAAATTACACAAACTGTAAACTGAAAACTGAAAAGAAAAGATTGCAAATTAAAATAACAAAGTCACGTGAAGGTAACTTGTAAAAATTGGTATAACCAATTTGTTTTTACAGGTTTGAGGGGACGTTTATTAGAGATTCTATATAACAGGAGATATTAATAGATAAATTTGTTAATACTAATGGATGAAGATACGGTTAGTTGTTGGTTAAATCATTTGAAATAGTTAAAGCTCTCTTTATCAATATAAAAAATCTCAAAATGTCAACTATAATTTTAGGTGAATTTCTCATACTTTTCATCAATAATATGTGATATCAAAGTTGTAAGTCTTCTTGTATTCTATAAATAGTGATTAGTTTTGTCTAAAAACATCTTGTAGTCAGTTTATATAGTTAACATTCATCTCACACACATCCTTATGTCCATTCTTCCTATATATACCACAATAAACTAACTTTAAAACTGAAATATTGACCAGATTGATAGTCAAAAAATCTCCCATCAAAAATGACTCAGACATAAAAAAAAATACAGTGCAAAATAAAAAAAAATACTAAGCAGATCTGAATTTCTATAATAATAAGCCTTTAATTAAGTCATATTCATAGCCATGTCAGAGTCTAATAATGAAGGTGGTAGTAGTCAACCGACTCGTAATGCCAACAGGAAGAATAGGAACCCCAAAGGTAACAAATCCAACAATGCAAATAACAGTTCCAATGGTACTGGTAATAATAATAATAATAGAAAAAGAATAGTACGAAACAATAATAAGTCGAGATCAAGTACCCCAATTAACACTGATCCAACTCAAGATTCTAAATTCTTACAAATATCCAAGTTAATCAGGACGTTTAAACCAGTTACTGTTAATGGTATATCAGCTAAGAAACTTATTGATAATATTAAACAACGAGAAACTCAAGATCCTCAATATTTCAAACAATATAAGAATCATGCTCGATTATCAAATTTACAAAAATATTTATTAGAATTCATTAAAAACAATCCCGATTCCATTATTTATATTTCATTCATAATTAAACCATCTGATCCTGAATTTCCCTTTGATTTAGATAGATTAAAGATTAATCTTAGTATACCAGTTAAATATCCTCAAGATAGACCATCAATTGTGGTATTAAATGAAGAAATCCCAAGAGGATTTGCTATTAATATCGAACTTGGATATAGAAGAATCATTAATCTAGCTCAGAATTTAATTGAAAAAGATGAAGATATAGAATTAGTTTCAGGTCAAGGATTATTATCAACAGTATTAACTTTGGATAAATATTTAGAATTGTTTTTAAAACAAGAGAAGAGAGAAACATTTAAATTTGTTAAGCCAGTGGGTAAAAAAGTAAATAAAACAGAAGTGGTGAATCCATTGGAAGTGAATGAAAAGACACAAGAAGATGACGTTGATAAGTTGTCACATTCAGATCTGATTAATGTTGGTAAAGTTGATGCTAAAACGATAGATCATAGAAATGATATAATTGATCAATTCATAAATAAATTAGGTCAAGATTCCGTCAAATTATTTAAATCAACTAAACAAGAAAGTCATTATAAAATCAGTTTACCACTTCCTCATAACACCAATCAAATTCCAAATTTATGGCAATTAAATAAAGGATTAGATATTTTAATTAAGATTCCAATTAATTATCCTCAATCAAATTATTCTATAACCATGTTAAACAATTTCAATACTAATTTGATATTGAAATATGAAGCTAATAAAGATCAAAAATCGATATTTGAATTAACTAAACATTATAAACAAATTGAACGGAATTTTAATGGGAATGTAACTAATTTTAAATTTGAACCTAATGGAACAACCAATGTTTTATTAATGACGATGAATTGGTTAAGTTTATACATGGGAAGGTTTTGTTTAGATAGTAATGAATTCGGCCAATGGAAAGAAAACGTTCATAAGTTACAATTACAATTACAAGTATAGATAAGATAACATAGTTTTGGTATGTAATACTATTCTGTTCATAAATATAAATTTGCGCTTTTACGAAAACTGACAAAAAATTCAAATTGGTCTACTTTTTAAAAGAATCAGACAAATTGTCGGATAACAACCAAAAAAATCAAAAAGTTCGTAAATCTCCAAAAATAAAAGTAATATTAAAAAAAAGGCAAAGAAAAGTTTGACCAAAAGGTGTGATAAATATATAATATAATTATAACTTGATTAATAAATTATCTAACCACCTTGTCATATATCATACAATATATTAGTCTTTGATAGGTTGATTAACGATATTTTGAGTTTGGTGAAAAGTTACAGACAATTACAGAGACTATAGTACGAAACGAAACCAAACCAAACAATCAAAAGAGCTATCCATTTTATCCATTTAATTCATCAATTTTCATTTCCATATTTTACATAACCTTTTTCCATTTCAATTCTTTTCACCTGAATTAATCATTTATACTTTACAATTCCATTTATTATTTTAAAATTCAAATAAACTACAACAATACTAGTTTAGGATAACTCACCCACTCAAAATTAAAACTACTACAAACATGACTTCTTCAGTTAGTACAACCACATCTACTGCCGATGATGTATCTCAACAGATTGCATTCAACTATGCCAATGAATGTGATTTAGAAATCCATTGTTCCCCTTTTGGGTTGAGTGGGTTATATATTAGAATCAATGGTACTAATCTTATGGGTATTGGATCAACCATGGGATTAATTACGGGTTCAACTAAGGGACTTATACATTATAATGATTCTAATGATTTCATTGATCAAAAATATAAATTATATGTTATAGTTGATGATGAAGGTATGTTAAGAATTGATTTTACCAAGATTTTTACTTTAAAAAAGAAAGATAATAAAAGTAAATCTAAATCCAAATTAAAATCTAAATTAAAAAGTAAATCCAAGAGTACTACTGGTAAGAAGAAGAAATCAGTTGATGATGATAAAGATAATGATGGTGATATTAAAAAGAAGAAGAAAGGAGGTAAATCAAAAGATGATAAGAGTAAAGGAGGGGATGATGATGAAGAAGATGATGAAGAAGAAGAAGAAGATGATGATGAAGATGATGATATTGAAGAGGAAGATGAAGATGAAGAAGGACATGAAGATGATGATGATGCTGACGATGAAAAGGAAGAAGATAAATATGAAGAAGAAGAAGTTCCAACCTTAATATTTAGAGGTAAATGTCCCGAAGGTAGACCAGATCATATTGAACCATTTATTGGTATATTTTCATTTGAAAGATAGGTTAATTTAGAATTTTTCCAATCGTTTTAATTCTTGTTTCGGTTTTGTTTTGATTATATATAACATTTATAAATTGTAGTATCTTTTATTTAACATTCTTTTTTAATATAACTTAGTTTGAATTTTTTATTAAATTAGGAAACGAATGTTTTTCAATCCAGTTTGAAAAAGATGGGGTCAAGAATAATTATTTTTCCAAATTCAAATTCATATTCCTTCACCCCAACAAACGTTCCTGAATGGAATTAGTTTTATCAATTAGTAAATGCCTCTCTATCACTTTTATTATCAGTTGTTCCCCCATTATCATATATAATTAAATTCTGGATAAGAATTGTAATTGTACCCCATGTTTCGGAAACTAATTCCGACTTATAGTAAATAAAAGGAAAGGAAAGGAAAAAGAAGGATTAAAAGTATATAGATTCGGAAATGATATAGGGTGGTTAAAATAATAAAGGAAATCAATCCCCATCTTTCTCTTTATAATTATTAGTTAGTCGGAAAACGGGTGGTCACGTTGTCTAAGTCACATGATGCAAATTACGGAAATTGATTTTGTGATTTTGTTTAATTTAAGATTTATTGTGGGGGGAATGAATGAATGAATGAATGAAATGATTAACCATATTAATTATTATTAATAATTTAATGGATAAATAATTCTGAAATATCGGCGATGATGAACCGTTACATGGCGGATTTAGTGATAGGGTCAGTCTGTAGTAGTAGTACCTTATTGTAAAGGTTTTAAGTTTTACCGTGTAGATGATTTGTAATCTGGTAATAGTCATACAGTAAACTATCAAAGAGAAAACATGACCACAAGTAGTTAATTTGAAAAAGGATATGATGGAATAACATATATCTGATTTTGACAGCTTGATAGATAGATAGATAGATCATTCATAGTAATATGAATGATCATTATTTATTACACACAAGTTAGTCACGCTTTGAGTCATGTGACTGATTATTTCCTAATTTTGTCCATTGTTGTCACCGCTAATTGTAGTAATAACCGATTTCCCAAACAAAAGAATCCGATGCTAATTGATTATATACAGTCCGCCATACATTTGATTGTCCTCGGTTTAAAATTTGTATGTCATAATAATTAACAGTGCCTCGGATTTTCATATTTTGCGGAGACAGACAGATAATGAAAAATAAAATAAATTGAAATCATCAGTAAAATATTCACAAGCTTAAATTATTGATATAAATTATCATCAATTTCTCCAGATTTTTAAAATAATTTTTATATTCTTGTTTTATTAATCATTATTGACTATTAACTCTTATTTTCAATAACTCATATATCATTAACCACTACAACCTACTATAATGGATAGACTCAACCAATTAGGTGGACAATTAGCTCCATCCTCAAGACAAGCTCTTTTACAAAAAAACCCTGATGATGTTGTCATTGTTGCTGCTTATAGAACTGCTCAAACTAAAGGGGGTAAAGGTGGTTTCAAAGATGTTGGAACTGATTATATCTTGACCAAATTCTTAGCTGCCTTTGTTGAAAAATCAGGTGTTGATAGGGATTTAATCGAAGATGTTGCCGTTGGTAATGTTTTAAATAAAGCTGCTGGTGCCACTGAACATAGAGCTGCATGTTTAGCTGCTGGTATTCCTTTAAAAGCTGGGTTTATTGCTCTTAACAGACAATGTTCTTCTGGTTTAATGGCTGTTTCCGAAATTGCCAACAAGATTAAAGTTGGTGAAATTGATTGTGGTATTGGTGCAGGTGTTGAATCAATGTCTCAAAATTTTGGTCCTCAATCTATTCCAAAAATTGATACTCATTTAGCTGAAAATCCTCAATTTGAAAAATGTATGATTCCAATGGGTATTACTAATGAAAATGTGGCTGAAAAATATAATATTTCAAGAAAAGTTCAAGATGAATTTGCTGCTGATTCTTATCAAAAAGCTGAAAGAGCTGTTTCTGCTGGTAAATTTAAAGATGAAATTCTTCCTCTTGAATCTATAATTGCTGAAGAAGATGATGATGATAATATTACTTATAAAAAAGTTATTGTTGATACTGATGAAGGTCCAAGAAAAGGGGTAACTGCTGATTCTTTAGCTAAAATTAGACCTGCTTTTAAAGCTGATGGTTGTACTCATGCTGGTAATGCTTCTCAAGTTTCTGATGGTGCTGCTGCTGTTTTATTAATGAGAAGATCTTTAGCTGAAAAGAAGGGGTACAAGATTCAAGGTAAATATGTCTTATGTTCTGCTGTTGGTGTTCCACCTGAAATTATGGGTATTGGTCCAGCTGTTGCTATTCCAACTGTTTTACAAAAATCAGGTTTAACCATTGATGATATTTCTGTATTTGAAATTAATGAAGCTTTTGCTGGTCAATGTCTTTATTCTGCTCAAGTTTGTAAAGTTCCAAGTGAAAAATTAAACATTAATGGTGGTGCTTGTGCTTTAGGTCATCCATTAGGTGCTACTGGTGCTAGACAATATGCTACCATCTTAAGATTATTAAAGAAGGGTGAATTTGGTTTAACTTCTATGTGTATTGGTACTGGTATGGGTGCTGCTTCAGTCTTGATTAAAGAATAAGCTTATTAAAATAGTTTAAATAACCTTTTTTAATTACTATTTATTGATATAAGTATATATATTTATAATATGAAAATTTGATACAATAAGAACAACAAAAAAAAAAATAAAGAAAAAGAAATTAGTTTTATGTAACATTGCTTTAGCGAAGTATATCTCGTCTATCTCATCTCATTTCTCTAATTCTTACCTCAAGTTCAAATAAAAGATCTACTCTTTTCCTTTACAAAATTTCCTCAGGTAAACCTGGAAGCGTTTCATTACATAAAATACCTATATAAATTAATAAATACACATTGTTCAATCTCTCACAATTATTTAAAATACACATTTGAACTCTTTCTTCTTTCATTAGTAACCGCCTCTTCTTCTTGAGCAGTAACATCCTCAATTTGTCCTTGTTGATATTGATGGGCTCTATGAGGGAAATAAACCACATTAATAGGGGGAAGATAATAAACATTTGAAATAGGGAAATATTTATATCGATTAACCGATTTCAAATCAATAGCTGATTGAGTCGATGTATATGCCAAAGGTGATAATGGAGGATTAGTAACTTGACCTGAGATTTGATCTCCTTGTAATTGTTGTTGTAATTGATGATCTCCTGATCCTTGATTTTGTTCATCACCTTTACCTGGTTTACCATTATTAGGTTCATCTTCAGCTGATGATGAATTTGGTGAATTATCTCTATTAGCATTAGCCGATGAAGGTTCATCATCATCTTCATCATCTTCATCCCCATCATCACCATCATGATCTTTAAGATCATCTCCATGATAATCATAATCATCTTCATCTTCTTCATTATTATTATTGGTTAAACCTGATCTTCCAGCTCTTTTAAATGATTTCTTGGAAGTATTTGATCTTCCCTTTATAGTAACATCTTTTCTTTCAGCATAAAAACTTGGATTACGACCTCTAACAGTTATGGGTTCACTAACTAATTCAAATAAAGTTATTTCGTTATTATCACCAACTCCGGCATTTCCAGCAGCATTTTGATTACTAGTATTACCATTTAATCCATTATTTAATTCATCATCAACATAATCATCATAATATAAATCAGCAACTACACAACTGAATTTAACTTTAAAATGATAATAATTTTGAAATGCTAAATTACCATTATTAGGAGTAGCATTTTTAAATTGAATCTTTTTAACAATAAAATAATTATCAATTTGACCATTTTCAATAGCAGTTTCATCATTTAAAATGACTATATGTTCACGAGAATTAATATAACTTGGTTGAACTAAATCATCTTTAAATTCATATGAATTTGCTCCTCCTGAACTAACGGGTGGTTGAGTAGTTGTCTTTTTATCTTTCATCTTTTTCCCCTTGATAAAAATAGGTACATTTCCCTTATTTGAAATATTGGCAGAAATCTCAATTTTAAAATATTTAATAACTCGAGTTATAGTATAGCCATATTCACTAGTTTGTAATTTTAATAATTTTGATTTCGAATTCTTAAACCCATTAATATTCATATTGATAGCTACCAGAATATAATTTCTTCTATAACATGATATCACTTTAGGATCTTCCTTTATGGTGGTTTCCTTTGAATTTGGTTTATCATGTTCATTATCAGTCTTCTTTTTGGTTAATAAATAATAAATATTATCATTATCATTGGTTATGAATCTACCATTTAAAAATCCATTGAAATCAATATTTATATTATTATTATCCTTATCAACGATTTTATAATCTTTTCTCTTCATAGTATTTTCAACTCGTTTAAAATCCAATAATTGACGTAATTTACTTGGTTTATAATCAATTTGATATTCTGAACTTATTATATCTTTGATTTTCTTAGCTTTAAGTTTCTTTTTCTTAGGTACCAAGTTCGGAGAACTATCATTAGATTCATTTAATTCAGGTTGTTGCAGAGTGGGTTGTTGTTGAGCTTGTTCCGGTAGTGCACCTGGTTGTTGTTGTAAATTATTGAAAGATCCTTGTTGTGATGCCAATGATTGTTGATCATATGGTTGATTGAAACCTGAAATATCAGTGGTTCTTGGAAATTGCATGGATGAAGATTGATTATATACATTAGGATTACTTGCAGTAGTACCATTACCTAAGAGACCATCGTACCAGTCACCTGCATTAGGTGTTCTTGCAAAAGGATAGTTATTTAAGAATGTAGTTGAAGCAGAAGCATTCATCGAAGATTGTTGAAACATTTGTTGTGGGTTTGGATTTTGCTGATTGTTGAATTGACCTTGAGATTGTTGCAGTTGCACTTGTTGTTGTTGTTGTTGCAGTAATTGTTGTTGTTGCTGTTGTTGCAGTATTTGTGATTGTTGTTGAGGTTGTTGCAGCTGTACTTGTTGTTGAGGTTGATGTTGAGGTGGTGGTTGATTTTGATAAATTTGTTGATATTGAGGACCATACATTGACATTAATTGTTGATGATGTTGATAATGATGCATCATACCGCCATTTTGTTCAAAATTCATGTAGTTTCCATAATGATGTAGATGAGCTCCTTGTTGTTGTTGAGAAGTTTGTAATGATTGATCGATGGCATCTAAATTAGCACCTCCAGTATTATTATTAGTTAATGATTGAGCAGACAAGGGAGAATTAAAAGATTGATTCATCAAATGAGAGCTATTGGCATTATTATTAATGAAATTATTATTATGCAAGAAATCACTGAAATTAGTTACATTATTATTACCAGTATTTGTACTTGAAGTTGGTGGAGTATTTGAACTAGTTATACTATCTCGATGTAATAGATTGAAATCAGCACTTAAGGTATCAAACTCTTCACTTTTAACTGGAACCACTGATGAATTTCCTTGTTGTGGCAGTTGCTGTTGTTGTTGTTGAAGTTGTTGTTCTTGCTGTTGTTGAGCTTGTTGCAGTTGATTAGATGGATTTGAAGTGGAAGCTCCTGGCGTATTTGAACTTGATTGAAGAGGATGCAAGATATCCGGCAAGAATAAAGAAGCTAGATCATCCATATTCTTAGTTCCTGTATCGTTCATAGCTGAATCAGAAGGATCTCTCTCCAATTGATACAATGGTTTAACAAATAAAGCTTTAAAGTAATTAAACGTCAGTTACTCCAATTTTTAACCTAATCTGGAGATTCTCACACAAATTTTTGTTGTCGTTAGCGTCTTTTTTTTTTGTCTGATTCTCTGACTTTTTGTCTTGTTTTATCTCTTGTTTTTTTTTTATTTTAATTTTAATTTTAATTTTAAATTGTCAGAATGGTTTCTTTTTTTTGTCTTGTCTTTTTTTTTGGTCCAACCTGGAAAAATGGCAGGACAAACAAAAAATTAATACTGTGAAATATATCGAAGTTCCGAAAAAAAACAAAAACAAATTATGATAAACTTGAAGAATGGTTTTGTTTGACGAATTGATAGTTTATTTATACTAGCTTTTAATTGCTGATAAAGGCTGTTGTTGATAAAAAAAATCGATGATATCTAATGGTCAGGGAAACAAACACAACGATTTACTTTATAACGAATATCTATTGAAGTAGATCATATAATTTCGAGTAATTGAATTGGACAAAGTTGCAAATCTAGATACAATTTAGGTTTGATGTTATTATCAGTAGTGAATTATAAAATATTTAGGAATAGAATCAATTCAATTGAAGAAAAAACTTGGAATAGAGTCTGATATATATATACTGTGAAAATAACTATAAGAAAAGGTTCAAAAAAGAAAAAAGAAGATTTAGATGACAATAGAACTAAGAATTAAAATGGTAAATCTATGAAAGAAAAACCACCTTGCTTCTGGTTATGACTGAACTTGAATTACAAGAATAAACTATGAAATCTATTTTCCGGGTTGGAACCTTTTTTTTTGACTCTAACTTGTTTTACTATTTATTTCAAATTATTTTTAATTATGGCTATTGTTTTCCCATTTGATATTAAAGTTTCTTTTAATAGCTTATTTTTTTTCTTTATATTTCTTTTCTATTATTTTTTTTTTACTTTTATTTTTTACCATCTCTAAATTATTTTTTTTTCTTTTTCTTTTCTTTTTATTATTTTTTTTTCTGTTGTTAGTGGAATATAAAATATATTCATCCACCATTATTAGCGTGCGGTGAATGGTTACGCCATCTTATGAGTTGTTTATAGATTCCATACGTTACTTGATACTAATTTAAATTATATTTTGCATTAATTACATTATCTGTTTAAACTTTTTTTGTCCGACGTAAATTAAATAAATTGTCTATACGTTCTAAAACTAGCGTAGGGTACATATTAGGAAGTCGACAACATATGCAGACCACGCTCCTACTTTTTTTTATTATTATTTTGGTTTCTGCGATTACGCCGTAATACGTCGTTGACATGATGGTCGCCCTGCCCTGCCTTCCTTCATTCATTCTCGAATTCAAAAGAAAAAAATAAATATTACAAAGTCTAGCCCCTATATTCAATGGAAGGGAAGACAGCTGACTACATCTAAGTTTTATCAAATAGATCTCCAGATTGACAATAGTTAAGTGAAGTATAAAAAAAATAATCAATAATTATATTCAGTTACCAGCAAAAAATAGTGCTCTCTAAGCTTCAAAAAATGTAACATTGTATTTTTTTTGTTGCAAAAATACTATGGTACACTCAAAATTAAGTTAAAATATTTAGGAAACATCGAAGCTTTTCTTGGTCTAAATATTTAGTAACACCTTTGTTGAGAAGATTATACCATAATTTAGTAAAAGTTAATAGTTTTATTTATGTTAATGATATTTTTCAACTTTCAACCGTACATCTGTTGTCATAACTGACTACTGTTTAATGTATCACACGCCCATCCGTCAACCGAAATTGTATTGTTTATTTATTATTTTAACCCTAATTTCAAGTTTCTGTACAATGATCTCGCCATCCCATCAAATACCGTAACTTTGTTTATTTCTAGGCACTTTAAGTTACTATAGGATTTGTGACTCGAATGATGCAATCATTTGACACCTGGGAGTCAGTCCGGGATTTTAAAAATATTATAAAATTTTCATAATTTCAGTTTGTTCTACATTGATTAGAAGCCCAATTAAATGAGCGTCTTTCATTAAAAGTACAGATTGCCGACCGAACTATGGCTAACATTTTCCTTCCCTGCCTCTGATTATTTTTTAAATATGAGAAACAAATATTTCACTTGTATCTTATTTCCTATTGAAGCATACAATCTTTGCGCAAACTTATGAATTGTTTTGTCAATAAATTTCATATATAAAGAATGGAAATTTGATTGTCGGTTTTACTGAAACTAGCTGTTTATAATTAGTCAATAAAAAAATTTTTGATATTCAAACTTTTTCGTACTAGCTCGCATTTCGCTATTTTTTTTGTCTGATCCCCTAGAATTATTTTTGGGCCACGGATTTTATATCGCCCTTCATGTGCATGCATAAGAGAAGCACGGAGCCCTCCGCGAAAAAAAAATAATTCTGATAACCTAATGGTCATCGATGACATTTTGAGCGATTGGCTTGATCTACAATATTTTTAGAAGCTCATCCTCTCTCATCTACATATTTTGATATGTAATTATAATTACATATATTGAAGATCAATTATGAATGGAAAAATGAATACATAACCGCATCATTTCTACATATGAGCAATTCATCGTAGTTTTAGTAAAAAAAAATTTGTTGAGCATATCGCATTCCAGCTGTAATGCTGTGCATATATCTACGTAATGAAATGAGATAATTTAAAATAACGAATTTGGAAATAAGGAATCGTAACTAATGCGAAGAGCTTAGCTGTCATAAAGGTAAAAATTTGAATTAAACTATTGAATTTGAACTGGTCTAACTTTTAATATGTGCTTTGTACGTGAAGGATCTACATCAAACTCATTATCAAGGTGCATACGCCAAGACACTACGTATGTAAATGTAATATGCTACAAAGGTTTAGTGTTGTCAATGTGGCAAAAGTAATACGCACATGATTCTTACCCACCACAAGTCATTACTTGTCCCTGATTTTCCAAAACAAAAAAAAAAAAAAAATTAAAAAAAAAAAGTCGAACTATGAATAGACAAGATCCCCTAACATGATTTTCAATTGTATACAAGACTTTAAACCAAATCATCACTCCATTTAAAAGTTTTTAAAGATTCTCATCTCGTAGAATAGAATAATCTGTGCTGATAAACTTAAAATTGGTTCAGGTTCAATGTTTTATACTTTTTGATCTTTTGTTAATCAACCATCTCATATCTACACAGATAAAATAAAAATTTAAAATTCATTCAATTATATCATTGCAATCAAACTTTTCTAATCTCTGCGACCATAAAATAAAAACTACAAACCAATTTATCTAAGGGTTAATATTGTATGTGAATTTAAACTATGGCTCTGCATTTGCTAAAACCATGTGGGTTAAAAGTCGTACATGGTGAGAGATTTCGACCCAAAAAGAAAAAACAAAAATAATATTGAAGTTCTCCTCTCAAACTTGTAAATGCAAAACTTTAAAAATTTATTATTTTTGAACCAATTCAACATTAATTATATGCACACATTAATTAATTTAACTGCTATTACTAATAAAGTTTGACTACTAATTAGAGTTAACTATAGTATTATGATGAACAAAGAGGTCTAGATTGATGTTTCTTTCTTTTTTTTTTTGGTTCAATAGTAGTAGAATTTAGAGTTAATATTGCTAGATAATGTCAATACAAAAGGCTATTTTAGCGATTATCCAACTTGACGAAGAAGCATAGGTGGTTTGATTTGATTTGCTTTTCTCTTTGTTTTAAAACCCTTGGGTACCTTGTATCAATGGATCTGTACATCAGACTTTGTGTTAAGGAAATTTACCGTTCTATATTTGGACTGATACATACGTAAGAAATATTTTGCTTGAATGAAGCAATTATTTTATGCACCACACTTAAGATAAGAAAACTAAACCTTCTAACAATAGAGGACTCTGAACCTTAACTTATACCGCAGTACTTCTGATTGCATAAACCTTATAAACACACACATATGGGTCCAATGTGGGTTACATCAAAATTTGCTTATTTATTGCTTTTATTCTCGATGGACGTAACCGGCTGCATAGTTCCGTTGTTATCGGTAAGGTAAGGGAATATTGCCATTGATAATAAGAAACGTAGATAAAGAAGAATTGGTCTTACATTCTATTCTCGTTTAAATATCCCTAAAAATTTATTAATTATTAGGAAAGCAATTTTATGACATTTCTCTTATTTTTTTTTTTTCTTTCTTTTGTCTCAAATTACTGACATCGTTTATGGAGAGACGAGATATGAGAATGTTTCGTTGCTCAATAATGCTCGCATTTCGTTAGAGATCGAAAAACTTTGGCAACACCAAGCGATGTATATAATTCACATAATAACATGTTTGCCACTCAATTCGTCTAACTTGATGAACTGATTATTAGTCATATTCACTCAAGAGAAACATCATAGAAATTATAGAATACAATGGTTAAGCAAGATGATTTCGGAGTCGAGCAATTCATGGATAAATATGAAACCAACATAACTAATAACATGGGAGAGACATGTTCTGAATCAATCAGTATAAGCCAATTAATCGATTTGATATATGATAACAATGATGCTGTGGATGTAACTCATAAAGATGCACAACGAACCAAAATCATTGATGCAGTGCTTAATTCCAAGCTAACTTATGGCCATATTCGGGGATCTCCTGAATTAAAATCAGCTATCAGTGTGTTGTATAATCAAGATTCGCCACTTGTTCCAATCACTGAAGAAAATATTGTCATTACCAATGGTGCCATTGGAGGTAACTTCTTAACATTTTATTCAATCGTTAATCCAAATGATAAGATCATCGTTGTTAGTCCAACCTACCAACAGTTGTCTAGTGTTCCAGGAGTATTCTCACAAAGTCAAGACAATATCATTCCATTCAAATTAGACTTTGATCAAGGGTTTTTACCTGATTTAGATTTGCTTCAGCAGCTAATCAAGAAGCATTTTCCCAAATTACTTGTTATAAACAATCCAAACAACCCAACTGGTGTGGTTTGGAAAGATGAAATTATTAGGGAAATTGTCTCCATCTGTCAAGAAAAAGATATCTGGATTATGTGTGACGAAGTTTATCGTCCACTTTATCATTCAATTGAAGAGAAAGATAAACCAAAATCAATTGTAAACTATGGTTATAATAAAACTATTTCAACTGGATCTGCATCAAAGGCGTTTTCATTAGCAGGATTAAGAATTGGATGGATTGTAACTAGAAATAATGCATTAATTAATGATCTATTTTCAAAACGTGATTATAATACAATTTCAATTTCGATGATTGATGATATTTTAGCAACGTTTGCATTACAAAACTATAAAATTATTTTGAGGAGAAACTTTGAACTTTGTTTAAATAATTTGGAGGAGCTAGAAAAATTTATTATTAATTCGGATGGATTGTTTAGTTGGGTCAAACCAAATGGAGGTACAACATGTTTTATCAAGATCAACATTAAAAATGTTGATACGTTCAAATTATGCAGCGATTTGGCCGAACACGGTACATTGTGTGTTCCCGGAGAGGTGTTTGATAACAATCAAGGCTTTGTTCGAATTGGCTTTGGGAATTCTGGTACCGATATAGTTAATGGAATCCTGCAATTAGATAAATGGGTTAGAAAGTTACCGACTCAAGAACCAAATTAGGCTCCTAAGTAAACATTGCAGGTTATCATTTGAGTTTAATTTTGTAATGACAAATTAAGGATACACCCCTCAAACCTGAACTGCATCATACAATTGAAGAAAATTATATTTATGCATGACAGGTAACCTTATGTAATCTTATCAAAACTAGAAATATAAATTTCACGAATGTAAAGAATAAATTTTTTAATTTAGGAACTTTTTTAATCTCTGTGTACCAATTTCGCTGTATAAAATGGTATTACTTGACATTGAAATCATATCGCATTTCCATTTGGAAAGAACCGATTATATCAAAGTCCTCGCACTTGAAGCAATTTGATTTCGGAATATTCCATGCGATCTTAGTAATATCAGATTTCTAACTCGTGGAATAGTAAAGTCAATAGATAGTGATTAAATTTGACGATGAGTTTGTCTTAAATTATGTGCATTGGAGCAAGTTTTGGCTATGAGAGGTGTTAAGTTTGGTTGGGATACACTGGGCAAATTGATTTTTAAACACTTATTTCTAGTGCAACAAGGGAGAAAATGCGACCTTTACGAGATAATTTTACGAGATAGGTGCATAATGCATGAAAGACAATATTATTTCTTTAGGAGTCATTGTCAGTTGTATAGAAGGAAGTACAAAGCCAGGGCGTTGAAGGATACGCCGACTTAAGCTTATTTCGTTTTATTCTATATAATGTAATTAGAACATACGAACTCAAATTTAATAATGAATAAAGTACAGAATATAGGTGTGAAAGTGTGGTGCTAAGTGAAATAGAAAGGTGTTCATTAGGTTTTTATTCATTTTATTTTTTCTTTCATTATCTTTCATTTTTCATGAATTTATGATCTGAGAATTGGAAATCTTCGCGCGACCCCCGCTAGTATTCATAATAAACAGGTCCAGGTTTGTGATCGAACGCCTTGACCACTTTACATAGCCAAATAGAGCATTTTGACTGATGCACATTATAATTATTATTTAAATTTTTACGCAAGGCCTACTAAAGATTATTTTGTTGAACTCTTCTCATTGTTTATTACTTCAAAATCACAATAGATCATACAAAGAACCTGAAAACATTTCTAGGCTTGTAAGGAAGAATCTCGATTTATCTTTGCTCAGACTTGTATCTTCATGCTAATAATATTTGAATTAGCAGCTCCTAATATGTTTTATTAATCAATTTATTTGAACTCCCTGTTCAAATCGGCGACTCAATGCCCCTCGTTACTTGTGTGTTGAATGAGTGCAGAATAAGGGGTGAAAACCTTTTATTTATCACGTTTTCAATTCATTAATTTTTAAATAATATTATATTCATACTCTATTATTTTTTTTCAGATTGTGCGTTCTCTCTTATCCAATTTTACGCAATTTAATTTCTCTAAGCGTTGAGTCTAGAAAATAAATTCGTAAATTATAAGAAACAGATTTAAAGTTTAAGAAACAAAGTTAAGTTGTAAAAGTAATTGGAAATGCAAGTAACCACTAATCGGCTTTCATCTGAAAAATAAATGAAAACACGAGATACCGACATACTACTAAAGCTAATAAACAATTGGTAGTTATTAACGAGTTTACTGGCTTTTGTTTGAACACAAAATGTTGTCCTTATGAATAACGATTTGCCCCATACACATCTGACGGTTGCTCGTTTATGTGTACATGTACAATCTGATCTAACATGTGCAATGAAGTAAACGATAATAGTAAACCCCCACTTAATAAAACCAGTGCTAAAAAAGAAATCAGTTCAATTCTGATAATTTCAGATTTTATTACAATTTAAAAATAATAATTATTTGTAATTTAAGTTGAAAGATATGGATTGTATCACAGAATATCGCGGCTTGGATGTCAGATCCCAATTCGTAAATATTTGAACACAAAAATAAATGCGAATTTTAGCCCCTACTATGCAACCCTATATTTTGAAAGAATAACATATATTAGAGTCCCTCCCAACCTTTTGGTGGATTAAATTTTAACCAACCAACCAGTCAAACTATCACAATCAAGAGGTTTAGTTTAATAATTATATGGTGAAGCCTTATTGTACAATTCCATAATGTCATCGATTAGATTGATTGATTCTGAAGAACGAATAATTCGTCAAACTCATAATGAAGAGATAGTATATAACAGCTATTGTAAGTATGCGGGGAGGATCGAAAAAAGTATAACTAGTTATGTATTTAAAGTAACTAGTGAAAGTGGACAAGTCATGGCTGTTAAGAAGGTTTGCCAAAACAAGCATAACGAACTCAGTTCTCATCTTTTGAATGAGATTAAGATTCTTCAATTTCTTAGAGGTCATAATAATATTGTTAAACTTTTGGACTTAGATTATGTCTATAACTCAATTTCCGATAGTCATCAATTATACATGTATCAACATGTAATGGGTAATTCTCTAAACCATATTAAAGGAGAATTAAATGATCAACATTTTCAAAGGATAATGTATCAATTAGTTTGCGGTTTGAATTACATTCATTCAGCTAAAATTATTCATGGTAATTTAAATCCAGGTAATATTCTTATAGATTCTGAGTGTAATGTTTCTATCACAGGTTTTGGTTCTGCTATGCCACCGGATTCGAGATTTATTATACCTTCGTTGCAAAGAAATTTGAAGAGTAAATATAAAAGATTTATGGCACCTGAATTTATTTTAGTTTCAAATACAATTTCAGAAGCCATTGATATGTGGTCACTTGGATGTATATTATTGGAATTGTTAAACAATAGAAGTCCTTTATTTTATGAAACTGTTGAAGTTATGGATCTTATGGAATCAATACTAAAGTATGTTGAAGCACCAAGTGAATCTTTCATTAACAATGTTTCAAGACCTGGGTTAAGAGTTTCATTAAGAAATTTGATTGATTGTGAAAGAAATTATTTTGCCGATTTATTTGAAGATGACAATAAACTTGCTGTCGAATTGCTTGAAGACTTATTAATACTTGAACCAAAACAGAGATTAACGGCCAAAGAAGCTTTATCTCATGAATATTTTGATGATCAAAAAGATGAACATTCAATTTCAAATGAAAGAGATTCTATTTTTGAATTTAAATTTACATCACCATATTCTAGTGTGTGTAAACATGTTGAAAGGGATTCTAATTATGTGTTTCAAGAGTCAACTGAGAGATTTCAGTCTTGTTATAATTGTGATATAGATGCTTCAATTGTACAGAATGTTAAAGATTTCAGATATCATGTTCGAAAATATCCCGAAGGTGCAAATAATCAAAGATTACAATTAGAGTTTGCCAGTAATCATTTAGATGTATCAGACCTCAGTCTGGATGAATTTGAAGAATGTTCCAGTGACCCAAAAGATCTGAAATCTAACAGTGACAGTCAGTTAACTGTTAGTACCGTAAATAGCTTTTGTGTTGAAGAAAGTAACTTGGGTAGTAGTGGTACTCCCTTTAGCAGTGATTTATCTCCTCCAACAGATGTACTTGAAGATGGTGGAATTGATCCTGAAAGCATTATTCACTTCAAAGAGGATGATACAGACAGCAATTATAATTTCTATCTCGGAGGCATTGCATTTTAGCCGATACTTATTCTTTGTCTATAATTTACGTTATCCTTTCCTTCTTTTTCTAGTCATGAATTTTTTCATAGCTATTCATAACTTGAGTTGATTAATATAATTCGATTTTCCCGAAATAAACATTTAATATAATGAGATATATGATGGAGATGTAGTTGTATATAAGTAGAAATAACTATGTTCAAAAATAAAAAAAAAGAAAATCAAGGATTGGTAGTACTCTGAAAATAGTTTTCTTGTATAAAAAAGTTGAAGTGCAAATTTCTAAAAAAAAAAGTGCAAATTAATTTTCTTTTGGGGATCGCTGAATATTTTTGATCGTTGCAGTTTTTATGTTGTGGTGGAAATTGATTAAAAAAATATCTGATGAATATCAAAATAATAATTAATTAATTAACGCAGTTACAATCGAATAGAGGGATGGATGAATGGATGGAAGAATTTTCCAATTTAGGTAGCTGTGGTAATTGAGTGTCAATAATTCGTTTATCTGTATATATGTATGTATGTATGTATATATTATCGAGTATAGTTTTCATAACAGATGGAAGTTAAAAATAGTTACCGTTTGAAAACATCAACAAATCTATCGCTAATAATCAAAAGAATAAACCATAAATATATCCATTGACAAATTTGATCGGAGTAGTAAACATTCCGTAAAAATAACCACAGATTGTTCTCTGTAAATTAATTACATCATAAAGGACACAAATTGAATTTATACTTTCATCAATCCTGTTCAACGGTGAGAACAAAGGAGCTTCTCTGTATCCTAATAATGACGGTTCCTCGAAATAAAAATTTTCTTGTCTTGTCATTTGTTAGTTAGTCCAATGATTATAATCATGGACTAAAATAAAAACTGGTATGGAGAACCAATTTCGAGAAATTGGAATCTTCTACTTGATCATATAACATTATTGTTCTATATCTTGGCTTATAATATAATAGTTTATTTTTTTATATTCTTGTTCCTGATCGTGTTTCTGTTGGCTGAGCCAGTATTATAGCGTATCCTGTTGGGGAATATTTCAGGAACGGCTGTCTGGCTTACAATCAAATAAATTAATTAATTCTGTGCGCATAAATGGGTAGGTTTATACGATGATGACAAAAAAGAAATTCTATTTTTAGAAGGTTTTTTTTTTTTTTTACAATTTAATCACGGCTCCTTTGTAGAGAATAAGTATAGATTTCCAAGAGGGGTATATGATGGTATGGTTAAACAGCCAGCATGTAATGCTTGTTCATAAGAGATTAATGAAACCAATTGAGTTGCCCAGTGTCAAACAGAGTGGTTGGCACAAGTAATTAGCCTCTAAAGTTGAAGATGAAGAAAGAGAAGAAGGTTTTGATTTCATGCGAATTTAAAGTGTAGAACGATGAAAGAGATCAGATTGTTTATTTGATTAATAATTGATTTAGACATCATAAGCTTAATTTGATAGTTTATTCCGTTATAATTAAGTTGGATAATAATTGAATTACTTTTGTTTATTTATTTATTTGTTTATTTGTTTGTTTTCGTATGTATGTATGATTATACATTAATATAATTTATTTACTAATTGATTACTTAAATAACCTTTGTTTACTATTGATAATCAAAAAAGGAGTAATTTGCCGCTTCTAAATATAATTTAGCAATAATATTTTTGTTATTATAATTATATTTTTCTTGTTCCTTTCCTATACTTGAAACGTACCTGAATTATCATGGCATGATAGTGGGTGTCAATTCTATAACCGGCATAAATTTACGTGAAACCATATGGCGCCGTTTTAGGTATCTGTTAACGTCTTTGTAGACTTAATTCTATTCGATGGAAAAGTTTTTCATTTCTCCTATTAGAACTATATAAATAGATCAACATTTATAACTTTATTTCGATTCCGAATTGTTTTTTTTTTCAACAATTCCATTACTGTTCTACAAATCATTTCTACTCCATTTTACATTCCATTTTCATTTCAATTCACTTTAGTTCATCCAGTTATAATACTGTTCCATTCGCTCACCTTACTCTGGCTATAGAAATCCTCCAAGCCAGTTAGTTTTAAAAATAGAAGTTTCATCTTTTGTATATTGGTTTTTGTGGAGACAGAAAATTTTGTCTGATTTTTTTTTTGTCTGTCTGTCTGTCTGAAATCTCGTGTTGCACAGTTTTTAAATTTCTGTTACATTTTTTTAATTTTGTATTTGAAAATCTTACCACCAAAAATTTAAACTATAGTGATAATTTATCAAATTAACCAGATTATCTATTATTCCCCTTTTGCATCAATTCCATACAAGTATCAACTGTGTCCATCGTGTGACTGTCTGGCAATTGTCCTTGTTTTATCTATCGTTGTGGATTTGTGTGTTAGTCCCATTCAATTTCAAACTTTCTTGTGTCGGTCACTACTTTATAGACATCGCAATCTTACATCATCCATCCATCTCATTATCCATCATGTCAAGTAGTAGTAGTAATTCTCTACTGCAAGATATTAATAGAAACATTGATAATCTTTATGCTGATCGTTCAGTAACAAGAGTTTATGGTCAGGATTTCATCATCAATAAAAGTTTCAAAGTTACTAAGGAATTGGGTCAAGGTGCTTATGGTATAGTATGCGCAGCCAAATATGATGATGGATCTAATAATAATGATAATAATTCTGGCTCAAATGGAGGTGGAAGTCAAGTTGCTATTAAAAAAGTCACTAATATATTCAGTAAAAAGATTCTTTGTAAAAGAGCTTTAAGAGAAGTTAAATTATTACAATTCTTTAGAGGTCATAAAAATATTACTTGTCTTTATGATTTAGATGTCATCCCTAATCCTATAACCGGAAAATTTAATGAAATCTATCTTTATGAAGAGTTAATGGAATGTGATATGCATCAAATTATAAGGTCAAACCAACCTTTAACCGATCAACATTATCAATCCTTCATTCATCAAATCTTATGTGGTTTAAAATATATTCATTCTGCTGATGTATTACATCGAGATTTAAAACCAAGTAATATTTTAGTTAATGCTGATTGTGAATTAAAGATTTGTGACTTTGGTCTAGCAAGAGGTTATTCTGAAAATCCTGAAAAAAATGCTGGATTCTTAACTGAATATGTGGCAACAAGATGGTATAGAGCTCCTGAAATCATGTTATGTATGACAAATTATAGTAAAGCTATTGATGTATGGTCAGTGGGTTGTATCTTGGCTGAATTCTTAGGTCGTCAACCTTTATTCAGAGGTCAAAATTATATTGATCAATTATTAAAAATCCTTTCTGTTTTAGGAACTCCTTCGGAAGAAAGTTTACAAAAAATTGGATCTATCAGAGCTCAAGAATATGTTAGAGGATTAGAAAAAATGGAAAAGGTTAAATTTGCCGAATTATTTCCTAATTCTAATCCTGAAGCTATTGATTTGTTAGAAAAAATGTTAACCTTTGATCCTTATGAAAGAATTACTGTCGATGACGCTTTAAAACATCCATATCTTTCACTTTGGCATGATCCTCAAGAAGAACCTGAATGTCAAGTTAAATTCGATTTCGCATCATTCGAACAACTTGATGAAGAAGAAGACATTAAAGCTTTGATGTTAGAAGAAGTTCGTAATTTCAGAGAATTTGTCAGAAAACCATTGGAAGAACAACAACATATCCAATTACAAACTCAAATCCAACAAAGACAACGTCAGGAAGAGCAAGAAGCTCAAGCTGAATCAGCTCATCAACAACAAATTCGTTACGAACAACATCAACAACAATTACAACATCAACAACAACAGTTACAACAGCTGCAACAAACACCCGTTGAACAACAACAATATCAACAATATCAACAATTCCAACAATTCCAACAACCACCTTATAATTTATCGGGATCCCCAATATCAGCTAAGCAACAATATGATTCACTCAATAGTAGCACCACTGCTCATTCTATTCTTCAGAGTAATATTCCTGTAAATACAAGTCCACAATTCAGTAGCAATAGTGATTATCCATCCATACCGAAACCTCAAGAATTGGATGATTTCACTTATTCTAATTTAAATCAAAATTCCTATCAAGTCTATCAACAAAGTCAACAACTAACAAGTTTATCTCCTAATAGTGTTGACTATATGAGATTAGAAGAAGAATTAGGTTTCGGGTTAGATGGTAATTTTGATAGTAATTTCAATGATAATTTTCAATAATTCAACGTTATACATATACACATATACATTCTTACCCATCATTACTATCAAGCACACTTTTACATTATAAAATATTACAATATTTTTCTTTTACGATTCTTTAAGTTACATTCACCTTCTCATTAATTGCATTTCATTTGTCTTTTTAGTTTGTTTTAATTGTGTACTTTACTTTCTAATAACACATGCTTTCTTTATATTTTATTGTTTTCCATAGTTTTTTTTTTTATTCTTCTTCATCAGTTTAGTTTTAGTTAAGGTTAGACCAGTTTTAGTTTAATTTCATTTCCATATACTTCAATTCAAATTTAATACACTTTCATTTTATTTTATTTTATTTTATAAGATATATTTAGAACTAATGTAAACTATATCTAAATATTTAAATTCTTTCTATAACTTTTCTCTGATTTGTATCATGTTTGCTTTTGTAATTTTTCGCTAATTTTAATGCTTTTTTTATGTTTTTCCAAAATAGATCATTTTAAGGTATACTTGAAAATATCTCCCGATTTTCCAAAAATCCAAAAATTATACAGATCTAAATAGAAGCCATCAATCTTACCATCATGGATAAAACTTGATAAATCTAAACTTAATAAAGGTACTCGTATAGAAGGAACTAACTTATCATTGACAATAGGTGGAATAACCGCATTGAATTTCAATGGGACTCCCTTTTTCAAATATTGTCTATAATGTCTCTTTAATCTTAAATCAAATAATGATTTATAAAGTGAAGTAACTATTTCGAGTTGATCAGCAGATTTTTCTTCACCCATAACTCTTGAACTTCTACGTGACAAGGATTCATTAATCGTGTTTGTAGATGTGGCAGCAAGAATGGTAGTCATATTCATACTTCCTAACGAAGTTGGATTATTCAAAATCGTAGATGGGAAATCATCATTACCAGACATTGATCTACTTCTGTTATGAAGAGTAACCGTATTTGATTTTATTGGAATACCATTTGAAGATAATCTACCACCAGGGCCAGGACTAGACGTATGTATTATAGGAATTTTACTTGCATTCGGGCCACCTGGTGCAGCTGCCGCCAATGCATTGGCTAATGCCCCTGAACCTAATCCTGGAATATGAGTTGATCTTCTCTTTCTTGGTCTTTCTCTGGATTCTTCTTTTGGACTTTTATGATCTTTATCTTGTTCCTTTTTAGCTGGTGCTGGAGTAGCCAACTTTTTGACTTTAGGCAATGCCTTATAATCAAATTCCCAAATAATAACCTTTCCATCAAATCCACAACTAACCAATTTATAAGTTACATTGTTTGAACCTGATCTTTCTAATTCATCATCTTCAACTTCAAGGAATTTTATCGATCTGATAGTATTGGTATGGCCTTTAAATCTTCCCACGATTTTAACTTCCTTGATTAAAGGAGGATATAATTCCTTTGCTTGATAATTTGATAAACGTGGAGTACCATTATGATCATTTCGAGTTGCATCATAACTATTAGAAGGAGCTGTACTGATGGGTGATAGAAATAATTGTGAACCACTAGGTCCCAGCTGAGGATTATTACTTCCAACACTATTCACAGTTCCACTTCTTGATCTTCTGCCTGCAGTAATATTAATTGAACCACCACCTCCAATATTATCAGTACTGGCAGTATTATAATTATTACTTGAATTTTTACTTAATAATCCATTGACATTATAATAACTCATTTTAAAAATTTCAATTAAATCACCTTTTCCAACCACACAAATAAATCTAAAGTCAGGTGAAAATTCAACATCAGTAATACCATCATTGAAATAATTTGATAATAAATCGGTTAATATTGAGCTATTGGTCTTAACATCAGGATTACTTATACCATAATTTCTATTATAGGTAAAGATAAGATCGATGAATCTAATGATACCATCATCACCTCCAATGGCAATAATCATAGGTTGATTATCAAATTTATGAGTAAATTCATCAGATGCGACATAAGTGGAGTATAATAATGTGGAAGTTATACTTGTAATTGGTTTTAAACTTAATTTGAAATGACCAATTAAGTAATTAGGAGTATAATGATCTTCTTGGGCATTTACTAACGATTTGTTCTTGGTGAATGGACTTAAATCAAATTTTTTAAAGTAAGTAATAAAGGAATCCTTCCCAACTATACGTTTATTATATTTCAAAGCATTTGTGGAATTATCTGAATAAGTAGACGCTGTTGATGATTTTTTATCTTTATTTTCTGCAGTTTGCTTTGGAGCAAAAGGATCAATAATCAAAACTTCACCATTAGCATAACCTGCTAAAATCAACATTTCAAAATTATGATGATGAATTAATTCAATCGTAGTAACAGCCACGTTGTTGAAACTGGTAGAATAGTTTAAATTACCATTACCAACTCCATTAGAAGCTCTTGAATGAATAGATGATGAATCAGAAGAACCTTTTTGAGTGTTGTATCCTAAATCATCAAAGATTTGATAATTTAATTGAATTAAATTAAGGATTATGATTTCACCCGTATCAAATCCAAGAACTATCAAAGGTTCTCTAGATTTACTAATAACTGATTTAAGAGATGTTATGATTGAATTGGGACGAAATTGAATTCTTAATAATGATTCCTCCACGACTTTTACAAACTCAGTGGGTTTATTTGAATTTGAATTACCATTTGAACTTGGCAGTTGTTGTTGTTGTTGTTGTTGTTGTTCTTCAGGGAATGGTATTATTGGTTTATGGGTTGTGATTGATTTTGTGAATTTATAATTAGCATTTGTATCAATAGCAATTACATTTAATACATTAACATTGGTTGAAATCAATAATTTTGATGTGGTTTGAGATTTTAATTCACCTAAATAATTCTGAGGATTATATTCAAGTATGTTATGAATAAGATGAGAATTATTATTATTACCACCATTAGTAGTATTAGTAGATGATTTTTGATTTTCTATAACATTTAATAAACTTTGGAATTCATTATATGGATCTATTATATTATTTGAGTTATTGGTTGAATTACCACTTGAAGTAATTTTTAATAGTCGATTAAAATTGGTAGCTAATTTATTAAAGGGATTTTTTGAAGTTAAATCTTGATTACTATTACTATTATTATTATTTGAATAACTTAATTTCATTGAATCTGAATTGAGTAAATTAAGATCAAGAATATTAGTTAAACAACCAGGATTTAAATTAATTATTTTAAATGGATCATGAGATAAAGGATTTACATTAGCACCAATATGAATATTGCCTTCCATTTGTTTATCTTTACTTTTAACCACTTTTTTGAAGAGATTGGTGATATGATAAGGTAATGATACATAAGTAGTTGATTCATTTGAATTGATTGATACTGGAGGTCTTGCAATGTTCAAATAAGTATCTTCTAATCTTGCTGTTGTATTTGAGGCGTTTAAGGGCCAATTAATCGAAAGTTCACCATTATTGAAATGTTCATCTTTAAGACTGAAATGAGTATTACTTTCCAATTGAGGTGAGATCCCAGGACATATTGTAATTAGAAATGGATTAATCAACGGTAATTGATCAGTAGGTATAAATGTCAGAGTCATAATTCGTGGGAAAGAAGAAAGGGGAAGATTCGGACTCTGAATGAATGAATTGAGATGAAAGAGATTTATGACTTAAAGAGAGGGGGAATGAAGTAAGGAACTGGACAGTATGGCAACCGAGAATGGTATTGAAGTTCCTGATATTCCTGATATATGATATGTAATAGATTCAGATGATGATTAGATGAATTGGATTGGTTGAATGAAGGTTGGCAGTCATAATTTAATTTTTTGAAATTTTATGTTTGTTACCTTATTTCGTTCCCTCCCTCCCTCCACTCCCTCCACTTTATCAATTTTTGTTTTTGTCTGTCTGATTTACTTTTTTGTCTGAGTCTCAGCCAATAACAAATGTCTGCAGAGTAAGTGCAAATAGCATTTTACACTTTAAGTCTTTGATTCTCCTTATTACATTTTCTTTTATTTACTTAGACCAATATCAATATTTTCAATATTAGAACTTTCAATTAAAAGTTGATGGTATATAATCGATCGTTAAATCCCGCTTAATAGGTGGTGATGATCAGGTTATATACAGGTTCCGTAGATTAAACTAAAATTCTAAATTACATACATTATTATTGTGTTCATTGTACTGCATACAATGCACCCTCCTCCTCCCCCAGATTAAGTAAGTAATCCGTTGGGGGTAAATCATGGGTAGGATATAATATATAATAGAATATAGTTTTTCTAGTTTAATATGGTATAATCAGTTAAAAGCTTGATGAAAACAAAATCTGAATATAGTAAAAGTTTATTCTAAAATTGTAACTATATATATGTCAATATATGTAAATATATATATATATAGTGTAGAAGACTAACAAAAAGGCTTTTTGGTTGCAATTACACGACTTATTATCCCAGCCCTGCACATAACTCATACATAGTTAAGTAAAGTAAGTGTGCCTTTTCCTTTCCTTTCCTCACTCACTTAATTCACTCTGTCTCTTTTTTTTTTGCACATCATGTTTTTAAATTTTTACAATTTCTTTTCTTAATATTTATCATCTTATTCATCTTCAATGTTTGAACCATTATTTCCAATAATTTGATTAATTCAAATCAATATCAACTATACTATTCAACAATGACATCCTATTTCATATAGCGCTGTTTGTACGGTTTCCAATCATAATCCAATTATACCATCTTCCCGCCACTCCAAACTTTTAACTACCTCAATATAGTCCTTAGCCACAAGCAAGCCATGTTTCATTATAAATAATGGCAGTAATTCAAGCCAGATCATTGTCAATTTATGAGATATATACTCCAGATGTAACTATTTACATTAATATTTACAAACGCCCCATCAATTAGTGACGTTTATCTCCATTTTGAATCTGTCGATGAATACTTATTACTAATAGTGAGATTTTGGATAATAGTGTGGTGTTATTCCAAATTTCAATCCATATGTTATAATTTAAATCATAGAATCAAACATTCATCTACTTTTCATTCATTTTTAAAACAAGTATGTTCGATATCTATTACACCCCTCCAGTTCAAATTCAGACCTCAATTAATTAATTTTAGCTATTTTTGTTTTAATTAGGCGATTTTGGTTCTTTTGTTCTGCGGTAAGGATGCTGGTCACACGAGTTTAATCATGTGATTATTATTTCCCCATTTAGGAACATTCACCCTCTAATTTTTTTATTTTTATTGGTCAACAACAAAAAAAAAAAATTAATTTGTCCTCCCTTGTCGCCCCCTACTTTTATTCTAATTTAATTTGTCATTCTAAAGTTTACAGGTTATTATACCTAGTAATCAATCAAAAAACGGGGTTTAATACATTTGGACCATCTCCCTATATCACCTACACTCCACCAATAAAGGTCCATTGATTAATTTCCTGGTGATTTCCCCTGTATTTTGTGGTTTAAATAAAAACAAATTTTAAGAAAGTGTTTATAGTTGTCGGGGTCAGTCGTCGAAACAACGAGAAAATTTTCTCTCTACCAAAAAAATTTGGAAACATCCAAACATTGCCTCCAAACTGCAATAATTAACGGTCCATTTTTGTTTAGGTTACTTAATTTTTTTTTTCATATATCAATAATACTGGAATATCCCTTAATTTTAATCACCATTTTAATACCTTTATATTACGTGAATCAATCAAACAATTGGTATCATTGGATAGAGAATCAACCTTTATTTGCATTACTTGTTAAAAAATTCCTGTTTGAATACCCCTCGTATTCGAGGTTTTTATTGTGAATTATGGCAATACTACCGGCAAAAAACTCTGGTAAAGCAAAACAACATGCTTCTGGAGCAAGGTTTCGTCAACGGAAAATTTCTGTTAAACAACCTTTAACTATTCATAAACAAAAGGATTTACCGGCCTATGATCTCAATAATAATGAATTGGAACCAAGTCAAGTTAATCATTTAAGTGCAACTGGTAATACTCAACAACGAGATTTACATTCCATTGAAACTGGAGTTGATAAAAATGAAGAAGATGAAGTTCATTTACAACAAGTTATAAATGCAGCTCAACGAGCTTTATTAGGTTCAAAACTGGATGAAAATCCTAAAAATAAAAAGGAATCATCATCAAATAATAATAATAATGATAAAGCCAATACCAATAATAATGATTCAGGAATTTCCTCATCTGTATATATTCCAACTCCTGATGCATCTAAATTATGGCCTGAGGCTCATAAATATTATAATGATCAATCATTTCAAGAACCAGATTCTTATATAAAATTCAGTGCAACTGTGGAAGATACCATTGGGGTTGAATATAATATGGATGAAGAAGATGAAGAATTTCTTACTAATATATTAGATAAAGAATATCCAAAACCTCCTACCACTAATAAGAAATCAAAAAATAATGAAGAAAATTTACGAAAATGTTCTGAATTAGAATTTGAAATAATTTGTGATAAATTAGAAAAAACAATTGAAGAACGTCAACCATTTCTTTCTATGGATCCAACCAATATTTTATCTTATGAAGAATTATCATCATATATAATAGATGAATATAACAATTCTACCAAATTAAATAATCCTTATGTTCAATCAGCAGGAGGTAATATCAAATATATATCAACAACCGTTTTAAAAGAACGATTGTCCAAAGAAATCAATTATGATCCATATGTTACTATATTTGATAAAGATAGTAATCCAAATTCAAAATCAACTACATCTGTTCGTTCCATATCAAAATTATTTGAATTATTTGGTCAACCAATTTATGATCATTGGAAAGCTCGAAAAATTGAAAGAAAAGGTAAATCAATTCATCCAGTATTAAAGTTTGAAGATCCAAGTGCCAATGAAAAAGATAATGATAATGATCCTTACATTTGTTTCAGACGTCGTGAATTTAGACAAGCTCGTAAAACAAGAAGAGCTGATACTCTAGGAGCTGAAAGAATAAGATTATTACAAAAATCATTACATCAAGCTAGAAGTTTGATACTTGGAATTGCTCAACGTGAAATTTTAAAATATCAAAACTTTGAAATTGAAAATACAATTTTCAAATTACGTAGTGAAGGTAAGACTTTGAAACGTATTGTTGGTGTTAGAGGTGATGATTACTTGTATTATCCACATAAGAGAAAGAAGGTTATTAAACCAAAGGAAGAAGATGAAGAAACTAAAGAAGCTAAGGCTAAGAAACTTGATAGAAAGAAAGTTGATTCTCGTGAATCTTCAGCTGCTGCCATGCCAGGTACTGCTACCATTGGAACCAATGCAGTTGTCAAAGACAAGAATGGTCATGTTCATCAACAAACCCAACAAGAGGCTTCTGCATCATCATCATCAACTCAACCATATGTTAAATTACCTCCATCTAAGATTCCTGATATGGAACTTGTTACAGTGTCATTAGTATTACGTGAAAAGAATGAAACCATCAAACGTGCTGTATTGGAAAAATTACGCAAGAGAAAAGAGCAAGACAAGGGTTATGTCAATTTCACTGATGATCCTCAAGAACCTTCATTTAATATATCAACTAATCCTAATGTTAAAGAATTGAGTCATATCCCATATTCATCAATTGCTGCCGCTAACTTACATCAAATTAATACTTCTAATTACATAAGTGAGAATTTAAAGAAGTTAATAGAAGAAGGTAAAAAACCATTACCAGGTATTAAAACTTTCAGAGGTTCAAACGGTGAATTGATTCCATCAAAAGCTTTCCCTCATATTCTGTCTTTATTGCAAGATAAGATCAATAAAAGTAAATTGAATTCAATAAGTTATATTGCTCAATTATTAAATAACATCGATGCTAATAATTTTAGTGCTTATAATAGTGGATATACTCATCAATTCAAGAAACAAAATCCTCATGAATTTGAGGAAGAGGCTAAATTTTCAGAACCAATTTTCAGATTAAGGAAGAGAGTTAATAGAGTTGGACAAACTTTTGTTGATAGACGAGGTTTGATTCAGCGTCCTGATGATGAAATTGATGAATTCTTGAAATTTAGTGATGATGAGGAGGAAAATATTGAAAATGAAACTTCTAAAAAGACTGATGATACTGCTAAGGTTTTAAATGTTTATGATAATAAAATTGATGCCATAACAAGATTAGATTCTAATTGGAAATTTGATAGTGATTTGTCTGAAGTTCAAAGAGGTGTTCTTGATCCTTTCAGTATGGATCCTTCAAAACTTAATTCTATTAGTGATGATACTCAATCGATTAGATTTGGTTCCATGTTGTTATCAAAGTCGTATGGTTTGTTAAGAGAATCAGTTCAACAAAGACAGCAAGCTTATATCCAGCAAGCTAAGATGAGAGCATTACAACAACAACAACTTGCCACCAGACTCCAACAACAACAACAACAACAACAATTGCAACAACAGCAACAGATGCAACAACTCCAACAACAGCAGCAACAACAACAACAGTTTCAAAATCAACAACAACAATTAGTTCAACAAGGTCTTGGTGCTAATGCAAAGAATCAAGTACCAGGATCGAATATTAATAGAAACTTGGCTACCCCTGGGTCAGTTAAAAAGAGAACATTGTCTCAAACTCCAAGAAGTAATGGTGATGTAGGTAATTCTCAAAAATCACTGATATCAGGTTCTCCTAAAGCTCCTCAAAAGGTGTTGAATTCACCTCAATAAAAATTCTAACTTACTCATTTTGTATATTATTTTATTTATAATTGTGTTTAGTTTTTAAAAGAAGCTCTAGATGAGTTTGATTTTAAAAATTATTTACAATTGAAAGTCAGTCATTTGTCTCTCATAGGAACTTTTTCTTTGGTATCCATCTCCTCCTTACATGTTTTGTTTATTTGCAAAACTCATTTCATGAATCCTCTTAATTTTTTTCAGTCATATGTATTATAGCTACAATAATAATAAACTTTATATTAAAATACTTAATCGTAGTTAACTTTTGCAACTTTTGATTTGCATTTCGGAAGCCATTGGACTCTTTTGTGATTGTGGCTTAAACCGAGTTCTCCGCATATAAAGAAGGTACAGAAAAATACAATTTTTCAAAATTATAATTACAAATCATAAACTGTTCATATACAATTTACATCACATTATGTCAATTGCAAAGAATATCATCGTCTTTGGTGCTCATGGTAAGATTGGTCAACACTTTGTTACCTTAGCTTCTAAGGCTCATAAATTATCAACTGTGGTTAGAAATCAAGATCAAGCCAATCAACTTTCCAAGATTGCTTCAAATGCCAGTAATGTTAAATCGTTAGAATTAACCATTGATGGCGCTTCAGTGGAAGATATTTCCCAAGCAATCAAAGGTCATGATGTTGTTGTGTTCACTGCTGGGTCTGCTGGAAAGAACTTATTACAAGTTGATTTAGATGGAGCTGTAAAGACATTTGAAGCCACTGTTTTGGCTAAAGTGAGAAGATTCATTATCATTAGTGCAATTCATGCTGATAATAGAGAAGTGTTTAGTCAAAGTCAAATCAGAAATTATTACATTGCCAAGCATTATGCCGATAGAATCCTTATTGATGAATTTAAGGAATCATTAGACTTTACTATCTTAAAACCAACTCATTTGAGTGATGAAGAACCTACTGGGAAAATTCATATCATTAGAGATGTAAAAGAACGAAATGGGGTTGTGGCAAGAGCAGATGTCGCTAAGGTTATCTTAGATATTCTTGATTTGAAGAATACATTCGGTAAAAGTTATAACTTCTCTAATGGAGAATCTTCAATATCTGATTCAAAGACTTACGATTAAACTAGGATCTAAATAACGAATATTCTTTTTTATTTTATTAAACCAACAAAAATTTTTTATAAAACTCTATAAATCCTAGTATACAAATTATGACTGAATATATCTATATATAAGTTGATCAACTTCTTAGAAGAGCTTAGAAGAGACCTTCGATTTCACCATCATCGTTAACTTCGACGTTCATGAAACCAGCATGTGTAGGTAAACCTGGAATGGTCATGATTTCAGCAGCAAGAGCATATAAGTAACCAGCACCGGCAGAACATCTCACTTCTCTAATTGGAACTGTGAATCCAGTTGGAACACCTTTCAAACTTGGGTCGTGAGATAATGAATATTGAGTCTTGGCGATACAAATTGGTAATTTGTCATATCCTTGTCTGGTATAAGTTTCAATTTGTTGTTTTGCTAACGGAGATAATTCAATATCAGCAGCACCATACATTTGTTGAGCAATAGTTAAAATCTTATCTTCAACTGATGAATTGACATCGTATAAGAATTTCAATGGTTGAGAAGCTTCTTCAGTTTTAACAGCCTTTACGACACTCTTTGCTAATTCGAAAGCACCAGCACCACCTTGAGCCCAATGATTTGATGGAACAGCAAAATTAGCTCCTGCTTTGATGGCTTCTTCTTGAATTAATTTTAATTCAGCGTCAGTATCGGTTTCAAATTGATTAATAGCAACAACAACAGGTACATTATATTGTTTGATGTTACTAATTTGTTTTCTCAAATTGGCACAACCCTTAGATAAGAATTCCAAGTTTTCAGTAACATATTCCTTTGGTAAAGCTTGACCAGGTTTAACATCTGGAGCACCACCGTGTAATTTCAAAGCTCTAGAAGTAGCAACTAAGACAACAGTATCAGGCTTGAAACCGGAATTTCTACATTTGATATTAAAGAATCTTTCACCACCCATAGTAAAATCAAAACCAGCTTCAGTGACAACAAAACCTTTCTTACCACTGTTAATTGGATTTGATGGAGAGGTTAATTTCAAAGCAATTTTATCAGCAATGACAGATGAAGCACCGATAGAAATATTAGCGAATGGACCAGCATGGACGAAAACTGGAGTACCTTCTAAAGTTTGCATCAAGTTTGGTTTTATAGCATCCTTTAATAAGGCTGTTATAGCACCAGCACATCCAATATCTTCAGCAGTAATAGCAACACCAGTTTCCCTTTGAGTACCAACAACAACTTTACCAACTCTTTGTCTTAAATCCTTTAATGAAGTAGATAAAGCTAAAATGGCCATTAACTCAGAAGCAACCGTGATATCCATACCTGATTTACGTGGAGGAAATTTACTGGCTTCATTTTTACCTTCACCAACAGTTATTTCACGAACAAATCTATCATTACAATCAACAACTCTCTTGATAGTAATTGAGTTTGGATCGATATCTAATTTAGCAAATTGAACAACTTCTTCTTCGGTTAATTCATCTGGGTTTGATTTATTGATACCAAGCTTTTCCAATCTCTTGGCCATAGATGGAGTGAAACTTCTGACACCCTTTTTAGCTGGTACTAATCTCTTATAAAATCCACTAATGGATTTAGAAGTTGACTCATGGAACATTCTAGTATCAACAGCAGCACATAATAAATTTTGAGCTGCAGAAATAGCATGAATATCACCAGTTAAATGCATATTGAATTCATCCATAGGAATAACTTGAGAGTAACCACCACCAGCAGCACCACCCTTAACACCAAAAGTTGGACCCATTGAAGGTTGTCTAACATTAGCAATGGCATTATAACCTAAATGAGCACCTAAAGCTTGGGTTAATCCCATAGTAGTAGTGGATTTACCTTCACCTAATGGGGTTGGAGTAATACCAGCAACTAAAACGTAATGACCATTATCTTCAGTTGAACCTTCAACTTGTTCATCTAATCTTTCAATGATAGCTTTGGTATCAACTTTAGCTTTGAAATGACCATATGGTTCCAATTCTCTTTCTAATAAACCTAATTCTTGGGCAATTCTAGTTATCTTTTTTGGTTTTTGAGCTCTTGAAATAGCGATATCAGAAGGAACTGGAGTTATCAAATCCAAAGGTAATGGTTTGAAAGCATGTTCATGAGCCTTTTTGGCTTGTAAAATAGCAGCATCATAAACATTTGAACAAAGCATGGCTACAGTCATTGGACCAACTCCACCTGGGACTGGGGTGACAAATCCAGCAACTTTGGAAACAGGTTCATAATCGACATCACCGACTAATTTCTTACCATTCTTAGCTTCTGGATCATCTTTATAATTGATACCAACATCAATCACAATAGCACCTTCTTTAATCCAATCAGCTTTGACATATTCTGGAATTCCAACAGCAGCAACCACAATATCGGCATTCTTGACTACTTCAGGTAAGTTGCTAGTATGACGATGACACATAGTAACAGTACAATCTTCATTTTTTAACATAGCAGAAACTGGAGTACCAACAATATCAGATCTACCGATAACAACTGCATTCTTACCACGTAACTTTACACCAGTAGTTTTAATTAATTCTATAACACCATTTGGAGTACATGGTTTAAAGATTGGATTTCCCCCTCTTTTAGATAATTCACCAACATTATAACGATCAAATCCATCAACATCCTTTTCGGTGGTAACGGAATTGGTGATTAAGGTTTCATCAATATGCTTTGGTAATGGTAATTGGATTAATAACCCATTAACTTTTGGATCCTTATTTAATCTCTCTATTTCTTCTAATAATGCTTCTTGAGAGATGTCATCATCAAATTTTATTAATTTTGATTGAATATTGGATGATTGAGCAGCTTTTAATTTGGATCTAACATATGCTGATGAATCTGGTCTTCCTCCAACTTGAATAATAGTTAAATTTGGTTTGAACTTCAAGTTTTCAAAGTTGATTTGATTGAGATGAGCAAACTCCTCGTAATGAGCTTGATTATATTGTATGACTCTTTCGGCCACTTGGCTTCTAATAGTTTTGGCCAACTTGGTACCAGACACAACCACAGCATCAAGAGAGTATGGAGATGAATGGAAATATCTTTGATAATGTGTAGGTTTAGACCTCAATAAGAGTCTTGAAGTACTGGACTTTGACAACATGTTGCTAAAGGATGCAAAAAAAAATACGTATATCTTGTACGTAGAGATCTCGAAAAATGCCACTAAACTTGGACGTTAAGACAAAGTAACAACCTCTTTATCTGAGCTAATGGATGCTTCTTTCCTATTAGAGCTGACTCAAAGGATAAACGAACTTGAAGATATATATATATAAAAATATATTTCATGAAAATTATAAATTAGAAAACAACAAAACAAGAAACTTTAAAAATAAAATTTAATTAAAAAAAAAAAAAAAAAAAAAAAAGAAATTAGTGGTTATATGCAGGCAATACCACGTAGTTAAACTAATTGAAAATTGGATGGTGAAAATTTTTCACAGGTGAGTCATCTTGCCTGTAGCGGTATCCTATTGGTCAGAGTGAGCCAGCTCCAACCAATATATGGTCAAACGATATTATCATTAACCAATATAGTAGATGAAGGTAGATAGATATTGAAATAAAGCTATAGTTTTTGAATTGATAAGAAGATAAATATCATCAATGGATAGAAATAGAAATAAGGTACGAACTAAACTCTGACTCCGATTGACTCTTTTGAAGTTTGTGTGTATACAGGCCAGAGTCAGATCGAACAGAGTCAATTCCAGAAACGCGTATAACCTTTTTATTTACTCTTTTGCACATGAAAAATTATAATTACATAACTATGAATACTAATTTATTATTTAATTCATTTCATCTAAGATCAGCAGCAGTTCAGAGCCTTCTGTACGTAATTGATGTAACATTGAATGAGCTCTAAGCATTATTTGATCCGTTTTGGAATCACTATTTGTTTGGTCCGGTATTCTTCTTCTTTCTGTTAACCTTCTCTTTAATGAATTAACACTTTCATATTCAATACTAGCAGTAGTTGGTAATGGTAAAGATCCACTTTCAGATATATTGGTATCATGGGGCATTAATATGTCATCATAAGACACTGATGAATAAAATGATAATGCTTTACTTCTTCTATCTCTTGATTTTCGATCTCTCGAACTGGAAGATACTATTGACAGAGCGCTTGATTTCAACCTTTCTAATAAATTATCAATAACAGCACTGGATCCATCCTTGGCATTTAAATCATCAGTCTCTTCTTCTCTATCACTATTAATCACAACATTATCTTCTGTTGTTGAATCTTCACTGTCATCCAAATTATTTTGCTCTGTCTTCTCTTGATTCTTTTTAATCTTCTTTATCGAATCTTCTATTGCCTTTTTCTTAGCTTCATATGCTCTTTCTTCTTCTTCTCTTTGAATATTTTCTATATGAGCTTTCTTAAATTCGTTCACAAATACCACAATCTTATTAAAAAATCCTCCAACTGCAGCTGAATCTTCTGTATTTTCTCCAAAAAATTCCATCAATGAATAATAAACCTTCATGGTTCTCTTAAGGTGAGCTTGTAACAAAGCATTCTTATGAGCTGCTTTCTCTAATAATGGGTCAACCACACTAAGAACATTTTCCTTAGGATGCATTTTAGATTTATCACTCAAGTTACCCTTGGCTATTGACGTTCTGGCATTAGTAATCAGTTTCCCAAACTCTTCACAGTCTTCTCGAAGTTGTTCAACAGAGATATTTTGTATTACCGATAAACAACTAAGCTCATCAACGAATGCACCATATTCAGGAAACGAATTCCTAACAATCTTTTCAATATAATCGAGGAAATTCATAGAATTCTTATCATCTTTCATGAATTTCAATCTCTGTAATGTATCCAATTTAAACCCTAACGCTTGCTTTGAAGTATCATTCATAAAATTACCAACTGATCTTATAATACCTAAAACATCTCTTAAACTATCAGATTCTTTCAAATGTGTATTTGCTTCATCCACTAATTGAAGCTTCTTAGTCAAATCTATGTAGTCTTTCTCATATGTTTGACTTAATAACAAAGCACGAGATCTAGACTTCCAATAACTTCTCAAACTGAAACATAATTCTAAAAAGATTCTATCCGCTCTCTCAAGCTCTTTTGGATCTTTGGTAGCAGTGATTTTATTTTGTACCCATGAAGTTGAATATAACTTGAAGTTTCTTAGCATTGAATCTGTGATATCAGTTAAAGCATCACTATTAAAAAATTCTAAAACACTGACATTTTGTAATATTTCTTCATCACAACGTAATACTTTGTCTATAAATTCATCAACAGATAAATTTGAAAACATATGAAGATTGATACCAAAATGTTGTGCTAAATCTCTAGGTAAATGAGTTATCTTCTTGGGTCTTTCTTCTAATTCATCAGAACCAACATTTTCAGTTCTCTTTAATTTAATATTATTATTCTTAGATACAAAAGCTTTCTCAACCTCTTCAAGTACCCCCCTTCTCTAGTAACATATCTGATACTTTGACAACTTCGATATCCTTCCAAAATGTCAGATCAATATCATTAAGCTTGTCCCAATGCATTTGTTTCAATTTTGCTTTAGGTCTCACACCTCGTGGAACCATTTTGTTCACAGTATTCTGATTTGTTGGATTGGCAGTTTTAATTGAAGGAATTGAGATGTTTGTCGTTAAGACATCTAATGGCTTTCTCTCATTTTTCAGTTCAGGAAAGAGTGTAGTTGGTGGTGGAGGTGGAGGTGGAGGTGGTGGGGGTGCAAGAGGAATTGCACCTTTTAGAATAATGTTCTTGTCATTCTCGTTCATAAACTGAGGAAGCGGTGGTGGTGGTGGTGGTATTGCGGTAGCGCCCTTTAAGTTGCTGCTACTAGCATTATTCATGAATCCTGGTAATGGTGGAGGTGGTGGGGGTGGAGATGATGGTGGGATACTGTTGTTATTCATAAATGATGGAAGCGGCGGTGGAGGAGGTGGTGGGATTGTACCATTAGATATTTTGGGACTAGCCATAAATTCTGGTAGCGGTGGTGGTGGTGGAGGTGGTTGTATTACTTGCAGAGACGATGAAAGTCCAGATTTATTTTCACCTTCATGCTCGGTGCTTAAGAACAAGGGAAGTGGCGGTGGTGGAGGGGGTGGAATTGATGCTGGACTGAGATTGAAACTTTGAGGAAGGGACAGAATCAACGTGCTTGGCGGAATATCTTGAAGAGGTTGCAGGCTGTCAAAGTCTTGATTATAGTTTCTCAACTCTGGTTTTGTTGAAGCAGATACAGAATATTTGTTTCCTAATTGTGGAAATAATTCTTTGCCAGATTTGCTAATGAAATCAGACGATGACGAAGACACTCTTCTGGGGAATGGTTTTGAAAAACGACCGTCATTTTCAAATTGACCGCTTTCTCTAAGTTGCTTCGTAATTGTGGCAATGGAACGAACTGAATTAAAATCAAATTCATCCATCGGATCGTCTTCTGATGATTCAACTGTAGGACTCATTGAAGGGAAGTTCTCAATATCTAATTGACCATGACGTCCGTAACCTGACTTCTTATTCAATTCCGCTTCCAAAAGTGCTGAACGCTTCTTCAATAATGATATTAACTTCTGCTGACTTATGATATTTTTCTCACTAGCCTGTAATTTAAGCTGCAACTTATCAAAAGATTCAATATCAACTTCCGATTCACCTCTATGTTTTGCTTCCTTTAAATTTTTCAAGGCTTTGGTAAGCTCATGGTTTTCTAATATGGCCCTGTTAGCAGTGTCTTCCGTTGTTAGACGATCCATTAATCTTTGGATTGAAAAGTTTAAGACTGAACTAGAATCCGTATAAACAATGGATGTTTCATTTATAAGGTGCTGTAAGACTGATTCAAGTAATTGCAAAAGATGTTTGGCTTCAATTGGACTTCGATCATGTATCATCAACAAATTTATCATTATTCTTCTAATTAATTCATGATCAACACCTTCTGCACCAGCAGGTTCGTATAAATTGTTGAGCCTATCAAGAAGGGTCGTTAAATTCATAGAACTATAGTCACCAATGACATTTCCATATAATTGTTCTCCAATATCTACTAACGAAGTGTAATCTAGTTCAGCATATTCTTCATATTTTTCAATCTCTTCGCTGATTCCAGTGCTGTTTAGAACTCTTAATTTGTCAAAAAGCTTCAATAACCTAGAATCATTAAAATCTTTACGAAGCGATATTCGTGATGAGATGTCCTTGGTACTTGATATTATGGCATTGATCAAAAACAAACTTGTCAACAAATAATAATTGAAAGATTCTTGGTTGCCTATCCTCTCAACTCTAGAATCTACAAATGAATTCAAGGTATTTACCCAGGGTTCAAACCTTGAATAGTCACCAAGAAGGTCCTGAAGTTGTACCATTGAGTCTAAAATTGTCTCCAAAACAACACCATTCTCAAAATATGTCAAAAAAATGAAGACCTCCGTGACAATCAATCTTGTAGCCATCTTAGGCGAAATTAATGAATTAATCATTGACCTAATTACATGGTTTTTGTTCCGTATCATCAGCGAATATAAATTGTTGCTAGATGGAGCTCTCTCATTTTCGACTTGCTCCGCATTAAAGATATTCTTAAAACACTTTACAATGATATACTCAATATCAAATTCTTCATTGGACTTGATACTCTTCCTATTAATTCGAGAAAGAACAACAGAGAGAGCTGCTTCTCCTTGTGCCTTATGGAAACAATTTACCCATGTTAAGTCTTCTTTTATGATTGGCCTGTTTTCATTTAGTTTCTTTTCTAACTTTTTATACTCCTTTAATGTTAATTTTCCCGATATTATACGCATCACGTACCATTCAGGTGAACCATCTTTAACTTTTGATCTTTTAAAATACCCTTTTTCATTAGAATCACTAGACTTCCTTGTATTCAGCACTTCCACAAACTCATCATTCAATGATGTTTTTCTTGAACTTCCAGATTTCATATTCACATCTTTAGAATCATCAGAGTTATAAGAAACATATCTTGTCATTGCTCCTAAATCAAAATTGGAATTATTTTCATTTTCTCTCAATAAAAGCTCCCATTTCCTTTTGGTGGACAGTTCCCTCAAAGTTTTCATAGCCTTATCAGAGAAGGCTCTATTGGCCAACAATCTTTCGAATAACTGATCTACTACGCTGGCTTTCGGTATTTGGTTCATATGAGAAGCTACTGCTGCGAATGACTGTAGCGAATTACCATATTGGTTGACTTGTTCAGGTAATTGTGAAACATGAGGAGGTGCCTCTTTGTGAGCAGACAGCTTTCTTTGATCTTTATCGTCATTAATTTCATTATGATTCTCTTGCAATAGAAGCGAGCTTTCAGAACGTGCTGCTTTAGAACTTTTAAGTATTATTTTGTTCAAATCAGGAGGTGGTGTCAAATCATCCATTGACAAAGCATGACCTACTAGATTCAATCCAATTTTTGATAGTTGGGGATCTATATTCCCATGGCTTAATGACTTATTCTTTGGATCAAGCGATGAAAAACTAGCACCACTACTAATAACACTGTTTTCATATAATTCATTTCTGATTGGTTTATGTTCGTTTGATAGTATTGAGCTGGATGAGTCCTGTCGTATTACTTCAAGCTGCCTTTCGTCTTTCTTTGATAGTACTGAAGCATAGCTAATGGCTTGAAATTTGGGAACTGTTTCTTGGTATGAAGCTTGTTTGTTTGCAGTATCTTGTTCAGCGATCAGCGCAAAATTTAATATTGAAGTAGATTTTGAAAGCTTCTTGATACCCTTTGTTATAACCCCTGGGATTAAGAAAGACCTTCCCACATCCCCACTTTGAGAAACCAATTCTGATCTCTGATCTTCAGGGTCCTCCTTCATATGTATCTTACTCATATAATGGAACTAGATCTATTAATGTACAATTCGAATGGTTGATGATATTCTATGCACGGTCTAGGATGCTTTAAATAGGTCCCAATATATCTCTTATCTTGATGAGTTGAACAGGGTTAAGAAGTATAGCTTGTGATGATTGCTTTAGCCTCAATGTATAGAATTCTATTTCTTAGCTGATGTACTTGATGACGTAGATTATTGTGGGCGCGTTTGTTTACGTTTTTGAAAAATTTATACGCAAACACAATTTCTTTAACCAAATAGACCACCATAAACAGGATCAATCAAATATAGGTTACAATTCGTCAGAAATGAAACCTCAGAGTCAGTCTAAGGTTATGCTGTCGAATCAGACTTCTATATCAAGCTTTTTTCGGCCAGTTTCTGGTGACAAAAAGATCATTAATGGAGGTAAACAATCATTTGCAACACCATTATTAACAAGATCAGATTCCATTATTTCAAATGCTACATCAGTAGCTGATGAATTCAATGATGTATCAAATTCAGATACTTCTTTTGATACTTCTACTGAAATCACAAACTTTAGAAATCCGAATTTAGGTAAATCTTTTGGTCATTCGAAATCGTTCAAGAATATACTATCTGATGAAATGCAATTTGGTGGAATTGGTGCTAAGAAGATGAATTTAACCACTCCACGTATTAATTTAAAGCGTAGAAATGAAGATATAATTGATCAAAAGATCAAAAGACATCATAGTTCTTCTAGTATGGATTTAAGTGATGAGCAAATGTCTGTTATTACAGCTGTTGTGGATGAAAAGAAGAACCTATTCTACACAGGAAGTGCTGGGACTGGTAAATCAGTAGTCTTAAGAGAACTTGTTACTGTATTGAAGAGGATATATCAGGATAAGGTGGGTATAACTGCCTCTACTGGAATGGCTGCATGTAATATTCAAGGGCAAACTTTACATAAATTCTTAGGAATAGGTCTTGGTACAGATTCTGCTCAAGTCTTGATAAATAGGATTAAAAAGAATGCTGTGACTCTTAGAAAATGGCAGTCTTTAAGAGTATTGGTTATTGATGAAATATCTATGATTGATGGTAGACTATTTGATAAGTTGGATTCCTTGGGACAAGCTCTCAGAGGAAATACCAAACCTTTTGGAGGTATACAAGTGATATGTACTGGTGACTTTTTTCAATTACCACCAGTTTCATCAGGTTCTATATTCTGTTTCCAAGCAAACAGCTGGAAGAAAGTAATTAACAAGACCATTTTGTTGACAAAGGTTTTTAGACAGAAAGGTGATTCGGAATTGATAGATATGTTAAATTCTTTAAGATATGGAAAACTTGATCAATCAATTGTCTCCAAATTTGCAAAGTTACAAAGACGAGTTCAATATAATGATGGGATTGAACCTACAGAGTTATACCCTACTCGTGCTGAAGTTAAAATGGCAAATAATGCTAGGTTAAACCAGTTAAGGTCCGATCCAGTGATTTTTAAAGCAAAGGATGATCTGAAAGCTGCTGATCGTCCTGATTATAAGAAACAACTTGATAATTTGATGGTTGAAGAAACTTTAGTCCTCAAAGAAGGTGCACAAGTCATGTATTTAAGAAATAAAAATGAAACTATTGTCAATGGTTCAGTAGGAATAGTTTTATTTTTTATGACCAAGAAACTTTGGATAGAAGTGGTCAAAAGATATGGTTTTTATGATTCAGAAATGCTAGATGAATTAAGACTTTTATCTAGAAGAATTGGAAGTGTTGAAAGTTGGAGTGAATCGGAAGCAAGAAGGTATGCTGCTATTACACCAGATAGAAAGTCAAAATTTGATGCTCTTTGTAGAATTGCTGTCTCTGAACTTGCTGGAGATCGTCTTCCAGTAGTAAAGTTCAACTTAGAAGAACCCATCTTAGTTGATAAGGAAGAATTTGCCATCGAACTTGGTAAAAGCTATAATTCTCAAGCTACTGGTCAATTAACTAGAGAGCAATTGCCTTTATTACTTTCATGGGCCATGTCTATTCATAAGGCTCAAGGTCAAACCATAGAAAGGTTGCGTATAGATCTCGGTAAGACGTTTGAGAACGGTCAGGTTTACGTTGCTCTTTCAAGAGCAACATCGAAAGAGTCCTTAGAAGTATATAATTTCCATCCTAGCAAAGTTAGAACTGCCGGTAGTGTTGCTAGCTTCTACGATGAACTAAGTAGAAATCAATCTTAATATAGATTAGATTGAAAAATAAAATTTTGTGTAGATACTTTCTTTTTTCGCAGCGACCAGATTTAAAAAGAATTTTCAGTCTGAAAGCATAATTAACATTTATAATCTCTAGAAACGTCATCATCATGTATCCTGATGCCAATAGTGCAGATGAATCTGTGGGGGATTTGGGATATAATGGATATCCAGTGTACTTGAATTATTTCACGGCATTGCCTGATCCATCTATATTAAGTGACTCATCACTTACAATCTTATTCAAATCATTGTTGAAGAAAGACAGTATTACCAAAGAAAAATCATTGAATGACTTACTACTGTTGTTGGACAATGAAGCATTGACGGATGTATTTCGAGATGAATTGACTATTATGTCGTGGATTCAACTTTATCCGAAGTTAGCTATTGAAAATACGAAGAATATTCGATCTCTTAGTCATCAAGTCCAAGGGAAGTTTTTACTGACTGTTGGTGGAAGAGAATATAGTAAATATTTAAAAAGTTCAATTCCTATATGGTTAAGTGGTATTTTTGATAATGAAAAGCTGGTTTCAAATGCCGCTTTCAAGACTTTGGTGTCTAGTTTTCAAAATGATAACGACAAAGTAACCACAAAGGTCTGGATAATCTTTTTTGATCAAATTCTAAATTTCATTTTTACATCTATTACAATAGAAAATCCTGACAGTTTAAGTGATTCAAGATATACCAATGAATCTGATTCTGATTCTAAATATGAAAGACTTTTGAATGGCGCCTTGCAAATGCTTATAAGAATCATCGAGCATGTCAACGAAGAGCGTCTAATCTTAGAGCCTACAAGCATTGAAAAATTGGAATCAATTCTTGCAAATGATGAATTATGGAACTACTTGGGCACCTCATGCTCTTCTGAGAGATTAAACATTGGATTATTTAAGACTCTCCTAGTCTTGTTGAAGTTTATTTTTGCAGCACCAATTTCCAAGTTTACTGGCTCATTACATGATTCAAAATCATTATACAAATTTATTAGCAAAAAGTTTATAAAGAATGTGAACTTTAAAAATAACAAGACTCTGAATATAGTTTTCTCGTCAGCTATTCTTCAGTTTTGGGATACAATCATTACCTTGACTCAATTTGATGAAGATAAAAATTTCTGGGACTTGGGTGGATCAAAGAGTGGTTCAAGATTTATAGACTATTTGAAATTAGGCCCTTGTAACCTGTCAGAAATATACTATATTTTAATAAGGAAGATCTTAACTGTTATTCCTAGAAATTCAGCAATTGACTTTAGTTCATTGACTGTTTACGAGAAACTAAATCAAATCGTATGTCAACAATTATCAAGCTTAAATAACGCTAAGTTTGTTAAGGAATGCATATTATCCTTAGTATGCCTTTATGATCAATTTTCAGCTTCATTAGATAAGTCATTATTGATACCAGAGTCGAAGAGATTTTTCTACACTTCAATAGATTCTCTTTCAAAGAGATATTTTAGTGACAAGCAAGCCAAGGAGAACTTGGCTCTAGATATTACCAAATTCATGAAGGCTGGAAATAATGTTGAGATATTTCAAGAATTCCAGAACAGTGCAATTGCACAATCGTTGTCTTCAAGTTCTGACTTTAAAATTGGTGAGTTTGTATTTAACAGCTCTTTTGATAGAATTATAGACACTTATTTCAGAATTGTCAAAAACTTTGAAGATGACTCATTTTATGAGAATATGATAAACAATATCATTGATTCATTGCAAAACAATTCCAAAGGTAATGATCAGAAAATCTCGTTACAAGTCTTAGAAAGCTATATGGATATAATAGGGTGTAAGAACTCTAATCTTGTCAATTTCTTCGGCTCTTTAGCCGATTCGAATGATCCCAATTTCGTTGTCAGTAGCTTGAATATCTATTTTAAATATTTAAACAGTGCAACAATTGATGAAACGGAGAAGAAAAGCTCTGTTAATAGAATTTTCAACAGGATCTCGTCGACAGATCACAGTAATTTACTGAATTTCATTTCCACTGTTGCTAAAAATATCAACATTTTCATAGATTTGGGATCATATCCTGAAATTTATGAGTACTTGGTACAGTTGTCAGAACTGGAAGATTTATCAGCTGAAGATTTACAATTATGCTTTTCTTATTCGAGCAATCAGAAGATTTTTAGCAATTTGTTGAGTGTTGCAAGTTTGGACCGTGAACGTGCTTTACGATTTATAACTCTCATTGCAAATAATCCGCCCAATCTCGTCGATAAAGAGTTGGACAGCTTGACATTTGTTGTTAACGTTGCATTTGAAGAGATTCCAAATAAAGACTGTGCTTCTTTCATTAGTAATCTCAAGTCTAGTTTAACTAATTTCAAGAGTATTGTTTGGAATTACATTACTTCTGCTTCCATATCAACAGATTTTTCACACCTAGTAAATTGCTTAGAGGAATCAGAAGTTCCCTTGGAAGAAATTGAAGATGTTGTTCGTGAATCATTGAATAAAGTCTCTAGCACTCTATTATCTATTTCCAATCCTTTGGAACAAAATATTTATTTAGTGAAAGAAGGTTCTGAAGAAGGGTTAAATTCATCTTTATTGGTATTTGGAAAGATCATTTTACCAATGTTAGGCAAATTCAACTCGCCAAGATTACTCGTCTTAGCGGCTCTTGTCGGTGAATATATTGGAGATTACTTATTTTTGGAGAGTTCTAATAACCTCGAAGTAGAAAAGTTACTCGATATCAGAAAACAATTGACTGCTCAATTTTTACTGACATTTCATGATCTTGATGTTGAAAAAATTCTTTCACAATTAAGTCAAAAATCACCTATTTCAGATGATGGTATAGCATCAACTGTAATTGACATCTTATCTAAAAATGTTAATGGTAATGATATCTACGGATTCTATTCAACGAGAGCATTTAAGTCTGTATTTGATTTATATTTTGACAACATCACTTTACTGCAATTTGAATCTATTGGCTTTGATTTTTATTCTTTGATTCGGAAACCTCTTCTATTGGCTTCATTGTTAACTAGTTGCAACAAATTAATTACAAACGATAAATTCAATAGAGTACGTAACTATGTTGCAGCCGAAATTCTTGGAGCTAGAAGTGAAGTTCAAGTGAGAGAGGAAGGATTGAAATGGGTGACGCTATGTACCAACTTCTATCAGGCTAATGAAGACTTTGAGGTTATTCCAGCTCATCGTTTAACTTTGATTATCAACCATATTTCAAAGTGGATGGAATCAGATTATGCGTACGATAGTTGGTTTATAAAGGTGCGTGTTCAGGTTACTAGATTTTTAATTGGCTTAATATTATCGAATCCTAGCTTGCCTGATAGCTTCTGGGAATTAACTTCCTCAATATTAGATGATAATTTGGGACTTGCTGTTACTGAGATATCACATTTAGATTTAAGATATTTCACGATTAAGCTCTATTCAATTTGTGTCAAACAAAGACAATTAGAAAACATAAGCGATTTGAAATCCGAAATCTTAGAGATTTTCCTTGACAACTCTGTTCAGGTTTTCGATGGTAAACAAAGCAATCAACCAGTCCACATGTATAATGATCTTCTTACAAGAGTGTTATCCGGCATAGATTTCCCAATCAAATTGCTTTCAGAAAAAGAAAATGATCTTTATAGAACCTTTTTCGAAACAGAGTTTGTTGATGTTCAGCGAGCATCGATCAATCAATTGAAAAGAATGGTGTTGCAAAATCAACAAGACTTTGTCTTAGAATACCAATTAAACAAGTCTAATTTGGGTCAAGAAGATACAGAAGAAATAAGTTCCATTCTTCCTGCAGGTTTGACGTCACAAATAAGTAATATTTACCACGGTGATATAGACAATCCTATTACTCCTGGATTTACTAGATATGTATGGAGTTGGTACCTTATGTTTTCATACTTTTCAGAAGTCACATATTCGATCAGAAACGAATATGTCAAGCAGCTTGTTGATTTAAATGCCTTTGAGTCACTCTTCGATTTTATTTTCAGTGCTTTAGAGTTAAATGACCTGAAACTTCTTCGTATGTTAACTACTGGTGATATTTCCAAATCTATAAATGCAAGTGAGATTTTAATCAACGATTATTCAGTCAATAGCAATAGTGGCAAATCATTAAACGATGAAATGGCTTTTGCATTAGTGCACTTATATTACTTACTGTTGAAGTATCTGGGATCTCAGGTACAGCTCTGGTATAATGGAATTAGACATCGTCAATTGAAGCAGCTGATTGAAAAATTTACAGTCAAGTACGTATCCCCATTACTAATTTCAAAAATTCTACTTGAAGCTACAGATTCTAAGTCAAAGTTAGAAAGTAAGGATGAAAATTTGACATTGAAGATAAACAATGTTACAAATGAGATTAAATCTATATATATAATTGATGAACAGATTATGGAAATGATTATCAAAATTCCTGCATTGTATCCTCTCGAGAATGTCACGGTGGAGGGTCCAACAAGATTAGGTGTGAAAGAGAATCAATGGAAGGCTTGGTTACTTGCATCACAACGTGTAATCTCTTTGACAAATGGATCTGTTATTGATGCTGTGGAATTATTCAATAAGAACGTTAACTTGCATTTTTCAGGTTTTGAAGATTGTGCAATTTGTTATTCTATTTTACATCAAGATTTGTCGCTTCCTTCCAAAGTTTGTCCTACGTGTTCCAATAAATTCCACGCAGCATGTTTGTATAAATGGTTCAAAAGTTCTAATAGTAGTACTTGTCCTCTATGCAGATCGGCATTTAACTTCAGAACTAGAAATTAGTTATGGTTTACTCTTATTGTTATAGGAATTTTTAAGATCCCTTTCTTTAGGTAAATGATATGTACGAGTAGTCGGCATCGCCCAGGGGGCCTTTGTTGTAGGAAGTGTAGTACGCTTTGTAAGATCTTCGCTTGGTAGTTTTGCATCCTGATTCTCGTTATCAAAATCAATGTTGTTAGATGGTAATTCTATGTTCGTAACTTGATCCTTCCATGAATAAAGCTCTCCAAACCAAAAATGTTGTACCACCGGAAATTTTCCAAGAACCTCTACCTCATACATTCTCAACAATCCCTTCAAAACTTTGGTCCATAAAGACACGGATGAATGGATGTCGTAGATTATAGGCGAATGTTCATTGAATGGGCCTTGTTTAATTTTAAAAATAAATGAAATTGCATTGACATACAAATTCTTTGACTTAAATTCATTCACCACTTGAGATGATAGTACTTGTTGAACCATCGGAGCATTCTTATCTTCTATAAATTGAGATGCACCAAGAATATAGATAAAATGAAAGTGATCATCAAGACCCCATACACCATGAGAACCTGCTGGTTCTAAGTTATATTGAAGTATAAGGCGACGGACTAGATCATAGTAATTTGCAAATAAAACAAGTAAATCACCGCCACTAAGTGTCTGTAAGTCTATAATATCCAATTGAATCAATCCCCCTATAAATGCCACAAAATTTAACTCATGACCCGTCCCAAAATCCAATCTCATTCGTGATCCAAAAGAGTTGGAAATATAATACTTTAAATCAGCAACATAAGGCTTGGTCTTTTCCGTGAACCGAAGATTATGGACGATATCTGTTTCAATGCTTTGGTTCATCTTATCATGCCAAGTACGACATGCCAAATTTCCAAATCGCCTTTCTCCTTGAAATGGGGGTGTATCTACAAGCAACTCTTCTAAGTGTCTCAAAATTGCCAATACACCATTGATATCTGAATTAGAAGTCAACCTTAACAGACTATCATCTGCCAGGAGTTTGGGAATTGATGGTTTTTGATCTTTCACAGTATTCTTTCGCGTCACTAAGGACACATCCAAAACATCACCTTTTATTTCGATCCCTTTCACTTTACTGACAATTACATTCAAAGTATGCAATAACAGGTTATAGGCCAGTGACCTTCTGAAGTTAGCTAAGTCTGACTCAGTGAAGATCTTCTTGGAGGGTTCCATACTTAAGTACTAGATTAACTTAAAGAGTAAATCATAATCACTTACTAAAGATATCATGTATTTTTTAAAGCTTATATGCTAAACACTCTATATACAGGAATTTTATTTTACAATTGCAAAAATGCTAGTCTAATAATACATAATCGTTGATAGCCTTTCTGTCACTTTTAAACTCAGCTTCTGTTATCTCTATGATGGTAGAATCGTCTTCTATTTCCACTAGAGAAAGATTCTCAAAACTTTCTGGCATTGGACTTTTCTTATCAACCTGAATCTGACCATTAGATACGTTAGACTTTTTGGTTGGACTTGAGCTGGTATGCTCAGTTTCTGGTCGCCGTTTAGAACTAGTTGCTGGTAACAGCAAATTTGGTTTGTTTTTGATAATTGTGGATAACAAGAATTGAGTCTTTGGTGGAGATTTATGGTCGGTAAACGGATCATCTTCGGTATCGCTTGCTTTTGGGGAGGGAACTCTAAACGATTTGTCTGAACTACTTGAACTATTTGAAATCTGTGTTAAATTACTCTCGCTACCTTGAAGTTTGGGAACTTTTTGAAAATAAAGATCTATTTTAGATTTTTGCTCCTTTAACTTTTTTGGTGATTTCTTTGCTTTCTTCTCTTGGTTTTCTTTCTCTTTCAAAAGAAACTCTTCAACAGACAGTTTGCTGACGAGTTGAAGTAGTATCTTCAAAAGCCACACCAGGCTCATAGATTTACTGTCACTCTCTACTTCTAAGCTGCTGGAGGAAGAAGATATAAAATCAGATAGCTTGCTCTCGTCGTATTTGACTCTCAATAATTCGCCAAGATCGTCATCAAATTTACCTCTATCTATCATCAACAAGTCATCAAAAATCTTGTACCTTGTGGCTAGTTTGAGAATTAATAATTTAGGATTAGATGTAAATTCAGTTGGAATAAAATACTCTGCCGTATTCAGAATTATGTCCCCCTTTGGCTCGAAGCTCTGGTTGAATACTCGTAAATCGCTTCCCGGAAAAGCTTTGTTCAGTATATTCAGGATACCAATTACCTCAAGCTTGCCTGTCAAAGTACTATTAACTCTCCATAGAGTTCTGTGTTCTCCTTCATAAATATTTATATTTGAAAATGATAAATCATTATCAATTGAATTTAACTCTCCAAAGCCTAATGACTGCGGAATAAACTTGTAAATCCTTTTCTCCACAATTGGCGCAAGATATAACATTGTGTAATATTCATCGATATCAAAATCAGTAGTAAATGTGAGCAATCTTCCAAAGATATACCGTGAAGATTTTCGAATGGTTTCATTTAGTAGAATTAGAAACTGTCTAAGCTTTTCCCGCCTGATATCTGGATCCGCGATTAGACTATATTTTCCAAACTTACCTGATAAGTTATGCTTCACAAATGATTCAAGAAATAACTTCGAGAGGTTCGGCATTGATTCTTCTTCAAGCTTCCTTGCAGCTTTCGAAGGCAGACGAATATTTGATTCTCTAAACTTAGTATCGCATAGAGCCAAATTCAATGCATGGGTGATACCAATTCTTTGTAAACCTTTTGAGTAATCACCTCCGCGTAAACTAGCAATGAGGATAAACCTTTCCCAAGTAAGACCCATTCTCTCTTCAATTTCAGACATTCTTACTGGAGTCACATAATAATCTTTACTATTCGCCACTGGATTCTTTTTAGGTGAAAACAACAAATCTTCCTTCACTTTATTGAAATTACGAAGTACCTTCGTACATCCAAATACGAACGCGTCTGAATCATTAGTTATGATGAAATCAACAATACCAAACATTTGAAGTTGGGCACATTGGGCTTCAGCTTCTCCTGCAGCTTGTAAATAATCAATACGGTTCTTGACAAGTAGCTCTTTTATCAAAGGAACTTCTAGAAATGAACAATCCTCATATTCTTCTGGGGTTGCTGATTCAAATCTCAATAATTCATCTTCATAACTTTGAATTAACTCGTTCGATGTACCATTTCGCAATTTATTGGGTTTAAAGAATCCATCAAAGACCACGATCACAGATAAGTTTAATGAAATCAATTTGAAGATCTTTGCCATAAAGTTTCTTACTATAGATGTTGTCCTATCAAGTTCATGAACGTTGCTATTACTGAACATAAAGTGGGAAGCATCAATAGCTAATCTTGGCGTCCTTCCATATTTCTCCACAAATACTACTGTGAACTTCTCTATTGTCACTCTTTCATCGAATGCGGGACGCAACACATCCCATAATTCATTAATACCCATACAAGGATTGGAACTATTTGTTGACTATATGAAATACATCAAATAGTTAATTAATTAAAGGTCATGTGATTTGAAATTGAATTGAATTTTTTTTTAATGTTGCAGTTTTTTATTTTTTCCATATAAGAGCTTAGATTTAATTTAAGGTTGTTTTGAAAACTATGTTTAATAGTGATTAGTGTGTTAGCGGAACATAGCCAATAAATGAGTCAGCAATCGAGTCTCAGTTCAAATGTTGGCCAACTATTGTGTGTTGGCTTTCAAGGAACGTATGTGACACCGCAGGCGTATCATTTAATTGTTCAGCATCATGTATCTTCAATGATCTTATCAAGGAAGAATGCGGTGTCAGCAAAACAAATGACAAAGTTAATAAGAGACTTGCAATACATTGCTTTCAGTCAAGGTAAATACAAGTATCCTATCATGTTTGCCATTGATGAAGAAGGAGGGATGATGAATTCTCTTTTTGATCCTGAGTTTCTTACCCAATATCCTTGTGCAATGGCATTAGCTGCCACTGGTGATACAGATTTGGTATATGAGATCCTGAAAGCCATAGGTAAAGAATTGAAAAAGATAGGGTTTCTGATAATATTGGGACCTGTGCTTGATGTTGTGACTAAGTTATCCCATCAATTAGTTGGTGTAAGAAGTTTTGGTACTACGATTGAAGATGTTACTAAATATGGTCTTGCTTGTGCTAAGGGTCTTCAAGATGGTGGATTGTTTACCGTGGGGAAACATTTCCCCGGTATTGGTAATGCAACTGTGGATTCATTATTAGAATTGCCCATGATTAGTGATTCATTAGATCAAGTCAAACATTTTGGTAGTTTACCATTTGCAAAATTAATAGAAGAGAAGCGTGTTGATGGAATAAGTGCTGCTGGTTGTGCAGTTCCAACAATCAGTCCAGATGAAACACATGCTTGTTTGTCTCCTGTTGTAATCAATCAATTGCTAAGACAAGATTTGAAATTTGATGGTTTTGTGATTAGTGAATGTTTGGAAATGGACGCTTTATATCATTCCATTGGTTTAGGACAAGGTGTTATTTTGGCTATATCAGCAGGATGTGATCTTGTTATGGTATGTCATGATTTAGCATTACAGAATGAGGCAGTAGATTCATTAGAAAAGGCAATCGCTAATGGTAATCTTGATGAAGAGATTATTATGACAAGTCTCAATAGAATTGAAAAATTACAAAAGAGATTACCAAAGTGGTCAGCATTATTTCCAAGAGGTGAAGCCTCAGCTAAAGAAGATGAAATTAAATTATTTAAATATGAATTCCCTGAAGAATGGGAGAAACATCAAGCCTTGTCTAGAAAGGCATATCAAAAATCAATAACTTTAATTCGTGATTTTGATAGTACATTACCTATATCAAAGTTTTTAAATGTTTCAACAAGAGAGCAATCAGTTGATAATATTTTATTATTAACTCCTTTATTGAATCCAGTCTATCCAAATTTGAATTCATCTAAAAAGGATAAAAATCCTCAACTTTATACTGGAGAAGAAGTTTTCCAAAAATTTGGTGACATATTAGCCAATCATCCAATTTCAAAGACAAAACCATATAATGTATTACATACTACGTATACCGCAAACGGATTAACTGCTTTACATGAATCATTAATTGAAAACTCCAAAGTTGTTATTGTTTTGACTTCAGAAGCTTCTAGAAATATGTACCAAGTTGGTATAGTGAAGTATGTTTCAATATTATGCGGTGCTAATCCCTCCTCATTAAATGCAACTTCGGCTAATTCAACGAATACTGCTCTTTCAGGGTTAACGAAACCATTGATTATAGTTGCAACACTGTCACCATATGATTTCTTTTACAACAAGACTATTGGAAGTGCATATTTATGTTGTTACGATTATACCAACCGAGCTTTAGAGAGTGTAGCCAATGTTCTCATGGGTGATTTTGAAGCTGAAGGATGTATTCCTGGTGAGAAGAAATTCATAACTAAAGCTAAAAAGAGAAAATCTGATGGATCCAAAGTAATACTTTCTAAAAAACAAAGAAATGCAGTACCCAGAAGAAGATGGTTAGTTGATGAATTTGATTTAAATCGAGATTGGACTGGATTTGTTAAGCTTTGGAAAAATAATACTAATGATGGAGATATTATTCCTACCATTGATAATGGTAAGATCGATACTCAAAAAGCAGGATTTTATAAACGATTATATGGATTATTAGGATCAACTGCCAAGACTCAAAAACATTTTGTGGTTAGAAATTCTTCATTAAATATATTATATGGGATTATTTTAACATGGGTTGAAGATTCACATCCATTTGATCGAGATATATCAGAAGAAGCTCCTACCAAGGGTTCTATATTATTTTTATTAGTTGATAAATCAAAAAGACTTCAAAGTATAGGGAAGAATTTACATGCACGAGCCATTAGATATTTAATTAAAGAAAAGAAATGTTCATCATTATCACTTGGAAGTTCATTTCCATTATTAGCATTTCCTGAAACATCCAATTTACAAAGTCAACCTAATAATAATAAAGTTATTTCATTTATGCATAGTGTGGGATGGGATATTAATAGTGATAAATTTCGGAAAAAATATATTATGGTATTAGATGATTTAGAGAAATGGCTGGTACCTAAGAAGATTTTTCGAGAATTAATGATTGTGGGGGTAAGATTTGATATTTGCAGTGATCCTGAAAAATTGATTAAATTAATTGAAAGATCAACTAAAGCTGATCAATCTGATAATAGTAATAATATAAAGAATTTATATGTGGAAGCGGTGAAACATTTGGGTAATACTTCACCTCATGGTACCAAGATTATAATTGCTTTAGAACCTACCAATCAAAGTGTTATTGGAAGTATTGTATTATTTACCAATAAATCTCAACTTTCTAAATTTTTCCCATTTGTTGATGAATGTATAATACCGGAAAATGGTAAGAATAATGATAGTTCAGCCATTGATGATGGGAATGTACCATTAATTGGAGGTATTATTGGACCTGTGATTGATCCCCTGTATTCTAATTTAACTGAGATTTTCAAGTATGGATTAATTTGTAGTGGAATTACATTTTTAAAGTCGAGTTTGAATGATGGAGAGGTTCAAGTTAATCAATGTGTGCTGGTAGATGTTAATGACGATAAGAGTTTGAATGGGATCAAAGAAATTGGATTTCGGGAATGGAAATACTATTATGATTTTTATGATCAAAAAGATGATGCAGAGCATACATTTTTAGATTAAATACATATTCAATGTAGTTTTATATTTTGTAATTTTTGTTTTGTTTTTATGCTTATGTTTATTTTATAAGTTTTATGTATAATATATGAATATTGATGGAATTAAATTGGGTGTAATAGTTGTTGTGATAAGTATATTTTTCATTTTTTTTTGCATTCAAATTGTGCAAACCTTTGAATATGGGGTAAATAAACTTCATCTTTGGCTACAGTTTCGGTTTGGATTTAAATAACGGTTCCGTTACGGATAGTACTAGATAGAGATCAGTTTTAACTACATACATATAATAACCAATACAACCTAGCTTTTCCGAAACAACAATTCGGAATATCCATAAATACTATTTCATTGTTAAACAAATCCCCAAATAATCTTTTCTCACGACGGAACAAAATATTTCTCGGAGTATCATTCCGAGCTCATAGGGACAAAATTTTTTTCATACTACAATTTAAGTGAGACTTAACCACAAATGGGTCTAGTCCAAGAAAAGGGGTTAATTAGTTATAAGGTGGGGAGAGAATATCAAAGGAGCCCTGTTTGATTATCTCTTACGATAGTTATGTTGTATCAGATAATTTTTCACTATAGATAGACACGTTCATTGGTAATGATACTATTACTACTTATAATTGATTTGTGGAGAAATAGTATAAATAGGTTTAGGTTGGAACGGTGTCTTCCTAAGTTAACTAAATAATAATATTAACCAGTTGTAGTAGGGGTTTGTTGTAACATTTTTCATCTTCAAAGAGGGGTAGAACAAAAGTCTAAACCATTGTCTATATGTCTATATGTCTATAATGGGTATAGGGGGATGGAATATCAAACGATGGAAGAATGCTTAACACAAAATTTTATTTCTTTTTAGGTTATTATTACCCATAGACTAAAACAGTAATTAAAATTATTAATATTAACCGCCGATTTTTAGAAAACCAACCAAACCTTGTTCCGATAATGGTGGTGCTATAATAAAGTATAGTAGTGCCATTTAAAAATGAAGAGAGATATAATTATGCTATGACTTTTGGGTCGAGAGAAACTAACCTTAGATGGTTCGGAATGATCAGTCTTTTATCGATTGATTAATTGTCTTAACTTCTAAAGTTTTACTAAGTCGGACATGATGGGATAGTCAAAGTCTAGTCTAGACTTGGCTGGTTCATCATCAGCCGTCCGCCTAAATTAATAAAAACTTGCTAAATGTTAAAGGCTAAATGGTCACACTAGAACTTTTTTTTTTAAGCTTCACTAAAAAAAAAAATAAAAAATTGACATCCTTTTCTCCGATCCTGCTCTCCGGGCGCTGACATAAGCCGTTACATAATACGTAGGTTTTCGGAACCAGCCCTTAACTATGGGGATTTGTTCCGCCCTTTTCCTTACCCCAGACTTTTACAGTTTTTTGCGTGTTACAGTTGCAACAATTAAAAATTTAGGTTCCATTTCACCGGGGAGTTCATTTTACTTATATAAAATTTTATTAACCATATAAATAACTTGAAAATTCCACTTTGTCTTTAAGTTTATATTTGAAATAAATTTTTTCATTCTTTGACTATCATCAAGTTAAATATTGTTAATAATATTAAACATAGCGATATCTAAATCCAATATATATATACCATCATAATAATGGCTCCTCCTACTGCAGTTGAATCATCACTTGATTTCCAAGGTCATCCAACCATTAAATCTACTCAAGATCCTTTAGTTAAACAATTATCTTTAGGTTCTGAAACACTTATTCGTCATAATGCTCCACCTCCAACTTTATATGAAGATGGTTTATTAGAAAAGGGTACTGTTATTTCATCTACTGGTGCTTTAATGGCTTATTCTGGTAAAAAAACTGGTAGATCTCCAAAAGATAAAAGAATTGTTGATGAATCAACTTCAAATCAACATATTTGGTGGGGACCTGTTAATAAACAAGTTGATGAATTAACTTGGAAAATTTCAAGATCAAGAGCTTTAGATTATTTAAGAACTAGAGAAAAATTATTTGTGGTTGATGCTTATGCTGGTTGGGATCCAAGATATAGAATTAAAGTTAGAATTATTTGTGCTAGAGCTTATCATGCTTTATTCATGACTAATATGTTAATTAGACCAACTGAAGAAGAATTAGCTAATTTTGGTGAACCAGATTTCACTATTTATAATGCTGGTCAATTTCCTGCTAATGTTCATACTAAAGGTATGACTTCATCAACTTCAGTGGAAATTAATTTTAAAGATATGGAAATGGTTATTTTAGGTACTGAATATGCTGGTGAAATGAAAAAAGGTATTTTCACGGTTATGTTTTATTTAATGCCAATTAAACATAATGTTTTAACTTTACATTCTTCTGCTAATCAAGGTAGAGAAGATGGTGATGTTACTTTATTCTTTGGTTTATCGGGTACTGGTAAAACCACTTTATCTGCCGATCCAAAGAGAGCTTTAATTGGTGATGATGAACATTGTTGGTCTGATAATGGTGTTTTCAATATTGAAGGTGGTTGTTACGCTAAATGTTTAGATTTATCAGCTGAAAAAGAACCTGAAATTTTTAATTCTATTAAATTCGGTGCTATTTTAGAAAATGTGGTTTATGATCCATTAACTAAAGTTGTTGATTATGAAAACTCTGCTATTACTGAAAATACCAGATGTGCTTATCCAATTGATTTCATTCCATCTGCTAAAATTCCATGTTTAGCTGATGTACATCCAACCAATATTATCTTATTAACTTGTGATGCTTCCGGTGTTTTACCTCCAGTTTCTAAATTAACTAATGCTCAAGTTATGTATCATTTCATTTCAGGTTATACTTCTAAAATGGCTGGTACTGAAGAAGGTGTTACTGAACCAACTCCAGCTTTCTCTGCTTGTTTCGGTCAACCATTTTTAGTTTTACATCCAATGAAATATGCTCAACAATTATCTGATAAAATAAGTCAACATAATGCCAATGCTTGGTTATTAAATACTGGTTGGGTTGGTTCATCTGTTGCCAGAGGTGGTAAGAGATGTTCTCTTAAATACACCAGAGCTATTTTGGATGCTATTCATTCTGGTGAATTAAGTAAAGTGGAATATGAAACTGTTCCAACTTTCAATTTACATGTTCCAAAGACTTGTCCAGGTGTTCCAAGTGAAATCTTAAACCCAACCAAGGCTTGGACTGCTGGTGAAGATTCATTTAATACAGAAATTAAAGGATTAGCTGAAAAATTTGCTGAAAACTTTAAGAAATATTCTGATCAAGCAACTGAAGAAGTTAAAGCTGCCGGTCCAGTTTTTTAAGCACATTCGTTTAATTTTAGGATAGGTTTTTTTCTTGTTTTTTAGTTTTACGCTTTATTTATTTATTTATTTATTTATTTAAACAATAGTCATCTTTCAAATTATTCATAATAATACATATATATCACATTTCATAATTTATAATATATTCACTTTGTTTATAAATGTAGTTGCTATCATAGGTTGGAATGGAACTGGTAGCTCACACAAATTGACTATAAAATAATTTATTTTTGACTGTGATATTTTTTGTTGTACAGATTTTAAACTCCGCCAAGTGCGTCAAAGATGATTCGATGCAGGCTCCGTTAATTTTTATTTATTTTATTTTTTTTTTATTTTTATTTCTGTGAGAATTTCACATGCCAAAAGATTCGCTACCTTTGCCGTCTTCAGTAATAATGAAAGGAAGTGATCTCATCAACAGCAACAGCGTTACAATCTAGAGGTAGCAATAGGGGCTACCACGAGTTAACATGTTTGATTCGCTTAGGTATGCGATGGAATTCTGAAAAGAAGTACGCGCTACCCAATCCCAATCCCAATCCCAATTCCAATTCCTCGTCCTCTTTCACCTCCACCTCTATCTCTTGCTCCTCCACTTTATCGTCCTTCCTCAAAACATGTCACCATTTATCAATTCAATTACCGTACCGATATAAAATATGAGACCTTCTCCGTAGTCTTCTAATCCCCCCTCTCAAAGTCGTACAAGAATTAATTAAGTCCGCCAAGGAGATCTTTGATCAGGAGGCAGGTTTAGCAATTCATGTATATAATTAAAGGTGTTGGGCAAAGTAAAAAAAAACAACATATTATGTAAAAATCTCATATGCTATTTTAATTCACTTCACTTCCCATTAATGGCTAAAATCAAAATCATGCAACCATAGGCTTCAAGCCAACTTTTTATACCATTTTATTTGCTAACAAGAAACTCCGTTATTGTGTTTGGCAGTTATGAGATATTATTTTACTAAACAGTTATTAAAACTTTGAATATGAATATGAAATTGAACCACTATACCCTTCCAACTCCGCCAAAATCACTGTCTTAAAAGTTTAAATCCCGGTTTAAATAGTTTGTAGTACCAACTAATGAAGGAAATAACCAAATTGTTCATTAACTCCATTAAAACTTGTAAAAAAAAATACGAGTTCCTGTATATATCATGGGGGTACCCCACCTTAACAAGTTTCACCTATATAAATAATTGTAAATCACTATAAAAATATACTTTCTCTATAAATTGAAAGTTTATGAATAATTACTAGATTTTTTGTATTACCATCTCCAAAGTATATATACGATATATCACTTGCAATACCAACTTTACCAAAATGTCTAGTATAGTTGAAACTGTTTTACCATATGCTACAAAGTGGTATGTGATCTTACCAGTTTTTATCATTGTTTATAATGTCTATTTAACCATTTACCAAAAGGTAATGATGAAGAAACTCGGAGCTAAAGAATTCACTAATTTAGAAGGTGATGGTTGGTTTGGTTTCCTTTTAGCCAAATGGATTCTTGAAAAGAAACAAGAAGGTAGAATGGTTGATTTTGGTCATGAAAGATATAGTGATATTCATAATACAGATGTTAACACTTTTAAATTTAGAATTCTTGGTATTCCAATCGTTAATACTAGAGACCCGGAAAATATTAAAGCTATTTTAGCTACTCAATTCAATGACTTTGCCTTAGGCTCAAGACATAAACATTTCTTACCCTTATTAGGTGATGGAATCTTTACTTTAGATGGTGAAGGTTGGAAACATTCAAGAGCCATGCTTAGACCTCAATTTTCAAGAGATCAAGTTGCTCATGTTCAAGCTTTAGAACCTCATATTCAAATCCTTGCTAAACATATTAGAAAGAATAAAGGTGAATTATTTGACATTCAAGAATTATTCTTTAGATTAACCGTTGATTCTGCTACAGAATTTTTATTTGGTGAATCTGTTGCATCATTACAAGATGCTTCTATTGGTTATGATGAATCCGACGTTGATTTTGATGGAAAGGCTGGATTTGCTAACGCTTTCAATAAAGCTCAACAATATTTAGCTTCCAGAGCTGTATTACAAGACTTTTACTTTGTTCTTAATCATCAAGATTTCAGAAATTGTAATGCTGCCGTCCATAAATTTGCTGAATATTATGTTCAAAAGGCCCTTAATACAAGTCAAGATGAATTAGATAAGAGATCCAAAGGTGGATATATCTTTTTATACGAATTGGTTAAAGAAACTAGAGATCCAAAAGTCTTAAGAGATCAATTATTAAACATTTTAGTAGCTGGTAGAGATACTACTGCAGGGTTATTATCATTTGCATTTTATGAATTGGCCAGAAATCCTGATGCTTGGCTGAAATTAAAGGCTGAAATCTATGAAAAATTTGGATCAGGTGAAAAAGCTGACGTTGGAGAAATTACCTTTGAATCATTAAAGAAATGTGAATATTTGAAAGCAGTTTTAAATGAAACTTTAAGAATGTATCCATCTGTTCCTCAAAATTACAGAGTTGCTACTAAAGATACCACTTTACCAAGAGGTGGTGGTGAAAAGGGTATGGATCCAGTATATGTTAGAAAAGGACAAACTGTATTATATCTGGTTTACTCAACCCATAGATTACCTGAATATTACGGTAAAGATGCTGACGATTTCAGACCAGAAAGATGGTTTGAACCAGAAACTAGAAAATTAGGTTGGGCTTATTTACCATTCAATGGTGGACCAAGAATTTGTCTTGGTCAACAATTTGCCTTAACAGAAGCCTCATACATCATATCCAGAATTGCTCAATTGTTCCCTAACTTGAGTGGTCCTGCTGATGGTGGTGAATACCCTCCAAAAAAGTCATCTCATTTAACTGCATGTCTTCAAGATCCAGATCTTGTACGTTTGTATTAGGTTATACCCATGAGTTTTATTTATTAATTGTTAATTAAGTTCCATTATTTTTTTATTGTAGTTATCTTTCAAAATTACATTAGTTATTTCAATTCTTCTATTGTCTAATTAAAGACTATTTTAAATATAAGTTTTATTGTCACGACTGAGTTTATTTAATTGTAGTTAAATTATGGTAGCATTATGTTACACAAAATGACCTATAAACAAAAATTTTTTGGTGCTGTAAAAAAATGAAAAAAAAGACCAAAATCAAATAACCATAACAATCAACAACTTTTGACAACCACCAGACAATCATCACAGTCAATTCATAAACTATCATCATGACTGTGTATAATTGGTCGTCAGATGCCTTTGAGGACTGTTATGATTTGATCAAGCTACAAGACGTTGGTTATTACGAAGCCATACAGGCGATCAAAACAGACTTGTTGAATGTATTGGTAACGCCTGCTAAGAATGAAAAATCAAGAAACATCTTAATTGATGAAACTAAACCAATCCAATTCGGTAGTGGGGATGAATTCAAATTGAATAGGCCTTTCATAGAGATTTGTACCGTGTTGGCTACTGAACTTGATCTTGATGAAGTTTGTGTTGCTGAATTAGTATATTTCGCTAATAGTCTTAGTTTTCAACGAGGTACTAATTTGATTGATAGTGCTAAGTTAGCTTACTTCTCAAGACTTAAATATATACTAAACATACTAGGATATTTGATTACCAACCAGGAATTACATTTAATATTTGATCAAGAACAAGAACAAGTAACTTCTCAGCAATATGAAACTTTATTCAACAACATCATTCAAAGTTTTCAAAGGATTTATACCCTTTTAAACACTATTAATGATCTCATAGATAAACAAAAGGTTACTAATGATATCAATAACCTTTCCTTTATAAATTCGATCAATTTCGTTAAAAGTCAATTGTTATTAGATCATGAAGTTTTAGGTCAACTTTTATATTCTTTATTTGATAATTACTTTGATAAATTTACTTCACCACTAGCCATTTTTAAATCATTAATTCAATTTATAAAAGAAAAAATCAATGATAATGATATTTTAATCATCCATTTCATTCCTGGAACTTTGAAATTAATCTCAAACTTATTTATACCATCTTACAATATCAAAGATTCCACCATTGAAGAGTTTTATAAATTTATCATATCAACATTAGAAATTGACTATAACTCAATTGCTGATGCAAATAATGAAATCGACTTATCCAAATCTAAATTAAAAGGTATAGATATGATTACTGATCTAGTATTCCTCACTCTTTTCATTCCTTGGTGTAAGGAACTTGAATCAAGAACTGCCAAATATGACTTTAAAGATGACATTTTAAAATTTATGGAATTATTAATTAATTATGGTGCTTTTGAAACGTTGTTATCTTATACTGCTGATACATCAAATGTGAAATCAGAAAATTTATTCGAAAGAAGTAATACTTATGATTTCAGAGCATTATTACAGAAAGTATTCCCAAGATTAGCTCCTTCAAAGTTTACCTATAACTCATCTCAAGAATTACTTTATACATCGCTTACAAAATCCGGTTACGAAAATATCTCAGTATTATTAGAAACCAACCAATATAAAGTTTCTCCAGAATTTAACGAAACTTTAGTGGCACCATTCTTCCATTTGTTTTTCAGTAACTTCATAACAAATGCAGCAATCATATTAACTTCATTAAGAGATACGGAAGAAGATTTTCTCTTATCCTCGATAAATGGTAAACAAGATGCAAATGATGAACCACCTTCGACAACATCAGCATCATCATCTAACCTGACTAAAAATGATCAAAAGAATGATGGTCTTGACTTAGATGAAATTGCCGCTCGTGGTGATTTAGAAAGATTTTATTTGGCTTTCGCTTATACTTATAACTATAGACCTGAATTATGTAACATGTTTTGGTCTGATGATGTAAGTTCGAATGATGTTAATGGTTTCATTGCCTGGGGGTTAAGTAATAATACATCATCATTAATAACTGCTACATTTTGTTTATTATTAGGTTCTTTAACTTCAGGTGGTAATAACTTATCCTCACAAATATGGGAAACTCTTATCCAGAATAATAGTTCTGGTTTAAAGAAGAGTGATTATTCAAAAATTTCTATTGATTCCATCTGTGATTCATTAAACTATTATATTGATTCATTACAAGAGAATTTTGAATTGGATTTGAATGAACAACTCAGACAACAACAGAAGAAACATGAATTCAGATTCTCAAGTGTATCTAATAAAAAAGACTTGGATGATAATTCCGAAAATAGAATTGTTATTGAATTAGCTGAAGACTCAGTGGTTTTCATCTCAGGATTTTTCCAATTAATATCCTCAATAGTGAAACATTTATCATCATCGTCAAACGAAAGGTCTAAGGAAATTAAAAACATTGCCTTTAATAGATTTTTACCAATAATCACTGGATTTTTAAAATTCGATAATTTAATTACTGGTGGTCTGCTTTTAACTGTGTTAGAGAGTTCTAATAAATCAGTTGATTTGCCAAAAGTTTTAGTTTCTGAAGAGAATAGAATTGTATTAACCAACCTTTTACTTAACTTTTTAACTAGTTTTGTTCATGATCAAGATAGTGACTTGGACATAAGGTATAGAATATGGAGACTCATAGATAGTTGGATTTATCATGGCTTACACATTGAATCATCATCCAATACCAACAATAATTCATCATCGACAGGTTTAAACTCACAAAGTTCACTTTTATTAGTTCGTCAAAATCAAACTAAACCAAAATATTCCGCCAAGGGTAACTTAAGAATCTTACAAGGATTTGATATCAACTTAGTACATCTTTCGCAAGTCAACAACTTTGTAGAATTAATCAATCGATTATTAAAACCATTAAGTAATGAAAATCAAGCTTTCAGTCCATATTATTTATTATACCCCGCAGACTTAGGTTCTGGTTATAGAATTAACAATCAAATTGGGATTTGGCCATACATTGAATACTTATTAGTTGGAGTATTTTCAAAGGTAGGAGAGATTTCTAATTTTGATGATAGACTCTATTTACAATTAAGTATTGTGGAAACCATTCAAACATCTTTAAAACTGGTCGACTGGAAATTCATTTCAGATACAGTTCACCAAGTGATTCGTAACTTTCCAGTCGGTGATAGCATCTTTAATTCCTTCTTGCCTAATGTGAATTTGAATTATGAATTGTTTGTTAAGTTACATCATTCGGTTGCTATTTTAAACTATTTATTCAATGAAAAGACTTGGGCGGCATTATTTGGAATTGCTAATAGCGGAGTGGAAAATATCAGTTCAAATTACAATTTAAGTATTTTAGTGGAATCATCGTTGAAGGTTTTGGATGATATCTTAAGTGTGGAAGATATATTCGTGAAGAATCTTTTACCAATCTTGAAGAGCAAAGACATCTCACCTCCAACATCAGGTACTGTTGGATTTAGTACGAGTCTTACATTAGCATTAGCTTCTCCAAAGACAGTTTTTGATAACATATATTATCCTACGAATATTGGAACCAATGCCGTGGGTGATTTCAGCGAAGTATTTTTATTCAATTTAGCCACTGTTGCCCATTTAGGTCTTTATGTGGGAATTAAAGAATCAAATATCGCCACTATATCAATTTCTATCTTGGATAAAATAAGAACATCCAAATATTTCCTTTCAAAATCAGGTTATAGCTCCAATGATTCATTATTGAATAAAAATAGATTATTAACTACATTTGAAAGTATTGATGAATCAGAAAAGATCAAATATGCATTTATATCTGTGTTTGAAAATGTTGATCAAAATTTAAGTTTAAAATATCGAATTCTTGAATTTTTATCAGCTAATTTAAACCAATCAAGTGGTAAAGAACCTAATGTGGCTCATTTCTTATTAGGATATGTGATAAGAGGAGGATCATTAATACTTGATGAAACTACACAAACCAATTCACTTTTAAAATCATTGTTGGAAACCTTAAGTTTGACTCTTGATGTTATATCGCAAACTGATTATACCAATGGTAATTATCAAAATATTGATGTGGGACCAGTTAAATTATCATCATTAATTTTAGAAATTGTGATTAAATTAAGTCATGATCCAATTAGTTCGATTATTACGATTGGAAATTTACGTGAACAAGATAATTTATTTGAAAAATTGATTCAATATCAACCTAAGCTTGATTTAAATACCTTATGGAGTGGGGTTGTCTTTAATGGAGATTTAAGAGATGGAGTTGAGAATTATTTTGTGGAGAATGATGATAGTAATCAAGCATTCTTTTCATTTATAAGCCAAAGAAACCTAATCTTACAATATTTATCGTTAGAATTCCATCATATCCTGTCTCGATCCAAGAGAGAATATTACATGGAATTATTATTGGATAATAAAGAATATTTGAGTGGTACACCAAAGGTATTAGGATTATTAGATGTATTAAATTATGAATTTAAAAACTTTGAATTATATAAATTCGAAACATTTAATAAGAAATATAATTTATCCCTAATTTTACAAACGGTTCAAGCTGAAGATTTAGACTTGTCGATTTTAAATAAGATTTATAAATTTATTTGTCAATCATCTTCAAACCTTAGTACTAGAGAAGATAAAATCCAATTTGCTCAACAAGTTATGATTGAAGGAAACAAAATCAATGATTTTATCAGGAAATATATTGTTTCAGTCAAATTAAAGGATATTCAATTAAAATCATTACATTCATGGTGTCAATTAGTGGAAATATTAATCACTGATCATAATTTATATTCTAAAAAGTTCATCTTGGAGATTTTACAAGTAATCTTACCTAAGATTAATGATTATTTAGAATCTGATATTGCCTTTTCAGAAGAATTGATTTCATTAACCGTTTTATTATTTGATTTATATGATCAAAAGATTGTGATTGAAACTAATAGTAAAGAAGATTTCGCTTTAGGGATCAGACGATTAATTCCATTATTAAAGACTTGTATTGCTGGTATTTTGAATTCGAATTCAACTCCATCTTTAAGATCTGATTTATATGTGTTAACTAATAAATTTTTAATTAAAGTGATTAATAATGAAGATTTGGCTCAAGAAACATCAGCTATTATTAAATCGATCGATAAAAAATTGATTGAAATCATTTCAAGTGATGCTATTTATTCCGAAGGAGCATCTAGAATTACATCAATCTTATTATTGGAATCGTTAATTCATTTAGGTAAACAAGATAATTTTGTGCTTGATTTATTAGTGAAGAATAATTCATTATTATTATTGATGAGATCGATTAAGAGAACTGATGAAGTATTAGAGATTTGTGATGGTAGTACGGGAGATCATAAGAAGTCGGGTATTAGTTTAGAGACTTTTATTTATGAATTAACTGCTTTTAAATCGACATTATACTTTTTGATTCGAGTGGCTCAATCAAAAGCAGGTTCATTACAATTAATCCAAGGCGAAATCTTTTCATTATTGAAACAATCTAATTTATTAAGTATTGATCCTGATTTAGGGATCAATCTTAAGATTGATGAATATCAAGATTTAAAGAATATTAAAGTTAGTTTATTATTGGATACTCCAATTGGTATAATAAGTGATTTGAATACTTTAAAGAAAACTACCGCATCTAATCGAGACAATACCATCTCATATATTGAATTCATTATTCCTATTTTCCAATTAATAGTTACTATTTTATTAGCTATGGGACCAAGTTATAAACCCAGTATATTAGAATCACGTAAATTATTATCGAGTGTGGATAGATTAGTAGTTGGAGTTTTAAAGAGAGATCTTTTACTTGAGAATCAAAATCCTGAGGTTTATAAGAATAAAGATTCTCAATATGAAGGATTGAAAGAATTGGTTAAGTTATTCACTTTATTAGAATCATTAGTAAAGTATAATGAACTGGGATAAAACATAGATAAATTTGTATTATATAATAGTTAATTATGTATATTAAAAAAATAGACAGCACACGACCTTTTTTAAGATTTTTCTTTTTTTCTTCTCTGGTTGACAGTGAAAATCAGTATTATGGTAGAATAGGATAGGATAGCATAGAACAGAACAAGAATAAGATAATAACAAGATAGATCAATTAACTAAGACTATATAATAACAGATCAAATATGTCAGAACCAACGAGTAATACCGACCCATCCAACTTTTTAAGTAATATAATTGGATCATCCGTAGTGGTGAAATTACATAATGGAGTTCAATATGGAGGAAATTTACAAAGTATAGATGGATTTATGAATGTGGTTTTAGAACATGGGAAAGAAATCGCAGGTCAAACCACTGTGAAATCTTATGGAGATGTGTTTATCAGAGGTAATAATGGTATGTATTGAGTTTTTTTTATTATTGCATTTGTATTATGAATTATGGTTACTAACTTTTATGATTTCTAGTGTTGTACATAAGTGAGGAATAATTGATTGTCAAATGTTGATGATGATGATGATAGTTAGATAACTTCTGATTATCTATCTATCTATCTATCTATCGATGGCATGATATGAGTGTATTATAGACTAAATAAGTTTAATGTAAATGTATTATTAAAGCTTTATATAATTGATACTATTAATTAGTAGTATTTATCTTTGTAGTATGTACATGATCACGCTCCAATCCACACGTGATCCCAATTCGACGAATCAAAAATTGGTTTTGGGAGACCGATAGTTTCAATTAAGAAGTCGTGTACTTTTGTATGAAAAAATTGACCAAAAAAACTTCATCAATTAAAGGGAAAACATATATATATTGTATATGTTAATAGACGACTTTAGTTTTTAGTATATCCAAAAGAACAATAATCCATAATGTCATTCGTCATTAGAAGACAATTGTCTACTATAATCCCACCAAAGATTGCTTCTGCAAAAGTAAGTTTAACTTGATTCGTTAGGTCCTGGTGTGAGACTTGATTTAATTGATAAAATGGGTTTCATCCACTCTGTATGATATGTAATCCATTCATCAGCAATAATCATAAACCAATGTGAATGGGAGAAGATCATCCAATTAGAACTTATTACTATCCAATCATTCGTCGTATACGTGAAATAAGAAAGTTGGAGAATCATATCTTTGAATATCATAGATCTTACTTCAAGTGAGATGTATGAATATTTATGTAGTTAATCACATCAATTCCAATCAATCAGAACAAGAATGATCAATTCAATGAGCAGTATAGTCCATTGAAAGTCATATTATTATCCCATTCCATCCAACCTATCATGTCAAACAGACTTACAAGCATTTCAATAGATCAAAATAGGGAACCATGTATCTACATCATGGATGAGAACAGACACAAATATCATATAAACAGAGTGGTTGAAAAAGAATCAATTCGTCAAATTGAACTAATAAATACTAACTTTATCTTTTTCTAGAATCTTGGATCTAATCCAAATGCTAAAAGAATGGCTGAAGTTGTTTCTTTTTATAAAAAATTACCAACTGGTCCAGCTCCAGCTGCTAAAAAAGCTATTAATCCATTAGCTAGATATAGAGCTGCTTATTTTGATGGTGACAATGCTTCAGGTAAACCATTAGTCCATTTAGCTATTGCTGTCATTATTCTTGGTTACACTTGGGAATACCAAACTCATTTAAAACATCATAAAGATCATTAGATTCATTCATTCATCTACTCCTACATAACATTTATAGCTTAATCAAAATAAGCAATATCTATCATCATTTAGCTCATGTCAAATCAAATCAAATCAAAATATTTACCTTACATTAGTAGGAAATGAGCTTACAATCTCATTTATACTTTTGTTATCTTTATATATATATAAATTTTTATAATCTTTTTTATATATTAGATCAATTCTACGATAAAATAAATAAATAAACAATTAAAACTTATAATTGATTAATGTAATTGTAATAGGTAAGATGTATATCTCTAACTAGTCAAATCATTCTTTGCCCTGACCAGCTGAGCTAAGGTATTTCGCCTCGTACCATACCTTACCATACCATACCATACCATAACTGTACTATACAACTCAACTCACCACCACCACCACCACCACCTCACCATACATAACCACCTTCACCATTTCACACGACTTTTTTTCACCAGCGCGATAAAAAAAAAAAAAAAGTCGTTAAACCAAAAAATTAATACTGCCAGAAACTGCTGCTGTTTCTAATTTAAAGTTATAATTCAAAAAGGGTTTGTTGAACTTATTTATCATCCATTATCATCATTGATTATTACTAATTGGATTAGCCAATTGCCATTGCCATTGCCATTGCATTTGTTCGTTGGGATACCTTCAATTAGACTTACCCCCTTAACTAATACCCCATCCAAACCCATCCATCCCACCGCTAAACCCTCCTCCCCAACCAACCAACAATCAATCAATCCCCTCACTGTTTAATCAACAATCATTTTAAACTTTGCCATTTATAATCATAGTTTATTGATTGAATCATTTGCATACAGAAGAACGCACATAACTGGTATATATCCACTTCCCCCATCTTCATTACATCTATAGCATCTATCATGGATCCCCTGGCAGGCTATGATTATCAGCAGCCTGGGCGAATTCCAAGCTCATCATCATCGTCATCCCAAAAGCAATCACCCCAAGAAAATCAATCAGGATCATTACCACCCAATAATCAACCGGCAACTCCAAGAATGTTAAGAAGTGTTAGTGGAACTTTAAAAAATTCAAAATCAGATATAAATCAAAGACAATTATCAACTGGATCTCAACCTCCTGAAGATTTAGGATCTCCAAATTATATTGCTGATAATGATTTATCTCAACATCCTCAAGCTAATCTTAGTTTCCAAAATCAACCCATGACTCCTCAACAAATTCAACTGGTTATAGGTCCAAGTAATTCCATTCCTCATCCTCCTTCAATTCCTCCTCCTCCTCCAGTTCCTTCTCAACAACATAAAAGAGTTCCTTCATTTTCAAAAGGAATCCCAGTCCCTGTATCTTCAAGTTCAAATAGACCAGTTCAACCTCCTCCATCTCCAGCTCCCATCAATACTTCTTCAGCTGTTCGTAAATCAGAACTCTTGCCTCCTGCCGCCATTGGTTCTGGTAATGAAGAATCCAATCCTGCCGTTGGAAATAATTCAAGAAATGCTTCAAATTCTCAACGATATAATCCACCATCTCAACAACAACAACATTCAGATCTGCATCAATCACAACAACAGCATCATCACCATAGTGGGAATCATAATCAACCACAGGGTCAAGCTCAATCACTGCAACAACAACAACCTCAACAACCTCCACAACAACAACAACAATTTTATAGAAAATCGATTGGTGATTGGGATTTTGTTAAAACTATCGGTGCTGGATCTATGGGTAAAGTGAAATTAGCTCAACATAATTCAACTCGTGAAATTTGTGCCGTGAAGATTATTCCTCGTGCTGCCAAATTATATCAAAGAGCTCATGCTAATGATCTACCTCCAGCTAGTACTCAAGAAGCTGCTCAAAGACATAAAGAATATGAAAAAGAAATTGCTAGAGATAAGCGTACCATTAGAGAAGGTTCATTAGGAAGATTACTTTTCCATCCTTTTATCTGTAGATTATATGAAATGGTACCAATGACAAATCATTATTATATGTTATTTGAATATGTTGAAGGTGGTCAAATGTTAGATTATATAGTTGCTCATGGTTCGTTAAAAGAAAAGCATGCTCGTAAATTCGCCAGAGGTATTGGATCTGCTTTAGATTATTGTCATAGAAATAATGTGGTTCATCGTGATCTTAAAATTGAAAATATTATGATTAGTGAATCGGGTGATATTAAAATTATTGATTTTGGATTATCTAATTTATATTCTCCAAAAACTTTATTAAAAACTTATTGTGGTTCTTTATATTTTGCTGCTCCAGAATTATTAAGTGCAAAACCTTATACTGGTCCTGAAGTTGATATTTGGTCATTTGGAGTGGTATTATATGTATTGGTATGTGGTAAAGTTCCATTTGATGATCAATCAGTATCAGTCTTGCATGAAAAAATTAAAAAGGGTAATGTTGAATATCCAAATTTCCTTTCTCGTGAATGTATTTCATTATTATCAAGAATGTTAGTAGTTGAACCTTCAAAGAGAGCAACTTTATATGAAGTACTTCAACATCCTTGGATGAATAAAGGTTTCGATTATAAAGTATCAAATTATTTACCAAAGCGTGTTCCTTTGACTTTACCATTAGATCCTGAAATCATTAAATCTATTGCATCATTTGACTTGGGTTCAATCCAACATATTACAGAAGAATTAACTAATGTCCTTACTAGTGTCGAATATCAAATGAGTTGTGAAAATTGGTATAAACTTACTGAACAAGGAAGAGAATATGCATCTGCTTCGAATGCTCATATTTTACCTGATCCTACTGGTGGATTCCATCCATTGATTTCCATATATTTTTTGGTACTTGAAATGAAAAGTCGTAAGAAAGCAAAAGAGGCACTTATTAAACTTCAACAAACTCAAAGTCAACAAGCATCTCAAAAACAGCAACAACAGCCACCACATCAGCAGCAACAAGTTCAACAATTGGAACCACAACAACCTGCTCCAACTCAAGAAAGATCTCGTCAAGCTTCCAGTGATAAATCTGGTATCTCGGATCCATTTTCACAAGCACCAACACGTCCAGTTAGAACTGAATCATCTCCAACCCAAGTTGCTGCACTCACATTTCCAGAACAAGCTCATACATCAAGTATACCGACTGCTATGCATAAAAATTCTCAATCACCACCACCACCTTCAAAAGATTTACCTGAAAATGTTATACCAGAACAACAACTTAGTCCAAGAGAGAGTAATCCAGTTCGTGAAAGTTTAGATCCAAATGCAGGTAAGAATGCTGGTATTAATTCTATATTAAGAAAATTATCTTACAAGAAGAAATATACTCCATCATCACCATCAAGATCAACTTCACCCCCACCCCCTCAAGTTGATGTTGTTACTGCTCCACCTCCATTACCTTCACTTGAAACTGCTTCAGCTAATTTATCTCCACAAAGTTCAGTCAATACTAAGAGAGATCCAATGGTTCGTAGAGGGGTTAGTATGAAGATTACAGCTAAAGAAAAATCTACTAACTCAAGACTTAACTTACATCCTTCAAATGATTCATCTAGTGGTCATCAATCAACCGATGCTCCAAAACCTAGAGTTAATAATATCGCCACCCCTACTACTAATAATAATAATAATGCAACTCTTGAACCTAAGATTTCGGCTGGTCATTCAAGATCATCATCTGTTACTAAGAATCAAAATAAATTTCATGGATTTATCCCAGTGGAAATCTTACCACCAGTTCCAAAATATACTGGTGGTACCACAATCGTATCAGCATCATCATCATCTAATAACGAGAAAACGGAATTATTGTCTGCTTCCGGTAGAAAATTACATCCTACTGCAAGAGCCAAATCGGTTGGAGGTCATATGAGGAAAGATTCTTATAATTATCGTAAAGCCAACAACCAAAATTCTGGTGCTTATCCTCCATTACCAAATGCTATGGCTTCTCAAAATAGTGATGAATTAATAGCTGATACTTCTTCAAGTAACAACACTGCTAATAATAAAGATGGTTTCTTTGATGATGTTAGATTGGATGATCTTGATTTCCAAGAAATTCCTCAATTAACTGAAGATGAAATAATAGATCAGTTCAATAACGCTAAACCGAATACTATGCCATCCATTGAACATTGTAAGACTTTATTCTTGAAAGGTTTCTTCAGTGTTCAAACTACTTCGACCAAACCACTACCTGTTATAAGATACAATATCATTAATGTATTGAGTAAATTAGGGGTAAGATTCCAAGAAGTCAAGGGTGGATTTGTTTGTATTCATACTCCATCTGTCCAGGCTGATAGAAGTGATGGAGAAAGTCAAACTTTGGCATCTCATGCTGATGAAGAATTTGACCATGATGATGATATAACTAGTGAAGAAAAGAAATTATATGGTGATGCATTCAAATCTACATCTTCAATAGATGAAAAGGAAACTCCTCGAGTCAAGACTCCAGAACCTGAACAATTGAAGACTCCAAGTAGACAACCTTCATTCCATTTGAATAGTCAACCAATGTCTCCAACGACCGGTAGTAAATCATCATCTCATAAGTCATCTAATTCGATTGGCACTAATAGTGGCAATAGTGGTCATAGAAGAAAATTCTCAATTGGAAATTCAATCTTAGGATCTTATAGAAAGAAGAATGGATCACAAGTAATGATGCCACCTAATACTCCAGCAACCGCTAAAGTCATGAAAGGATTATATGCTGATGATGATTTTGATTATGATGATGAAGATGAAAACATCAGACAACATTTTGCTGATGATAATTCTGCTGATTCTTTGAATGGTTATGGTGGTGGTAGTGATATGCTTATTTCATCGAAAGTTGAACAAAAGGCAAGACATCAACATTCTGCATCCAATGCAACTGAACATAAACATAGAGGTGGTAAATCACCATTGAAATTTGAAATTCATATTGTTAAAGTTCCGTTGGTTGGTTTATATGGGGTTCAATTTAAGAAATTATTGGGTAATACATGGAATTATAAAACTTTGGCAAGTCAAGTTTTGAACGAATTAAATCTTTAGAGAGAGAGAGAGAGAGAGATTGGTCAATTACTTGGGTTTATACAAACAAACAAAAAAAAACTTCTTATATATATTTATATATATTGCTTATTCTTTTAAATGAAATATATTTGTATATATTTATTTTCTTCTTCTATACTTTTAGTTTTTAATTTATATTTATTTTTATTTATACAATGCAGAAATGTAATTTTATAAAAGTCCATTAATCAATCTCGATAACTGCTTCTTCAACTTTGGTATCGACTTCTTCCTTTTCATCTTCGGAAACAAAGTTCTCCACTATAGGTTCGTTGTCGTTGTTTTCAACAACTTCTTCCACGATCACTTCAACAGCTTCTTCATCAACTTTAACGTCTTCTTCTTTACTCTCATCTTTGACTTCGTCCTTGACTTCATCTTCAACTTCAATTACTTCATCAGGTACTTCAGGAGTTGGAGTAAAAACCGGAGTCCCAACTCTTCTCAATTTCAATCTTTCATCTCTTGAATATCCATGACCATAATCAGTTAATTCTTGACCATCACCATTAATGATAGTTTCAGTTAATCTTGTTCTTCTTCTTTCTAATCTCTTTTGAGCAGCTAATTTTAATTCATATTCTTCTTGTAATTTTTGTTTTTCAAATTCTTCTTGTTTTTGCTTTTCTTTAATTTCTAATCTTAATGATCTCTTACGAGTTGATAATAATGAAAGTAATTGAACTTCTTTCTTTTTATTAGCGAGATATCTTCTCTTTTTAATTTCATTTCCAAGCATAGTTTCAATTATGGTTGATTTTGTTATAAGTGGTTTTAATTTTTTATTGGATAATGATTTAATATAAGTATTGTATTCATAAATGTTCTTAAATAATAATTCAAACTTAACATCTTTAACTTCAATATCGAATTGACTTGGTTTAAACGTTGCATTGGGATCTTCAGGAGATAATTTTCTCTTTTTTGGAATAACTAATGAATTATAACGAATGGTTCTCTTATACAAGCTGTTATTTTCAAATAATAAGAAATAATCTTCAGATCCATTTGAATGTAATGGATGACTATAGATAGCATTGAGTCGAAGTCCATCAACTGTAAGATTATTTTTATCAATCCAATCTCTAAATTTAGTATAGTTAGAAATAGTAGATATTAATATAAAGAGGATTTCAAACTTATCTGATATGTTTAATTCATCGAATTTGATTTCATGTTCTTCATCATGAACAATATGAACTTTACCTTCTTGATCTTCTACGTCATCATCATCTTCTTCATCAGCTCCACCTAATGGAGTTTGATTTCCAAACCATAGTTTAAAAATCTTTTCAAAATTATTAAGGGAGGATAATTTTGAATTCTGTAAGCTTGAAATCAAGTTCAATTTCAATTTCTGAATGAACAATTGATTATCTTTACTAGTACTATCTTGATCATAACTTGAAGAATTAACAATAGGAAAGTAATTCAAAAGTTCCAATTCGAAAATATCAACATCAAAGTATTCTGATTGTAATTTTATGAATCCACGACAATTGTATAACCAATTTATAACGTAGATATACTTATAACTAGTTCTTAAACTTACTAATTCTGGAGTTTCATATTTATCTGATTCTTGATTTTGTAAGATTATAGGATGTAATTTGATTAATGATTGAATTTGATCCAGAAATCCTGGCCCCAATTTCAAACTCAACGCTGGATGACTATCATTCACCACTGCTGGAGTAGATGACTTGCTCTTATGTGACATTGCTTTGTTCTAATTGTCTAGTCTAAGGTCAAGTAATACCTGTTGAAAGGACATGATTTGATATCATATTTGTTGAAAATTCTGAACAACCGCGTTTGTGGTGATTAAGTATTGCGGCTGGGATGTTTGACGATACTTTTCAAAACACTAGTGGATTTTACCCATACAAATTGAAGGCAATTATAATCATAAAGATATTAAAAATAAATTGATTTATTATAAACATTATACGTGATTTATTCATTAATACATATACTAGAAGAGGAAATAAAAGTGTTTTTTGATTTAGATGAAAAATTTGGGGTGCTATACAACAGCAAAAATAATAAATAAGATTTTACCTATAACCAAATCAAATGGGAGTATAAACATTTGATAGAGTTACTCTGTTAAAAGTTGGAAACCATAACTGAAATTGAAATCTGTTTTTATATATCTATTAGACTTTGAACTGAAAGGAAAAATTAAGTAAATAATAATAATAATAATAATAATATTAATAAGAAAAGTAAAAGAAAATAAATACCTGAAGAAAATAATTTCACCCAAACCTGTTGTTAAACCATCTTTTATAAACCATTCTTAATCTAGTTCAGAGAGCTTTATTGATGTTCAATCAAGCTTCTTAACTTTTCATTCATACCTTTAATCAATAACATTTCATTACTGATTCTTACCAAAGCATTATGTTTTGATAAGTTAGGTAATCCTTCTTTATTAATTCTTGCTCTTTTTGATTTACGTTCAGCTTCATTAAGCTCAGGTAATTTATTAAAAGCATCGATATCAATAATCAATTCTAAACATCTTTGATAAGCCAATTTACATAATTGTCTTCTCTTTTGTTCAGAATGGGAATGATTTAATCTTTTTTGTTCAATTGATAATAAAGGTTTGGTTGAACTTCTTCTCTTCTTTTTTATTGGAGTTCCATTTATTACTGAACTTGAATTTTTAAGTTTTCTAGCTTCAACATCACTAGCAGGTGGAGTTAACATCTCTTCATCATTATTACTATCATCTTCATCATCATCTTCATCATCAAATTCATCGTTATTATTGTTGAAATTATGAGTATCCATTCCAGATGGGAATACTTGTTGTTGATGTTGTTTAACATAGATATGAGACCCAGTATTGGAATAGGATGATTGTCTTGAATCGACTGGGGTTGGTAATTGACTGTTGTTGTTGTTGGTTAAAGTAGTTGGTCCTGAAAGACTCATTGATTTCAATGATGGATGACTGAAAGCATCAGTTAACTCTTGTCTCAAGTTTTCATGTTCGAGTCTAGCAGCAGTTAATTGATGAGGTTGCTGATGTTGATGTTGTACTTGTTGTGGTTGTTGCTGATGTGGTTGAGAATGATAAGTTGGCTGTTTCATAGTATGTAAATCAAATAAAGGAATTTCTGGATTATGAGCAGCTGTATTATAAAATTGTAAAGGATTGGCAGTATTGGTCAAGTTATCTAAAAAGATTTCCAAAGCATTTGATTCAGTATTGGAGAAGAATTGATCAAATTGATTCTCTTCTTCAACTTCATCTTCATATTCATCTTCCATTTGTTGTTGTTGATTATGATGTTGATTACTCGATTGAATATGATTTGAATTATTATTATTTAATATTTGTGATCTATGATAATCAAATGTAGTAGTAGATGATGAACTACTATCATGTTGAAGATCAACAGGATGAGAAAATTCAGTAACGTAATTTTGATTCAACATTTGAACTTTTTCCAATTGTTCCATTGAATTTATAGCTTGCTTTTGTTGAAGTGAATTATACATTAAATAAGCTTGTTCGAAATCCATATCAGCTGTCACCATATCTAATATGTCATAATCACCTTTACCATTCAAATGTTGATGAGAGGGAGAATTACTACTACCGATAAGAGTAGCGGATGGAGTACCAGTGAAATCCATTGTGAAATAGTTATGAAAGAATGGGTATACACGTTAGTATAATATGAAATGATAAAAATAATATGAACAAAGGTTGAAAAAATCTAAAATGATATTAAAGTAATAAATAATGGAAAACAGAAAATGGAAATGAAAAAGAATTTGGCATTTATTTATATGAGATTTAAAGGATAATTTACCCCAGTTTTTAACAATAGTGAAGTAATAGAAGTTTTTGGGCTTTTAACTCGTAGCTTATACTACTTTTTGGTAATTTAAATTTTGCGTTTGAGCGTTCTCTTTATTTTTCTCACTGTTTTTTAGGCTCATTCTTTTTTTTTTTTTTTTTTTTTAAATTTTTTATTTTTTAATTCTTTTTTTTATTTTATTTTTTATTTCTTTTTTTTTTCTGTGTTGCTTTCCATCTCAATATTTGAAATGATTCAAATGATTCAAGGGTGAAGTTCATATCTATCAATTGAGTATATTAAAGTAGACTCAATATGACAGAAGTAATGGATGAAATAGGAGAAATATTACTTGATAAACCCTTTCCAAAAAACCAATTGCTTTTGAGGCAATTTAATTGACTACAGCAAACCATCAAACTAAGAGCGCTGTAGAATCAGATACATATTATTATCGATTAATGTAAGTAAAGATAACTATTAAAGTCTACTCCTCACGCCTCCTTTTTGAAATGGTAATCTTGGATACAAAAATTGTTTAACCAAGGGTATTATAAAAGATTACCACCACATCAGTTTTATTGGGAATGTCTAACTAGGGTTATTATTGCAACTAGGTACTTTCTTGATTTGATTTAAATTCCAAATTTGAATTTTTTACTTTATTTTTTTTTTTTTAGTGTTTAATTTTTTTTTATTTTTTCGCCATGGGTTAAAGGAACACTGTTCCACCCTCCGGACAATGCATATTTATCTCCTCCGTCTGCATGCCTGCCCTCACCGTGCATGCATGCAATAGCAGTTTTAGGCTTTAGTGAATCCTCCACCCTTTTCCTAATTAAGTAACCTATTACCATTACGATCCATTTTGCAACAGGTCAACCTATCCAAGTTAAGAATATTTGGTTTAATTAAGTAAAATGACGGGGGTAACAGACTGATCTTATTTAGTTCATACTTGTTTCTTGCTTCTACTAATTGTTTTATCAAAGAAGTTGCCTCAAAATTATTATTATCAACCTGAAATCGTCTACTTCCTTTCCTCCATGGGAACAAGGGTTCGATATAATTTTAAGTACTACTACTTCTGAATTACAATAATAATTGTTGGTAAAAAGACATTCAACTCCACTTCTTGTGTTCATTTTGTCTTTTTATTTTCGTTCTTTCTTCCTTTTCGCTTGATAATCGTTAAACTTTCTTTCTTTCTTTCATTCTTTTATCTTCCGTTGGACCAGTTTCTATTTCATGTATTTAATTTAGATTTTAGTTAATGTTACTTCTTTTATCCCTATTTATGACGCAATATTCTACTCAATCTATGTTCCCCCTCAAATGTAATCTGTACCAATATTCTTTACGTCAATCCCCAATATGGGGTAAAATCTACATACTTTGATGCACTAGAGTCTACTTGATTGTCAGTTGCAGCAAAGGATATTGCTTCCATACTTTTGACTTTTCCTAACTTTTTCTTACACACTTTTTTGCGGTGGCTAGAACTAAGCTTCCATTTCACTGATTTAGTCCAAAACTATGTTTAAAACATACACAATAATGGATTACAGTTTTGAATTTTAAACGACACATAAGAGAGAATAAACTTTGTGGTTAACCTACTTCCCATTCTGGTTGATTATCTCACTCAACAAGTTCATTCACTACACAATAATGGACAAAATAATATTAGGGTTAAAAATAGATATTGCTTTTAGCTAGTGGAGAACCAGATAATTGTAATTAAATGGGTGAGATATTTTTTAGGAGTTAATGCTGTAGCATAAAATAGAAGCATTCTTTTTGACGCCGTTAATGGTATTAATTTTTTATTTTTTTATTTTGTGGTTTGAGTATCTGTCCTCGACGTCGTTGTCGTTTTTTTTTTTTTTACTGAGCTGTTCGTTCCATTGTTTTAGTGAGGGTACTCCGCTTAAATTTTCAAATAGCCATGGTCTTTTGACTTTAAATTATAACGAGTTCAGGGCTTACCTATGGAATCTTGTCCCCCTAATTTGGAGGACCTTCTCCGGGATATCAACAGTTGATCGATAACAACTAACTTGAAGTTGTCTATCTTCATTTCTATTTTCCTCTAAGTGGGGCTAGGGAGAGGGGACCTTTTTACTCCAATTGTAGTCGCATTAGCTCTCTCCTATTTCCAATAACGTCATTTTTAGTGAATCATGGTAGCTACCAACTCAAATCATTATACGATAAGATTAAACTATTGATGACGAAATGATCATTATTAAGAGATAGATGGATTACGAGGGGGAGAGTGGGGTAGACAGCAAATCGATGGCAATATATAGTTTTTTGTTAAAACATTAAAGGGATTGACTTAGTACGGGATTGAAATAGGATTTTGTGATTTCCAGGCTATATAACATAACAAAACAGGTTTTTAAAGAGAGAAATATTCATCTATCGGACTATATAGCAAACAAACTTTTAAAATAATAATAAAATCCTTAACTTGCATACTTAAACCCTCTACGTTATTCTTTTTTTTTTTTGATTTCATTTTCCCCTAATAATGCGTTCCTTCGTGAATGATAAAGTCCGCTAGATTTGCCCCTCACTGAACTCCCCCTCCGCCCATTCATCGAAGCTTAATTTTGTGGCCTAAAAATACCCATTAATGAATTTCATAAAATTTTCTTAACTGATCATGCAACCAATCTTCTTACATCACTAAACCTTCTCAATAATAAGAGATAAATTTAACTATTAACGCAAAACTAGTAGAAATAATCTGAAATTTAAAGCGTATACTGCAATGGGGAAGGAAGGAAGGAAGGAAGGAGTGATATTATTTCTTTCTTTTATCTTTTTTATAATCGATAATCAATGTCAGATTGTCATTTACAATTTCTTTTTAACTTAATAGTTAGAGGAAGGCGTAAACAGAGTTAATGTTTGAATAAATTACTTTGAAATTTTATCAGAAAATGTTTGACGATCCCATTAGTTACTTACTTGCCCTCCTCATTTTGTGATAAATACTAAATTTAAACCATGCTTTATATGAATTACCAAATTAGGCATTTGCAATATAGAATGTACAACTATATGTTTAAGGGCGAAAGGCCAAAGGCGGTTACTTTAGTATTTGACCAGCTGTTTAGAAGGTGTATATATATTGTATTCGAGGGCTTATATGGGTGATGCGTTACATTCTATACAGCAAACATTGTTATGTTGAATTGTTTAAATAAGATTTTGGGACCAATTATATTGTCTGACCAGACGAATTATACAACATTCGATAGTGCCAAGTAACATTTGTAAAGAACCTTTTCAAAAGGTACTGATCATTGATATAAAAGTTAATTTGGTGATTACGATCTTACCAATGGTTTACATATCAATCAAACAAAGAAATTCTCGGAGTCTGGGGTATTCATTAAATATTCCTATTTAGTCAAAATTTAATTGAATTGCATATATATATAATTTTTTAATGTAATTGTTCTCGAATCATGCAATAGTTACAGAAACCATAGGCGAAACTATACTTATCAAAGGGCCAATTTTCTAATATGAGATTGATTGTTTATTTTTTCGTCTTACTGCTAATCCTGAAACACCCATATTAAAAAAAGCGAAATATAACAAAATAAAAATAATATTAAATAAAATAAATTAACCACAAAATGAATAATTTGACTTGACAGTAGAACACGGGAAAAGGTCCGGTAAGTACTTGCCTCAGTAACAAGAAGTTAAAATAATTTTAATACTGTGGGGAAGATATCATCAATGATTATGAACAAAAATTATCGTAACATATCGTACATTAATATGTTTCATTTCTACATCAAACAATGTTTGAAGCATTTAATAACATTACCTGAATAGGATAGATTATGATATCATTGATAAAGGTACAAAAATGATTAACCAATATATAAACAAGCTTTGAGGATTGCGCTTCGTTTAATCATTCGATTTCTTTAAATTCCACACCAATTTGGTTGAGAGAGGGAAGATTTTGGAATGGATGATTGAATTGGTGCGCGCAAAATTGATGTTGCAATTTGGTTTGATTTTTTTTACCCCTCCCCCACTCTTGTCAACATAGACATAACAATGACGACTATACATATACGTATATTGTTATGATTAAACTTTTGACTTTCGAATTACTTGTTGTATTTACAGACATCAATTGAATGATAATTGATCGTCAAAATAACACCATAAGGTCAAGTATACATCGAAATCTATACCTTCTACGATGACGCATTCATGAACAATTCAAGCATTATGGCATTGATACCGATGTGCATTCATCCTTACATTATTTATGTAACCCTTATATATCATAACCACTGTGGTCAATGAATTGAATTGATTTACCCCTTATCATCAACTTACAATGAATACAAATACGAATTGAACAAACATATAACCAAAATTATTGGAGTGGTCCCAAATTCCTGCTAATTAATGTATCCAAATTATTACCTTCTTAAATCATTGATTTTTGGGATCATTCCTTTCACTTTTTTTTTCTTGATCTCTACAACGCATAAGTGTGCGTTATTAGGCTTACGAACTCAATCATGGGGAAGGAGAAAGACTAGATATTGGAGTAGATTCCACAGCGCATCCACCGGCGTGGACTTACTCCACCACGCAGAATCACTGTGCAGCAGCCCATTTAAACAGTAGTTAACAACAGGTATATTTTCTTCCAATAATTCAAAACTTCAAATTGCAATTTTAATCTTTTTAATGCCAGAAAGATTTAGGTCTCTTAAGATATATGTGCGCTACCATATTAATAAATTCTTAAATTTCAAATCACATGACGCGTCTTGACTCAAAAAAATAAAAAAGAATTTCAAAATCGGTTATTCCAGTGTATATGTTTATAAATTTTTCATAAAATCTTAACCTTTAATTCAAGGAGGATAAAATATCTATAGAGAAAATATATTATGACATTACAAGATGAATTATCAAAACAATTACCTCAATATAGTAAATTTAAACTTTTTCATATTCAAACTAAACCAACGTATATAAAATCACCTATTCATTTCCAACCATTGAAACTTGAACAAGTTCAAACCATTAAAATCCGTCATTTGATTCAATTAATAGATGAGGATGATCTTATCGTGTTAGGAATTGAAATATATATATATATTCAGATGTTTGGGGACCGGGTTGAACAAACTATATTCATTTCGAAATGTGATACGGTTGGATTAACGAAATTGAAATTTAAAGTTAATGATGTGATTCAAGTGATTATAAATTGGTTGATTAATTATAATTTATATGATTATAAAATTAAAGTCAAATCAGGGGGGAAAGTTTATAAACCGATTGATAGAAATGATAAAAATAATGATAATGATACTATCATAGCGATTAAGAAACTTATAACGAAATTAAATTCCAATCCTCAATTTCTTCAAACTTTACCATATTATAATGATAATAATAATAGTACAAAAATAAGTAATGATCAACAGAAGAATTTATTAACATTACCTTTGAAACAAACGATTAAATTATGTTTATTCACTAAAGCAGCTAATCAATATCTTTATCCTTATTCAAGTAAAAATTCATTTAAACATATTATAAATGGTATTCAATTACTTAAATGGTGGTTAAAAACAATTGATAAGACTTTTACTAATTGGAATTGTAGGTTATTAATTCCTGGATCGGATGATTTATCAACGCAAAAGTTTTTAAATGATTTAAATATTAATCAATGGAAAATTGGGAATATTTATGGTGATAATAATGATAAAGAATTAGCTATTCATTCTATACCGGTTTATCCTGATGATCCAAAGGGGAGATTTTTAGAGCATTTAATTGTGGAAAATAGATATCATAAATTAACCATTAATCAATTTTATCATGAATTAGGATTTAGACAAGAATTTAGATTAGGTAATTTAGTGGGATTAATTGGATGTAAATCGAATGAAATTGATATTATTCCCCCCGTAAACAAAGAGCAACAAATATCTTCAGCGGCGGTGATATTAACGATTCATCAATATAAACAATTGGTTAATAATTTAATTAAAGCGGAAAGTTTCACTAATAAGAATGATATTCAAAATTTAATTCGAGAAAAGATTCCTAATTATCTTGAACGATTGGGTAATGAAGATATGATATATCATGAAATAATCGGTAATAAAGTAGAAACCGTGGTATCAACAACAACCAAAGTCACTCCGCAAGTTATAAATACATTAACAGTTAAGAGAAAGGCTCCTACTGATTTAACCAATCTTATTAAGAAGAAGAAGAAGAAATAATCAAAGATGTTAATAGTTTTAAGGGTAACCAAAGAATGAAATGGGGGATATTTAAGAAGAATCGAATCAATCTCCATTGAGGTTTGAAGATTATGATATTAATGAATGTAAAACTAGATAAGTTAGATAGTTAGTTAGAACTTATTTCTTTTTGACGGTCAATGTAAGTTGAATGGGGATTAGATTTGTTGTAGAGGTGAAAGGAAGGGTAAACACGAACAATCGATTGAGTGGGAGTGGCATGATAGAATTTGATTGATTGATTGATTGATTGATTGACTGATTGAACGAATTGATCGAATTGATGATAGTTGGAAGTCAAGTGTTGCCAAATCAAAAGATGAATTTGAACTTTTTGGCTGCCTTTTTCGTTTTTCCCCTTCCCCTTGACAGCTAATTTAAATTTTGACCTCCACAAACGCAGAATTCTTTACGTAATTTTAATTTAGATTAATTTGACAGTATCATTAATGTCTAATTCTATCGTATCTTCAACTAAATGAATCATTATAGTAACTTTTAGTTATATATAGATAAAACATATAAATTTATTTGTATTACTATGGTAGCACACTTAGCTTTTTGTTACGTAATGATTGACGCTTTTAAATACTTTTTTTTTTTTCTTGTCATCGTCATCGTACAAATTTAAGACAAGACAAGAGACAAGAGGCTGAGACAATAGTTAAGAACATAAAAAAAAACGGATGTTAAATTGATTATTCCATCTTAAGATGGTATGAATAAAGGAGAAGAGATTTACGATGAGGTAAAAAGTTAAGTTCAATTAGATGATGATGATATATTATGACTAGTAGTTATATTGATATGAAATATCAAGATCAAATCATTCTTCTATTGTCGTATTTGAATGTCATTAATTATTGACAGAGAAGGAAGAAGAAGAAGACAAGAGAAGTCGTGTACTTTATGCCAATTTTATATCTCTCTCTCTCTCTTTCAGTTACCAATTACAGAACAGAATTATTTATTTATTTCCCCTCGTGCTTCATTTCTGTTTTTAACTTTTAGAACTATAAATCAAACCAAATAGATTATGCAAATTGATAATGAAAAGTTTAAAAAGATAACCAAACTGATTGATTGCAAACTATCTATAGATAGATAGATACCAAGAACTAATTATGTTAACTCACCAAATGTAACATTCTAATTAGGAAATAAGTTTAACTCTATGTTAGTTTAATGTTACCCTTTATCTCTCTATCACAGTTTTTAAATAGTTTTTTAACCCTTACTTATTTAATTTAATTATTTAATTCTATCGTATTCATCGTATTTGTAGTAATATGAATGACATATAGTTTACTTTACTTTACTTTACTTTAATTGACTCATCCTCTTCTTCAAAGGTACATTGGTTTACGTATATTGTTAAAATAAGATCATTCATACTAAAATTAAAATATTACACAAAACTAAAAACATTTTATAGCCACAAACACATCATCATACATTAACTATATATATAAAGACAACTAACTATCTCTATTTACGTTTTATTTCATATTTTTCATATTTTTCATTCTTTATCCATACCATCCATATCATGAATACTTCAACTACTTTTCCAACTTCTAATCCTAATCCAACTTCTACTCCTTCATCCTCATCCAATACCAATACAAACTCATCGTTTAAATCTCCTTATACCACCAATTCAAGATCTTCTCCACAAAATAGGTCTCAAAATTTGAATTCCCCTCATTTCAATCCTCATCAACAACAACAATCAAATAATAATAACATTCAAACTATACCTCCTATATCTCCTAGAAATAGTATCGTTACAAGTCATTTACATGATTTACGTACTGGTGCAGTTCCTTCATCTCTGACTTTTAATAATTATACCACTTCATTATCTTCTTCAAGTCAAAGATCTCCTACTTTTAGTCATCGAAGTTTACTGATTCCTTCTCAACCACCTCAACAACAACAACAACAACAATCTCCTTTAATGGCTAGTAACAACAGTACTAATAATGTCGGTCCCCGATCTTCCTCCTATTCATCTCCATCTGATTCAACTTCTCCTTCTTTTCAACATCCCATTCCTCAATCTTATAATAATGAACATATTATAGATTTAATGGAAAGAGAACAAGATGCTATAGTTTTGAAATTAATGAAAGAAATTGAATATTTAAAACAAGAAAATAAATATTTAAAAGGTAGTAATAGTAGTAATTCATCTGGTTCCATAAGTAATGGAAGTAATAATATTAACCCTAATAATACCAATGGATCAATTTCAAATTCAAATGGTTCATCTATAAGTAGTATTAGTTCTACTTCATCATCAAGTATGAATAATAATTTAACTCCTACTACATCATTAATAAGTCCAACTTCATCATTTTCATTAGCTGTTCCAACTCATCGTCGTTCATCTTCATTATCAAGAAGTTCATCTATAAATAATAATACTAATAAAAGAAATGGATCATTATTTGGTAATTATAGTTTTAATCAAGCATCATCAAATAATAATAATAATAATAATAATAATACAACTCCAACTACAGTTCCAACCATCACAACTACTAATTCTACCGATAATATGGATATTGATTCAACAAATACTGCTACAACCATAACTAAAAAATATAAATTAACTGATTATGATAAAATTATAGAAGAAAATAACAATTTAAAAAAGGAAATTAGAAATTTAAAATTACAATTAGACGATGTTAAAAGAAAGTAAAGTAATTGATTATATGATTTAACATACAGTTTTGGTCCTTCCTTTCATTTGATTTCTTTCCCCCAATTTACACGATTCATAAAGTCTTGTTGATAGTGGGCCATCTTTTTTTTTTTTTTGTTACTGATGATGGGTGGTATTTCTTTTTCTTTTTTTTTTCTTTGCCGCTGTTTCCTAAATTTAGTGAGTAAATTTACTGATGTCTCCCTCACTCCCCCCCCCCCTCAAAAATAGCTTCTCCTCACTATCAGTAAAGTCTCACTACTTACTACTACTTACTCCTGACATGGCCCCCACAGTTGTCATCTCATTCATTCCTCCTGATGGTATTTGTTTGCCCCTATTTCTGTTTCATTTTATTTTATTTTTATTTTATTTTATCCTATCTTATATTTCGTTATATGTTAAATTGATAAGGGAGTTATATTTTTTTTAGTTTGAAATATTTTCTTATCTTCTATCAGTGATTTATAGTCTGCAGAAACCACAAGCACATTCACATTTATTTATCATCATCATCATCATTATCATTATCATTATCATTATAACACGTTTTTGATCTCGTCTGGTCTGGTCTGGCCTAGTGTATCAAAGTCTATTTATCATTCATTCATTTTTTGTTTCATCCATTTTTTTGTTTCTTTTTTATTATTGGTTTTTTAAGGTTTTTGGTTAAGTTGCCTCTGGATAGGTTTAACAATTAGTTTACAAAAAAATTTTTATTGATTATTATAAACAACAATATCATTATCATTATCATTATTAGCATAGCGTAATGCCCATATATAAATCTACATACATATATAGTTAAATAAAATATAATACAATATATTTATTTATTTATTTATTTATTTATTTATAATAATAAGGTTTTCGTTATCAGTTGTAATTGTATTGTTAAGTGCAGATTTTATTTATAATTCGGAGTTGGTAAAAGGGAGGAAGAGGCGGGAAAGGAAGTTTTTGTCGCTGCGGCTGAAAAAAATCTAACAGATGCATGGATGTTTATATGCTACCAGATTCAAGGATCGCAAAAAAACAATTGAATCTAATACACAAAACTTTATTCAAAACATTATTTACAAACCTATTTGGAAGAGGGTTATATCGATCATTGGAGTCTATCAAAAGTCTAATCAACATATATACCACAATAACAAACTGAACCAAACAAAACTATGAGACGACTCATAACTCTCATTCTACTTTTCATTCTTAATTCCCCATTATCTTCAAGTCATATCATAAGTAAATTAAGTTCCAAATTAAACTTGGGTAACAACAATAACAATATCATCAACTCTAATTTGAATTTATCACCTTATGCACATCAACAAGATCAATCTTTACATGGCAGACCTTTGGTAGATCCATTAAATCCATTTGTAACAGCTACCGCTCATACTCAACCACCTGGTTCAACTCCAACATCAACACCCGCCAATGGAAATCCACCATCTCAACCTCAACAACCAATATTATTACCTCTACCAAGTTTGAAATTTCCTAAATGGTTGACTGATTTCACCGGATTAACCGAATGGCCAGGAATGGATCCTCCTTATATACCCTTAGATTTTATTAATTTTAATAATATTCCTCCTCATATTCCAATTCATCAACAAGGTCAATGTTCAGGATTAAATAATGGAGATTTAAGTCAATGTTCATTTGATTGTTTTAATTGTGTATCATTTGATGATGTTTATACTTGTCCTAAATTAAGTCAAACTTTTGATGATGGTCCATCACCATATACATTAAAATTATTAGATAATTTAAAAACTAAATCAACTTTTTTTACATTAGGTGTACAAATTATTAGATATCCTGAAATTTATCGTAAAACAGTTGAAAAGGGCCATATTATGGGTTCTCATACTTGGAGTCATAAATTTTTACCTGGTTTATCCAATGAACAAATTATTGCTCAATTAGAATGGTCGATATGGGCCATGAATGCTACTAATGGTCATTTACCTAAATGGTTTAGACCTCCTTATGGTGGAATTGATAATCGAATTCGAAGTATAATTCGTCAATTTGGTATGCAAGCTGTTTTATGGGATTTTGATACTTTTGATTGGAAATTGTTGGATGCTACCAATTATAATCATAAACCACAAGATATTTATAGTAATTTAAATCAATTTAAAATTAATAATGGAGGTAAAGGATTAATATTAGAACATGATGCTGTTATAAATACGGTTGATATTGGAATTGAAATTAATCATAAGATATTACAAAATGAAATTCAATTTACGGTACCTCAATGTGTAGGAGGAATTGATTATATTAAAAAGTTTGAGGGAATGAAATAATTTTTTTATCTATAAATAAACAATATTTATTAAAAAAGAAAAATAAAGTAAGTATATATAATATATATAAAATAAATAACCAGTATCAAAATAAATAAGTAAAATTAGATTAGAATAAGATAGATTAGACTAGATCATCTTTAAAGTAGCTAATAAATAAATAAATAAATAAATAAATAAATAAATAGTAATCAATAAATAAATAGCAATATTGAGTAGTAGCAATAATAACAATTAATAGCCAAAAGGAAAAAAAAAAAAAAATAGCAAACAATTTTTTAACGAAAGTATGAGGGTAAATAAAATAAGGTATCAAAAAAAAAAAGGGTGAGATAAGATAAGGATGGGAAGGGATTAAGCACTTGCACTAACGACTGGAGCTGAACCATTTAATACTCCTTCAACTTTACCATTGATTGGAGTTATGATTTGTTGTTTAGCTTCATTTATTAAAGAATCAGCTTTAATTTTAGTTGAAGTTGCCACTTCACCTAAATAATCGGTAGTTTGAATTTTCAAGGGAGTTATGAATTCATCATTTAATGATTTTATGGTTTTTAAACCGGTATTGTAGGATGCTTGGATATTCTTGGCGATATAATTTGCTTCTGCGGTTGTACTTTTTAATTCTTGATTATAAGTTGAGATTAATTCATTAGAGATATGATTTGTGGAAGTATTAATTTTTAATTTCAAATTGATCAAGATGGTATTGATGATGTAAAAGAATTTAATAAATTCATTTGATTCGGTGGATTCGAATTTTTGATCAAATTTAACATAAGTGTTACTATTGTTAATGGAGATTAAATAATTATTAATTAATGATACATATTTATTCTTAAAGATGAATTGAGTAACGTATTGATCGAAAACAGTCAAGATTGAATCTAAGGTAGCATCAACAAAGGTCAAATTGGTATAGATTAAATCAATGGATGAAAGATGGGTATTGATAAAAGTAAGGATGGAAGAAATGTAACCTTCATATAATTGTTTAACTAAAGTGATAGCATAGATATAATTGACAATGTAGGATACCACAGAGTATTTTAAAAAGTGATCTAAAGATTTAGAATGGAATTGTTTAACTGATTCAGACATTGTAAGGATGTGTAGGTATTAGTTGTAGGAGTAGTAATAGTAATAGTTACAAGTCAAAAGGCTGAAGGAATGATTGACTTTGTGGTAAAAATTGATAAGGTGAGTGAAGGAAGTGATGGAAGAAAAAAAAAAGATGTGTATGAGTATAATCAAGTCAAGTACAGATGAGATGATTGATATGATATGATATGAGATATCTTTAATGAATGATTGATTGATTGATTGAATCAAGAGAAGAACAGAACAGAACAAGTTGAAGAAATCAATTATTAAAATGGAAGGAAATCTAATCACTATTTATATTATAATTGTGTATGGGTATGGGTATGGGTATGGTGTGTGTGGGAAATGGTTTAAGGGATAATTTTTGAAAAATAAAAAAAAAAAAAAAACTTAAAAAATAAAAAAAAATTAAAAAATTAAAAATAAAAAAAAAAAAAAAAAAACATGTGAATGGTTTTGTGTCATTTAATCATGGTGGTTGACTCAATTTAGTTCTAGTCCCATTTTATCATATTATAGAATCTATCAATCCCATTCCATCCCATCCCATCCAATCCAATCTAAATTTAGTCAATCTACAAATTACAATAATTCATCATCATCCCTTTTCCTATCTAAATTTAGACCATGGATGAACATGAACATGAATTAGCTTAAGCACATCATCATCATTTGATAATTATAGAGTTACAAATAAAATAAAATGTAAACAACACGATACTCACCCTTTAATTTGCATGTGATAATTTTTAGGTTAACTATGGCTGGACTGCATATAAACTTGCGCCTTCTAAACGATTCCGAGCTCTCTCACTCAAAATTAACGAACACAATAATAATCAACTGCTAATTTTAACTGTTATTCCATCATAGGATCAAGATCTATTTCAATCCATTGTTAATGTTATTAACCTTCACTATGCCGTGCATCACCTCTGGTACCAGTACTCAAATGTAAATATCATTGCAATAATGTCAGATGCTAATTGAAGATAAATAAATAAATAATTAGTTAGTTAGTTAGTTAGTCCATCTATCCTAACTCTATTCCGATTTATGCCTACCAGTGGTGGTGGTTAAGATATTTCATTTATTCTCTCTTTCTTTCTACTTCAATCTAACCTATATACCCATTTCACTTCATTTTTTTCATCCACTGGATATCATCTCTCTTAACTCAAATGTTTATTATTATCTGTTATGGGAAACTTCATTACTATAAACAGAACTGATGTCTTTTTAAGCTTTTTCTTAATTACTTCCCTTTCCCTCCCTCTTGTGATAATCTCGTTACTTTATTACACAGTTACCATTATTATTTAATTGTTATTTATTATTACTATTGTTTATTATTATTTATGATTTTTTTTTCTTGTTTGATTCAATTATTAACTGACTTTATTTCATCAAACCACACCATACCTTACCTTAGTATACTATACTATGCCATGTTTTCCAAACATATAAAGTATATAATAAACTAACATCTAACTATAATATACACATACTTACCCTTACCCTTACCCTTACCCACCCACACACTTCAACTTCAACTTCAACTTCCACTTCATTTAAACTATTACCTCACTCTACATCTTTACTTTCGGCACTTATCGCTAAAAAACTTTAACCTTTAAAATAGTAACCAACTAATAATACCTCAATTCAGTATAAACCTTCTTTTTTTTCAATTTCAATTTCACCATATCAATTCCTCTCCCTTCCTATATTATTATTAACTTATACCAATAGTTTATTTCTCTATTGACTCATATAACCCCCTTTATCAAATCTTGAGTAAGAGATAAACTTTATTTTTTACCTTTTACCTTTTATTTTTACTTTATTATTTAATTATTTATTTTACTGTTTTATCAAGTTATGACCTATCCCTTCATCTATGTTGAACTCATTCTTAACACGGTAAATAACAACCTCAACTATCATTATTATGTCATTATCATAGCATCATTGTTATTCTCAAGTGTCTATGTCTGGTTATGGATATCATACGTTTTTTTTAAACTGTTAATCCTTTTTTAAATATTTTTATTTAGATGTTTGTGGTTACGGTTGCTAAAAATTACCACACCCATACACACACTTTACACATTTTATTAATCGTAAATATTTTCTAAGCTTATTATTGTTATCATTCATTATTGTTTTGGATTTATTTATTATTATATCCCGCCCACTCTTTCTTGGTTGCTTTATCCCTCAACCCCTCGAACCTATCTACTCCTTACTACTATTTTTTACTTGGCTCGCCAAAATTACCCTAATTATAATTATCTTTCAATCATACACATGGATACGTAATAATACACACACATAATCATACATTCAAAACTGAACTCCGTCGTTTCGTTTCGTTTCGTTCGTTTCAAGGGGGTGTGAGCGACGTTCTATTACGATAATCTTTTAAGTCAAGTTAATAAGTTAATTTATAACTCTATTAAAAATTTATAGTATAATTTTCTCACAACCATTATTCAAAACTTAATTATTATTTAAAACTATATTATTGTTATTTATTGTTATTTATTATTAATGATGGTCAATCATTACCTTTTCTTCCTCTTCATTTTGTCTGCCTCTTTTTTAACGCCAATTATTCCTCCATTAAGCTAAGTATTCGTAAATACCATATCGCATAACCATGACAATAATCAAATAAATGAAAGTATCGATATTTTTAAGTTTTAATAATAATTCATTTTCATTTCATTTCAAACTTTTGACCAGTAATTTATTTTTATTATCATCATTTTAAACTTTTAAACAAGTAAAGAAGACATAATAGAAGAATACAATTGAAATATGAGGATTGGACTTACATATACATACCTTACTTTCTTTCTTTCTGTCTGTCTTTGGTTCATGTGTTGGTCTAGTCAGAATTACACACCCATTCAAGGGGGATGAATGATATTATTTCTTATCTTTTACCCCAGGGGGTTACTTACATGCATGCATGAATGATATCATTAAAACTATATTCTCCTCCCAGCCCCGATAAATAAGCATGATATCATATCATCGATCGTTTGGAATTGACTTACATGAAAGGTCCGAATCTATGTATCTATGCATTCGTTTCATTCCTTTTTTATCTCGTAATAATCTTCAAATGTTCCCCACTATATCATTTTCAAACGGTTATAGTTCCCTCTTTTTCAATATGATATCTTAATTGAGTTCGCTAATCTTAGTTAATCCATCCATCCTACCAAGTTCAAACCATAAACTATCTAGTTTAACCCCCTCCGTCATCTCCGTCAATATCATTTCTACAAATTGGTCTAGAAACAACTACTCTCTTTGAGGCTTAATTTATATATTCAATTATTAATTGACAATACAATATAAAAAAAATTAACAATAACCATAATGATTAAATCTTCATTTATTGTTGTTTACATTCTGGTGGAGGATCCTTTTGACCTTGACCGTCATCTTCATCATCATCATCTTCTTCATCATCTTCATCATCTTCATCGTCGTCATCCTCGTCATCATCTTCTTCTTCATCATCTTCATCAAATTCTTCTTCTTCTCCAGGATAATAATCAACAGCATCACCAGTAAACCAATCAATAGCTCTTGGAATTAAACGATCTTTAAATTCTTCCCCTAATTGATAATCTAATTCTAATCTGGCTTCTAATTCTTCTTCAGCATCTTCATCTTCTTCATCTTCATCATCTTCATCATCCTTTATATGTTTTTCATCATGTTCTTCATCTTCATCATCTTCATCTTCAGCCTTCTTTGGAGGTTTTGGAGGATCAAAGAAATTAAAAAATGATTCAGTTGGAGTTAATTTTTCAATGGTTCTAGTTTGTTTAGTATTTTTATTTCTTTGTTTTCTTCTTTCAATATTAATAGTAACATTATTTTCTTTGGATTTCCAATTAATTTCACATCCATCGGCATGATCATAAACAAATTCTCCACTATATCCTAATCCACCTTGATAATGATAAGTCTTGGTTAAAAATTGATTGGAAAAATATTCATTTTCTTCAAATTCAAAAATTAATTCAAATCCTGGGGTTTCTAAATATTCAGATCTAATATCAATTAAATGTAATAATACTTCACTATCTCTTTCAGTAATAGTTTCACTTATACTAGTCAAGTTTTCTATGGCAGTTAACCAGAAACCTGGAATACCCTTTTCATTAGATTCTGCTTCCTCTTCATCATCATCTTCTTTATCAGCTTTTTCTTTATCATCATTGATTTCTTTAATTTTTTCTTCTTCATCATCTTCATCATCATCTTCTTCTTCTAAAGCATAACCTTCTTCAATTTCTTCAGCGGTTGGTTCAACATCACCAACAATAATATTCTTTCTTCTAACAAACAATGGTTCATACTTCTTAGCATATTTCTTTTCTAATTCTAATAAATCCTTTTGAAATTCTTCTTCAACTTTTCTTTGCTTTAATTGAATAGCTTTTAATCCATAAACTCTATCTTTAGTAGCTTTAGGTAAAGTTGAAACATATGAACTTTGCTTTCCAACCAATGCACTCAACTTACCTTGGATCATACTTAATAAATGAGGATTATTAGCAATTTGTCTTAATAATTCTGGATCTTCTTCTTCAATACTTGGAACCGTTGGAGGTTGTGATCTAAGATAAGAATTAGTCACTGATGATGGAGTGTTTTGAGGAGTTGGAGCCTTGGAAATATCTCCATGCTTGCTCTTGATTGGACCAGACATCTTTCGTTTCGTTCCTGATTGATTGGATTTGATCGATTGATGGATTAATCGTAATTCGTCAAGATGATCTTTCTTTCATTCCATCGTTATTTCATCCGTGTCTTTCGCCAACTTTTTTTTTGCTCTTTGAATCAGAAAAGTAAAGGACGTGTGATTTGGTCAAGAAAAAAGAAACTTTTTTTTAGTTGTAATTACAAACGCGTCTACTTTTTAGGGAAGAATGTCCTTGTGCTACCATGTGGGTGACTTTATTACAAGTTGCAAAAATAATATCTTGTTCTTTCATTACTCATAATTCATTTATATATATATATATATATCTAAATAATTTTAAAATCTCATCTCTTTGGAGAAAGAAGAATATCCTTGGGCAATTCAATACTTGCTTCCATACTTATACCTTCATTTTTCCCATCCAAATATAATTCAATTTCTTGTTTTCTTAATTCCCATTTTTCAGTTTGAGATAATTTGACTTCAATTTCATTAATTTCTTTATCAATCGATTTTAAATTCTCCACACTAGTTAAATCATGAAATTCCCAACTTCTTTCATCTTGTTCATCTTTAATTTCTAATATAAAATCATGATATTTCATTAATAATGGTCGATGACTTAAAGTTATAAATGAAATTCTTTTTGTTCTTAATAATTCAAATAAATAATCTTCAACATCAGTCAGAACTGCATTGGTACTTTCATCTAATATAACTAATTTGGGATTTTTAAATAATACTCTAGCAATACTAATTCTTTGCTTTTCACCTCCACTGAACACATCTTTCCATTCCTTGATAACATTGAAATTACCTTCTCTTTTTAATAAATATTCTAATTTAACTTCTCGTAAAATATGATACAAATAATCATCATTATATCCCATTTCTAACATATCATTATAACTAAATGGATAAATGATTTGATCTCTTAAATTCCCGGTGGTGAAATAAGTCTTTTGTGGTAAATAAAAAATATCATCATCATTTGGTTTTGATAATAATCCATGATAAAATGGCCATAATCCGGCCATAATTCTTGAAATTGAAGTTTTACCACATCCATTTGGTCCTAAAATTAATAAATTTTTATTATTATCTTTAATATCAATAGTTATATCACTAATTAATGGAATACCTTCCCCTCCATCAATACTTGGAATTATAACTGAAAAATGTTCTAACCTAATTCCCTTAGCATAATTATTTTGAATAGTACCATGAATATCAGAATATCCAAATTTAGATCCAAAATCATATCTTGGGGAATGAACTTTATGTAATTGAGTTAAAAGATTGAAAACACGATCAGTATGACCAGTTAATTGATTTACATCTTTAATAGAATACATTAATCTTGAACCTGCGTCTGCTAATGATAACATTAATCTTTTATTAATAATAAATTGTCTCATATTTTTCCTTTCATCAACTCTTTGAATTTGACTAAGACTTTTATCAGATTGATCAGGAACTTGTTTAGGCCAAATTTCATCTAAAAATACCGGTAAACCAGCAAATACATAACCCCATGCTGACCAAGTATATTTTAAAACATAATCTTCAATAACTCCATAATTTAAAGTTATATTGATTTCATTATTTACATGATTCATTAAACCTCTAAATTTTTCTTTTAATTTAACTTTTTCAATTAATGAACCTTTATAAAATCCAATTTCTTCACAATTATTCATTAAATTTAATTGTTGATTAAAAAATTGACCTTCTAAATGAGTTCTTTTGGATGATAATTTTCCAAATGGTGGAGTTGATTGTTTTAATAATACAGCGGTAATAAAATAATTGGTAAAAATCCCAATTATAGCACCTGTACCTAAATTATCTCTTAAATAAACTGAAAAAAATATTAAATCAATAAATGGTTTACCCATACTTGAAAATAAACCACTTAATGAATCACAAAATTTTGAAATATCTTGAGTAATATATTGATCAATATTTTCAATTGAATTTGAATTATTTAAATTAACTTTATAATAAGACATTTTCTTATCTAAATACATATCATGAATATATCTTGTTAAATTAGTTCTAAATCCAAGACTTAACCGATTATCAAGATATTTTATAGCCGCATTAGTATATGAAGCAGGAAAAGCAATTAATAACCAATAAATTAAATCACGACTAAATTTTTTCCCATTAGCAGCAATTAAATTTTTAACAATTTGACCATCTAATTTAGCTACTAATAAACTTAACCAAGTTCTTAAAATTAAAAAGAAACATTGAGATAATAATAATGAAGTATTTCGACTATAAAATTTAGGAATTAAAATTCTCCAAATAATGGATAATTGATTTAAAAATTTGGAATTGAAAATGATACCTTTTGGACTTTGTTGAATTAATTGTTGATTTATATAAAAATTCTTATATAAATATTTATCAGCAGCATATTGATCTAAATTTGGTTTAGGAATGATTATTCTGGTAACTTTATTCTTACCCTTTGGAATGAAGATTTCTCTAGATCCATTTTTTAATATAGTTGATGATTGTCTAATTAAACTTGGACGATTAAGTTTTGTATTTAATAAATATTCATTATATTTAGTTAAGATATTCTTCAAGGTGAAAAAAATTCCAAATCCTGCGGTTGCAACCAAAGTAGCTAAGAATAGTATAACTGGTCTTGATTGATAGTTGATTTTAACTTTGTTGTCTCTATACGTTACCACGAATTCTTGAAGTAGGAGTAGTACATTCTTGATATCTTGTCTTTTCATCCCCACTAATTTGGATACAGTAACCATCTTGAATGAATGGAATGATGATCAGTTTGCAGCTCGTTAATCAGACTTCTATATTGGAAGAAGATTGTTCTATAAAGGAAGAGCAGCAGCTAGATGATTCTATGAGGTTTATCAAGATCTTATATGATCTGATTCAGATCTTTCACTAACAGAGTTATTGTTGTTGTAAATGATTAAGATGATTTGATGATGATGATGATGATGATTGTTGTCATCATCATAATTACATTTGTGGGGGGGGGGGAGGAGAATCATTCAAATGGAGGTATATGCAGGAATATTTGCCGAGGACTAACAAATATTTATGATCACTTTATAAATTACTTTTTCACATGCCCATTAAAACTTTGGAGGCTTGGATGTTCTTCGGTTTCTGCGGTAAAGGTGTTTGTTTAGTAAGTAAGTTATATTATGGTACTATAATTATTTGTCTATTTACAAGAATATTTATAAAGTACAATAAATATTAAAAGTTTTTTAAAGATTCAAATGATTGATCTATGTCATCACTAACCATTATCTAACTTCTTTGCATCAAGTATTATCCAAACTTTTCAAGCAATTTAATACTCATCTATTGTTGAAGAGCTAAGTCTATCTGTCTATTATGTCATTAATTCATTATTATCATTCTATCATGCTATCACACCTTCTCCTATCAATAGATTCACCTCTGTATATTCTTACCCACACATGTCTTGAATAATTCAAACTCTTTCACACAATCATCATGTTTGATAGTTGCATATTTCTGTAAAATACATTGACCATAGATTGATCCTTCTTTAGCACATTTCCCCGTGGCTTTCATTAATCGTTTAGCGGGTCTGACCTTCTGATTGGATGTCATTGTGATTATATTGGTTTATATATATGAATGATGGAATTGATTGTGGAGACCTTTGTAGTTGATATTGAATATATCTTTGGTAATTAATTTATAAAATTTTTATTTTATCTTCAATTTTTCCATTTTTTACTTTGTGGTGCGAAAATGATCAAAATGCAAAAAAATGACAATGAATAACTCTATAATTATGGTCTTTACACTCAGAAACCCACACCACAATTATTCTTAGCTGTTTTATTTAAACATTCTAGATGATAATTTATTTCCTTAATTTGTGTTAAACGGTAGTTAGGTATCTACCACTATATTCTAACCTTAATTTAATCAAGTTAAACTTGAGCTTAATTTTTAAATTTCTAGATAGCTATGTCTATTGCTACATATTTCACTATGCCAAGATTCATTCTAAGTTAAACATTGAATGATATATAAATATTCTAATAACCAAAAGTAAAACTGCAAGCATTATAAATTAGTTGAATTATATAATGAATTACTTTTCTAAGAGTTAATGAGTCTCAGGATTTTTGAAATACGATAGAAAATTATACCAGTGGTCACCAACAAAGTCCAACACCAAAATTGTAACATAAATCAATAGCATATATTGAAATACACTTTGAATACACTTCAAATCAATGGTGAACATCAATTATCTTTACTTTTAATTAATTTATCATAAAAATATATGGTAGCACATCTCACGTGACACAAACACTTTAAAAGCACTAATATTTTAAAATTTGAAAAAAATTGTGTCACAGTGGCCGAGTGGTTAAGGCGACGCCCTGCTATTGTTAGCGGTTTAGGCGTTGGGATTTTCCTTCGCAGGTTCGAATCCTGTCTGTGACGTCATGTTCGTCAAGAATGCTTATTTTTTTTTTGCATATTTTTTAACTTTTGAATAAACTATTATAAATGAACGTTAGATTACAATTGATATCGATGTAACTTCAATGATTATGATCTACTATATACTATTGATTATTAAAACGGTGTGAATAGATTCACCACAGTTGACATATTTAAGGTGGGAATTTATTTTGATTTAGTGGGAATTTTTTCGCACCTTATGATCTTTAGAGTCATAAGATGTTAAGCATAAATATTTCAAGTATTGGCTTTTACTACTTGTAGTAAGTCGTGGTGTGATAGATAGTTAGTTTGATTTTATATGTTTCTGTTAATCTTTCTACGTTAATATATAAGATAATCCAACCAAGAAAGTAATAAGACAAAAGTATCTATATATACAATTTAAGTAGTTGTCAGGTCCACAAATAACTTCCCGTCCCCAAAAAAAAATATAATTTCTCCCAAACGAAAAGGAAAAAGGGAAAGGGAAAAAAGTGTGAGATAAAAATTTTATCTTTCGTCCGGCGTTAGAACGTATAACCAATTTATTTATAATCATAAAAGTTTATCCATTTAGGGACAAATAGTAGTATTTAAGAAGAATCATTCCTTGTACTTTTCCTCCTTCATATCAATTGAGATATTTATCATTAATAGAACGAAGTCTTCTTTCTTCAACCACAAATTAGAATCATTGTCCTCCGGAAGGGATATACCAATTAAACTATCAATCATAAATCATGGATCCAACGAATGATCCTAACTTTACTCCTCCTTCATTAGCCAAGAATATCATTCCTCCTGCTCCTTCTTCAAGGATCCCCAGTCATATCCCTATCGAACCTTTTGTTTTAGCTGATTTAGGTAACGCCATGGATGCTCCAACTCCTCATCCAAGTAAAAATTCTAAATTAGATGATCATAATGATGATTATCATTCAAAAATCCCTCGAAAACATAGTGATCTTGTTAATTCTTCTTCCGATGAAGATATAAATACCAGTAATACTAGTGCTGGTAGTAATCTTAATAATAATAATAATAATACTAATACTACTAATAGTAATACATGTTCAGCCACACCAGATCAACCTCTTAGTGTTAATATTACCAGAAATAATAGTAGTAATTTAATACTACCACCAACCATTCAAGTTAAATCATCTCAAATTGCTGATTTAGAAGAAGTTCCTCATGGTATTCAAAGACAAGCTAGACATATCGATAATTATACATTTCCATCTCATAGATTGGCTACTTCATTACTGGATGAAACTAAATATCCTTTGGTGATTGTTGCTTGTGGATCATTTTCTCCTATAACTTATTTACATTTAAGAATGTTTGAAATGGCTCTTGATGCAATTTCAGAACAAACTAAATTTGAAGTGATTGGTGGATATTATTCTCCAGTATCATCAAATTATAAAAAACAAGGGTTGGCTCCTGCTCATCATAGAGTTAGAATGTGTGAATTGGCGTGTGAAAGAACTTCAAGTTGGTTAATGGTTGATGCTTGGGAATCATTACAACCCAAATATACTAGAACTGCTTTAGTTCTTGATCATTTTAATGAAGAGATTAATATTAAAAGAGGTGGAATTATAAATAAATTAACTGGTGAACGTAGAGCAGTTAAAATCATGTTATTAGCCGGTGGAGATTTAATTGAATCAATGGGTGAACCTGATGTTTGGGAAGATGTTGATTTACATCATATTTTAGGTAGATATGGATGTCTTATTGTCGAAAGAACAGGTTCAGATGTTAGAAGTTTCTTATTAAGTCATGATATAATGTATGAACATCGAAGAAATGTCTTGGTGATTAAACAATTGATTTATAATGATATTTCATCAACCAAAATAAGATTATTCATTAGAAGAGGGATGTCAGTTCAATATTTATTACCAAATTCGGTTATAAGGTATATTCAACAACATAAATTATATTATGATTCTGAACCTGTTAAACAAGTTATGTCTGATAAAGCCGATTAAAATAAAATATTAAGTCGTTTGGCGTCTACTTGTTTTTAAAAGCTTAAAAGCTAAAGGCTAAAGACCGATGTCAAATGGTGGTAACCGTTTGAATCCACTGGTCCCACCTCCACTTTTTTCGTTCTTGACTCCTCCCTAATTTTAATTCTCCTCCCCCGCGGTGAGAGAAAAAAAATTAATTTTTTTTGAGGAAACTCCAAAAAATCTCTCGCGTAAACGGAAACTACGAATCAAATCTGGAACCTTACCCAAAGAACGATTTGTATCACTCATAGAATAGATCTAGATCGTTGTATCGTCCCTAATCTACCTACTCACCCACCTTAATTCAGTTCTTTAATTGTAACCTTTTTAATTTTGTTTAATTACAGGTACTTTACTTAATTATACACATACATTTTATACACACATTTTATATATTCAATTCCCATATTTTTGGTCAATTAAAAGACTCTTTTATTCTTTTGACAATGTTTTATTCTATTTATACCTATAGACTCTTATAATGAATAGATCATATCTTTTATTATGCTTATTTTGTAATTGCCAATCAGAAAGAAGGTCACGTATCTACTGGAATTGCCCTAAAAACTAGATCTAAACCATTTTTTTCTACTATGAGATTCTGCTGCAATTTCGATTTTAGGGCAATTTTAACACCCAAATCTTAACATTTTCGCAGTCTATAGTATGACCATAAATATGTTTCCACAAATACCATTTATTCAGATCCACTTTTATATCACTTTTCCTTTTGATCCATCCCCTGATATCACTTACAATGGTTCTTTCTGCTCCTTCTGACTCCTCAATTGTTGGAATTGATGATAGATTCAACCTCCCTCAAGTGAATTTTGGTGATTTCTCCATTGAAAATGCTCAAGATTTCTTTTTGACTGATCCTACTACTATTGATGATCAATTCGATTATCTTTTTAGTGATCAACAAACTTCTCCTTCTTATCTATTTGCTAATTTGAAAGATGTGGAAGGTATTCAATTGGATTTAGGGTCTGCTTTATTCAAGCCTGCTGCCGATGTATTCAGACCTGTTAGTCCTTTTGATTTTAACTTTGATGATTCTTCTTCTACTACTTCTAAGGCTATTGAAGAAACTATTATTATTTCACTGAATGCCACTACTCCAGAAGTTATTGAAATTGAATCTATTATTACTGTCTCTTCTACTTCAACTGAAACTACTACACCAGTACCTGTTACAACTGATCCAAATTTTGTCAGTGATGAAACATTTGATGAAATCATGAAAGAACTTGAATATCCAACAATGGAAAAGGTTGTTACTACTACTGCTTCTACTTCTACTTCTACTGCTGATGTCTTTGCTCTTGCTACTACTGATGAAATTCCTTTATCTAACTTTTTACCAATTACACCACCTTGTGAACATTCAAAGGCTAAAGTTACTATTAAAAAGGAAACATCTTCTAGAAAGAGAAAAGCTTCTGATGATTTTACTACTTCTGAATCTCCTAAATTAAAATCTGTTAAAAGAGAATCTTCTTCTGGACCAACAATTAATGCAACTACTGAAATTATTGAATTGGATTCTAATGCTATTCCAGTTTATTCTGTTGCTGATGTTGAACCAAGTTTAGAATTTGAATTAATCAGAAGTTTGAAATTTGTTCTGGAAATGAAAGAAACTCCAAAAATTACAAGATGTTTCTATAATAGACCTAATTTCCTTAATGAAGTTCATGATCATGATCATTCTTACGTTTATACTCCAAATACGAGATTTAATAATAATTGTTATGAACCACAATATTTCCAAACTAATACTGATGAATCTGGGAAACCAATCTTATCTACTAAAAAAGGATTATGTGGTTATTGTAAGGATATTCATTTCTATGTCCTTAAGAATTCCAATTATAATTCTCATTTGGCTAATATTCATGGTATAAATTCTCAAGGTCTTTTATATCCTGATCCATTATATGGAGGCATTTATAATTTTGCTAAAGGTGAAACTGGTAATAATTGTAATACTGCTAAACATTATAAATTTACTGAAAGAGAAAAACCAGCTGTTGTTTGTCCTGGTTGTTACAATTTCTTTGATTTTAATGATAATTTTACAACTTATTTGAGACATTTCAGATATGTACATACTCATAAATAATGATTTAATGATGGGAAAAGGGGTTTAAAAAGGGATAGTTATAGAATAGGATTTTTAAAAAAGGTTTATTATAAAAGTTATAAAAGTTTAAAAATAAAAAACATAACTATAAAATAAAAAAAAAAAGTATAATATATTTTACAAAATTAAAAGAAAAAAACATTTTTATATGGTTATCTTTGTTATCATTAAAAAGTACATAAAATATATATAATTATAAATAAATATAAAAAAAACAGGCTTACCATTCTTGTGTTTTAAGACCGTAGACTGACTTTTTAGTTCCCTTAGCAGGTTTAATTAATTTTGAACCACCTTCTAAGAAAGAATATTTATCTCTTCTAACTTCTTCAAATTTCTTAATAAAGTCTTCCTTTTGTAAAGTTAATCCAATATCATCTAAACCATTCACTAAACAATGTTTTCTAAATTCTTCAATATCGAAATTTTCAACTAAAACTTCATCAGTTTCTCCATGTCTAATTTCTTGTTTTGGTAAATCAACAGTTAATTGAAAACCAGCTTTAACAACAGGGTATAATTTTTCTTTTATAACTTCTTGAGGAATTCTGATTGGTAATAATCCATTCTTACATGAATTATTGTAAAAGATATCCCCAAATGATGGAGCAATCATACATTTGATACCAAAATCTTTAAGAGCCCATGGAGCATGTTCTCTTGATGAACCACAACCGAAATTATCTCCAGTAACAAGTAAAATTTCTGCTTTACGGTAATCACCTACATTTAAAACAAAATCAGTTTCAACATCTTTACCAGTTTCTGGATCCTTAGTAAATCTAGCTTCATAGAATAAACCAGTTTTTAAACCAGTTCTTTTAATGGTTTTTAAGAATTGTTTTGGAATAATGGCATCAGTATCAACATTAGCTTTTTCTAATGGAGCAGTTATACCAGTAAGAACAGTGAATTTATCCATTCCACCTACTGTATCATCGATTTTAGCTTTCTTGGCAGCTGGTTCAGTTGATGAGGATTTTGGAATATCATAAAGACGTTCAGCTTCAGTAGTTGGAGTATCTTCAATGATTTCCTTTTCATGTTCATATACAGCATCTTGTAAAGCTTTATCTTCTTCTTCAGTATGAATTTGAATGGCAGCTTCATCATGATTTATATAATCAAATTCACGAATATCAGTGAAATGACCTTTAATGGCAGCAGCAGCAGCCATAGCAGGAGACATTAAATGAGATCTGGAACGAGCACCTTGTCTACCTTCGAAATTTCTATTAGAAGTAGAAGCACATCTTTCTTCAGGATCTAAAATATCAGGATTCATACCTAAACACATTGAACAACCAGCTTCTCTCCATGAGAAACCAGCAGCTTCAAAGATTTTATCTAATCCTTCCTTTTCAGCTTGAGCTTTAATTAAACCGGAACCTGGAACAACCAAGACTAATTTAACATTATCAGCTTTTTTATGACCTTTAGCAACTTTAGCAGCAGCTCTTAAATCTTCAATACGAGAATTGGTACATGAACCAATGAAAGCTTTATCGATTTTAATATCAACTAATTTAGTATTTGGAGTTAACCCTTGATATTTTAAAGCTCTTTCCATACCATCTTTTTTAATTGGATCAGTAACAGTTGATGGATCTGGAACAGCAGCAGTGATTGGTAAAGCATCTTGAGGAGAATTACCCCAAGTTATAGTTGGAACAATATCAGAAGCAGCGATTTTAATATCATAATCGAAATAAGCTCCTTCATCAGAATGTAAAGTTTTCCAATATTTAACAGCTTTTTCCCATTCAACCCCTTTTGGAGCTAATGGTCTACCTTTAACATAATCAAAAGTAGTTTGATCAGGTTTAATCATACCAGCACGAGCACCACCTTCAATAGACATATTACAGATTGACATTCTTGCTTCCATTGATAAATTTTCAATAGCTTTACCTGCAAATTCTATAACGCAACCAGTACCACCAGCAGTACCAATAACACCAATAACATGTAAAACTAAATCTTTTGAAGTTATACCTTCTGATAAATCACCATCAATGGTAATTCTCATATTTTTAGATTTAGCTTGAATAATAGTTTGAGTAGCTAAGACATGTTCAACTTCAGAAGTACCAATACCAAAAGCTAATGCTCCGAAAGCTCCATGAGTTGAAGTATGAGAATCACCACAAACAACAGTAGTACCAGGTAAAGTAAAACCTTGTTCTGGACCAATGACATGGACAATACCTTGTCTACCATCATCCATACCGAAGTAAGTCACACCGAAATCTTTAACATTTTGTTCTAAAGTTTCAACTTGTAATCTTGAATCATCTTGATCTATAAATGTAGACACATTTTTGAAATTTTTACGTGTTATGGTTGGAATATTATGATCAACAGTAGCTAAAGTACAGTCTGATCTTCTGACAGTTCTACCAGCATTTTTTAATCCTTCAAATGCTTGAGGAGATGTAACTTCGTGAACTAAATGTCTATCGATATATAATAAATATGATGATCCTGAATCATCCTTGTGAACGATATGATCTTCAAATACCTTATCGTATAAGGTTTTTGGATTAGAAGCAGCCATGTTTGAATATAAACTTGTTGTTGTTATGTTCTTATAGTGTTTGACTGAAGAAAGAAACAAGAAACAAATCAATCGTCCAGATTAATTTTAGCTTATTATATATATATTTTTCAAAACTGTCGAGGTCAATTTGTATGCGTCATATTAAAAAATGGAGAAGGCCGTCACCGCTCCTGTTGCGGAACAGGGCCGTTCGTACGGGGGTCTAGGCCAATTAAATGAATAGAATTTGTCACTGTTAAAAAAAGGAAAAAAAGGTAACGTGACTAATCATGTTACTTTTGTCAGCTGATCTAATCTGTAAAAGTTTTAAATTTTTTTTGATTTTTGATTTTTACAGGTTATTGCGATCTCAGTTTTTCCCTTTGATTTCTGTTATGCTACTTGCCCCTACTTAAAATCAATTAGTCAAGCTTAAAAGATTGGGATAGTTACACTTAGCTATTAGTCGAATATCAATGATACCAGCAGGGAATAGGAGGTCAAAGATAAGACCACCCAGGAAATCATTGGTGAGTTCTTCTTTGGAATCATCTACTACTGATCCTACTGTTGATTATGAAAAATCTTGGTCTATACTATCTAATGCTATAATTCAAATTCAAAATAAAAGCGTGTCAAATCTTTCATATGAACAATTATATCGTAAGGCTTACATATTGGTATTAAGGAAATATGGTGGAAAGTTATATGACAATGTGGCAGCCTTAATTACTCATCATTTATTAAATAGAAGAGATTATCTTGTATCATTAACTGATAGTGAACAATTCATGAAGGCCACTCTTACAGAATGGGATGAACATTTACAATCGATGAAATTCATCAGTGATGTGTTAATGTATCTTAACCGAGTATATGTGAAAGAACATAAGAAATTGTTGATCTATGATTTAGGAATTCAATTATTTAAAGATAATGTTATCAAATATAGTGATGATCAAGTAGGGAAGAAGATTGTGGAAATAGTTATACTGGAAATCACTAGAAATAGAAATGGAGAAGTCATAACTACTAATATGTATATTACAAAACTTATCAATATGCTTGAATTACTTGTGGAAAGTGGTAGCGGAGATATTCAATTTGGTGAGAATTATTATCAAAGTTCATTTGAACCTGCTTTCCTTGCAAGTTCAGAAACTTTCTTTTATCGATTATCTTCAGAATATGTTAATTATAACTTGGGAACAAGATATATTCAATCTACTAGTAAATTTATTAAAGATGAAGAAAGTAGAGTTAATTTTTATTTACCAGAATCAACTTATCCAAAATTAAACGAATTAATGAATAATATCATGATCAAAGATAAAATCGATACCATATTGTCTTTACCATATGATCAACAAGGTCTATCATATTTATTACAACCAGTAATTACTAATGTCATTGAGGGAAGTAATGAAAGATATCATATACAAGATCTTAAAACCTTATATGATTTAATAGGAAGAATAGATGAAGAACAAGGTATACTTCGTAATAAATTAAAACAGCATATTATAGCCCAAGGGGAAGATCTTCCAAAACAAATTAGAAGATCACTTGAGAATTCAGGAGAAAAGAGACCAAATCCAGCTACATTTGCTATTAAATGGATTGAAGCAGTATTAAAATATCATGAAGAATTTGCTGTAATTCATAAAGAATCATTTTATCAAGACTCAACCGTTTCCCAAGCTATTACTTATGCTATGAGAGAATTTATTAATGTCCCACCAAGTGCAAGGAAAGATACTAATGCTGTTAATGCTCCTGAATTATTATCGATATATATGGATTATCATATTAAACAAATTGGAAAACCATCACCATCAAAGGAAATCGATGCTATCAATACCTCTGATTCAAGAGATTATGTTGATATATTTATAGAAAAATCGATTCAATTTTTAAGATTCATTAAAGATAAAGATGCATTTGAAGCTCATTATGCTAATCATTTTGCTAAAAGATTTCTTAGTTCTAAATCTGGGTCTCAAGTTATTTCATCTAATAATAAGATGGGAATTGATATTGAAGAATTATTATTATCTAAATTAGGTGAAGAAATGGGTACAACATCATTGGATAAGATTATAAGGATGAATAAAGATATTAAACTTTCTAAGGATATTACTACCGATTGGAAGAAACTTCTTAGTCAAAGTACTAAGAAGGAATTAATTGATGTTGAATTAAAAATCTGTAATGTTAATGATTGGCCAAAATCAATGGTTAAAGATTATAAAGCGTTTACAAGTGATGAAAATGGTCAAACCTCATTTATTTGGTCAAAACAGCTTCGTCCTACCATTCGAGAATTTGAAGAATTTTGGTTTAGTGGGAAGAAAAATGATAATAAATCATTATATTGGAGTCCTAAATTTGGATCTATAGATTTAAGAATAACCTATCCTTCAAGAACTTATGATATTAATTTATCAACTTATGCTGGGATTATAATGTTATTATTTGCTCCCCAATCAACTGATAATTATGGGAATTTAGTTCTGGCATTTGAAGAAAATAAAGAATTATCGTATGAAGAAATTAAAGAACTTACAGGTATAGCAGAGATCGATTTAAAAAGACATTTACAATCGATAGCGGTAGCGCCAAGACTGAGATTACTTATTAAATCTCCCATGACCAAAGATGTTAATGATAATGATAGATTCAAATTAAATGAGAAATTCAAATCTCCATCTGTTAAAGTCAAAGTATTAACTGTTTCCGCAGCATCATCAGTAGCGGCTAATGCTCAAACCAAGGTTAAGACGGAACAAGAAGAAGAGGCGGATGAAGTGAAAGCCAATATTCTTGAAGGTCGTAAACTTGAAGTGAATGCCGCTATTGTCAGAATTATGAAGTCACGTCATACTCTTAAACATAATGAATTAATAGAAGAGCTCACAAAGCAATTATCGAATAGATTCCAACCGCTGATTCTGTTAATTAAACAAAGAGTGGAGGATTTAATAGAGAAGGAATATTTAAAGAGAGATGAAGAGGCTTCCAATGTATATCATTATGTAGCATAAATAGATAAGTAAGTAAGTAAGTAAGTAAGTACGGCAAGCCATCGGCCCATATCTACCAAGTAATATATTCTCCACATCATGATGCATCATGTAGAACCAGTATGCCGCTTCAGATACAATTAATTTTGCATCTATATAATGACTATTTGCGGGTTTATGACATGGAATTATTTTCGACACACACGGAATCGAAATCAGCAGCGGTTGTCCCAAATAGGAAATTATTTTCCACTATCAAACCAGAACAATACAAATCCAAATGGAAGTGGAGGAGGAAGAGAAATTTTCCGCAAAAGGCGTTCTAAAGTTAATTTATTGCTATAGATTTCAAATTAGGGTTTCTTCAATAGTTATAGAGTTTAAGCTATCAATAGATAAGATAATTAACAGATCTATAGATAAAATTTTTTAGTTAAATAAATATTATTTTTTAGAATGCCGGAATTGAAATTTTCAATATATTATATATAAACAGAGCTATATCTGATGATAATTGATCGACAATCATTTTTCATGCAAAGCCTTTTACATTAACGAATTATAATAATTAATCCATAAATGACAGTGGATGTTAAATTAGAAAATCAAATTTCAGTTGCCGAGGTAGGCTCATTATCATTCACTACTGATAATGATGATTCTCAACAATTAGAAAAGAGATTCGGCCTTTGGACAACCATTGCTTTACAATATTCTCTTATCTGTTCAGGTCTTGCTATTGGTACATTCTTAAGTACTGTTATTGGAGTTGGTGGTTCACCATTTTTAATCTATGGATTTATATTTGCAGTAACTTTGGATTTAATAATATGTTTCAGTCTTGCAGAATTAGCATCTGCATTCCCGCATTCTGCTGCCCAAGAACATTGGTCTTACTGTATCGCCCCAAAGGGGTATAAGAAGATACTTGGATTTTCAGCTGGGATCTTATCTTGTGCAGGGTGGATTTTTTCATGTTTTAGTTCTTCATATGTATCATCAATGTTTTTAATATCTTTGGCTGAAATTTATCATCCAGATTTCGTGGCAGAAGATTATCATTATTATATTTGTTTTGCTGGGGTTACTTTACTTGGATTTTTCTTAAATGTTTTCTTAGTTAGATTATTACCTGTCCTTACTAATGCTTTAGTATTCATAATCAATGCTGGTACATTATTTGTGATTATAACTTTATTGGCTAGAGCTCATCCAAAACAAACAACTGATTTTGTATTCAAAGAGATCACTAATGAAAGTGGTTGGTCTTCAACTGGAGTGGTATTCTTCCTTAGTTTACTTCCAAGTATTGTTAGTGTATGTTTATTTGATGGTGCTGTTCATATGACAGATGAAATTGATAATCCAAAAAGAAATATCCCCCTTGTTATGGTTATTGCCAATTCTATTTCAGCTCTTGTTGCTTTCATTTGTGCTATTATTTATATGTTCTGTGTTGTCAATGTTGAGAATTTGAATGATCCAATCGGTGGAGAACCAATTGTTCAATTAATGATGGATGCCTTTGAATCAAAAGCTTTAACTACTATCGGTGTATTATGTTTAATCTTTACATTTATTGGATCCACCATGCTTTATTATTGTACATGTTCAAGATTATTCTGGGCTTTTGCTAAAAACAATGGACTTCCATTTGGTAAATATATTGGAAGTGTATCTAAGAAATATAAATCTCCAGTCTATGCTATAAGTCTTGTGGTTCTTATTTGTTTAATCTTAGGTACCATTATGTTTGGTTCAAGTACAGCTTTAAATGCATTATTAGGTAGTGCTATGGTATGTGTCAACTTATCTTACATATTCCCTATTATTTGTTTACTTATCAGATCCAAATTTTCAATCTCACCTCAAAAGAGATTTGAAAACTTTGACGAAGATGAAATACAACCAGTTTTAGAACCAACTAGAAGAGTTCCATATTTCTCATTAGGTAAATTTGGTATGCCTTTGAATGTAATTACAGTGGTATGGGTTTGTTTTATGATGGTATGGTTGAATTTCCCTATTTATTATCCTGTCACAGCTGATACTATGAATTATGCTTCTGCTGTGCTTGGGGTCACTTGTGTGATCGGAATTATTTTAGGATTCACCTCATTCAAGAATTACGAGCATAATGTAGAAAGTGGTCATTAAGCTATTTTCACATATTTTATATTTATTTAAACATCTTTCAATTCTAATAATATACAATTTTGATATAATATTGCAAACTAGCTCGTCTTAATCTGTAAAAATTAAAAACTGTAAAATCCCCTTTCAAACTGTAAAAATAGTCAAACTGTAAGAAAAGCAACGATTTCAAAAAAATAAAAAAAATAAATCGAATATCAACTTGTACTAACTATTGTCATTTTCAATCATTAAGATCAATCATGTCAGCCAATGATATATTGGATGTGTTGAACATCCTGCGTGATGATCTGAAACAACCGGCTAAGAAAAAACAAAAGATTAATGCAGAACCAGCACCAAGACAAACTGGTATGGCTAGAGAGTTGTATAACTTATTAGGTCCAAATACTCCACCAGTTAATATTACCAACTTATCAACAGTATCAAGAAAAGATAATGTTAAATTCAAAGTATCACCTTGGACTAAAATGCCATTCAATCCTAATAAAACCAAGAAAGATGGCCATGAAGTGATTTTAAACCATTGGGTTAAAGGATCCAAGGAACTTTTGGAACAGGATGAAAAGGATAAGCCATACTTTTTTGATAAATTCGATGTTAAATTAGATATTCCTGAATTAGTTGATGAAGATACTTTTGATACCTACATGGAAGAAATCAGAGAACATCAAAAGAAGATAAAAGAAGAAAGAAAACAAAGAGAGAAAGAAAAGAAGGAACAAGAAGCAAAAGATCGTGAAAGACGTGAAAAAGAAAAGCAAAAACTTCAAGAGCAGAAAAATAGTAACAATAGTACTAATAGTAGTGATAATAAATCTAATCAAGAAACTGATAATGCAGAAGAGAAGAAGAAGGAATCAAATGGAGAATTATCATCGTCATCGAATACTTCTAAGAATGAGGAGATAACTGGAAATGCTTCCCCAAGTAAAGTAAAAGTGAGTGAAGTAGAAGCAAATGAAGAAAAGGAGACTACTGATGCAGAAAAAGACGAAGAAAAACCTGCTGAAGAAGAGGAAGAAGACGAAGAAGAAGACGAAGAATATCTTAAAGAACCATGGACTTATGAAGAAACTCAATATTTATTCGATTTATGCAGTGGTCTCGAACTCAAATGGCCCATAATTTATGATAGATATAATTATGGCACTGACAGATCTGCAGAAGACTTGAGAGAACAGTTCTACAGTATTTGTTTAAAGATTCTTGATAGTCAAGAAACTAAAAATCCAGCTTTAATCGATTCACTTAGAGCTTATTCCAAATATAGAGAACTTGATAGAAAACAATATTTGGAAAATTTACTCAAGAGAACACCAGCTGAAATTGCTGAAGAAGAATCCTTAGTGATTGAAGCACGTCGTTTTGAAATGGCTGCTAAGAAAATGTTGTTAGAAAGATCTCACTTATTATCACTTCTTGATTCCCCACAAAGTACCCAACAAGTTCAACAATATTTATCATCTCAAGGTATAACCAACTTATATAACCATTTAATGATCCTTGATAAGAACCAAAAGAAACGTCAAGCACAACAACTGAAATCTCAAGTATCAAATCAAGAACCCGTACCACCACCAATTCCAATTGCTGCTTCATCATCATTCAAAAAGGATAAATCATTTCAAACTCATTTACAACAATATCTTGCAGGTGTGCTTAAGCAAAATCAAAATGCTAATCCTGGTGTCAAACAAGAAGCAAATGCCATTCAACAATTATTAATGAAGAGACTTACACAAAAGGAAGAAGAAGCTTATGGTTTGTTCTTCCATGGAACTGAAAAACTTACCCCAGGTGTCACTTTGAGATCAACTCAAAAGCTTCCAGGTTTACAGCAAAAACAATCGGTTTTGAAATCTGTTAACCAAGTATTTCAAGAACTAGACATACCTACCGCTGGCGGAACAAGCTGGAAACCAGTCATGCCAACTAGAAAATCAATGGCTGCTTATGATGATTTACTCAAGTCAGTAGTAGCTTTGTTGGAGCTTAAAAAGGGTAAGGACAAGTTGGAATCCGAAATCAAATTGATTAAAAGTCAAAGAGGATTACAGTAAGTATATGTACTATAAGTTAATAGATTTGGTATTTATGTATATTAGAAATGCATGTAAATTAATATGTTGTTTTAAAAATTAAGTATAGGGTAGAAATGAAAAATGCAAATTTAGTTTAGAAATTGAAATTAAAATCTAAAATAGTAGAACTTGAAACTTGTGGTGGATTAACTTTAGCAACCAACGTATCGATTAAATAAGTTAATTCAGTCTCAAGATGTTTTAATTCAGAATCAGAATAAATAATAGGTTGTATAGCAACATCGCGATCTGGAGGAAGTATGTCACTAAGTTTATATGGCGAGTATGGGTATTCTAAAGTGTCCCATATAAAGGATTGATGTGAAAGTTCATAGCAATTAATGAAGATATTAGAAACTTCACTTACAAAATCAACGTCTTTGTATCCATCAAATAAAATAAAAGAATCTAAAAATATTCTTCCAATTGAAATCAATGATTTCAATCTATATGCTTTGTCTGATGTTGAAGTTAAAAAATCTTGATTTAGCTTGGGAGTTTCAGCTATCAGCTTTAAGAACTTTTTGAAAAATATTGAGATTTCAAACTGACACTGTCTCATTTGTTTTAAAAAGAATGATAATAAAATATGAATAATCTTCCATTTCTCATGTTGATTAGCTAAAATCGACTTACTGTAAATACTCACCAAATGATAGATGAGACCAACACCTTCACCAGTAGTGTATTTTAACAAGAGTTCATCATAATCTTGACTGAAACGTATTGCTTGTAAAAGATCAGAATTTAAAGCAGTTAATTGTTGTTTTATAGGTTTAGACTGCCAATTAAATCTATCGAGTTCGGATTGCAGGATTCCCAATTTAGATGCTAACAACCCTATTGATTCTTGAACTCCATCAATAATAGAACAATATTTTTGAATGGATTTAACCAGCTGAATGCACAACTCTTTATACCACTTTGAAGTATAGTAATTGTTAAATTCATTACTCATAGTCTTTAAAAATTCCACTGTAAAAAGCTTCTTACTAGCTTCTGATAGCCTTTGACTTCTTGAAATATTAATAAATATATTTGAGATCACTGCAACTCGATGATTTTGAATATGAAAAGAACAAAATCCGTCTGATACTAAGGACTTCGGAAATATAAATATTTCATTCTTTTCAGTAACTAGTTGATCTATTATACGTGGGACATAAGCAGAAGTCAGGAATGAAGCCAAGCTGTTCAATATTGACACAATGATATTCTCTCTACAAGCTTTTAAATTGGTGTATTTAAGAACTTCACTGTAAAAGAGTAATGCAAACTTTTCCCGCAGTTGTTGATTTCCAAGATATGGAAATATTTGCAACGCCATCATTGACCAATTAGAATCGGACGATAAATATGTACTTATAGTCCATATTTTAATACAAATTTCAGCAGTCCTTTCCACTTTCAGTTCTTCGTAAATGGTTGGCAACGGAATTCGATTCATTTGACTACTCAAAAATTTATTGTTCGTATTGATTATTCCAGATAATATGCTATCTAGCTTTGTCCTTTTCGCATCCACTTCAGTTTCTTTCAGCAAACGATATAAACTAGATAAAATCATAGGATTAAGATCCATGATAATTCTATCTGGAGGTCTTTCAGTCAATTTGGAGCAGATTTCAAGGAATTGAATAGCATACTTGATGGGACGCTTATCGCTAGTAGCTATTTCAAAAATCTTCGCTATAGACGTCCACAATTTTATTGCACCTGAAAGATTAAAGAATGATTTTGAAATCGTCGTTATTATAGCTATTAATGAATCAACAGGTAGACTAAGTTGACACTTAGCAAAAATTGTTTCAATATATAATTTCAAGGCTCTAACCGAAATTTTCAATATTCCATAGTCTTTGCTATCAGCAATACTCAGAACTAAATCAAAAATTTGATTCTTTAAATCAACCTCAGACAACTGTGATAGTAATAATGTGAAATTCATTCTGTTCATGAACATTACAAAATGCTCCTTATTGTCAGCGTAAGTATAGTTACTTGATGTGAATAACTTTGTAATCAATCTTTTTGTATTAGAACCTTCAGGTAAAGACGAAACATACGAATAAAGGAATAGCATAAATCTCTCGAAGAATGAATCTATCGGTATATCATTTCTCGTTCTTATTCTGCCTAACAATTCAGGGACAGCCCATTCATCATTGAAATTAGAAAACCGTCTTGAGGTTATGGTATTGTATAACAACAATATCATCTTTTCTTGAATTGGCCAGTTAAATCGTTGACTCAATAAATAGACGACATCCAAAAATCGATTATTAACTTCTGATTCTACATCCTTAGAAATTGTGTTATAAAGAATGTAGAACGGAGACCAGTTACATGTCTTATTCGGATCAGAGCACACCAATGCATACAAACATTCCAAAAGTATAGAAGCATCAATTTCAGTGATTAAGCTTGTTTCTAATGATTTGTTTATCAGAAACCAAAATTTACTCTGAAAGTTTAACAATAGATACATGACATGATATGACTCAAATTCTTTACTTGGGTGAGTACTTCCATGCAGCAATATATCATTAAATTGTTCTGCCTCGAAATGATGAAAGAACAAGCTCCAATATCTGGTGGAATAATTAAGAAGATCATTATTAGATTCAGATGACGATGTAGATGTTAAATTTATAGATTTTGAGTTGGAGATGACAACAAGTTGATAATAAATAAGCGTAAAGTACGGATATAAGAACTTCGAATGCTTTAGTGACGATGGTTGTTTAGCTTGACTCAAGACATTTAGAATATTTCTAACAAGCTTCCAAATTTTCTCAGCTGGCATCGATTGAAAGATTATCCACCAAACTAATATTCCCTTTACACTATCATACACTTCTTGAATTCCGGTATCATTAACTGAATGCAAGTTCCTAACCAACTTTAATATCTGTGATAAAAGCTTCTCCATAGTTCGTGTTGATTCATCACTGCTATTAACTAGAGTAAGCACATAAACTTCTCCAAATAACTTAATAGTTACCGAATCTTTCGTAATCACATAACTCTTTCCTTCACTCAATCCTTTTAATTTATAAATATCAATTTCTGATAATATGTATTCATTGGGAAAGAGTACTCCATTTCGTAAAATTGCTGTAGAGGCATACACACTTCTTGGAGCTGAAGGATTAATATGCTGATTATGATGTTTAATAAACTTTCTATCACTCTCAGCTTCAAAAACCAATGTTGATTGAATCGGATTACGAGAAAACAAATAATCGTTGAGAACATCTTTATTGTTACGATTTCCGAGAAGTAATAAATCAAGAGACTTTGACTTTGCTTGTTTAGTTTTCTGTTTCTTCTTCTTATTCTTCGTATCACTTAATACATTCAATAGCGTATGCTTTGTTAATGATGAATGATGAGAAGCAGTTATCTTTCTCGATGGTAGCTTTCTGAAAGTTGTATCTGTAAGAAAACGTTGGTTTTTATTATGAGATTTACCTGAATGACCCTGTTTTGAATTTGATTTTGAGCTTGTACTTAATCTTGGTCTGGAATACAGTTTTGCTCTTGAATTCGTACTGCTGGCAGCAAAAGACCTTGAGAATGGTTCGTGTAACTTGATTCCTGACAGAGTACCTGATTTCTTCTTTTTAGTATACTTCCTCTTCGCGCCTGCTGCAGCGGAATTCCCAGACGTGAACATAGGATTAATATAATCAGCTTCTACCACAGGACCATATCCTACTCCAGCATCGTTATCCAAAAATTGTTGATCAAATGATGTGTCGATATCTTCTGGCCGAGAATCAAAGTCAAACAAATCTGAAGCTGAATCAGATAACTGCTCGGTATGATCACTTCTATTATGATTAACTCTAACATTCATATAGCCATCTTCTTCCACTTCTGACGATGAAGAAGATGAGCCATCAGACATAATTCCCAAAGTATCAAGGATAGATGGTTCTGGTGTAGGAAGTCTACTTAAAATATCATTTGAGAAAGCTCCCATATCATGATAAACTTCAGCCGTATTAGCTTCGTCGGGGCCATCATATAAGAATCCCGCGAAGTCATTATCGGTACGATTATGGTTAGTGTTTCTCTTTTTAACTGCCAACCCTTTTCGATATTCAATTAACTTCTTTCTGTGGTATGTATTCTTTTTTTTACGAGACATCGTTTTGAAAATATCTAGTCTCTTAGCTGACTCTGGCGTAACACCTCTTAAGATATTCTTTTCCTTTACTAATCTACCACCAACTTGAATAAGGTCATCTTCTTCATCATTTTCTTCATTTGACTGTTCTTCTTCCTCTTCTTCTTCTTCCATGATAATTGAATTGTTGATATGTGTTTGATGGTGATGTTTTCTACCATAGCTGAACAAGTCATCCTCCTCATCATATTCTTCTTCCCGGTATACATCTTCATCATCTTCCTCACTGTTATTAATCGCCTGGCTTGAATATGGCCGATGGGCATCATCTTCATAATTATTATCGTTGGAGTTCTCATTCGAATTTGTTTCTTTATTTTGTTCCTGTTTATCCAAATCCTTTGCTAATTGCGATTGTTTACCTAAAATAGTATAGAAATTCTTAGATTTATATTTGTCATCGTAAGGGTACTTTTTCTTTAATTTCATATAATTGTAATTCAAAAGCTTAACAATATTCTCAAGGTTTTGCTCTGAATCATATATTTCATTAATGTAATTAAGATTTGATAATCCAAGATAATGAATTTGATCTGTCAAATATGGATGAGTTGAAGCAAAATTCCTCTTTCTTAATGATGTCCTTCTTATTGAGGTTACTGGTTCGTAGTTTCTGGAATCAAGATATATCTGTAAGTTGTTATTATCCTCAATGTGTTCTGGTGGATGTGTTATCTCATTGGGCCTGGATTCTGGTTGCTCATGACTGGATTCTTCTTGTGGCCTTTGGGATGGAACAATTTCAACAGGGTTTGTTGTCGGTATGATTCCATTTTCTAATTGATCGTAATCATCATCTTCACTATTTTCAATGACTTCATCTAGATTCGATTCTGATAAATTTTCCCATTGATTAGTTGTAAATAATTGGCTGAACTTGTTAGAGTTTTTCAAATAGTTCCGAATCGTGTTGCTTGAATCCTGTGATAAATCCTTTAAATTCTTAACTAATTTTGACTTTGAAATCATTGATGAATCCAATTCCAATTCATTTTCATTCTCTGAATCAGAGATATATTCTGGATCTGTCACTGTCGTATCATGTTTATTATATATTTGATTCTCTTTATCTTCATCTGATTGGTGCCTTCGCTGTCGTAATATTCTTTGGGACATATTTATTTATATATAATGATTCGTCTGGTTATTGAAAACTTGTTATATGACTGTTGAATAGAGCATTAGTGTGATATTTATAGATCTATCAATCATTTGCAGTTGATGGGTTTCTACAGATTCAATAACAATAAATAATTTTTTGTTTACATTTTTTAGACGTGTTTGTAAACTAAGAAAAATAAAATAAAAATAGTATAGACGCTACCATACTACACCAACAATTACTTGTCATCATTACGATAGGGAAGAGAAGCAAGTATGGTATTTGGGTCAACATTTCCAGGCAATATTATATCTGTTGGATATGAGCGGAAACCATTACCCAACAAATATAATCCAACTAAATGAGGCAAGAGTGTTGTAGAATGCTCACTGAAAATCAAACACTCACTTGTTATATAGCGAATCCTATTGTAAGTCAAAATTAAATATGTCAAGTTGGGAGGGGGAATCCAATAGGTTAAACTATAAATCCCATTAGAATGTAATGATAAATATTTCAATTCCTGTAAATCTTCCCAATATTGATATTCATTCAAATTTGTCAATTGACAGTTTTCGATACTTAAATATTTCAATTTTGAAGGAAACCTGAGTACGGGGAATTGAATTCGAGTACATTGTTTAATGTTTAAATCAATTAGAGTATCAGGAAGACTTGTTAAGGTATAGTTGAACAGAAGTCCATATAAAACCAACCTTTGTAAATTTTGTGGAAAGTATGTTGGTGCTATTGCACGTTCAGTTTTTCCTTGCAATGGTTTCACAATCTTTAACTCTATTAAAGATTCTGGCAAATCATTAATTTGATTTGAAATATACTCATAAGCCGATGAAATGGCAATTGTTAGTTTTTTAAGATTCTGTGGCCATTTGGTATTTTCTAAAATATTCATATGTTCGTTCTCAAGAACCGAGTCAAGTTCAATGGTTTCTAAACCCTTTGGCCAACTAAATTGATTGACGAGGTTAAGCATACCCAAAACTTCTTTAAATATCTTTTCACTTCTTTTAGTTTTATAAAACTTATCAGAAAGAATAAAGTGTTTCAAGTTAGGTAATTTGTTCAGAATAAGAACAAAGATACAATAATAGCTGTTTAAAAGACAATCAGTCAAATTCAAATATATTATTGAACTTGGAAGTGAACATCGAATTAATGAGTAAGGGTCAAACTGGACCTTTTTAACTGTCAACTGTTGTAATCCTTTAGGAAATTCTATAATATGGACTGGGAAATAAGACATATGTGTAATTGATAACCTTTTTAAATTGTTTCCAAGTCTTAATGATGATTCTTTTCCTAAAATATGATCATGTTCCATGTGATTCCAAATCGTTTTTGGAATTTCACAATTAATGTTCAACTCTACCAAGTTTGTTTTCCCTATTGCACAAACCAGATGATATTGAAGTTTGACATTGAAATTATTTTCATTCTTATTCAATTTCACATCAGTTTCTCGACAATAAAGTCCTTCTCCATTTGTCAAAGTTAAAAGTACCATTTCACTATTATTAATAATACTCTTCGAACTATCCCGCTTAAGCAATCCAAAATATGTAGAAGCTGTCGAAATGATATGAATTTCCCTAAATATCAAATCTTCATAACTTAAAATTTTATCAATTACTTGTTTATTTTTAAAACATATACTATTCAATACTTTATGAGGTTTACCTAAGGTGTTTTTTTTGTGTTGGTTGAAAGATTCTTTGCTTAAGAAGTACGGATGGTATTTATTGGTATGAGTCAGGTTAAATACTTTGGTATTAGTTACATCGCCATCTTCATAGTCATATTCATATTTATCATGAATACCAATAAAAGGAGAATTACCATCATACAGATATCGGATACAATTACTTTCACCATTTTGATCAAGATCTTCTACTTCATATTGTATAGGAACTTTTGGATAAGTAGAACTGTCCAAGTTTAAAATAATTCTTTGCCTGAAATATAAGGTAATAACAAATTGTCGTAATATTGGTAAATGATAGAACGAAAGAAAAGTAACCAAATGACTCATTGGTATTTGTTCTAAAATAATAAACATCACTTCATATGGCAATTTTTCCATGAACTTATTAATGAACTTAAAAATGTCTGACTGTGAACGAGTTATACGTGTCATATTTGAAAAGGAGGTATTAATGCAAACTGGCCTTTAAATCAAGATAAAAAGAATACATCCACTAATCTTGTATTATTATCTATGAATAATTTAATATATCTTTAAACTACTTTATTTATATTTGAACCACTTATCCCAATTTACATTAAAATATTTAAACTACTGATAAAAAATTACATCAATTTGCTTGGTAGCAAATCACTATCATACTGCTTCAAGTATTAATATACATAGTATCATCATCAAATGAAACTTTAAAATACATCTTGCGCAATCAAGCAGGTACGTGTATACTTAAGGTATAACGATATGTATGTTCATTCGTTTGAAAGTCTAAATTGAGAAAGAAAAGTTTCACTTTTTTCTTTTTTTGCAGTCATAAACGTCTAATAGCGACACTTTGAAAATATTGTCAGTGGGTCAACATTATTTGGAAGATGGGTATCATTCTTATAACTGGTAAAGTGATTACCATACATATACAATCCAATTAGATGAGGTAGGAGGATACTTGAGTTTTCCCCAAAGATTAAGGTATCATTAGACATATTAGGTATTCTATTCCCACTTAAAAATAAATGTATTAAACTTGGAGGTGGAATCCAATCTGAAAGTGAAACAATGTAATTCTTCATTAAAGATAAATAAGTCAACTTATTCAAATCTTTCCAATGTTTATACTCATTTGGATATGAAAATTCGCAGTCATCGACAGTTAGATACTTCAATAATAATGGAAATTTGATTACTTCAAATGGTATCCTCTTACACTTTGTCAAATTCAATTCAATTAAAGTTTGAGGAAATTTTATTATGATATTATCAAAATCATATCCTATAAGAACTAGCTTTAGTAAATTTCGAGGAATTCGTAATGTGATTGGTTTAAACCAGACACTATAATATGGATAAAATCTCAAGTCCAAATCAGTCAAGGTTTGTGGAAATACCAACAAACTAGTTTGAAGACCTTTTAAAAATCGAAGTGATAATCTTTTAAGGTTAGGTGGCCATTTCACTTTTCTTAAAATGCTTCTATGAGTCCATAAAAGCAATGCATCACTATAAATTACTTTTAAATTTTTAGGCCACATTAACTTTGAAGATGATTGTTGTATTAATTTATCCTCATAAATTTTCCTTTGATTTGGCAGTAAAACAGAACGGCAGTATTTAATTTTTAGATATTTCAAATGTGGTAAGTTATTCAAAATAACACAAAGGATGCAACTAATATCTAATGGACAATGGTCAATATTCAAATGAGTTAATGACTCTAGAAGTTTAATTTTTAAGAAATCAGAATCTTTTAATTCAGAATTCCTAATTGAAAATCGTTCTAAATGCTTGGGAAGTTTAAACTCATAGATTGGAAATTTGAATCTGCTTGATATTATCAACGTTCTTAGATTATCATTAACTAATACATTAGATACATCGGATAGTATCTCCTTGCAGAAGTGTATCTCCTCTAAATTTGTTAACCATTTTAAATTATTTTTAAAAATATGAATATTCACTTTAAATTTATTCCTAAGTCGCTTATAACTGACTTTCACATCTCCTGTCTTAAACCCTTCTAAATCTGTTAGAACAAGACGAATTTTATTACTACTTGTTATTATACTTCTTGAGTTTGTGTTTGAAAGAAGATCTATAAGTTCCTTCACACCACAAGTTATTTCAACGAATTTGAACCTCAATTCTTTGTGACTTAGAAGATCATTGATTAACGTCTTCTCATAAAATGACATAAACTTCTTACTTAATTTAAAGCCATCTTTGTCTGATTTGAAAAAATTAGTTTCAAATTCATAATAGTAATTTAATACTAATGGATTCCATTTATTATCATTAGTAGGAACTTGTAATCTAACATTTTCATCTTCGTCCTCCTCAAAATCTCGATCAGTTTGAGTACCAAAAGAGTATTGGCCAAGACATAGATATACATCATCATTAAAATATTCTGAAATGATGTATTGTCGTAATATTGGAAGATGATAAGCGGATAAGAATGGAACCAAATGATTTGGAGAAACTAGTTCTAAAACTGTATGGATCACATCGTATGGTAACGGTTCCAAATATTTATTTATGAATTCAAATATATAATCGTCATTAGTCTCAATGCTTGGATGGGAAGAGATTTTGGATATCATTTTACTTTAGCTATGACTCCAAAATAAATGATCTAAAACTAAAGCAATATTTATTTATATTATATACAATTCGTAAGTCAGTAACATAAAAATCAGAATTAGCTCTTTTATAAAATGGAAATTACGTTACATACAGACAATTGCATCAAGCGACTTAAACAACAAATATATGCTTAAAACATGGTAGTGCCTCTTTCTAAACTAGTTTCACTAGCTGATAAGGTCAGTCTGTCAACAGTTTTGGGAAGTTTAAAATTAGAAGGAATTCTTGGTAAACCCATATACAATCCTACCAAATGTGCAACACGTTCACACAAATTTTCACCGAAGATTAATAAATCTCTATAATCAATATCATTATTGGTTAAACACAAGTGAATTAAATTTGGAGGAGGAATCCAATTTGAAATGATTTCGATTTCATTGTCGGATAGTGATAAATACGTTAAATTTTCTAAATCTTGCCAGTATTGATATTCCTCTGGATACAAAAAATAACAACTGTCAATACTTAAGAATTTTAACAAACAAGGAAACCTAATTTTAAAATAGTTAATATTGTTACACAGACAAAGTTGTAATTCGATTAAAGATTTTGGAAATTCAGTAATATTATCCTCAAAGTCGAAACCTATTAAAATTAATCTTGTTAAATGGGGCGGTAGTTTAAATTGAATTCCGTTATTAGCAGCACAATTAAAACTCAAAACTAATTTAGTTAAAGTATCAGGTAAACCTTGGGTCATTTTTAAATCTATAATTTGGAATTTCAATTCTTCAAGTTTAGGTGGCCATATGACGACTTGTTTGATAGTTTCTTTATCTTCAGATCTAATATCAGTATCAAAAAATATAACTTTCAAATCTTGAGGCCAAGACCACTCGATAGGTATTGTTATCTCAGGTGGTTCATGACCCCTCATATAATATTTTCTTGTAGAGTCAATTATTTTCAGATAATTGTTTCTAATCTTCAAATATTGTAAATTTGGTAAACGTTTTAATAATACACCTAGTATGTATTTGTTATCCAATTGACATTTATTCAAGTTTAAATGGGTTAACGATGATGGAAAACTACATTCTTCTTGTTTTCCAAATGGATTTAAATGGGCACCGATTATAGATAACGATTTTAAATTGCAGGGAAACTTTATAGAACCAACACCTAAATATTTTATACCTGAAATCCTCATCTTTCTTAAATTTTCACCAAGTCTTAAACTGCTCCAATCATATATGTCAGCATGCATTATATCCACCTCCACTAAATTATGTAAACTAATAGATCCAAGTTGTAAATTTTGAATCTTGACAGTGAAATTGTTTAGTGATTTTTCAACTTTCACTCTAGGATCTCCCTTTTTAAGACCATGAGCACATAATATGGTAAGATTAACCTTTTCACTATTCATAATCACTGGATTCTTTTCACAAACCAATGTAAAGAACTCACTAGCCTTACACTTTAAATAAATGACTTTAAATTTCAAATCCTTCTGATTTATTATATCCTTTATCAGTTCTCTATAGATAAAAGGAAATTGTTTCTTTCGTTTTATAGGATTAACCTTTAATGTATAATAAAAGCATTCCATACCTTTCCTCTTACCTAATTTTAGTTTACCATCATGATAATAAAAGTCTCTACTACTATTCAAATCATCTATTGCTTCTTGATCTTCATCATCTTCTATGGATTCTTTATAGTTCTTTGGATAGTACCCTCGTTGATAATATAAAGAAATTTCATCACTGAAGAATTGTGATATGACAAATTGTCGTAATATAGGTAAGTGATGTAAAGTTAAAAACCAAGCTAAATGAATTTCATATACCTTGTTAATGATTCTTAAAATTAATTCATATGGTAATCTTTCCAAATAATCATTAATGAACTTTGAAATGTATTTTAATTCATGTTCATGTTTAGCTTTGTCTGCATCAGACATGAAGCTAGTAAACATTTTATTATATGAATTAACTCCAATAACAGTGAAATAATGAATGGATATTATCAAAATCAGGAATGGATGCAATATATATAGCAGTAGCTGTAAGCTTGTACTTACCCTAAATGAGATTTTTCTAGGCTTGCGATGCTTAAACTTGCATCAAGTCGCTTTGTGGTGGTTTTTGCAGTCAAACTGAACTATGCAGCACTAACACCATTAGAAAAAATATTAAGCATAGAACATTCCAAGGTTAGCGTATTATAAGTATTCCTAAATGCTTGCTCGAAAGAAGATAATTAGAATTGATTATAAAAGATTCTTGAATCATTATAATATTAATATCATCATATAAAAATAATGATTGAAGAATCCAAATATTATGCAGATGATAGCTCTGAAAATGATGAATATTCATTGCCTAGCAAGCTGAGTTCAGATCCATTGCCTGACAAATTACAAGGAATTTCAGATTAAGTACTACTTGTTGATACAACTTTGAATGATAATTTAGATAATTTACTTATTCCTGATATCCCCACAAAAGGTCAAATTCTACTTCATAATAATAAAGATGTTAGCTATGAAGACTCTCTGAATTTCTTCTTCGACAATGTACGTAAGTTAAAAGACTCTCCTCAACCAATAACTATAACCTTACAATTCAGACTCGGCCTTCATGATGATGGCTCTTCATTGAATGACTTATTAGCTAATTTCCTCCAAAAATTAGGATGTTTCAAATTTAAATTTTATATTTTTAAAATCGTAACTCATCAAAGTCCCGATCCTTTTGTTATGCCATCATCATAGTATTTCAAAGCTTTAGATATTATTGGATTTAGATTTGATACTGATCTTATTCCCAAAATTTTAGATTTATCAGAAGAAGATCAAGAAGCTAATTATTTAAAAAATGTTAATTTCCATATTGTATTAGATATTTCTTGGTTGAAGGCTGATATTGAAGAAATTCATTTAGGTCAAAAGATTAGATTAGATGGCTATGAATACTATAAACTTGTGTTTCCAAAGTTAACTAATCTTGGATTCGAATGTTATGATCTTGTCACAAGTCATAATTGGGCAGTATTTTTGTATCTAAATAATAAACAGAGAAAGAGCTTAATTTTAAGAGATTTTCAATCAGGAAGAATTTTTGTCAATGTGAAATTACGGGTTGATAAACTTTATTTAATCGGAAGTGAATTACCAATAATGATGTTTGAAATCATTAAATATTTATGGGAAGCAAAGGAAATCCATCTCTATGGAACTGCACTCTGTTATGAGGATCTTGAATGCAATATTAATCAACTTCCCGTTGTTACCGAAACAATCTATTACCTGCCTAATCCAAATTCGCCTTCACAAGATGCTGATGTCTATAACAAAGGAATTAAAAAATTCTGTTCAGATAATGAAATTAGTTTAATTGAAGTTCCCTTCTTACCGGAATATCAAACTGCTGTCAAATCTACAATGTTGCGAGGTAAACATAGCTGTATGCTCTGTGCAGCTGATTTCCGGGATAATTGAATTCAGAGTATTCCGGGGTTTTCTTTCAGTATAGTCTGTGATATCTAATAATTATAGTAATTACTATTATGAAGTCTATATTTAATTCTATATCTAATAAATAAAAATAGCCAATCTAATTCTAACTCTAATTCTAAGCTAATGGAACACCTTCAGCTTCCAATTCCTTCTCTTCAAATGCAATTGATAAACTTGGATCATCTTCAGATTTATCCAAATTATAAGGACCATAAGTTAAATATCCATCTCTGGTATGAGTATAAAAGTATTTTCTTTGATAAACGTCTAATTTATAGCCATGTTTCAAACGATTAATGAAATCTGGATTTGAAGTGAATGGTCTTGAGAAACCAATTAAAGTACGATCATCTGCATTTACATCTTGTTTTAAATGAGTATAATGGATCACTTCATCACCTTCGAATTTCAATTGTGGGATGTTCGATGGTAATAAATGATAATCTCCTTTATAATTGGTAGCATAACCTCCTGATCTGATTAATTTTCCTGACCAAGCTGCTAATAAAAGATCATTATTTTTATCAGCAGGATCAACATCAGTATTACCTGATACTCTAGCTTCACTAATGGATACATAAGCGATTTCTTCACCTTTATTTTTTCTTAATTCCAATTGTTTTAATAAATAAACACAACCTAATAAAGATGGATTTTCACTAACAGGTAAATCATCAGGATAAACCATTCCGAAATGAGTTGACCAAGCTGAAACTCTAATTCCAAGTCTTTGAGGTCCAACTTGAGGATGAGCGATTAATTTATCAATGATTTCCAATACGAATCTTGATCTATTTTCAATAGATCCACCATATTGATCTGTTCTTTGATTGGATAAGGGAGAAAAGAATTGTTCTAAAATGAATCCAGTTGAATTATGTAATTCAATATAATCAAACCCAGCTTTAGTGATGGCATTGACGGAAGATTGGACGAATAAATCTTCTAATTCATGGATTTCTTCAATGGTATAACTTTCTAATTCATTATTAAGTTCAATAGCTCTTTCTTGTTGTTCAATCAGATGATATAAATTTGCAGATGGACCCTTTAAAGGTAATTTCAATTCATTCATTAATTCTAAATTAGAAGCTCTACCACCACCAAAGATTTGACAACTTACAAATGATTGATTTTCATGAATAGCATCGGTAATTTTCTTTAATCCATTACATTGTTTATCAGTCCAAAGACCTGATTTAAAAGGAACCAATCCTGCTTTGGGATGAACATTAGTTGATTCGAAAATGATTAAACTTCCGGGATATTTTGATCTTGAATCATAATAATTAAGCATGATATCAGTAGGGACGAAAGTATCTTTAGTAGATCTTGATCTTGAAGTTGGAGCATGAACAACTCTATGATTAATGGTGTTATCTCCAACTTGAATTGGTTTGAAAAGTTTGGTATGTGCTAATGAAGTGTCTGATTTAGTCATGGTTACAAATGATCTTTTGATAATGGATGACAAGTGATGATGATGATGATGATAATTATATTTCATATGAACTTGTAAAGTCCCAAAGACTAATTGGAGAAGTTAGGAATATCGTTTGATATTTATATTTGATTAATGATTTATGATGATTTAGATAATGAGGGAAGGAACGCTTAAAAAAAAAAGAAATTCCTGGTGGGGATAAGGAACGGGAAGAGGGAATTGATGATAAAACTCCGGTAATCGATGCCTAAATTTAACCACTAAAATTTGTTATCTCTCCCTAAAAACAGTTAAATTCTCCCTAACTTTCTAGGGAGAGAGGCTCCACACTAAAAAAAATAAAGATATTTGAAAATTCGGCATCGGGAACAGGAAAATTACCGGTAACCGTTTACGCTTCCTAATTAGGAAGAGATAGAGAAAAATCGGAATACGGAACAGAACAGGGATAGATGCCAGGGATCAATGGGAACAATCATTACAAAACAAAACTAAGCACTATACTGATCTATTACATATGTCAGCCTTGCCAGTTGGATTGTTCCATAAGTGATGATAAGGCAGATCATAACGTTGTAATCATTTGTCATATATAACTAATGTAAACTCAGTTAAACTAATCCATCTCTGTCTCTGTCTCTCTGACTCAAAATTTCGCAAAGATTATTATTTTTAAACAGTTAAGGGGGGGAAGTTAATTAAGGTAAGGTTGGGGGATTAACAGTAAGTGTGGATTACTGTGTTGTAGTGGAATGGTGAATTTCGTATTGTACTATAGACAACCTCCTCCTCCTCCTCCTCCTCCTCCTCTTCTTCTTCACCTTCTTACGAACTCTTACAATCATCTCCTTTGTTCTAGTATACGCCTCAAATAGAAAAGTTTCAACGGCTTTCTTTTTTCTTTTCCATTTTTAACTAATTATCAAAATTTCAACTTTCTTTAACCAATATTCATCCCATCGTTCGTTATAGATAAAGTTTGATACTACTGCTTTGATTGACATATACATTCATCCCAATTCAACTCAGCTCACCTCAACTCAACTCAATTCAACTATTCATACACACTTACTCTTATACATCTAATAAACCCTCTCCCTTGAATGAGTAATAGTAAATCAGATATAGATTTCAAAGATATAGACCTTGAACAAACAGAATCCCTCCTATCATCCAATGAGTTCAACCCATCATCACCATCCCACGGAGGACAACATCCAAAACCAGCATCTCCTATATTGAAAAACCCCACCTCTTCTTCATCAACCGTTTCCCCCATCGATACTCAAAATATCACCTATAGTTACACCATCGATTTCGAAAATGAGGTCTTATTCATCGATACTTCCAATTGGAGATATAGTAACTTATTAAAACTTCAAATCTTATCATGCTACGGAGTATTCATCTTATTTGGATTAGCTGATCAAACATTAGGAACGTTAATCCCTCTTTTACAAACATCTTATAATATTGGAGATACATCTATATCCCTTGTTTTCCTTTGTATGATAGCAGGATATTTCATCATGGCTGTATTAAATGAATTCAGTCATAAATTAATCGGGGTGAAAGGAGTCACGATCTTAGGAGCTATCGGAATGACATTAGGTTATTTAATCATCCTGACTAAACCTCCTTATTTAATCTTCTTATTAAGTTATTTAATCGGGGGTATAGGGTTTGGATCATTGGATGCCGCTATAAATAGTTGGATGGGGAATTTAGTGGATTCAAATCAAATCTTGGGGATATTACATGGTTGTTATGGAATAGGATGTATGATATCTCCTCCTTTAATTACATATTTATTGGAACGAGAAAATAATCCCATGGAATGGAATCAATATTATATATTATTATCTATCATTGGATGTATTTGTGTGGTGGCCCTTATATTCACGTTTAAATTTGAAACGGCAAAGAAATTCAAATATATTAATATTCAAAAACATTTACATAAAAGTCATGATAATGATGAGATAGAAGTAGATGGAGTTAAATTAACTGATTTCTCAATTGAAATCGATGAACATGATGAAGATGATGATTCAACTTCATCTCTTGCATCCCCACCTCCATCACCATCTGATGAGCATTCCGCTTCTTTGGTTGCTGCTTTGAAATCGAAATTAGTTTGGTTATTCGCTATTATTTTATTCGTCTACGTGGGTGGAGAAGTGGCATTTGGATCATGGATGATTACGTTTTTATTAAGAATTAAAAAATTAAGTTATAAACAATCATCATATATCGCTACTACATTTTGGACAGGATTAACATTAGGAAGAATTGTATTAGGATTTATAACGGCTCATTATTTCAAAACTGAATTAATGGCAAATTTCATCTATATAATATTTTCCACCGTGGGATATTTTATTTTTTATTTCATTTCATTAATCCCCACTCCCGAATCATCAACCACCATGAATACCAATGTGGCAATCATATTATTATATATCATTGCGTTATTAATTGGAATCTTCGTAGGTCCAATTTTCCCTACCACCATCATATCAGCTTTGAAAGTATTACCTACTAAATATCATACATCAGGAATTGGATTCATTTGTGCATTTGGTGGAGGTGGAGCTGCAGGGATACCATTTCTTATTGGATTAATTGCTGAAGCTAGTGAATTCGGATTACAAAGTTTACCTCTCATAGTGGCAATCTTATTCACAATCTTAACTGCAATATGGTTTGGAATAACATTAAAATTCAATAAAACCTATGGTAAAAATGTCATCTAAGTAATTAATGGTTAATATATACACTCTATATCATCATTCATTTTATCTCTGTTATATTTTCCCTCCTTGTTCAATCCATTCTTCAGGAGTATACCCCTTCTGAGTAAACGCATGAATACCACTAATCTCCTCTCTCAAAGCATTATTCACCAATCGATGTCTCATTAATTTATTCTTCCCTTGAAAGATATTACTAATGATAATCACAGCAAACGCTTGACCACATCCTCCTGACATGTCTTCTACTTGAACTAAATCAGTAGGTATCTTCTGTTGGATGACTTGTTTGAATGATTCGGCCGTTAATGACATCGTAAGTACTATATTCTATTCTATATGCTGGTTGGGAGATCTATAATGGCTGTGGTAGAGTTCTAAATCAGTTTGAAGTTGAAGGTTTTTTTTTTCTGTGGTGAAAGTGAAAGTCGTAAGAGTGAAAATTTATCCTGAATTTATATACAGGATGATTTAATTACAATTACAATTACTGTTACTTGATATTATTATTAATTATATTATTACTATTACTAAAGAGTGGGGAAAGGGAAGGTGGTTATACAAAAGAGGATTGAATGAATGAATAAAGGAATGAATAATTATACAAAAGAATAAGAAAAGAAAGGGAAAGGGAAAGGGAAAGGGAAAGGGAAAGGGAAGAGTACAGAGAGACAAGATAATATAATTAATAGAATAAATTAATGAAAAGGATTGAATGAATGAATGAATGATAATTAATAAAACAATGAAATTTTTTTCTTTGAAAGATCATCCTTTTCGGTTGGGAACAAGCTATATACTGACTGATTGACAGACTGACTGACCACATTATGGATTTATAGATGGAGCTTCACTTTGATTAAATAAAATTTGATTATCCACTGTCGAATCACCTTGGATTTCAACTTTAGTGGATGATGATGGAGCCATACTACTACTATTCTTCGATACTAATCGTTTAACTTCTTGCTTTGAAGGTTCTTTATTATTTTGTTGTTGTTGCTTTAATAAATTAATCTCAAAAAAGTTAACATCTTCCCTTAATGTCTTTTCAATCTTATTCATAATTTCTTTACTACTAATATTATTAGTATCAATTAAATTTGAAAATCCACATTTATCATAAAATTTTAAAATATCTTCAGGAATAATACTTAATTCTTCATGAGTTTCAATTAATTGATTAACAACTTCAATAGCTAAGAAATAAGTATCTCCAGATTGAGGATTATTTAAATCAAGAACTGCAACATTTGGATTACTACCATTAGATCCATTAACTCCTCCATTAGTTTGAACTGATTTAGCATATAAAATATTTGGTGCAATAACAGTAGCTAAATTATGAGTATCCATTTTAGAACCTGTTTCTTCATCAATTTCAGCAAATGATGCAACCCAATTAAAAAAATAAAGTAAAACTTCAACCAAATTTCGATTACTACGAGGTAATAAACAATAAGTTAATTGTAAGATCCGATTTTTTATCACTGGATTAACTTCTCTTTGAGATGAAATCCAAAGTTCATAAAGATTAAAAGTTAATAATGGATTTGGTAAATCTCTTAACCATCGTTTCATTAATGCTGCTAATTGAACTGCAGTTTGAATACTAAAATCAGGTGATCGTAAAGGATTCTTATTAATTTGTTCAATTAATAATTTTAATTTCTTAATATTACCATTTAATCGATAAATACCTTCAACTGACATATCCTTTTGTTTTAAAGCATTAATAATATCATCAACCACAATTGGAATTCTTAATTTAGATGGTCCAACTCCTAAATCAGAATCAATACCATACTTTTTAGTTAAATCTTTTAATTCAACTCCAAATACTCCAACAATATCTTTCTTATTATTCCCATTACCATTTCCACCTCCAAATTTAAATTTATCCCAAAAATTAGATTGTTTTTTAAGTTGAATATAAGATAATAATTCATCTTTATTAAATTTAGTAGCATTTAATTGTAATAAAGCTTCCACTGATATATGTCTCATAATAAAATGTTCATCTTTACTTAATTCACTATAATATTTAATTCGTTTCACTGGTTCTTCTTTATTAACCGGACTATTCAAAATATTATCTAAAGCATGACTTGGATTAATTAATGGACTCGATTTAGTATTAACTTGAGGTTTTTGATATAATGATCGATGATGTTTAAATGCATTAGGTCTTTGATCACGAGCTTGTTCAGCAGCCACAATTCTTGGAATATCATCTAAAGTTAATGATTGTTCATTCTTTAATAAATCAGATGTACGAACTAAATGATTATTATTATTATTATTATTATTTGGACTTGAATCAGTTCTAATTTTCATAGCTTTCTTAATGGAAAGATTTTCTGAACTCGAAATTTCATAAGATTTTTCAGATGTTGTACTTTGTTTACGACCATTCTCAGAAATATATTCATCAGTACTACTAGTATTATTGGAAATTTCATCAGGTCTGGCATATTCAGCTTCAGGAGCATCTAAAATAATTGATTTACGAGCATTTTGTTTTAAGGAATTTGATAATTTTTGACTTTCACGTCTTGATTTAAGACGTTTAATATTGGATAAAGTATTTGAATAATTAAGTTCAGTATCTTCTTGTGATGTAGATTGTTCATCGACAGGTTTAACTGGTTGAGGAGGTTGAAGGAATTGTTGTTGTTGTTGAGGTTCTTGTGAAGTGGCATAATTATTATAGTTTTGTTGTTGCTGTGATGGTTGTGATTGACTAGATCCTGATGATTTATTAAAATCAATTTTCATAACTGCTTTTGATCTTGAAAGGGCAATCTTTAATAAATAAATTAATTGAGATAAATCACTTACAAGTTCAAATTTCCCCTTAACAAGATTATCGGTAAAACTTTGACATTCTTGACAATAAATATTTAAATTCTTAGAATTAATCCCACTACGATTTAATTCCAGTACGGGGATATTCTTTGAACAATTTGAACATTTAAAACAATGTAAATGCCATCTATGTTTCTCAAATTTAATACATGATTTTTCAATACTTTTAGTACATGTAAAACAAGCATCCGAACATTTTGCTGGAATTGATAATTTTGAAATCATTAATGATAAATTTTGCGATTCTAATTCGAATGGATTGGAAATTAATTTTAAAAATGTATCTGTTGCTTCAGTTGAACCCTGTAATTTATTTAATTTAAGGGCATTGTTTAACCCAATTCGAATTAATAATTTAAGATAATGAGCTAACCCAGTTATAACTGATAATAATTCTCCTGATAAACTACCTGATTTTGATAATTTCGATGATTTTCTTAAAATAGCTAAATAACTCATGATTTTTCCTGAAATATTTCTAGCTTCTTTCTTTAAAGGTTGAAAATAATCTTGTTCTAATGCATTTATTGATGATTCCAGATCATCAAATTGTTGAGCTGATGGTAATTGAGATTGGATTTGAGGTTGAGGTTGAGGTTGAGGAGGTAAATTAGATGATTCACAAAACTTTAGAATATAATCAACCGCATTAAATAATATTTCAACATTAACAATCAATTTCCCCGTAGTAATTAAACCATTTACTTGATCTGATAAATTAGCTTTTAATAACATATCACTAATACAACTGGCAGTTGTTTCTTCATAATTACATAACGTTAACCAAGATTTCATTACCACATTTTCAATTTGTTGTTCAATAGATAAAAATTGATTTGAATCAAAATTAAATTCTTCATTATAAATATTGGGAATATCTTCTTGTTTAATATTATATAATGTTTGTAAACCTACTGATTCAGCTGTAATACAAACATTATAAAATTTATAAATCATATAACATTCAGGATGCCATTGTTGTTTTTTACCACCTCGATATAATTCAACATATTGTTTTACTACTGATGAATTACAAGCGGGACAATGAGCAGCAAATAATTTTGAATAATGGAAATGACAATAAACATTATCTTCATGTTCAATATAAGTTTCAACCGCATCAAATACTCGATTATCCGTAGCACATCTAAAATGTTCAACATGATATTTATGACCTAAAGCCGTAATATATCTACCTCTAATACCTTGATTACAATCAAAACAAATTAAATCCAAATTTTTAAAATAATCATAATCACATAATGGAACTTGAATTTTTAATCCTGTTTTAGGATCAATTTTATCAAATGTAAAGAATTTTGATGAACATTCATTACCACATTCATCACATACAAAACATTCTAAATGGAAAGCCTTTTGCATGGCACGAACGAATTGAGCCGTTATTTCCAATCCACATTTATTACAAAATTTCTTTGCTTTTGATTTATGATGTGATTGAGATTGAATTTGAGATTGTGGGGGTAAATCATCATTTTTAGTATCTTTTGAAGAATTAGTAGTATTGGATGATATATTTGAAGGCAGGAAATTGAAGGTATCATTTGAATCGTGCCTTATAGATGAAGATGATGTGGAATAGGAAGGTTGAGGTCTTGAAGGCATAGGAGGGATTAATTGAGTCCAATTTTTATTAGGTGGTTGTCCTTGTACTTGTTGTATTTGTTGTACTTGAGGTTGTATTTGTGATTGTATTTGAGGTGATTGATTTGGATTTGAAGGTTGACGAGTATGATAAGGTATACGTTGTTGTTGTTGTTGTTGATAATTGTTATTATTATTATTATCATTGGGAATAAATCTTTGATCTGGGGGAGGCGGCGGTAATCTTTGATTAGGTATTTGATTATAAGAGACCTGATGTTGAGGAGGTTGATGATTATTGAATTGATTTTGAGTATAAGGTTTCCAATTGGGAGGAGATGAATTATTGGAATCTAGTTGGGATGATTGTGATGGGGGTTGTGGTGGAGGAGGAGGTTGGGGATGTGCATGAGGATCAGACCGTAATGGTGGTTCTGTACGTGGTCTCATATGGGTATGTGGAGGGTATGATTTGATTAGCGAATTAGATATCTTACTTGATTAGACGTGATGTGATTGATCTGATTGATTGATTGATTGATTGATTAGAGTGATATTGGAACGAATGGATGGTATAAACTGATGAAGATTGAATTGGGCTGTAAAAAAAATGTAAACTACAATTGACAACGAAATCAAAACAAAAAAAGATCAACTTTTGAGGGGGAGGAGAGGGTATAATGAAAAGAGTGACTTATAAGTTGGAATTAGGATTGATTGATTGATCGTCTGAAGGTTGATTGATTGATGGATGATGGATGATGAATGATTCGATCAGATTGATTGATTCGATTGATGGATTCGATCAATTTGACTTGGAGGTAAATAGGTTTTATGACTTTTTCTTCTTTTCAAAAAAAAAAAAAAAAAAGAGTTTGAATTGAGTTAAAAATAAACAAAAAAAAAATTTGTCTGTCTGTCTGTCTGACAAAATCAAAACAAATTAAAAAAAAAGGACAAAATGGACAAAAATAGAAAAATGGACAAAAAGGACAAAAAGGACATTTCTGTTTTAAGTAAAGTTACACCAGTTTTAGGAATAAATGGTACCTAATCCAATACTGCAAGAAAGGGAGAGGGTTGAGTTACAATAGGCTGATTTTGTTAATCTTTTTCACGTTCATTTTATTTATTTATTTATACATTCATTCATCATTGTCAATGACAATGATGATCCAATAACACAAGAATTAATCATGATAATTCGGTTACCGTTTAATGCAAATACTGTTTACAAGAAATAATCAGAATCAGTGATATAAATTGTCTGTCTGTCTGTTTGGTCTTGGTGTCTGGCGTTTATGCTTAATTTTTGGTTTAGGGTTAAAAAAGTCTGCTTTAAATGAAAATTTTTGACGTGTTTATTTTTTATGCTCAATTTGGAAATAAATAAATTTGTTTTCAGACACAGAAAATTTTAAATTAAATACATAAAATAAGAATAATCAGACATAATTGATTACTTCTTGGTAGAATCGTCTCAATAGTAACGGTTAATCAAGAAGTAACAGTAGATCCATCAGTATCATTGCCACCAAGAAACCATATATGGAACTACTTCTACTTCTACTTGTTTATTATTATTGATCTTGTGGTGATTCTAAATTTAGTAAGAAGTACAAATTTTATTTTTTATATTTTGATCCCGCTTAGTTTTTTAGTCTTTCTGTCTGTCTGTCTGTCTGACTATAGTCTCAAGAGAGTAATGTGTAAAATCATTTAATCTGTAATTTATGCTATTTACATGTTATGATCCTATTCATTTTACAAGTTACCCCAATGTTTACTTCTGAATATAAATGAATGGAAGAATCGTTTAATATAATTTCTTTCTTTCTTTCTTTCTTTCTTTACAGCTGCTTGTCTGAACTTTTTGTTTACTGGTATCTGTACTTATCATAAGTTATTCTTAAAATTTCGTCAAATTTAATACTAACTACATGGAAATCTATTTAGACAATCTAACCTTATTAACCCTTCCATTTAGTTCATTTAACAATTATACTTCATTTATAGGAACCAAAGTTTATACTAACTTAGGAAAATAATTTTATATCACGGTCTCGTATATATTGAATGGTCAGAAGAGTAGGTATTATCCGAATTAATTCTAATTGAGACGATTCCTGTAAAATAAAAAATAACTGGAGCAAATGTTGTGATAATCGACGTCGTCGATTTGGCTGAAACCATCTACTTCCAACCGTAGTAAGGCTTTATATTTACTTTTATAATAAATGAATATTATATATATATAATTACTATAATAAATCATTGTAGTACTCTTTCAACTATCAAATCACAAACAACGAAATATAATTGATCCAACTATCTATCTATCTATCTATCTATCTATCTATCACACATCCCTTGATCTCCTCCTCTTCTTTCCAATGTGGGTGAATCTGATTTAATTTATTTAATATCAATTTCTTTCTTTCTTTCTTTTCATTAGCATTGAGCTGTAGTAAGTTTGTTACTTTTAACTACATTTAAATCTATTTAGTCACCCTTATAATAACTAACCTTGATTTTAGTCATAAATAACATAAAGTTTACAATTTGAACCACGATCTATCATTTCGGATTGTGAGGCTAGTAGAGTAAGCAATGAATGTGATTATTTTTATAACTTTGGATTCACCTTTATTGTCCATTCTGACTGTTGTCTATATATTTATAATAAATGAATGTTATACTATTTAAATCCAGTTTGTAGTTGTTCTATAATGTAGGTGATGTATCATAATTGGGAGCAGAAACTGTAAAATTGAAATAATCTGCAATTTAGACTATTTACATGTTATCAACAATAATTTACACATTAGTCTGAAGTATCACCCTTTGCTCTATCTCTGTATAGATGTGTAAATGTGATTTTTAATCTTAAATTTATTTAATACCACTTCTTTCTTTCTCTCGTTATTTCATTCGTCGTTCTAATGTAATATTTTTAAATTGTTTTGCGTTTATTTATTTAAGTTTTGAAGGATTTATAAGTATTTTAATTTTAGAGGATTTACAAGTATTTCAATTTTAAATTGGATAACTACATTTAAATCTATTTAGGCATATTTCACTAATCTAACTTCAATTTTAGGTTTAACTGTTAGTCGTCGTATTTAGGAATAACTAATTATACTAACTCTAGCAATCTAACCAACTATGGGTGATCATTTCTACTGCCTTTGTTAAACATAGCAAGGTTTGTCATATATAAAAGTCAGGCTTTGAAAGTTTGAATTAATTTACCTTAATTGATATCCTTGGAGGAAGAAACGTTTTGCAAATAATGTGGTAGTGTTGAAAGTTTATAATCAATGAATATTTTTATATATTTTAAATCCAATTAACAGTTATTGTAGTTATTCTATAATGTTATTACATAGATAGTAGATATAAAGATCAAAACTGCAAAATCAATATAACCTGTAGTTTATATAATTTACATGTTACTAGTTTTTACAAGTTACATTAATTCAGGAGGAGTATGCCCTCTGATTTAAATCGATTGAAATGAATTAATATCAATTAATACTTTCTTTCTTTCTTTCATTCATTGATTCATTCCCACATAATATAAGTCTTTTAAGAAAGTTGACAGAATACATGAACGAGTTCACTCAGATGTTTTTTTGTTACTAACCACGTTTAAATCTCTTTAGAGAACTTAGTCATTATAAGAAATCTAGTTACTAACATCTAATTACTAACATCTAATATTCTCGTTTGAGATAAATATAACCTTTGATCATAATTTATAGGGAAATTTATGATACTAACTTAGTTATGGAGGTAAACATGATCTTTAGATAATAAGTCGATTCAGTTTATATTTGGTATTGGATAATTCTACATTGTTCAAGGTATGTCTATTTTATCAATTTTTTTTAGTAAATGAATATTTTTATATGATTTAACTAAAGTTGAAATATGATTATCAAATGTAGTTATTCCTCTACTGTTACAATATCATTATGATACAACTCTCTATCTATTAAAACCATTGATAACATTTATTATTATTATTACGTGATCTATCTAATATACATTTATACATGTCACTAATCCAACTTAAGCCAAATCAAAATCATCAATTTTATTCTTATATTTAAGTAAATTAGCTTTAATCTTTGAAGAATCAACCCAAGTTAAATAATCTTCTAAATTTCTCGTTATTAAATAAGCAGGATCAGTAATAACATTAGGTCCCACTCTAACATGACCTTGTTCTATGAATGTTATAGCATCAGTGACAGTTTCAGCCATCTTTAAACGACACATTACTATCCCTATTCTTCTACGACAAATTGCACTGACAGTAACTTTATTTTCTAAATCTGATATCTTTGATTTGGTAGCTAATATTCCAAGATTGAATAATTTTTCTAATAATAATTGTTCATGTTTGATTCTGAAGGGATCAGTTGGAGATAATAACGATAATTTATGAGCTAATTTCCTTATTGATCCACAAATCTTATTATATTTATGATAATCATCTCTATTTTGAATATGATACATTCTCATCACTTGAGTATCACGATGACCTTGATCTTGTTTCCAATCGAGGAAATCGACTTTCTTAAGAAGTTTCTTCTCATGATGTTTTAATGCTCGTACCATCTTCCTTGACTTATTTGTTTCAGTTGGTTGTTTATAGTTATATGGTTGATATATGCTACTTCCTATTTAAAGCTCATCAGAATAATTTTTTTTTGATGGTTAACTATGCTGTTTTTTATATACAGGCCCAGTTTTGAAATTTTTCATTTCCAACGACCAAAAATCGAAAAATCCAAAAAAAATGTTATGAGAATAAATATGATTTATATAGAAACTATAACTACAACCAGAGATACTTCATAAGTCAAGATGATATCTTCTAGGGTTAAACCTATAATATCATCAGCATCGATAACTACTACGAGTCGTCACTTCTCCCATTCTCATATCATACAATCCAATATTGGAAAATTACCCATTAAATTATCTCACGATGTTAATTTATCGATTGAAGATATCCCATTAGAATTCTGTAAATCATTCACCAAGGGGAAACAAAGTTATACTCTTGATCGTCAAATCATCTTAAAGGGTCCAAAGGGTGTGTTGTCTACTCCTATACCTAAATTCATCAACATCAATAAATCAGAACATGATATCGATGCCTCTACAAAAGAATCAATTGTAAATGTTTCGGTTAATGATACTTCTGATAGAATCCAACGATCAATGTGGGGGACAGTAAGAGCATTATTACAAAATAATTCAATCGGTATTACTGAAGGTCATTTATCCATTGTTAAATTCGTAGGGACAGGATATAGAGCTATAATTGAAGATAATCCATATACTCCAGGTGAAAAATTAGTGGCTTTAAAGATTGGATTACCATTCACTCCTAAATTAAGAGTTCCTCAAGGTATCACTGTTTCAAGTCCAAGTCCAAATAGATTAGTAGTGGAAGGAATTGATAAACAACAAGTTAAATTATTTGCTGCTGTCATTAGAGAACATAAAAAACCAGAACCTTATAAAGGTAAAGGTATATTCATTGATCATGAAACCATCAAATTAAAAGAAAGAAAGATCAAGTAATCGTATGGTTTTCTTTATCATGTTTCTATTTATATAAATACGCCCTTCCTTCTTGTATATATACGCATAATACATTATTTCATCTTAGACTTGTTGAGTTAGTAGTGATAATTTATATAGTGGTATAAGAACCTGTAAAATATAACCTGTAAATTTATTTCCCTTAACAAAAAAATTTTTTCAGTTTTGACCCTCCTCACCAAAATAAAAGTTAACCACTGGTCAAAATCAAAGGAATCACAACTAACGATTCAACCAACAGTTATTCATATCACACACATATCACAATGAGTAACGTGTTGATGAACATAAGTCGCAAGACGAACTTATGCTCCAATCTTGTATTCCACCGTGGAGTGGCCCAAATAACTTCAGTCCATGCCATACCATCCGTTCGTACATCAGTACCAACCATTCAACATTCTCTTGAACAATCTAATTTAAGAAAAGCATTATTACAAAGACCAGGATTACTCGGGATCAAACGAGGTATGATTACTTGGTTCACTAAAACTGGTGAACAATACGCTGCTACGGTTATTGAAATTGATAATTGTGAAGTTATCCAACATAAAACTAAAGAAACTGATGGATATTATTCTGTAATGGTGGGTCAAATTGATAAATTAAAAAATATCAAGCCTCGTGATTTAACTAAATTCAGAGAAGCAGGTGTTTCACCAAAAGCTCATGTTTCCGAATTTAGAATTCGTGATGAATCAGGTTTAATTCCTCTTGGAGTTGAATTAAAAGCTGATTATTTCGCCGTGGGTCAAAAAGTCGATGTTAAAGCTGTCACTAAGGGGAAAGGGTTCGCTGGGGTGATGAAAAGACATGGATTCAAAGGGTTAAATGCTTCCCATGGGGTTTCTGTGGCTCATAGATCTGCTGGTGGTATGGGGGGTAATCAAAATCCCGGTAGAGTTTTACCATTAAAAAAAATGGCCGGTAGAATGGGTGGAAAGAATTGTACGGTGTTCAATAATGAAGTTTTACATGTTGATGGTGAAGCTGGGATCATTATTGTTAAAGGTCAAATCCCAGGTCCAAATAAGGCATATGTTAAATTACTTGATGCCAAAAAGATTTATGCTAAATCAATTAATGATATAAATAATGGAGTTCAAATATATTAGTGCTTTTGTTCAGTCATTCTTTCATTCATTCTTTCATTCCTTGCATTCATTTCATTCATGTATATATAAAGTGTAAATAGATCTATTTAATACATAACCATTTCGATAATCATCATTTCTCTTAATTCTTTCAAACAACAAAACTGACCTCAGTCTTGTAGCTTGAAAAAAAAGATAAGAAATGAGTAAACATGAATCAAATTTCAATCACTAAGATCGAAATCAAGTCCATATTCAATACTTATCTGATTCAATTCCAATTCCACGTCAAGTCAAAGACTGTAACAAAAACCAAACTGAAATCAAATCAGAAAGAAGGGGTTCCAAAAACTATCAAATACACCATTAGCAAAGACAATTCCCGGATGGTTCTGGTAAAAGGCAAGAACCATGTACGATTTTGAAATTGATCTTCTGGTGATTAAAGAAGAAAGAAGAAGAAGAAAGAACAGTGTTGATAATTTGTCAGTGATATGAATTTTTTTTACTGTTGTTGTTCGTCTCTGCTCTCACTGTAAGAAATGAGCCGGGTAACTTCTAATTTTTCTAGACTTCCTAATTAGGCAATGCTAATACAGATAATTTATAACAAATTCTTTATATTAAAAAAAACTTAAAAAAGCTATAAAGATCTACTTACTCAATCAATATAAATATATATATATATATAATAAACATGTATATTTGGGTTCTTATTTTTATTTTTTATTTTTATTCTCTTTTTTATGGATTTTTGACTTTTTTTTTGACTCTTTTTATATGGATTTTTAAAATTATAATCAGTGATTCAGGATGACATTAATGAACTACGGATGGATTATTAGTAACAGACATAATGGTGATGTACAAGGATAAAATAAAAACTTATGAATTAAATAAAAATCAATCTAACGAAAAGATTTATATCTCTTCATTCTATGCTATACAGGAAAATACAATTTAACAAACAAATAACACTGTCTAAGAATGATCTTCATCATCTTCAAGTTCAGAAGGTTTAAGTAATCCTCCCACTTGCATATCCAATTCCCGTTTAATTCTATGTTGTTCTTGTCTTTCCAATTCTTTATCTTCCGCAAATAAATAATCAGTTGGATCACCTCCAAATTCTTTTAATTGAACTAAGAAATCTCTTAATGTAGCTCTGAATTTAGTTTGATCATGATATACTGTTGTCAACACATTCAAGAAATTAATTAATTGTTCCTTTTGTAAATTATCAAACGCCGATGATAATAATTGGGCCAAATACAGTTTTAAATATTCTGAATTTGACGTACCTTCTGGTGCTTGTTCAGCAGTATATAAAGGATATTTAATCACATTATCTTGGACTAAATGAATCAATTTAGCTAATAATTGAGCTTGATAAATAAATCCTGCTTTATGATCAGGTTGAGTGAAAACATAAAATGTATCAGATAAAATTTGAAAATAAAAATTTTCAAAAAATGCTTTGGTAAATGGTGTATCACCTAATTTTTCAACATTGGTTAATAAATCTAATGTTAATGATAATCCATTATCTTCTACATCACGATTATTATGTTTGAAAGCCCATATAGCAGCATTGATTAAGGATTGGAATGCATCTCCACTTAATTGTAATAAAGCTTGGAATGATTTAGCATTAATTTCTTTTAATAATTTATAAAATTCAACTCTATGTTCAGGATATTCAATAAAATCAGCTTTAATCATATCTAAAGTACATTCAAATACACTTTGAAGAATTAATACCACTCCATCAGGAATTAAATGTCCAACTTTAGCAACTAATGCAGTCATACAATTTAATACTTCGGCATCTCTAGCATCAGGAACATTACTATTATAATCATCTAATACAGCAGCAAATAATGGTTGAGATAAATCACGAACAATTTCTTCTAAATTATCAGCTTGATTAATATAAGTTTCAATCATTTTTAAAATTTCCTTTTTAATTGTTCTTAATCCTCTTACTTTTGGAGTCTTGGTTGAAATTAATCCTTCTTTAGCCACAGAATCAGATATCATTGATGAAACAGCTTTATATAACGATAACATATCAACATACATCAATCCTAATTGAGGATAAAACCCAGGACCTAAAGCTTTACAAACAGCCACATTGGTTTTAATAATATTAGCAATGATTTTAACCGTTTCAATATTGGTTAATAATTGAGGATCTTGACCTGCTTGTTGAACTATAGCATTCCAAGCCATATTTGGTAAAGCCATTAATTCATTTAATAATTTATCTCTATTTTCCTTTTGAGATTGAGCACTGACAATAATTCCACATGCTTCATAAAACGTATGAACTTGTTGAGGTTGTAAATCTTCAGTTATAGATTGAATATTTCTAATGATTTCATTTATAAATGGTTCTCTTTCTTGAGGTTGAATAGCAACAAAATGCTTTTTACATTTAGTTGTAATTTTAATAAATGTATCACAAGCCATATCTTGAACCCCTTCATGAGTTTCATGCATAAATTCAAATAATTTATTAACCACTGTTTTTAAGAATTTCCAATGAGCTTTTAAAAATCGAGGATACTGACCAACAATATACATGATATTTGAAGCCACCACGGCTTTATTATCTTTACCTCTTTTCATTTCGGTTAATGATAATAAATCCTTGATGACAGAAACCACAAATTTCTTTTCCATATCTTCATTCATGGCTCCTGAAATTGATCCAATGGCCCAACATAAAGTATTTATATTTTGCCATGACCATTCACTTTCATCAATTTGACGAGCTAATTTTTCACTCATGATTTGTTCAGTATCAACCACATTAAGATGAGTTAAATAAACCAACACTTCTCTCATGGATTTATATAATTGAATGGTATCACTTTCTTTAACAAATTCACGAACAATTTCTCCTTCATCATTTTCAACAATTAAAACTTCTTCAGGTCTAACCATATTTTCAATAATAACCAATCTTAATTTTGATAATACTTTTTCATATTTATGTTGTCTCAAGGGGAATTTAGCTAATATAGCCGGATTTGGAGCTCCACCTGAAGTTGTACCTCTAAATTGATTGGTATAAGTTAATTGTAATAAAGGACTTAATTCATTTTTAGGAATATTTTGAATTTCTAAAAATAATGCATGAATAAAACTACTCCAAAAATCCAAACAAGTTTTAAATAATTCTCGTTCATCAATTCGGGATAATTCTAATAAATAAAATAATGAATTTAATAATAATTCATTTAAGGATTCATTTGATTCTAATGGTGATAAATGATTACTAAGAAAAGTACATAAATACATGGCAAAATCTTGTAAGAAAGATTGATCATTTGTACTTGCCACTTTATAAGAATCTTTTAAATTAGTTGAAGTTGGAATAATATTATAAATTTCATTCATAGAATCTTTAAAGAATATAACGAATTTTTCTTCATTTTCAGGAGAATGTAAATTAGCAATTTCAGTAAGACATTTTAACGCAATAGTTCTTGTATCGATGGGAGTTAAGAACTTTGTTGATAACAAAGTTAATAAATCAGTTTGAAAAATATAATTTAATGGAATCCAAGGAATATATTTTAATAATGCATTCAAAGTTGAAATAATTAAAGATGGTTTAGTAGTTTTATCTAAAACTTCATAACATAATTTAAAAATTTCTTCAAATTCAGCTTTCATAGATAATTTTAATGATTGAGCTTTTGCTTGAGTTAATTGATCTTGACTATAATCAAACACTTCTTCACTTAATAATTTTAAAATAATCATATTATTTTCACAAACATTAAATGAAGATCTTGAACTTAATACGATTTCAGGAATGAATTGAGGCCAATTATGAGGCCATTCTTGTTTTAAAATTGAAACCAAAGTTAAATCAATCTTATTAATTAATGCTCTTTGATTTTCAAAAATTTTTTCATTATCACATAATCCAATAATCATATTAACAATGAAATTTCTAATACCAATTCTTTCATTTTCAGGAATAGTTTTCCAACGATATTGAATTAATTTATTCAAACATGATAATGCAATATATTTTGATTGAGAATTATTTGAATTAGATAAAATTTGATCAGCTCGTTTCCAAGATTCATTATTTTCTTGAAATCGATTCAAGATTAATTGAGCCTTCTTTTGATCTTCTCCCGTCCCACTATAGAAGGCGTCAACCACTTTATCAAATAGATCTAGGTCGAGATCCTTTGAGAAATCAAGAATAGATTCCATTGTAGTTGTTGCTTAATGTTGTTTGATTTCACTAGTTTCAAACAAGTTCTGTTCTATAAACACACACTTCAAATCAATAGTTCTGTTTCTCTATCAACTAAACACACTTGTGATTACTGTTTGATGATGATGATACTTGGTTTCTTTTAACTCAACACTGATAATAATCTAAAACCTTCCCCCACTTGTGAATACTATTCAGATCGATAAACAGATTAAATAGATGAATGATTCCAAGATGACAATGATGGTGATAAATTATTACTCTTTCAAATAACAGTTGATACTCTTAATACGGATTGATGACGTTGTCGTTGGTTCGAGTGGTGGTGGTTGATGGTTGCAGTCAGTTGATGGTTGTTGTTGTAAATGGATTTTGAAAACACGGATAGACACAACAAAGACAGAAACAGAAACAGCACCAAAAAAAAAAAAAAATTTGCAAGGGACACGACATTCAACGACAACCAAACAGAACATAATTTTACGACATTTTAGGGGTAAAGTTATAACTAACAATCACTAACTAAGTATATAACTATGGAATATCAACGCATTGTTGATGGGATGGAGTATGATATTGTATGGTTATGATAGTATGAGGATGTTTATGATGAAGTAGAGGATCAAAATATGAGTTCATTGATGTAATTGTGGTGATTGGTCGCATTGTAGTTGGTGTTTGATGCTTGTTTATAAATTGTAAGAAGAACTAGTAGATCACCATGAATCAGGAGACAGAACGATTGTAATTGAATCAAGGTTGAGGCATGATCTATCTGGTGATGTGGATATCTTGTAAGATCATTTCTATGTAAATTAGACCATTCCCGTAATTCAAATCGTTCGATTGGTTCATAAATATAAATGTTATAAAATGTGCTGCAAAACTTTATACTTACCACTTCATTACTATCATCATCACATCATAATGATTCAAATTGAATCAATTAAAAGAGTAAATAATCTCATAATCAAAGTGATCATTATTAAATCTATTGATGATGGTTTAAGTCAAGAAATCAAAGATGTATTACATGATCATGATGATCAATTCGTGTTTGTGGTGATTGATATCAAAATGAATGATGATTCATTAATTCAATTATTTGATTATTTACAATATAAGTAAGTATTATATTATTCATAATGTGATCTAAACGCGTTACTAACTTTGATTAGTCTCTTTGAAAGTAATGTTAAGGTTCTATTATCACCTATGATCAACTCTTCACAATTGATGAAAACGATTCAATTTATTAAATCAATCACTATCAATCCAACAACAACAACCCAATCCATCAATAACGATCAATTAATTTATCTCATCTTAAATATCCCAACCTTAATTGATTATTATAATGATAATATAGATACTTATCCTACAATTGAAGATTTCTTTGATACTTTTATTGCCAAATTTACAAATATCAAACATCTTTTAAATTCAAAAGAGTTTACAATAAACTAAATAAACAAAAACATAAATAAACTATAAATCTACTTATTGAGTGGCAAATGAAACTCCCTTTTCAATATTCTTAGCTAATTGTTCTTTAGCAACTTCTAATAATTTCTTTTCATCATCAGAGATTTTAGTTAAAATTTCATATTTAACTTCTTCAATACCATTTTTACCCAATTTAACAGGTAAAGAGAAATAATCTAATCCACCCACTAATTTCTTAGCTTCTTCAGCTCCTTTGATTTCAGGAACTAAATTTAAAAAGGTACATTCGACAACTTCTTCAGATGAAGTTAATGATTTTAAAATAGATTCAGCTAATCTATAACCAGCATAAGCCATGGATAAAGTTGCAGAACCAGCCCCATTTTTAGCTTGAACAACTTCATCACCACCAAATTGAACACGATTAATTAAAGTTTTCTTTTGTTCTTCGGATAATTTTTCATATAATTTACCGGTTGATCCAACGGAATATAATGGAACAATGGTTTCACCAGAATGTCCTCCAATAACATTAACATTGAAATCAGTTGGTTTGGAATCAGTTGGATATAATTGAGCAATAAAAGTATTGGCTCTAACAATATCTAAAGTGGTGACACCGAATAATTTAGATGGATTATAAACACCATGTTTCTTTAAAGTTTCAGCCACAATTGGAACGGTGGAATTAACAGGATTAGAAATAACCAAGACAAAAGCATCTGGAGATGATTGAGCAATACCTTCAGCTAAAGATTTAATAATAGAAGCATTAATATTGAATAAATCATCTCTTGTCATACCTGGTTTTCTTGGAACCCCAGCTGGAATAATAACTAAATTAGCACCTTTTAAAGCAGTTAAAAGAGCAGTCTTATCTTCTTTTGAACTTGGTAAATGAGTTTCAGTAGTGGCATCTGAATTTATATGAGATAAATCAGCTCCAACCCCTGGAACATTGACAACATCAAATAAAGATAATTCTTTAATGTTGGCATTTAATTTTAATAATAATGATAATGGTTGACCAATACCACCAGCAGCACCTAAAACAGCAACCTTAACCATGATTGAATATATGTAATTAATGAGTTATTTATGTATATAATTGATTTCAAGTCAATTGATTCAATTAATTGGAATAAGATAAATCAAAGAAATTGGAAAAAGAGGAAAAGTTTTAAAAATTGAAAAATAAACTGGGGGAATATTTAATTGGTTATATATACGTTAAAATTAAGATTTGATAAATGGTGTTACCCCCCTCCTCCTCCTTCCTCATAAATTTATTTGTCCAACTAAAGGAGAGAGTGTGTGTACCCCATACTTTAAAAATTATTTACTGCTTAACTATGTGTCACGTGCACTTCGGTTCAAAAGTCCGGTCCAGTGGAATCAGTGTTAATTCAATTTAGTTTGTCCTAGTCGTGCCGGGGGATCAATTCTACTTTTACACGTTGAATTCCCATACTATTCCGGGAGTGGGGTAACCCTAACCTAATAGTAGTTACTAATAGTTAATATAGTCATACTATGAACTAAAGACAAACAGTTTAATATTGAAAGAGTTAGTTAAGGAATCAACGGGAAGGAAAGCAATGGAATCAATGGAAGGGATATAACATAACTAAACATAATGATGGTTAACTCCCTCTCATCATATGTATGTAGAGATAGTACAAGTTAAGTTTCCATAAGAACCTAAGCACCGAGGTGGATTTAAGAGTATGGTGACTGACCCCAAAAAAATGATTCAAATAGAATTAGAAATAATATGAGGAAATATAAATATAATACTTGATCCAATATAAATAGAGTATAGTAGGATGATAGTTAGGATAATTCAGGAAGGAAATGAAGTCATGGAAATGGAAATTCAAGTCAATTGAATGTAATAACACCATACCATTCGATTTCATAATTTTACCCCGGATCCCATATGAAAAATATGAAAAATTAATAAATTACTACTACACCTAAGAATTATTTTAACTTCAGTATTAGGTGATAATTTCACAATTTACCGTCAATAATGAGACACAACGAAAGGATAAGACAAGACGTGTATATAAATAAACAAAGTCAGGAGAACTTGACTTCAACTTCGACTTCCCCCGGAAAATTCAGTATGGGATATGGATTATTCCTAACCTCACCGAGGATTTTTCATAAACTTACCCTGTATATCCTATGATTTTGACTTATAACTATTACGATTACTTCTCCGATCTATTTAATGGGATTCGTTTAAGTGTTTATACATGTTAATTGTTCCAGATATTGCCTAATTTGGTTTAAGGGTATGTCTTTACTTAGTTTATTCTGTTTCGTTATTAAGGTTGCAAATCCTGGCTCTATCTAGTTGAAGTATGTATTATTCTTTCTTTCAATCTTTCATTGTTTTAGTTCTAGGTCTATTTTCGTCTCATTTTAACCATAAAGGTTAATTCAACTTCTAGATAATATTATAAAATCAAAGCTGTTTATAGTGGGGCTATCAGAGAAGGAGGGGCGGTAAGTGGTAAGAAGTACACACATTAAACTTAACAAGTCATACATAAATCTAAACCATGATTATAGTATACTTTTCTTGAGGATACGAAATCTGATTTAATTTCCTATTTTGAAGTTTCTTTTTATAAATGTGTTATTTTCTTTTTCTTTTTTGCACCCTTTATAAGACGTACACTTTATACATACACATTTATTTCTTTTTATGAATGGTTGAAAGATTCCTAATTATAGAAACTTATATTTAATAAGTTCATAATATTATTAGAAAAAGGAAACATTGGTTTTAGGTGTTACATACTCTTGTTAGTCATAATTATTGTGGATATCTTCACTCAACACTTTGAATTATACTGTTTTGTTGATGTCCAACATAATCATACCGTAGTCGGTATAAATGTAAACAGTGAGAGTTAAGCCGTATCCCATCAATAATCAAACTTTGAAATCTACATACATAAATACACCCTAAATTAACTAAATAAAGTATTGTAGTTATAAAAGGAATTATTCCATAAAACTTCCCGTATGAATAAATATCGATTGTTTTCTTTTTATAATTGATTTTGTGAATTTGAATAAGGTGTACATATCTCAACGCATACATTTCAACCACATTTCATATATCCATTCCATAATTAAGGTGATGATTTACTTAAATTCTTCCGCCTTATACTGTACTGAGAGTGTTCGCTAACTTTCTGTCTCGCAAAAATTAAATTGTTCCGCAAAGAAAGGGTAAAAAAAGAAAAGACTGTTTACGTATACTATATTACAGTAATTGGTAGTAACTAGTATGATGAGCGATTACGGCGGGGCCATACTGTTAGATGAAACTTCTATAGTAAAATAAACAGTAAATAATAATAATAATAAATAATAAAGTTGGTGTCTATAGACCCCACCTCATCACTTTCTTGTAGTAGTTAAAAGTCAACAAATAAATCATCGAAATTAAAATATTAATTTTTGATATAAATAATTTCAACTGTCTTCCGACCTGTGGACTTTTTCAATTATTTAATTAGTTACCAAGTTAAGTTAAGTTAATTAACTATAGCAAGTCAGTCAGTCAGTCAGTTATCATTGTCTATTTCTCCTCATTCCGTTAAACAGACAAAAATTTTGTTACAGGAAGCAGAATAAAATAGTCGAGTCCTGCACATACTGCCCCACTCCAAAACACAATCATCATCAATTTATTTGCATCCCCTGGTGGTCAATTTATTCGATAGTTTCTATCATCTTCCTCTTTCTTCTTTCTTCTTCTTGTTACTTCCTAATAACTACTCCAGGTGAAGATGAATAATCCTTTCAGACATCACAGAAAATCATCTTCATCAGATAATGATCCTTTCGATGTCCCTGAAAACTATTATGGAGATTTAACTAATCCTGCTAAAGCTAATAAAGATTCAAAAGTGGGTAGAGTTCGTACTTTCTCCGTCATTGAAAATACTCCTAGAAATCAATTCTTTAATGAATCATTCTTTCATAATCGTCCTGAAACAATTAAAGAATCTCCTTCTAGTTCTTCCAGTGATTTATCTCAATCTCCAACCCCAGTTCCAGAATTATTTCGAAAACCTTCTATCGTCCCCCTATACGCTGCTGCAGATGATCCCTTATATGCCGTGATCAATGATGATGAAGTGGTAAATCTGCAAGAATCCATCAATCTTACTAATGTTCAACCTGGTGCCGCTAATAAATTCCATTATAGAAGAGCATCTGTTGATGATGCCTTTTCTAAACCTAAGAAATTTTATATTGCTGATATTAAACTGACATTAAAGGAACTTTTGGATAATGAAGATACCGATCATAATTGTCAAATTACCATTGAAGATACTGGTCCAAAAGTATTACGATTAGGTACTGCTAATTCAAATGGGTTTAAACAAGCTTCCATTAGAGGAACTTATATGTTATCTAATCTTTTACAAGAATTAACCATTGCGAGATTATTCGGTCGTGATCAAATGATTTTAGATGAAGAAAGATTAAGTGAAAACCCCGTTGATAGAATGAAACGATTGATTTCCACTCAATTTTGGAAATCATTAACTAGATGTTTAACTAAAGATAATGTTTATCAAATGTCCAAAGATACAAAATTAAAAGATGAATATATAAATGAAGATGGATCAATCACATTAAAGGAAAGTCATCGTATTTATATTCCATATAATCGTAAAGATCAATTCGATTATTATTCATCTTTCAAACTGGAAAATCCCGATGTCGATCTTGATATTGTTTATTTACCGAAAGTGATTGATGCTGAATATATCAAATCAATTAATAAAAGACCCGGTTTATTAGCCTTATCATCCTCCATTAATCCTACTTCCGGTGAAGTGGTCAATCAACCTTATGTCGTCCCCGGTGGAAGATTTAATGAATTATACGGTTGGGATTCATATATGGAAACCATTGGATTATTAACTGATGTAACTCCAAATCATAATTTACAACATTTAACCTTAGCAAGAGGAATGACGGAAAATTTCATTTATGAAATTTATCATTATGGAAAAATCCTTAATGCTAATAGATCATATTATCTTGGTAGATCTCAACCTCCCTTCCTTACTGATATGGCATTAAGAGTATTCCATAAGACTAATGAAGTTTATCCTGATAAAAAAGATGAAACTCTTGATTTCTTACAAAGAGCAACCATAGCAGCTATTAAAGAATATAAAACTGTTTGGTGTGCTGAACCAAGATTAGATGTTGAAACCGGCTTATCATGTTATCATCCTACTGGGGTGGGAATTCCACCTGAAACTGAACCCACTCATTTCAATGCCGTTTTAAAACCATATATTGAAAAATATAATATTGATCAAACGGAATTCATTGAGAAGTATAACGAAGGAGTCATAAAGGAACCTAAATTAGATGAATATTTCCTTCATGATCGTGCCGTTCGTGAATCTGGTCATGATACAAGTTATAGATTAGAAGGTAGATGTGCATATTTAGCTACGGTTGATTTGAATTCCCTTTTATATAAATATGAAAATGATATTGCCCTTATTTTATCCACTTATTTTGGAAATAAATTAGAAATTGATTTTGGTGATGGAGAAATTATATTAGAAGTTTCCGAAAATTGGATTGAAAAGGCAAGACAAAGAAGAGCCAATGTTGATAAATATCTTTGGAATGGAGATGATTCAATTTATTATGATTATAATATTAAAACCAAAACTCAAAATAAATATGAATCAGCAACTACATTCTGGCCCTTATGGTCGGAATTATCTACTCAACAACAAGCTGATAAAATGGTTTCGAATACATTATATAAATTAGAAGAATTCGGAGGGTTAGCAGCAGGGACCGAAACTTCAAGAGGTGATATTAATTTACATCGTCCATCTCGTCAATGGGATTATCCTTATGGTTGGGCACCTCAACAAATCTTAGCCTGGATTGGATTATCTAACTATGGATATCATGGTACAGCCCGTCGTTTAGCTTATAGATGGCTTTTCATGATGACAAGAGCTTTTGTTGATTATAATGGGGTAGTGGTTGAGAAATATAATGTTACAAAGGGAGCTGTACCTCATAAAGTTGATGCTGAATATGGTAATCAAGGAGTTGATTTTAAAGGGGTTGCAACGGAAGGATTTGGATGGGTTAATGCAAGTTATCTTTTTGGATTAACGTTTATGAATTTACAAGCAAGAAGAGCATTAGGAACATTGACCCCACCCGATGTATTCATTGCTAAGTTAACCCCTGTTCAAAAGGAACAATTTGACGATAGTAAGTAAGTAAGTAGTATATATCTTTAAATACATCATACATATATAGTTTATAATATAGAGTTTGGGATTTTTATATATATGATTACATCCATACCGCGACGGACTGTATATAATCACACACTCAGACTTCTTTTTTTTTTTTCGTTTACCACATTGACCGAAAAAAATTGAAATTGACCTTATTGGCAGCAATCTTATAACGTATAACGTATAATTGAAGATCATATACTATACTTAGATCAAACTAGATTGTCAATTGTTCACTTGTTCGTTTGTGTTTTTGTTGGTTTTGTAAACTTCACTTATTTATTCAGTCATTCGTTATGTTAAGAAGTGGGATAAGGAACAATCGAGAGTTAGTGGTAAGACTATACCGTTTAAATTCAACTACAACCAGCATAAAGACATCTAGTACTTCCAATGTCAATACTTTTAAGACTGCAGTGGAAACTGCAGAGAAATTAGTGCAACCTCCTGCTGCTTCTAAAATATTTCATGATCCATTCTCCATTGTAAGTCATGAAATGTCAAATTTAGCCAAATCAATTGCTAATTTAATTGGATCAGGTCATCCTACTTTAAATCGAGTTAGTTCATATTATTTCGAAGCAGAGGGGAAGAATGTGAGACCATTGATTGTATTATTATTATCGAAAGCATTATCGAAAATCCCTCTCGAACAACGAAATCGAATTAAAATTGATACATTTGACGTTACAGATCAACCTCATTATAAAGGTACTCCAACCAAAACATCCATAGCAGGTAGAGGTGTTGATGATTCTATATCACCCTTGGCTATTTTACATGGTATAAATCCAAAAGTCATTTTAGATCCGTTATCTAAACCAATGGATAAATTACCTAAATTCGATGCTGTGAATGGAATATTACCCAAACAAAGAAGATTAGCAGAAATTGTGGAAATGATTCATACCGCCAGTCTTTTACATGATGATGTCATTGATTTAAGTGATTCAAGAAGAGGAAGACCAAGTGGGAATATTGCCTTCACTAATAAAATGGCCGTTTTAGCAGGTGATTTCCTTTTAGGTAGAGCATCTGTTGCTATTGCTCGATTAAGAAATCCCGAAGTTATTGAATTATTATCAACTACTATCGCTAATTTAGTAGAAGGAGAATTCATGCAATTGAAAAATACAGTGTTAAAGAATGATGATACTAATGTGATTGATAATGATGGTGAAGATAAATTAATTCCTCAAGAAACAGGTAAAGTCCCCACTAAACAACATGAATATTCGATTCAATGTCAAGATATAGTGGATCATAATACGAATGTTGATGCGGCATTTGAATATTATTTACATAAAACATATTTAAAAACGGCCTCATTAATGTCAAAATCTTCAAGAGCAGCTGCAGTATTAAGTGGATCTCAAGATGAAATCATTGAAAAATGTTATGAATTCGGACGTAATTTAGGATTATGTTTTCAAATTGTCGATGATCTTTTAGATTATACTTCTAGTGATGCCAGTATTGGGAAACCAAGTCAAGCTGATTTAAAATTAGGATTAGCTACGGCACCAATATTATTCGCTTGGAAACAGGATCCATCATTAGGTGAACTTATCGGAAGAAAATTCAATCAAGAAGGTGATGTGGAAATAGCTCGTAAAGCAGTGGAAAAATATAATGGATTAGACCAAACTAAACTTATGGCTCAAGAGTATTGTTATAAAGCATTAGAGAATTTAAGAGTTTTACCTGAATCTGATGCTCGCAGTGCATTAGAATTCTTAACTAATTCAATCTTAACCAGAACCAAGTAAGTCATTCATCATCATCATCATCATCATCATTATTATTATTATTAACCCCACCCCCTTAGCATTTATTTATAGATATTTAGAAAAGTTAGGCTCTTGTATATACATTTTTATTTTTACCAACCCTTACCTATAAATATATTATTTAATAATTTTATTCCACTACCTTCCCAATTAGGAAGTCTAGAACGCCAAAAAAATGTCTTGTGGATGAAAAAAAAGAAGCAGGAAGAACAAAAAAAATTTGATCTACAACACGAACAACTCCAACACCGACGACGAAGTCAATTCCAATTCAACTTAACCATAATCATCATTACTTTTTGATTGATTGACTTGACATTGACGTGTATTCGAACCAATCTCACTAATTAATACATTCATTCCATCCAGAAAACTATCAATAAAGTATTAAATTACTGTTACAGAATCTACCTAACTACAACACAACCACATATATATATACATAATGTCATCATCAGAAGAAACCAAACCAAAGGTTGAAGAAACCCCAGCTGCTGCTCCAGCTCCAGCTGTTCCAACTGCCAATGTATTCTCTATGTTTGGAGCCAAGAAGGAAAAGAAAGAAGAAGAAGAACCAAAGCAAGAACCAAAGGAAGAAACCAAATCAGAACCAAAGAAAGAAGGTGATGATGAAGATAAAGCTGATGAAGAAGAAGCTGATGTTCATTTCGAACCATTGGTTACTTTAGAAAAAGTTGATGTTAAAACTAATGAAGAAGATGAAGAAGTTTTATATAAAGTTCGTGCTAAATTATTTAGATTCCATGGTGATACTAAAGAATGGAAAGAAAGAGGTACCGGAGATGTTAAATTCTTACAACATAAAGAAACCAAAAGAGTTAGAATTTTAATGAGAAGAGATAAAACTTTAAAGATTTGTGCTAATCATTTAATTAGTGGAGATTATGAATTAAAACCCAATATTGGATCTGATAGATCTTGGGTTTATAATGTTACAGCTGATATTGCTGAAGGTGAACCAGAAGCTCAAACTTTAGCTATTAGATTTGGTAATAAAGAAAATGCTGATAAATTTAAGGAACATTTCGATGAAGCTAGAGATGCTGCTAAAAAGGATTAAACATATCATATTAAGAATTATATGATTTATTAATGGATTGATATAATTCCCATTCAATATCTTCTTTCATATCACATTATTTTGCTAATCATTAGTTGATACCATTATCAACCATCATGGAATAATCATACCATATTATATATATATATACTAGTTAGTCACCTCCTCACCTCTTTTTTTTAATATATAACATATACTTTTACATACAGCGCAAGTATGTTTCAGAGTAATATAACTTTATAATATCCCAAATGATAGTCAGTTGTAGGTGTAGATGTGGAGATGAGATTAATCTAATCTGTGTACGTAAAGTGAACAATCATGGAGATATATAGTTCCATCGTAAATCAGTAACCTCTAGATTGATCTACTTGATTTGATTTGATACAAAGACCCATCCCCATTCATAAGATCAACTATAAAGGTAACATCTGACCGTTGAATGTGATGAACATCGTAATTACACCGTGGTTGCAAATATCACCATCTGTAACTCTGATCTGAATAAGTCTTGGTTTGCTCTGGTCTGGTCTGGTCTGGTGTGATTTTAACTAACTGTAAAACACGTGTATGGAAAATTAGCAGTGGATTTTTTTTTTTACAGCAGCAGAAGCAGTTAGCAAATTTATTTACAACCAAAAATCCATTTACAACAACAACATCATCATCCATCCCATTGACGTGTATCATAGTATAGGTTAGTAAGACCAGGTCCATCCATCCACCAACATACAATAGAAGATGAAGTTTGGGAAATATCTTGCTTCTCGTCAACTAGAGTTACCTGAATATTCAGGCCATTTTATAGACTATAAAGCTTTAAAGAAACTTATCAAACAATTGGCTATTCCCACCACTTTCATCAATGATAATAGTCATACAGGTACTGGTGCAGGTACTCCAAGACCATTGACTCAACCTGAAATCCAACAAACCTTAAAGGAAAACAAAGCTCAGTTCTTCTTTAGAGTTGAACGTGAATTAGATAAAGTGAATTCATTTTATCTTGAAAAACAAGCTAATTTGGCTATAAATCTTGATTTACTTATACTAAAGAAGAATGAATTATTAAATAAAACCAATGAATTCATCAAATTACAACAAAATGATTCTAATTTAATCAATGCTAACTTTAGAAATTCAATTTCTTACCTTAATTTATATCAAAATTTTAAAAAAATTCATCAAGATTTATTAAGATTACAACAATTTATTGAATTAAATGAAACTGGGTTCTCTAAAGTAGTTAAGAAATGGGATAAACGATCTAAATCTCATACTAAAGAATTATTCATTCTGACTGCTGTAAGTGTTCAACCTGTGTTTCATAAGAATGAAATTAATGAATTAAGTGATTTAGTAACTCAATCATTATTTGATTTAGAATCGATTATGGATGGAGATTATTCATCCCTTAAGAATTATTCGTCTATAAGTTTAAATCAATCTCAATCTCAATTACAACATCAATTATTATTACAACAACAATTACAAGATCAATCAAAATTTAATAATATTTTACTGCAACAACAACATCAACAACAACAACCAAACTCATCATCATCAGCATTTCAAAATGTTCCAACTTCAAATCCAACTCTTCCAATCCATCAACAACCTCCCTTATCATTATCCAGAACAAATTCAAATTCAAATATAAATATGTCGGAAGATAATTTATCAGAAAGACATCAATCAATCAGTTCATTACCAGGTCCAAACAATTTCCAAAGTTCAAGAACTATATCTTATTTACAAAATAATGAAATCGATGAATTATATACTAGTTTTGTTAATGTCGCCACTATTAAAGATCCTGATTTATCATTATTAGTAAGATGGATTGATAAAGTAAAATCATCTTCATCCACCAATCCATCTTCTTCAAAACATAAAGATTCCATAAGTTCAAGTATAGCAGCTGCCAGATCTTCAAGTATATCATCAGTTAATTCTTCAAATCCAAATACCAGTATCGATACTAATAATGATACTGTTAAACAACAAACTCCACCTCAATTCAATACCATTGCCAAATATAAATTAACTAAGATTTTCTTACTTGCCGTTTCAAATTTGAAGATTTCTGATAGTTTCTTAGAATCATTCTTAAAATTAATTGATTATCAAATTGATTTCATCTTTGTTAATGATGATTTTAATAATAATAAGAGTATTTTACATGAATGTTGTTCAATCCCTCTTGCTTCAACTCATGAAAGTCATGTGGTAATAAATAATGGAGTTAAAGTAGTTAATTCTACTGATTCCATCAATCATTCTCGTACTTTTATTATCAAATATATCATGAATAATATCTCCCCTGAACAAAGAGTTGGATTATTAATTTGTAAAGATTTTAATGGAAGAACTTGTTTACATTATTTATCTCAACATAATCGATTAGATTTATTGGATCTTATCTTACCATTTTTCCCACCTGAACATATTGATGATTTAGATATTGATTCCATGAGTCCATTATTATTAGCTATCAAACATGGATATTCAACTGTAATTAAGAAATTAGTTCAAGCAGGATCTAATTGTTTCCCTACTAATGATGAAAATAAACTACAATATTTACCTATCAATTATGCTTGTAAATATGGTGATTATAAAATTGTGGAATACTTATTATCCAATAACAGATTAAATGATCCAAATCTTATTAATCAACAAGATGTGGAAGGTTTATTACCCTTGCATGTTATTTCAAGATCAGGTCATTATAAATTAATCAAATTATTAATTCAATATGGAGCTGAAATTAATAAAATTGATGGGTTAAATAAATGGACTCCGATTTTTTATTCCGCTTCGGAAGGTCATGTTAAAACAACTCAAGAATTAGTTAAATTAGGAGCGAAATTGAATATTGTTGATGAAGATGGGTATATTGTGCTTTATTATTGTGTGGTTGAAGGTCATATTGACGTCTTGAATGAATTATTAAATCATTATTCAACTATATCAAAGAGTGATGTTAGAAATACAAAAATTAATAATATGAATACTATTGTGGGTGAAGAAATCACTGCTACAAAGCAACAACAACAAGAAGAAGAAGCTCAAGTTCAACAACAACAACATCAAACCCAACAACCACAGCAACAACAACAAGATCCTTCTGGTATGTCCATATTGGTTGAAAATGATGATGATGATTCTGAAGATAGTGGTAGTGTTGATAAAAATAATAATAATGTTGATAGTATCCCTGATTTACAATTACCACCTCCAATTTTACCATTAAGAAGATATGGACATAATTTCTTAGAACAAAAAGTGTTAATTGAATTAATTTTCCCTCGGGATGCTGATTTTATTAATCTTTTTAATTTAACTACTGATTTAAAACCAGGAAGAATCACTATTACATCCAATATATCTGATATTGTTCCTCGTAATATTTTATTACCCGTGGCGGATGATACGAAAACCAATAATAATAATTGTGTATTCCAAACTGATATGGAATCATTACAAGAATTTAGAATTGATTTTGAAGTATTTCCAAAATTCGGTACTCGATTAATTGCCAAGACTACCGCTTTATCATTCTGTAGAATTGATACATCCTCCCCTGAAATTAATTCAATTCAATTACCATTATTTGATTTAAGATTAAGAAATATTGGAGAATTGAAATTTAATTATCAAGTGATTTTCCCATTCTCAGGTACGTTATTAGAAACTTCTAAATTCGATACTTATTGGAAATCATCAACTAGTTTTGTTAAAAATAGACAAACTTTGAAATTAAATGCTGCGGGAGGTTTATCTCCAAATAATTTCTTATCACCTTCCAGTATAAGTTCATTAATTGGTAATAATAAAGATAAAGAAAAAGATTTAAATACCACTGGAGGAGGAATCATTGATGGGGCTGTTACTTCTACTAACGAATTAGTATCAAGTTCAGCTGCTCCATCATCGATTGTTACTGCCACATCCTTATCTGGAGAATATCTTCGCATTAAGGTATGTTTACTTAATGATGGTACGCCTGTGGTATGTCCACATTGGTCAATTGCTATTACGGAAAATATCGATCTTTATTTACCTAATTTATCATTAGAACAATTAAGTTCTATCACTAATGATTTATTTGATTATAGTAAAGTGATTCATGATTTATCTCGCATGAATATTAAAGATATTGGATTAATTAAAAAATTATTAAGAATTATTTATTTACCGTTGGATATTTTCCTTGATGTTTTAAATCTTGAAATTAATTTAAATTTAGAAATTATCTTTCCAACATTATATGAATTAGCTCATTTACCATTCATTGGGAATATTCAACTGAATTTAGATAATTTTATTAATTTCACTTTAAATGATGTATTCAATCATATTAGAAGTTCTAAATTAAAACAATCAACTCCCGGAAGATCAATCATATTCTTATCATCCAATTCCCTCATATGTAAGATTTTAAATTGGAAACAACCTAATTTCCCCGTATTTTTAATCATGAGTGGTATAACTTTCAATAGTCAACAACGGAAATTCGAATCTCGATCCGCTAATGGATTATTAGTAGAAGATATTCGGAAAAATAATAGTATTGTTCATGATTTATCACCTGATGCTAAAGCAGCTGTCAATAAAAATACTGGTGATAAAATCATCAGTAATCATCAAGAAATAACCATTAGATCAATAAAGGAAGCAGTTAATTTCACCATCAATAATAATCTTATTGGTCTTATTACTTCAATTCATCTTTTGGATTTAGTTCCTAAATTAGTCCCTCTTATAAGATCAAGAGGGTTAGTACTTGTAGCTTCAAGTGATACTAATGATGATCAAGAAAATAATCAAGAAATTCAAAAAGAATTAGATTCTTATACTAGAGCTGAAATTAATGGATTAAGATTTGATGATGTATTAAGTTTTAAAGAAGATATAACTATGTAGAAAGACCCTATTTATTTATTAATTAACTTATTTATTCAACATACATTTAATATATATATATATACATTAATTAAACGTTTCATTATTTGTATTAACGCCTGCGTCTTGGGGGAGGAGGTGGTGGTGGTGGAGGTGTACCATGTTTAGAAGTTATAGGAGATGATCGAGAAACTATATCAATCGGATAACTACCATTATAATATGGTGATGGAGGTGGGGGTGGAGGTGGTGGAGATTTCTTATACCTTTGACCTCCTGCCAGATTCAATGAATTCACTGACGATGATGAATTTGATTTATGTTTATATAATTCTCGATTCACTGCTTTAACTGGAATAGGAACTTTTGGTAATTTTTTAGATTTTAAATATTCAACTGGTAAATCTAAGATATTATTACATGGAATTTGTTCTTCTTCTTCTTGTTGTTGGACTTGTTCATTATCATCAACTTCATCAATAGGTTTATTATTTCCTTCGTTTAATTGTTTTTCTAACCATGGTGAATATTGGCTAACATTATTATTATCATTAAGTTTTAATTTATCAAATTGTTTATCAAGGAAAACATTATTATTATTAGTTCGATATAATGATGGTCCATCATTAGTACTCTTATGGCTTTGATCTTGAGAGTTCTTTCTATAGTCTTGAATATTATGAGATGTGGTATGTTTATGATAATCACTTCTACTTGAAGTTCTTACTGATGCAACTCTTGCCATAGCCACGATAGAATCCGTTGAAGCATTAGATACTTCATCTGTGCCTTTATTATTATTATTATTGGTGGTGTTGTTATTACTATTGTTCAATGAAGTCAAAGATGATGAAGTTGAATTATGACTTGCAGGTGATGATGAAGATGGAGAAGATCTCTTTCGAGATAATTTTAACCAATTTATAGACATACATTTCTTGGATAATTTTCGAATAACTTCCTCTTGTTCACAACGAACCAGATCTTCAATCATTTCATTATCACGACAATTAAGAATTAAATTCTCAAATAATTCATAAATATCATTATTTTTATATCCTTCATGTAAATCACTAACTTGAGAAAACATTAATAAAGGATACATTACTTTTAAATAAGTAATGGCTAAGAATCTATTTTCATTACCTGATTTACCTCTAAAATCCATATTATTCAATTCTCGAATAAAAATATCAATTAAGATTTTTAAATCATTTAAATAAACTAATCTTGTAGTATATGATGTAGTGAATACAAGATAAAGGAATTTTAAGATTAAAATCTTTATGATTTGAGATTCTTCACGATTAAGATAATAAATTAAAAGATTGATGAATCCAGCAATATTAGCATGATTAGTATTGGGTGAAACATCTTCACTATCACCTTTCATTAATCCATTAAATACTTTATTTTGAATATTTGAATTCAGATAAGATTTCATTAAATATTGTTCATTGATTAATAATAATAATTTGAATTCTTCATAAGCAATTAATTTATCTTCATCTTCAAAATCATCTCCATCAATATCATAATTACTGAAATTTTCATTGGATAAAAGGTATTTGATTAATGTCGGTATAACTTGAGTATCAGTGGTTAAACATGAAAATTCATCATCGGTTAATAATTCTGTATAATACAAATATTCGAAAAATATATCACAACTGAATTTAAATAATACAAAGGTGGTCTTTTGTTGATCTAAGGCTGTAACATGAACTGAAATGAAATTGGATATTATAGTAATGAAATCATATTCTTTAAATGCATTAAATAAATCTTCAGTTTCTATAAGGTTAATTTGAGAATCTTGATCAATATTAATATTTGATTCATTTGAATTAGCACTATTCTTAAGTTTTAATAATACAAGTAATATAATACAAAGAAATTCTTTTAAACATTCACTTTCTTGTTTAACTCTATCATCAACTTCTTCACTATCATTACTTATAACATTATATTCTGTCCATGATGTGAAAGTAGATAAGAATGCCAATAGTTTTCCAATACAGAAACGATAGTTCTTAATGAATAGATTCAGATTGACTAGTTTAAGAGCATACATTGAAAGTTTATGATAATTCTTTTGATGAGTACTAGTTCCATTACCATCACTTATTATACTTTCATCGTCTGATTCATCTTGTGATAGATATACTTTATCGATTATACATTTTATGAAAGTGGAGAGATTCTCATTACATGCTTGAGAGTCACTATTGATTAGGATAGTATCAATTTCATCATCGATATCAGGTTTTTGAGGACATGAAGAAGAAACAGGTGATAAATGAAGATCAGTGGTTGTACTACTGGTAGGGAAAGAAGTGACAGGCATGCCATTGGATGGACTAGTTGAGTAGGAATATGAAGAATACATTGATTAAAGAAATGAATGAATGAATGTGAAGGTAACTATATGAAATACAACTTGAATTGAATTGAATTGAACTGAATTGAATTGAATTGATACGATATGTGATTGATTGGTGATTGGTGATTAAGCTTTCAAACTGTCCAACCCATTCAACAACCTTTGTTCTTCTTCTTCTTCCTAATCGTCTGATAGTTGTACTTATGGCTGGATGGATGGATGGTTGGTTGGTTGATGGTTGACGGTTGGTGGTTGTAAAAGACACCACCTCATGATAATTTTGAATGTGGTAATATTTTTATTTTAGCGCTCCCTCTTTCCCTCCACACGATAACAAATTAATTTGGGGGAAACTATAACAGAAATTTACACCCAAAAGGGAACAACCATTATCATGTCTAAGTCATATATTTTATATATATATATATATATATATATACAAGTAACGTATGTAATCTTGCTCTACTGTCCTACTGTCTTAAGATATACATCTGTACCCCAACCATAATAACTTTGAATACTTAACAGCCCCTTGGTAGTAATAACTCCATCTTCATCAGGTAATGTATCATTGAATATCTCTACATAATTCTTCAGTAATGGTAATCCATACCCCATTCCAGCCACTATATTTCCTCCTAACCCAGGTGGAACATTCAAAGTCTTATAACTATCCCCTTCATTGTTCTCCCAAGTTGTAAATGAATAATCAAAAATATGATTTAACGTCTTGGATGGGATCCCTTTCCCCTTATCTCTAATTCTTAATTCTAAATATGAAGTAGGTTTCTTTGAGATTGAAATGGTGATTTGGACGGGATCTTCAATTTCATTTTCAATATGAGCTCGGAATGAATTTTTAAATAATTCCGAAAGAATATAATCTAAATGATATTCAATATATGGGAAATGTTGTAATTCTTCTTCAGTTGGTAATGCCAATTCAGGATCTTGTCGACTCCAATAATTTATAGGGTATAAATTGGTATCAATTTGAATTGGAACAGTTTGATCATATTTTAATAAAAAGATATCATTAATCAATTCAGCATTCTTTCGTATAACATCAGGGATATTCAATATTTTAATCACTCCATTATATTTCCCTCCCTTTTGATAAGTTGTTTCACCATTTAATGCTTTTGTTAATTGAATATGTTGATGAGCAATCAATCTCATACTAATTCTTTCCTTTAAATGATTATCCAAGAAATGAGTGATTTGTTTAGGATTAATTAAATCAATCACTTCATTAAACCCTTTAGATAAACTAGGTAATGTATCAGCATGTACATCAATAAATTCACTTAATACATCTTTTGCAAACGTTTCATTTTCTTCCATAGTAGTAGGAGGATTTAATGATGCAGTTATTAATGATGACATGGTTTGTAAATAAATACTATAAGATTCAGAAATAGAAGGATTAAGTACCACTAAATAAGGTAAATTTCTAAATTCTTTTAATCTTCTAGCATTATATGCTAATAAATGTTCAATGGTATCTTGAGCATTTTGTAAGATGAATGTTGGAGATAACTTTTCTGATTGTTCATATAATCGTTCAATTGAAAACTTGGGTAATTCCTTATCGGCATAATAATAGATCGGCCTTTCCAAAAGAGTTCTGATTTTATATTCTTCAAGGAATCTCAGTTGTTGATCTTGACCTTTGGTTAAGTCTGATTCAATCGATGATTCTGATTTATGATATAAACTAGTAGAAATTAACCTTTTATGGATCAATTTTGCTCTGAAAAATGGGATACGTCTACTTAACGATTGAATTGGAACTGGTATAGAACGTAACATCCTCTTGAAATCTCTTATATATGATAATATGACAATCTTCTTCTACGATACCTTCTTATCTTTGACATTCTCAATTTCTGTAAATGGTCCAGCGGAGGTTTTGTCCCCAGAAAAAAAGAGGTGATTTTTAACTTACTCTGTTGAGTCACCAAACCACAAACAAACCAAAAAATGGAACCATCATCATCAGCTTATCAAAACCATCTTTTTACAGTAAATCAAAATACCACCACCACCACCACCAACCATACAAATGGTATTACAATGCCCTCGATTGATGTATGTCCACTATGTGTCAAGAAACCATTAGAGAAATCAACCAAAGTATCGGATATCTCATGGTTACAATGTGATATCTGTAAACAATGGTTCCATAGTGTTTGTTTGAAATTGCCCCAAATTGAAATTAATAATATTCATTCTTATCATTGTGATAAATGTAAGAAGCATCATGGTGAATCGGTATTTAAGAGGAAATCAAAAAGAAGTAGAATAAAAGTCGATTATGCTGCTTTGAATGATGGTGATACTTTCTTACTTGATAAAACTTTCCATCCTCATGTATCTACCTTCTTAGATTATCCTATTGATGCTAATGCTATGGATGAGAAGAATAATCCATATTTGGATATCCTTGATAATTTAACCAAACTGTATGGTTTGACTTCTCAATTAAAGAAACCAATACTTATACCTCAAGTTGATATTGATATAGTAGGTATGACATTTGCTATACCCAAGGAAAAAATAACCATTGATTATATCACTGATAAAGTAGGTGATGAAGAATCAGTAGAAGTAATGGATGTATTATCCCAACAAGGAGTTCACCCTGGTTGGAATATGGGGAAATGGAGAGATTATTTCAATACCGATGAATTAAGTCGAGATCGAATTCGAAATGTTATATCATTAGAAATATCTCAAGTAAAACAGTTAGGTCAAGAATTCTCTCGTCCTACTATGGTTAATGAAATGGATTTGGTCGATAAAGTATGGGATCAAACTGATGAACAACCTCGATCTCAAGTTACCAAATATTGTTTAATGTCAGTTAAAAACTCATTCACTGATTTTCATATTGATTTTGGAGGAACTTCAGTATATTATACCGTATGTAAAGGTTCAAAAACATTTTTAATGTATCCTCCAACCGATGAAAATCTTGAATTATATAAAACCTGGTGTTTAGAACCCAATCAGAATTTCATGTGGTTTGGAGATTATAGTTCAACCATTAATGGGAAACGATTAACTCCTAATGGTGGGTTTAAAGCTACTTTAAAAGAAGGGGATTTATTCATTATACCGAGTGGATGGATTCATTCTGTGTTCACCCCTGAAGATTCCATCGTCATAGGAGGGAATTACCTTACTTTAAAAGATATGAAAACTCAATTGAAAATAAGTAATATTGAACGTGATACAAAAGTACCGCCCAAATTTAAATTCCCCATGTTTAATAAAGTTTTATGGTTAACAAGTTGGTATTATTTGAATCATAAACAAGAGTATGTACGTGATTTACATCCTGAAGTGAAGTCTGAAGTTATACAAGATGATAATTCCTTAGAGTATACTGTCCTATCTTCACTTATTGATAAATTGAAATCACATTATGAATTAAGTAAAACAAGTCAAATCGCAAAGAAAAGTATACCGACAAAATTAATCGGTAAAGACATTGACTCTTATCTAGGACAATTACAATCATGGTTAGGTGAGTATACCACCACCACCACCTAATTAAATCTATTCTTCTTATATATATATATATAAATAGTGTATTATTAAACAATTTTGTTATCATTTAATATTGGTTGTGAAAAAGCGCATCTTCACCTTTTTTGAGTCATGTTCGGAACCCTCTCAACTATTTCCATACATATCGAGCCGTACGTCAATGGAAGGAAGGAAGGTTTTCAGGTGCAAATTTTTTATAAATAGACTTTGAAATCCAGTTTTGTTGATAATTTTATTATATATAGTTATAATAATAAGTATGACTAGTTTGACGATTCATAGTAGTAATTCAATTCCCTATCCTGTGGTTATTGCGATAGGGGTGGTGAATTCCATTCATGAAAATACAATTTCAGTTTCTCATGTTAAGTCCACCAATGACTCATTAATTCAATTAGTAGTGTATGAAGGAGATCCTCCTATTATTGGTCAATTGGATATTTTGAATTATTTATCCAATACTTATCCCAACATTCTTCGAAACTTCACTGAATCCGAAAATTGGATAAACTTTGCTATTGATAAACTCACCAATAAGAACTTTTCTCAATTATCAACTTCATTAGAGGAATTAAACCATAATCTCAACTTTAGATCATTAATAATTGGTAATGATTTCTCATTGGCAGATATTGTTGTATGGGGTTCATTAAGATCTAATGGAATGATGGTTTCAATCCTTAAGAATCAAGTCTATCTAAATATCTCGCGTTGGTATGCTTACTTAGAAACCCAACTTAACCCTCTCGTTGAACAATTTAATAAACTAAAGCAACAACAGCAACCTTCTAAGGGTCAACCTCACAAGGCATCAATGGCCTTTGGTTTAGATAATACAGAGGTTGGAAAAGTAGTTACCAGATTCTTACCGGAACCTTCAGGATACTTACATATTGGTCATGTTAAGACTGCCATTTTGAATCAATATTTAGCTCAAAGTTATAAAGGGAAATTGCTTATCCGATTCGATGATACTAATCCTGATAAAGAGTCTATGGAATTCACTAATGCCATCGTCGATGATTTACAATTATTAGGTATAAAAGGTGATGCTACAAGTTATACATCTGATCATTTTGATGAACTTTATGAATATGCCATCAAATTAATCAAAAAGGGGTTAGCTTATTGTGATGATACACCAGTTGAAAAGATGAGAGAAGAAAGAATGGAAGGGGAAGAATCAATTCATAGAAATAGATCGATCGAATCAACGTTACAAATCTTTACTCAAGAAATGAAAAACGGTACGTCAATCGGATTATTAAATTGTTTAAGAGCTAAAATTGATTATAAAAATCCTAATAAAGCATTAAGAGATCCTGTCATTTATAGATGTAATTTAACTCCTCATCATAAAATCGGCACCACTTGGAAAATGTACCCCAATTATGATTTTTGTGCACCAGTAGTTGATTCAATCGAAGGTGTGACTCATGCATTAAGGGCCAATGAATATCGTGATCGTAATCCTCAATATACTTGGTTTTTAGAATCCCTTGATTTAAGAATCGTTACCATTTTCGATTTTGGGAAAATTAATTTCGTTCGAACTGTATTATCGAAACGGAAATTAAAATGGATTGTTGAAAATGGTTATGTTAATGGTTGGGATGATCCAAGAATGCCTACTGTTAAAGGAGTTATGAGAAGAGGTATGTCTATTGAAGGACTTCGTAATTTTATTCTTTCTCAGGGTGCTTCTAAAAATATTATTAACTTAGATTGGTCATTGATTTGGGCTTTGAATAAGCAAGTAATTGATCCCATTGCTCCTAGATTTACTGCTATTCAAAATAATGATGTGGTTACAGTTGAGTTGATATCTCCAACTGCAATTGAACCAACGTTAGAAGATAGACCCAAGCATAAAAAGAACCCAGCACTTGTTTCAAAATCAGTGGTATTTTCTGATAAGATCCTTATTGAACAAATTGATGCTGCTAGTTTTGAAGTAGGTGAAGAAATAACTCTTATGGATTGGGGAAATATCGTCATTAAACATATTGAAATCAAAGATGGGAAAGTTACTCTGATTCGAGCTTTATTACATTTGGAAGGAGATTTCAAGAAAACATCAAAGAAAATCACTTGGTTAAGTGATACCAATGATAAAGTAAAAGTTGATCTTTTTGAATTTGATTATTTAATCACAAAAGATAAGATTTTAGATACCGAAAATTTTCAAGACTTTTTAACCCCTATAACCGAATTTAAAAAATCAGCATGGGCGGATTTGAATGTCAAACAACTCCGTAAAGGTGACATAATTCAATTTGAAAGAAAGGGTTATTATCGTGTAGATCAACCATTTGGATCAGATCAACCGGTGCTTTTGTTTTTAATCCCTGATGGAAAGAAACTGAAGACCCTTAGCAAGTAGATATAAGTAAGTAGTAAGAACGAATAAATGGTATCTAAAGCATAGAATAGAATCATTAGAACGGCTCTGGATTGTAGGACAATGACCATTTCCAGAGTTAGCATATCAAAAAAAAAAAAAGTCGATTTTGCGCTAATCATTTTGGTTTTGCGTTTACGAGTATTGCGGCTAAATGTAAAAAAATAAGGTTTTCAGCCGACTTCAGTTTTCTTGCCGATATCAATTACAATTCATAACGGTAATAGCAACAAACCATTGTATTAAGGTATGATGGGCTTGATCAGAACAAATTTGAAATGACCCTAATGTAATTATTCTTGATCTTGCCCTTTCTAACGTAGGAATTATTCAAAGTTAGGATGGACCATTCTGTCTCACAATCAAGTACTACCAGCGGTGGTAGTGGTAGTTCAGACATTCAAGCTATACCATATCACGGTGAGCCAAAAGGGGATGAAAATTTAACTCATCAAAAGATAACACCTGCTTTTATCAATGCTTATTATGCCAAGGATGAAAAAACTTCAACTGATTATTTTAAAGAAGAATCAAAACCAAAAGAAACACTTTGGAGAAAAGCATTAGCCATCATATGGCCAAATTATGTCTTAGATCATTTAGATTATGCTTCTTTTAAAACGGTGGTAAGAACTTGGTTTCAAGTATGGGTAGGTGCACTTCTCTGTGTGATTCCTCTTACTAGTCATTGGCTTGGTAATGCTGCTTATCTTATTCATATTATGGGATTCATTGCTGCTGCGGGTGGATCACTGATTATATTAAATATTATGATTTCATTCATTTGTTTCTTTTATTGTATGGTTGGTTGGCTTCATGGAATTATAGCTATGAAGATTGGAAACATACTTCGTGATTCGATAACATCTGAACAACTTACTGAATCCTTAATAAATGAAGGTCTATGTACTCTTGAGAATATTGAACAATGTTTAGCAGATCAAGTATTCACAGGTCGGTATATTACAACTAAAGTTTCAGCAATTTATTGCTTAGCCCTTATTTCAGGTATGACTGTGATGGGATTGAGTCAGAAATTTCATCCTGTGATTAGATTAGGATTCATCACTGGGGTTATTACGCTTGTTATAAATTGTTGTTATGGAGTTTTCTTCCCTATATTTGATCCGAAAGTACTTGGATTGGTAGTTGTTAAACCTATGGGAGTATCATTTGCTTTAAAAATAGTTACGGCAATGGTAGTTTATCCTACCACTTCTAGTTATTTGTATTTTGGAGGTTCAACTAAGATTTTAAAAGCTTTGAAAACATCTTCAGAAAATCATATTCGGTTATTTAAATCGTTGAAACCTTCAGTCGATAATTTTTCCAATTATAAGAACTATTCAACAGATGTTACTGGACTTCGAGGTAAAATTGGATTATTAGAGATATTAGCCGCCACTTCCAAATTTGAAATTTCATATGGAAGATTTGATATTGGAGATATTGGAGAATTTCGGTCACTTTCAAAGAATTTAATTAGTCTTTCTTCGGGATATAGTTATTTTTATCAAATGTTGGATGAAAGAAGGGATTTCGCTTTAAATATTTTTAGTAATTTAGCCAGAAGGAATAGTGCCACATCAATTCATCAACCATCATCAACAACTGGCAATCAACGGTTCTTGGCGGTTTCCTTACATGATTCGTATAAAGCTGTGGGTGAATATGAACATAAGAAGAGAATCAATGTTTTACGGAAGAGAGTGAAAAATATTGATGTCGATGAAAGAATCCGTTTAGAAGATCTTGATAATATTTCTGATACTATTAAAGATCAATTTTTATCCATACTTGAAGCATCGGATATGGGTCTTGGAATAATCACATCGTGGTTAGCAGCTGCTAATGATTTCCGAATTTATTCATTATTCATTCCAGGTCAATATAAAGCTAAACAACAAAAACAACGAGAATTACATGATCAACTTTTGGTTGCGAAATCTAAAATTCAACATGAACTTGATAATATCATTGATATTGAAAATTTCGAACAACGGATTAAATCAAAAACCAGGAATGAAGAAACTTTATTATGTCTTTTGAATCAAACTTGTCTTTTCATTCATCTTGTTAAAGGTCAATGTAAACAATTACTTAAAATCATGGACTTATTCTTATCCATAGATGAAACTCGACCAGTACCAACTTTAATCACCTGGTTTACCAAATCAAAAAGAGAAGCTCCCGATCATATCATGACATCTCAAACTGATATTACCGAAACTCCAACTTATCTATCAAGTGAAATTCAAGAACGTGATCCTGATACATTACCACCATCAAATTTAATTCAAGCCATTGGAACTTATTTTGTTAAACTCTATAAAATACTCTCTAATGATCATCTTTGGTTTTGGATAAGATCAGGTGGCTTGGTATGTATTGGTGCATCACCATATTTTGTCCGTACTACTGCTCATTGGTATTACTCCAATCGATTAATTTGGTTAGTTATTATGATTGGTGTTTCAACATCTGAATCAGTAGGGGAAACTTTATATGTATTCTGGGCCAAATTATTCTATTCATTCTTTGGATGTTTATTAGGAATGGTAGGATGGTATATTTCAGCCGGGAAAGGTAACGGTAATTATTATGGATTTTTAGTGGTATGTGCTGTTTTATTTTTATATTTATCATATTATAGACACTTTTCAGTTCATTTAAGTTTAGTACCTGCTATTCTTTTTGGAGTTACCACATCTTTAGTGTTGGGTACGAGTTGGGTTGATGGACAATATAATAAATTAGCTAATGTAGGAGAAGGATTCCGAGTTGCATATTTAAGATTCATTAGTGTGGTGATTGGACTTTCAATTGGATTTTTTGCATGTCTTGTTCCAAAACCATTAACAAGCAAACATGAATTAAGACATCTTGTATCAGGTTTAATCCATCAAACCGGAAATATTCATTGTGATGTATCTAAATTTGCCTTATTAAGATTACAAAATCCAAATCATCATGTATTACGAAGACATGATCTTGTCATTGAAAGATTTAGATATGTGTTATTGAAATTAGCTAAAATATCTCCCTTAATGGTTCCATTACATCATGAAATCCCCTTAACTGGGTATTGGCCCGAAAAGAAATATAAAAGATTACAAGTGTTATTAATTGATATTACACAATTATATTTCCTTTTATTACAGATATTTGATCAACTTGAAGATCCTCAAATTTGGATTCCAAAAATAATCCGAAAAGTAGGATGGATAGATTCATCATTGGTGGCGGATACATTTAGTATAGTTCATATGGCTTCCGATGCCATTAAGAATAGTAATTCATTACCTCGTATAACTGAAGCTAATTTATCTTTAAAACATGCTGATTTATTAATGAAACAATGGGGGATAAACAAATTATCATTAAATGAAAGATATTATCAAGATGATAAACAACTTGATTCTGTAGAAGATCAACAATTACAAGATTCAATTATGGGAAATATCGATTATGAAGCTTTCTTTTCAAATGATGGTCAATCCAATGTGGTAGCGTTGTTATATGCCCATATGATTTATAAACGATTTGATGAATTAATGATCATAGTTAAGGGTTTAGTAGGTGAGAAGTATGATTATGATTCTCAATTATTTGAGGAAGATGAGTATGATGTGTTAATTGGTGAATGATCAATGAATATACAGATGTGGTTAGATCTTTTTATTATTAATTAGTGTTTTATATTTATTTATTTATTTATTCTTTATTTTACAATTATATATAAACCTTTAATATCCCGTATTGTATAAAGTTTTAGTTTTGAAAATTTTTGGATTAAGCTTATAAAGATAAGTTAATACCTTTTTCTCTAGCAGCTTCACCATACTTTTTAATTCTAATAGATTGAACAGCAATAAAACCTGAAGTATCTTCTGGAGAGAATCCAGTTAATTCATCCATGGATGATTCAGTTTCATCATATAATTTTTCAGTATCAGAAGATCTACCCAAGATAGTTAAAGAACCTTTATAAGCTCTAGCTCTAACGGTACCATTAACAGTTTTTTGAGATGGTTCAATCATGGATCTGATATATTCACCTTCTGGAGTGAAATACATACCATTATAAAGAATTTTTGAATAAGTGACAGTAACAAATTGATCTCTAATGGCTCTAACTTCACGATCTAAAGTTAAACCTTCTAAATCAACATGAGTAGATCTTAAAATGGTTAAACCTGGAGTTTCATAACAACCTCTTGATTTAATACCAATAAATCTATTTTCAACAATATCAATTCTACCAACCCCATTTCTTCTAGCTAAAGCATTAGCTTCTAAGAATAATTCAACTGGTTCAGTAACAATTTTTTTACCACCATCTAAGATTAATTTAACTGGTAAACCTTTTTCAAACACAACTGAGAAATCTTCTGGAGTATCTGGAGCATCAGTTGGATCAACGGTTAATTTCCACATATCTTTTGGAGGAGTAGTATCAGGATTTTCCAAAATACCAGCTTCAAAAGAAATATGAGCTAAATTTTCATCAGTTGACCATGGTTTAGCTTTAGTTTGAGCCACTGGGATACCCTTTTCATTTGAATAATTTAATAAATCATTTCTACCAGCAAATCTATTAAAGAAAACTGGATCTCTCCAAGGAGCAATGACAGTAACATCTGGTTTTAAAGCATAAAAGGATAATTCAAATCTAACTTGATCATTACCTTTACCAGTACAACCATGAGAAACAGCAAAACAACCATATTCTTCAGCCACTTTGATTTGAGCTTCAGCAATAACAGGTCTAGCTAAAGAAGTACCTAAAAGGTAAACATTTTCATAAATGGCATTAGCTTGAATAGCAGGGAAACAAACTTTTTCGACAAATTCTTTTCTAACATCAACCACAACGAATTTAGTAGCACCAATGGCTAAAGCTTTCTTTTCAGCAGCTTCGAAATCTTCTTCTTGACCAATGTTGGCTAAAAAGGCAATCACTTCATAACCTTCTTCTAATAACCAAGCTAAAATAACTGAAGTATCTAAACCACCAGAGTAAGCTAAACAAACTTTACCTTTTGACATTATTATGTGAGAATGTATATATAAAACTGAATTAATCAATTACTTATTAAATAAAACAAAATTCAAGAAGAAGAAAGGAAAGTGAAAAATTTTTCAAAAGAAACGGGGGAGATTATTTATATATCAATTTAATTTTGTCGACCACAGTTGAAAAATTTTGATTTCTTCTTCTTCCTTTATTCATCGAATGATAACGTAGCGCGCTTAATATTTTAAATCTATTACCCAATTAGGAATGACTCATCTAATTAGTCAGAAGGGCACGACCCCCTATCTAGTATACAGGACAGAGTAGAAAAATTTTTTCATCCAACGCCTTTATTTAATCATAGTTAATAGAGAATGCCTTATGAAATAATATTATGGAATTGTAATAATTAGTGTAAGTGTAAACGTGAATGTGGATGTGAACGACATCATGTCTGACTTTATTAATTGTAATTTATTTTGTTGCAATTATTTTTAAATGACATGTAATTTAAGGTGTATTGTGTAGTAGTTATGAGTTTGTGTTTGCGGAGTGAGGGAGGTCTAGGTCAATTTTTCTCTCATCCAAATCCATTTTTAACCGCTTTTACAAATTAGTAGTTAAACTTGTACTTTACTTAATTACTACATTCCCAATTGATCATGACAACACCGTCTAAATCAGTATATATTCCCATCAATGATCAAACACCATTATCATTCTTCTTAGATTTGGGTCCTCTTTGTGTATGTTTTCTTCTATATTCTAATTGATTGATTGATTTAGATACTAACTCTACTCTACTACATAGAGTAATGAGAATTACGCTGAATGTCATCAATTAGCTCAAGATAATTTCATGAGATGTGATGAAGATGATAAATCATGTTGTTGTTATTATATTAATGTGGTTCATCAAGAATGTCGTCAATTATGTTCTACATTTGTATGAATTTACCTCTATATTGATTTTTCTATGTTTTTTGGCAGCACATTTCTAACAAAAATTGGGGATGTAGCATCATGAAACTTATTATCGATTAAAAGCATTATGTTCCAAAGTTGATTATCAAACTATCATTGATACGTTACCAGCTGAGAATATAGGTAGAATCATTCCTCCTTCATTAAGTAATAATAGTGATTCAACCACAACTACAACATCCTCTACAACTACAACTAGTACCACCAATATCAATCAATTTTATAATAATAATAAAACTAAATTAAGAAATGATTGGAAATCATCATATCCTAAACATTCCCTTGATTATGATTATTATAATAGTGAAGAAGGTTATCATCATTATCATCAATCTAATTCTAATATTAAACAAATTATAAATTCTAAATTATTTATTGGATTAATATGTATATTAATTCCTGTTTATATATTTAATAATATGTGAAATTGAAATTGAAATTGAAATTGAAATTGAAATTGAAATTGATGACTCTCCATTATTTAGTGAAGAAATAAAATTTGAATCATCATCATCATAAATAATTTAACGGGAAGATTCCTTTTTTTTACTGAGACGTTGCCCCCGCAGACTCACACTGTCTCACTAAAAAGTTTTCAGTATTTCTTTTTTCTGTTCTGGCTCACTAAATAAATTAAAAATTAGTGGAGTGATTAAGAGTCTCCTCATTATTTACTTTTTACTTAATAGCAATTTTAAATATTGACTATGAGTCTAACTACCATACTTAAATACTTATTAGTATGATTTTTATTTCATTTATGATAATAAGATTGAATGGTTTTCATTTATTATTGTTATCTGTATATAGACACACCACATCAATCTATCTATCAGTATATAAATAAATTATCAACTTATCTATTCAGTGTGTGTGTGTATCAGTGTGTGCCGTATAGTTTAAAGGACTCACTCTCTCACTAAAAATTTAACGGAGAGCAAACAGAAAGGAAAAAAAAAAATCTGCCAGTTGATTCGAAGTCACTCACAACAAAAATATATAAAAACTTAATCATTGTGACTAATAAATCATTTAACTTATACAACCACCCTTATCCTATCCTTTTTAATGGACCATATCATATAGACTTTAATATATACATATCAACCACAATGCTGCAAGTATTACCTCCGCATATATCCAGTTCAGTACCCTCCTCCAATACTAATCCTGATGTATCTTCATCATCAACCTCCATACATAGATCTCCGTCCCCTCATATAACCAATACAACTCCACCAGATCAACATCATCCTAAGAAATTAGGTGTAACTCATTCTATACGAGAGAAATTAAGCTTTCAAGATGAACGATTATGGAAACGATTTTCGGCTCGAAGATTGGAATTAATCGATACATTAGATTTATGTTCTAAAAAAGCAAGTGAACAAGAAGAAGAAATTAAACGAGTGGCTCAAGCTTTACGATTAGAATTTAATTATTCAACTGATTATGAACAAGAATTTGATAAATTAGTTAGAGCTGCTGTTCAAAGTGTTCGAAGAAATCGTAAACGATCATCCAAATCAAAAAAGAATCATCATCATAATGGTGAAAAAAGAGTTAAAATTGAAGGTCAAACTAATCAAAGTGAAGCTGATGAAGAAGAAGAAGATGATAATGAAACTGTAAGTGATACAACTTATAGAAATCGATTTGTTTCTGAAATAAGTCGATTAGATTCTGATTCTCAAGGTCAAACTGATTTAAATTATTCTCGAACTAAAAATTTCTCTTCTGATGATAAAGCAAAAGCAACGATTGATAATATGATTAAACCTCGAATTTTACAAAATCATCCTCATAATCATCAACCTCCACTTCATCCATCTCATCCTCCTCAACTTCATAATCATCTACATCAACCTTATCAACCTAGTAATGTAAGTTCATCATCATCATCTTCTTCACCTGCATCATTTCAAAAAATACCCGGTGGCAATGGTAATGGCAATACTACCGTTTTACCTCCTATTTTACCTATTAATGATGATTATTTAGCTCCTCCTCCAAAATTAGATGCAAATGCCGCTAAAGGGATAATTATAAATCATATTGAAAGATCAAAAACATGTTCTGAAAGTGTATCTAAGAAATCAGAAAATTTACAAGTATTAGGAAAATTAATTATTCAAACTTGTATATCATATGTATTTGAAAAATCATTTGAAAATGTGAATGAAACTTCAATTCAATATTTAAGAAATAAATTAAGTGGAGATATTTATTTAGCTCGATTTTTTCGAGATTTAGATCCAAGTACTATCACTTCTATAAGTGATGAAGTGGCTACTATTTCATTATATACTCTTTTAGGTGGAGTGGTTAAAGATTTTGGATTTGAACAAATTATTTTCCCATTATGTGAGATTATTTATGTATCAATTTTAGAAGAATATCCTTTAATTGCCAAGAATTCAATTCCATTCAAATATAGTGATTATTTAAATAAATCAGAATCAAATTCATTGAATTCGTTGGCTACATTAGCGACTGAAATGCAAGAACAACAACAACAACAACAACAACAAGCGATTATAAGTGCAGCTAATAGTAGTAGATCATTATCACCTGAATTACATCCTTATAATCGTAATGCCTCAACCACCACTAGTACTATTACCAGTCCAAATATTGAAAATAAACAAGTTATATTAAGATTTATTAATCAAAGTTTGGAATTCACTTATAGTACGAAGAATTCAGCTCCGCCTCGATTTATTGAAATTATAGAAAACGCAAGACAAGCATTTAATTTAAAACATGATGTGATATTAGGGATTAAAAATAGTAAGAATGGAATTATGATGCAAAATGATTTTGATTTGGAACGATTATTTAAAACTAGTTCGGAATATAGAATTGAATTAGAGATATTTACTCAACGATCAAAAGCCATACCGATATATGAAATCACTAGTGCTATTATCCCCAATTCAAGACATACTCCTCCTAATATTAATGATCCACCACCTTCAGTTCCACCACCACCTACACTTCATCATGTAAGTACAGAGAAATATATTTTACCTCCACCGTTAGTTATAAATCATCATTTACCCCCAGCATTAAGAGGATCCCCCATAATGAATAGTACTAGTAGTGGGAATGGAACTAATAATGGAGGTATAGTGGGTAAACCACCATTTAATTTCTTATCTAACAGTAGTGAGGAATTGATACAACAAACAAAAACACCACCACCAGCAATGTTACCTCGATTTCAACCATTGTTATAGTAAATGTTGAATTGAAGGGATGAGTCGATGTGGGAGTGATTTAAAAGGTCAATTATATAAACAAGTTAATCAATAAATAAAAGTTGTAACCATGTGTAACGTTATATATTATTATTATTATTAATATTAATATTATTATTAAGACAATGTGTTTAATGCTTATCTTTACAATGTGTAAGTTAGTTTATTTTCACAGCCAAATTGAGTCTAATTCAATCTTATAATCCCTATTTGTAAAACCCAACCAAAACCATTGATGACATAATATCTTATATAATACCCTCAAAATAAATCGTTGACATCATTGATGGTGCATAGTATGCCAAACCTGTATATAACCCCGTTTAATATGGTAGCATTCCTGTTTAGGGTGTTGGGCTGGGCCAACAAATAACTTTATGTTGAGTATGACCTGTATATAGTTAATGCTGCGAATAATTTTTTTTTCAGTGTGTAACGGGCGGTTTGATTTAGTATGAGGAATTGAAGGTTGTTATATATATATATATATAGATAATCTACCTGATCATACTATTTGTTTCTTCTTCTTCTTCTTCCCTTTCCTCTTTCTTAGTTATACATTTCCATATTCCTTTCTTAGTCTAATCAACTAATCTACCCCCAATCAAATCAATCAATCAAATCAATCAACCAACCAACCCTGTCTCCCCCCAATCAATTCACCTATTTATTCAACCCAATTGATTGTATAAACCTCCTATTCCAACTCATCCTTCCTTCCTTCATCAATCAATTATAGAACCTTTTGAGATATACTGAATATATACATCCATCTGCCATATATCATATATATAATCTTTTTTTATTTTCCAGTTTTCCAAATCCATCTTTTTCCAATTATATATATATATATATATACCTTTTAGTTATATATATTTCATCATTATCTGAAAAGTTCATCCCAAGATTAATTACCGAATATTCCATTTAGATATAGATATTCCTTCATTTCATCCAAACTCAGATCTAAACCAGTATATACACTTCTAGTTTAATCTGTCATTTAAGAGATCAATTCACATCATAACAAGAATTAGATTTATTAGGTATGTACATTTACTTTTACTTTTACTTTTACTTACAATACAACCCAATCATATCGATTGATTCATCATCAATTGATGGTACGATTGGTTGATCTAGCGTCTAGGCATGGTCCTACCATCCACCATCAATCATTCTCACTTATAATACAAGTCAATAACACCCCATTGACACGTCTGTTGCCAAACCTTTATTGAGTGCTGCCATTTTTTGTGAATTTGGTTGTCTCTTACTGTCAAGTCAACTCTCACCAAAAAAAAAAATGTCAATACTCCGATCCCCATCAAAAAAAAAAAAAAAAAAAAAAATTCTGAAGAAAATTCCTGTATACAGTCCAACGGCTAAAAGAGGAAGAAAGAAACAAGCACATTCAGGTTTTGCCTTAAAGTTGGGTTTTTCATATATTCACTTCATCAACCAATTCTACCATTCATGACTTTCGTTTAGTGTATTACTTCTATCTTTCCTCCTATAAACTTCCTTATCTTGTATTATATCTGTTTATGACTGTTGGTGCTAGACGCACACTTATAAAACGAATCTCATTTACTAACTTTAAACTTATTCATAGATATTTATCTACTTCATTTTCATTATCATCTTCCACTAAATTATCAACTTCATCCATCCCTTTAAGTCGTTCAAGACTAAAACAACAACTTAACTTTGTACATAATAATAATAATAATAATAATCATTTTATTAATTCATTTTTTAAAAATTCAATTCGAAGAATTTCATTGTTTAAATCTAAATTTATTAATAAATACTTAAAATCAATCATAATGTCAACTTCATCAAATACCCCAAGTATAGAGAATAAAGAATCTTCTCCCGATTATTCTTCTTTACATTCAGGTTTACCTGATCATTTCAAAGGTTTAAATACCGTTCATAATGCTGAACCTTCAAAAGTAACTGAATTCGTTAAACATCATCAAGGTCATACTGTCATTTCTCGTGTTTTAATTGCTAATAATGGTATTGCTGCCGTTAAAGAAATTAGATCAGTTAGAAAATGGGCTTATGAAACTTTCCGTGATGAAAGAGCTATTCAATTCACCGTAATGGCAACTCCTGAAGATTTATCTGCCAATGCTGAATATATTAGAATGGCTGATCAATTCGTTGAAGTTCCAGGTGGTACTAATAATAATAATTATGCTAATGTCGATTTAATCGTTGAAATCGCTGAAAGAACTAATGTTCATGCCGTTTGGGCAGGTTGGGGTCATGCTTCTGAAAATCCTTTATTACCGGAAAAATTAGCTGCTTCTAAAAATAAAATCGTCTTTATTGGTCCTCCTGGTAATGCTATGAGATCTTTAGGTGATAAAATTTCTTCCACTATTGTGGCCCAACATGCTAAAGTTCCATGTATTCCATGGTCTGGTACTGGTGTTGATCAAGTCGTCATAGATGATGAAACTAATTTAGTTTCTGTCGCCGATGATATTTATCAAAAAGGGTGTTGTGATTCTCCAGAAGATGGTTTAATCAAAGCCAAACAAATTGGGTTCCCTGTTATGGTCAAAGCTTCTGAAGGTGGTGGTGGTAAAGGGATTAGAAAAGTTGATAGAGAAGAAGATTTCAAAACTTTATATCAACAAGCTGCCAATGAAATCCCGGGTTCTCCAATCTTCATTATGAAATTAGCTGGTGATGCTAGACATTTAGAAGTTCAATTATTAGCCGATCAATATGGTACTAATATTTCTTTATTCGGTAGAGATTGTTCTGTTCAAAGAAGACATCAAAAAATTATTGAAGAAGCTCCAGTTACCATTGCTAATAAAGAAACTTTCCATGCTATGGAAAATGCCGCTGTTAGATTAGGTAAATTAGTGGGGTATGTTTCAGCTGGTACCGTTGAATATCTTTATTCTCATGCTGATGATAAATTTTATTTCTTAGAATTAAATCCAAGATTACAAGTTGAACATCCAACTACTGAAATGGTTACTGGTGTAAATTTACCGGCTGCTCAATTACAAATTGCTATGGGTATTCCAATGCATAGAATTGCTGATATTAGAACTCTTTATGGTGTTGATCCTCATACTTCTACTGATATTGATTTTGAATTCAAAACTGAAAATTCATTAGCCACTCAAAGAAGACCAGTTCCAAAAGGTCATACTACTGCTTGTCGTATTACTTCTGAAGATCCAGGTGAAGGTTTCAAACCTTCTGGTGGTACTTTACATGAATTAAATTTCAGATCAAGTTCCAATGTTTGGGGTTATTTCTCCGTTGGTAATCAATCTTCTATTCATTCCTTTTCTGATTCTCAATTCGGTCATATTTTCGCCTTTGGAGAAAATAGACAAGCCTCAAGAAAACATATGGTTGTTGCTTTAAAAGAATTAAGTATTAGAGGTGATTTTAGAACTACGGTTGAATATTTAATTAAATTATTAGAAACTCCAGATTTCGAAGATAATACCATTACAACTGGTTGGTTAGATGAATTAATTACCAAAAAATTAACTGCCGAAAGACCAGATCCAATCTTAGCTGTTGTTTGTGGTGCTGCTACTAAAGCTCATATTCAAGCTGAAGAAGATAAAAAATCTTATTTTGAATCATTAGAAAAAGGTCAAGTTCCAAATAAAAATTTATTAAAAACTATTTATCCAGTTGAATTCATTTATGAAGGTCAAAGATATAAATTCACTGCTACTAAATCTTCAGCTGATAGTTATACTTTATTCTTAAATGGTACTAGAGGTGTGGTTAAAGTTAGAGCTTTAGCTGATGGTGGTATCTTATGTATTATCGGTGGTAAATCTCATTCTATCTATTGGAAAGAAGAAGCTTCTGCTACTAGATTATCTGTTGGTGGTAAGACTTGTTTATTAGAAGTTGAAAATGATCCAACTCAGTTAAGAACTCCTTCTCCAGGTAAATTAGTTAAATTCTTAGTTGAAAGTGGTGATCATGTTGCTGCTGGTCAACCATATGCTGAAGTTGAAGTTATGAAAATGTGTATGCCATTAATCACTCAAGAAGATGGTACTATTCAATTAATTAAACAACCAGGTTCAACTGTTAATGCTGGTGATATCTTAGCTATCTTAGCTTTAGATGATCCATCAAAAGTTAAACATGCTAAACCTTTCGAAGGTACTTTACCTGATTTAGGTGAACCAGAAGTTCAAGGTGCTACCCCAGCTTTTAAATTCTTACAATACACTACTATTTTAAGAAATATCTTACAAGGTTATGATAATCAAGTTATTATGAATTCTACTGTTAAGAATCTTATTGAAGTGTTAAAGGACCAAGAATTACCATATTCTGAATGGTTAAATCAAGTATCTGCTTTACATTCAAGATTACCAATCAAACTAGATGAAACTTTAACTCAATTAGTCGATAGAACTCATTCTAGACATGCTGAATTCCCAGCTCGTCAAATCCTTAAACATTTACAAAAAACCATCAATGATCCAGCTACTGATGGATTATTTGAAGCTACCATTGCTCCATTATTAGATATTGTTAAAAGATATTCCAATGGTCTTGTTGAACATGAATATAATTTCTTTGCTTCATTAATCGATGAATATTATATTGTTGAAAAATTATTCTCCGGTGATAATACTAGAGAAGATGATGTTATTTTAAAATTAAGAGACGAAAATAAAACTGATTTAAACGTTGTTATTACTACCAGTTTATCTCATTCAAGAGTTTCTGCTAAGAATAATTTAGTATTAGCTATTTTAGATGAATATCAACCATTATTACAATCTTCTTCAAGTGTGGCCTCCGAAATTAAAGAATCATTGAAGAAAATCGTTCAATTAGATACAAGAGGTACAGCTAAAGTTGCTCTTAAAGCTAGAGAAATTTTAATTCAATGTTCTTTACCTTCAATTCAAGAAAGATCTGATCAATTAGAACATATTTTAAGATCAGCTGTTTTAGAAACCTCTTATGGTGAAATCTATGCTAAACATAGAGAACCAAAATTAAGTGTTATTCAAGAAGTGGTTGATTCTAAACATACTGTATTTGATGTTTTATCTCAATTCTTAGTTAACCCAGATGAATGGGTTGCCATTGCTGCTTCCGAAGTTTATGTTAGAAGATCTTACAGAGCTTATTCATTAGGTCCAATTCAATACCATTTCCATGATAGATTACCAATCATTGAATGGAAATTCCAATTACCAAGTTTAGCATCATCTCAATATAATGCCATTCAACATTTGAAAGATCCGTCCAATAATAATGTTATGAATAGAGCTGCTTCTGTATCTGATTTATCATATGTCGTTGATGCCAAAGCTGATTTAAAACCAAGAACTGGTATTTTAGCTCCTTGTAGACATTTAGATGATCTTGATGATATGATTACTGCAGCTTTAGAAAAAATCCAACCTTCTGGTGCCATTAGTTTTAAGACTAAAGGTGATCAACCTGATTTCGTCAATGTTCTTAATATCGTCGTTACTAGTATTGATGGTTATGAAGCTGAAGAAGAAACTTTAAACAAAATTCATGAAGTTCTTGATGAATTCAAAGATGATTTAACTTCAGCTGGTATTCGTCGTGTTACCTTTGTTGTTGCTCATAAAATTGGTACTTATCCTAAATATTATACTTTCACTGCTCCAGAATATAGTGAAAATAAAGTTATTAGACATATTGAACCAGCTTTAGCTTTCCAATTAGAATTAGCCAGATTAGATAACTTTGATATCAAACCTATCTTTACTGATAACAGAAATATTCATGTTTATGAAGCTGTTGGTAAGAATGCTCCATCTGATAAGAGATACTTCACTAGAGGTATTATTAGAACTGGTGTTATTAGAGATGAAATCAGTATTAGTGAATATTTAATCGCTGAATCTAATAGATTAATGAATGATATTTTAGATGCTTTAGAAATTATTGATACTTCTAATAGTGATTTAAATCATATTTTCATTAACTTCTCCAATGTTTTCAACGTTCAACCAGATGAAGTTGAAGCTGCTTTTGGTTCATTCTTAGAAAGATTCGGTAGAAGATTATGGAGATTAAGAGTTACTGGTGCTGAAATCCGTATTGTTTGTACTGATCCAAAGACTGGTACTTCATTCCCATTAAGAGCCATTATTAATAATGTTTCCGGTTATGTTGTTAAATCTGAATTATATATGGAAGTTAAAAACACTAAAGGTGAATGGGTTTTCAAATCAATTGGTCAACCAGGTTCTATGCATTTAAGACCTATTTCAACTCCTTATCCTGCTAAAGAATCCTTACAACCAAAGAGATATAAAGCTCATAACTTAGGTACTACTTATGTTTATGATTTCCCTGAATTATTCCGTCAAGCCACTCTTTCACAATGGAAAAAACATTCTAAACTGAAGATTCCAAAAGATATCTTCACTTCATTAGAATTAATCAATGATGAAAATGGTGATTTAACCGCTGTTGAAAGAGAACCTGGTTCGAATAAGATTGGTATGGTTGGTTTCCAAGTTACTGCCAAGACTCCAGAATATCCTCGTGGTCGTCAATTCATTATTGTTGCCAATGATATCACTCATAAGATTGGTTCTTTCGGTCCCGATGAAGATAAATATTTCAATAGTTGTACTGAATTTGCTAGAAAATTAGGTATTCCAAGAATCTATCTTTCTGCTAATTCAGGTGCTAGACTTGACATTGCTGCTGAATTAGTTCCATTATTCAAAGTTGCCTGGAATGTTGAAGGCAATCCAGATAAAGGTTTCAAATACTTATACTTATCTCCTGAAGACAATAAAGCCATCGTTGACTCTGGTAAAGGTAACACCATTGTTACCGAAAGAGTTGTTGAAGAAGGTAAGGAAAGATATGTCATTAAAGCCATTGTTGGTGAACAAGATGGTTTAGGTGTTGAATGTCTTAAAGGATCTGGTTTAATTGCTGGTGCCACTTCGAGAGCCTATAAGGATATTTTCACTATCACTTTGGTTACTTGTAGATCTGTTGGTATTGGTGCTTATTTAGTCAGATTAGGTCAAAGAGCTATTCAAATTGAAGGTCAACCAATTATTTTAACTGGTGCTCCAGCTATCAATAAATTATTAGGTAGTGAAGTTTATTCATCTAATTTACAATTAGGTGGTACTCAAATCATGTACAGAAATGGTGTTTCTCATTTAACTGCTCAAGATGATTTAGCCGGTGTTGAAAAGATCCTTGAATGGTTATCTTATGTTCCAGCTAAACGTGACATGCCAGTTCCAATCTTAGAATCTGAAGATCCATGGAATAGAGAAATTGAATATTATCCACCAAAGAGTGAACCTTATGATGTCCGTTGGTTAATCGAAGGTAAACAAGTTCCAGGTGGTGATTTCGAATCCGGTTTATTCGATAAAGATTCCTTCCAAGAAACTTTATCAGGATGGGCCAAGGGTGTTGTTGTTGGTAGAGCTCGTCTTGGTGGTATCCCAATGGGTGTTATTGGTGTTGAAACCAGAACTGTGGAAAACTTAATCCCAGCTGATCCAGCCAACCCTGATTCTACTGAAATGTTAATTCAAGAAGCTGGTCAAGTTTGGTATCCAAATTCTGCTTTTAAGACTGCTCAAGCTATTAATGATTTCAATAATGGTGAACAATTACCATTAATGATCTTAGCTAACTGGAGAGGTTTTTCTGGTGGTCAAAGAGATATGTATAATGAAGTTTTGAAATATGGTGCCTTTATTGTTGATGCATTAGTTGATTTTAAACAACCAATCTTCACTTATATTCCACCTAATGGTGAATTAAGAGGTGGTTCATGGGTTGTCGTTGATCCATCCATTAATGAAGAAATGATGGAAATGTACGCTGATGTTGAAGCCAGAGGTGGTGTCTTAGAACCAGAAGGTATGGTTAGTATCAAATATAAACGTGATAAATTATTAAGTACTATGGAAAGATTAGATCCAACCTATGCTGAATTAAAGAAGAAATTGAATGATACTTCATTATCTCAAGAAGAACATTCTCAAGTTTCTGCTAAGATTTCTGCTCGTGAAAGAGCCTTATTACCAATTTATCAACAAGTTTCTGTTCAATTTGCTGATTTACATGATAGATCAGGCCGTATGCTTGCTAAAGGTGTTATCAAAAAGGAAATCAAATGGACTGAAGCTAGACGTTTCTTCTTCTGGCGTTTACGTAGAAGATTAAATGAAGAATATGTCTTAAAATTAATTGGTGAACAAATCAAGAATGCTACTAAATTAGAAAAAGTCGCTAGATTAAAGAGTTGGATGCCAACTGTTGAATATGACAATGATGAAGCTGTTAGTACTTGGATTGAAGAACATCATACCAAATTACAAAAGAATATTGATGAATTGAAACACGAAGCTACTCGTCAAAACATCGTTAGACTTTTGAACGAAGATCCAGAAAGCGGTTTCTCTGTCATGAAGGAATTAATTGGTTCCTTACCAGAAGAAGAAAAAGCAGCTTTCTTAAAATCACTTTAAGTCAAACACTTTTAATTAACGATGATCGATGCTATTTTCTCTTTTGTTTTTGCACAGATTTTTATAATTTGACTTTGCTTATTTTTATATTTGTCTTTTTTATTATTATTATTTGATTTTATGTTACTTTTATTAGAGATTTATTCATAGATCAATTTACTCTTTTTATATCTTACTTTAATTTTTAATCTTTTATATATTTATTTAGGAAAAATGGAAAACTATTATTTAAAAAATTAAATTTTGTTGTAGTAGCTAGTTTTTGCGTACAAAATCAACAGGATTTTTTTTTGCAGTAACTTTAAGTCTTTTTGATTTAATGGTTTTGATACAATTATTTCAGATGGCAAGATGATAATTAGAGTACTAGGAGTGTATTTATTGTTGTTGGTTACAAGTTGTAATGCAACCATTCCTTATTTGGTGTCGTTGAAAAGTACTGAAACTATAGAATCATTTTTAAATTATGATATATTATATCCCAAATCTCAACAAGTCAAGGCGCTTATAAGCAATTCATTTTCATTCGGTAACTTTACAGGGTTTTCTGGAAACTTTTCAAAAGCAGTCTTGGATAGATTAAAACGATGTCCATTGGTGGCAGAAGTTACTCCTGATATTATATTAAAAGCTTTTGATGTCACTACTCAGGAAGATGCTCCTCGGCACTTGGCCAGAATATCAAGAAAGAAAAAGTTAAAGCTGGGAACTTACTTTGAATATCGATATAACTCCAAATCACAAGGAAAAGGAGTTAATGCATATGTTCTAGATTCAGGTGTTCAATTGAAACATCCAGAATTTGAAAATAGAGGAAAATTTGGTACTGATTTTACTAAGGAAGGTTCAGGTGATACAAATGGACATGGAACTCATGTTGCTGGTATAATTGGATCTAAGACTTATGGAGTAGCCAAAGAAGTTGATATCTATGAAGTTAAAGTTTTAGATAAAAATGGTTCTGGTTCATTAAGTACCATTATATCAGCCATTGAATTTGTGGTTAATCATAGAACCAGAAGTGGAAGACCTGGGGTTGCAAATCTTTCTTTAGGCGCCTACAAGAATTCGGTATTAAATAAAGCCATTGATGCTGCTTATAATACAGGTTTGGTTATGGTTGTTGCTGCTGGTAATTCAAACATCAATGCCTGCTTATCTAGTCCAGCTGGTGCGGAATCAGCTTTAACAGTTGGAGCCATTGATGATTATAGTGATGCCTTAGCTTCCTTTTCAAACTGGGGAGAATGTGTTGATGTATTTGCCAGTGGAGTTTATGTCCAAAGTCTAAGTCCATTCTTCGATGAACCTCAACACTTATCTGGAACATCCATGGCAGCTCCATCAGTAGCAGGATTGGTAGCAAATTTAATGAGTGAAGGAGTACCATATTCCAAGGTCAAATCTACATTAATTGAAATGTCACTAAAGGATAAAATACCTAAAAGTTCATTACTTTTAAGAAGAAGAACTCCAAATAGAATCGCCTATAACGGAATAGAGGAATATGATTCAGATTCAGGCTCTGATAGTGACGATGATGATTAGTTTATGGTTGTTTAATTTAATTTTAAAATAGAAAAGTTTTTATAGTTAAATTTCTGTTGTAACTGTAAACTAGACGTCAAAAAAAAAAGGTTTGTTGTTTTTCAAATTTGGTTGCCATTTTTTTACAACACTATCTTTTGACAAGCGGTAATCAATCAATACATCCCTTTGTGATATATGAATCAAGGAAGATCAGTATCTAGTAGTTCAGAATGCCAAAACAGAATGCAACAGCTAGACTACCCGATACGTCCAATGTGTATGATAATGATCCAATTGAGTTTTTAAAATTGGCAGCCACTGCCATGAGTAAGATTTACCGATCCTAAACTTGACAAGTGTCAATCAATCAATCAACTAACACACATAGGTCATCGGGATATTGCCTTTGGTAATGTTACGCCTATTCCATTGAGTGGATTCAAAACCCCCTTTGTTAATTCGAGTCGTTGGGCAGATGTTAATAGATTAGGTGAAAGACTTGAGGATAATGAGGATAGGAAAAAGCAAGAAGGTGGAATCTTTGCAGAAACTTATATTTATGATTTGTTTGCCAAATCTCATGATTCATATCCTGCCTGGAATCCTCCTGATAATGTACCGATTACAAGAGAAGCTATTGAATCCATTTTTATTCAATTGACTGAAGTGTTTGGGTTTCAATATGATAACACGAAGAACATGTTTGATTATTTATTAAGGTTATTAGATTCTAGGGCTTCAAGAATGGGACCATTTCATGCTTTGAAATCTTTACATGCTGATTATATTGGAGGAGTTAATGCTAATTTTAAAAAATGGTATTTTGCTGCTCAGTTGGATATTGATGATGCCAAAGATACCGATACTACTAAGAAAAGGTCAAAGCAGACTTATCAGGCATTGGAACAAGCTGAAGCTCAATGGTGCTTAAATATGAATTCATTGTCTGCAACTGATTGTGTGATCCAAGTAGGTTTATACTTATTGTGTTGGGGAGAAGCAAATAACATAAGGTTTATGCCTGAATGTTTGTGTTTTATATTCAAATGTTGTAATGATTATTATTACTCATTGGATTCAAATATTCCTGTCAAAAATGCTACTCCAAGTTTTCTAAATCATGCCATTACTCCTCTTTATACATTCTATAGAGATCAATGTTATCTGGAAGTGGAAGGAAAGTATTATCATAAAGATAAAGATCATAAATCTATTATAGGGTATGATGATATGAATCAATTATTTTGGTATAGACAGGGTCTTGATAGAATGCAACTCTCAAAGAAAAAGATGAAGTTAATGAATATGAAGCCAAGTGAAAGATATTTATATCTTAACGATGTCGTTTGGAATAAGGCTTTCTATAAAACTTTTAGAGAAACTAGAAGCTGGTCTCATGTTTTTGCAAATTTTAATCGTATTTGGATTATTCATATATCTGTTTTCTGGTATTATACTTCATTGAATTCACCAACACTTTATACTCGTAACTATCAGCAACATTTAGATAATCATCCTACAGCACAAGCAACTTTGACTGTAATGTCATTAGCTGGTGCAATTGCTGTTGCTATTTGCCTTATTAGTACCTTTATAGAATTTAACTCGGTACCTCGTATGTGGTCAGGGGCACAACCTTTGTTCAAGAGAACCATTTTCTTAATGATTACTTTAGCAGTAAGTGTTGCTCCAACTGTTTATCTATTTTTAACAACTCCATTAAATGTTCAAAATACATCTGGCCTCGCGATTGCTATTTCTCAGTTCGTATTCTCCATATTTTTAGTCTTCTACTGTTCTATTGTTCCACTTGGTAAATTGTTTGACAATTACCCTGATAAGAAAAATAGGAGATATTTGCCTACCAAGGTATTTACAAGTTCATTTTATCCCTTGAAGGGATCTGATAGAGTAGCATCATATGGTTTGTGGTTTTCTATATTTGTTTCAAAGTTCGTTGAATCTTACTTCTTCTTGACTCTTTCTTTAAGAGATCCTATAAGAGAACTTAGCGATATGAGTATGTCCAGATGTGCAGGTGAAGTATGGATTGGCACCTGGTTATGTGCTCATCAAAGTAATATAGTCTTAGCTTTGATATACTTAACAGATGTTGTATTATTCTTTCTTGATACATATTTATGGTATATTGTTTGGAATACTATATTTTCGGTTTGCAGGTCATTTTACATAGGAACATCCATCTGGACTCCTTGGAGGAATATCTTTTCAAGATTGCCTAAGAGAATATTCTCGAAGATTATTGCAACTCCCAATGATAAGAATATTAGAGCCAAAAAGTTGGTATCACAAGTTTGGAATGCTATTGTAATTTCAATGTATCGTGAACATTTACTTTCCTTGGAACATGTTCAAAGATTGATTTATAAACAGGTTGCTAATCCAAATGTTGAAGGCGGAACAGTTCTTAAAGAGCCAACATTCTTTGTATCCCAAGAAGATCAGACGATGAAGTCAGCTCTATTTTATGAACAGTCGGAAGCACAGAGAAGAATTACATTCTTTGCACAGTCTTTATCTACGCCAATGCCTGAAGTAAATGCTGTTGATTCAATGCCATCCTTTTCTGTATTGATTCCACATTATAGTGAAAAGATTACACTATCTTTGCGTGAGATAATTAGGGAAGAGGAGCAATATTCACATGTTACTATGTTAGAATATTTAAAGCTGTTGCATCCAATTGAATGGGCATGTTTTGTTACTGACACCAAGTTGTTGGCTGAAGAGTTTGAAAGTGATTCTTCTAGTCCCAATGTGCACAAAGAATTACAAGATGATTTGCCGTACTATTCAGTAGGATTTAAGGTAGCAACACCAGAATATATTCTAAGAACTAGAATATGGGCTTCCCTTAGGTCTCAAACTTTGTACCGTACTATATCAGGGTTTATGAATTACTCAAGAGCAATTAAATTAATGTTTGATATTGAAAATCCAGACTCTGCATTTGACGATGAAGTTGCTAAGCTAGAATCTGCAGCAGTGATGGCTCTCAGAAAGTTCAGAATTATTGCTTCGATGCAACGTTTTATTCACTTTTCAGCGGAAGAAAAGGAGAATGTGGAACTTTTGCTTCGAGCTTATCCAGAACTTCAAATCTGTTACTTAGATGAGGAGATTGATCCCGAAACTGCAAAGAAGAAATATTATTCTGTTTTAATTGATGGCGGTTGTTCCATCTTAGAGGATGGCTCAAGAAAACCAAAGTACAAAATAGAACTATCTGGAAACCCTATTTTAGGAGATGGTAAGTCTGACAACCAGAATCACGCTGTAATTTTTAGTAGAGGTGAATATATCCAATTAATTGATGCTAATCAAGATAATTATCTTGAGGAATGTTTAAAGATTAGAAGTATTCTTGCAGAATTTGAAGAGATCCATGTTTCGCAAGATCCCTATTCAGCTGATTTGAAGTCCACGGAACATGCACATCCAGTTGCAATTATTGGTACTAGAGAATATATCTTCTCAGAAAATATTGGAATTCTTGGTGATGTTGCTGCTGGAAAGGAGCAGACTTTTGGAACATTGTTTGCAAGAACTCTAGCCCATATTGGGGGAAAGTTACATTATGGTCACCCAGATTTTTTGAATGGAATATTTATGACTACTAGAGGTGGTTTATCAAAGGCACAAAAGGGTTTGCACTTGAATGAGGATATTTACGCAGGTATGAATGCTGTCTTAAGAGGAGGTAGAATTAAACATTGTGAATATATGCAATGTGGAAAAGGTCGTGACTTGGGATTTGGATCTATCCTTAACTTCACTACCAAAATTGGTGCTGGTATGGGTGAACAAATGCTTTCAAGAGAGTACTTTTACTTGGGTACTCAATTGCCATTAGACAGATTTTTATCCTTTTACTATGCTCATCCTGGTTTTCATCTTAATAATGTATTCATTATATTGTCTATTCAATTGTTCCTTTTTGTTGGTGTGAACCTTGCTGCTTTAACTAATGAGTCCACCATATGTGAGTTTGATCGGTTCCGTCCTATTACAGATCCGAGAAGACCAGTTGGATGTTATAATCTTATACCAGTTGTACAATGGTTAGAAAGAAGTATTTTCTCAATTTTCATTGTTTTCCTTATTTCATTTGTGCCTTTGGGAGTCCAAGAATTAACCGAAAGAGGTATCTACAAAGCGTTAACCAGACTAAGCAAGCATTTTGCATCATTTTCTCCTTTGTTCGAAGTGTTTGTTTGTCGAATTTATGCTAAGTCTTTGGTCAGTGATATTGCCATTGGTGGTGCTCGGTATATTGGTACAGGAAGAGGATTTGCAACCATACGTGTTCCGTTCTCAACGTTATACTCTAGATTTGCTTCAGAGAGTTTATATTTTGGTTCTCTATGTTGTTTGCTTATCCTTTATTGTTCAATTTCAATGTGGAAGTTATCTTTGCTTTACTTTTGGGTTACAGTTATAGCCTTATTGATTTGTCCATTTTTGTATAATCCTAATCAGTATTTGTGGACCGATTTTTTCATTGATTACAAGGATTATCTACTGTGGTTAAGCAGAGGTAACAGTAGATCAAATGTATCTTCTTGGATCAGTTTTAGAAGGTTGAGTAGAAGTAGAATCGTTGGTGTCAAAACAAAAAGACGCCATTTCAATGAAGATTTTAAAGTATTAAGTGATATTCGTCCTTCAAGATTTAATTTAATTCTTTCCGATTCTGTACTTCAATTGTCAGGTATGTTTTTAGTGGCTTTTGCTTATTTGTTTGCCAATGCACAAAATGATGCTAAAGGAACTTCTCCAGTGAATAGTCTTAAGAGGGTTCTAATTATTACAGCTGCTCCTATTGTGGTCGATGCTGCAGTTTTGATTGTGTTCTTCTTTGTTTCATTAGTTTTGGGTCCAATTATGTCCTTGATATTTAAAAGCTTTCCGACCTTCATTTCTGTTATAGTCCATTCAATTGCCATTATTAATCATATTTTCTTTTTTGAATTACTTTGGTTATTTCAAAATTGGGATTTTTCAAGAGCCATATTAGGATTTACACTTTCAGTAATGATTCAAAGATGGTTTTTTTTCCTTATAACAGCAGCACTTGTATCCAAAGAATTTAGACATGATAAATCAAATAGATCTTGGTGGTCAGGAAAATGGATTACTGCTGGTCTTGGTTGGTATATTTTGACACAACCGCTTAGAGAGTTTGTTTGTAAAATCTGTGAAATGAGTTATTTTGTGGCAGATGTTGCGGTTGGTCATTTAATATTATTTGCCCAAATTCCTATTTTATTGATTCCTTATTCTGATAGATGGCATTGTTTGATGCTTTTTTGGTTAGAACCAGGGAATCAAATACGTCCTAGAGTGCTTTCCAAAAAGCAAAAGAGAAAGAGAAGATGGACGGGAAATTTGTATACCTTGGTATTTATACTTGCTATGGTCATTGCTTCTAGTATATTCGTATTCCCATATGTTACTACCAAAGTTTTAGATATTGATCTTGAGCAATATCTTCCCGCTATGTTTGCTGATTTGGTCCAACCTTATAGAGTTATTAATACGAGAAAGGGATTACATAAAGGTTTAATTAAATCACCATTTTAAATATTTTTGCTTATATTATATTATATTAATTTTTGTTTATATATTACTACTTACTAAATATAGATTGTAATTCATCATGATATTCATTTGTAGACTTCTCTTTGACAAGATTAATTATGGATTGAATGGATTCAGGATTACATAATAAATAATTAACTTTAAATCTTGGTAATTTGGAGAAATATTGTAAATGAGTAACAATTTGAGAATCCCAATTAGGTACTGAATCATTTATGGCGACATAAGAAGCAGCATCTAAATAGAATTGGAGGAACTCGGGATCGACTGCATTGGATTCAAATACGGTTTTATAATCATCTAATGATATATTAATGACATATTGATATCCTTTAGATTTCTCAGCGTCTGGTAAGGAAGCTAAACTTGTTAAGAAACGCATTGGCAGATTAGAATCAATTGATTCAGGAGTTGGTTGAATGGTGTATTTAGTATCAGTTTTAGACTTTTTATTGCCAAATAACTCTTCAATTTCTTTGTTGGCTCTATCAGATACTGGTTTGACAATTGGGGTAGGACTTTGTGGTTGTGGATCTTTATCTTTCAATAATTGAGCAAATTCTTCAGGTAACTTATCACATTCTTCAATAGGGATATCAATTGGTTTATTCTTGTCTGTGGTGTGCTTTATAGATGGTTTTGGTGGTTGTAATTCTGCCTTCAATTGATCTAATTCCTTTTGAACCGCATCATTCTTGGGATCAAGTTTTAAAGCAGCTTCAAAACTTTCAATGGCGAATTTCTTCTTCCCAAGTCCCACCAAGGCTAAACCCTTCCTATAGTATAATTTGATTAATGATTTCTTTTCTGGTTTCAAGTTTATACCCGTTATAGTATCTTTCAAAGCTCGTTCATATTGATGGGTCTTTAAGAAACATTGAGCTCGATTTGAGTATAATATAGGATTGAATGTATCTTCTTTGATAGCATCACGATATATGACTGCTGCTTTAACATAATTCTTATCAGCAAAAGCCTTGTTGCCTTCTTGTTTCAATAACCCAGCGTTAGTCATAGTTGGTTGTATGATGGTGCTGTTGAACTTGGTGGTGTGGTGGTGATTTATCGTGTAACCCCAGAATTTTAAAACAGGAAAGATTTTAGATTTTAGATTTTCTATCACCATACAATTTTTCACTAACAAAAAATGAGTCTGTAAATATCCCAGTACGGTTTACAACAAGTGACGACCTATTGGGATAAATGACGGTAGAAGAACTAAATGACGAGTTAGAAGCCATAAATGCCATCTTCCCTGGCTCCTTTGAAGATATAGCGCCTCAGATATATAATTTCCATGTTTTAAATCATGAAGAAATCCCGATTCAAATCAGTTTTCCACAAGATTATCCTGAAGTTAAACCAGAAATCATCCAGATTATAACTTCCAATTCGATGAAATATAATGATTTAAACTATTTAGAAGACCAATTCAATGAGATTTTATCTAGGATTTTCAGAAAGGATGAAGTTTGTATCTTTGAGTTTTATACTGAGTTACAAGAATTCTTGGAATCATATGATGAGAAACATAAAGAGACGATGATCCCTATACAGAAAGAGCCCATAAGTGGTTCCCTATCCGACTTGTCATTAGTGGATAACGATCTCCCTTTAAAGAAGCAAGAAGTGAAAAGTCTACCTTCAGGTCCTGATCCCTTAGAAGGTTGGATCCAATCTGATCCTATCCTAGATCGAAACTCCACTTTCATTGCTTTTGCCAGGAAAGTTGAATCACTCGAAGAAGCAAAGTCATATCTTGATTTATTAACTACAGATAAGAAAATTTCCCGAGCTGCTCATAATATCAGTAGTTGGAGAATTCGAAAAGAAAATGGGGTACAATATCAAGATTGTGATGATGATGGAGAAACGGCTGCTGGAGGCAGATTACTTCATTTATTAACGGTATGTATACAATTATATATATATTTATTAAATAATGCAATATGGTGGGAGGGCTCATGAATTGAATGTCTATACTAACTTTTACAAATTTTTTTAGATGATGGATGTGTGGAATGTTATAGTGGTGGTCAGTAGATGGTTTGGAGGTATCCATTTAGGACCTGATAGATTTAAACATATAAATTCTGCAGCTAGAGATGCTGTTGTTAAGGGAGGGTTTTCAAATGTGAATGGGGATGGTAATGCTAATGCTAATGATAATAAGAAATCTAATAAGAAGAAGAAGTAGAAGTCATTATGCTTACTTTGTGAATCTTTTCCTTTTATTTTTGATTTGTGGTTTATCCGTATTATCCTCTTGTTTTCTTTTGGTTCCTATACTATTCCATAAAGTATCAAGCTTATCAGTTGAAGAAGGTTCATTAACTGATTCGATTTCTAAGGAATCATCATCTTCTTCTTCTTCCTTCTCCTCCTGTATTTTATTATTCTTGTTATTATTTAATTTTTGGAAATCACTCTAGAAAATAGTTAGTTAGTACTTGTTTATAGACCTTTTTTTATACATATTTCAACGGCATTTATACATACTTTAGGTGGACCTTTGGGAGTATATTCCTTTAATTTATTCAGACTTAATGCTAATAACTCTTTATCTTTGTTTGAATCAATAGTTATATTATTATTACCCCAAGTCCTTCTGGTAGGTATTATTGGAGTATCATTGATTGGTTCATCTTCTTCTTCGATGGTAGTAACACTACTCACTCTATTGAATGAGTTTATACTTCCATATCCTATACTCTGTATGTTACTATTACTATTCTTACTGATTTGAATTTGTTTAAGTAAGTTCTTAGAATGAGGATTAATCCATTCTGATGAATCCTTTACTTTACTCAGTCCTGGTTCCTTTTCATTCCGTTGGTCCTGTTTCTCTGTCTTCTGCATGAACTTCATGTTCATGACTCTATGTGAAAGCCCACTCATCTTGATTCTTCAACTATCTTGACCTTATAGTTGATAGATAGTTACTTAACTATTGGATTGATGATATTTTTATGCTTTCTTTCATATTATGAGTTAAATTTTCCTGTATATAAACTCCTGCTAACAAAAAAAAATTTTGGATCTCCATCTCATCAAAAAAATATTACTGAAAAATTATTAGACAGTATAACGTCAAATACCATACTATATCATCATCATATAATACCATCATGAAGTCTGATTTTAGATTCTCAAACTTATTGGGAACAGTGTATAGACAGGGGAATTTGTTATTCTCGTCAGATGGAACGAAATTGTTGAGTCCAGTGGGGAATAGAGTGTCCTGTTTTGATTTAATCAATAATAAATCATTCACATTTGAATATGAACATAGGAAGAATATCGTTAGAATAGCATTAAATAAACAACAAACCCTTTTGTTGAGTGTGGATGAGGATGGAAGAGCCATATTGGTGAACTTTGTATCGAGAACTGTCTTACATCATTTCAATTTCAAAGGTAAAGTTCAAGATTTACAATTTAGTCCTGATGGTCATTATTTTGCAATTGCTACTACTAAATTCATTCAAGTTTGGAAAACTCCAAATATGACTGAAGATAGACAATTCTCTCCCTTCATACGTCATAGAATATATTCTGGTCATTATAATGATGTGTTATCTATAAATTGGTCCAACGATTCTCGATTCTTTATAACTACTTCAAAAGATATGACATCAAAGATATTCTCCTTACAATCAGAAGAAAAGAATGTGGCCATGACTTTGGCGGGTCATAGAGATTATGTCATTAAAGCCTTTTTCAATGAAACTCAAGAAATCATATATACCATAAGTAAAGATGGTGCTTTATTTACCTGGGAATATACTGAAAAACCTTCAACTGAAGAAGATGATGACGAGGATGAAGATAGTGATAGTGATGATGATGATGAAAACAAGCCAACTAAACCTATGAGTTGGAGAATCACCGCTAAGAACTTTTTCCATTCTGATGCTAAAGTCAGATCTGCCACTTTCCATGCCAAAACAAATTTATTAGTAGTTGGATTTACAAATGGTGAATTCAGATTATATGAATTACCGGAATTTAATATGATTCAACAATTAAGTATGGGACAAAACTCAATCGATACTTGTGAAATCAATAGTACTGGTGAATGGCTTGCCTTTGGATCATCTAAATTAGGTCAATTATTAGTATATGAATGGGCTAGTGAAACTTATATTTTAAAACAACAAGGTCATTTTGATTCTATAAATTCATTAGTATATTCTCCTGATGGATCCAGAATAGTAACTGCATCTGATGATGGTAAGATCAAGATTTGGGATATAAATTCCGGCTTTTGTCTTTATACTTTCCAAGAACATAATTCAAGTATAACTGATATTAAATTCAGTAAAAAGGGGAATGTGTTATTTAGTTGTTCATTAGATGGTACTATTAGAGCTTGGGATCTTATCAGATATAGAAACTTCAAGACTTTCACTGCTACTAATCGTATCCAATTTAATTGTATTGCCATTGATCCCAGTGGTGAAATATTAGTGGCGGGATCTCAAGATAGTTTTGAAATCTTTATATGGTCGATTCAAACTGGACAATTATTAGATTCTTTAAATGGTCATGAAGGTCCAATTTCATGTTTAGATTTCGGAGTGGAAAATTCATCAGTATTAGTATCATCATCATGGGATAAAACCATTCGAATTTGGAATATTTTCGGTAGAAGTGCTACTGTTGAACCTATTGAATTAAAAAGTGATGCATTAAGTTTAACCATTAGACCTGATTGTAAAGAAGTGGCCGTAAGTACGTTAGATGGATACATTACTGTTTTCGATGTCGAATCAGGTAATCAAATTCATTTAATTGATGGTAAACGTGATATTTTAAGTGGAAGATACTTGGAAGATAGATTCACCAGTAAGAATTCAACTAGATCAAAATATTTCAATACTATAAGCTATTCAAATGATGGATTAACTTTAATTGGAGGGGGTAATAATAATTCGATTTGTATGTATGATATTTCAAATGAAGTATTATTAAAGAGATTTACTGTATCTCAAAATTTACAATTAAATGGTACTCAAGAATTTTTAAATAGTAATAGAATGATTGATGGTGGTGAAGGTGGTACCCTTGATTTAATTGATGAAGCAGGTGAAGCCAGTGATTTAGAAGATAGATTAGATTCCACCATACCTGGATCAAAAAGAGGTGATCCATCATTAAGAAATATCAGACCTGAAATTAGAGTTAGTAGTATTCAATTCTCTCCAACTTCAACTACATCATTTGCAGCTGGATCTACCGAAGGACTTTTAATCTATTCAATTGATAATTATATTTTATTCGATCCCTTTGATTTAGATGTGGATGTCAATAATGAATCTATTCTTGAATCATTACAAGAAAAAGAATACTTGGTAGCATTAATCATGGCATTCAGATTGAATGAAACTTATTTGATTGAAAGAGTTTATGAAAGCATCCCTTATAATGATATTAAATTGATTGTGAATGATTTACCTATTATTTACGTATCTAAATTATTAAATTTCATAAGTGATGTGATTAATTCGGATAATGTTGGAAGTAAAAAAAGTAATAATAGTGGTGATCAACATTTTGAATTTAATTTATTATGGGTTAAGATTATTTTAGAGATTCATGGACAATTTATTAATTTAAATAAATTTGAATTTCAATCTTCATTAAAGAAAATTCAAAGATTTTTAAGTAAGATTGGTAAAGATATAATATTGTTGAATAAGAGAAATAATTATTTATTAGAGTATCTTACAGTGGCAAGAGATTTAAAGGGTGAAGAAGAGGGTGATGATGAAGAAGGTATAATTGAAGATGTTGAAGAGGATGACGATGAAGAGATGGAAGTGGATGGTGAAGAAGATGTTGAAGCAGATGAAGAATTAGGTGGATGGTTTGGAAGTCAAGTGAAATCATCTAATGGGATAGTATTCAGTGTATCAGATGAAGAGGATGAAGATGAAGATGAAGATGATGAAAAGGTTGTCTTCGAAGAAGATGATGATGAGGAAGAAGAAGAAGACGACGACCACGACGACGACGAAGATGAAGATAACTAAATAGTCAAGAATAAAAAGTCATAATAGGTATGATTGTAAATAATAGCATAACAAATAGTTTAAGTTTAATAGACATTTAAGGATTATACCCATAATTCATTGTAGATCATAAACGTTTTGATGGTTACTTATTTTTGCAACTTGGGATATTTTGGTTAAATTAGGTTAAAAAAAGAGATTTTAAGGTTTGCAACCCTGGAAACTGTAAAATGGGAATCTCTTGCATTTTGTGTAATATTCAATCACCTTCTTTCGCTTTTTTGTTCACCCCACTTTTAACTTCTACATTTTCCCAGCCACTTTTAAGAAGTCCCTCCACTGAAAAAAAACCTTTAACTACCCATTCATTCTCCCCTCCATTATCAAATATAATGTAAACACACCCTTAATATAAGGACCAACAAGTGTTAAGAACCCCTCCCCCACAATTTATTATTATTATTATTATTATTATTATTTATTATTATTTATTATTATTTATTATTATTTATTTATTAGTTATTATTATTATATTGGCTACTTTGAGTCAACATAGTATGGTACATAATACAGTATGCTTGTTAAACAATGTTAAAGGTAATTAGGTTAGGTTAGGTTACAGAACTCTGATGAATCTTCAATTATTAACATTTTTAACCAGCTATCCTAGCTTCTTTTTTTCCTTAGCGGTGAGATCTCCCTAAACGCATACACAGTAAATTTTATTTTTCTTCAAGTGAGAGAGCAGTGGTATGATGAATGAAAAATTTTAAATATTACATGTCGTAAAAAAACAGGGCATATAAACAATTAACGAACAAACGAACAAAATGACTAATGACATAATCGTGTGAATTGAATATTAAAGAGTATATCGATGACTACTCCCCTCCCCCACACCACCACTGCTCATCCATCTCATCCATCTCTTTCATCTCCATAATTGAAATTAATTTAATTTAATTTAATTTTAATTTTAATTAGTACATTATACATACGTACATCATCATAAAATAATTATTATGTATTTTACGTAACAAGTATCAATTGCATTAAAATTATTCCGAAGTCATTCATATAAAATTTTTCAGACAGACATTTAATGAATGAACAGGGGAACAACCTTTTTTTTATTTATCATTGAAAAAAAAAAGATTATGACATGACATGACATGACTTTCTTCGGTTTCATAAGCGATAATTGTCCATATAATATATATATATATATATATAAGTAAATAGTTAACCATGTTTTCTCAATATATATATATATATAGAGAGAGAGAGATAGGATTTTATATACTATATAATTACCATATATTACTACTACTAAGTACTAGTACTACCATTATCTGAGGTGTAACCCATAATAATAGAAAACGCCCCCTCCTTTTTCTTTGTGTCCTTACTTTTTTTTGGTTGTTCCCTTTCGCTCATCAATCCCCACTTTTGTTGAGAGATCTTTAATAATTACCAGACAGTCAAAAGCTAAGTTAAGTTCAGTCAGACAGACAAAAAAACTCTCCACATTCACAAAAAAAAAGTGATATATCACCAAACTTCAATTTCAACAATTCTAAAAAGGCAACAAATCCATTTCTGTCTTCTTTGAAAGTTATCTATCAGTATCAATTCATTTCAATCAATCAATCGTTTAGTTTTGCTATCTGAAACTATCATCAACGTCAATTGTTCATCCCATTCGTCCATTGATTAACCAACTCATACCACTTCCCACTTCCCACCCCTTAGGTCATTGAATTTTTTCCCACTTTAGAATTTTTTTGTCAACCACATTCTTCTGTTGCCAAACTTTTTCTAATCTTAATCAATTGTCTTTTGTTCAATCATATCAAGTCAATTGCTTATCCATCGAATCCAATTCAATTCAATCTAATCTAATCTAATCTCATCCATTGCATAATCCTCTTTAAACAAATTAAAAAAAAAATAAACTACCTCCATCCATAGCAAGTCCGACTCCGCTTCATATCCATTTTCAACTATTTAACTTTCACCCCCTTTTATCATTCTGCATTCTTTCAATATTATTACTATTACAATATTTAATTCAATATGACAAGAGATATTACAAATCATTTACTTTTCGAAGTGGCTACTGAAGTAGCCCACAAAGTCGGTGGTATCTATTCCGTATTAAAATCAAAAGCTCCAATCACTGTAGCTGAATATAGAGAACGTTATACTTTAATTGGTCCTTTAAATTATACTTCAGCTCAAATTGAAGTTGAAGAATTACCTGTCAAAGATCCTTTAATCAAACAAACCTTAGATTCCATGAGTGAAAGAGGTATTCGTTGGTTATATGGTAGATGGTTAATTGAAGGTGCTCCAAGAGTTTTATTATTTGATATTCATTCTGCTGGTCATCTTCTTAATGAATGGAAAAATGATTTATGGAATATCGCTGGTATTCCAACTCCTGATCATGATCAAGAAACAAATGATGCTATTTTATTAGGTTATCTTGTCGCTTGGTTCTTAGGAGAATTGGTTTATAATGATAGAGAAAGAGCTGTTATATGTCAATGTCATGAATGGTTAGCTGGTATTGCTTTACCTTTATGTAGAAAAAGAAGAATTGATGTTACAACTATTTTCACTACTCATGCTACTTTATTAGGTAGATACTTATGTGCTGGTTCTACTGATTTTTATAATAATTTAGCTAATTTTGATGTTGATGCTGAAGCTGGTAAAAGAGGTATTTATCATAGATATTGTATTGAAAGATCAGCTACTCATTCAGCTGATGTTTTCACTACTGTTTCTCATATAACTGCTTTTGAAGCTGAACATTTATTAAAAAGAAAACCAGATGGTGTATTACCAAATGGTTTAAATGTGGTTAAATTTCAAGCTGTTCATGAATTTCAAAATTTACATGCTTTAAAGAAACAAAAAATTAATGAATTTGTTAAAGGTCATTTCTATGGTAATTATGATTTTGATTTAGATAATACCTTATATTTCTTTATTGCTGGTAGATATGAATTTAGAAATAAAGGTTGTGATTTCTTTATTGAAAGTTTAGCCAGATTAAATCATAGATTAAAAGAAGCTGGTTCAAATAAAACCATTGTGGCATTTATTATTATGCCAGGTAAAACTCATTCATATACTGTTGAAACTTTAAAAGGTCAAGCAGTTTTAAAACAATTAGAAAGTACTATTGAAGAAGTTCAAAAGAAAGTTGGTGAAAGATTATTTGAACATTGTGCTAGATTTAATAATACTCATGCTCATGGTTCAACTGGTAATGGTGGTGAAGTTCCATCTATTGATGAATTAATTAAACCAGCTGATAGAGTGTTATTAAAAAGAAGAATATTTGCATTAAAGAGAGATGGTTTACCACCTATTGTAACTCATAATATGGCAGATGATTCAACTGATCCAATTTTAAATCAAATTAGAAGAGTTCAATTATTTAATAAACCGGAAGATCGTGTTAAAATTATTTTCCATCCTGAATTTCTTAATGCTAATAATCCAATTTTATCCATTGATTATGATGAATTTGTTAGAGGTTGTCATTTAGGTGTTTTCCCATCATATTATGAACCATGGGGTTATACTCCTGCTGAATGTACTGTAATGGGTGTTCCATCTATTACCACTAATTTATCTGGTTTTGGATGTTATATGGAAGATTTAATTGAAAATACTAGTGATTATGGTATTTATATTGTTGATAGAAGAATGAAATCAGTTGATGAATCTATTAATCAATTAACTGATTATATGTATGATTTTGCTGAAAAAAATAGAAGACAAAGAATTAATCAAAGAAATAGAACTGAAAGATTATCTGATCTTTTAGATTGGAAGAGAATGGGTTTAGAATATATTAAAGCTCGTCAATTATCTTTAAAGAGAGCTTATCCTGATAAATTTAAAAATGGGGCTAATCCATTTAATAATTCATCAAATTTGAAATTAACTCGTCCATTATCAGTTCCAGGATCTCCAAGAGGTAAATATGGTGTTATGACTCCAGGAGATTTAGGTTCATTACAAGAAGCTCAAGAATCTTTAAATACTGAAGATTATATTGGATTTAAATTAGGTGGTTTAGAAAATGAAAATAATGTTGAAGATGAAGATGAAACCACTCATTATCCTTTAACTTTAAGAGGAACATCTGCTCCACCTCAAGATCAAGATGAATAAATCTTATCATGCCGTTCTTTGTTTTTGTTAATTTTACCGGTTTTTATTAAAACCTTTACTTTTTTTTAGAAATTTCAAGTTACACGACAAATAAGTATTTTTTTTTGTTTTTATATTCTCTTTGTTTGTTTTATTCCATTCTTTATATATATATATATATTGTTTAAGTTTTCTATGTTTATAAATTATAATTATAATTTTTCTCTTTTATTAAAAAAAAAATACATAATACATTTGTTATATATAAATATCTCTATCTACCATTTATATCTTTCAGCGGCTAATTTACAATATTCATTTGAATGTTGAACTGAACAATCCATCAAGACTTGATCATTATAATCATTATCCAATATGGGTGGTGGTAAAGATTTAGAAGAAACAGTTAAGATTTTATTTAAATGCTTTAACCATCCCTTTAAGACAATGAATTTATTATTTTGATTTGATTCTGTAATGGTTAATCCTAAATAATCAATAATTGAATTTTGATCATTAGTACCATCATTCTTAAAATTCCACCAAACGATTGAATTAGGAGTTACATAACTTAATCCGTCTTGACATGACATTTTCTGTTTCTCATCAGTCCAAGTCCAAGGTGATGGATTCACATTGAAATCATTATAAGATGAGATATAATCAAGTTTATATTGTTTAGATTTCGTATCGTAGGAAATAAGAATCACTTTAGGACGGATTATTTCGGTTAAACAATGATTACAATTCTCAAATTTAGATGATATAATCCCAAACCAATATAATTTATCCTTAGTAAGTTTGTTATGAGGTAATAAATGTTTTGGGATAGGTAATAATTGGGTTGATTTGGTGATTGATTCATCTAATCCAATGTTACTAGTGAAAGTATTTTCTCTCTTTTGTTTTGGAGGAGTAGCTTTAGAAAGCCCTTTGGGGTTAGGTTTGACGATATCCTTAAGATTCTTATTATCATTGTTGAGCTTGACATCTGCTTCAACATTCTTATTAGATTGAACAACCTTAGTATCTTCGGTATCTTTGTTAATAACTTTGCCTATTTTGGAATCTGCAGTATCCTTGGCTTTAGCATCCTCTGGACCAATACCTTTAACATCAGATGGAACTTTAACATCTTCAATTTGTTCATCACTTATAGCCGCAACTTCATCAACCTTATCATCTGCGCCAACTTCACTTGCTCCACCTCTGTTAATTGTACAGCCACCTGTTTCAATATTACATTTGGCAATAGACAAAGGATTAAAGCTATAAATGAAATTTAAATGTAAATTATTAATATCATTAACTTCGTTCTCATTTTCAATACCATTGAAAAATGGGATCCAATTTCTTTCGACTTTATTGACAAGATCAGCATCACCATGATGATTGACGGTCAACACAAGTCCATTGTTTGTATTATAGATAGGATTGAAAGGTCTAAATAATTGCATGACTGATTTAAACTGATGGTCTTTTAATTTCCCACTGTAGACAATGATTGGTTCCTCATCATATTCATCGGGTTCATCTGCATTAGACTTTGGTTTTTTAAAATGTCTTAAGATCACATAGGGTTCAACAGGTCCATAATTTGAATCCGGAATATTCTTTATACCTGCTCTTGGATCATGATCGACTCTAACCGGTAAAATATTTGGATAAATGATTTCTTTATTATGAGCAAATTTAAAATTAAATTGTTGTTGCCAATTCTTATTAAACACTTGAGCATATAAGAAACTAAGGGTTGATTTTGATTTATCCCCACTTTGACTATAAGAAATTTGACTTACCATATAATAAGCTTGATATTTATCTAACCAAATTACTGAAGTATGTCTTTTTGTCCATCTTTCTTGTAAAATTTGGATTACTGATTTATCCTTGGGTTGATCAAAAAATGTAATGGCTAAAGCTGGAAATCTTAAATTATTAGAAACAAGGATAGTTATTTTATTTCGAATAGTTTCTAATTCAAAAATTTCATTATTAATCCCATTTGGACGATTTTTGACAGAACTACCATCATCAAATAATAATTGTTTGAAAGATGCTACTTGAAGTGAATCATGATCAACAATGGTATAAGGAGAACATTCAGCTATTTCTCCTTTATCCTCTTCAAGAGGGTTCACTTGATCATTATAATCATAATATGCTTGAATTGAAGTTTTAACATAGTTAAATTTATCAAATTTCTTAGTGAAAGGAAGATTTTTGATATTGAATGAATTTTGATCATATAAATGATGTTTTATAAGGGAATTACTTCCACCCAGTCCTTCAGATTGTAAGGAAGTGAAAAGATAATACCAAAGATTTAAATTAATAATAAGTAATAATATTGAAATTATTACATTGATTAATTTACCATGATCGTTGATACTTAGATTTTTGAAACTATCAGAAATAGTGAATTTTTTAGATAGTATATTTCGTTTGAATAATAAATAGATGGTGGAAGGAGTGAATATCACCACCAATATTAAGTAAAATGTAAGATCATTTATGTATTGATTGTTGGTATTATAGGTGTCATAATAGTTATTTTTGTCCTCGTAAAGATTGGATTCATACATGATGATTTGGTTCGAGTATAATCAACAAAGGAAAGAATGAAAGTAAATAAACCACTGGGTACTACCAGTAGTAACTCTAGATATGAAAGAGAAGGAAAGATAGAATTGAACACCTAAGTTCTTGATATATATATGTATCCTATCACCAAAAAAATAAAATTGAAAATCTAAAGCCACCTTAACTTTTTAAATCATACACCAAAACAATGAAGGAGAGAAAAATACAATTGAGAATATGACCATCGAAATTTGTTTGGCAAAATACCATATGCCGTTACCCCGATATAGAGTTATTTCTTTACTTACATCAATAAAAACGGTCATTTCTTTTCATTATTGTTAATATGTCAAATGGTACGATTCTATTTCGAACATGATATGGAACTTTAAATACAGGATTATAAGAAAAATATATCTACATAGTAGAATATAAACTGGCTGGGCGTTTTAATCTCATTTGTTGTTGGAGATAAGGTTATGGTTATGAAAAAGCTTAATAAATTAATCGTAATACTTGAAAATTGACACATTCATACTTCTCGTATTTTTTTTGTATTGCGCTGGTTTACGCATAGTAATGAATCTATTAGTACATGGTTTAACTACCTATATATGAAATTATAGTAATAAAATATATTCACTACACTACAACATTGACGTGTCAGTAATCTTGTGAACTATAAAATTATATATAGATGTATCTATGTTATCATCTCTACCTGAAATTTTCATAAGTGGGGGGAAAACAGAAAAGGAGTTATATTTAAAATAAAAGGAAATTGTTGGCGATTTGTCGCATTTTTTTTTGTGGTTTTGTGTTTTTGTCAATTAAGTCATTTATGACAAAACCTTTTCGACATAGATCAATACTAATAAGTTAACACTTCACCTTTATAATCGTAAAAGATACCAGTATCCTTTTCTTTGAATCCTTCAATCACAGGAATCAAACCTTCAGCACTCTCTTGTGGAGTTATCATACTATCCTTAACCAAGTCATAGAATTCTGGATTAACTTTCTTAATATGGGCAGCAGCAGCCTCTGACATACCAGTTGCAACCACACCTGGATGAATTGGAATAACAATGAAATTTTGAGAAGCTAATTCTTGGGATAATTGAATGACAGAGAAGTTTAATGAAACTTTTGATTGACCATAAGCAGTAGTATGTAATGGCAAAAAGTTAGTGATTGATCCAGCAGCGGAACTAACAAATATAGCCTTTCTAGTTTTCTTTGCAATTAAATATTTATAAATCTTTTGGAAAACTAAGATTGGTCCTAAGGTGTTAACTTTATAGTGCTGCAAATAAATGTCACTGCTTGTTTCTAAAGTGGGGACTAATGAAGTTGAAATACCGGCATTGGAAATAAATGTATCAATACCTTTAATTCCAATCTTTTCTAATTGAGCATCAATAGTATCAATTGATTTCTCATCACCAACATCTAAATCAATAACATGAATATTAGTGAACTTCTTAGCTAATTCAACTAATTCTCCAGATCTGGCTGGAGATCTGGTGGTTGCAATGACAATGTTTTTGTCATTTAATTCGGCAAATTGACGAACTAATTCGAATCCAATACCTCTATTACCACCAGTGATAAAATAAGTTTGAGCAGTAGATGACATGATATTGTTGGTGATGTTGTTACTTGAGTTTTAATTGTTAATTATTCTAACTAATTGATATTGATAACTAAAGTATGTTATAGATATGAATTCTAATCAGCTCTTTAAATAGTGCTCAGGTTTAGTTTGGTATACTATTATTTATTGCTGCAAAACAAAATTACTAATCTCGGTGCTAAATAATATTTAATATCCATAGACAGGATAATCCCCGAATCGCATGAAATGGACAAGCTACATTCTGATTTCTCAGATGATATTGTCGGAGTTTAACTTGTTCTATATTAAATCTAATCTAGCTATAGATATAAAAAGTTTTGTGGTGACACACTATAAAACAATTAAACTAAAGAGGAATTTAAAAAGATAAAACTTCCCCTTTATAATCGTAAAAGATACCATTATCCTTTTCTGTGAATCCTTCAATCACAGAAACCAAACCTTCAGCACTCTTTTCTGGAGTTAACATACTATCCTTAACCGCTTCATAAAACTCAGGATTAACTTCCTTAATATGGGCAATCGCAGCATCGGCCATATCAGTTGCAACTGCACCAGGATGAACTGGAATAACAATGAATTTTTCTGATTCTAATTCTTTAGCTAATTGAATAAGAGAGAAATTCAATGAGGCCTTTGATTGACCATAAGCAGTGGTATGTAATGGCAAAAAGTTAGTAAGAGATCCTGCAATTGAACTAACAAAAATAGCCTTTCTAGTTTCCTTTGCTAATAAGTATTTATATATCTTTTGGAAAACTAAGATTGGTCCTAAAGTGTTGATATTATAATGATTTAAATAAATGGCACTAGTAGTCTCTAAAGTTGGTGCTAATGAGGTTGAAATACCTGCATTGGAAATAAATGTATCAATACCTTTAATTCCAATCTTTTCTAATTGATCATCAATAGTATCAATTGATTTCTCATCACCAACATCTAAATCAATAACATGAATATTAGTGAACTTCTTAGCTAATTCAACTAATTCTTCGGATCTGGCTGGAGATCTTGTAGTTGCAATGACAATGTTTTTGTCATTTAATTCGGCAAATTGATGAACTAATTCGAATCCAATACCTCTATTACCACCAGTGATGAAATAAGTTTGACCAGTAGAAGACATGTTGTTGTTGTTGCTGTTGCTGTTGTTGATACTTGAGTGTTAGAAGATAGTTATTCTATACAATTGAGATTGATAAGTAAAGATTTTAGAGATGAATGTATTACTGTATAAAATTTCACTTTAAATAGTGTTCAATTCTGGCTCGGTATAAGACGATTTTTTCGCTTTGCTGCAAAACAAAATTAGTAAGCTCGGTGCTAAAAATGTATGCTCCTCTAAAATACAAACAGTATAATCTCCGAGTGAACAAGCTTTCTGACATTTTAAATAATTAGTGGAGTTTCGATTATCAGTGTTCTCTATTACTAGTTAAAATACATATATATATATAAATAAATCACCATGTGGAACAGTAAAAAATAATTAGTAAGTGAATTTAGAAAGGTAAAACTTCACCTTTGAAACTATAGAAGATACCGGAATCCTTTGCTTCAAACCCGTTAATGACAGAAATCAAGCCTTTGGCACTTTCTTCTGGAGTAACCAAACGAGCTGAAATAGCCTTAAAGAAATCTGGTTTACTTGCTGCAAGAGGACCAAGGGATTCTATCGATGATTCGGTGGAAACTGTACCTGGATGGAATTGTATATCTTTAAATAAAGTTTGGTTTGATAGAAACTGTTAAAAGTATGCTGCAATAGTAATTAAATAGTGCGGTGGAAATAAAAAGGCTTTAGTGATATTAAAATAGGTATAATAACAGAGCCAGTATCGTTCCCCAAATTATATACTCAAGCGTATATGATTTTAAAGTAGTAAGTTATTATTCTACATAATGAATTAACATACACACCAAATAACTCAAAATCGTGCAAAACATCTTAGAAATATAGTTTGAAGTTGACTTTCTAGCAGAATTTACATTGAGACTTTAGCTTTTTCAATTTGCAACAAATCCATCTCGGAGGTAAATGTGGACATTTCCTAGATTTGTCATAATTCAATATCAAAACAATCATCTAGCAATAAATATCTACAACGACTATTATATAATTCCTTTTCTTCAAAATTCATAGTAATACAAGTAAAAATGAAAATTAAGTCTTCTAAAAAATCTATAATTGTTGTAGCCCAAATAAAAATAAACTAATAATACCCTGCGTTAAGATAAAAAATTGCCTAGAAAGGTAAGACTTCACCATCGTAATCGTAGAAAATACCGGAATCCTTAGCTCCAAATCCACTAATAATAGATATCAAACCTCTAACACTTTCTTCTGGAGTAATCAATCGAGTTAAGATAGCTTTATGGAACTCAGGATTAGTTGCTTCGAGACTGGCAATAGATTCTTTTGCTGCTTCAGTGGAAACTGCACCTGGATTAACTGGTACCACAATAAAATTTTCTGAAGCTAATTCTTTTGATAATTGAATAACAGAATAATTCAATGCAGCTTTAGATTGACCATAAGCAGTAAGAGTTAATGGGTATGATTTGGTAATTATGCCTGAAGCTGAACTAATGAAAATAACTTTTCTGGTTTCCTTGGTTAATAAGTATTTATATACCTTTTGAAATACTAAAAATGGACCTAAAGTGTTGACAGCATAATGTTTTAAAAATACATCAGCATCAGTCTTTAAAATTGGGTCCGTTGATTGAAAAATACCAGCATTGGAAATATAAATATCAATTCCTTTAATACCAATCTTATTTAATTGAGCTTCAATGGTATCGATTGATTTGAGATCGCCAACATCTAAATCAATAACATGAATGTTAGTGAACTTCTTAGCTAATTCATATAATTCTATGGCTCTTTCTGGAGATCTAGTAGTTGTAATAATGACATTCTCGTCGTTGGCTTTGGCTAATTGAGTGACTAATTCGAAACCAATTCCCTTGTTACCTCCGGTAATAAAGTACGTTTGACCAGACATCTCGTTATTGTTACTCTAATCGAAGTGAATATCACCTTTAACTAACCTTAAGGAGTTATTCAACTTTAAATAGAAATTTGATTTGATATACACAGTAAATGTGTCATATAGCATAAATAATTCGCTCTAATATACGAACAAAAAATAATTAGCTCGGTGGAAATAAAAGGATTTAGCGAAATAATAATATAATGATTTGTAATTTATATATAGCCCAGCGTAGAGTTAATGGGATGTTTTAAAGTAATATTAATTTAGAAACATATTTAACGGTTGAACTCTAAAGGGTTTGAAAGTATCCACATGCAATCAACTAGTTATAATTACTCTTCTTCGATAAATAAAGACAATCTATAATTGTAAATTCACATATAAATATAGAAAAAATAACCTTTCTAACTCAAATATAAACAAACTAATAATACGCTGTGTTGGGATAAAAAAGTGCTTAGAAAGGCAAAACTTCACCTTTGTAGTCGTAGAAGATACCAGAATCTTTTGCTTCAAATCCGTTAATGGTAGAAATAATACTTTTAACACTTTCTTCTGGGGTAATAAGAGTAGCTTTGATAGCTTCAAAGAAAACAGGATTAGATTCAGCAAGAGGAGCAATAGCTTCTTGGCTTGATTCGGTAGAAACTGCACCTGGATGGATTGGTACCACAATGAAATTTTCTGAAGCTAATTCTCTTGATAATTGAATAGTAGAATAATTCAATGCAACTTTGGATTGACCATAGGCAGTAGTATGAAATGGAGCGAAAGGAGAAATTGTACCAGCAATTGAACTAATGAAAATAGCCTTTCTAGTGTCCTTGGCTAATAAGTATTTATATACCTTTTGAAATACTAAAAATGGACCTAAAGTATTCACAGCATAATGTTTTAAAAATACTTCACCATCAGTCTTTAAAATTGGATCCAATGATTGGAAAATAGCAGCATTGGAGATATAAATATCAATTCCTTTAACTCCAATCTTGTCTAATTGAGCTTCAATAGTATCGATTGACTTAGCATCTCCAACATCTAAATCAATAACATGAATGTTAGTGAACTTCTTAGCTAATTCATATAACTTCTTGGCTCTTTCTGGAGATCTAGTAGTGGTGATAATGACATTCTTATCTTTGGCTTTGGATAATTGAGTAACTAATTCGAAACCAATACCTTTGTTACCACCAGTAATGAAATAAGTTTGACCTGACATCTTGTTGTTGTTGTTATTGTTATTATAGTATAAGTAAATATTACTCTTAATCAATTGATGTTAATTATTGATAAAAGTTATAAGAAATGAACCCAATTATGAGATATATATATCTTTAAATAGTCTAAATTTTTGCTGCAAATTAGTATTTTTTAGTAATTCTACGCTCGGTGGAAAGAATTAATAATCACCGAGTTTGCACAAGACTGATGCCACCACACAATTTATCCACAAATATGACACAACCATCCCCCAAAAATAGTATAAAATTATGTTGATATGTCCAAACATTTGCTTAATGGGGTATTTTAAAGTAGTGAATTATCAGGAATATATACCGAGATAACACGTATAGCTTTAACACCTCAAATGATTGTATAAGCTTCTATAAATATTTTTGAAGTTTAACGTAATTTTTGAGCTTCAGTTTCTCCATTTACTACAAATTCAGCTTAATTGTAAAAGTTAATTGATTACTGGGAAATTATTATCCAAAACAGTACATCCCCATAAGATAAAATAGACTCGAAATCTTCATAAAATAGGGCAACAAATCGTAAATGCAGTCAATTGGTAATAAATAACTACAGCTGTGGCCTTCTAAAAACTCTTTCACTTGAAAATTCATAAATAAAAATAATATAATGCCCTAGATGGTCGAAATAAAACTAACTAAGGACAGCCACTTTTAAGACAAAAAACGGATTTAGAAAGGTAAAACTTTACCTTTGTAATTATAGAAAATGCCAGAATCTTTTGCTTCGAGTCCATTAATGACCGAAATCAAACCTTTAGCACTTTCTTCTGGACCAATCATACGAGCTTTGATTGTTTCATAGGAATTTGGATCAGTATATTCAAGAGGGGCAAGTGATCCTACGACTGTTTCTGTGGTAACTGTACCTGGATGAAGTGGTACTACAATGAAATTTTCGGAAGCTAATTCTTTTGATAATTGAATAACAGAATAATTTAAAGCAGCTTTGGATTGACCATAAGCAGTAGTATGAAATGAAGGACTTTTAGAGATAGTACCTGAAACTGAACTAATAAAAATAGCCTTTCTAGTGTCCTTGGCTAATAAGTATTTATATACCTTTTGAAATACTAAAAATGGACCTAAAGTGTTGACAGCATAATGTTTTAAAAATACATCAGCATCGGTCTTTAAAATTGGATCCAATGATTGGAAAATAGCAGCATTGGAAATATAAATATCAATTCCTTTAACTCCAATCTTGTCTAATTGAGCTTCAATAGTATTGATTGATTTGGCATCTCCAACATCTAAATCAATAACATGAATGTTAGTGAACTTCTTAGCTAATTCATACAACTTCTTGGCTCTTTCTGGAGATCTAGTAGTGGTGATGATGACATTCTTATCACTGGATTTGGATAATAGAGTGACTATTTCAAAGCCAATACCTTTATTACCACCAGTGATAAAATAAGTTTCGTTAGAAGAAGGCATGTTGTTAATGTTGTAGTAGTAGTTGAAACTTGATAGTAAGAATATTGTTCTTGTTTAGAAGCAATATTATGAAGTAAATTGTAGATATGAATGAAGTCGCATAACTCATGACTTTAAATAGTATTCAATTCGCATTGCTGCAAAATAAAATTAGTAATCGCGGCTCTAAGATGTCAACTTCTCAGAGAGCTTAATCTCCGATCCTACATAAAATCAACAAGTCATATCCTGGAAAGAACCTTTAATAGTGTCATCGATACTTGGAATTTAAGTTATATATTCTATATTATTATAAGTTAGAGAAATAACATATATATATATCAAAAAACAAATAAATTAATCAAAAGATTTCAAAAGATTATTACAGCTAAAAATTCACTTGTAAATATTATAGACTAAGTATTATATTCAAAATTGATTACTGTTTCTCAAAGTTGCAATGAAAGTAAATAAAAAACTTAGAAAGGTAAAGCTTCACCTTTGTAGTCGTAGAAGATACCAGAATCCTTTGGTTCAAGTCCGTCAATGACAGAAATGACACCTTTTACACTTTCTTCAGGAGTAAGCATAAGATCTTTGATATTAGCAAACAATTCTGGCCTAGCGGCAACAAGAGGTGCAAGAGATACTTGAGCAGACTCAGTGTAAACTGCACCAGGATGAAGTGGTATAACGATGAAATTTTCAGAAACTAATTCTTTTGATAATTGAACAGCAGAATAATTCAAAGCCACTTTAGATTGACCATAAGCAGTAGTATCTAATGGTAAAGTATTAGAAAATGAACCAGCAACTGAACTGATAAAAATAACTTTTCTAGTTTCCTTGGCTAATAAGTATTTATATACCTTTTGAAAGACTAAAATTGATCCTAAAGTATTGACGGTATAATGTCTCAAAAATACATCAGCATCGGTCTTTAAAATTGGGTCTAATGATGCAAAAATACCAGCATTGGAGATAAAGACATCAATTCCTTTAACTCCAATCTTGTCTAATTGAGCTTCAATAGTATCGATTGATTTAGCATCTCCAACATCTAAATCAATAACATGAATGTTAGTGAACTTCGTAGCTAATTCATATAACTTCTTGGCTCTTTCTGGAGATCTAGTAGTGGTGATAATGACATTCTTATCACTTGCTTTGGATAATTGAGTAACTAATTCGAAACCAATACCTTTATTACCACCAGTAATGAAATAAGTTTGACCTGACATCCTGTTGTTGTTGTTATTGTTATTATAGTATAAGTAAATATTACTCTTAAACGATTGAGATTGTTGATTGATGATAATTATAAGAAATGAAAGAAGAGTAAGAAGTCATATGAGTTTAAATAGTGCTTCAATTTATATATACTGTTCTATATATTAATCGACGGTTTTAACCTTCAAATTTTGAAACTACATGATTAACTAAGCACACCATTTCAAAAACCCGAAGAGAAATACAATTTGCAGCATATTAGAAATTTAGTAATGAAATAGTAACCGGATACAAAAACTTTAAAACTGGGGATAAGGATAATCACCGAGCTCTCCCAAAACAGGTCATATCCCCTCAAATCTAGTAACGCCATATCTTGTTTAGCAATATTACCGAGTTAACACATCTACCGTACTTTAGTTAACAAGCTATATTCTGACTACTCTAATCCACAATATACAATTTATGTTGATAAATGCTCTGATTTACTTTATTATTCCATGATGTTATATCCTTACAGTAATTATCAGCTCGATTCTCCTACTCTAAATCTCGGTGGTTTTTTTTTTTGCAACGAAATCATCTCGGTGTTAAAAGTAATAAAGTATAGAGGAAAAAAACTACAACGATTCAAATTCTTCTTCAAAATTCATATATTTTCACAACTTTCAATTATTTAGTTTTTTTTTTAAATACCTTAATTCCCCCAAAAGACACTAACTAGTTGCACCAACACCAGCACAATAAGCTAATGACCAAGTCAATGATTGACCGTTATCCAAGTATGCATCTGTAAATGATGAACTACTAAAGAATTGATAAGCAGTAGTAGGATCATAAAGAGCAACATTTAACATTAAAATACCTCTCCAACCATCAGGAACATCATTAATGATTGATGATAAAATTTCATCCCATTCTTGTTGAACATATGTTGGACCTCTTATAAAAGATGAAGCAGTCATAATTGGTAACATATGAATACCATGGATATATTGAACTAATGTACCAAAATAAGTGGTATAATCAATTTTATTTTCAAATAAAATACCAGAAACTTTATTGCCAATATAATTCGATGGTTCAATAATATTATTATCTTCATAAAGGAAATACAGATTTAAACTACTTCTTAAAATTGCTAACATTAAATTACCTCTATTTTCCATATTAGAATCACCAATAACATTACCCCAAACTTTAATTGCATATGCATGATTGACATCTTCAGAAGATGATTCTTCATCCTTACCATCTGCTGATAAATATAATCCTTTTGCCCAACTATGACCCACAAAGTAATCAAATGATCTAGACATTGGGAAGTATGGATCAGTTAATGTTGGATTAGCAACATCTCTAGCTAATGTACTAACCCAATCTTCAATTGAACTTAACCAAGTACCTCCTAAATCAGCATCAACTTTAGCAACCACAGCACAAGCATGGATATGATATCCCCAATGGAAATGATGATCATTATAATGACCGTTTCCGTAATCAGCACTTCCTGTTGCAGAAGACACAATTCCTTTAAAATTAGTATCATAAAATAATGGATAAATTTGAGTATTATTGGTAAATATTTCAATAGCACTCTTAATCTTAGGTAATAAAATATTTGTTAAATCAGAATTCTGAATGATGAAATGAGTAGTGTATACAACTAAAGCATACTTCAATAAAATCTTACCACTAGTATACATTGAATTAACATTGGCCATCGTAACAACATCATCATTGACTTCATTAGTTGCAGCTGCAGTAATAGCAGCTATAGTATTGGCGGTATAATTAGAGGAATTTCCAGGTATGGTTGTATATGGATCCCATTCCATCGAAGTTGGAATTTGTTCTTCCATTTGAAAAGAATTTGTTAAACAACCAATCATAGTACCTAAAGTTGTAGAAAGACATGTTAAAGAAGTTTGAGTTCCTGTAGTTTGACTAGTAAAAGTGGCAACTTGATGTGGAGCGGCAAACATTAATGTAGTTCCACTATTTGAAGAACCTGAAACTGAATAATCAAAACCATAAGTACAACTAGAACCATTCACGGTAGCTGTTAAAGTCGCATCAGTTGGATAACAACCTGCTGCACTATCAAAATTTGAATCTTCACCAAAACAAAGTTGGAATACAGCACCATCAACAGAATTAGAAGTAATAATAGAATTTGAATCTTGTAATTTGAAACTTAAAGATTGGCCAGAAGGCATTGTAACATATAAAGACCATGTTGTACCATTCAATAAAGTTATAATAAATTTTAAAATTCCACTTTTAGGAGATGTGGTACCTTGAACTGATTGAAAACCAACACTTGAATTAATTTGAGGAATTAAATTATTATAAATTGCAGTAACAAAACCCATACCTTGTACAATTGGACAGTCCATGTATCCATTATCAGTTGCTGTAAATCTTGTAGTAACAGCAAATTTTGACATATTAATTAAACCAAATTCAAAGTTGGCGTCAAAATCAGCAGCGGTAAAAACCAACTCTTGAATACCTGTTGGTGAATAAAAATAAGAAGCTGGACTACCAGGACCAAATACTCTATCAGATTCTTGAGCGTGATAAATAGTTAAACCATAATTATTATCAGCATGAGCATAAGTAACACTATAAGGGTGGGTGTAAACAGAACAATCTTGAGTAGCAATTAACATGTTGCAATAAAAAGTATTCGTTTCCACTGGGGAAGCATTGCTAACATTTGCAGGAACTGCAGTTTCTCCTGGTCTTTGGATAAACATTGAAAGAGGTGGATCAGTAGAGATAACACTACTGAAAATATTTGACATTTTGAAGCTATTTTTAGTATTTAGATTGCAATTAGTATTGAAAAGTAAGAAAGAAGAAGAAGTGTCATATCAAATAGAAACATCTATATATATAGTAATAATTTAGTTGGCGGCTAAATTGCAAAAAAAAGGTAAACAAAAAAGAATTAATATGCCACAAAAATCAAATATACACAAATTAAAAATGAATATGTAAATTCGAAAAATTTAGCAAAATTGTCTAAAGTAATTTAACGTTCTGAATTTCATTCTTTCATCGGGAATGCCTTCATCCATTATTAGTCCCCTATTTTCATTATTTTCCTAGTAAAAATCAAGGAGGTGGAGACAATAGAGCAATAAACCCTTGTTGGTCTATTTATAATTGATGGAGAGATGATTTGGTCTATATTTCCTTAAACATGGATTGATAATTATAGAATTATCCCAAATGGATATCGTTGCTTAGCATCTCTAATCTATTAGTCTAATTAGACTTTGACATTTAAAGCCCCTGCGGGAACTTTGATCGTAATCACTCTTTAATTTTATGCACCTTTAATTATATGAAATGGCACTTCTTATCTTGGCTGGCATTCAGTTTTCCGGTCCAATTGTAACCAACCGATGTATGATATTCAACACCATTGGCAGTGTTTGATACAGGTCTAGCAAAATATTTGACTCTTTTTTCCGATTGATTTTTCAGCTGCAGAATCCCTAATATCTCTCAAATTAGTACGGAGAGCCGCATCTGCCCAATTGGGATTTAGAGGGACCTGCGAATTCCGATTATATTTTAAAGTGGTTTTGCAGTATTTAGGATGGTATAAAAAGGGGTGAAATTTCCGATATTCTGGTTCAAATTTTGTTTAATTTTTATGTAATCAGAGTAATCTTATTTCTACCACTACTACATTCATACCAAATAATAATAATGAGTTCTCAGACTGTTTTTGTGACCGGAGCTACTGGTTATATTGCTCAACATATCATCCTTCAATTGTTAAAGAAGGGATATCATGTTATTGGACAAGTTAGACTGGTTGCTAAAGGTGAAGCTTTGGAAAAAGATTTCAGTGATAAGAATTTCTCTTATGAAATTGTTGAAGTCTTAGAAAAAGACGGTGCCTTTGATGAGGTTCTTACAAAACATCCTGAGGTCACAGTATTTCTTCACACTGCTTCCCCAATCACATTTGATGTTGAAGATAATGAAAAGGATATGTTGATTCCTGCTGTGAATGGAACAAAGAATGTACTTTCTTCTATCAAGAAAACTGCTCCTCAAATTAAAAGAGTAGTGGTGACTAGTTCAGTACTTTCAGCAGCTAATTATTCTGATTTTGGCGATAAATCGTTTGCTTGTGGTGAAGATCAATGGCTTAAGACAACATACGAAGAAGCTAAAACGTCTGATGCCGCTACTGCTTACGCTGTATCTAAGAAATATGCTGAATTGGCTGTTTGGGACTTTGTCAAGGAAGAAAAACCTAATTTCAAAGTAACTACAATCTTACCTGCTTACGTTTTTGGACCACAAGCTTTTGAGTCTGGAGTAAAAAACTTAAACTTAACAGCTGCAATGGTTGCAAATGCTTTAAAGTTAAACAAGACCGACCCAATACCTGTGGTTACAGGAGTAAATATTGATGTTAGAGATATCGCATTAGCACATATTCTTGGTTTTGAAAAGGAAGAAGCTGCAGGTGAAAGACTTTTTGGGGTGTCTGGTAGATTCATTTATGATGAAATCGTTGATGACATTCGAACAAACTTCAAGGAGTTTGATGATCAATTACCTCGTACAAAGAAAATATCAAGTGATTTCTATGATCAATGGGTCAAATTTAATGATGTTAAATCAAGAAAGATATTAGGCATTAAATATATCCCATTGGAAAAGACTGTAGTTGATTCTATAACACAAGTATTGGATTACCAAAAGAAACATGGTTAGTCTGCGGTTAGTCTGTTTGATAGTAAATTTCGAATATTACGTTCATTGTGATTCGCGTATTGTAGTTGTATGTTGTACTCTAGTGCGATATAACTAGCCATTTGTGACTATCCTATCTCATGATACTTAAAATAAGTCTTCAAATACTTGTACGTAGTTCAATCTTTATACTAGCTTCTTACCTTAGAAACCTACCTGTTAAACAGTAACTAGCCAATCTCCAGAAGAGGATTGCGCTTCACCTGGTGTGATGGGTTCTGGGGGAATTGGAGGTTCTATATGAGCGGTCTGAGATCGGCGATTTGTAGGATCTTTGTGAAGTTTATTTTTTTTGATGTGGCTGACCAACCGGTGTTAATCGTTAGATTCGGCCGATTTGCACGTTGTTTTTTTTGCAATCTTTTTGAAGTATATATCAAATAATCCAAGGACACATATAAAATGAGGTGAATTTTCTTTGATTTTAATTTGATTTTATGAACAATCTAATATTAAAGACTGATTCATTCATATCAAATAATAATAATGAGTGCTCAAACTGTTTTTGTGACCGGAGCTACTGGTTATATTGCTCAACATATCATCCTTCAATTGTTAAAGAAGGGATATCATGTTATTGGACAAGTTAGACTGGTTGCTAAAGGTGAAGCTTTGGAAAAAGATTTCAGTGATAAGAATTTCTCCTTTGAAATTGTTGAAGTCTTAGAAAAAGATGGTGCCTTTGATGTGGTTCTTACAAAACATCCTGAGGTCACAGTATTCCTTCACACTGCCTCTCCTTTCACATTAGAAGTTGAAGATAATGAAAAGGATATGATAATTCCAGCTGTAAATGGTACTAAGAATGTTCTTGTTTCTATCAAAAGATTTGCTCCTCAAATTAAAAGAGTTGTCGTCACAAGTTCTCTCCTCTCCGCCATATCTTTTGCTGAATTGATTGATCCAAAATTTAGAGGAAGCGAAGATGATTGGCACTCAGTTACTTTGGAAGAAGGAAAAAATGGAGATCTTTCTGCTGCTTATCCTGCTTCAAAGAAATTTGCTGAATTGGCTGCTTGGGACTTCGTTAAAGATGAAAAGCCAAACTTCCAATTATCAACTATCTTACCAGGTAGTGTTTTCGGTCCACAGGCTTTTGAATCAGGGGTAAGTAATCTTCATCTCTCTGCTGCTATGGTTGCTAAAGTTTTGAAATTAAAAAGAGATGATGCCATTCCTGATATTGTTAGTATTGCTATTGATGTTAGAGATATTGCATTAGCCCATATACTTGCCTTTGAAAAGGAAGAAGCAGCTGGTCAAAGAATTGTCGGAGCAGCTCATAGATTTATTTACAGTGAAATAGTTGATATTATTAGAAGAAATTTTACAGAATTCGACTGTCAATTACCTCCTACTGAAAAATTGCCAAACAATTTCTATGATAAGTGGGTAAAATTTGACGATGTTAAATCGAGAAAGACTTTAGGTATTGAATATATTCCTTTGGAAAAGACTGTGATTGATTCTATCACTCAAATATTGGATTATAATAAGAAGCATGGTTAATCTGCTGTTAGATTGTTTTTTTTAAATTGTTTTTGTGATTCATTACTTGTGGCTTTATACTATACATTAATGAGATATAATTAACCATTTGTGACAAACCTATCTTATCTCGTGATACTTGAAGTAATTTATAATTTGTAGTTATATATTCAGTAAACCTATTGTCACTATTTGTTAAAATATAAATTTAACGACCTAAATATTTCTTTTCAAATGGACGGACTAAATTATAACCTATAAACGCAAACACAATATTTAATTCAAATGAGATATCTCCTCCGTAATCACCTAATTTCCTTGCAATTACCCCAACATACCAAGTTTGATCCATACATAATACAGTTGAAACAATTCCAAAACAAAAGGCTACAACTCCAGCAATTCCGATTGGTAAGGTCTGTCTATCATTAAAATTAGTTACATCATACCCTTTGAATCCTTTCCTATAAATGAAATGTTCTGTTAATGATATGCCAAGATAAATTGATATATTATAACTTATAATAGATAAAAAATTTGACATAGCAGCTGCAAATACATAATAGGCAGGAATTGATAAACCTAAACTTAAGAAATTTCCTAAGATGCACCATACTAATCTTGGAATTTTAGCTAATTTTGACCACATACATTGAATTGAAACAGATAATGAATAAGATGCAGGTAAATTGTTAGCAATTCCTGATAATGCTAATAAAACCACTGCGAATCTATAACCTTGATTAGTATTACCTCCACAAAGAATTTGGTAAACCAACCCCCCAACTGAACCAGATTCAAATGCTTCACTATAATCATCATTAGTGAAAGTACCCATAGCAACTGCTGCTCCTAAAATAGCTGCAAAAATTGTTGGTGTTGAAATTCCAATAACCATAGCAGTACTCACTTTCCAAGCCGGTGTATTATGAGGCATATAAACAGTATAATCAGCTGCAGTTGAAGCCCATCCTGCTACAAATCCAAAAATAGTAGAAATAAAACTTAATATATTACCTGCTTTCGTAGCCGATGAACCTTCCATTGTACCCCAAGTAAATGAATGAGATTGAGAAAATTTAGCAATTAAAATTAAATAAATTGCAAAATTTGGTATCCAACTATACCTTTCATAAAGATGAACTGCTTTATAACCAAACACGGATAATGTACAAGTAATAATCACAAAAATAAGACAACCTGCCCAAGGAGGCAATGGACCAACTGCAGTTAAAAGTTGAACACAAGGAATTATATTAATAGCATTCCAACCGATACATGTAATAACATTTAGTAAGGCAAATATTCTTCCCATAATATTTCCTGTGAAATATCTTGACATAATTTGTTGTCTTAAACCAAATCTCATCCCAAAAGCACAAAAGAATCCTACTGGTAAAGCACCAATTATAGACCATATAACAATGACTATAACTGAAGTTTTAAAATCAAGTCCAAATGAAGTTGGACCTAAAGCACCAGTTGATAAAGCTGATATAGCTAAATTTGGGGATAAAAACATAAATAAAGGAGATAATAAACTATTATCTACTCTTTTGTTTTCGGGAACTCTTTGAACACCTCTAATTTCAGCATTAAATTTTATCAATGAAATTATTAGGCTCTTCTTCCTCAAATAAATCTGATTCATTGGCAGAATTCACTTCATCTGAAATAATGACTTTTCTTCTACATGTTGTAATTTAGACATCTTTTATAACTAAGTTGTATGTATTGGTATTGAATCGTAATTATAAATTCATAAATTGAAAAGCATAAATAATATTTTATAAAATAGAAGCTTTTTTATATTATTTAAATTGTTTAATTCATGGGATCAATGCAAGCCTAAATAATAATTTGGGGAAAACATCTTTCAGGAACTGATAAGCGTTATACAAGACAAAATTTTAATTTAATTTGTGAAACTTGTATAATGTATAATCAAACCTCAAACGGCTTATAGTTCTTAATCTTAATTTTTTGCAGTAAAAAGATAAATTCCGTCGCGGAATAAATTTTAGGAAATTTTATGCGGTTCCAATGGAAGAACTCTGTAATGGAATAATATTTGTGCATATTTATAGTAATCTTTAATTAGAAATTTCAATTATATAAAAGTTAAAAAGCTACAACTATCAGTATTATTATCGAGAAAGCTGATTAGGTCTAATATCCGTGAATATACAATTTCATCTAATACTTGTAATCAAATCGATATAGTTAGAACAATTAAGAGATAAGAGTAAGGTTCAAGATAATACGTACACCGCTCATGTCCGATAATTACATAAATAACTTTGATAATCAATTAGAGCTATATGGAAATCTGCTATCTGTCTTTTGATTATTTATAATTAAGGACTACATTTAGGTTTCGATTATACTGTGGTTTGTGGTTCCGTCTAAGTGGAGCTGTTATTATTACATTCCCAGTTTATTGATGCAATTGATGTAGTCACCATAACATTTGAGTCAAGTATATTTAAATGGATAATCACATTAGTTTTCTAGTTGTGAGTTTTGAATGTATCTGTAGTCACGCTATAACATAGTAGCCATATCAGGCAATTCAATAATACATTGCCAACTCAGCCACATATAAAATCCAAATGGTGACAATCCACTTTTGAGTCCAATATGTCAAAACTTTGTGCAACGGTCGCAGCTTACAAACTAATTCCATAACAGCTCGTAAATAGACTATAACCAAAATTATATAAAAACTGAATAAATCCCAATTGTGGATTTAACAATTTTAATTACTATATATTGACTCTAGTTCGGTCAAATCAAGCTCGGACTTATGCGAAACAATCAGTTTATAATTCACATATCACGACACAATCTATTTTTATATCTGGTGCTACTGGTTATATTGCTCAACATATTATCCTTCAATTGTTAGCTAGAGGTGATAAAGTGGTTGGACAAGTTAGACTGGCTGCCAAAGGTGATTCTTTTGTAAAGGATTTCAACAATAAGAACTTTTCTTATGAAATTGTTAAAGTTTTAGAACAAGAAGGGGCTTTCGATGATGTCTTGGCTAAACATCCTGAAGTCACTGTTTTCATTCATACTGCTTCTCCTGTGAATTTTGATATTGAAGATAATGAAAGAGATATTTTAATTCCAGCTATTAAAGGTACTAAGAATGTACTTGCTTCGATTAAGAAATCAACTCCTCAAATTAAGAGAGTTGTCGTCACCAGTTCTGTTGTTGCCGCTGCTACCCACTCTGAATTGGAAGATCCAAAATATGTTGGTGGTGAAGACAGTTGGTTGCCGACTACTTATGAAGAAGGTAAGTCTGCTGATGCCCAAAGTGCTTATGCTACATCAAAGAAATATGCTGAATTAGCTGCTTGGGAGTTCGTTAAGGAAGAAAAACCCAACTTTATTTTATCATCCGTTTTACCAGGTTATGTGTTTGGTCCTCAAGCTTTTGAATCAGGACTTGAAAACTTGAACCTTACAGCTGCTGTTGTTGCCAATGCTTTGCAATTAAAGAAAGACGATGAAGTTCCTATTTTTGGTGGTGTCAGTGTCGATGTTCGTGATATTGCTTTAGCTCACATCTATGCTTTCGATAAAGAGGAAACTGCAGGTAAGAGATTAGTTGGTTATAATAATAGATTCTTGTTTCAACAAGTTGTCGATGTTATTAGAAAAAACTTCAAAGATTTAACTGATGTTTTACCTGTTGGTAATCCAATTGCACCTGATCACTTTGATACTTATAATCCATTTGTTGATGTTGAATCAAGAAAAGCTTTAGGAATTGATTATATTCCATTTGAAAAGACTATTGTTGAACATATTACTCAAATTTTAGACCATCAGAAGAAGTAAACACAATTCTTTATTACATTGCATGCATTTATTTGTCCTTTATAGATATATCTAGTTTTTCCTCATTTAATAATAAGATTATTGTTTCTTAAATACAGTGTTTTCCATTAATGATAAGATCATTTGTAGACCGAAGGTGGTGTCCTTTCAGGAGCCACTTTAATTATCTCAATTGGGTCGAATTTGATGAACAACAATTACAATTGTCGTAAAATTTTAATTACGGAAAAGAAATAGTCATTCAAAAGCATCAACCCGTCTGACAGCTGTAATTTATCTCCACACTCTATCTTTAAATTTATTTTTATGGTCCACAGTTGCTATTTAATCGGATTTGTTCAATAGTTGAAACAGGTGCAGCCTTTGCGGTTTATAAATTGTGGGGCTTATAAATCGACGCTTACTTTATCAGTTTCTATCGCAATAACCGTTTTTGGAATTAGACATTGAAAAAGGCCCTTGGCACTCCGTTTACGTTGCAAAATGATATTAGCACAGTGGTATACGAAAATTGTTAAAATACTATAAAAGAGAAGCAAATTTCATCATAATTTGCCACTAGTACCAGTGTTGGCAGTATAATTATCAATTTTTAATACTTCTCAAATGACTGCTCAAACTGTTTTCATTTCTGGTGCAACTGGATTCATTGGTCAACATATTATCCAGCAATTGTTAAAAAAGGGATATCACGTTGTTGCTCAAGTTAGACTGACTTCAAAAGGTGATGCTTTAGTCAAGGATTTCAAGAGTAAGAACTTATCTTATGAAATTGTTGAAGTGTTGGAACAAGAAGGTGCTTATGATGAAGCCTTAGCTAAACATCCTGAAGTTACAGCTTTTATTCACACTGCCTCTCCTGTTTCATTTGACGTTGAAGATAATGAAAGAGATATTTTAATCCCCGCAATTGCTGGTACTAAGAATGTTCTTGCATCTATTAAGAAATCAGCTCCTCAAATTAAAAGAGTTGTCGTCACCAGTTCTGTTGTTGCTGCTTCTACTTTCTCAGAATTAGAAGATCCAAAATATGTTGGTGGTGAAACTAGTTGGTTATCAACTACTTATGATGAAGGTAAATCTGCTGATTCTCAAACTGCTTATGCTGTATCTAAGAAATATGCCGAATTAGCTGCTTGGGAATTCGTTAAGGAAGAAAAACCCAACTTTATTTTATCAACCATTTTACCGGGTTATGTTTTTGGACCTCAAGTTTTTGAAGAATCAGTAGCAAGTTTAAACCTTACTGCTGCTTTTCTTGCTAGTGCCTTACAATTGAAAAAAGATGATCCAATTCCAGTTGCTGGTGGTCTTAGTGTTGATGTTCGTGATATTGCAAAAGCACATATTCTTGGATTTGAAAAGGAAGAAACTGCAGGTAAGAGATTAGTTGTTTCAGCTAACAGATTTTTATTTCAAGAATTTGTTGATATTATTAGAAAAAACTTCAAAGACTTGGCTGATAAATTACCTGTTGGAAATCCTATTCCAGCTACTTATTATGATCATTATAATAAATATGATGATACAGAATCGAAAAAAGCATTAGGCTTTGAATATATTCCATTTGAAAAGACTGTTGTTGACCATATTAGTCAAATTTTGGATTATGAAAAAAAGAAATAGTCTGTTTTTCTGGTTTATAGTTTTTGTTTAAGTTGATATAGTTTTTGAGAGAATATTACAAATTAAATTATGCAAGAATCTGTAGATCATCAAACCAAAATAGAAAATCATCCAGGGGAGGGGTTTACAAACCCTTACAGTAATAATAGTTCGTAAATGAACTGGTCAACATGAAAAAGGGGAAATTACACCTTTTGGTTTAACCATGAATAACTCGCTAAAAAATAAACATGTCCATAATTAGATTTACGCTTCGTAAACCATTGATTCCCATGACTATATTTTTTGGGATGGTGACAATCCAATTTAACTGATCAATTGCAACCGCTGCGGCTTACAAATAAATTCCTGATTTATCATCAACCGCATTTACCTAATTCGGTTTTAACCTTGAAAATAAGACCGAGTATCAGTATAACTAAGCATATTGCAAACTAGTATATACTGGAAAACTATAAAAGGTGATTCAATTTCACAAATAATTGAGTTGGAATTCATATACCATCATTACTAAAAGGTCATAGCTTAATATATCATAGAACAACTCATAAATCAATTCACATATAACATTAAAATGACTTCAGAAACTGTTTTCGTTACTGGTGCTACTGGTTATATCGCAGGACACATCATCTTGCAATTGTTAAATAAAGGATATAAAGTGGTCGGTCAAGTTAGACTGGTTTCCAAAGGTGAAATACTAGCTAAAGAAGTTAACAACGCCAATTTCTCCTATGAAGTTGTTGAAGTTTTAGAGAAAGAGGGTGCTTTTGATGAAGTTTTATTAAAACATCCTGAAGTTACTTTATTTATGCATACTGCTTCTCCTGTTCAATTTTCTCAAGTAGACCATGAAAAAAATACCTTGATTCCTGCTATTAATGGTACTAAGAATGTTCTTGCTTCTATTCATAAAGTGGCTCCTCAAATTAAACGTGTTATTGTTACTAGTTCGGTTGTTGCTGCTGCTACATTTGCTGAATTAGCTGATCCAAACTTTATCGGTGGTGAAGACTCCTGGTCATCAATTACTTATGAACAAGCTAAAACTAATGATGCATCTACCGCCTATGCTGGATCTAAGAAGTTCGCTGAACAAGCAGCATGGGAGTTTGTTAAGCAACAAAAACCTACTTTCAAATTAACCACTGTTTTACCAAGTTATGTTTTCGGTCCACAGGCTTTTGAATTCGGTGTCAAAGACTTAAATCATTCATCTGAATTCCTTGTTGGTGCTTTGAAATTAACTAAAGACTCTAAAATCCCAGCTGCAGAAAGTATTTGTGTTGATGTTCGTGATGTTGCAAATGCTCATGTTAAAGCTCTTGAAAGTAATGAAGCTGCTGGTAAAAGGATTGTGGTTTCCAATAGTAGATTTGTTTATGGTCAATTTGTGGATATTATCAGAAGAAATTTCCCAAATTATACTAAACAATTACCATTTGTTGAAACCTTACCAAGTGATTATTTTGCTAATTATAACAGATTTGGTGACTCTGAATCAAGAAGAATTTTAGATATTGAATATATTGATTTTGAAAAAACTATCATTGATCACATTACTCAAGTTTTAGCATTTCAATTTATCCAAGTCTATTAGTTTATAGTGTTTATTATATAGCTGTTGTTTAGAAATACATTAAAATTACTGATTTATACTGCGAAAAATCCAATTTGTATGTAAACCTCCTTTGAGCGAAAATAATCAGAGATGAAAATTGACAGGATAAAAAAAAAGGTGAAGAGTTTCTATTACAGGAAATATCATTGATTGATTGATCTAAACTAACTAGACCCCAAACTACCATCAACATGAAAGGGATATGACTCGGTATGATAATGAAGAATCAGATATATACGATCGAATAAGGATAAAACCCAAACTTGATCGATATGTTCCTCCGAAGAAAACAACAACTCCTATAAAAGTGGCCGATACATATATTCCAAAGACCAAAACCGTTGCGCCAGTTCCAGTTCAAGGCCTTAAAGTACCGTTACTTAATTACAACGATGCAGATCATGGTGATGTGGAAGATGGTGATGAATATGAAGAAGAGGTCGAACCTCGAGAGATGTTGCTAAGTGAAAGGGTTCAGTTAATGACTGAAAAATTAAGACATATGGATAAAGTTACCCACCTTAGTCCAAGTAGTAGTACAAATAGTACCAACGATAGTAAAATCAATATTAAAGTTATTTCCAATAAGATGATATTTTTAAAATCGGTTGATCTAATTCAAACTAATTTCGATCAACTATCCCCATGCATAGTAACATTATTCATTAAGAACAATATTGATTCCCAAGGGGGGTTAACTTTACATTTATTTAAACTATATCTATATGCTGTTCAATATTTTCATCAAGATTATTTCAATCCCAATTTAAAAGATCAATTTAAGTTGATATTAACTCAATTAATTATCATTAATGATAATATAAATCAAGAATTTCAGAATAAGTTTGTTAAACGGACTACAATAAAGGACAATTATATGAATGGTAATATTATTAAACAACCTATACGACGAGAAATCATTAAAATCAGCATACCAACCATTATCTATAAACGATTAAACATACCGTCATCATCAGTATCAGAAAGCTAATCTTTCTTGTAAATTATTCCAAAATCCATTATCATAAATATTAATCAAATCATTTGCCACTGATTTTATCTGAGTTAAGTGATATGAAGATATATTATCTTCCTTTATCAAGATTCGATCATCAGTTAAACTTATATAGACATGTTGATTAGTATTATGATCAAATATTTTCTCAATATAGATTTGATTATCCACTAATGGAGTTGAAGATTTATATAAGGTTCCTAATTTAACAAGATATTCCACATCTTGCCATTTATCTAATTCATTAGTGGTAACTCCTAAATAGATATATCTAACATGTAATAATGTAAAACTGATAGTTATTAATGAAAATATAATACAGATTATAAAGAAAATCCCGGTAATTTTATTCGCATCATTAGATGATTTAATTAAACTCCAATATGATTTCTTCCCCCATCTAATAAATTGATATTGTAAAACTTTAAAGGTTAAGATTGTCCCTCCAATTAATAAATTTATATTTGATAATAAGAATAATATAAACCATTTAAAGTTATTTTGGCCCACACAATTGTTTAACCAAATGCAATGATGATCATATAAAGGATAACATTTACCACAAGTATTGCAATGTTTAGACCGAGCAGGCTTTAAGATGAGACATGTTGAACAAGTTCTATTATCAAAAAAGATTAATTGATTATTTTTAAAAGTTTTATAAGTTTTGGAATTTATAGGACCAGGAGTAACGAAAATAGCTAAAGTAGTAGCAATATAAACCAAAGCAATGGTTGAATCTATATACAAGTTGATTAAAGTTAATGCTGATGATTTGGATGAATATAAGGTAGTTAAAGTTGGATAAGTATTAATGAAAAATAAACTTACACATAAGGTCACCACGAAAAGATACCCAATCGGTACTATCCAATTGGCATATGATTGTAATTTATTATCAAACACGGTATAATTAACATAATTGAATGATTGTTGACCATGATTGAGAAGTTTTGTTAAGAAAGTTTTCAATTTTTGGAGTGGCGTATTTCGGAATGTAGGTAAATCAGCAAATATGATAATGATGGATATGATTGAAGCTATGATGATAATGTATAGAAACAAGTAAAACACTAGATTCATCGTCCTGTGTATCTACCCCCAGTAATAAAGTATCTCTGGGTTGTAAATGGTACGTAGTCTGTTTGTTATCAAGTGTCAGGTTAGACCCAATTTAAACCAAAATAGGAAATTGTCAGAAAATTTTGAGAACACAGTTTTAAATTTTTGATACTGAAATTGAACCCTGTTATATTCAAATCTATTCATCAAACAACAGCAAACTAGCAATGTCAACATCACAATTGGTACTCATAGAGGAGGAAATCAGTGGTATCAACAGTTTATTGAATTCTGTTCCTTTTTCTCCTGTTGTTGACGAAGATAATCAAGAATTCTTTTTAGGTATCTATAGATTAAGTTATGATCAATTAATTGAATTAAACAATTTAACCTTCCCAATCGATTCTAATAAGTTATTGAAGTTGGGTATATCATTAGGGAATTTATTAAAGACTTTACAAAGCGATGAAGAGCAAGAACAACAAGCACAATTATATCAACAACAACAACAACAGCGAGAACAAGAACAACAACAACAACAACAACAACAACAAGAACAACAACATCTGTTTCAGGAAGTAGATGAATCATACGAGTTTGATGGAAGCACTACACCCACCCGTAATTCATTCATGGGAAGTATTAGGAAAGTCAGTAAACAATTACCTCCTACTCCAACATCCAATAGTCAAAGTAGTCCATTCTTAAGTGATGTACCACCAACTCCACCTCCAAAACCTCATATTATAAGTAGTCCAGTTTTAGAAAATGGCGCCTTTTCTTCTCGTAATGGCAGTATAACTAATACAACTACTGGGCAATATCCCATGTATCAAATTAAATTCATTAAGAATTTATTAAATATCTTAAAGAATTTTGATGTGGGTAATATTAATAATAATAATGAGAATTTAACATCTCCTACTACCCCAACTACATTACAAAGACTTGGAAGTAAGAATTCATCATCATCAAGTTTATCAACTCAAACTACATTACCATCAATCAAACCTGGATCGAATGTTAGTCCTATTAAATTAAATTCTCGACAATTATTAATTGAAAAATTAGAAATTAATATTAATTTAGATACATTATTTACATATAAGATTATATTTAAATTATTATTACAAATTTTAAATATCATTCATGCTAATATTGTTAAAGTACGTCCAGCTTCAACTCCATTATTAGGAAAAGAATCATCATCATCATTATCACATTCATTTAATAATAGTCATGATGAAACATCATCAATATTTTCCAGTAATTCAGAAACAGCACGAATCCCATCACAAAATGGACATACAACTCATTATTCTGGAGTTGGAGATTATATCTCGGTATTAAATCAATGTTTATTAAGAATTTCAAATGGGATAACTAATCCATTTAAACGATTTATATTCATGGAATTAGTTGAAAATAATGTGCAACAAGATTTTAATCAAGTTTTATCAATCTTAGCTTGAATGTATGTATGTGAATTATCTTATTTTATTATTTATACCTTTGTAACAATAAACAAATCGTACCTTACCCTATCCTTTCTTTATTATATAAACCACCAATTTGCAATTCGTCTCCAAATTAAATGACTAAACCTCCTTCCTAAAATTTTCCCAATAACAGGAAACATAATTTGATTAACCAAGAGTTTGACTTGATTTATACTTTCTTCCCAATGTTCTTGAGCTGATAATTGATATTCATCTTCTTCACTTGAAGAGTAATCACTGTCATCAGCATCATCTTCATCATCATCATCGTAATAATCTTCATTATCAGTCGGTATTTCTGCCGTTGAAGGTGGATAGTTTAGTATTTCTTGTAATCTCGACATATGTGACATGGTTATAGGGAGTTGTAATAGGATCAATTGATCTAGTGAATTGAATGGTTAAACTTAAACGACGGTTATGGATGATTTCGCCTTCATTTGTGGTTTATGAGACAACACTCCAACTTTTGAAATGAAATTTCTTGTCAAAAATATTTCTTGATTTGTCGCGACAAACCTTTCAACTTTTTCGACAAATCACTTATTTTTGCGACATAACATTTGCATCTTAAAAAAAATTTTAATCCTTTACAAAATATGAATAAATAAAAATGTGATAGATCTACTTTTGATTAATGATTAGATTGTGGAGATCAATCAACATACTTAATAGAACATATACTAGATCTCTCACATCATCATCCACATATAGCAACGTCATCATGAGTAACGGAACCGTATTATCCAAAATAGATGAAATCAAGGTTGATGATTATGATATTATAAAAGAAGGGAAAGCACAAATCTTAACTCCAAAGAAGGATCAAGTATTTTATAATCCGATTCAACAATTCAATCGTGATTTATCCCTCATGTCAATCAAAGCTTTCATTCAATTACGTCAAGCTCAACATGATGAATCTCAAGATGAAAAATCATCTCCTCAAAAAAAGATTAAAAAATTAAATAAAGTTAAAATCTTAGAAGCTTTAAGTGCTACTGGTTTACGTGCCATTAGATATGCTAAAGAATTAGATGGTGATTATGATTTAATCGTCGCTAATGATTTATTACCGGAAGCTGTGAAATCGATCGATAGAAATATTCAATATAATGAAGTTACAAAGATAAAATCTAATCTTGGAGATGCTATAAAATATATGGCTCATGCTGATATTAAATTCAATATTATTGATTTAGATCCTTATGGAACAGCAGCACCCTTCATTGATAGTGCGATTCAATCGATTGAAGATGGTGGAATGTTACTTGTGACCTGTACTGATGCAGGAGTATTAGCTGGATCAGGATATCCTGAGAAATGTTTTGCATTATATGGAGGAAATAATTTTGGGAATTCATTTATTAATAATGAAACCAATCATGAAGTTGGGATAAGATTAATATTGGGGATGATTGGGAATATAGCTGCTAAATATAAAAAATCGATTGAACCAATGTTAAGTTTATCGATTGATTTTTATTTTCGATTATTTATAAAAGTTAAAACCAGTCCTCTTGAAGTTAAACAATTATCATCCAAGACTATGATAAGTTATGGATGTAATGGATGTGGACATAAAGTGAATCAATATTTCGGTAAGATTAAAGATGGCAAGAAATTCCAATATCCAAAATCAGTGGGACCTGGAAGTCAATGTGAATATTGTCAACATGATTATAATATTGCCGGTCCAATGTATGGATCTAAATTACATTCAGAAGAATTTATTGAAAAAATATTAGAAATTAATAATAATAGTGATAAGGCAATTTATGGAACTACAGAACGGGTTAAAGGGATGTTAACATTAGCCAAACAAGAATTAGATGAATATAATCCTCCATTTTATTTCAATTTAAATCATTTATCATCATTATTCAAAAGTCCACCGATTTCAATTGATCAATTTGTGAAAGCGATTGGAAATTTAAATCATATTGGTAAATCAGGATATCAAGTAAGTTTAACTCATGCTAAGAAAAATTGTGTAAAGACAGATACTCCTTGGGATATTATTCTTCGAATTAATATTGAATGGTTAAAACTTTCAAATCAAATCATTTATAAAGAATTGAAACTGAAGGAAAGTTTAACTGAAAAGGAAACCATTAAATTACAAAAATTAACTGAAGATATCTTCTATAATGGGAATTTAAGTGAAACTTCGATTGGGTATAAGATTATTCAATATTTTAATCAACATAAAGATCAATATGAATTTAAAATTGATTTTGAAACAGAGAATGAATTAAGTCAATCCATAGCTAAATTAAGAAAAGTTAAAATGGTTAGATATCAAGAAAATCCAACCAAGAATTGGGGTCCAAAATCTAGACCATCATCAAAGTAGGTGTATATATATATAATTTATAGGTAAAATAATAAAACAAGTGTATTTACCAATAAATTGGTCACATGTTATGTCTTCTGATTTTTGTCACGTGTGTTTTCGAAATTTTGAAAAATAAAAAAAATTTTGCGGTCTTTTTTATTTTTCTGGTTTTATTCTGATTGGATTAATCACCACGTTGCTATAAAAAAAATAAAAAAACACTATCGAATAGGGGTTGGATTTTTAGTACTGTAATATATATCCAGTTATCTAATATGATTATAATTATCAACCATTAAGATGATACTTCGTTACTACCACTGTAAGATATAAAGCCTTTATAGCTTGTAATTAAGTACCTAACTATTAGATTCATCTGTCATTCATACATACATACATTTCGTAGCGAGAAAAAAAAATTTTTATTTTTCAACCCTTGACTCACCAAAAGATTACAGTTATTCACATGTTAACAAATTAAAAAGTATATTACAATAAAATCAAAATAGCTAAATTATAAAAATAAAACTAAATAGTAAGTAAGCGAATGAAAAGGTAGTTAGCTTCAAGTACTAATATCTCAATCAAATACATAAATTATTTCTTTAAACTAAAATTGATTATTATGTCTATAATATTAAAAAAAATTTGTGTATTATTATTATTAGTACTAATATAATGGATAAGATAAAGTTATTTATCAAACTCCAAGATATATAAAATTGAATTAAATATAAAAAATGGAATACTTTTTTGAATAAAAAAGTATTAAAAAAGTAAACTTCTTATTGTTGTTGTTGTTGTTTGTTCTGTGATGAATGGAATAAAAAAAAAGGATTTTTTAAAAATATACTATATTATGCTATTGATGAATTTACTATTACAATGAATGGAATCATTAGATTCCATTTTGAATTTAGTAAACTTAGAATAATAAAGCAACACCAGCAGCAGCAACAGCACCAACTAAACCAGCAGAAGCTAATTGAACAGAAGCAGCACCGGCAGATGAGGTGGTGTTTGAGGCATTAGAAGCATTAGAAGCATTGGCAGCTGAGACAGCAGAAACGGCAGTTAAAGCAATGATGACAGATTTGAATTGCATTGTTGATATGAGTAGTTATATTTGATGTCTATAATAATGTCTATTAAATGAAAGGAAAGAAAAGAAAGAAGCTAAAAAGAATTTTTTATAAAACTAAAATTTGGAAATCAATTTAAATTGGGAAATTGGGTGATATATTTATATTAACTGAGAACTCTGTAGAATTTAAAAGAAACTGGAAGAAACTGGAAAGAAAAAAAAAAAAAAAAAAAAAAAAAGAAAAAAAGAAAAAAAGAGATGGCTTTAGGAGGCTATGAGGTTGTGTGCAGGCGCTATCATTTTAAGATATTACTTTTCCTAATTGGGAAAAATATATACATATTGCTGGGAGAAAATCATGGTTGTATACCGGAAGTTAAAAAAAATTTCAATCGCCACACCACCACGATAAACTGATCACAAAGACACGTATTAATATTGTTGTAGGGTTATATACAGGTATGACTCCTATATATTTAATTGTTTTTTTTTTTTTTCATTCATTTCACGTCATGATGAATTGCAAAAATAGATTTGAATTAAATTAAATTATATGGAATGGAATGATGAAAGAATGACGATTATTATTAGTCATCGTTTATACAAAGCAATACGTAAATAAACAAACAGATGAATTAATAATAATAATAATAATAATATGACGAAGTGTCTGACTATACTCTACCTTTGTTTGCTAATACTATATACTAGAGAAGGTTTCTCCACAGATACACACGAAAGCTAAATAGTAAATAAATAAATAAATATAACATAACAAGTTCTATGTTGTTAGCAACCACCTTTTTTTTTCTGTAAAGGGTGCACAAAACCTGTAAAAAAAACCTTTTTATTTTTTTCTTTTTTTGGTCGTCTGTCTGTCTAGAAGGTAAAAAAAGAAAAGAGAAACATGCACGTGCCTCTCTTTGATTGATTTATTCCGCGTTCTAGAGATAAGAGAAAAAATATTTAACTATGATGGTACTGCATATACGGCATCCCAAAAATTAATAAAATAAAAAAAAGATTCTCTTTTTTTTTTTTTTTTTGTCGTCTAAAATTGAATGTGTGTAACAAACAGAACAATCTGACTCTTTACACTATCGATTGATAGTTTTTTATATTTCCATCTCTCTGTAGACGAAATCAAATCAAATCAAATCAAATCAAATCAAATTAGAAGATTGTGGTGATCTATTGTACTCTGTATGGGCATCCTTCCACATCCTTTCTTTTCATTCTTTACATCTCGTCAAACCATGAATCGTAACTGTAACTGTAACTGTAACTGTTTGATTGATTGATTGACGGCGCGGCAGTTTAATTATAAACTTTTACTTTGCTATCTACATACAAAAATTATTAATAGTTATTACTACCATTATGACTACTATAAGTTTATCTGCCGAGAATTATCTCTCTCTCTCTCTCCCTCCCCTGTTTCAAAATAAAATGTATTATAGTTTCTTTTCTCTCTTTACAATCTATAAGTATATCAATTTCATTTCAATTTCATCTATCAATCATATATAAAACAATCTGCATCATTCCTATTTCGAGGATCCTATGACATTGTATTGTTGCTCTCAACCCATCCTGTCATATCATATCCTATCCCTCTATCCTGTCATAACCTCCTTACTTTTGCTCCATTGTAATCTTGAGATTTTTTGCCTCATTTATCTCTCAAATTAACAATACAAAAAAAAATGCGCTTTACAATTTTAATTCTTTTTTTTTTTATCTAAGGCGGGACAAATATTATTTTGAAATTTAATTATCAAAATTATTTTTCCTTTTTTTTTTTTTTTTTTCCGCTTATAAAAAAAAAAGAAATTTTCAAAAAATATCAATTTAATTTAATTTCTTTTTTTTTGTTTTTTCCTTTAATTTTGTAATTTACTAAAAATAGATTATATTAATTAGTTAATTAATGTTATAGCCTTATCCTTTCCTCTTTCCTTCTCTGCTCTTCTCTTCCCTTCACATACCTTAATCCTACAAACAGTTATAGCCTACTGTGGTAGCGGGATTTGGGCTTTTGAATTAGGAAATTAATAAAAATTTTCACATCCATCCATCATCATCTTGTTCAAATTAGTTGCAGTTAAATATGTATCAAATTAGAATAGATAATGACCGTAAGTAGAAAGTAATTACCCTCATACGATGTAGGTATGTATGTATGTATATCGGATATACACTACCTTCTCATTCAAAGACCTCATCGCACCCATGCCTTTTTATTCTCTTATGTTACGAAAGGAACCTTAATAATGAACCGTCTCACTCTTTCTATCTCAATCCCACCTCCCTCTCAAAAATATTTAAAGGAAAAATAAAAAGGCACCGCTAAAATTACTTTACTCGGACCTCAATCTCATTACAGAAAAAATTCCTTCTTTTCTCCCTCGCTCATTGTCCTAATGTGACTGCATATAACGTTCTATCCATGAGTTACGAGTTAATTCATTCACTCCGGAAACTTATATTCGGTTAGTATAGAAGACCGGAATTACCATAAACCTAATTTACCAATATAACCATACAACATCTAAAACCAAAATTTAACAATTCCATTTCAGATTTAAATGAAGGGAGTAATTTCTTATTATTTTCAATGTAATAGGTTAAATTCTGCCATTTAGCACATTCTTGTTCAAAAACCTTATTATCTGTTTCACTGCAAGTTGATATACTCTTGTATGGATCGAAGAAGTCTTTGAATAAAGTGGCAATAGTTTCAGATTGATTATTTATGGTGGTGATAATTTGTTCAAAACTTCTATGATACTTCAGTAAACTAATAATCTTTTTATTCAATAGGTTCAAGTTCTGTTCTAAATCATCAAACTCTTCATCTATAGTAAATGAATCATTACCATATTTCATTTTCTGTTTTAAATATTGTGGAGTTCGTTTTATTTGATTCCAATCAATATGTTCTATACTTGTCGTCTTGATAGATACATCGGCAATCTTCAATTGTTTAGATACCAACCCAGATATTTGATTGATTGAACCCTCTATATTCATGGTGGAGTCTATTCTATGAAATCAATGTTATGGCGGTTAAACATTAAAACCATAAGTTATATGATTTTGTTATTCTAAAATATTTCTGTATAAATTAGCTTGGTAGCTCAGTAAAAAAAAAGAATAGACTGACCGTCATATTTTTACAGCCAAACTTTTTCTTCTTAAAGCAAAAAACATCATCATAATACATCAATCAATCCATCTTCAATGTCTCTTAAGGTTAACGAAAGTGTTGGTAATAAGTATGGGGAATCAACGTTGGAACCGGAAACATTTGCGGATATTGTATCATGCTTGAAAAGTGATAAGTTCAAAATTGATTCACCTCAATTAAATGATGAAATTACTGATGAGTTATTGTTAGCCTTTAGACAATCAATCGAAGGAAATATTACGAATGATCCCATTAGAGATTATACGTTTGATTGGGAGAGACTTGGTGAATGTTATACTTTCGTATTTGATGACTACATTAAGAACATAGAGTTGATCAATCAAGAAACGGCTGAATGTGATGAAGTAGGTAATACTTGATCTAATAAAACCTAATCAATCTAAAAATACTAACAAATTATAGGAACGTCGTAAATGGACAGCTGATTGTTTCAAAAATGACGAGGAATCCAGCATTGAAAGGTATGATATATACTATAATTATTTATTGACTTATGTTCAATACTAACATTTCAAAATAATAGAATAAATAAATCTGAACAATGGATTAGTCTTAAAGAAGTTCAATTACATCAAATGAAACAACAAATTAAGAATACCATTGATTTAATTAAAGGTGAAGTTCAAAAATTTAAATCTTTAACTACATATGAGTAATATCTTACTGTGTCTAATTTCTGCTAATATATTATTTGTTACCATATTTAAACTTATTTCCACACTATTTAGTGGTCTGTATTTCAAATATTCATCGTTCTCTTTAAGAGTGATATTTATTTACATTATTTAGAGCAATTTTTAAACCCACCTTTACATTGCTTTGGCAGTTAGATTATAATTGAAAGCACAGTGGTCATGTAATAGTTTCGTCCTACTGACTAAAAGTATCGTGGGGAAAGTTTATTTAAAGTCGTCTTTTGCTTCACATTAATTTCGTAGTACCAAAAACCAGTAAAAAGGTATCACGAATTTCGAAAATCAAATTACTTTCTTCTCTTAAGCTCTATTGGTCACAATATGCTGATTGTGACCAATATTTCAATTCATCAATGACGGGAATATCTGGACAGGTTTTGAATTACATGAAATTAGGTATATATATCATTAAAGTACTATATTGAAAGTTTAAGAATAATAATATTCTGCTTGTAGATTGCACTATTAAGTAAGAAAATATTTCCTATTTTTATCATCGGCGGTTAAAAAAGAGTAAGCAGCATTTTACATATATCTAACATATTTCATCAATAAGCACTCATTATTTATAAAGGTATCTCTTCATCATCATCATGACTTACTTGATAGATAAGGCATGTGCCTTTTACTGCAGAGTATTAGCAGAAGGAAATTATACTGATGTTGATTCATTAGCACAATGTGATTACGATATTATGCGAAACAACGAGGATAAGTTAGACTTTGAAAGTTTAAGTGATCAAGAAAAATTGGAGTTACTAGAATATCTTCCCAATGATAATAAATATGATGAAAAATTTAAGATTGAACGTCAAAAGTTAGTGTTTATGATTTTAAATTTCGATATGACAACAAATAGACAGAAATATATTGATATCGATTATAAATATATTGATAGTTACGGATTTCCCGATGATGTTGCCGAAATTTTGGAAGAAGGAACTGCAAATATATTTACCTTTTTGAGTACCAAGAAGTTTGAGAAGAAATATTATAAGTCAGTTGTTAGGCTATTTAAAAACATCTTCTATTTGGGTGTCATGTTTAATGTGCCCTTCCCGATTACAATATTGCAGCCAACCACTTCCACAGCAAATGAAGTAATTCCATCGTCAAATTATCAACTGCGATCCTTATTTGAGAAATATGCTGAAATATACCCCTTGTTAGATACAAGTACTACCGATTTCGTTGAAAATTTGAAAGAAAAGTTCCATCTAAGAATTAGTCAATTGTTAGGTATAGTTTCAAGACCGACATTTCCGAGGTCTGAAGACATAGTCAGTGAAAGAGATCTTGTAAAAGCAGTTACATCTGCTTATTTAGATCCAATGTTGGACACTATTAAACGGAATTCTAAGGTTAATATGCTGTTAAGAGAAGAATTGGTCACGAGGAAGGGAGAGTATTTTGTCAAGCCAGATGTCGTACTTAAAACTGATAAGAAAAATATCCCCGTTGAAGTAAAGAGGAAAGGCCTCTTTTCTTCGTTAAAGAATATAAAAGAATTGTTTCCAATTGCAGCCGAAGATGATGTTAAACTAATAGAAAGCAATAAATTTGCCCGAGGATGGATAAACCAATTAGCACATCAGTGCCTCTTTGGCAACTCCAACCTTGGATTTGCATTAGACAACTATGGCATATTTGCATTCCAAATTAACCTGGCCTTTCCTCTCCGTACTGTCATTAAAAATGAAGTGTGTATCAAATTGGCGTCAATTGCCATAAATGGGGTCAATTCAAGAGAGACCAAGCAAACAATTGGCTTCATTTTTTTAGCTGCTACGTTCGTCTATTCGGAAGATTTTGAAAACGATACAATGCTTAGTGTATGCTTGAATGATTTAACTTTAACATCTCAACAAGAAGCTGAGGTATTGAAAAGTAGGTACAAATTTACAGAGCAGATGTGGATGAGTCGTTTTCGGGATTTTAAGTCACTGGGAAGAGGTGCTAATACAAAATACATTAACAATCAACATGAAGAAATAGAACTTCCAATTGAACAATACAAGCTACTTAGAGAGAGGCGTTTTTTTGAAAATTTGAAATTTGAAGAATTTGAAATTGTGAAAAGGTTAACTGGAGTAGAAAAATACACAAGATTTGCAAGTGTTTACTTGGTGAAACACCGACTTTCGCCTGACCTCATGATCCTCAAAATCTACGATGCTAACAGATCTAGACGCCTGAAAAGATCAACTTCGGGGGAAGAATTCTACGCAACGGTAAATAATATGCTTTTGATGTATTCCAGAGAGCTTTTGGCTTACACGACATTAAGAGGTTTGTCGACATCAGCCATAGGAGAAAGGCCAATATCAAAGGAAAGCGAGTCCTCAGAAATTGCAGTCATACCTTCCATGGTTCATAATATACCGAACTTAATAAGTACAGGATATATAAGGGCCGATGGGATAAATCAACCAGCAGGAAATTTTTTATTGTTAACGTATATTCAAAATGATTTCAAGAATAATACATTTACTGAAGAAGAGAAGATTGAAATCAGAAAAAAATGTCGATCAGCTTTAAAAAAAATTCACGAGAAAGGCTTGGTCCATGGAGATATACACCCTGGAAATATCCTCTACCAAAGAGCTAATAATAGGGTGTATTTCATTGATTTCGGATACACCACATATGCTCGTGATGGTATTTGCAAGAGAAGTCTTGTAGGCACAATGTCAAAGGAAGAGGCGTGGAAATATGATGAACGGATGCTCGAAATAGCTGTCAATAAAATATTTGAAGGGGAAGCTGCAAATGATATTTTATAGTTGTATATAAAATTTATATTTCATCTGGAAAATACTGTATATTTGCTGTATATTTATAAAATATTTATCATCAGTAGAAAGAAAAAGAAGAAACAGCAGTGATACCCAACCAAATTATAACCATTTTACAATTCTGGGAATCTTATCAAAGGTTACCAGTCTGCCTTATTAAAGCTGACAATGGTACTGAGTTTCACCTATTGAATACCAAATACCAACGTATGACCACTCCCACCTACTCTCCTCAACACAATGGGAGAGCAGAAAGAGCGGTGGGCAAGGTTAAACAAATAACCAGAACTTTGCTTAATCACATACCAGAATTTTTAAAGCCATATTTAACCCCATACGCCATTATCCATGCCACGGAGTTAATGAATCGATGGTACCATACATCAATTCAGGATACTCCTCTCCATCAGTTTCTAGGTCGAACACCAACCAATATTACATTTCCATATTTTGCAGAAGATATATTATTATTTCTTCCAAAGAAAGAAATTACCAAAGCAATTTATCTTGGGTACCGAAATCTCCATTCTACTCATTTATTTCTATTAGTAAGTGAACCTAAGATAGTAGTCCATTCAAATTTTAGACCACTTCGTACTACCACATTCATTCATCAAATTCCACATCATATACTTAACGGCCTAAAACCAGAAGATCCATTAAATCCATTGATACCACTAATACAACAAATAAATTACCAGAATACGAAACTGGCTGCAAAATTGCAACCCAGTATTGATATTCAAAGTATACCAAAAGATAACCAAAATATACCATATTCCAATACCATATCTCATATTCCCCAAAACATTCTCACTGCTAAATCACGTGATATAACTCACTCAACCAAAAATACACTTGCAACAGTTCAATAGAATTTACCTTCTGAAAGTGGAGGGAATGTCCTAATGTGACTGCATATAACGTTCTATCCATGAGTTACGAGTTAATTCATTCACTCCGGAAACTTATATTCGGTTACTATTGAGTATAGAAGACCGGAATTACCATAAACCTAATTTACCAATATAACCATACAACATCTAAAACCATAAGTGTATATTGGTAAAAAGGACTGACTGAACAAGTTCCGTCTTGTCCGATACAGCTAATAGCACTATATAATGAGTAGTATCTGCTCATATCATCCATATTTAGTTATAATAAAAGCATCAAGTATAGTTATAAATATAATAGTAGTAACTAGCTGTAACTCATGTATTTAATTTAGGGAAGGAGAGGAGGTTTAGTGGAGGGACCAAACCAAACCCCCTGATGATCATCTTTTTTAGTGGGGGATAATTTCAGTTAATAATAATAATAATGAAAAAAAAACGATCAAATAATATAAACCGACCATCATGAAACCGTCCAATGTAATCCCTTAATACGGACAAAAGCTTAATTCTTCAAACATGTTCTGATTTGTTTTATGTTATAGACTTACTTGACTTGGGGTGGGGGGTCGGTATCATCTCCATGCGAGATGAAGCGAGATAGTGGCACGAAAAATAAAATAAAAATACCCGTAACTGTCTCCCCTAAAAAAATCTCTTCCCTAAGCCAAAAGAAATCCATCCTTCATTAAAGCGAGCGAGAAGTCGAGGAAACATCAATTTTTTCCCCTAGTGGCCGTGGTGACAAGTCGCGCCAGATTTTTTTCTTTTTTCACTGCTTCGAGACAGAAAAAGACCATTAAAGTAAAAAACAAGGAATGAATGTGAATGTGAATGTGAATGTGCTACCATGTAACGTTGTACATAATTTGACATATATATTAATTTTTATTTTGAATTACATAGATAAATATATATACACTTATATGATATTTTGAGTTACTTCCGGAATTCGAACTTGAGCCGTGGTTGATCCTTGTTCAGATTCATCAATCTCAGATTCATCTTCTTCTTGTTGGTGTCGATCTTGATCTTTCTTTCCGTCTTCGTCTTCTTCATCTTCATTAATGTCAAATATCATATCTTGATCATTATTGCCGTCATTACTTTTGGTGGTGTCATTATTATTTTCTTCTCCATCATCGTCATCCTCGTCATCATCGTCGTCATCCTCATCATCCTCATCTTCATCTTCATCATCTTCTTTATCTTCATCCTCATCCTCATCCTCGTCATCCTCTTCTTCCTCTGCAAGTCCTTCTTCTAATCTCTTCCTTTCAAGTTTAATGATGGTAATTCTCTTCTTCACAATATCAACAATATCAATCCATTCTCTCATACCTCCCATTCCAATATCACCACAAACCAAAACTTTCTCAACTGGTTTCAACACTTCAATACCAAAATCAGGTGATTCAATATATCTGATTTGTTTAGCTGTTATAGGATGAGTATACATAAAAGTATTCATGGCAGGAGCTACCAAGATTGGTTTTTTAATACTAGGATTCCAACTTCTTATAATTGACGTTAATAAATTATCCGAAATCCCATTCGAGATTTTAGCAAGGGTATTAGCTGACAATGGAGCTATTAACATTATATCAGCCCATCTTCTTAATTCATTATGAAGAATCATCTTATCGAATGGATTATGTTTCTTCTTATTATTGATATTGTTGATACTATTGGGATTAAGATTATTATTATTATTATTATTATTGGAAGTCATGGTGGTTTCAGTTTGTTGATCAAATTCTTTAATATAATTCCCCCATTCATCTTCATCTCTCCAAATTTTAACATTTTTATTTATTTTTAATCCTTTAAGAAAAAATGATGCACTTTTAGTAACGATTAATTGTATACTAATTTTCAGATTTCCATAAATTTGAAAAAATTTATCAATAATTAACGGGATTTTTATCGTTGCCACTGACCCAGTACATCCTAATAAAATATGAATCTTTCCATCATCTTCTTTTGATAAATATTGTTGAAATGGAACTGGGGGGCCAACTGGTGATGCCACGATGGTTTTATTAGATGATCTTTTTAATGATGGTTTTCGAGATGGATTTTGAGAATTGGTAGCTGATTCAGATCCACTATTGAGAGAATCAATTGTTTTAGATCCATTAATATTAATAGGGATACTACTATTGATGGGTATAGGAGGGATGGTACTAGTGGCTGTGGTAGGTTGACTTTTATGTTCAATAGAAGGTGACATAGGAGGTGGAGATGGAGATATTTGTTTTGATCTATGAATAGGTTCACGAGCAGAATGTTGAGGTTGAATTTGAGATTCAAATGAAAAACTTGTTTTAAGTATAGTAGGAGCTATTTCTGATCTTAATGAAGTATTTGAATTTGAATTAGATGAAGCATTACTGATAGCTGAAGTATTAATATTACTTAGTACTTTACTAGGAGTTGTAATGGCAGTTGTAGTAGTAACTGCTGAAGTAGCAGATGATGATGACGGTTGAGGTTGAATTTGAGGAAATACCGATTTAGGTAAGAAACTAAGGGCTTCATTACTAGTAGAATTCTTTCGATTAGTTATACTGGCTTTTCTGGATGGAGTTGAACTTTGTAATTGATTGGGAGTTATATTTTCTTGATTTGTAACATTTACATTTGATGGTTTTGAACTAATTGTAAAACGACGAGTACGTTCTTGATTTTCCAAATCCCCAAAGGAAACAGATTGAACTGTTTTCAAAGGTGGAGTTGGATCTGTATTAGTAGTAGGACTAGGTGATGCTGCATTAGCTGTGGTAGTACTACTAGTTGTATTAAGGTTTGGGTTAGGTGAAGATTGAGAACTTGGTGATTGATTACTCATGATGGGTAGGTTGAATCAAGGTGGGGGGGAGTGATCAAATAGGTGATTAAAGGATTGAATGATTCAAATGATAAGATGTGATATGATCTCTTTAGTCCGTCTAATCATATATCCTCCTATGGTGTTTGATGTCGTGTTGTTGTATGTCTTGATAAATTAAAATGGAAAGATTTTACCTTCAAATTTATAATTACCCAAAAAAGTACACACTGACAGACACAGACAGACAGACAGAAAAAAACTGGCGACTCAAAAATAAGAATTGATCTCTTCTTCTTTTCTTCTAACTAATCAAAAAATTACCGCAATTTTTTTTTCTTTTTAGAATTTTTAGTTAAACCCAAAAAAGCCCACCACTAATACTAATTTTATAACTTTAATATGATAAAGTCAAGTATATATATATACTGTTTAAGTAAGTGTAGAGAGAAATATAAATGCAGAATTAATGTAGTATATGGGTTTAAAATTCAATTTAAAATTGGTTAAAGGGGTTGGATAACTCGTAGATATATTTTAAGTCGATGATGTCATAAATTGTAAACTTAACAACTGGTATAGGTAAACAACAAATAACAATCCTTAAAACTGACACACACACACATATACACATTTTATGTTAACAAATCGTATTAATTTCATTTAACTACCACATTCGATGATACTTTGTTAAGTGGTGTTCTTTTGGTAACAATGTGGAGAAAGTTATAACGTAAAAGATTTACGAAGCAAGCTCTATTTCTTAGCTTAATATAGTTTTTGTATGCGACATATTCACGACACACCCATACGACATTTTTATCACTCCAACTTAACAACAAAACAGAATTATGAATTTTTCAATACAGAGTAGATCAAACTACAAAACTACAAGTCGATTAATCAACCAATCAATCAATCAATCATGAATATTCGTCAACAACTAACTCAATTGTTAACAGTGGCATATGTATTCACCTCTGCCTTCGTATTATGGAAAACCTTATCAATCATAACCAACTCTCATTCTCCAATTGTTGTCGTATTATCAGGTTCAATGGAACCAGCATTTCAAAGAGGTGATATATTATTCTTATGGAATAGAGATTCTTATGCCAAAGTCGGTGATATAGTAGTATATGAAATCAAAGGTAAATCAATCCCAATCGTTCATCGTGTGTTAAGAGAACATCATTCTCAAGATTTTGAAAAACAATTATTATTAACTAAGGGGGATAATAATCCAATTGATGATTTAGGTTTATATGCTAAAAAACAAATGTATTTAAATCAAAAAACTGATTTGGTTGGAACTGTTAAAGGGTATTTACCAAAATTAGGTTATGTTACTATTTTAATAAGTGAAAATGTTTATTTTAAATATGGTTTACTTGGTTTAATGGCGGTTTCATCTCTTTTTTCAAATGATTCATAAGTTTATTTCTCGCATCTTCTCCTTCTAACTTATATATATATATATATATATATAGAAAATATAATGTCTAATTAATGATTCTAATTAAGTATTAGCAGATTAAGATGTAGTAATTACTTTACAGGGAAGGAAAAAAAAATTGCAAAAAAAGATAATGAAGGATGCGAGGTTCGAACTCGCGCGGACACCGTCCAACAGATCTTAAGTCTGCCGCCTTAGACCACTCGGCCAACCCTCCAATTTCTAAAAACAAATTGACCAGGTTTGTGACAGACATACAAATCATATCAAAATTTTTAAAATTAAAAAAATTAAATTGGTCCAATTTCAGTTTAACTTCATATTTAAGTTTATCTATCGATGTGTATCTATTAGTAGTAACTCTTGAGTTCGTTCAATCAAATAAATTAAAGTGGATAGGTAAATTAATATACAATTTATATTTATACGCTACCATTTGATCTGAATTTAACATGAATATTTAGATTAAAGATATATTTATTATTATTATAAAATTATAAGGTATTATTTTTTCAATTCGAATGGAAGCTCTTATTAAACTTGCATTATTAACCAAGTCAATATACAAAATGAGTAAGTAGAAGTACCAAAAGAATATACAAGCCTTATGTTTAAACCATTTAAAACACTCTTCACATTCGGGATATTTTGTATTCAGATCTTGTGGAGTGGATAAACGAGATTTAATGAATCTAAGGTCTGTAGTGATATCTTCAAAGAGCTTTATTAATTCAGATTTGTCAACTGCAGCTTCATTTACTCTTGTTGAATTGGGAGAATGTTGGTTAGATGTAACATCACGTTGGTATTCAGGGGGGTTGCCAATAGACATATTATCAAATGAATTAGAAATAACAGTAGAAAAACAGAACTTTAAAAATGAAGTGCTGTTATAAAATCGTACATTTGCAGCATAAAATCCTATTATTTTTTTGTTGCACCCACTCATGTAAATTAGTATTATGTTAATTCTTCTGTTTATTAGTCATTTCCAAAGCTTGTTAAATTTATACAAAAATGTCATCACCTCCATCGTATGCCTCCGCAGTGAGAAGTCTGCTTGTGGTGTCACCCACACCAGTCGAAATTGAAATGCAAAATATTCCTTTAAAAAGGGTTGCAAGAACTATTCAAAAGTGCTAAAGGGATAAAAACAATACTTGACAGTTTGAAAACTGAAATTGTGAAAAATGATAACTTAGATATAAATATGTCTTGTTTTCACTATAAATGTGATAAATGCCACTTTGAAGTTATAATCAATATTACCTTATCTTTGGGAGCACTTGCAATGACTTTCTGTGCATTTGTGATGCTTTGGCCCAATAAATCTGGCTAATCTATTAATTGAATAACTCTTAAATAGGTTTTTCAAACTTCAAAGAAATATCTCGTTTAAGTTGATTTGATATGTTTTTTAGCTAAAGGAAAGTAATTATAAATAATATAGATATATGTACATGTTATTCCAAAGTAAACAACTAATATGAAAATCCTATCTTTAAAACGTAGTCTACATTCGTCACATTTGGGGAATCTTATTTGAAGACTGTCTGGAATTTGAAGTCGAGTTTCAACGTATTTGAGATCTTTAGTAATATCATCAAAGAGATTTTTAAATTCAGCTATTCCGAATTGATGGCTTCAGTTGTTCTTGTTGAATTTGGTGAGCTTTTCAGTGTAAATGATTTACTTTGATCTGTAGAACGGCTACCAACAGACATATTTTCAGGTAATTTATAAATATCAAAGGAAAAGAATATAATACTAGTCGAAGAAAAGTTACAAAGATAAAATGGTGCTACATAACACAATTTATTTTTGTTGCAAATTTTATTATGTTCATATTTCTATTTTCAAGATAGACTTCACCGTTATATACTTTTATATCGCTGCAAATATAAATTCATCATCGCCTCCTTATAATATGCCTAGAACACCCCAAAAATCAATTGCTATTGAAATGAAGGATATTCTATTAACTCCAGAAGAAGAGTTAGTAGAACTTATAAAGATTGCTTATAGCACAAAAAGTACACTTAATAGTTTAAAAGCTGAAATCTCAAAGCAAGATAACTTAGATGTTAACCTCTGGAGATTTCACTATAGATGTGATAAATGTGACCTTCAAAATATAACTGTCCCTTTAATAGGCCTAGGAACAATCTTCATGCTTATTTTCTTTTTCGTATTATTCATCAATGTTGTATGAATAATGGTAGGATTATTTCTGGTGCATAAATATGTTTTCATAATGTTAATTTCTATTATTTTAAAAATTTAATGTTATGAAGTTAACTAAATGAAATTTGAACAATTTAAGAGATTGCGTATACGATAGACTTCATTTAAGCTAGGAATGTTAGTTAAAATGATAAATATGGCATATGTTATACATTAAATACAATAAAGATCTATTTATTCATTACCAATATATGTAGCTAGCAAAATGAAAAGACATAATGAAACTAAAAAGTTTGAATACTATCAATTGTATAATGTTTTATGTTTTCAACTAGAATCCTATTTCAATTAGTCTAATTGTCTCTTGTAGTATAGTAATAAATAATCGAAGACACATAGAAAGATAAAAAGAACAAAGCCAGAAATAGCCCTAAAATCCAAAAGGCATCAGTATTACTACACTGATCACATTTGGGGTATTTTATTTGAGGATTTTTAGGAATATATATTCTAGATTTAGCCAATGAAAGTTCGTTCTTAATACCATTAATTATTTTTGTTAACTGAACTATATCGACGGTTTCATTTGCTTTTGATGAATTTGATGAACTTTCCAACGCAGATGCATTACCTTGCTCAGTCGAACCACCTCCGAAAGACATATTAATAGATAACTTTGATGTATCAGAAGAAAAGACTATACTATTAGTAGAAGAGAAATTTTGAAATAAACTGATAAATAGAGTAATATGTGGTAGCATAACATAACGTTTGATGCGTAGAATACTTTTGTAGCTTTATTCTGTTTATATATTTAATTTCAAACTTTCTATATTAATAACTTATTTGGGAATCTTCTTTTTCAAAGACTTCAACATGGTTCAAAGTATGGATACACCACCACCTTCTTATTGTCCTCCAAAAGTAGGTCTGCTGAGACAACATCAAGCAGAAGCTGAAATTGAAATGCAGAATATTTTATTAACTCATGATGAAAAATTAAAAGCACTACTTAAAAGTGCCCTTAGCGTACAGAGTTCACTTGGGTCTTTAAAAGTTGATATTGAAGCAAAGGATACTTTAGATATAGATGTTACAAAATATTACTATACATGTGATTCATGTCACATTCGAAATAAAACTATATATTTATTACTTACAACAATTGCTTTATTGGGTTTCTTTTGGGTTTTAACGATTATATTGTTTTGTGTATAAAGGTTGGTGACTCCATATGGTATAAATCTTTTTCTTAGTTGACAAGGGTGTTCCAAGATAATTTTTACAAATATGAATATATTTAGTGGGTTTAGATAGATGATAGTCTTTGTTTTGGAGCTGTAATTATAAGGATAGTCATTTATTATATATTTCAATATAAAATACTATAAAGAAGTTCAAAAATTATAATCACTAAATAACAAGAAAGTTAAAATAGGATAATCTCAGCTTAAGTTTCTTCTAAAACATCAAATAATGATTAAACTTTACAATGATTTAATGATATTAAAAATTACCTATATGATCTTGTCAAATTCTGAAAAAAACAAGGTAAACCATAAGAAAATAAAACAAGTAAAGAATATATAAAATGACTCTTGCAGTAATGTACCCAAAACATTTTCCACACTTGGGATTTCATTTGGAACGCTAAGTCTAGTTCCGAAATAAGTAAATTTCCTAGTAATTTCTTGAATACTTGTTGATATGTTACGCTCATTTACATTATTAGAATGTGATGTTGATTCTCGATCACTTTTATGATTTGGAGCAGACATTGTAATAATGGGAGATAGTTTAATGAACAACTTGATATTTAAAGATTATTTATGAAATAGTTTTGTGATATAGTTGAGTCTTTTTATAAATAAAAACCATATTTAAAAAAGCGCATATTCTATTCAAATATTTTAATTAATGAAGGCTAGTTATACCACATACAATGACAAAACCTCCATCTTATGGATTGCTGAATCTAAGTACATCTCGTGCTTTGTTGAAACGACAACCACAAGAAGTTCAGGTGCTCTTCCAATCTATTCAGAGGATACAAAATAGCTTTAAAAGTTTAAATGATGAAATTAACAGGAGAGATAATTTCGATTTAGATACAACAGATTTTGAATTTGTTTGTGATCAGTGCGAGGGTGGACAGACGAGCTGCCTCATTATGAGCTTGATACTGCTTATTCTCTTCATGATAGTGGGAGTGTACTCTGTAGACGCAACTAGAATTTAAAAATATGCTTTATTACACTAGATAGTTCTAATTCATACAAAGTAATATATTATAATTTGAATACACTCTTTCTTCTCTGTAGATTAAACTTACCTGATTTCAAGATATCTCCAATATAATGAGATTGTTAAAAAGATTTGGAGTTTAGGATATTTCCCTTCCATTGTTCTTTTGTGGTAACTGTCATTGTTGATATTTACGACCCTCAACGAGGCTGTTTAACAGAACATCAATACTACTAATACCAACACATACTACTAATAACTACTATTACACATGAAATATATACTATTTTCAACTTATAATACTTTGAAAAACGTTTAATTTTGCAATAATTTACTTTAATAAATTACTTATCTGGCCTCCCCTCCCCCCCCTCCCCCTATATCTAAAAATAAATATTGACATGTTACGTCATAATTATAAAAATAGAAATAAATTACTTATTTTTTACGATTACATAATCGCTGACTAAGAAGTGGAATTTCTTTTTTTTTTTTTTTTTTTTTTTAATGACAAAAATTTTCCCTGCCTTCTTTACGAAAGGAAAACCCAAAAACTAAAATTCTAGAAATCTTACAGCATAATCCTTTAAATTTACTATATTTCACCCCTTACATCACTATACCCATACATCCACCTATTCATTGGCTCTTATCCAATTAGCAACAGAGCTGCAATAACACCACCACATCCTATCATTGCTACGGTGTTCTTACCCACACTTGTGTTGTTGTTATCTTATAATCAAATTTCAAGATACAATTTGATCATCGTTGGTAAAGAAAGGTCAGATCTTTGATCCATATTTGCTTGTTTACACCATCTTTTTTTTGATTTAAAGTCGTCTTTACATCCATATCAAAATATATCGATAGTTTTCCCTTCCAGTTAGAGTTATAAGGATCCCTTTTTTTTATATATAATTTATTCATTCATTCATTCAGTTCATTCGTCACCAATTTTATTTTCGGTAATACTTCATATTTATAGTAGATTTCGTCACCTATCTACTTCGTTTTGTTGTGTTTAACTTATTTTCCCACTTTCATTCTATTATACAAGATTTATCGTTTAAATCAGTTTCATTTCATTCCACTCCTTTCCCTCATCTTTTATTTTGCATATTAAATCCCTTTATTCATCCGTTGTCAGAATTCATGTTTTCAATATAACCTCCTTAACTATCATATACATCTCGGATAATCATAGACTTTAACTTCTACTAATTTAACAACAATGAGACGATTAAAAATTGGTATACGGCCCCAATTGATTATACTTGTGGGGTTCTCCTCCCTTTTCTCATTATTAATTTTGGCCATCGTTACAGGTCTATATTTTACATCAAACTTGAGTGATTTAAGAGCAGAAAGATTAGAAGTCATATCGCAGTTGAAAACAGTTCAAGTCAAACAAGCTGTAGAATATATTTTCTATCAAGTTTATTGGTTAACTACTAAAGATTCAATATTTTCTCCTTTATCATCTTATAGAGCAGGTAATAGTTCAACTGAAATCTTTTCAGGAGCTCAATCTACTCTTGATCAATTTTTAACTTCATCTGAATTATTTGCAGCAGCAAGATTATATAATTTGGATTTAAATGTTATGGCTGATTCTTATAATAATATTACTGCTATTTCAATGCCCGCTATGGATGTGTTATATCCTTTATCAGCTAATGCTTCCATTCCAAGTACTCTCTTGGACCAAAATTCAAATGACATTCAAGCATACTTTACCGGTCCAATATCAAATTCCTCTGATCCTGATAGTGCTTATTTCATGGGTATAACTTTACCAATCTATTCAAATTCATCAATCATAATCAATACTCCATCTTTATCAGGATACTTAACAGTATTAGCAAGTGCTCAACAAATCCAACTTGCTATTAACGATACTACTGCTGGTGGAAGTGGTACAGCATCTAATTATAATGTAGTAGCAGTAAGACCAGTATTTGGAAGTGCAACGTCTGGAGTAGATAATTCAGGTACTGCATCAACCTCATCTCACCCTATTGGATTTCAAGCCATTTTCCCAGTCAAAGATAATACTCTTTTACCAAATACTATTTATAATATTAATACTTCATCTGCAATTAAAGAAGCGTTAACAAAATCAACTGGTTCATCAGTGGGAGTAAGATCCTATACGGGAGCAGAAATTGCAACAGGGTTTACTCAAATTCAATTAGATCCTGATACTGTATGGGCCATTATCATTGAACAAACAAGAGCAACATTCTTAGAACCAGTACGGAGTTTGACCAAGATTATTATTGGAGTTGTCATTGGTATTGGAGTATTTATGTGTTTAATTACATTCCCATTGGCGGTATTTTTTATAAGACCAATCACCAAATTAAGAGAAGCTACCGAAGCCATTACAAAATCAAAGAAAGAATACGACGAACAACAATTATCATCATCATCCCACAATTCATCTTATGGTGGTAAACAAATAGCTCCTCCTGCTTATGGATCACTTTTCTATAAAAAGCTCGCTAGAGATGAGCCAAACATCAGTAATAATAGTAATCAAAATACTAAAGCATCAAAGAGAAATAGTGTCAATTCGAGTAATTCGGGAGGTTCAGTATATTCTACTGCCATCAGATTACCAGGTAGAGTGCCTGGTTCAAAGAAATTCTTTAAAGATGAATTCACAGAATTATCAGAAGCATTTAATATCATGACTACAGAATTAGATAAACAATATACTCATTTGGAAGAAAGAGTTAAATCAAGAACCAAACAATTGGAAGCTTCTAAAATCGAAGCTGAAGCAGCTAATGAAGCTAAAACTGTTTTCATTGCCAATATATCACATGAATTGAGAACTCCATTAAATGGTATATTGGGTATGACATCTATTGCCATGGATGAAAAAGATCCTGCCATCATTCAAGATTCCTTAAAATTAATTCATAGATCAGGTGAATTGTTATTACATATTTTAACGGAATTATTAACATATTCAAAAAATACTTTAAATCGATCAAAATTAGAAAAATCAAATTTCCAAATTTTAGAAGTGGTTTATCAAGTCAAATCAATTTTTGATAAATTAGCCATTGATCAAAGAGTTAATTTTAAGATTCTTATAAGGCCAAATATCTTTAGAAAATTAATCATTTATGGTGATTCCAATAGAATTATTCAAATTGTTATGAATTTAGTTTCAAATTCCCTTAAATTCACTCCTGTCGATGGTTCAGTTCATGTGGGATTCAAATTATTAGGTGAATATGATGCGGAACGTTCTAAAGCGGATAATTATGCTCAAGTTCATGTGTTGAAGCCTCGTAGTAATTCAAATTCATCTCAAGGTGGTAACACAACCTTAACTAAATCATCAGGATCGATTAAAAGTAACACCTATTATAAAACTAAACCAGTGCCAAAAGTAGACAATCCGGACGCTGCACCATCATTATTATCAATAGAAAAAGAAAAATTATCAGAAGATGATAATTTAAGTATATTAACTTTATCAACTACAGAGTATGAAAATAAAATTTTCGAATCTCAATTCAGTCATTATAAACCATTACCAAGATTACCTAATGATACAGTAGCATTACAACAATTACAACCAAGAAAAATTGAAGAGCTTGATACTAATAGACTTAGAACAGAAAAGACTCATTCAAGAAATTTATCATCAAGTTCATCATCAATACCATCTACTGATAAATTCCCTACTGCTACTATTCTTAATAAAAATGCTAATAATCGTCCTGAATATACCAGCAGCAATATGGCTAATTCAGAATTAGTTAAGAATAATAAAGCATTCAAGATTAGAAGAATATATAAACCAAAAACATGGGTAATTCAAATCGAAGTCACAGATACAGGACCTGGTATTGAACCGGCTTTACAAGAAAAAGTGTTTGAGCCATTCGTTCAAGGTGATCAAACCTTATCAAGAAGTTATGGTGGTACAGGTTTAGGGTTATCGATTTGTAGACAATTGGCTACTATGATGAAAGGTACTTTAAGTTTAAAATCCGCTATTGGAGTGGGTTCTACATTCACATTTACAGTTCCATTACCTCAAACTGGTGAAATCATGGTTAGTGATGAAGAAATGAATGAATTTTGCGAAGATGAATTCAATGCTAATTCCAAGATTAATAGAAAAGTTTCATTTAAAAATACATTTGATGATGAAGTTTATGGAGATGATGATGTGTTTGAACATGATACCACCGAAGGTAGCGATGATCATGATGACGTTCAAGGATCTCAACCTGTTGAACCTTCAACTACAGATGAAGGATATGAAGAAGATGAAAGTATTGTTGAAGATCTTGTTAATGTTGAGGCCAAGCCTTTATTAATCAAACATTCTAGTAGAAGGCCAACTCGTATTTCACCACCATATCCACTTACAGAAGAAGAAAGATCATCATCAGGTTCATCAGGTGGTAGTAATCCAAAAGTTGAAAAGCCTAAATTTGATAGAAATCATTTCGATAAACCTTTGTTACTTACTCGTTCATCAACGGGTACTGCAAGTTCATCTACTGGTAGTGAAAGAATGGAAATTCATAATAATATCTTAGATGAATTAAATCATTTAAAGATATTAGTGGCAGAAGATAATTTGGTTAATCAAGAAGTTATTAAACGTATGTTAAAATTAGAAGGATTTGACAATGTTACATTAGCTTGTAATGGTGCTGAAGCAGTTGAATTAGTCAAGGAATCATTAGATAGAAATGAACCATTTGATTTGGTATTTATGGATGTTCAAATGCCTAAGGTTGATGGTTTATTAGCTACCAAGATGATTAGAAACAATTTACAATATGAAAAACCTATCATTGCTTTGACTGCCTTTGCAGATGAAAGTAATGTTAAGGAATGTTTAAGTAGTGGTATGAGTGGATTCTTATCGAAACCAATCAGAAGAACCAATTTAAGAAAAATCATTATTGAATTCAGTCCTATATTATTAAGTAATGTGGTAACTACTCCCCATTCTTATCATGGTGATGAAAGAAGATTAGGTTATGGAAGTGGAACCGTTATAACCAGTCCATTTATTGATACGACTAAAGAACCAGATACTTCTGGTGATCCACCTGTTTAAGTGTGTTTGACTTTTTTTTCTCAATACTTCTCATTCCTTTTATAACTCGTTACTTTCATTCCTTCTTTATAATAATCTTTATTATCTATATTATTTCACTTTCATTTCAATTCGGGCAGGTGGGTCGTTCTTTATTTATATTATTTCTTTCGTTACGTATAGTTTTGTAATCTTATAGTATTCAAAAAATATAAAAGTCAATGCTTTGTTTTGCAATCTGTCATTTTGGTAAACATCTATTACATCACTAAATCTAATTGTGTTACTATTTTTGGTTCTGTGGATGGTGCGGCTCTCTCAGTTTCTCCTTTTCTGAGTGACAATTTTAATTGACCGCCAAAAATTGAACCAGCACTGTGGATGACTTTCAAACAGCCATACCTTGTTATTACTATTACTATATATATCAACCCATCCCCATCCATCATTCGTCATATATATTGACTTGCTACTCCTTTCCCTTATACTTCATTCTGTTTAACGCTGATTTAGTTGGTTTATCCTTTACTTGAAATATTCATACTGTTGCTCGTCTGACCAAAAGACAAGGTAAAGACGTGACAAAATAGATAACTCATCATGGATAAGGACGAGTCAGACTATCACGAGGTTAGTCTTAATGAAAAGATAAGATCTAATCCTTCTAAGAGATCGAGATGGTCATTATATAACTTTAAGAACTTTATAATAAGTGGAACTTTACTCGTATTATTGATATGGGGTACTTCTTTCTTATTAGTTGCTATAGAAAACTTTAAGATTCCTCAAATTACAAATGCAAGAATACAACAATACTTAAAAGCAAATGGTGATTCATCCTCTTCATTACCCAAATATACCTTTAAACCATTTGATGTTAGTGATAGTAATAAATTCGCCTTGAATTTTACGGCTGTTAGAGATGGGAAATTCAGACCTAATTTTAAATCATTACAATGGATTACTGAACCTCTGTCTATTTTCGATGATAAGGGTACTTATCTTTTACAAGATGAAATAGATGGAGAAACCAAATACCTTATAAGATCGATTATTGATGAAGATTATCAAATTTCTTTATTTAATGGTTCAGTATTTAACCATCATGGAATTAATTATACTATTGATAATCTTAATTCTTCTCCAGATTTAACTAAAGCCATCTTAAGAACTAATACCACTCATAACTGGAGACATTCCACCTTTGCATTATACTGGTTGTTGGATATCAAAGGAGGTGGTTCAATAGTTCCAATTATGGATACTACTCAAAAATTAGCCGTTACATCATGGTCCCCTGATTCAAACCATTTAGCTTATATTCTTGAAAATAACGTCTATATTAAGAATATTATATCAGATGAAGTTACTCAAGTAACTACTGATGGTAGTATTCAAGTTTTCAATGGTAAACCAGATTGGGTTTATGAAGAAGAAGTATTTGGTGATGATATTGTATTATGGTGGTCTCCTAATGGAGATAAGTTCACCTTCTTAAAGTCAAATGATACAGAAGTTCCAGAATTCACTATTCCTTATTATGTTCAAGAAGGTCATGATGATTATCCTGAAGTAATTAAAATTAAATATCCAAAAGCAGGATATCCTAATCCAATCGTTGATTTAGTTATTTATGATTTGAAATCAAATAAACAAGAAGTCTTACAATTGGAATCCGATAATATCACTCCAGATAATAGATTAATAACTGAAGTTGTTTGGGTTGGTGGTTCAGTATTAGTTAAAACTTCAAATAGAGCTAGTGATTTATTAGAAATATTCTTAGTTGATAGTGAATCTAATTCTTACAAGTTAATTAGAACTCTTACTGCTGAAAAGAGTTGGTTTGAAATCACATCGAATACATTTTTTGTTCCAAAGAATGAATCATTAGGTATTAATGAAGATGGATATATTGATACTGTGGTTGATGGTGGTTATAATCATTTAGCTTATTTTTCCCCACCAAATAATCCAAACGGTAGATTATTAACCAAAGGCCAATGGGAAGTTCTTGGTGGAGTTAAATCATTTGATTATACCACTAATGAAGTTTATTTCATAAGTACTTTGAAATCATCAGTTGAAAGACATATATATTCAGTTAATTTATTTGATGCTACCAAAGATTTAGAAAATTTACCAGTTATTAAAAGCTTAACCACTGGTGAAGGTTGGTATTCAGGATCATTTTCATCGGGCTCGAGATATCTTTTATTAACTTATGCTGGCCCTGAAGTTCCATATCAAAAATTAACTGATCTTAAATCGTCACAAGATATTAAAACGATTGAATCCAATCAACAAATCATTGATAACTTAGAAGATTACATTGTTCCTAAAGTTGAATATAAAGTTATTACTTTAACTGATAAAGATAGTGGTGAAGAATTCAAAGTTAATGCTGTCGAAACATATCCATTAAATTTTGATGAAAATTATGAATATCCCGTATTATTCTTTGTTTATGGTGGGCCAGGTTCACAAACAGTGACTAAAACCTTTGATATAAGTTTCAGTGCAGTTGTAGCTGCAGAGTTGAATGCGGTAGTGGTTACTGTTGATGGTAGAGGTACTGGATTTAATAATCATAATGCTGATTTAGGATCTGATTTTAAGTTTATTGTTCGTGATAGATTAGGACAATTTGAACCTAAAGATCAAATCGCTGCTGCTAAACTTTATGCTAAGAAGAGTTATGTTGATGCTAGTAGAATAGCTATTTGGGGTTGGTCATATGGAGGATTTTTAACCTTAAAAACATTAGAAACTGATTATGAAGATTCTATATTTTCTTATGGTGTTTCGATTGCACCAGTTACGAAATGGAAATTCTATGATTCGATTTATACGGAAAGATATTTAAGAACTCCACAAGAGAATCCTGAAGGTTATCAAATAGCATCTATTCATAATGTAACTAATTTCCAACATGTAAAGAAATTCTTCATTGGGCATGGAAGTGGTGATGACAATGTCCATGTTCAAAACACTTTAAAATTAATTGATGATTTTAATGTGGGTGATATTGAGAATTTTGAATTTATGATCTTCCCTGATAGTGATCATTCTATAAGATATCATAATGGGAATAAGATTGTTTATGATAGAATCTTAAATTTCCTTAAGAGAGCCTTTTCTGGTGAATTTATATGAGATTCCTAGTTGTATCTTCATACGTTTGTAACATTATATACCCAGTAATAAAAGACATATAATAATTTAGAGTTAACTCGTCCCAATTAGGAAGTCTAGCTCCCTATATACACTCCGTCCCAATCCGGTAACTATCAACACGTGAGCCATCTCTCCCATTTTTTTTTGGTGAGCGGTGGTCAAAAAAAATTGAAAAAAAGAAAAAAAAAATTTTATTTCAAATTCATCGAATTGTCGATTGATCTTTCTTTTCAATATCTATATCTATCAATTGAATTAGTATTTATTAAACATGATTATTTTCACAGACGTTGTTTCCGGAGACGAATTATTATCCGATGCCTATGATGTCAAATTAGTTGACGGTGCTGTCTACGAAGCTGATTGTGACATGGTCACTGTCTCTGAAGGTGATGTTGATATTGGTGCCAATCCATCTGCTGAAGATGCTGAAGATGATCTTGAAAGTGGTGCTGCCACCGTTAACAATGTTGTCTACTCTTTCAGATTACAACAAACTTCTTTTGATAAGAAGTCTTTCTTAACTTATATTAAAGGTTACATGAAGAGAATTAAGGCTCATTTAGCTGAAAATGATCCAGAAGCTGTTGAAGCTTTTGAAAAAGGTGCTAGTACTTATGTTAAGAAAGTCATTGCCAACTTTGGTGATTGGGATTTCTACACTGGTGAATCAATGGACCCAGATGCCATGGTTGTTTTATTAAACTACCGTGAAGATGGTACTACTCCTTATGTTGCCGTCTGGAAACATGGTATTAAAGAAACCAAAGTTTAAGAGAACTAAACCCCCATTGGATTTCTCTTTTAGTTTTATTTCTTATACTAAGGTTTATATTTTAAGATTACACAAATCTTTGTTTGTTCTTCAATCATAAATGTATATTTCATTCTAATTAATAAAAAAAATCTTATTAATTTGTTTATATCTATTAAACAGGTGTAATTGATAAACATACATCTTCTAATGTAGTATCTTTGGTGGTATATAAGAACATCTCAACATTGACTTTATCATTAGTCAATAATGATCTTAATGCATGAACTCTACTTTCATCAATTAATCTTCTTGCTATGAATCCAATCTGTTCTCGTTGCTTAAATTGCAATCCACTTAAATGGTTTTGTTCTGCTTCTTCTTCATCTTCCTCTTTATCAACTGCAGTTTTACTACCTTTTCCACATACAGACCAAGATACAATCTTTTTAAGTATATTGAATGAATCAACAGTTTTAAACCCATATTGAGCCAAGTATTCCTTCGATTGAGGTAACAATTGATCATATGAACATGCATGACGACAACACATGGCAATCATTAATCCTCCAAATCTTTCAATATTATCACTAAGTAAAGCAGAATTCAATATCAGTTTTAAAGTAAGATCAGTGGCAGCTCCACAAAGATGTTTTGAAATTCCAACTACTTTTTTAGGATTAATATCTTCTATAAATTTATCGAGATTCAAATCTTTTATATCCATCCTTGTTCGTTTGATCTTGATATCTATGCCTGAATCACTCGAATCCTTGATAATCTTACTATCCATCTTCATTCTATTTAAACCTCTATCCACAAATCCATACCCAAAACTATCAGGTTTTATAATTTGATCTTTATTATCTTTTAAATCCTCTAGTATGCATGCGTTAACATATCGAGATAACTCACCTCTACCACATCCAAACTCCACATAGAACTTATCTAATCCTAATAAGTTGGCATCTCTCATATTACCTATCAAAGATGATTGTTGTAATGCATGTTTTTGATTTGATAATTCTGATAATCGAGAATGAAGTCCTTTATGTTGACTTATCTTTGTGGTTAATGAATCAAATGTTATGTTTTGAAGCAATGGAATATACTTATTATATAAACCTTTTTCGTCAACGTCTGCTTCATTACTTTCTTGTTCAATCTGGGAACTTGTATCACTACCTTCTGTCTTTAAACTGCAATTAATATCTTCTGTAAACCAATATTCTCGTACTTCTTTTGGTTTAGAATTACATTTTTGCAAATGATATGGTAAATCACGTACCCAAACACTATGATTTGGATCCAAGGGACATGGAACTCTTTCATCTTTATGATCTTCATCGTGAATCAAATGTTGTGAACAATATTTTTGATCTGCTTTCCTCTGCATAGAACATCTTCTATTCTTATTAGGTAAGAAATATTCACATTGATCTAGTCTAACCTTCTGTTCCTTCTTATTCAACTTCCTCTTCTTAACTTCAGGCACCATTTTGTTATCGACTTTTTTGCAATATCCATCTACCTAACTGTAAAATCTAAACTATCACCAAATTCAAATTTTGATGCTCCGCAACATCTCTGCAAAAAAAAAAATTATCAGCCAAAAAAAAATTTAGAAAATAAATTTAAACTCATCCCAAAATCTTTTAGCAGCAACATCTAAAATCATCAACAATGGTGTCTTCAAAGGGAAGTAATTCAATGTGGAAGCTTGATTTGTTAGAAGCCAAGTTTAATGATTCAGTTCCTCGATTTCCTCATACTAAAAAATTACTTACAGCCAGACATAATGAAAAATTACTTAAGAAATTACCTACTAGTCAAGAAGATGCTAATCATGAAATACGAGCTTTAAAGGAAGAATTCTTTGCAAAGAAGTATCATGGAGCTTATAAGAAGTTAGAAAAGGAAGTTAAGAAAGTGTATAAGGGTGATCTGACTAAGTTTAAGGAAGATGATTCTAAAACTACCATTATTCAATTTTTCGAATCAAATCAGAATCTTCAATTATTGATAAATTCAAGATTAATAAAATCAGTAATTACTTCGATTTTAAATACTAAAGCATTAAAGGATAGTCCTTTTGATTTCATTCCACAAGAGATAACTACTAATATAACTGATAAACAATCTGAAAGGAATCCAACTCATTTCTTTAAGACATTTTGTCAAGATAATAAGATCCTTAATAATTATATTTCAAGTTTATGGAATAATAAATCAGTAAAGACCACTTTAGAAGAAATAGAATGGTCATTCAAGTTGGTAAGAGGAGATTTAACTAAGGAAGAAAAAGCTAAGAGAAAATCAACTGGTAAAAATGTTGATGAAGACGATGATGAAGAAGCAGGAGAGGTTGAAGATGAAGATGAAGACGACGATGAAGATGATGACGATGATAGTGATGAGGAAGATTCAAATGATGTTGATGAAGATATAGATCTTGAAGAAGCTTATGATAAATTCGCTGTCTACGATAAATTAATTGGTGGTTCAGATGAAGTAGTTGAAGAAGATGAACAATTCGAATTAGATCCAGAAGTCAACTATAATGAAATAACCGATGAAGAAGCTTCAGAACAATCTGCTTCCGAAATCGATGATTCCGACTCTGATTCCGATTCAGACGAACCAAAATCAAAAACTGCCAAAACTTATGATTTACCAGCATTAGCATCAGGATATTTTTCAGGAGGTTCAGATGATGAAGATGATGATGATATAGATAACGATAAAGTGGTTAAAGAAATCACCACTCAACGTAAAAATAGAAGAGGTCAAAGAGCAAGACAAAAAATATGGGCTCAAAAATATGGTAAAGAAGCTAAACATGTTCAAACTCAAAGAGCTGCTGCTGCTAGTGATCGTGAAATACGACAAGCAGAATATGAAGAAAGACAAAAAAAGAGAGAAGCTAAGGCTGCCTTGGCAAGCGCTCCATCTGGTGCTAATGTTGCTCCTCTTGGTGAAAGAAAATCAAGATCATCAACTCCAGTACCTGCTTCTGTTGAAGTAAAAGAACCTGCAAAGATGCATCCTTCTTGGGAAGCTAAGAAGATTGCTGAAGAAAAACTTAAGAATGTTAAATTCACTGGTAAAAAGATTACCTTTGATTAAACGAATAGGGATTTTTTTATTTTGTATATGTATATATATGTATCAAGAATTATAATTTACTTCTGTCGATTTTAAAATTAGATAATATTTCTTCATCAGAAAGAACTTTACACGCTAATGGAGTAACAAGTTCAATCAAATATTTACATACTTGTGGTTCACTCACTGATAAGATATGATTAGCGGATCCACAAGTTAAATCAATGGTTGCTGATCTATGAGGTCCATTCCAACATTTAGCCCCCCCTTTGTAGAATAATTGATTATCTTTGAAATCAGCATACTTACCAATTAAGACATCATCTTGATAGATAGCATCAAGAAACCCTAATTTATAATTATATCCCCCTACATCACCTTCTACCCATGTAGATTTATAAGCTCTTAAAATATCACCGGGACCATAATCCTTTTCTAAATCTTCATTTATGATTTCTATTTGTAAGTCGATATCTTCAAGTTCCTTTTGAATCACTTGGGCTTGAGCATTATTGACGATTTTCTTGTTTGAACCAACATCCACGTTTTCATCAATTTGTATTGCAGATTTGAATTGATTGAAGTAATGTAAAATCATATTTTTCAAAGTTGGTGGTTCATATGATTTTTGTTTAATACCAGGATCGGCAAATTCCTTGGAGTGATCTTCCACAAGTCTAAGTAATTCTTTGGCTTTTTCTAAATCTGCTTTGAGTGCTTCTTCTTTATTTGACACATATTCTTGAAATTTATTTACGGATTCTTTAACAGCAATATCATTGAAGTTTGGATTATAATTCTTGGTAAGTCCAGCTAATATCTTTTCAAGATTTTGTAATTGTTCTTCTCTAAGTTGTAAACTTCTGTGATAATTACTCAAATGAACTGAAATTTCATCTAAATGAGGTAAAATGACATTGGACAATGTTGAACCTTCTTCTCCGTTTTCTTCTTCAGCTAAGTTATCTTGACTATTAGCGAGAATTTCTTCCTTTTCCAACTTTTCAGCATTAAGGCTTTCTAATTGATTCACTAATTGTAATCTACGAGAAGCAGCTTCATGTTCTAATTTTGATTTTAATTTTAATGATTTTTCAATGTCTTTCTGGGAAGATTGTTTGAATTGATTAAATTGATGATTGATCTCTTTACATTTATCTTCACATTTCCCACTCAAGTATTCATCCGAACCATCACAACAGATTTCATAATCACAAACACCATCATTCAATTTATAATTTTCAATATAACCTGGAATATGATTCTTGTTGGCACAGTAAAACTTGTGATCAGGATTGTAGGGACATGCATTGGTACCTGGTTCGTCTGAACCATCAGGACAATCACAATAATCATCATTAATCTGATCATAAGACAATATGATTTCTGGATTGTTTAAACATCTCCATGTCTTCTTCCCCGTGATTGGATCAACGATTGGATCATAAAGCTTCAATCGAGATGGTTCTACTCCTCTGATTTCAGTATCAATTGCAATTGCCAACTTCGATACTATCAATGCTGATGATAGCAAGCCAATTACCTTCATGACTTATTCCTTCTATTAACTTCCCTGAATTGAGATTGATGATGGTTTAAATTGAAATCGACAAATTTATATTTTAAACCTTCGCAACGTTTAAAAATGGAAAGTTCGTAACCTTTACACCAAAAATATTTTTGTTTACAATTTGCAAAATTCAATTCATCTTCAATCAACCAACCTTGGGAGGAAAGCAGATGTCTAAACGTAATGGTGCTGGTCAGTCATTACCTGTTGGATTGTCCACTTCGAAATGCAAACGAATGGTAAGACCATTGCTTTCGAAGATCCATTCGTTGAACGATCTCTATTATAAGTATCCTGCATTACTTGAGATCAACTTTCAAATCAATCCATATTTAATGAAGTATGATTATACTAAACCGTCACCATTTTCTATGCCAACAAGAGTGAATAAACCACGGAAACGAAAGAGAACTCACTCTGACTATGGTGATCTATCTGATGAAGAATATGGGCCAGTCACCATTGAGAATAAAACTCCAGATCCTACAAATATGGAAAATGAATGTTTGGCGATTATAAAACCAAAGGACTCCTTTCAACGTTTGAAATCACTTCAAACATTTATCTCATCTGAATTATATGACTCCTATTGTGAAATATTTCAGATATTCAGAAATATAATATCATCATCGTTGCTCAATCATAAAAATAATAGAACCCAAGTTTCATCTTTATCATCATTATGTTCAATGTCCCTTGGTAAGTCAATTGCACTAACTACAAAGTCCACATATTACAAAGTTAATCAGTCAATGCTCTTTGATGCAGCAACTATGCCACCCGAGATTCGGTTCCATCAGGAAGAGTTATTTGATGATGTGGATAGTTGGTTAGAAATGGAACCAACCATAATTTTCAACAATTATAGAGAAGATTTATTTATTGGTTACATTGTTTACCTTTTGATATTCCACCAAAAGTTATTATACTTATTGATACCGGTATTACTTCATTGGTTGAAGGAGGAAGCCATTAATTCACCTGAAAAGAAAACTTTACTTAATCGAACCAAGAATTTACTCTTTGAGAAGTATTGGAATAATAATGATAAATTATTTAATAACTCTATGGAAGAAAATGTCATCCTAATGTTAAACGGATCGATATTAGACAATTCGGATACAAAAGGATTCTGGGCATTACATAAAATAGGTTATTTTCAAGAATTGATCAATATGATAGATATTAAAACTTCTCATAACAATTACTCCACATACGATGATCTCTTTCTTCAAGCGGTGGACTCAAAAGGTAGAATAAATTTTGAACTTTTCCTGTCATTGGATCTAGAAGATTCAGATGAGAGCTGGTTTCTCACTAAGATATACTCCGTGTTCAAGCGTTGTCCTCAACATCCAAGTTTGAATTCAATTTTGGTAAATATCTTAACCCAAATCACATCAATGGGGAGATTAAAACTCTCCACTTTCCAATATTCACATCAAATCTTGCCACATTTTACAGATACATTTGAATTGTTGTTTGATTTCTTAAATCAATGGCTTGGATTCAGACCTCAAAACATAATGGTGTTCAATTCGTTATACTATGGTAATAGTGATATGTTTGGTGTTATTTTACAATTTTGTTATTTTGTGAATTCAAAATGTTTACAAATCCAAAAGAAATTGTTGCATAACAGTACCGACGATGATTCACTTTCCAATATGATTAATGACTATGATGACTTCATTGAATGGATTAATACACTAATAAGTGTAGTTCATATTTATGAAGCTTATTTCCTTGATGAATCAGATATCAATTTCAATCTCAATCATAATTCACCAAGAGTTGTGGCGGAGTTACTACTAGCTATTCAAAACAGACTGGATCTAAAGAATAAGTTAGATGCGGAAAGTTATAGACACTTTTTATATTGGTTGGTGAAAAAGGATAATAATGAATTGGCTAGAGAGTGCTTTAAAAATTATTATGGAAAAAGTTTATGGTTTGATAATGATACGATAGATGACATTAGATATTTCTTATTTGAAGAAATAATATAAAAGACTATAATTACATTTATTATTTACATATGTATATACACGTTTTTCTTATGGTAGACCTATTTTACTTGTAGGATTATTATCACAAATTATACATTGACCATTTATACTTTCATCTGATAATATCCCAACTGCTTTTGAAACGACCGAATCCAAAGTAACAGACCCAACCTCATCATTGATATTAGCACTTGTTCCCATATCAGTTTCTTGTATTAATCCTGGTAATAACGCGTTAACCCGTACTTTCCCCTTGAGTTCAGCTGCTAAGGCAGTGGTAAATCCTAAGAGTCCAGCTTTACTTGCTGCATAAACTGAAGTACCTGGTACATAAGTGTTAGTGAGTGAAAGTACTGATGATACATTCAATATTTGGGGAATGTTCTCAGTCTTTGAATGACTCCTAATCATTGGTTTGTATGCTAATCTACTTAACAATACTGGTGCTAATAAGTTTATGTTGATGGTTGATAGTATTTCACTCTCGTCCATTCTATACAATAATGAGTGATTTGTGACACCGGCACAATTAATAAGTATGGATACATCATTAAGGAGTTCAGAAATGCCAGATTCTCTTGCATTACTGTGTGATGAAGCCAATTGATTTAAATCAAAACTGATATATTCATGAGTTTGTGATGGATTGATTATCGGAAGTTGATTGATTTCATGGCGTAGTAAGTCTTCATTCCTTGATAACAATTTAAGAGAACATCCTTCTGATGCTAGTCGGTTCGCTATAGCTTTTCCTAACCCTTTTGAAGCTCCTGTTATCAATGCTTTTCTTCCCAGGAATGACATTTATATCATAGTAAATAAAGTTGTAAATAAATTAAAAAAAGTTTCGCAATTTTTTGTAGTATCATGAAAATAATTGTTTTCTAACTAAACTATATACAATAATGATTAACCTTGAACCTCAATGAAATCTAACTCTGGATGATTCCATAATGTGTCGTGAAGATCTTTCCTATGACTGAAACCAAATGACCAAAGAGATTTTGATTTTGGAATATGTCTTCGACGATGAAACCATCTACGAGACTTCAACTTGAGATAAGAATCTTCGTCTGAAGTAGTAGAATGACTTTTAAGTGAGAAGTCGGAATTTGTAAGCTTTCTTTCCACTAAATTTAATGTAGAATTCGTTGTCGGATCTTGTAGTAAGTCAAAACTGAAACTGCTTCTCAGATCTTCTTCGTCGTCAACTAAAGTATTTATATCTAATATTTTGTGATCATTATTCTCTGTAGTATCTAAAGTTTCATGACAAGCATTCAAGGAATCTTGTTTCAGACTTGGATCGATATCATGTTCCATTAAAAAGTTATCTACTTTTGAGTTTTCATGTGTTGAATTAGGAGAACATATTTCAAGTGATACCGCCAGTTCATTTACTTTATCATTAGCTTCTCTCCTTTTAATAAGTTTATGTTCATAAATCTTGAGCTTTATATCATATCTTTTAAACAAAGTGGGAAGACATGTTTTATCAAATTTATCAACTGAAAGGGAATATATTATCATTTCATACCCGTAGCATGATCTGCTCCAAGGTTCAGAAGATGATTTACTTGATTTCATGAAGTAGTCGGTATTATTCTTTTGTCCCATACTTGGTATCTTAGGTGGAGCTTCCCATAATGTTTTTGACTCTTGGTATTTATATAACCTTTCTTTTAAGTATTCACTAATCTTCTCTCCAATATAAATGTAATTATCATCTCCAGCCTCAAATTCATAAAGAGAGTTCCTTTCAATTACTTCATCAACAATGATATCCTCTGTTACTTCTAATGTTCTTGGGGTTGTAGTTGCAATGGTGATTGAATTGAGAAAGCTTTTTGCAGTATCCGTGGATGTATATTCTTCATTTATTTCATCTTCATATTCTTCGGATTCCCCATAACTAGTTTCATTCTCGTAATCGTATGTTGCTTCATAGCTAACATCATCTAATTTGCCGCCTTCTAATAAAACCGGACACATGTGTTAAAAATAATGACAGAAATAATTCAATGACTCAGTTATACTTCAATTTGATTATAATGAAACCAAATATATGATATATACATGAAAACGGGTAAACTAAATATACATCTAATTGATTAAAATCACTTTCCGCTTTTTTGCAATTATGATCATTAACATGCGCGCTCCCATATTTTTAGCAGATCAAAATCTTTAAAATGGCCATATATAAAAAATAAAGCTTTCCTAGTTAAGAAAGCTTGGTGGGAACTATGTAAAAACAAACATTAATAGTTATAGGATAAATTAAAATCAAAAAAATATGATTATGATGCCTTCAGCCAGAGTCGAACTGACGATCTCCTCATTACTAGTGAGGTGCCTTACCAACTTGGCCATAAAGGCTATGAATATAAATGAGTTAGGAACGACCCCGGTGAGGATTGAACTCACGATCTTGAGATTAACAGTCTCACGCCTTAGCCAGCTTGGCCACGGAGTCATTTCTGGATTTGTGAAAAAAAATCTAACTCATAAAGATATCATGTCATGTGACGTGTCACATGATTTTCAAAATTTGAATTATTGATCAAAGTCCTAATTTTGATGTTAATTAATCAGAAATAAGTAACTGATTGACTTAACTATATCTAATAGAATGAGAACTTCCAAATGTTTCTTAATTATGAGATCAAATAATGATTTTTTTCCAATAATGAAATATACAATGAATTGTATGATTGTCACTTTAGTCTAATTTTGAAGTATATTTTACGAAATTATTTTTAAACTATCGGAGTTTCGATGTTGGAAATATTTAACATTCACTTTCTCTATCACATATCTCTCTAGGAAATCCATTTCATTACGTTTTTGTTAATCAATTACAAGATCTAAAGTGCGTGATTGTATTTGAATATCCCAGGATATGATTGTGTATCCTATACGTTATGCTTGGTGGCAATAAGAATCTCAATGGCAAACACATTTGCCACAATTCTACATGTATCATTTCGAATCGTAATTATTGATATATTTTCCGAATAACCGGAGGAGAAGTTATTAAGCATTTTGCAGCTATACGGCTTGGTGTAGACCAAAAAACGTTTAAAGATAAAAGAAATTAAAGCAGTGTGAAAATTAGTAATCTTCTCAATTTGTTAAGGCCGAAAAATAGTGGCCCAATTAGGCAAGTCCTACGATATATAGTCTCCTTTTGGTAATACCATTTTTTCAACTTCTATACAATTGAATATGATACTGTTAAGCTTGATACCGTTAAATCTATGAAGTCCAGAGAACTATAAATACAAGTCGATGTGACTCTTGTTGAAATAATTTTGGATAAGGAAGTATTATTAAATACAGTATTCAATACAGTATACTAACAAACACACACACACACAAACAAACAAATTAGAAATTTCAAATTAGATATGTCGCTAAAAATTTATGATTGGCCAACCGGACCTTTTCCAGCTAGAGTTAGAATTGCATTAGCAGAAAAAGGATTACTTGAACAAGTTCAATTTGAAAGAATCAATCTTTGGAAAGGTGAACATAAGACTGCTGAATTTAAGGCTAAGTTAAGTTATTCAGGTACTGTTCCAGTTCTTGAATTAGAAGATGGTACTATTATTGCTGAAGTGAATGCTATTATTACTTTCTTAGATAATCTTGATGATGACCAATCACTTACTGGTCGTACTCCTGCCCAAAAGGGTATTATTCTTAATATGACTAGAAGAGCTGAATTAGAAGTTCAAGAAGTTATTAGTACTTATTTCCATAATGCTACACCAGGATTAGGACCTGATGTTGAGATCTATCAAAACAAGGAATGGGGTTTATACCAATTAGCTAAGGGATTAAGAGGATTAAGACATTTCGATGAACTTTTACAAAAGCAACCATATGTTGCAGGTGATGAATTCTCTATGGCTGATATTGCTCTTGTTGGAGGTATGTTATTTGCTGCTATGATTGATGTTGAAGTTCCATCCGATTTGACTGCATTATTTGCATGGTATAAGAGAGTTCAAGAACGTCCTAGTGTGAAACAACAAATTGATCGTGGATTTCTTGATGGTAGTAAACTTTAGGTTCGGTAGTTATAGGTTTATGAGAGTTTTAATAATTGAATGATAGATATTCAAGACATTTCTCTTACTTCGATGGTTATATTTTTATCTGTATATAGATTATATTAATAATATCGTGAAATATATAATAAATTAAGAATAAAATTCATCAAATTTTGACTATAAAGTTGCAACTGATAACAGACGAAAAAATAAAACCAAAAATTTACCTCGTGTGTTTAAAAAAAATCAGAAGTCAAAACAAAATATCAATTATGAAGTTGTTTATAAACTGGTAGGCTTTCCGTCAAGTGGTATTTGAAAGTATGCATCATTGATGTCAATTGTACTATTGAAACGACGTTACCATCTTAGATGTTATAACAATATGTTTATTTAGGATACCAACTTACTAATCAATCTAGGTGTTACTAACGAAACAAAACATATTTAGGATTGAATTTCACTAACTTCTAGATTTATTTAAAAGCTTCAACACGGATATTCGATCAAATAAAATGACGAATTCCTGCAATGGAGCCTTCTCGAAACTCTTTAAATCTGTTATATTCGATTTTTCCACCAAACGATTCGTAGTTATCTGTGAAAAAGTTAGCAAAATCTAAATTCTATTTAGATTAATCTGTTTATAAATATACGTATATTATATTATTAATTTAATAATTAGATCATTGTAGAAGTCGATAGCGTATATTTTATTGTATAAACTGAAGCTCATCATTACACAAATAAATATACTATTTAAAATGATATGTTTAATCAGAAAAGGGGTCAGAAAAGGGGTCAATATTCACTAAAAAGTAAGTAAATCATCAATATTTAAGCGGTACTACCCTAATAATTTCTCATTATTCCAGTAACCAACTATCATATCAACCTTATTTGATTTAATTATACAAATAGTTGCAAATAAGCTGTCAAAACCGATATAAACCATGATATCTAACAATTATTGCTATAAAGATTTATGGAGATGCGGCGAATGCAGACTTTCCCAAAAACAAAAAAATGCAAATGACGTCACTGGATTCACAAAGAGATAATCCATCACCAATTACTATTAAACAATGAAACTATTGATCAATTGACAATAATAACCATGGGAACGCAACCTTTAAAATTAATAATAATCACAAGCCATGGCAGAGATAATAATATATGTAAATAGATGTAGGTAAGTTAATTGTCAACATAATAGTGTAAAACAAGATCAATAGAGATAAAAGATAAATAAAAATAATTTGTGGTAAAGTAGAATTTATTTACATTATCAAATGGTCAAGAGACAGTTAAATCACAAATGTAACAATAAACTCCCCTCTCCTATCTCTGATTAATAACGGTGTAGCTTATATGAAATGGTTTTGATTTTTTTAACGATCCTCATCACATGTGGGGTTTGATTACAATATCTACCGTAATGATAACGAGTTAGAAATAGTTAATGATATCGACCAATTCTTTACAATTCGTAATTAGACTACTAATTATACTAAATATAGTAACGATACGAATTAGCAACAACAAAATTCAACAACAACAACAAACAATGCAAATGTTGACTCCCCTTTACTTCAGTTAAGGGGAGAGTGTAATGAGGGAAAAAAAATTGGGTGAGCAGAAACACACACATTTATTTTTTTAAGGATTTTTGAGATTGGCACAGCATTTTTTTTTTTTATTTTTAATTTTTAAAATTTGATTGTTTTCGTTAATTCATGAAACTTAATTCAATTTAGGGTTACAACACTTTGGTTTAACTGGTTCTAACGTGGTCAATCAATCAATCTCAATCAATCAATCAATCAATCAATCAATTGATACTACTTTGTGGAACGATCATATAACCATACCGGCTTTGTTCTGTCTTGTCTTGTCTCATCTTCAACTGATTTCGTTTGTGCTGCTGCTCCCTTTTTACAGCATAAACCATATTTACAACCAATTTAAAATCCCCTACACAACGTAACCCAATTCAAACTAAAACAGGTTTAATCATTTTCTGTTTGTGATACCTTTACTTAGTTTACCTTGCTTTTGACTTTTTTTTAAATTTTATTTTATTATATTATATCAAAAATACAGTAAAATAAAATTTACTAAACCTCGAATATCAATAATTTGTTTTCATTCTTTATACCGTTTTTACTAATTCTATTTCCAAGATTTCACCTCCAGTCATTAAGAAACAGAGATTATCATCACCCCTTTCATCTGAAAGTGATAATCTGTCTGATACCAGTGTTAGTACTATAACTACTATAACTACTACGAATAATAATAAAGGTGATAATATCAACAACAACAACAACAACAACAATAATAATACCAACTATCCATTAATCAACGATAGTCCCAATCATATCATGGATTCTGCTGCCATATTAAAGATATTGGAAGATCCTGAGTTATTCAGACAAAAACATGAGGAAATTAGAAATGATCTTATCAGTCATATCAAATCTCAAGATTTACATACTGAAGCTTTAACCCATGAATTAGATACTTCCAAAACTGCCAATAAAGCTTTCAAACAAGCTTTAAGTGAAATAGGTACTGTTGTTATTTCAGTTGCCATGGGTGATTTATCCAAAAAAGTTGAAATTCATACCGTTGAATCAGATCCTGAAATTTTAAAAGTTAAAATTACCATTAATACTATGATGGATCAATTACAAACTTTTGCAAATGAAGTTACCAAAGTTGCAACTGAAGTGGCTAATGGTGAATTAGGAGGTCAAGCCAAAAATGAAGGTTCAGTAGGTATTTGGAGATCTTTAACTGATAATGTCAATATTATGGCTCTTAATTTAACGAATCAAGTGAGAGAAATTGCCGATGTTACACGGGCTGTAGCAAGTGGTGATTTATCAAGAAAGATTAATGTTCATGCTCAAGGTGAAATCTTACAATTACAAATGACTATTAATACCATGGTGGATCAATTAAGAACTTTTGCCTTTGAAGTATCAAAAGTGGCAAGAGATGTCGGTGTGTTAGGTATTTTAGGTGGTCAAGCTTTCATTGAAAATGTGGAAGGTATTTGGAAAGAATTAACTGATAATGTAAATGCTATGGCTTTGAATTTAACTACTCAAGTTAGAAATATTGCTAATGTTACAACGGCTGTGGCTAAAGGTGATTTATCGAAAAAAGTTACGGCTGATTGTAAAGGAGAAATTTTGAATTTGAAATTAACTATTAATCAAATGGTGGATCGTTTACAAACATTTGCGGTGGAAGTTACAACTTTATCAAGAGAAGTCGGTACATTAGGTATTCTAGGTGGTCAAGCTAATGTTCAAGATGTTGAAGGGGCTTGGAAAGCAGTGACAGAAAATGTTAATCTAATGGCTACAAATTTAACCAATCAAGTGAGATCCATCGCAACAGTTACCACGGCGGTGGCTCATGGTGATTTATCTCAAAAGATTGATGTTCATGCTCAAGGGGAAATTTTACAATTGAAAAATACAATCAATAAAATGGTGGATTCATTACAATTATTCGCTTCCGAAGTGTCGAAAGTGGCTCGTGATGTCGGTATTAATGGTAAATTAGGTATTCAAGCCCAAGTTAGTGATGTTGATGGATTATGGAAAGAAATTACTTCAAATGTCAATACCATGGCTTCGAATTTAACATCCCAAGTGAGAGCTTTTGCTCAAATTACTGCTGCTGCTACTGATGGTGATTTCACAAGATTTATTACGGTTGAAGCTTCTGGTGAAATGGATGCCTTAAAGACAAAGATTAATCAAATGGTGTTGAATTTAAGAGAATCAATTCAAAGAAATACAGCCGCCAGAGAAGCTGCTGAATTGGCTAATAGTGCTAAATCGGAATTCTTAGCTAATATGTCACATGAAATTAGAACTCCATTAAATGGTATCATTGGTATGACTCAATTATCATTAGATACTGAATTAACTCAATATCAAAGAGAAATGTTATCCATTGTTCATAATTTAGCCAATTCTTTATTAACTATTATTGATGATATTTTAGATATTTCTAAGATTGAAGCTAATAGAATGACAGTTGAACAAATTGATTTTTCATTAAGAGGAACTGTATTTGGTGCTTTAAAGACGTTAGCAGTTAAAGCTATTGAAAAGAATTTAGATTTAACCTATCAATGTGATTCTTCATTCCCTGATAATTTAATTGGTGATTCATTCAGATTAAGACAAGTTATTTTGAATTTAGCTGGTAATGCTATTAAATTCACTAAACAAGGTAAAGTTACTGTCAGTGTTCAAAAATCATTTAAAAAAGCGGAAGACTCAGAAAAGTTGTTGTTACAAGTATGTGTGAGCGACACAGGTATTGGTATTGAAAAGGATAAATTAGGTTTAATTTTTGATACTTTCTGTCAAGCTGATGGATCTACCACAAGAAAATTCGGTGGTACCGGTTTAGGTTTATCAATTTCAAAGCAATTAATTCATTTAATGGGAGGTGAAATTTGGGTGACGTCAGAATACGGTTCAGGTTCAAACTTTTATTTCACTATTGGTGTATCTCCTTCTAAGATTAGATATACTCGTCAAACTGAACAATTATTACCTTTCAGTGGTCATCATATATTATTTGTATCTACTGCTCATACCGATGAAGAATTGGAAGAAATAAGAAGTGGAATTGTTGAATTAGGTTTAAATCTTGTTATAGTTCGTGATTGTAATGATGCCAATTTAACTGAACCTGTCAAGTATGATATTATTATGATTGATTCAATTCAAACAGCTAAGATTCTTCGTTTATTAACCGAAGTGAAATATATCCCTCTTGTATTGTTACATCATTCGATTCCAGAATTAAATATGAGGGTTTGTATTGATTTGGGTATATCATCATATGGTAATACTCCATGTTCTATAACTGATTTAGCAAGCGCTATTATCCCTGCCTTAGAATCAAGATCCATTTCTCAAAATTCAGATGAATCAGTTAGTTATAATGTGTTATTGGCAGAAGATAATTTGGTTAATCAAAAATTAGCTGTCAGAATATTGGAAAAGCAAGGTCATCAAGTTGAAGTTGTTGAAAACGGTCTTGAAGCTTTTGAAGCAGTTCAAAAGAGAAGATATGATGTCGTCTTAATGGATGTACAAATGCCTGTCATGGGGGGTTTTGAAGCCACTGAAAAGATTAGACAATGGGAAAAGAAATCCAATCCAATTGATTCATTAACTTTCAGAACTCCAATTATTGCTTTAACTGCTCATGCTATGTTGGGTGATCGAGAAAAATCGTTAGCTAAAGGTATGGATGACTATGTATCAAAACCTTTGAAACCAAAGCTTTTAATGCAAACCATAAATAAATGCATCCATAATATAAATCAGTTGAAAGAACTTTCTAAACAAAACAATAATAATAGAACATCCAATTTCGCTAAGAATTTGAAGAATGGTGCTACACAAACTGGGGAAAATTCTGCCACAAATCTATTATCAATGGGATCAAGCCAATCAAATTCTAATTTAATAGGAATCGGTAATGGTAGTTATAACAATTCAAATACTAGTAATGGAAGTTTTTCAAGATCAGCCACTCCAAACTATGAAGGAGGTAAAGACACGCCGAAAATCAACAAATCTAAGTCAAATGACTTCATTCCTAATCGACCAGTAAACCTAACGGTAAACAAGAGGTCTATTACGGAAAGTTTCATTTCCGTAATAAAAATCGATGACCCTGATAATATGGAGGTTGATGATGAAAAAAAAGTTGAATATCTTGATTAATGACTAGTCGATGAATTATTTATTATAATTATATTTAATTTCTTTTGTGAGATTTGTTCGCAGTCTAGTGTGTTAAAAAAAATTGAAAAAGTTGCAATCACAATCACAATCACAATCACAAATACCTTTCTTTGCATCTTACATATCAACCTCCACCTACATCACCACCACCACCGCAATTTTAATCATCTTCGTTGAACACAATGAGTGATTCCATCGAAAATCCTCATTCTGATGATTATATGAATCATTTAGGAAACGTTAAAAAAATTGCCGCTGCTGCTGCTTCAGTTTCTGATTCCATTTCCACTGTTATTAAAGAGCTAATCAAAATAAATGGGAATATTATGAATATCAAGAATATTTTCCAAATTATTGATTCAACCACTTCAGATTTCAACAATGATTCCTCAAAATCATCAATTTCAGAAGAATTATGTATTACTACAGAAATTATCGAAAAAATAATTAAAGAGTTAAAGATAAGTAGTAAACTTTTAGATGATATTGATGCTAGTATATTTAGTGTTGGCATCGATCACTGATAAGTTAAACACTAATGGAGTTATTCTTAGTGGGATAAATTTTAGATTAGACTTCAGCAGATGGTTACTCAAGTGATGCAAATCATAGTCAAGAGCTAATCAAAATCAGCACTGCCATATCTGGAATTAATTATGAACTTTTGATCTATGCTACGACATTAGCCGGACTTAACCTAAGAATTACTTCAAAATTAAAAATTCTTTCAAATGTCTCGTCGGAATTGTAATGCTAAACAAATTATCAATAATGATTTACAGATTATCGAATCTACAATTCTCAATATTAATGATAAAATTATGATAGCAGGTAATAATTTAAGTGAAATTAATTCAAATTTACAAAATAAGGGCATACGTGGAGGTGCATTAAATGTGAATTTAGATGAAGCTCAAGCTTCATTAACCAATATAAATGAGAAGTTAAAAGAACTTGGCGACAGATTTTCAATGTCGAATAATGAATTAAGTAACAAAAAAGAAATTGTACAGCCAGAAGAAGATCAAGATGATCTTGCTTTAAATAATGATAGTGAAACTGAAGACTTGGATTTGGTTCCAGTTTTACTAGACTTTTTGGCAGCCTTAGTTACATTGCAATCAATAGTACAATCAATTTTAGATAATTCAGTCTAGAGATTGTCTACATACATTCCCTTGAATCTCAAATTATAATATTTCCTATATATAACCGTAAAATAAAAAAAATTTATTACTCTAAAAAACATTTTGTAGTTCCAGACTTATAATTTCCATATTTAGCAGTAATATCTTTTTGTTATGTATTTATTTACATAAATACCTCCAAATCATCTCCGGAATCTAGTATGTTTTGACAATTAAAAATAGGATTTCTTAACGATATATTGTCTAACATGTCTATCAATGCTACGCTCCCTATAATTGAATATGAAGTTGAACAAGATGCTATCAATGATAATCAAGAAATCCAATTACCTGATTTAGTTGATGAAGATTTAAATTTTTCAATAAATGAATGGTCAAAAATGATTGCTAAGTGTTTGCGGTTGGTAGGTTTGAAAATTTATTTTCAATTTGTTCCAAATGAAGATTACCAGTACATAGACGAGCTAAGTTTAATGGGTCCTTATTTAGTTTGTTTGGCATATGCATTACTATTTCTTCAAGTATTTCTTTATACAAACTTGAGGCCTGATGGATCATTGTCTTTCAACAATTGTATGCGTAAGCTTCTATTTATCTTTTTGACGTTTCGCTTACGTATATTTTTAGAACCTGAACGCAGAAAGCTATTTCGATACATTAAGACAGAATTAATCAGAAGAGGTATAATAAGAAGATGATTTCATTGAAGTACAGTTGCTTTATAATTTTAACTAGTTAATCTTTATTAATTTGTGATTATTTGGAAAGTTCCAATCAAGTTATTCACATAAACAATGAAAAATTAATAGTTATATGAACTGGTAGCTCGTTGCTGCTAAAATCTCAAAATTCTAGTATGCTTTTTTGATTTGAAAAAAATTCAAAGATTTGATGAATTTAATGACATAGTTTTCTAACTAAGAACCAACCAATTATGACCAACTATACTTCAAAGTACTTATCATATCCAAACAAGTCCGCCTTACTTAGCGATTTTCAAGGAAAAAAAATTCATGAATTACCAACCCCTTCTATAATAATCAACAAGGAAATTTTTGAAGTTAATTCCAATCATATGTTAGAGAATGCCCATAACTTAAAAGCAGAATTCAGAGCTCACATCAAAACTCATAAGACAATTGAAGGTTCAAAATTGCAATTAGGTACCTCCCAATGGTCTACCTCAAAGTTAATTGTGTCAACTTTAGCAGAAGCTTGGAATTTATTACCATTAGTGGAAACTGGAGTCGTAAATGATATCTTGTTTAGTTTACCAGTAGTTAAATCAAGATTAGATGAATTGGCTGATTTAGCTGGAAAAGTTCCTAATTTCAGGTTATTGTTAGATAACGAAGAGCAAGTTCATATGTTGGTAAAATATCGTGAAGAGAATCCAAGCATTAAACCATGGTCAATTTTTGTAAAAATCGACATGGGTACTCACAGAGCAGGTCTTATTAATGACAGTGTTACACTTGACAACATTCTCGTTAAGCTCTTACGATATGATAATGTCAAAGAACATGTTCAAGTTTATGGTTTCTACTGTCATGCCGGTCATTCATATTCATCAAATTCAATTTCATCAGCTAAGAAATTATTGTTTGAAGAAATCGAACATGCCAATAAAGCTGCTAAATTAGCATTAGATTTCGAACCAGATTTGACATTGACTTTATCTGTGGGAGCTACTCCAACAGCACATGCTTCTCATATACTAACTCACCAAGAATTATCTCAACATTTCAAAAATGGATTGCATGGTACTTTAGAATTACATGCTGGAAATTATCCATGTTGCGATTTACAACAATTAGCTACAGAGTGTGTCACTCAAGATAATGTTTCCATTTCTGTTTTAGCAGAAGTTGTTTCTACATATCATAGTAGAGGTGAAAAAGTCCCCGGTGAACAATTAATTAATGCCGGTGTACTTGCTATGTCAAGAGAATCAGGCCCCATAAACGGTTATGGAAAGATAGTATCACCAAAAGGATTTGATGATTGGTCTATTGGTAGACTTTCTCAAGAACATGGTATACTCGTTCCAAGTTCTGATGATTGTAAGTTTATTCCAATAGGAACAAAAGTCCGCATAATTCCACAACATGCATGTATTACAGCTGCTTGTCATCCATGGTATTTTATTGTCGATAACGAGGATACAGTTGTTGATATTTGGGTGCCCTTCAGAGGTTGGTAGAAAAAGTTATCTAAAAATGGTTAATAAAAGTTACACAATTTATAAAAGTTTATAGTCTGGGAATGTATATTTACAAGTTTAATTATTTCTATGTATAACAAGTTTAAGCTAATGCAGCTTTTGGTCTACCGATCAACTTAGCTTTTCTTGTAGCTTCATCGAAAACTCTTTGAGCAACAACGTCTTTTGGAATGTTTTCTGGATCAATGTCTTCAATGACAGATCCTGGAACATCGTACGGAACAAATGATGGTAAGAAACGATTGGTTAATGATTGTCTTTCAGACACGGAAAATATACCTGCAGTATTGATTAATCTAGAAACTTCTGTCTTTTCTTTTGGTGAAAGCACTTTATAATATTCAGTTTCTAATTTTTGAGTTATTTCCTTTTGTTTTGTTGAAACTTCTTCTGGAGTTAAATATTTGTATAATGAACCATTAACATCCAAGTTGACTTGACTTTCTATTTGATCTTTGAAAGTTAAATATTCAGATCTCTTAGTTGATTCTTCTTCTTTTGATAGCTCTCCTTTCTGTACAGATAATTTTAAGGAATAAAAGTAATTATAAGTTTCTTGAGTTTTGGCAGATTCTATGCTATGACCAGCATTAGATAATGTCAATATATTGAAGAATCTAGTAGATGCTAATTCCACATCTTTATCTGTTACGGCAAATTCCTTTTGTAAAACTTCTTTGAATTTAGTGATGGTGTCATTTTTAAAATTTTCCTTTTGTAAAGCTTTTTGTTCTAACTGAGATTGATAAAGGTATTCTTTTCTTGATTTACGGTCTTCTTCCTTTTGAGCTTGTTCAGGATCTTGCAATTCAATGTATCCAAATCTTCTCACTCTAGGTTCAAAATGTGGTATAGGTAACTTGACATCTTTTTGTAATGAAACACCAACATATTTTCTTAATGGGTGAAATGGATCCAAGTAGAATCTAACATACCCTGGTTCAACAGCATATATAGTGTGGTCGATACCAATCCTCACATTTTCTCCAGGATGGATCTTGGTACCTCTTTGTCTCATTATAATTGTACCTGGTTTAACGTAGTTACCTTCATAAGCCTTTGGACCCAATCTTCTACCAGCTGAATCATTCTTGTTGGTTTTAGAACCAGACACTCTTTTGGTAGCTGTACGAATTTGAGTCAAATTGTTATTCAAAGTAACCAAAGCCAAGCTTTGAGTTCCCGAAGAACCTCTGGCTAACCCTGCTATACTTCTTAACATTGTTGTATGATACTGCTTCTTAGTCTTCAAAGCTATAATCTTCAACAAGAAAAATTTGAAAAATTTATTTTTAATTTTTGTCTGAAAAAATATCGTGGTCGTGCGATTTTACCAAATATTCAAAATTATCAAAATTATTTATTATTACTGGAAATCTATAAAGAGACGTCTATATATAACTATACTAATCAGCTGTTGCAAAGCATCTTTCAATACTATCTGCGTTGTTACCCCACCAATTAGGCATGTTGATAACCTTTCCAGATGAGAAGATTATGAAAATTAATAATACGGTTAAGTTGTATCCAGTGTCAAATGCGGCTGCTAAAAGATAATTGTAACGTTTCCAAAGCTCATGTTTGTAACGATAAGCCCAGAACATGGTGACGGTACCACCAATGAACAGAGAAAGATATCCAGTTGATATATTACCATAGAATCCACTCATGGTTGAGAAAAATACTGTCGTATTCCATAATCTGAACTTGAGTCTTGAATTTGGGAATAATCTATGTAATCCATAGAGAATAATTGGAGCAACAACACCTAATACAAAACCATAAGGTAATATTTTATAGTTTTCAAATAATCTCTTTGGACCAAGAATAACATATTGGACTGCATTTGTATTATAAGATCTGATAGATTGGCCTGTCCATTGATGTAATGGATCTACTTTATTACCATTCAAGAAATCCATTTTAGTATTCAACACCCATCTTAAAGCAGCATAATTAATAGGAACTCCAATTAACTCCCCAAATATTTGAGAAAAGAATACAGCCTTAGGTGGTAAGTGCATATAATGGCCTATTTTTTGATCTTGTAAAATGTATTGTGCTCTATACCAAGCATCACCAGCAATAGCACCATAAACAGTTGCACCAACTGGATGTCTAGAAGCTCTATTTTGAATCATATATCCGTATAATAATTCATTAAATGTCCCAATAGCTAATTGGAAATTTGAAAGTGCATATAACCAAGCCAATGGAGTAACAATGACAGCACCAAATGCAATTCCAATAACCATAGCCCACCAAGGCATGAATAATTTCCCAGTTGCAAAGATAACCAACAAAGTTATGAATGAAGCTAAAAAGAGAACAATATACCATAATTGTGGAACTTCTTGATATTTTGCTTGTAATTTATTAAGTCTATCAGTGTATTGTTCATTAATTGATAAAGTTGAATCGTTAGTCTTTCTAGCTTTAAAAGAAGCAACAAGTTTTTTAAAAGAATTACCCATAGTTCCATATCCGAATAATACGACCCAAATAATACCACTGATATAGGAAGCATAATCAAAAAACATATTCCAAGCTTGTTGTGCTCCAATATGGACACTACCTAATTCGGCATAAACAGTTTCATTCAATCTAAGATCAGGTGTCAACAACTGATTAGTTGGGTAAAGGGTTCCATTACCCATGAATAAACTATTAGACATTAAACCATATTTGAATTCAGTTAAATTACCCCATTTAGCAGCAGGAATTAAAACCCAAGCACCAATTACAAAGGCAATAAATTGAATCACTTGAATCCAATAAGGAGAAAGCATAATAGCTGAAGTTATATTGGACCAATCTAAAGTAAAGTTTAAGAACCCCATCCCACCTAAACCAGATCCAACAAAGTTTGCTGTCTGGTTCTTTGGTGCAACCCAACATAAGAATGCTAATGAAGAGACCATAGGGAAAATATATTCGGGGAAGAATTCCCAAATTGCCATACCAATAAGAGCAATGAAAAAGACTTTCATTTGTTTTGAACCTAATTTGGAATCAGCATCTGATTTGCTTTGAGTTTGAAACAAAGTAGTTTGCATTAAAGCTTGAGGCCAAACAAATTGTGGATCATAAATCAAGAAGTTTCTTGCAATAGCAGCATATGAATAACCTACGAAAACAATTGCCCACATATAGAAAATAGCAATTGCAGGGTGAACTTTTTCTCCATAATAAATTTCAGCTAATGAAAGTGGAGTAGTACCTTGATTTCCGGTTGCACCACTACTAGCAGTAATAGTAACTAAAGCAGTTTCTTTAATAGACCAAGGACCAGGATTAAGATTGAATTTAAATCCTCCAAATACTCTAATTTCCTTTTTAGGTAACACTTTTGCTAACCACTTACCAGACCAATGTGAAGCAATTTGGACAAAGAAAATGGAATAAGCAGCTGAAGTAGTACGATAGGAATTCATAGTAGAAATAAATGCACCTGGAATAATGAAGATGACTGCTAAGACAAAGTAACGGAAAGTCAATACTGGAAGTGTAGAATCATCTTCTAAGGGAACTATTTCTCTAACGATTCTTGGTAATTCTAAGACATCAGCATCTTCAAGTTCTGAACTATTGGAACTTTCGGTATCTTCTTGCTTTTCTCTAACACCATCATCCAGGAGAACTTCCTTTTCAGTTTCAATAACAGTGATATTCTTATCTGACGATCTATTTCTAGAAAAGAGTTTAGATACAGACATTTTTGATTGATAAATTAACACAAATAACTAAAAACTTGAAAATAGTTGCAACTGAGCCAAATAGTTGGCTTAAATATAGGAACACTTTATTCATACATATGTAAGCCAATTAAGTTGAAAGGTACGAACAAGCCACTCTTCTAACTTCAATGGGGACTATTCGTTAAGCCGTTCTACTAGCAGGCTGACAAAGTGAAGAGAATACAAGGGTTAATACATTAACATTAAACAATGCCTCGAAATTGCCATTTCACGTGAATAGATCTAGAGTTTCGAAGTGTCATAAAGTTGACTCGTATTGTTACCCTTACAAGAATAATATGCATTTTTTTACGGATTTATTTGTGTTTAGAAGGATTAATGGGGATATATTGAAGTATATTTAGAAGTAAGGTTACAGTTTTATTTTGCCGCAAAAACTAATTACTTTTGCCAAGAATTCGTAACTGTGGCAGAAAATTTAAGGTATGGAAAAATTTGCGCTAACAAGGGAGACAGGGAGAAAATGCCTTAATTACAAATTATAATTATAAAATTATCAGCTACAATTAATTCAAAAGTTTGTTGAAGTAAAAATCAATTTTAATGTGTCATTAATATACTATAAGAGTATTTATCAGAGAAGCCAGGGTTGCAAAAATTAAAAGAATCTATAAGGCTTTTGCAAAATGTTTTAAAGTTTCAAGGGCTAATAAATGGTCTTCTTCTTGAGCTAAACCACTAATAGTCAAAGTTCCAATGACACTGTCAAGGTTGGTAAGTCTGATTGGAACACTTCCACCATGAGTAGCGTAATCGAAGACTGGAACGAAAAGAGCTTCTTCAATTGGAACATTTTTGATTCTTAATTTTTGTCCAATATAGAAACTTGATTTACCCCATCTGTTAACGACATTGATTTTTCTATCAACCCATTTTTCATTATCAATGGTGGCACCAGATGTAGTGGCGCTGTGGAATAAGACTTGACCAGAAGCTAATCTGATATCTATTAAGATAGCCCTAGTAGGATATTTTTCAAGACCTACGTTTCTAGCATAAGTACCAATTTCCCATGCAACATCAGCATTAAATTTGCTTAAAGTGATTTCTGAACCTTCTAATTGATCTAATTGATCTAAGGAATATGTATATAATTCTTCAGCCATTGTAATTGTAATGATATATGATACGATTTGTGAGTGTAATTTGGTATAAACAATGTAATTTTTCAATTTCGTGTTCTTTACCGGATAATTTATATAGTTCCATGGTGAGGTGGTGGTGGGTGGTGAGAGCTGGTAAGGTAATTGCGTAGAGTGGGGGAGGGGATCAAAAGTTTCCCCCACGCGTCTAAAGTTGGGAGCGAGATTAATTCCATTTACGACGGGATCATATCCTAAATGGTATAATCGAATAATAACGGTAATTAATGTAATTATATAACCCTATGAAATAGTCTACTTAACGGCAACATGATGTTGATGAACTCTTCCAGCAATTGTGTGTTCGTTATGAACTTCTTTTTCCTCTTGTTTATCATCTTCATCCAATAAGATCCAATCCTCAAACCCATCGGAGAACTCCCTTTGTAATCGTTTTTCAATATTAATAAGTTTCTTCTCTGATTTAATAATTTTATCGAATTGATTCAATTCTTCATCAGTTACTAAACATGAATCTAAGAGTTTTGTGATGTTTTGAGAGTCAATACCTAATCCAATGAAAACAATTTCATTTCTTCTATCTCCATACTTTTGTTTCAATTCTTGTTTAATTAATTTTGCAGCTTCTTTTGTAGTTGGAGGAATTCCAATAATATCAAACCATGGAATACCACCATTAATTGTCAACATTGATCCAGCCGAAGACCATTCTCCTCGATTGATGTATCTAGAGGCTAACCAGATGAATCCTTTAGATCTTAAGACAGGACCAAGAGCAGATTTCTTCTTATTTCTAATATATTCATTCTCACTTATTCCATTTTCAATTTCATCTTCTTCGTTAGTTTCTTCTTCCTCGGATTCTTCTTCTTCTTCTTCCGTAAGTGTCTGTTCTGTTAATTCTTTGGCCTCATTTGTTAATTGCTCTTGATTCATGCTACTACGCTCAAGAATAACAAACTTATCTTTAATTAAATCAAAAAGTCTTTCGGGATGAAATGGCCTTTTTGCTTGATAAACAAAATTATTAATTCCATATTCTTCAGTTTCTGGTTTTGGAGTCAATACATTCTTCTTCTTAGCTCCAAATCCCTCTCTTATGGTCATCTCATTTAAACTTTGTAACCAACCAGCGGATAATTGAGCTTTCTCAAATTCATACAATTTAGTATTCACAACATCTTTAATATCCACTTTGGAATAGTTGGTTTTAATTATCTTTGCAATTGGATTCAAGGTTTTGATTGCTTTTTCAATTTTCTTCAACTTACTACCAGAAACAGTCGCAACCTTGTTGATGATAATAACATTGGCAAATTCAATTTGATCAATTAATAAATCAGTTATAGTTCTTTCTTGTTCACCAGAACCATGATCTCCAAATCTATCAATTAAAAAGTCAGTAGTCTCCAAATTATTAAAGAAGTTTAAGGCATCAACAACAGTGACACAAGTATCTAATTTAGTAAGTTTGTTCAATCCCCCACTTTTAACTATCTCTTTCAAGATATTTGATTCATTTTCATCTATTTCATCCAGAGTTTCTAAAAGCATCTCAGTAAATTCGGTTGTGAAAGTTTCTGCCACTTGCATAGGTTCTGAAATACCAGTGGATTCAATAACGATATATTGGAATGCCTTTGATTTAGCCAATGCAACTAATTCCTCCAACAAATCTCCTCTTAATGTACAACAAATACAACCGTTTTGCAACTGGATTAATTTCTCTTCTTTATTAGTAACTTTATGATTTTGAAGTAAAGCAGCATCAATATTTAACTTAGACACATCATTGATAATGACAGCTATTTTCAATCCATGCTTTGCAGTTAATATATGTTCTAATAATGTGGTTTTACCACTTCCTAAAAACCCAGAAAGTAAGGTAATTGGTATAGGACCTAATCTTCTCAAAAACATCACTGATACTTTCAGTTTTTCAATTTTAATGTGCATGTATTCAATGGATACATTTCAGTCTATTTATAGGGATAAGGTGATACCCTTGAAGTTATTATCTATTCACCTTATCTAGGTCTATTAATTTGCAGTTACTATATAGAAACAATACTTATTTTTAACACTAATGCCATTGGCTAGGACAACCACTAAAGTTGCATTTTTAATTTTTGGGCGCAAAATTTTTTGATTATAACTACTACTGTCGCATTTCAACGTTTTTAATAAAAATAATATACATTATGAGCCTATGAAATATAAATATATATATTGGACTCACCAGATAGTTTGATCCCATCTTACGATTTCTAGAGATTGTTGATGTACATCCTTTTGTGCCTTCTTTCTCATATAGAATATCGGACAATCTTTATTCGAGCATAAAACTTCTTGATGTAATGATCCTTGACATCTTTGACATTCTGTCCATAATCTAGAGAATTTATTCTCCAAATAATTCATTTGTGATAAGGCATTACCATATAATCCTGGTCCTCTACCTTCTCTTATACAATTTGGACATAATGCACCATGATTATCAGCTTTTAATGGAGTCTTACAATAGACACAAACCTCAGTCTTCGTGGCAAATCTCATAAGACCACCAGTCTTTGGAGCTGAGAGTTTGATGGTTCTAGTATGAGCACCTGCTAACAATTCCTTGGTTTTAGATTCACCTAATATTGGAACGAAAATTCTTTCTAATGGTTTGGTTAATTGATTATCAAGATAGTATTTGACATCTATTGGTAAGGAATTCTCTAACACATATAAAGGATCTTCTGATTTTTCATAAGCTTTGTCACTTCCTGAATTAATAATGACATAGGCAACACGATCACCTAAAGCTGGAGCAGAACCAGCATCTCTTTTTCTCATTCTTTCAGCCAATTCAACATGGGCTTGTTTACCAGCATATTCATGTTTGGCGTAGGCCTTTGTAATAACTAATTGTGATAAATCAATTCTGTTTTGCAATAAATCGGCAATAGTTTGTTTGACAAATCGACAAGCTTTCTCCACATCTCTATCTTCTAATATGAATTCTAAGACTTTGGTAATAACATTTTGAACTAATCGACAATTATCTCTTCTAACGGTTTCAATACCTTTAGTATCCATCTTATCAAACTTATCAGGTCTAGTCCAGTATAAACCAGCATATCTCTTTTTGTTGATTAATAAATAGGGGAAATAAACCTTCTCGAATTCTAAGTTGATTGGTTTTTTAAACTTGGTAGACACAAATTTAGCTGCTTCTTCACCTAATTTCATACAAGTTTCTAAATCTTGATAACCGAATTTAACCATAACTGAATCAGTATCACCATAAATAACTTGTGCATCATAAGGATGACCATTCTTTTTCGAATAGAATTCTTGAACTTCATTCTTTGTCTTTTCAATCATTTCTCTACCGAAAGCAGTAACTGATGAAGATATTTGTAAACATGGTAATTTACCAATAGTAGCCCCTGTGAATCCATAAACCGAATTGGCAGAAATCTTTAATGCTAATTGTCTACCATTAAGAACATCTCTTTTAAATGGATCTGTTTCTTTCTTTAAATCCGCTTTAGCTTTCTTTCTAGCTGTAAGCAATTCATTTAAAATGGTAGGTAATATACCTTGTCTTTTATTGTCCTTTATGAAATAATCCCCATTTGGAGTTTTTGTATAATCATCTTCTGTCAAGTTGAATGCAGCAATGGATTGTCTATTAAGTAATGTAGTGTAACATAAGTTATGAGCCATCATAATGGAAGGATATAACGAACTGAAATCCAAAGTGGCAATTGGAACATCATAATAACCTCTCAGAGGTTCAATAACTGTGGCACCTTCATATTCTTCGTTAGTGCCTTCAGATTTCATATTTGGAATAACGATATCTTCTTCCAAACATTTTCTGAACAATTGCGAAATAACTTTAATTTGTTGACCTCTTGAAAGTAAGTATGAAAACGGAACACCAGTGACTCTTGCCATTTCTGTATAATTAACAAGACACATAAGCTTATCCAACAATCTTAAAGGTAAATATGCATCCTTCAAACAATAAACAGCCAACCTTCTTCTAGTTTCCTTTGTACCATTCTGTAAATCAGTAATAATCGAATGCTGCACATCTTCTTTCTGCTCTCCTAAGAAATGTGCTGATACTGAATTCAAAGTATAAGATCTAAGCTTATATTCTCTTTGAATAAATTGTAAAAGATCTAATTGCATTCTACCGTCGATATTGACAACTTTATTCTCTCTGGTACCATATGCTCTTGAACTGAAAGTTGAATCTTTAACTTCTTGCCTTACAGTCTTTAATCTTCCAAAGTATGGAAATCTATTAACACCCAATGCTTTGGCTCTATCAAGAAGATAAGGAATATCGAAATTAGCAGTATTATACCCAATAATGACATCAGCATCTACTTGAACCACAAAATCACGCCAATGAGTAAGCATATCTCCTTCTTTTTCATGCTCAAAGATTTGAGATCCAATGATTGAAGAACATGTATTCACCGTGAATACATTTCTCACAAATGGTCTTGATTCCCCATATCTCAGAACAACATTAGCAATTTGAATGACTGAATCATGTTCAGCTTCAGGAAAGATACCTTTTCTACCTGCACATTCGATATCAAATGATAAGATTCTAAGAGGTGCCATTTTCAACCATTCACCTTCAGGTGCATGCGATATTAAATCCTTATAATCGATGGAACATTCTATTTGACAAGTGGAAATACTGATATCAGGAGAAACCACTTGATATGTAGTCTTTGGTAAGGTGATCCACGACATTCCTGTTATTTTACAATCAATCATCAATCTTAATACATAATTAATATTATCAAATGAAACACTTTGAGGAGGAAATAAATTTTCAAATCTGACTTCACCTCTTTCAAAGGCACCTCTTATTTTGGTTATATTTTTAGTGTTATTAACATAGACTTGAAAGAATTGAGTCTTTATATTATTATTGAACCCCCAAATCGATTCTTTCAACTTTATACCCACATCTTTTACACCATCATAATTTTCCTTTAAATAACTGGTAAATCGAGCCAAATGTTGATTTTGAACAAACCCTTTTGGAACAGGAACGTAAAAATAATGAACAAATCCGGTAACATTACATAATACTGAATAACCTTCTTCAGTAACACCAAAGAATCTTGCATATGTATCATCTCCACTATAATATTCTTCAGCATCTAATTGTTGAAAAGAGATATCATAGGTATCACTACTAAAGCCTGCGGGTATTCGTGGTCTTGACCAGTTTTGATCTTCTTCCAGACCCAACTCCTTAGCACTTTCAGTCATATTCAAAAGTTCTCTTTCGAATTCTGATGGTTCTTCAGTACCATTTGGTCTTCTCACCTTCTTTAGTAATTGTTGTTGAGAAGGCGTGAGCTCAATGGTTGACGATACTGATTGAGACCCAGCAGGCAATGAATGAGCCTGAGTATCATTATGTCTCTTAGTCTGTGACATTACTACTGAACTTTCTTGTGAATGTAAATACCTGTTGTTGCTGACATATGGTTAAAGATTGATTTGAAAATGATGATGGTCTTCTTTATTTAGTTAGTACGCGGACGCGTGTGTAACCAGTAGAAATTATGATTTACAGGTTTTATTTACAGTTAAAATTTAAAATTTACAGTTTGATACATATTGTAGTAGTATTATATTCAGCCCTATATTAGATGTTATTAAACTAACAATTCAGGCAATCATGCTCAGAAGTGAATTTTGCTGGATTGAAGTTTATCCACAAATGGATATCAAAAGAGGTACTTTCTATCTCTCTCTATTTATCCCATTCCGTTCTAATCAGAGTTCAATTCTAAGATAAGATCTGTCGTTCTCTCTACATATCACATATCATCCACTTTTCCTCTTTAAAATATATATAGAATAGGGATATAATACTAATAAATCATGTATGTAAATCATTCCTTATCTTCACAAGACATTAATAATTGATATGGAATTTGTGGTAGCGCCTTCATAAACACGAAATTTTTGATTTTGTGTTATTATTTACCAAATCACCGTTAAAAAAATTGTATCATAAATTTTAAAGATATCAATTTACAACCAAAACTTAAGGGCAACATCACTGTTATTGTTCTTTCAATCATAGTTCATGATAGATGACCATGTCAAGTTTTTCCTTTTCCAATGATGATTCACTGAGTGATATGTATAACTTCCAATCTCCCAACCATCTGGTAAAATCTCCATCTAGTATCAGTTACAAAGTCGGTAACGATAACCATGCCAAGTCTAACAACATAAAGGTTGTTTGTCGATTTAGACCAGATAACGAAGTAGAGAATCGTACCAGAACCAATAATGAATGCTGTTTTCGTATTCCAAATCCTCATACTGTCATTTTTGACGTTAATGAAGTTTCAAATCAATTCACTTACGATAGAGTGTTTAACGAGGATGCTAATCAAACTGACGTATATACATATTCCATTTCTCAAACAGTGGACGATTTCCTCAATGGTTATAATGGTTGTGTTTTAGCTTATGGACAGACTGGTAGTGGGAAATCATACACCATGTTAGGTAAACACAGTGAATCCGAAAAAGGTTTAATTCCAAGAATTTCTGAAGATATATTCGATAGGATTAATAGTTCTTCATCTGATATGGAATACGTTGTTAGTGTATCATTCTTTGAAATTCATAAAGAACAGATCAAAGACTTGATAGTGCCCACCACAAAGAATCCCCATGATACAGCCAAATATACTATACATGAAGATAAAATAAGAGGTGTTTATATAGAAGGATTATCTCATGCATTTATATCATCCCATGAAGAATTATATCACATATTAATCGACGGTTTGAAATCAAGATCAACTGTTTCAACAGGCATGAATTTAGAATCATCGAGATCTCATGCTATATTTCAAATTAAGTTAACCCAAACCCATTCTCAAACTGGGGTAACTAAAAACTCACAATTATTCCTTGTTGATTTAGCAGGATCAGAAAAAGTGGATAAATCAAATGCAACAGGCCATACTCTAGAAGAAGCTAAAAAGATTAATAGCTCTTTATCATCCCTTGGAAATGTTATTAATGCTTTAACTGACCAAAAATCAACTCATATACCATATCGTGATTCAAAGTTAACTCGTATACTTCAAGAATCAATTGGAGGAAACTCAAGAACCACTTTGATTATCAACTGTTCATCATCCGGGTTAAATGAACTGGAAACTTTAAATTCATTAAGATTTGGAACGAGGGCTAAAACCATCAAAAATTCAGCTCATATTAATACGGAATTAAGTTCGTCTGCTTTAAGATATAAGCTAAGTCAACTAGAACAAATCAATGATCAAAATCAAATATATATAAGAGAATTAGAAAAGGAATTACATAAGTATGAAAATGGATCTGTCATTGAACATCCCAACACTCCTTCTAAAGATTTCAAATCTCGCTTACCGCAACCAATAGCTTCATCACCCAATCGTAATAAACATTTGCACGAAGAACTTACCAGGAAAGATAGAAAGATTGAAGAACTTGAGAATGAGATTTTAAATATGAAAATGGAAAAATTAAGAACAGCCCATAATGAAGAATCAAAATTATTTTCATTGGAAAATACTCTTCATAAAATAAGTGATAAATTGAATGATGTAGAGTTAGTTAATATCAATTTGAAGAAACACCTTTTAATCAGTGAGAAGATCATTGAATCTAGAGATGCTAAAATCAATCAATTGAAGAGTGTATTGAATGAACAACAAAAGATGATCTATAAGGAAGCATCAGGCTTTAAGAATAAATTAGAGGAATTGAAATTTACCATCGATAAGTTACATAATTCAAAAGAAGAACCTCAAGATATAAGTTTACATTCAGTACTTGAAGAAAAAGAGAATATATTCATTGGTGAAAAGAATACTTCCATCAATTTTCAAAAAGAATTATCAATGGTTAATGAAATGTTAGAGGAAACTCGTACGAAATCAAGCGTGCTTGGTTCAAGTTATCTTTCACCTGATAGATCAAGCGTTATAGATAATTTAATTGGTAAAGAATCGCCAAAATTAGGACTTAATTTAAATATTATTAAACCAGTTAGAGGTGGTCATGGTAAATAGGATGTATAGAAAATATACATAAACATATAAAAATATTCAAAATTTGGATAAACTTTGGGTACCTACTAAATATAATCCACCATCAATAGGTAAACTAATCCCAGTGATATAGTTTGATTGTTTACAACAAAGAAAAAGAACAGAATTTTGTATGTCTGACATTTTCCCATACCTTCCAAGAGGATTACCACTAGTTAATTCTTCGCTATTATTAGTCACCAATGATTTTGACATTTTAGTAGGGAAAATACCAGGAGCAATCACATTAACATTGATATTACGACGACCAAATTGATAAGCAAAGTTCTTACCTAAATGAGAAACAGCAGCTTTAGATGCTAAATAACCATACGTACCTCCGAAATCAGTAGCAACTGAAGCAGCAACCGATGAGACAATGACAATTCTTGATGGATCTTGATAATTACCCGACTGTTCAAGTAATGGAGCAAATAACTTGACACAATGGAAAACTCCAACCACATTTAAATCTAAAACTTTCTTTACGGCTGATATAGGATGCTTATAAAATGTTTCTCCATAAGCTGCACCAGCATTAGCAATTAAGATATCTAATTTTGAAATTTTAGAACTAATCTCAGAAAAGAATCTTTCTAAATCCTTTTCATCAGCTATATTACAAGCTATAGCAATAACATCAACTGTTTTACCATTTTTCTGAGCAAGAGATTCAAGTTCACTTTTAGCCTTATTGCAAGCATCTTGCTTTCTTGAAGTTATAATGATTTGACTGGCACCGTTTAAAACAAATGATTCAGCAATATGGTAGCCTAACCCTCTAGTACCACCAGTTATTAAGGCAACTTTGCCATCGACGTTGATATCTACCATTTGATTGAATTGACTTTTAAGGCCACTTTGATATGATCAAGATTGAAATCTAATTGATATTAAACTAGTTTGAAATGGCAATCATTAGACTTCACTTCACATGCTGAAATGGGATCTTTTATGTGGGGAACAAACTGAACTGTCAAATCGGTCACGTTCAAAAAGTCACATGACATTGGTTAAAGCCATGATAAGATAAAAGATGAAGTAAATAGGTGGAAATGACTTGCAATTAACCTAAATTTTACATTTTACTTCATATTAATAAAGTCTATCTTTTATACCATTCAATAGTTTGACTATGATCATTACTAATAACATCTCATGATCATCCATATCATTATCATCTTGGTCTACAGTTAAGGGAAACGCGTATTTAATTTAAGCAGCATACATTTTTTGGTATCAGCACACACACCACCAGACACCACAAAAAGAAGTCGAAAAATATACACATAAAAAAATTTGAACACGACCAGCGTATAGATACTTTTGAAAGATAAGTTGTTAACTATCCCAATTGGTTATCATATTAAACTATATATCGTATAATCAAGTACAATGGGTTTTGATTTTTCATCTTCTGCGTTCCAAGAGAATCCAGTTTATCAACAATTTGTGAAAATTGAAGTTACTTATCAAAAGTATTTGGATCAATCAGTTCCTCATCCTTTACATAGATGGATTGGATTTGGTGTATTGGTATCAATCTTTTTACTTAGAATCATCATATCTCAAGGTTGGTATATAATATGTTATGCTTTAGGGATTTATTTATTGAATTTATTCTTAGCGTTTTTAACTCCAAAGTTTGATCCTTCATTAGAACAAGAATTAAAAAATGAATCCATCGAAGAAGGTATTCAAGATCAAGGTGATATCCCCAATGAAGATGATGAAGAATTCAGACCTTTCATTAGAAGATTGCCTGAATTCAAATTCTGGTATAACGCTACAAGAGCCGCTGCTTTATCATTATTTTTATCATTATGGACCATATTTGATATTCCTGTATTCTGGCCAATCCTTTTAATGTATTTCATCATTTTATTCACTTTAACTATGAGAAAACAAATCCAACATATGATCAAACACAAATATTTACCATTTGATTTTGGTAAAACAAAGTATAGAAGAGCAGTCTAAGATTAGACTTAATATCTACATTTTATCAACCTGTTTTATGTTGTTTGTTTACTTGATATGTTTTGAATCAAATCTTATAAACTATTGCAGATGATTACTGGTTTGAATTTACTTTACGAATAGTGTGATAATGATATTTTTTATTTTCAGTGTATTATAGAACTAACGCTTTTTAATGTATTTTCAAATATTGGGCAAAAACTACTTATTATTAACAGAGTCAGCCAATTCCATTTAATTTATCATTTCATTTCCTTTCCTTTCATTCTTATTAGTATTCTATCTGTATATGATATTCACATATGTATGTAGATATCTATTTGTATATTTAATTAAAAAATACTTTAAATCTATTAAAGAGAGCTCATGTTAATCTGCAAGGAAATTTGTAACAGTCCTAATCATTTAGAATCTATTATAATGTCACTTTTGTCCACTTTAAAGAACAAGTTTCTGGATTAAGAATAATCTAGTCATTGTTCGATGGTGAAGTAATTAAACTTGACGTTGATTCCTGTTAAATAAGTAATTCTTGAAAACGACGTGGCTCTGATAGAATCAATACTCCTGGCTGTTATATATTCTTTGAGTTGGTACCATTATATTCACGATAAGACAAACTTGGTTTTTTTGCAACTATAATAAATTATAATTTCCTTAAATTGCGCTTTTACAGATCTAAAAAGTTAAATTGAAGAAACTGGAATTTGAAAGATAATCACTTACTTAACCTTGCACAGAATACCTGATTATCCTATTTAGTTTCATTACAGCCAAACATTAGTCTACTTAGTTGGTACTTGAATCAGTTACACACATATTGGTTAATCATCATATTAATATTATACTAGTAATAAGAATAAAAGTAGTTCATTTCAGTTTTCAAAAACTTCCAATTAGCATATATTGACAGACATATAGCTAAAAATCAACATTTTGGTATGGTACTTGTAGTATAGCCATCATATTAACCATTAATATGGGGGCAGTAATTTGATAAAAATGGGATCATGTGACTCAGCCACCAGTTCATCTTTTTTTGACAGAACAAAAAATCTAAAATTACCGAACTTACCCCTAAATAACTAATCGACGATATCTAGATTGAACAGTTACTTAATACATCCAGTTGTTTAAATATCACAATTAATTAGCCATGAGTCGTGCTGAAGCTGATTTACAGCTTAGTGTTAAGAAAGCGTGTAATGCTGATGAAGTTCCTCCAAAAAGAAAACATGTGAGGGCCTGTATCGTGTACACCTGGGATCATAAGAACTCTAGAGAATTCTGGAATGCAGTCAAGATCCAACCTTTACAAAGTCATGAAGTTCAATTGTTTAAAGCTTTGATCATGATTCATAAGGTTTTACAGGAAGGTCATCCAAATACTTTGAAAGATGCTTATCGTAATCGTGACTTTTTATCATCTTTAGCTACTGTATTTTCTGCTCATGGGAATGGATCTTATGGTCGTTTGATTAATCAATATGATAAGTATATTTTACAGAAGTTGGATTTCCATAGAAACAATCCTGGTTTCAATGGTATGTTTGAATATGAAGAATATATTTCCCTTCGTGCTGTCAATGATCCAAATGAAGGTTATGAATCTATCTTACAATTGATGGATTTACAAGACCTGATTAACGATTTACAAAAAATGATCTTTGCAACTATAAATCAAACTCCAAATAATCTTTGTAAAGTAAGTGCTTTAGTGCCATTGATTTCAGAATCTTACGGTATTTATAAATTTTGTACGTCGATGTTAAGAGCTATGTTTCAACAATTAGGAGCTGATGAAGCTTTAGAAGGATTATTCCAAAGATTTGATAGTCATCATTTCATGCTTAGAGATTTCTATACTGATTGTAATGCTATTAAGTTCTTAACCAGTCTTATTACTATTCCAAGATTACCTAATAATCCTCCAAACTTACAAGTTACCGATGAAGGTGTTCCAATCTCCAGACCAAGATCAGTCAACAGTAATCAAGTTAGTGAACAACAACAAAGTTTTGAAGCCCCACAATCAGCTCCACCTGATTTAGAACATTTAAAATCTCAGCAAACAGGTTACTTGTTCCAACAACAACAAGAACAAGAACGTATCCAACAACAATTGGAATACCAAAGACAACAACAATTAGAACAACAACAACTACAACAAAGACTTTTTGAAGATCAACAACGTGAGCAAGAACGTTTGTTCTTGCAAGAACAAACCGCATTACAAGCTCAACAAACTGCTCAACATCATGGAAGAGTTTCTGAATTGGAACATGATTTACTTATGTTTAAGAACCAATATGATAATGATCAACAATTATTGCAACAATATGATGCTCGTGTCAAGAGTTTAGAAACTGAATTACAAACTTTCAACAATACTGCTACCCAACAAGTTGCTTCTAAAGATGAACAAATTAGAAATTTGGAAGAACAAATTTCAAACTGGACTAAAAAATATGAATCTTTAGCTAAATTATATTCTCAATTAAGACAAGAACATTTGAACTTGTTGAATAAGTTTAAAAAGATCCAACAAAAAATCACTAGTGCTCAAGAATCAATCTTAAAGAAAGAGAAATTCGAAAAAGATTTGAAATCTAAGAATGTCGAATTAGCTGATTTAATCCGTGAAAGAGATAGAGCTAGATTAGATTTGGATAGATTAAGAGCTAGTAAAGATCAAGAAATTGAAAAACTTGAAGCTCAAGTTAGAGAGTTAAATAGTCAAGCCAATGAAGCTGGTAGACAATCTATAAATCTTTCATCTTTGATTGCCAAACATGAAAGTGAAAAAGATGAATTAAAGAAACAATTAGCCAATGGTGGTAATACTGGAGATTTGGAAGATAAATTAAGAGAAAAGGAGGTTGAATTAGAAATTGCACAAGAATCTTTAGAAAGTGCCATGCAAGCTTTAGAATTGAATAATAAAGATAATGAAGATATTATTAATAGTCAAATTGATGAAATTATATTAAAGAATATTGATAAATTAAAGGATTTGATTGATTTAATCTTAGAAAATAATATTATAAGAGTCCAAGATTCAAGACATGAATTAGCTTCAACCATGCAAGCTGGTAATTTGAATGCAACTCCAGAATATGTTTTATCGATCATTGAATTGACTTCTGATACTGCTACTGATTTTGCATCTATTTTTAACAATTATATTGCTGCTGCTGTTCAATCATACGATGATTCAGATACTACCTATTCTGATATTATCTTAAAGAGTAGTGATCTTGCTACCAATGTTATTGATTTAATGTTGAATACTAAGGGTATTACTCGTTTAGTGCCAAAAGAAGATGAAGAAAACCTTTTGAATATCGTTGAAGATGTTTTATCAAAGACAATTGGATACTTTGAAACTTTAAAATCAGAAAGCTTAAAGTTATTTGATGATGACGATGATAAAATAGATGCTGTTATTGATGGTAACTTGAGTGTTCAAAATGCTTTACAAGAATTAGGTAAGAATGTTGACGGTTTAAGATCAAAGAGTGGTATTGACTTTAACCTGGGTAATTTAGAAGACATTGTAAATAATGAAATGAAACAAACCGCTCAAAAGGTTGATTCCGCTTCTAAATTCTTAGATGACCTTTTGAAAAATCCAAATATCAGTGGTGGAGATATTGAAGTTCATGAAGCTATCTTAGCCGCTGCTAAATCCATTACTGATGCTGTTATCGCTTTAATCCTTGCCGCAACTGAATCCCAAAAGGAAATTGTTACTAAGGGTAAAGGTGCTCAATCAAGAACTGCATTCTATAAGAAAAATAATAGATGGACTGAAGGTTTAATAAGTGCATCCAAAGCTGTTGCCGGTGCCACTAATATTTTAATTCAAACAGCTGATGGTGTTTTGAAACAAACCAATTCTCATGAACAATTAATCGTGGCTTCCAATGAAGTTGCAGCATCTACCGCTCAATTAGTTTCAGCCTCAAGAGTTAAAGCTAACTTTATTTCTAAAACTCAAGATTATCTTGAAACTGCTTCAAGTCAAGTTTCATCTGCTTGTAAAGTATTAGTCTCAAAAGTCCAAGGCTTGTTATCTAAACAAGATCAAGCCAATAATGACATTGATTTAAGTAAATTAACTCCTTATGAAGGAAAGACCGTTGAAATGGAACAACAAGTTGAAATTTTAAAATTAGAAAACAAACTTGCTTATGCTCGTAAGAGATTAGGAGAAATTAGGAAACACGGTTATAGAGATGATAATAGCGATGATGAATCTTAAAAATAAAATGACTATCGATAATTAGTTTTTAATTACAAGTCCCATTTTTTGTATATGTTTTTGTTGATATATATTAATGTTTTAACAAACGAATAAAATTACTAGCATTGTTCTAAATATTATAAACACAGCTCTCGAAATATTGTAGTTGAAGTCTTAAAAGATATCACCTGTTCCTGCTAATTTATGTTCTTTTCTTAACTTCCAATATTCACCCTTGAATTCCCAGAAAGAATCTCCAGTAACTGGATGAACTTTCTTAACAAACCAATTTGGTACGTAAGTTTCTTTATTTTCTTCTCTCTTCTTTCTGGCTTCTCTTTGTTTAACTTCAACTCTATGCTTTTCATCAGCAGCTTGATCATATTTACCATCTTCCATATCTCTTTGATCAGGTCTTAATCTTGTATCAGTAGGGGCTAACCACGATCTTAAATTATCATCAATCCCATTCAAAGTGATAGCGAAAGAAGTTAAGTTAAACGGAACCTTTGGACGAGGAGCAGCTTGCCACACTAAGAATTTACTGCCACTAAATGGATCATTACTTGAGCCAATTTTAGGAACTGATGCATCAGGATCAACTAAAGAATCACGTCTTTCACCAAGTGGTATTGGGGAGTCTATTATTTTTTTGGCAAATATCTTAGAATTCCAATGTCCACCCATGGCCCACTGAGGTTTACCATGTCTATCAATTGCATGACCTGATAATTGATAAGCAGAAGATGCTCTCCAACCTCTTTGTTTTAAGTCAACGATAATAGAATCCCCAGTGGTATGATTTGTCACTTCCATTTTCCCGAAATTATCAACAGTCGGGTTACCAATAATAATACCCACAACTGAAGTATTAACCTTTTTCCAACTATAAAGTTCTTCATGAACTTTATTATTATTCTTATCGATAACACCATTATCTGGTCTTAATACACAGAACATTTTACCCAAATGCTTAAAATCAAATGATCTACCTCTGAATTTTGAATCAACAGCATTTTCACCATAGTAATCCCATTTAGGAGATTCAGCACTACAAGCACTGATAGGAGGATGATGACTGACTTGTTCGACAATCAATCTATATTGTTCATCAGGACGACAATATTCAAAAGTTTCTCTTAATAATGGATTAAATGGTTTAGCAATTCTATCAATAGTTGACGCATATTCCGTAGCAGCAAATGTAGCCACGTAAATTAAACGTAATGTGGAATCGTCATAACTAGCACCAATATTAAGTAAATTACTATATTCAATATCTTCAGCTAATCTTTGTAATAAAGAAGTTGGTTCATTGAATGATACAGGTAAAGTCATTCTAGTCATATCTTTTCCGATCATTGATTTTAAAATACCCCATAGACCAACCTTTGGTCTATTATCTTCATCCATGGATAATTTTTGTCTTGGTGGGTTTTCATATCCAAGGAATGATCCTTCTTGGCTTAATTTCTGTAAAACCATTCCTTGGGCTTTATTATATTGCGATAATGCCTTTTCATATGTAGGTGGTGCTTTCTCTTCAGTAACAGGTACAGCGGCAGTTCCATCGACAGGTACTTCTTCAACGGCCTCACCAGCTTCTTTTTCAGTTTCTTCTTTTTCTTCTTCGCCTTCTGGGGCTATCTCTTCTTCTTCCGCCACAGGTTCATGAACTTCCTTGTCTTCTTCTTCAGGTTCTTCGAATTCATCAGCATCAAAGAATTCATCACCTGAATCATCATTTAATATTTCGTCAAGAACATCATCCGGAACTCTTTGTATGCCAATAGCATCTTGAGAACCAATTATATTATGATCAATTTCTTTCAATTGTTCATTATTTGGTATGGAACTTAAAGATGTATCTTGAGGACCGAGATTTTCTTCATTATGTAAGGCAATGAGACCAGCATCAATCGGAGTTGAAACGTCTGAATGTTTTGATGGACCACTGACGGAAAGATATTTTTTAAGTTGTTTCTTTTGACCTTCAAATTGAGCCAATTTAACTTCTCTTTGATGAATTTCATTCTCCAATTGTTTTATCGAACTTTCCCATAATTTATTGACTTCTAATTGTCTTTCTAATTTGGCTAATAATTTCTCATCTCTGGATTGAATAATAAGATTAAGTTTTAAAAATTGCTCTTTGATAGATTTTAAAGTACTTAATCCTAAGGTATAACTTTGAGCTTCTCTAGAATCAGGAGCATGAACATTCAGTTCAATGATATGACCAAACAAATCAATCAATGAAGTGATTTCCACATCAACCGATCTCTTTATGGTTGAAACTTGCTCGGCCAATGGACCTATAATATTATCAGATGTTTTTGATTCATTTTCACTATCATATTCTTCATCAGCTTCATCTAAATCATAATCGAAATTCTCTACATCTACTGAATCTTGAATACTGAATTGATCTTCAGTACTTAATCTTGCCATTGCTGTTTCATGATTTAAACCACTTAATACACGTTTTGAAGTTGGAGAAGTTGGAGATTCACTGGCAAATGCATTTGGATTAGGAGATTTTAAAGTGGTATTAACCAGTCTACTAGTTTGGATAGATGAACTGATATCTTCGTCTGCTACAGAGCCAGCTGCGGAATTTAACGATAATTGACTTGATGTTCTCTTATGTTTTGATTTCTTACTTGGGATTCTAAGTCTTGATGATGATCTTCTTGGTTCAGGATGTTCTTCAAAACTCTTTCCTCTTTCAGACTCTTCATCAATCACATCAACCCCACCAGCTTTCTTTTTAATATTATCCTTAGCTATTGTGATTGCATTTTGTAAAGTCCATACCCATCTATTTGTTTCAATAGGGTGGTTAGCTTTTAAATGCCATCTAATACCATTTTTACCAATGATTTCAAATTTTAATTTTTCAGATGAATCTAAATGTAAAACTGCATATCCCAAATTTAAAGATCCACGACATGAATTATTAGTATCATCTTGATTAGTATAATAAGATAAAATACCAAATTGATCAAGGATAAAATATCTTAATTTATACCCACTAGCGAAATTTGTCCATTTTCTTAAATAACCTTTATAAGTTGGAGCTGCCCCTTGTTTAATGGCATTACTTGTATTTGCAACTGGATCCATTATATTTTGATCTTTAGAAGCCACTTTTAATAATTTACGCAATGGATCATTCTTATTATGAATTAAATCAATAGGTAATTTACCACGCTTATCACGTTTAAATGGATCTCCACCATGTTTTAAAATCCAATCACACATTTGCAAATCATCTTTTCTAATGAATTCATGTAAGACAGTATTACCTGTTGTTGGTTCTGCTCCATTAATATCTAATAATTCAGCAGCACGAGGGTTTTGAACTAATAACTTTTCTAAATTTGTAAAATCACGATCACTAAAATATTGTCTAAGTTGAACTGAAACTTTTTCAACAAATTTGGCTCTTTCGAATTGCATCAATTGAGCTATATTCAAATCTTTACATACTTCCACTGGTTGTTTTTTCTTTAAATTCACAATGGTATCGTTTATATCTGGTAATGATAATAAGAATTTAACCACTTCTAAACGAGATGACATAGCTGCCAAATGCAATGGAGTGTTTCCGTCCGCATCTTGAGAATTGATATCGATATGGTATTTGGTAGCATTAGTGACAAGATGTTGGATTAATGAAAGGGAGGAAAGTTGGACAGCATAATGCATCACAGTTTCCTTTAATTGGATTATATCTGAGTTTTGAATGGTTGATTCAGTAGATGAAAGTTCGGTAATCACACCATCAACTTTTGAAGTGTCTCCACTTCTGAGAGCATCCAATAACTTTAACTTCAATAAAGAAGCATTCAATTGAGACGTCGACATCTTGATGAGATTAGATTTAAACGACGAAGACTAATATACGATACTTTATGAATGATACAATCAGAACCATGCACACACAGACACTCAGAGATACAGGGAAATTAACAATTGATAATAACAAACTAAAGACTCAATCAGCCGTTAGTAACACCCTCCACTTATAAAGTAAGTTATACGTTTCAAAAGTCTTCTTAAATAGAAGTGGAATTGAATTGTAATTGTAATTAGTTTTAAATACTAATTATAGAAATCAAAATGTGATTCAAATTTTCTGCTTGGCCTTTTTCTCTGATTTTGATTGCCGTGTGTTTCCCTCATATTGCGGCATGGATGCAACTCCATTAGTTGCTAATTTTATGATTGAAACAGATGATTGGCGAAAGGATCGTTACGAGTGATGGTCAATTGGAGATGTGTTTTGATGGCAGGTGGGATCATCATAGTCGTTTAGAAAATGTTTAGACTGTTACAAGATAATGGTTCGACATGAGTTGACATGTGTTTGCTTGTTACATGAGATCAATTTTACATCAAAATTACGTTTGTGATGACAACAATGGTAATTGATGAATTGACAATCGTTCATTGATATCATATTACTATCACAATGGAAGACATGATGTAATTGGTGTTCGGGTATCTGTGTCAACTTATTTAAGGTTAGAAAGGAACAAAGATAGCCACTACCAATTTACCTCGGGCGGTTCACTGCGTACACGTTAAAATTACCACAGTCTGCTATACCAATTAATGTATGAACAGTGATCAAATATCATTAACGTGTCCACAAACAATTGTCAACACGAGTAGGAATATACTTTACTAGGTTGTATTTACAATTCGTATCATTTGCCTAGCTTTACGATGAAGATTTAAAACTTTATAGTTTAATAAACCGGTGAATCAAACATCATCATATGAGGAGACCAAAAAATAATCACATGATCTCACACGTGAGTAGAATTTTTGTAAAATTTGCACGTACTTTTAAAGAGTTAAAATGTATAGATATATATATATATACAATGATATAAATAATTACTTTAAACTATATATTTCACATAACACATTCTAAGGAGTCATGAGTGATGGGGGTAAACGAAAGAATGATGACAAAAATGATGATGGCTCTTTAAAGAAGATCAAATTAGATCCTACCCATTTAAAACCTTGTCAGACTTTATATATCAAAAATCTAAACGACAAGATTAATCCAAAAGTAATGAAACATAATTTATATCTATTATTTTCCACATATGGCGACGTCATTCAAATACATAATCGTAAACGAGGACAAGCCCATATCGTATTCGGTGATGTTGATAGTTCCAGCTTAGCATTACGAAGTTTACAATCTGATGTATTTTTCGATAAACCATTGGTGATTAATTATTCCATCAATGAATCAAGTATCATTACTAGACTTAAGAGACAACAAGAAATAATTGAAAATGAAGAATAGAAAGTTTAGAGGTGACATCATCACCGATTGTATTATTCATTAAATTTTCCATTGAAATCCTAATCCCATATGATTCTGAGATGGAATATTACTTACGAACCCTGCTACGACCTATAGATGTATAAATAGAATGTAATATATTTTTAATAATTATTTGAATTCCCAATTGTAGATGTAGAATGTCTAACTCGTTTTTATTGGTTGTAATCTTGTTACTAATAGTCAAAGTCCTTTTCGTATGTTTGCAATATCAAAGATGCTCTTCGAGCTCATTGAAAAAAAAAATAGTTTGCATCAATTAAAATATCAAAACTGAATAACTATTCGTACTGAAATAACCAACATATCCACACAATGGCAAAAGGGAAAAAGGGTGCTTCAAATAGAGTAGCAGCTCAGCTTCTTGAATCATCAGTGGCTCCAATATTAGACATCAAATATGAAGATCCTTTGTTTACTATGGCATTACATCCTTCCAAATCAATTTTGGTAACTGGATTAGCCACGGGACATATCTTCTGTGAAACTTATAATTCAACAGCTTTACAAGAACTTCAACAACAAAAGAGAGAAGAAATTGAATCAAATGGTTCTGCCACTTTCGCCACTAGCAAAGTTTATAAATATACTAAATCAATCTCCCAACTGAAAAGTAAATGGTGGCTTCAAAAAGATAATAGTGAAGAAGACCTTAGTGGTAATGTGGTCAGAAATTGGTCAACCAAGAGACATAAGGGATCATGCAGACATATTATCTTTGAACAATTACAAAGCACTGTCGGAGAGTATGTTTATTCAATAGGGACGGATAATGTCATTAAGAAAGCACAAATCATTAATGGTAAAGTAGTAGCTAAAGTAGATACCACTCAAGATTTCACAGATCCTAAAGATCATATTAATAAACTTTGTCATTCCACCACTCATTCATTCTTATTAGCCGGTACTGAAACCGGTAATGTTTTAATATACGATACTAAATCAAATGGTTTAAAAAGATCAGATTATAAAATTTTCCAAGCTAATGATGATCAAATAAATCAAATCTTACCTATGCCTGATGTTTCAGCCTATCATTATCTCACCATTGGATCAACTACATTAAGTCATATTGATATCAGAAAGGGGATAATCACTCAATCTGAAAATCAAGAAGATGAATTATTATCAATGTGTTACCCATCAAACGATACGAAGAATGATGAAGTAATAGTAGGTCATGGTGAAGGTATTGTTACTATTTGGAAGAATTCTAAGAATAGATTCGCTGATCAATTAACTCGTATTAAAATAAACAAAGAATGTTCTATTGAAAGTATGGTACCAACTTATAATCAAGATGATGATGAGTTAGCTAATTCTATTTGGTGTGGTGATTCTGATGGATTATTACATCGTATTAATTATAAACAAGGAAAGATAGGTGAAGTAAGAGTTCATTCAGCTGGTAATGGATTAGGTGATGAAGTCGAAGCTTTGGATATTGATTTTGAATATAGATTGGTTAGTGCTAGTATGGGAAATTTGAAGATCTGGTCTAATGAAGATATTGAAGCCGGCGAGGAAGAAGAAGAAGAAGATGATGATGACGAAGACGATGATGATAGTGATGTGGGTGGTAATGGTGACGATGATGATGTTGAAGCTGGATCAGATAGTGATAGCTTTGATAGTGATGATGCTAGTGATGTTTCTTTGGCCGATGCTTACGATGATAAGTCAGATGAAGATGATGAGGATGAAGAAGGTGATAAAGACGAGGACGAAGAAGAAGGGGAAGGAGAAGAAAACGACGACGAAGAGAAAGAAGAGGACGAAGAAGAAGAAGAAGAGAAACAAGAAATAGCTGCCATCGTAAGAAGGAAGAGAACTGATATAAGTCAAATCTTAGCACCATCCAAAAAGACAAAGATAGTTGACTTGAACAAAAGTACTAAACCTGATCCAATAGAAGATGAACCAGTAGAAGATGAAGCAGAAGAATCTATTCCAATAAGTAATAAAAAAGCTAAAGCAGAGAAAGTTTCAGCTAAACAATTGAAAAACATGCAAAAGCATGAACACGGTATTAGAAAGTTTGAAGGTTTATAGATTATAGATTTTAAAATATACGCTCTAAACATAAATGAAAAACTGATCATCATGGTCAATTCTTCTTGTAATGATTTCTACAAGTTGTCATTGAGTAATGGTATAAATATCTTTCATTTATTCATTAATATCAATGTCGAAATAAATTTGCCTTAATAGTTAGTTGATGGACCTAAATAGAAATCAGTTGTTAGTCAATGTTGAACTGTGATATTGGACTGACGAGATTAGTACTTGCGAAGCAGTATCGTATTTCACCAAAACAGGCATGAATTAAATAGTCAGATAGAATAGCTAAACAGTATTATGATTTTTGATTATCTTTTTTCAGGATCAGTTTGGTTATCGCATTTTTGAACAATACAAATATCAAGAAGAAATTTGTAAACCTGATTGGCCTCCACAAATATTTTTAGCATCCTTTTTCTAACTAAGATCAGATAATCTCTACCAATAGGTATGGATCCCCTCAATGTGTCTACCGTTAAGAACGTCGTCTTAAACAGGAGGGGCTATAATATTATTGGTACACTTATTTTATCTCCTTATCATCTTGTATTTAGCTTTCTTCCTCCTTCATCATCAGGACAAGAAAATGGAACTGTCAAACAACCAAAAGAGATCTGGATATGTTATCCTATGATTGAGAGGATGTCGAAATCAAGAGGTTCATCCTGGATGAATAATGCTAATGCCAATGGCAATTCATCTGGCAGTAATGAAGATTCAGGTCGTTCAGAAGCAACTTTACCCAAGATTGATATTGACAATTTCGATCATTATAGTGCATCTCATATTAGACTACATTGCAGAGACTTTACCTATTATTCGTTTGATTTTATGAATGATTTGATTTGTATTGAAGTGTTTTCCAAATTAAGTTTCTTAAATACAGTTTGTAAAACTGAAAATGATATTCAAACTTTATACGCCTTTGATTATCGTCCTAATGCATTGGAATTGAATCTACCCGTTAATGGTTGGAATATATATGATCCTATAAAAGAATACAAACGGTTAGGATTAGTGAAAGAAGATGATAAATTTTGGCGGATTTCAAATCTTAATAATGATTATAAATTTTGTCCATCTTATCCTAATATTCTTGTCGTACCTAGTACCATATCAGATAACGTTTTAAAACATACGGCAAAGTTCAGATCCAAACAAAGAATCCCGGCTGTGGTATATAAACATAAAAGTGGAGTCAATGGTAATGTGATAGCTCGATGTTCTCAACCATTGGTAGGATTAAATTTACAAAATCGATCAATTCAAGATGAAAAATTAATTGCTGAGATTTTCAAGAGTCAAGAAAGAGAACGTCAAGATCAGATTTCTGAAGATGATGATTTCCAAGGTCAACCTCAAAAGAATCTCATTGTTGATTTAAGACCATTGACCAATGCCATGGCTCAACATGCATTAGGAGCAGGAACTGAAAATATTGATAATTATAGAGGTAAAGATCCTATTAAGAATAATAATGGAAACGGTAACGGTCCAGCAAACTCCAATCCAGGACTTGAAACTTCTTCCTTATCAAATGGTGGTGTCCATCAAGAACATCGACTTGTTAATAAAATCTTCTGTAACATTGATAATATTCATGTCATGAGAGATTCTTTAAATAAACTCCTGGCCATCTTAAACGATCTCGATAAATATCCAGTATCAAACACAACCAATAAAACTCAAAGTGCATATCCTTTATTACAACAAGCCTTAACCAAAACTCAATGGTTACATCGATTATCCATAATCTTACAATCAGTTGATCGAATCACCAAATCAATCCATTTCAATAATACAAACGTCATTATCCATTGTTCAGATGGATGGGATAGAACTTCTCAAGTATCGGCCTTACTGCAACTTTGTTTAGATCCATATTATAGAACCATAGAAGGGTTTATGGTATTGATTGAAAAAGAGTGGATGAGTTTTGGATTCAAATTCGCTACAAGAAGTGATCATGGTGGATGTATTGGAGCTATACTTAAAAAGGAACCTAAACAAGCTAGACTTGATCCTAATGAATCCAGTAGTGAACCAGCACCCGCAACTGCATCTCCAAATACATCCGATTCATATCTAGGTTCAAGTGGGTATGGAAGTACAGTGGCATCATTTTTACAAAGAGCAGCTACTCATATAAAGAATACAGCTGCAAATTCAGCTTTACTTTCCGATAGTGATCTTGTAGAGAATGGTAAATTCAATAGTTCGATTTATACCGGAAGTAATGAAAAATCGCCTATATTTCATCAATTTCTTGATTGTGTTTATCAAATCTATCGTCAACATCCATCCAAGTTTGAATTCAATAGTCGGTTTTTGAAAAGGCTTTTCTATCATTATTATTCATGTCAATATGGATCATTTTTGTGTGATTCCGAACGGGAATTAAAAGAGGTTAATAAAGTTCATGATCTGACGGTATCAGTATGGGATTATTTCAATTCCAGACCTAAAGAATTCACCAATCCTCTTTATACTTCCCTCAAAGAAGATCAAGAAATATTCTTTAATTTTGCTGATGTTAAATGGTGGTTTGAATTATATGGTAGATCAGATGAAGAAATGAATGGATTATCAAACTCTTTGGATCGGAAATTTGCCCAAATGAGACTTAATCAAAATGCATCTTCGGCATCGCCATCATCTGAACTGAGTCAAGTACTCAATGGTAACTCGTGAATCTCTCTAATATACACACACACATACATACATATACTCATATATACGCATATTTATTAATTTAATGAATGTTAATGTTTTAAAATTGCGATAGTCGCAAAAGAAAAAATTATGTCTGGGGAAGTAGAAATTTAACCGTTCAATCAATAGTATAGTTTTTATCTATTCATATGATCAACCAACGATGAATAGAAGTAGGCCGTTGTTAAGGGTGACTTCAAGGTGGTATCTGACCACTGTGCCGTATACCTCAGGTCCATTAGGTGTGGATGGGAGGCTACCCAACTCAGGAAATGATTTAAATATATCAGGTCTTGCAATCACTGATCCATTTATGTTATATCAGAATTATGTTCAACTGGGTATATTGGAGAAAGATGAATCTCAATTAAGAACAATGAAGGAGTTTCAAAAGTTATATCATCGAGTATTAGATTATTCACCCCCTGAAGAACTTCTGATCAAAATAAGTTTAATCCTAAAGCAGATTGAAATCAAACATTTGAAAGCTAAAGCGAGAGAACAGGGGACTAAGTACTTACCCATGAGACTTGGGACGTTAGCTAAGCTCTTCGAACGAGATCCTATAGCTGAAGAGAAGAAGTTAATCAGGTTTATTACTGATGAAGAAGAGTTAACTAATTTTGCATCACCACGAGGATTATTGGTGAATGGAGAAGTAGGATGTGGGAAATCAATGTTAATGGATATATTTGCAGCTTCCTTACCTCATAAATCAAAAATGAGATGGCATTATAATAATTTCATCTTATGGGTGTTTTCTGAAATGCATAAAATTCAACAAGAGAGATTATTGAAGTATAGTGTGCAAGGTCATGGCGAAGCTAATAGTAAATTAAGTATGGAAAATGAATTTGTATTGTTTGAAATTGCTCAAAAAATGATCAATAAAAATACGATATTGATCTTAGATGAGTTCATGCTTCCTGATATTGCATCAGCTAATATCATTAAGATTTTATTTACTTATTATTTCAAACTTGGTGGTGTATTGGTAGCAACATCAAATAAATTACCTGAAGAACTTTATGCAAATGAATTTCAAAAATCTAAATTTGAAACATTCACGAGAATCCTTAATATCAGATGTGATTCTGTCGATATGAAATCTTCTAAAGATTATCGAACATTATTTGCTGAAGCTACCAATGAAGAATCTCAATTGGTGATTAAACTTGGAAATGAAAATGAAGAACGAGATTGGAATAACCTTATAAAACATCAAGTCTTACACTTATCCCCAAAAGAATACGATACCCCTTTAGAGGAATTAGGTAAACCTTCACAAGTCACAGTGTATAATAGAACCACTCATATCCCATTAACTTTCAATAACAATAGTTTATGTTATTTAGATTATTCGTACATCTGTCAAGGATTATTCTCATCCTCAGATTATATAACCCTTGCATCTAATTATAAAGTGGTTATATTGGATAATGTCCCCATAATGACAACCAAGATGAAGAATGAAGCGAGAAGATTCATTACGTTACTAGATGCGATATATGAAGCCAAATGTCAATTTTTCATGAGAAGTGAAGTTGATATTGATTATTTATTCTTTCCCGATGCTATGGAAGATATAACTGATGAGAAGATTGTGGAGAAGTTGAAACATATGGATATTGATGATAATTCACTTCAAGTTCAAGATGAGGAAATGTACTCCAAAACCAAGATAGCTATGGAAAATCCTTATAGACCAAATATTGCATCATATGACGATCTGAAAATGGCCATATACGATGAACCAGTAAAGGAGCTTTCAAAGGAGGAAGTGTTCAAGGATATGAGAGCATTTACCGGTGATGATGAGAAATTTGCATTTAAAAGAGCAGTACTGAGAATAAAAGAGATGTTATTCTCTGATGCATGGAGATCAACTGATAGATGGGTTCCAATAGATCAAACCATGAGACCATGGGAAGGGGTGAAAGAGAAAGAAGAAGTAATATTTGCATCTTCTAGAGTTGAACCTACTCCACAAAATGTAAAATCAATAGAAGCCATTGATGTCAAAGTGGTTAAAGATGCATTACCACGAGATATGGCAACTTCATATAATATGCCATTTCGGATGTTTAATGCAATCTTTGCACCCAAATTTTCAAGTTTACAACATTTTTGGGCCATGGGACAATGGTCAACAGGTCAAGGTAAAAGACTTCGGGATAATATTAGTAAAACATGGATAAATAGTAGTAAATTTAATAGAGATATTGATAAATAGACATAATATAGATAAGTAGAAAACTTACCATCAATTAATCAATTAGTTCTCAAAACAATGTATATTTGAAAATCCGAGGAAAATGGGGAAAAAGGAAAAATCATCCTCTGCTTTTTCTAAAGGAACACAACAAAAAAAAAAAGAAGTATCAACCCCAGATTTATGAAACTGGCTATTTCCTTTTGAATGGTATCAAAGTTTCAAGTCCAATGTTAACCCCAGAAAGACTAGTCAAACTAGCATACAATTATCCTCAACTTCATAACACTTGGTATTTGGTGGCTTGTGCGTGTTTAACGGTGATCAATCAACCCCAAGAGATTCCCAAGATTTTCCATTTTGCGTTACGACAACAATTATTGGAATTTTCAAATGATAAAGGTCTTTTAACGGATAAGTTCTTATTGAAATTGGCTCAAGATTCGATATCTTCTCTGGATAAGTTTCAAGATTTAGCTTCAGTAGGAGTTGGTTTGCCGGATATATTGATTCCTTTTACTTATTATGATAAATTACCATTAAAGTTCAAATATGCAAAGACTGATGATATTCATGCAACTCAATCTGTCATTGCTGCTAAGTTCAGAGAAGTGATTTTGAAATCAACTGCATTGGCAGGATTACCAAAGGCCATTAATGCTCTTATGATCTTAAAAAGTGTTACTCCAACCAGTATTAGACCAGGTACTTTACCGGAAAGAAAACCAATTGTTCATCCTGGTCGTTTATTATCATCTTATATTGTAGGCGAAGATGCAGAAGGAACTAAATTTGAAAGTAGTTCAAGAAGTCCTCAAACTTCAGACACTATAGATGGACCAATATCTGTCAATTCTTTCGATGTGAAACAATTGAAGGAAGATTTAACCCGAGGTTCGGAATTCTGGAATGATATTTATACTAATAAAATCAATACTAGAATCAAAAGACAAATGATGAATGCGTATCCTGACTTATGGTATCATACTTATCATCATGTCTATGGTCCATTATTAAGTTTCACCGATATCTTGTCTGCCAGAGAGACTTCAATGTGTGTCGTTTCAAGTTTGATTCCTCAAGATGTTAATCCTCAATTAAAAGGACATTTGAAAGGTGCTCATAATTTAGGAGTTACCAAAGAAGAATTAACTGATTTAAGATCATTAGTATTTGATATTTGTGATTGGAGTGGTAATATTCATTGGAAAGGGGGTAAAGATAGCGTTGCTAAATTATAAGACAGAAATTTCTACAGTTCCTAAATTTGACTTTTTAACTTATAAATATATATATATATTCTGAAATCAATTAGTTAATTTTTTTTTTCTATAGCATATAATATAAAGATGATAACTAAAAAATTATGATAAAATGAACATTGTAAAGAAAGAATTGAAATAAAATGACTTTGGGTTGAAGAAGATTTTGGGATGATTTTTATGGGATTGATTGGAGTATGAACACAGCATCACCCATTTCACAATTGGATTCTATCTTGTCTTCTAATCAAGTATACTTGTAAACCACAGAATACGAAGAAAGCCAAGTAAACAAACACAGCTCCAAACACAGTCTTAGCCACTTCTTCACCATTTTCAGGATCATCAATTGAACCCATCATGGACTCATGTCCAATTTTAAATAAATAACCAATGAATGACAATATAACAATAGCAAATGCCGACAACACAGTACAGCAGTAGGCTTGACCTGTAGACACAACTGGCTTCATCTTTGTAATATAATTGGAATGGTTGTGATACGAATTTGTCCAATATCAAACTCTTTATCTGGTCAAACTATTGTTAGTTTCAATTACCCTCATTTAAAATTAAACCCAATTTTGGAAGAATTTGTATATGCAGTCCGGGCCAAATTTTTTAATTAACTATGTACTATTAAAACTAAACATAAATTATATATTATACTCTGAATTGTACTGTTTTCTTAGGGACTCTCTTACCTAAGGGCACAGGAGAGTCGGTATTGCTGTTACTACTACTATCATCTTCTTCTTGTTGCAGCAGATGACCTAAATGTTGTACTTCGTCATCATCCAGTCCAAAAGGAGTGGTAATCATTGGGGTATTATTTGAAGTGGGATCATTTGATGAATTATTATCAATGGTCAATGCTCCACCGATATCGAATTTACCTGATATTTTCCTCTTCTTGATCAATTGTACTGCTTTGAATACTTCTTTTAAAAGATGTAATCGATCAGAAACAATTTGGACATTCTCATACCATTCTTGTTCAATCTCTTGTAATTCAAAATCTGACAACGTCTTAGTCAAAGATTTATTCTGGATGGTATTACTTTTATCCAGATAACTTGCTAATGCTCTAAGAGCTTCCTTATAAGATTTTTGAGGAACATAAAATATACTTTCTATCTTTTTAACTTCAGGTGGAGTGATTAGTATAGATGGAGATGGACTGGTTGATTCTTGTGATTCAGATTCCTTCGATACTTCAAGTTTGTCCAAGGCAGAAATTCTTGTCGTGGTAGTAGTAGGAGTAACTTGTTCCACAATTTTGGTATCTTCTGGGATAGTTGCAACTTCAGAAGGAGGTGTAGGAGTTCGATTTCGAGCCCGACGATTCGAACTTCTATTATTATTAACAGGCAGAGATATAGGTGTATCACTATTATTTAGACTAGCTAAACCTCTTGGATTATAGTGAAGTTTAACTATTTTAGAAGGAGATGATGAAGTAGATGAAGATACGGATGAAGAAATTGGTAATGACAAAGATGATTCATCTTTCTCCACGTCTGATTTCAAATCCGGTTGCAGACTATCATCGGAACTTTTTAGATATTTCTGTTTATTATACTTTAATGTTATTAGATACTTTGGCATTTATGATAAATAATTAATTTGCAATATAGTTTATAACTTCTTTCTTTACACCCAAATTACGATTTTAATTATCACTAAAATTTGATTACTGCTAAAAAAGATCCTCGTCATGTTAAGAGAGAAAAAGAAGTCGTGTATTGTTCAATCGATTTATTAAACTTATACCAAAAAAAGGTCAATAGATTCAAATTTCAAAGTATGATATGCTTAATTTGGATAGAACAGTTTGATAATGACAACAGCTAATCTAGAACAAGTATCAGAGAATGGTCCATTGATATCTACAGCTGATCAAGTGCTGGCACTTATCGAATCCTTCATTGAATTAGGTGTGTTGGTTCATGATAATCAAGGTACTCAACAATCACATACTGCTTTAACTCGTAAAACCAATCAAGTTATAAGTCAATTATCAGGATTAACTTCAAGTCCATTCACTCAACAATATCCTATTCCTATTGATGTGTTTTCCTATATTGAAGATGGTAGAAATCCCGACATTTATACTAGAGAATTCATTGAAGTTACTGCTAAGAGTAATGCTCGATTAAAGGGGAAAATGAAAGGATTTGCTATTTTAAGAGATATATTAGGAGATAAATTAGGCAAAGAGTTTCCCAGGTTAGTTGAAAATATTGAGGATATAAAGAGGAGAACTTCAATTGAAGAAGTTATAGAATAAGGAGTAAGGAGTGAAGTAAACAACAAAGTGTGTCCAAATCAAAAAAAAAAATAAAAATGTAACAGGTCAACTCCAAGACCAATGGTTTAAAGCAATGGTCTGGTTAAGAGAATGCTGCTATAGTAGTATATATATCCAAGACTTTGAATTGTTGCTCCATTTCTTATAGAGTAATTATAAGATAGAATAAGTCAGACTACACTAGACTAGTAGGCTGGCTGTTTTTTGGTGCTTTCCAATGACTGTTAGTTTAACGAATTGGTCTAATGGTGCCACTGGTTCGTTAGTTAGACCTCAACTTTTAGTCTTAACTTGGTTTCGGATTTCATGATACTGGTTATCATCATAATCATGCATTTTGAATCCAAATCACCAGCATAACCATGTATCCATTGTCTTAAAAAGCTAAATCAATGTTGTAGTTCGTTTATATATTCTATTATACACGTTAAAATAAATACAAAATTAAGAAATTTTTAAACTATAGCAAGAAGAAAGGAGCTCATCTAACCGTAATAGTATAACAGATGATTTAATTAGGAAAAAATAACATAAAAATGACACGCTTTTTTAAGATTTTAACTATTTCACCTTCAATTATTTATGCATATTATGCATATAAATGAATCTTATTTTGATCGCTATATCCCATTAGTATATTGGTTGTAAATTGAAATATTTTATACTGTCATAATTGAGGCGTGTATTAAAACATACCCTTAATTATTGCGGTTGGGATGTATTATGCAAAAAGAAGGCTGGTTTAAAAACTTTTTGTGTCGCATTTTTTTTTAACTGCAAATTATGAGGGTACTACCAGCGTTGCATCCATCTTATTATTAAACAAGTGGGTTAAAAATAATAGAATTTTACGAATATAATGGTTGTATATGCAGTTTTCAAACGTTCATTACATAGATTGCACACATACACGTAGAGCATGAAAGAACGTTGGGCACATCTTACATGTATCTTTGTTAGATGACAAAGGCTGGCTATTGAAGTTTTTCTTCTGTCAAACTTATATATAAAATACCATTGTTGCTTGCTTCAACAATCCATTTGTGATTTCTTTCTTTTATATAATAAGTCAATTGTACTCTTCTTCTTCTTCATTCTTCTTCGTTATTTTGTTGTTTTTTATAAACTTCATTCATTGTTGAAACATATTATCAAACTTGTTAAACCTTATCAGTAACAATAGTGGTTCTTATCCTAGACAGCCTTCATGCAAAAGACTTCCAACTTACTTTCACTCCTTTTAATCTCTTTGCTTGGTGCTTCTAGAGTTAGAGCAGCTGAGACGGTTTATGACGGTACAACCACCGTCACTACCACTCCAGTTGTAACAGTTACTACTACTCTTGGTTTAATAGCAGAAGTTTATGAAACTGAATATATTTATACCGGTACCGATGGTCAATTAACTACTTATACTACTATTGGTGGTACTTCTTATGTTGCTGACACTGAAACTACAACTGCTGCTGACCCAACTAGTTCAACTTCAGATGAAGATCCAGATGCTTCAACTACTGATACTACCACTACTACTCCAATTTCAACTACTACCAATACTGATATTACTAGTGCTTCCCCAACTACCTCAACCACCAGTACTGACCCAACCACCTCCAGTTCTAGTACTGATCCAACCACCTCCACTTCTAGTACTGATCCAGCTACTACTTCTACCACCAGTACTGATCCAACCACAACTTCTACCACCAGTACCGATCCAACCACCACTAGTACTGACCCAGCTTCTTCTACTAGTGTTGATCCAACTTCAAGTTTCTCTACCACTGTTCCAGGTGCTTCATCAATTCCTTACTCTGATGTTATTGAAGCTACTACTTCTACTATTCCAGCTAGTATTGCCCCAGGTAAATATTCTACTTCAACCATTCAAACCACTACAGTATTAGAAGATGGTACTACCGCCGCTCTTAATCTCGTTGTGTTATACACCACAGAATGTAATATTTAAAAAAGCTTAAGATAATATTCTTTCGTGAAACGTTTTCAAATTCGGTTTAGTTCGTGCTACTTTTCTTCTCTACTAATAGATTGTATATCCATTTAAAATATTAAAAATAAATATTTTTCTTTATTAAAATAAATTTTAAAAATAGTAAAGTAATAGAATTTATATAATGAGTTATATCCTTTTTCAACTTCTTGGTCCATTTTGTTCTAATGGATCTGTTGGATTATCAGAATTTATATCAAAATATTCTTTAGGTGCACATTTCAACTTAATTTCAACATCTGTATTGTCAACACAAGAATATGTGGGAGGAGTATTCAAATTAAACAAAACAATTCCATAGTTCTTTAAATTTCCTCCAGTTTCACTAACCACTTCCCAAGTATCTTTAACATATTTGAAAGCACCTTCACGAAATTGTAAGCTATTTACTCTAGCTTCAGGGAAAAAAGCATAACTCAAGTCACCAAATACTTGAATTTTACCACCAGGAGCAATGGTACATTTGACAGATCCGGTACTGGCTAAAGATAAGGATCCAGATACTTCTGCAGTTGCTGCTGCAATATACGCCATGAAGTCAACTTCAACTTTTGCTTGAAGAGAAAGTGAGATTTTAGCATTCCATTTATATGACTGTTCAAATGTAGACTCTGAACTTGAAAGTTCGTTAGAAATACAGGGACTGACAGGAATATTAGTCACAACTGCTTCTTGAACTTCTCCTGACTTAAGTGCAACCATTTCAACAGTTCTATGTTTAGGTTTCCCCCAACCCCAATCCCAAGCTCGCTTAGTTTTGTCTGGCAACCTTTCTGAATCAGCAAACAAGTAAATAACATCTTCTTTGATCAAATGAATATATGTGTTACTTGCAACATCCACATCTTTCTTTTTCACAATTTTTTTCCAGAATTCTGATTCTTTTAATTCTTTTTGATCATCAAAAGCTAAATTGATTATTTCTTGATCTCTGTTCACTAAAAAGACTGATTTATTTTCAACCTTCTCTTTAAGTTCGATTGAAATTTTTGGATTATTAGAATCATAAAAGTCAGCCGTATTCACAAATGTGGCTAAACATTGTGATAATAAAAACACAACTATAACATAAGCTTTATTACTGAAAATCATAATTTTATTTTGATATTTGATACTAGAAAAGAAATGAAAAGAAAAGAAAAGAAAAACGTACAAATTATTTTAAAACTAATGCAAGAAATGTCATTATTTATATAGTTATATAAGTCATTGACCAATATTAGTTACATCATCGTATAATAAACATTTAAGGCAAATTTAACTAAGCTTGGAAAATTTCGCAGCAATAGCAAGAAACTAAATTTCCGTAAATTTAAGCAGAATATAAAATTCAATCATCGGTTCGAAATGGAATTGAAATTCAGGCAAGGGTTGAGGACCACAAGCGGCTGTTCCTACTCCGTGTTGTTTATAATCAATTCTTACATATCTATTCTTACCTCTAATAATTTCATTGGGATGTTTTGCCTCTTCAAGATTTTCTTCATTGGAAAATTTAAAGCCGAACTTATTTTTAGATGATACCAATAGACCCATCTTTCCCAAATTATCTTCTAAGAGGACCATCTCAGTATCCTCATGGTTACCATTTTCCTGAGGAAAGTCATAATTGTAATTGATTTCAGCTAAGGTAGAGCGATGAATACCAATTTTTTGAGATTCTTTCTTATCAGGATAACTTTCTCCAGGACCACGACCAAACCATCTGATCTTATCACCAAGTTCATCATTGACAGTGAATTCATAACCAAATCTTGGAAGAGTATCTGGGAAAAGTTTTGGATCTCCAACAGCTATTAACTCGATATTCTTATCAATTTGACCATCGTAAATCAAATAAGTTTCAATGGATTTGAAACCCCATGCAAGGGTTGGTGGAGCAATATGACTTTCTACAATAAATGTAGCTATCAATCCATTTTCATTCTTTGCTTGTTTGACATCGACATTTCTAATTGACTTTTTCATACAATGAAGTCCAAATCTTCTCCAATAAGGTGCATTCTTAAATTCGTCATTATTAATACATGGTCTCCAAAAATTCAAATTGCTTGGAGGAATGATATCTTCTTCACTAACTTGAACTTTGCTCTCTTCGAAACACCAGCTAGTTATTCTGCCTTCTATCTTGTTGAATACTAACCTTTGTTTATCAGTAATAATTTTTACTTCATTGTGTTTATTCTCAAAGATTATCGCCGAAGTAACATTAGAAGGCAAAACTTCCCATTCTTGAAGGCTTATCTCTAATTGGGACCACGCAACAGTATGACCCATATCTAAAGCATTTGTAGCTTCTTTGGTTTTAAATTGAACGTCAAAGATGACTTTAGAAAACTGGGTAGTGTCGACAGTAAGAATTGGAATATCAGCTAACACTTCTTGTTTAGACTTTATTTTTGGAAGTTCTATTTCACCAATCTGTAACAAATGCTCTTCAAGGCAATCATAACCGGTATAAGTATAAAAAGCAATGTAATGATCAAGATTGATGAAATCGAATGTATTCTTAATTCTCAATTTACCACTTTCAAAAGTACAAACAATAGGTTCGATGACCTTTTTATATTCAATCAAACCTGGAGTTGGATCATGAACAGAATTAACAAGTCCATCCATTATGAAAACACCATCATTTGGCTTGTCGCCAAAATCTCCACCATAGTAATATGTTTTACCACCATCCTTGTTAATGACTTCAAGTCCATGGTTTGCCCATTCCCAAATAAAACCACCTTGTAAGTTGTCATGTTTGTAAAATAGCTCTTGATACTGTTTAAGCAAACCAGGTCCATTACCCATGGCATGACCATATTCACAAAGGATTAATGGTTTTTCCTTTTGATTGGCATAATTCTCAGTGGACTTAATACCAGTATACATTCTACTGTACATATCTGCAATCACAGCATCCAAATCACCTTCGTAATGGATGGGCCTCTTTTGGAAATCAACACTTCTAATTCTTTCTGCCATTTTAGCATGATTACAACCTAAGAATGACTCATTACCCAAAGACCAAATGATTACTGAAGGTTGGTTAAAATCACGATTAACCAATTGATTGGCCCTATCCACGTAAGCAACTTCCCAATCCTTATTATCTGAGGTGAATTTTCCTGCTTCTTTGAAAAGTTTTAATTTAGGCTCATCATATTCTACATTATCCTCAAGATCTAGTGGAGCAGATAAGGCTTGATAAAATCCATGGCATTCGAGGTCTGCTTCGTCCAAAACCCAAAATCCTAACCTATTGGTCAACTCATAAAATTTTGGATGGTTAGGATAATGTGAAGTCCTAATGGCATTAATATTATGCCTTTTCATTATTAATAAATCACGAAGAATAAAATCTAATGGAACTGCTCTACCATACTTTGGATGATGATCGTGTCTGTTTACACCTCGGAGTAATATTGGCCTTCCATTTACTTGAATTAAACCATCTTTCATTTCGACTTTTCTAAATCCAACCTCCTGTGTCACAGAAGATACTACTTTATCCTTATAGATTATGTCAATAACCAACTTATAAAGGTCTGGGGTTTCAGCAGTCCACTTTGTTGGATCTGGAACTGGAATAGTAATTTGATTGTTGATATCCCCATCGTACTCTTCTTGGATTATTAACTCTGACTCATTATCAAATAAATTAATTTGGAACTTTGATGGTTTATTTAATGAAAGGTTGATTTCAAGATTGGAATCCCTATATTCATTATCCAAATCAGTGTTAATTTGGAAATTCTTGATATAACCCGATTTATTAAATCCCAACAAGTAGACATCCCTGAATATTCCGCTTAACCACCATTGATCTTGATCTTCAATGTACGACGAAGATGACCATTGATAAACTCTAACAATAAGTTCATTTGGACTTTGTCTAGAAATTAACTTGCTAATATCAAACTCAGCTGCATTTCTACTGCCTTCATTATATCCTAGCAATTTACCATTTAAGAAAACATGATAAGAATTGTCAACGCCTTCAAATCTAATTCTATATTCAAAGTCCTCTGAGTTCCAATTGACTGGAACAGTGAAGTATCTTCTATAAGTACCAACTGGATTTTGTGAAGGTGGGTGTGGTGGATCAACCGGGAAGGGATATTGGACATTAGTATAATGTGGTTTTCCAAAGCCTGATAATTGCCAATGTCCAGGAACAGCTATTGATGAATTGAAAAAGTTGTCCTCTTTCCCAGTAGCCCTTTCCCCTTCATCGTATCTGAAATCCCATACCCCATTAAGTGAAAGAGTAGATTCGAGGGGTAAATAGTAAGCCCGTGGTTCTAATCTGTTGGTTTGAACAATTGCAGGGTTGGAGAGGCAATTGGTTAGTTGGGGATCTGTAAAATCAATAACCATGGTCTTAATTTTGTAAATCACAGGATAATAAGTTAGTTTTTTCTTTACTCCAATTCCACACTTAGGATGCTATCTTTTATTTAAATGAAAGTAGGAGTTCATAAGTGGGGCAGGATGAGTATTTCCTCGAATCAAGCAAAGCCGTTCCCCCACAAAAAACAAGTTAATTATCGTATAAGTTCTTCTCGGGGATGTATCGGTAAGTGAAGTATACAAGTTTTGAACGTTGGTATATTTAGGTTTATGTAACGTGGTAATGTGTTATATGGTGTAAATTCGCAGTAATTGCAACGTTGCTTACAAATTTACAACTGAAATGGGAATTAAGCTTTTTAAAGAGTCTTTAATTATTGTAAATCTTCTCGGCCATACTTTCACTCTAAAATAATCATTGGTTGATCTATTTCAAGTTGAAATTTAAAGTTTATATACCGTGACAGGATGGGGAATTACGGTATTCTTCTGGTGGGGTACATGCTTCGACCAGGAACTTATAAAGGATCCCATGTTCGACAAGTTGTTTGATCCAGTTGCAGTATTTCAAAAGTTCCTAGTAGTAGACCCTTGGATATTCTAGTCGTGATGCTGTATGAAAGTAGTGAATCTGTTCGTGAAGATTCAAATATTAAAAATGGAAGTGATAATCACTTAATCGATGTACCTCCAGCAAGTTTGGAAGATATTGAGACCTACCCCATTTTAAGTAGACCAATGATTCCTTTACTTGCTTCTTGTTTCCTTATTTATTTAGTTGCTACTACTACTGGTTTTGATGGTTCCTTGATGTCAAGTATCTATACTCAAGAAGATTATTTAAGGGAATTTAATTTAGATGCTGACTCTTCAACTTCTACAGGTATTATCTTCTCTATCTACAATATTGGACAAATTGTTGGAGCATTGTTCTGTCCTTTTATTGATTGGAAGGGTAGAAAAAACGTTATTATCTTTGGTTGTTTAGGTGTTGTTGTTGGTGCTGTTATTACTGCAGTTTCTAAAAATATTGGTACATTACTTGCTGGTAGATTCATTTTGAGTTTCTTCACCACTTTAGCTAACACTGCTGCTCCTTTATACGTTACCGAAATTGCTGCTCCAAAGGCAAGAGCCAGAATCGCTGGTTGTTACAATACTTTATGGTATTGTGGTGCTATTATTGCTGCATTTACTGCTTATGGTGCAAACTTACATCACAGTGGAAGTTCATTAAGTTTTAGATTACCTCTTGGTATTCAAGCTGTTTGTCCAGGAATTGTGTTTATATTCGGTTGGTTCATCCCAGAAAGTCCAAGATGGTTGGTAGGTGTTGGTCGGTTAGATGAAGCTAGACAGGTTATTGTAAACTATCATTGTAATGGAAATATGGATCATCCTCTTGTTGATTTTGAAATGGCTGGAATGGAAGCTTCTTTTGAAGGAAAATCTTTACAAAACTCATTTAGATTATTAGATCCAAGACCACTTTTCAAGAATCGTAATAGTTATCGTTCATGTTTAGTTATTATCATTGCATTCTTTGGTCAATTTTCAGGTAATAATTGTGCTAGTTATTATCTTCCAACTATGTTAACCAAGATTGGTATGACTTCAGTCACTACCAATGTGTTAATGAATGCTGTGTATTCGATTGTTGCTTGGATGGCATCTATCGTTGGTGCTTTTGCCCATGAAAGAATTGGTAGAAGAAAGATGCTTATGTTTTCAACTATTACAGCTGCTTTAGCTTTGACCGGTTTAGCTATATCAACAGCAAGATATAATGCTATCCCTACTAAAGCTGCATCTCAAAGTGCCCTTGCTTTTATTTATTTATTTGGTATATTCTTCTCATTTGCATTCACCCCTGTCCAAGTCATCTATGCTTGTGAAGTTGCTTCAAATCCAATGAGATCAAGATCCATGATCATCTTTAATATCACTGCAGGTATCGCTCAATTCATCAACCAATTTGCCACACCAACGGCTATGAAGAATATTTCATATTGGTTCTATGTCTTCTATGTGTTCTGGGATCTTTTTGAATGTGTGGTCATTTACTTCTTCTTCGTTGAAACTAAGAGTAGAACATTGGAAGAAATGGATGAAATTTTCTTAGCAAAGAATCCAAGAAAAGTATCAGTTGGAAATTATGAGGACGAGAATGATGATTCAAAGAAATTTCTTCAATATAGAAATAATGCCGTTACTTCTATTTCTCATATTTTTTCTAAGTCAAAAGTTGAAGAAAAAGTTAGTGAAGCCGTCTAAAGAGATAATAGACATTAATATTCCCCTTATAAAGTCATAAAAGGCCTTTCTTGTCACGGTAAATCATGTCAATCAAGGCGTATATACAGTATATATAAAATCTTCAGAATTTAGATAAAGTATAAATGAATGCATGAATGAATGAAATTAGTTATGAACAATAATTATTTTTGTATGGGGACACAAACGCAGATCATGTAGTATTTTTTTGCGGCAACTCATCTCCTCATTTGTTTTGGTTTACGATTCAAAGGCAATCATTGGAGCTATTAAAGTACACGTTGAGAGGATTTCTATTGCTAATTACTTACTCTCGGAGAAGATATTTACTGGCTAAACTTTCTTATGGCTACTTTTAGATATTTTATATCTGTTCTGGTTCTTGGAGCGAATTGTTTAACTAAAGCAAATTAAGGAATCATAAGGTTAAATAATGCTTAATTATAAGGGCAATCATAATTAAAGATAACCATACGATTCAGTCGGTAAGTATTTCCTTTTAATGTTGATCTCAACACAGTGATGTGCAAGGCTCTTTCTATATAAAACATCAAGTTTCTTTTTTTGGTTAGTTACACATCACAAAAATAGTTAGGGAATTAGAAGCCAACGATTGCATTAACATTTGCAACTATGAAATCACAAGACCAACCAACAATTAAGTGCTTATAACAATGTGACTATAAAGCAGTTGAAACGTTACTGGTCTTAAAACACTATAATTGGAAATAAGTTTAATATTAGGCTTGTACTCAACAATACTTGCCAATCAGCTAATCACGCCATATGAGGATTGACAACCTGTTCCTAGTTAATGATTATGCTTCAATTCCTTTAATTAGACATGATGCTTGCAGGTTTGAGAGGTCAAGAACTTCGGGGTACATAAATTGACAAGGAGCATATAAAGGATTGTTGATCCTGCCGATCTCTTCGTTTATATTGCTGCTTTACAAAATATATGCAGCATTAAGTACAATCATATTCAAGGTTTACAAAGTCAAACTAATGAAATCAATGAATCATCCACTTCGCATGATTTTTCATTTAGTAGAAAATAAACAGTCGAAGATTCAATCATCGGAGGGCCACCGACATGTTTAGAAGACATTGAGCGTATCCTGTCTTAAGTCATCCAATGATAACCTTTACTTGGTTGTTGTTTGCTTTTATTTATACTTGTTACAGCTGATTGTTTTGTTGGCTCCTTGATGTCAAGTGTCGATACTCAAGAAGAAAACAATTTAATATAGATATTGATTCTAAACTAAGAGTAGAACATTGGAAGAAATGGATGAAATTTTCTTAGTTGAGAATCCGAGAAAGGTATTTAGAAACTGATAAAAATCCATGTAATCGTTAAGGGACAATAAATTTCAAATTATGTTAAACGTAAATAGAATGAAAAACAGCATTTATTTATAAAGAGTATCTAGTTAAATAATTTGCCGCCATAAGGTCCATTTTGCGGCCACCCCTCCTTTCCTGCAACTGTACACGACTCTTCTCTCGCTGATTATCATCTCAGCTCACTTCTTTATATAAATAGCAATACACGACCCTTCATCAAAATCAGAGTCAATTTCATCTCCGGAGTCAAATTCTGGTCCATAGTCAAAAATCCTGGAGGTGATTGTATAATCATATCTTATCAGTTTTTATTTATCTAAATGGTATACTAATAGCTCACTATAGCTAAACTAATGCTTAACCTTTAGAATATCACCGTCTTACTTTCAGTAATCTCTAATAAGTAGAACCATAGCATTATGACTCAATCCAATTTATTGTCCAATTAAAAATTTTCACTGGTCGGTACACTGACGTGTCAGTCAAGAAATTAGATCAAATCACGTGCAACACATAATTAAAGGTTGCCGGAATAGGGGCCGGAACTGATTTAAATATTTTTTATTACTCATTAAAATTAAAGGTAAATTTTGAAAAATTGATTGAATGGTATATATAAGGTTACATCATTCTCCTTTTAATTTTAACAACAATTCTCTTTGATATTTTAGTCGTTCATTCGAAATATTGTAGATTGATATATAGTTAACCATGTCATCCCCTCAACAAATTGCTCAAAGCTTCCAACAAGCTTTGAATCTTTCAAGTTCTCCAAGTCATGCTGTCTCCACATCTCCAACTCAATCATATTTAACTCAATATATGCAAGCTAATAAGAAACCAACTAAAGCTTTGAAACCATTCTCAACTGGAGATATCAAGATCTTATTGTTAGAAAACGTTAATCAAACTGCTATGGATATATTTAAAAATCAAGGTTATCAAGTTGAATTCTATAAAACTTCTCTTCCAGAAGAAGAATTGATTGAAAAAATCAAAGATGCTCATGCTATTGGTATCAGATCAAAGACTAAATTGACTGCCAATGTATTGAAACACGCTAGAAACTTGGTTGTGATTGGATGTTTCTGTATTGGTACTAATCAAGTTGATTTAGAATTTGCTGCTAAATCAGGTATTGCTGTTTTCAATTCTCCATTTTCAAATTCAAGATCTGTTGCTGAATTAGTTATTGCTGAAATCATTACTTTAGCAAGACAATTAGGTGATCGTTCAATTGAATTACATACTGGTACTTGGAATAAAGTTAGTGCCAAATGTTGGGAAATTAGAGGTAAAACTTTAGGTATTATTGGTTATGGTCATATTGGTGCTCAATTATCGGTGTTAGCTGAAGCTATGGGTATGAATGTTATCTATTATGATGTTGTTATGATCATGTCTTTAGGTAATTCTAAACAAGTTGCAACTTTAGATGATTTATTATCTCAAGCTGATTTCGTTACTTGTCACGTTCCAGCTACTCCAGAAACCAAAAACTTATTAAGTAGTCCCCAATTTGCTGCTATGAAAGATGGTTCTTACGTTATAAATGCTTCAAGAGGTACTGTGGTTGATATTCCCGCTTTAATCCAAGCTATGAAAGCTGGTAAGATTGCCGGTGCTGCTATTGATGTTTTCCCTCATGAACCAGCTAAGAATGGTGAAGGCCTCTTCTCCAACAGTTTAAATGAATGGTCATCTGAATTATGTTCATTAAGAAACGTTATCTTATCTCCCCATATTGGTGGTTCAACTGAAGAAGCTCAATCAGCTATTGGTGTTGAAGTTGCTTCTGCTTTAACGAAATATATTAATGAAGGTAACTCAAGTGGTGCTGTTAATTTCCCCGAAGTTTCTTTAAGAGCTTTAGATTTAGATCAACAAAATTCAGTCAGAGTTTTATATATCCATCAAAATGTTCCTGGTGTCTTAAAAACTGTTAATAATATCTTATCTAATCATAATATTGAAAAACAATTCTCCGATTCAAGAGGAGATGTTGCTTACTTGATGGCAGATATCTCAGATGTTGATATCATTGATATCAAATCATTATATGAACAATTAGAACAAACTCCATACAAAATTGCTACTCGTTTGTTATACTAGTTCCTTTTTAATTCTTCGTTTTAATTTTCTCATGTATAAACCTTTTCTTATGTTATAACCCTTTCAGTTTCTATAAAACCATTTAAAATAATAACCCTTATATAATAAAACTAATATTAATAAACACTTTACTTATACAAACTGATAAAAACACTTTGCAACTAATTTTCCCTTTTTGTGGTCATAGTTATAATTTTTAGATGGCCGGGTAAATTTAATGACCTGTATATAAATAATGTGTTGTAATTCTGTTTGGCCAAAATTGGTGGCAATAAAAAGTAAATAGTGTGAGGATTGAAATATCTTGATACCCACTTTAGATATAATCAATCAATTCATTTTTGATATTGGATTATTCTTCATTTAGTAAGGTTCAAACGTGTTTAAGAATATCTGATATTGGAAAATGGCTTTAGTTTCAGCTGCTCCATATCTTGCCTTACTTGGAGAAGAAGATCAAAGTTTGAAATCATTTGCCTTAACTTCATTAAATGATATAGTAGATCAATTATGGGCTGAAATAGCCAATAACATCAGTAAGTTGGAAGAATTGTATGAAGATGAATCATTTGAAAAGCGATCACTTGCAGCATTAATCATTTCTAAAGTTTACTACAATTTAGGTGATTTTGAAGCATCCGTCAAGTATTCATTAAATGCGGGTGATGAATTTAATATTGATGAACATTCCCAATATATTGAGACCATTATAAGTCAATGTATCAGTTTATATAATACATTGGCTCAAAAGAAGTATGGTGATGAATCAGTTACCATTGATGAAAGATTAGTTGCTATCTTTGAAAAAATGTTGGAAAAATGTATCAAGGCTAATGAATTAAAATTGGCTCTTGGTATTGCATTAGAAAGTTATCGTATTGATGTTGTGGAAAGAATCTTAGTTCATGAAATCGAAGTAAGTGAAGAAAATGCCTTAAATTTAATCAATTATGTTCTCATTTGTTCAAATTCAGTGGTTCCAAATACAAATTTCAGAAATCAAGTTTTAAACTTATTAATCAAATTATTATTACCATTAACCAAAAATCAAGAATTTTTCACTATTATTAAGATCATTGTTCAATTAAATGATTCAAAATTAGCAGCTCAATTATTTAAAGAATTAGTTTCAAAAGGTGAAGATTTAATCGCTTACCAATCTGCATTCGATTTAGTTGGTGCTGCTCCTCAAGAATTATTAGATAATGTTATCAATCAATTAAATAAGGACTTTGGAGATTTAACTTCAACTTCTAAGAAAATATTAACTATTTTATCAGGTGTCCCAACTTGTGATTTAGATATTACTTTCTTATTTAAGAATAATAACACCGATATAGCGATCTTGAATAAAACTAAAAATCTTTTGGAAGGAAGAAGTTCAATCTTCCATTCTGCAGTTACATTCTCCAATGCGTTCATGCACGCTGGTACTACTGATGATTCATTCTTTAGAAATAATTTAGAATGGTTAGGTAGAGCTAACAATTGGTCTAAATTCTCAGCCACTGCTGCTTTAGGTGTCATTCATAAAGGTAATTTATCCCAAGGTCGTAATATTTTAAAACCATATTTACCTGGATCATCAGGAGCTCCTCATACTAAAGGTGGTTCCTTGTTTGCATTAGGTTTAATCTTTGCTGGACATGGAAGAGAAATCATAGAATACTTGAAGAATTATATTGATGAACATGGTAATTCGGCAGGTGCTAATGATGGTGATGTTGTTTTACATGGTGCCGCTCTTGGTGCCGGTGTAGCAGGTATGGCTTCCGGTAGTGAAAGTCTTTATGAAGCTCTTAAGGTTGTCTTATATTCTGATTCTGCCATTTCAGGTCAAGCTGCTGGTTTAGCTATGGGTTTAGTTATGCTTGGTTCCGGTCAAGAAACTGCCATCCATGATATGCTTACTTATGCTCAAGAAACTCAACATGAAAATATTATAAGAGGATTAGCTATTGGTATTGCCTTATTAAACTATTCTCGTGAAGAAAAAGCTGATTCAATTATTGAAGAATTAATGAGTCAAGAAAGTTCTATATTGAGATATGGAGGTGTATTCACTATCTCCTTAGCTTATGCTGGTACTGCCAATAATAAAGCCATTAAAAAACTTTTACATCATGCTGTTTCAGATCCATCTGATGATGTTAGAAGAGCTGCTGTTCTTGGTCTTGGATTTTTATTAATTCGTGATTATACTTCAGCTCCTCAAATTGTTCAATTATTATCTCAATCACATAATCCACATGTTCGTTATGGTACTGCCTTGGCCTTAGGTATCTCTTGTGCTGGTAGAGCTTATTCTCCAGCTATTGATGTTTTAGAACCATTAACTAAAGATCCTGTTGATTTCGTTAGACAAGGTGCTTTAATTGCTACAGCTATGATTTTAATCCAACAAAATGAAGTTTCATATCCAAAAGTTAAAGAATTTACTAAGAGATATGCTGATACTATAAAAAATAAGCATGAAGATGCTTTAGCTAAATTTGGTGCTACTTTAGCTCAAGGTATTATAGATGCTGGTGGTAGAAATGTTACTATTAATTTAGAAAATTCTCAAACTAGTACATTAAATATTAAAGCCATTGTTGGTTTAACTGTGTTTGTTCAATCTTGGTACTGGTTCCCATTGGCACACTTTTTATCATTATCATTTGCTCCAACTGCTGTGATTGGTATTACTGGAGATTTAAAGATTCCTAAATTTGAATTAAATTGTCATGCCAAACCTGAATTATTCCAATATCCTCCAAAACATGAAGAAATTAAGGAAAAACAACCAGATAAGATTGCAACTGCCGTTTTATCAACTACAGTTAAAGCCAAAACTAGAGCTAAGAAGAAGCAAGATTTAAAAGATGAAACTGATGGTAAGAAGGATGTTGAAAAAATGGAAATTGATGAAGAATCTAAACCAGAAACTGAAGTTAAAGTTGAAGAATCAAAAGAAGAAAAGCCAGCTGAACCAGCTAGTAGTGAACAAGCTCAAGTACGTTATGCCAAAACTCCATATAAAATTTCAAATCTTTCAAGAGTATTACCTGTTCAATCGAATTATCTTTCATTTATAAGAGATGATAGATTTGTACCAGTAAGAAAATTCAGAGGTTCAAGTGGTATAGTAGTATTAGAAGATACTAAACCTGAAGAAGAAGTTGAATTGATTAAGACCGTAAGACAATTGAATACTACTGATGCTCCATTACCAGAAGCATTCACTTTAAGTGCTGAAGATTTGAGAGAACTTGATGATGATTATTAAACTTAGAATATGTGTATAATTACATAATAAAACTACAAAAAAAAAATGAAATAAACAACGTAAAAAAATAAAACTATTCTATAATTGTAAGACAGCTTGCACTGGTCTGTGATCACTGAAGAGGAAACCTTTCGTTTGGCTGGATAATACTTCACTCTCTAATACTTGAATGTCGTGAGTAACCCAAATGTAATCGATACGAGTTTCAGTTGTAGTTTTATCAAAGGTTGTACTAGTGAATTTTGGACCCTTTTTCAAAGCTGAAGCTAAAGCAGTATCAGCAAATGATTGTGATAATGTTTCATATGTTTCACTCTTAGGTTCACTATTGAAATCTCCACCAATAACAGCAGTAGCATTATTTTTGTTAACTAATTCGATAATTTGCTTGGCTGAATTGACTCTGGCCAATTGTCCTAAATGATCGAAATGAGTATTATAATAAACAACAGTTTTACCCAGAGCCTTATGTTTGAATTCACCAACAGTAACAATACGATTATGATCAGCATCCCAGCCTTTGCTTGGTTGATTTGGCGTTTCGCTTAACCAATATGTGTGATAACAACTCCCATTCTGCAGGTTTATAGAAAATTGGAGCAAATTCACCTTCTCTCTTTCCATCATCTCTACCCACACCAATGTAAGTCCATTCTGATCCAAGACCAGAATCAATATCAAGTAATTGTCTAAGTAAGACTTCTTGAAGTCCAACTAAAGTTGGAATAGTATCGTGAGCAAGAATACTATCAATGACTCCATTCTTTCTAAACGGCCAAGGCTGTTCACCTGGTTGTTTATCAACAGCGTCTAATCTAACATTATGAGTATACACTTTGAATTTACCTTCTTTGATACCTGCTTGAAGTTGAGCTTCATCTTCAGCCAATTGCTTCTCTAATTCTTTCTTTGCTTTATGCTCTCTGATCCCTACAACGATCAATCTACCAATTACAATACCCATGATGACGTCAATAAATTTATGTCTATTATATCTATTTGAGGCCTGTACTTATCTGTGATAGTGCAATTGAGGATAGTATGACATGATTTAAACTTCAGTTTCCAAATACAAGTGTCATTAACATCACTATTTATACCATTGATTATATCTAATAAATCTTATCAAGTGGATGGAACAGGAAATTAAACTCCGCCACTGATTATATAAGCGGCTACCACTACGTCAATCTTAGTTATTCCACTCCAACCCCCAAAATGCTTAGGAGTTGCCATAGTTAAACCCACTACACTTGACACATATAATTACGATTGAAGTAAATATTATGACTAAGGGTTTACTTAATATAGATTTATATCCGTGCCACATTGATATGTGCCCCTTCCACATGGTAAACAAAACTTTGACATAAAAATCAACACGTTACAGAATTTAAATCTAGACCCATTTCTGGTAATAGCTAACTCTTTTTTAAAATATTAGTCTATTCCAAATATGGAAACTAAATTCTTTTGGACTCCACTATTTATTTATTTTATTCAAATGCCGCCAAGGTTCCATCACTTCCTTTTTAGTTAAGTTGTAGTCATTGGTAGTACATTTTCTGTGTCTCCAAAAAAGTTCCACTGAGCCGTTTTGTGTGACAGAAAAGTCATCATTTTGCCTTAAGGTTTCTGGGTTATGACCAAAAATAAACTAAAACCACAATTTGTCATTAACGTAAAAAGCTTTCAGGTAATGGAAACTATATAAACTGAGTAAATCACTTTGGATAATTATGTTGACAATCATGATCATCCAACGGTAAGGTAACGTTGACATTTGAATTCAAAGGTTTTAAAAATAATAATAAATAGGCGAGATGAGTGATGCGACTTCATTACCCCAGATTTCAGTTTTACCTCATGAGATCATTCAAACTATAACTTCATTTTTAACTATAGATGATTTGAAAAATGTAGCACAGATAAATCATTTATTTAACTATTATGCTAATGAAGTGATATATAGACATATATCAATCATTGATGATGGTTATAAGGTGAATAATATTCACCATACAAAATGTCATATTCAAAATATTGATAATTTGACTAAATCATTAACTGAAAAAGTTTTTCATCATATAAGATCAATCCAAATAAATTGTCTGTCATCTTTAGAACTTAATAATTACGAGTCATTATATCAACGTTTATATGAGTTGTCTACTAATATCCATACTGGATATCAAATAAAATTCTTAAACTATGATTATTCAAGTATACAGAAATATCAATCCCTCAATCAATATATATTGAATAAGTCAATCACATTCAATCTGGATACTTGTTGTTATGATGCTTCAAATACTAGATTAAATGCATTTTCTAACTTAATGGCTCTTCAACTTGAAGATATCAATCAAATTAATATGTCTTCTAGTTTGGATCAAATGTCAATTATTCTCAGTCATTATAATACTTTCCCCGATCATCATTTAAATTGGAATATGTTCAATAACCTTTATGAGTTGTATTTGAATACTCATGCATCAACTGTTATGTTACTTGATTATACACATAGAACAAGTGTAACACCATTAAATCATTTATTATCTTTTGCAGTAACATTTTCGCATTCAAATGGAAGTCATATGACAGTTTCTAATTTACAAACGTTCATTAATTTTGCATCATTAACCAAATTAGAATTGAGATTGGATTGTTCATTACTGGGATGTTCATGTATCACTACCTTCATTCAAGATTTGAATCAAGTGGAAATGCCAGATTTAAATCAACTTATAATTAATAATATTAAATCTGATTGTAGAAGTGCACCACAATACAAAGCTCTCATTCATCATGCTCCATTCCATTTAAACTCTATCAAATCCTTAAATATCCTGATTAATAGCTTTGAGTTTCTGAATGTCGCTGTTTCAACATCCAAATTTTTTAAGAATCTAACGCCATTGACACAAATAGAAGAACTTATAATACCAGATATACTCAGTTCAAATTGGCTTAATAATAGATTTGAAGCATTATTAACTAGTTGTGAATGTATTCATTGTAATAATACTCGGAGATTATTCAATCACCTTTCATATTATGATGCCGAAAACAATTATAGACATGATTTTAAATCACAACCTAATTTAGAAAATACTTCAACTACAACCATTCTTAAAAATCATAGTAATATTCGATTCCTACAATATCTAATTAGTTTACTCAAATTACAATTCCATAGTAATGTCAATTTTTCATTATTGGAGAATAATAATTATATTGAAAATGATACTTTAGTACCCTTTAAATCATTATTCAGACATTGTTACTTGAATAAAGTGGCTACTGAAATCAAACAAAATCTTCCTCTCATACAAACACTCAATTTAGGAGGTATAGTCATAACTAATTTATAATTACCTATAGTACCACATGCTATATATATACACAATTTAATAAATATGCCATTCGTTTAGGAGGTGTAAAAAGGATTACAGCTAATTACGAGAGAGGGGAAATCTCATCCTTTTTTTTTTTATTTGTATACCACTCACATTTCTTTTTCTCTTTTTTTTTGTTAAGGTTTAAGCGCTGCCGATTTATTTTGATGTCCCCGGACTACTGAGATCTTTTAAAGTTTTAATTAAAATTGTTCATTTCGTTTCAAGTTAACATATTTAGTCTGTCATCTAAACTTTTGGTTGACTAGTAAACGGTTTGGGATTAGTATGGCATCTATGTCGGTGATGCCTATGTCGGACGAAGATTCAAAAGGAAAACGATCAAGAGTGATCTTAGCATGTAATCGATGTCGACAACGAAAGACTCGATGTGATGGAGCTCAACCTATATGTGGTACTTGTACCAAAAGGAATATCGAATGTGTTTATGGTAAGCGTGAGAAGAGAGCTAAAGTATCTGTCGAATATGTTAGAAGTTTAGAAGAACGATTAAACATGCTTGATCATACAAATAATGTTGATCATTTGGACAATGGCAATGGCAACGGTAACGTCAATCATGCAAATGGTAATGGGATACATAACCATCAACAACAACAACATCAACAACAACAACAACAACAACAACAGTTATCATTACCTCAACAACCTACAAATCAACAAATTCAAGAACATCATCAGCAACAACTTCAACCAATCCAACAACAACACCAACAACAGCAACTCTCGATTCCAATACATCCAATTCCAGCTCAACAGTACGCAAACCCCCACCATCCTAATTCACTCATTGTACAACAACAACAGCCTATACATCAACAACAACCCTTGCCTCTACCTTTCCAACATGTACCTCATACTTTGCCACAATTATTGCCTACTAACATGGTCACTCCAAGGCAACGAGTTGAAAGTATCATGAATGATGGAATTCCTCATTATTCATATCAGTCAGGTTCTGAAGGATCTGTGCCTTCAACCGTCAAATCTTCAACAGATATGTATAATCAAGATTCAGTACTTACTAATAACAATAACAATACAAGTCCTGAAAATGCTCCTCAAAATAATAATAAAAACAATAACAAAACTAATAGACCTGATAAAGATGATGATGTTAATACTACTGATGCTATGGGTGCTGGTTCAGCTTCAGGTAGAAGAAAAGATAAAGGATTTTTTGGAAGATCTGCAGCAATTTCATTTATGAAAGAGTTATCATGGGCAGTAGATGAAGCTCCTAGAGGTCAAGATGAAGAAGATACTGACAATGAAAAGAGCAACTACTCAATGTCAAGAAATGATAAGACTTCAGTTACTAGAAAAGCTGATATAGTGGTTCCTCCAAGAAGCGTGGCTGATAAGTATGTCAGAAACTATTTTGATTATGCTTACACCTTATATCCTTTCGTTCATAGACCAACATTCATGGCGAGTTATGAAGATATTTGGGCAAGTGACGGTAGTTCAAATGATGTGGATGAATTATTCTATTCCATTTTGAATGTAATCCTTGCGTTTGGTTGTCGTTTGGCTCCAGAAGGTGAACAACTTGAATCAACTTCCAATGCTGATTTATATTTTGAAAGATCTCAAGAATTATTAAGATTTCATTTAATGGATACTGGTTCAGTATTATTAGTACAAGCATTATTACTTACAGGTCAATTTTTACAAGCCACTACTAGACTGGCGGGATGTTGGAATATTATTGGACTTTCTATTCGTATTGCTCAAGGTTTAGGATTACATCTGGATTTAAATTTAACCCAAACAAAAAGTTGTATTGAACGTGAAATAAGGAAAAGATTATGGCATGGATGTTTATTAATGGATAGAATCGTTTCCATGACATTAGGTAGACCATTAATGGTTACCGATGACATCACCCTGGAATTACCCGCTAATGTTGATGATGAATATATCAAAGATGAAGGAATCTTATTTCCTCCTGCTACACAACCTTCAGGTTTAAGTTTCTTTTCAGAAACAGTCAAGTTGTATGATGTATTGGCTGAGATTCTTAAAACGTTTTATAATGATGAACCTGATTATGTTGAATTATTCCTTCATATTTTCAAATTTGAAGAAAAATTAAGTAAATTTCATGAAAACATACCGTCTCATATCAAATATGGAACAGAATTACATGAAAGACCATATGAAAGACAAAGTATCGTTTTACATATTCGTTATTTGCATTTAAAAATCATGTTGTATAGACCTGCTTTATTTCCAAAGAAAAGAGGTAGAACAAATAATTCAGAATTATATCTGTCAGCTCAAAAGTCAATCTCATTGGTATGTGTTGAAACTGCTATTGAACTAATCAACTTGATTAATAAATTCAGAGCGAAAGATATATTCCTCTTACCTGCTCATTGGTATAATGTGTTTTATATCTATACTGCTGAAACAGTTTTATTGGCAGCTAAACTTCAACCATCATTACCAAATGAAATAAATGAGGAGGTATTTAATAATACTTGGTCTACTGGTCTTGAAATTCTTGCTTCTTATAAGTCCCAAACCGAATCTGCTGCTCGTTGTTTGAAAGTCTTGGAAATAATGGGTGATAAAGTTAAACTTGCTGGTAGAAGAATTGCAAGACAGCATTATGATCCAGTTCAATCAGCTGCTAATAGTTCAACCAATAGTAGTCCTTCTCAAGTACCCACTGATGTACTTTATTCCTTGTTATATGATACTGCTGGTCCATTTGGTGGTCCCTTCTTCTATAGAGATGATATGGAAAGATATCTAAATTGATATTATGAGGCGATGTTTAATGCTAAGAATTAATTCAATTTGGAGTTGTTATCCAGGGTAAAATGTTGTGGGGTTAGAGAGGAGTATTAAGGTATCGTAGGTTTATCAATTATAAATGACAAAGGATAAACCTTGCCGAAGACTTGGAGATATAATTCGGGAGTGTGTTCCACAGGCATAGAAGCCCTAGCTAGCCCCGGAAGATTTTGTCGTTATAATTATGTATAATTAGTTACTAATAATGTGTGAGAGAATAGTCGAGAATGACTAAACTAAGAAAAGGCTTCTTCCATATCATTTCTTATCAACCCCTCTTCTAAAGATCAAAAAAGAGTGGAATTCAATTTGGTATTGCAAATTTTATGAATAATTTGAAAAGCAAAAAAACTTCACTAAAAAAGTACACCTTATGAAAATTTTTGTTTATTTTACTATAGTACTCGTAACGATTAATGAATTTCTTTTTAAAATTATGTCAAATAGGAGAATTGTAGAAACAAAACGAAATATTTCTACCAATTAAGAGTAATATATTGTCGCCCAAAAACTATGAAAAGAAATAAAATATCAAAGTATTCGAAAAAGAAACTTCCAACCCCACACCCCAGTTAACCGGTATTAATAATTGACTCAATGATAGAAGCTGTAATTCGTTGTTACTTATCTAATTAATTAATTATATCTGATATCAACAATGACAGTTTGAAACATGGTGTCCCAACAAAGAATTACCTCTAAAATACTTTTCTAATGACCTAGTCTTCGGATGTTGAGTCCGCAAGCGCTGCATTTTCATAGATTCAAGTGCCCCACTTTACCTAATTTATTCCCATGTCTTGCATTATGAGAATCTTTGTGATTTACCCATATGCATCAAGAATCGGGCATACGAAATGTTTGGTCGGTCACTAGAGCAGGTCGGTTCTTGAGATTTCTGGAACACCGCTTCGGGATCATGTTTCCGCAATTTTTCCTGCGATACTCTGGGGGATCATTCTTTGGGGGTACAATCTTTAAATTTTAAATTTTAAATTTGTGTTAGGGTCAATCACCTTGCGGACTTGAATAAATACAATTAGTAATCCAATAAAATGATTTATTTGATCGCAGAAAACTTTTCTTCTTCCTCTTCAGAAAACTTTACAACACCAAAATGACTACTGAACACAAAGGTTCTTGTTTATGTGGAGGAATCCAAATCACCTTTACTGGTGCTCCAAAGAAAAATTTCATTTGCTATTGTCTGGACTGTCGTAAAGGTTCAGGTCATTTAGGTCAATTCATTTCTCAATATGACTCTGATGATGTCAAAGTTACTGATAAAGATTCAAATTTAAAGGAATTTGTGGTGACTGCTACTAAATCCGGTTTCCCAAAGAGAAAGCAATATTGTGGTGGTTGTGGATCAACTATCCTTACTCTCCCAATGAAACACAATGGTGAAGTTGCTATGGTTAGGCCATCTCTTCTTGATTCTGATTTCTCTCAATTTGCTCCAAATTTAGGAATCTTTGGTGATGTTAAGACTGAATATACCAAAGGATGTGAAACTGATGAATTCTTTTAGATAGATTATAGCCAATATATAGTGATGCTTAGAATAAATGAAACATTTTTTTAACTATAATTGTACAATCAACATATGCTTGTAGTTAATTACACTCGGTATATCCCTATAATAAGCATAGATAAGACATGTCTGTACTAATCAGAACGTGTTTTATCTATTTTTTTTCAAATTTTTCATAGCCCGCGCTTGATACAATCTGGTTTAGTTTTCTATTATCCTTTTTATTTTATTCCTAAATATAAGCTATATAAAGTTTTATGGTCACGTAACATAATCTATTTAAATGAAATCCATTTTGTTGTGAAGGGTACCAATCTTTTCAATGGAGACTTCAACAACATCATTATGGTTTAAGTATTTTGGAGATTTCATACCCATAGCAACACCACTTGGAGTACCAGTCATAATAACAGTACCCTTTTCTAAAGTAGTACCTTGAGAAATAAAAGCAATGATCTTTGGAACATTGAATAATAAATCATCAGTGTTGGTATCTTGTCTAACTTCACCATTGACAATGGTCTTTAATTGTAAAGTACCTGGGTTTGGAATAACAGCAGTAGAGACAACAGCTGGACCTAATGGAGCATATTTATCAAAACTCTTGGAGAAACCCCATTGAGGAACACTACCAGCATATTTTGGATCTCTTTGCCAAGTTCTAGCAGAAACATCGTTACCAGAAACGTAACCAGCAACATAAGATAAAGCATCTTCAACTTTGATATCCTTACCAGTCTTACCAATAACAACACATAATTCACCTTCGTAATCAACTTGGTTTTCTTGAGCAATCTTTGGAATTGGAATTGGTTCACCAAAATCAGCAATTGAGAATCTTGGCTTGTAGAAAACTGATGGATATGGTGGAGGAGTTCTACCACCTTCTTGGATATGTTTCATATAGTTTAAACCAATACATTTAATGATTGGAACATCGTCTTCAGAAAGAGGACCTAATAAAGTCTTAACTTCCTTGATTTCATCAGTGACAACAGCATCATCAAAGACATCACCAGTGATGACTTTTGCTCTGATTTCTTCACCAGCAAGAGCAGCTTTACCAAGATCGTAATCTTCATTTGGAACAATTGGTTCACCTCTGTAAATTTTTCCGTCTTTAGCAACGAATCTAATTAATCTTTTCCAAGCAACAGTCATTTTTTATTTATTTAATAGTGGTATCTATTTCAGTTATTATAGAATAAAACAAATAACAACTTTTCAATTTTTCATTTCTGGGGAACATCTGAAGTATTTATTCAATTACGAATCACTATTAATCAGAACTGACGGAGAATAGTTCCGACGATGAAAAGTGTTCGGTTGATGTGTCCGTAACTTGATTTCTAATCCTCGCTCTATTCTAATTTCTTTTCCCTCATTTTGAGTAAGATCGGTGACGGCAAAACTTCCCGCACCGATGTCAAGTCCCTATTTTTTTTTTCCTCGCTAATAAATCCTTATATCTTGTGGGGTATTATTACATAACCAAAACGTATTTAAGACGTCAAATATCCAAATATTCATAATACTGGAAATGTTTTAAACTACACAAAAAAACAACCCTCATAATGGCTCCAGTACAAGCTGAAAAAACCGAATTCCTCAATTCTTTAAAACCAGAAAATGTTGAACCTTTATGGACTGTGATGTCCGCTATGGTTCCACCTGTTCCTCAACCAAAAGCTACTCCAACTGTCTGGAGATATAAATCTCTTAGACCATTATTAGGTGAAGCTGGTAGATTAGTTCCTGCTGAAGAATCCGAAAGAAGAGTGTTAATGTTGATTAACCCTTCCTTAAAGGCTCCACAAACTACTGATACTTTATATGCTGGTCTTCAATATATCATTCCTGGTGAAGTTGCACCAGCTCATAGACACTCTGCTTTTGCATTAAGATTCATTATTGAAGGTGATGGTGGTTTCACTAACGTTGAAGGTTCTAAGATGTATATGGAAAGAGGAGATGTCATTCTTACTCCAAGATGGCAATGGCATGATCATGGTAAGGATGGTAATGGTCCTATGATCTGGTTAGATGGTTTAGATTTACCAATGTTCCAAGCTATCCCAGTCAACTTTGCCGAACATTATAAGGAAGATCGTTTCCCAAGTACTGATGTTGAAGAAACTCCATTGAAATTCCCATGGAAAGGAGTTCAAGAATACCTTGATGCTATTTCCGGTGACCATGCTATCTTTGATTACAAGTCCAAGGAAAAGAGTGGTGCTGAATTATCCACAATTGTTGGTGGTCAAGCTGAAAGAATCTCTCCAAATGCTAAATCCGCATGGAGACAAGAGAGCAGTTCATTTGTTTACCACGTCTATGAAGGTCATGGTCACACTGTGATCACTGAAGCCAATGGTGAAGAAACCATCTTACAATGGGAACAAAAGGATACCTTCTGTATTCCATCATGGAAGAAATTCAGACATGTTAATGAAAGTTCTTCTCAAACTTATCTTTTCAACTTCTCTGATACTCCATTACTTAAGAACTTAGCTATCCACAGAGTTAACTCTGATATTTAAGCTCATTGCATATAGACTGCACTCTTTTTATGATATATATTATGTTTCAACTTTTTTCTATTTATAAATTACGAATAAATTTTCAGGTAAAATTAAACTAATGAATGAATGAAGTAGCTAATTGCAATAACTAGAGCTCATTGGTGCCCCTAAAATACCCCTTTCAAGAAAATCGCTGCACATCGTATTTCCCCGAAAAATAATTGGGATCGGTATTTTTTTATTTTGTGGAGATGAGTTTAAAATAAAGCTTAAAATTTATTATACTGTCAATCATTCAAAATTACTCATTTATTTTTTTTTTCATAACAAAATATCTAACATATTTACATCTAAGCTAATCAGTGAAAGCATTCCATCCAAATAACCATCTTTGGAATTCAGTATCAGACCATTGATCAGGGTTGTGACCATCTCTAGCTTGCATAAGAGCATCTCTTTCTTCTTGCTCTTCACCATCTGGTAAATGCCAGATATGACCATTCTTTCTAGCACCGGCTTGAATAGTTTCAGTTCTTCTCTTTCTTCTCTTTTGGAAGGTGTGAAGAAGGGCTGGGATATCGGCATTAGTAGTAGCTTGGTCTAATAATTCAGCTAATGTGGCACCATCTTCAATGGCTTGAGCAGCACCTTGAGCTAAGTATGGTAACATAGCATGAGCTGCATCACCAATCAAGACAACATGACCGTTTTCACTGACCCATTTTGGTAACATTGGTAAATCAGCAAGAACCCATTTTAAGACAGTTTTAACATGAGTAAGTAATTGTTTAACGATTGGATCAAAATTTTTATAATGGTTTCTCATTTCTTCAACGCTACCTGGTTCATTCCATTTACCAACAGAAGCTTGACCTGGATGAGACATAACAATGTTATACATTTCACCATTTCTAATTGGGTAAGCCATAACGTGTCTTCTGTAACCAATCCAACAATTGGAGTTAACATCTGACATAAGGTGGGCAAGAGCAGGATCAGCTAACATATCTTCTCTTGAAACAGTGGCTCTGAAAGCACAGTTAGAAGATGGAAGTGGTAAGACAGTTTCATCAGTAACAACAGCAGTATCTCTGACTTTTGAACGAATACCATCGGCACCAATAATTAAATCAGCAGTGTATGAAGTTCCATCAGTAAGATGAACAGTGGTAGTTTTGTCATCGACTCTGTCGACTCTTGCATTTAATTTATAAGTAATACCAATATCAGTAGCAGCTTCAAATAATAATCTTTGATAATCAGCTCTGTGGATTAATAAATATGGGAAACCATAACTGTCAGTCATATCTGGGTCTAATGGAGTAGTAGAAAGTGGAACACCAGTGTCAAATCTTCTAAGAATAATATTTTTTGGTCTAGTAACGAAAGGTAAGAATCTATCAAAGATACCATATTCAGTAAGAATCTTGATACTGTTTGGAGGCATTTGAATACCGGCACCAACTTCATTTAAAGCAGATGAACCTTCAAGAACAGTAACGTTGTGACCTTTTCTTTTTAAACCAATAGCAGCAGCAATACCACCGAGTCCACCACCGCAGATGACGATATTAAAGGAAGTTTTAGTCATTTTATTGTAGATATTATAGTTTATAAATTATGAAAACCTAATTCAATTGGAAACTATCGATGTTAACATTCATGAAATCAAAATTGTGAGGGTTGGGAAAATGTAGTTAGTTATATATGAATGAATATTCTCCCATTGAAATCATTGACCACAAAAATTTTTTTAACCGCTATTGAACACAGTTTTACCCCATATTTAGTTACAAAGTATGTATCGGCTACTTTTCTATTGGTAAATTATCGGCACTAGGTTTTAGTTTATCAAATATTTCGGAAACAGGTTCCGCTAGAGTGATTTAAGTTGAATATAAATTGATGGTATAATCCGGTTTCAATTCAGAGTTCCGATCAAAAGTGGAGTCCGATATCAAGCCTCAAAATCTATCCGCTGCTGCATAATTCTTATGCGAGAGTGCATGTATTGTTTGCGGGGTCAGGGCTGCAATTTAAAATTATAAAAAAAAAGATGTATTCGTAAAATGCAAGACACTGTGCGGAGTAATTTAATTTCTTTTTTAGAGCTTAAAAAAATTCATCTTCACTTTAATTTCTTTTTCCCTCACCGTTCACCGTAATAATCTGCGACTTTATTCACAAAATTCAAATCTATACTCTAATAATTTTTGTTGAAACTGGATTCTTTTGTGTTTTCATGATTAAGCGAAGTTCAACTTGATCACTATCTTTGTATTTGCAAATACCTTAGCAAGCTTGAGAGGGGTATTATATCCCGGTATTTTTCCCACCAACTTTGCAGATATTATTTTTTTTCTTATTTATTAAAGATCATCTTGGCTACTATCCAATACATATACTTTACATTTTTAACTAGCTTTTCATTTTCATATTTGCATTCATTCAAATTTTAAAATAACTATCTATAAATATAGTTGAAGTTACTTTGTTTTAATTTTGCAAAATTTGAAGTTTAATTATTTCATCTTATATTTATTCTAATTAGATTTAATATTTTAATCTAATACTATTTATTTAATACTAACAATATGTCTTTCCCAAGTGATATTGAAAAGGCTTCACACGATCATGTCGAAGAATTTGACCCAGTTGCATTTAGTGAACTTGACCAAGAACATCATGATTTTCTTATGCAAAGACATGGGTCAGTTCAATTAGATCCTTTGCCATCAAGTGATCCATTGGATCCTCTTAATTGGCCAGATTGGAAAAAGAACTTTGAAATTTTATTAATTGCTTTTCAAACTTTTAGTTCTACTTTTATGGCTGCTGGTTTAACTCCTGCTTTCGAGCCTATGGCTGAAGCTTATGGTGTTATTGTTCCAACCGCTTCTTACTTTACTTCTGCTCAAATTGCTGCTTTAGGGGTTATGCCTCTTGTTTGGGTTCCAATGATGAATGCTTACGGTAGAAATGGTTTCTTAACTGTTTCAACTTTAATCTGTGCTGGTTTAAATATTGCCGGTGGTTTCTGTACTACTTATGGTCAACAAATGGCTACTAGAGTTTTGGTTGCTGTTTTTATTTCAACTGCTTCTGCCGCTGGTTCTTCTGTTGTCGCTGATTTAGCTTTCAGTCATGAAAGAGGAAAAAAGAATGGTTGGTGGTCTGTTGCTCTTGTTGTCGGTACTCCAGCTGGTCCTTTCTTCTGTGGTTTTATTCAACAACATGCTGGTACTAAATGGATTTACTTTGTCTTTGCATTTATGAACTTTGCTCAATTTATCCTTTGGATCTTTGCTGATGAGACTGTATATTATAGACATGGTCCTCAACCAGAGCAAAAAGGTTTCCTTAGATTCTTAGGTATCAGAAAGAACCCAGACGCTAAATTAAGTCTTTCTGTTTTCTTTAGACCATTCAGATTAGCCACTAACTTTAACGTTGTCATGGCCGTTATTGCTGCTTCAGTTACCTTCTGTTATGCTAACATTGTTCTTGTTGTTGAATTACCGCAAGCTATGGGTGCTTTATTCAATTTAGATGCTCAACAAATCAGTTATCAATATATTTCCCTTATTATTGGTTCATTAATTGGTGAAGTTTTAGCAGGTCCTCTTTCTGATTACTGTATGAAGAGATGTATCGCTAAGAGAGGTGGTAAGAGAGTTATTGTGGACAGATTATGGATTTCATACAATGGTTTCCTCTGTGTCATTGTTGGTTTAATTGTTTGGGGTGTTTACTTATACAAGGCAGTTCCAGGTCACTGGAAAATTAGTCCATTAATCGGTGGTGCTGTTGCTTCTGCTGGTAACAATATTGTTGCCACTGTTCTTGTTACATTTGCTATTGATAGTGCTCCAGAATTAGCTCCAGATGTTGGTTTATTCTTAAATGTTGCAAGACAAACTTTTGGATTCTTAGGTCCATTCTATTTCCCAGCTATGTTCACCAATCTTAACTTTGCTGGGTCTGCCGGATTGATGTCTGCTTTAGTTTTAGTATTTGGAGCAGGTATCATAGCTTTTACTCACTTTATTGGTGCTAGAAAAGCCTAGATACAAATACAATATAGATAAAACAATTGGGAAATCCTCTATTATGAAAAGAAAAAAAATTGACGTTTAATGTGACTCTGGTAAGTCAGTCTCTTGTATAAGGAAGTTTATAGGTAAATACGTCGTTTGTTATGTTATTAATATATTCAGACTGGAACTGTAAAAATGAATTAATTTGTAGAAATCCTTTCAAAAATTATTCACAGAGTAAATTATGAGTAAGGGATGTTTGGGGGAGCACTGATGTATAAGATAATATTACAGTCACTGTGAGTTACATATCTTTCCGAGAAATTATAATTATAAATTTTCAATTTTAATACCATTATTCATTTAAATTAATTTAAGTAAGCTACTTACATATATAAAAAACTTCCAGAGATTAAATATCAGAATTAAGTCTGTGGATAGCTAAGTTCTTAAGTAATGGAGTATCAGAGAAGTTGAAAAGATAAGTTTGAGAAGAACTTTCATTAACATGTCTGAATTTCTTCCATGATGGAATACAGAAGGTATCCTTTTGTTCCCATTGTAAGATGGTTTCTTCACCATTGGCTTCAGTGATCACAGTGTGACCATGACCTTCATAGACGTGGTAAACAAATGAACTGCTCTCTTGTCTCCATGCGGATTTAGCATTTGGAGAGATTCTTTCAGCTTGACCACCAACAATTGTGGATAATTCAGCACCACTCTTTTCCTTGGACTTGTAATCAAAGATAGCATGGTCACCGGAAATAGCATCAAGGTATTCTTGAACTCCTTTCCATGGGAATTTCAATGGAGTTTCTTCAACATCAGTACTTGGGAAACGATCTTCCTTATAATGTTCGGCAAAGTTGACTGGGATAGCTTGGAACATTGGTAAATCTAAACCATCTAACCAGATCATAGGACCATTACCATCCTTACCATGATCATGCCATTGCCATCTTGGAGTAAGAATGACATCTCCTCTTTCCATATACATCTTAGAACCTTCAACGTTAGTGAAACCACCATCACCTTCAATAATGAATCTTAATGCAAAAGCAGAGTGTCTATGAGCTGGTGCAACTTCACCAGGAATGATATATTGAAGACCAGCATATAAAGTATCAGTAGTTTGTGGAGCCTTTAAGGAAGGGTTAATCAACATTAACACTCTTCTTTCGGATTCTTCAGCAGGAACTAATCTACCAGCTTCACCTAATAATGGTCTAAGAGATTTATATCTCCAGACAGTTGGAGTAGCTTTTGGTTGAGGAACAGGTGGAACCATAGCGGACATCACAGTCCATAAAGGTTCAACATTTTCTGGTTTTAAAGAATTGAGGAATTCGGTTTTTTCAGCTTGTACAGGAGCCATTTTAGGTTATGTTATTTAAAAGTGGGTTATGATACTATATAGTTTGAAAAGTTGCAAAAGAGTCTTGGATTTGGAAACACTATTGCCTATAAATAGAAAATCATCCCCACAAACATGGAGCTAGATAATGGTCTAACTTATTAATGCTTGGTCCAATTCAGTTGATCTAGACTAGTAATCTAGTTCCAGATTATCAATACCCGCCGCCCATGGTTTGGGAAATCTCACCGAGACCAAATCCCCCGCTTTCTCGGATGTTTGTTCCGCAGTCGTAAAAAGCTGCAAAAAAAAAGGAGAGGCCGATCTACACCTTGTGTGCGGACTATTTAAACTTAACATTTTTGTGGAGCTAAGAAAATCTAAAAGTGCCGAGTCCAATCTAACCTGGATAACAGGAAGTGGCCATTGTCAAATTTTTAAATTAACGTTTTTAATCAACTTCTGCTAAAGCTAAAAAGTAAACATGAAGTAAACTCCGATATCATGAAATAGGGGTGCCATAAAAATTCCTATCTGCATCGGAACAATGGAAAATGAATCAAATTTGAATAAATATATATATCTTCTGAATATATTTCTTTTTCAAATAGTTTTGAATAATGACGATCAGTTATTCTTTGATTCACTTTTGGTTATTAAGAAGTTGACATCCAATGGAAAGTATCATTCTTTCAGTCACGTGATTTACCGGACCGGTAAAGTGTAAAACTAAAGCGAAGAGGGTCCGATATTTTTGACATAAAATGTAAAGGTGTTGATGATTCGACACAATGCGACCGTTAATTTTATTTTTTGTCAGTTCATTTTCCAACTATTAATGCATTGGAATGCTTCGTATATTACTGTCAAATACTAAATACTTGGCTCTAGGAATATCAAGAAGACAATATACTATGACTGCTACTGCTTGGAAAAGATTGATCAGATTTGTGGGTGAAGATGGTAAGATCTATCGCGGGGAACCAATTGTTCCAAATGATAGTTATGATCTTGGTAAAGCTGCTCTTGCGGGGGAAGAAATTAAAGCCAAAGTTGTCACTGGTGATATATTTGATGGTGCTGTTGTCACTGATGAAGTTAAAAATGTGAAGACTTTATTAGGTCCATTGAGTGAAGATGATGTTCCAATGGTAAAATGTATTGGTTTGAATTATTCCAAACATATTCATGAAGCAGGCTTAAACCCACCTCCATTCCCTTCAGTATTTTATAAACCAAGATTCTCAGTTGCTGATTTCGGTGAACCAATTCCAATTCCAAAGATTGCGCAAGAAGATCAAGTTGATTATGAAGGTGAATTATGTGTTGTCATTGGTAAGACTGGTAAAGATATTAAAGAAGAAGATGCTTTATCATATGTTGCAGGATATGTTTCGGGAAATGATGTCTCAGCAAGAAAATGGCAAATGGATCCTAAGTTTGCAGGAGGAGTTCCTCAATGGGTTTTCTCCAAGAGTTTTGATAAATATGCTCCATTAGGCCCAGCTCTTGTTTCAACAGCTGTTATTCCAAACCCAGGTACTTTACAATTGCAAACTCATATCAATGGGAAATTAAGACAAGACTCAAATACTGATGATTTATTATTCAACGTTCCAAAAATCATTGCTTTTCTTTCTCAAGGTACCACGTTAGAAAAAGGAACTGTTATTATGACTGGTACTCCAAGTGGGGTTGGTTTAGGTTTCAAACCTCCAAAGTACTTACAAAATGGAGATATTGTTGAAGTTTCTATTGAAAAGATTGGTACTCTTCACAATAAGATGCATTTTGTTTAAGAAAGTATTCATTCAAATCTTTTTATATAGAATTCTCAAAAAGTTAAAACAGTTCTAGGAAACTGGTTAGATATCGTTTTCACGACGCTTTTCTCATTCAAATAAAAGTTTTTATTAAAACTCTACATCCCCCGTTCCTATAAACAATTGTATTAAACAAATTGGCTCTTGATTATAGTTTTCACTTCCCTATCTTAATCAATTGTAATGCTAGTAAACCAAAGCCCGCGTAGAATTTTTGTTTTTTTCGATACTTGCAATTTTTTTGTTAGTCTTCTACTTAGCGATAATTATAATCAACAGCATTTATGTCGTCAATAACTATATATGACTACATGTGTGATGATGAAATCGAAAGTTCCGAGTTATTTAATTCATTATCCTTCATGAAAGCTTCTCCAATTTTAATATTGGTGTTGTTTTTTTGATTTTCAGCTGAAAGAAACTAATTCAAAACCCGCTCAATCGGCTGCAAAAATGATTAAAACCGAAATATAATTGTTTACTATTCAATTTCCTATCTTATATTATGTGAATGATAAGGGTAATTGTTGTTGTTTGGATGAATTGATTAAATTGATTTTAATTGATTTCAATTGTTTGAATCAAGATAAGCTTGTCACCATTTCCCTATCAAATCAATTTAACTTATCAATTCTACAAGATTGATATTGATTTCTATTGAAATAATCAATTCCCTATCTGATGAATCATAATTTATCAGAATGATTCTATGTATACTTGACAATTAATTGAATCAAACAGAATTGATAAAAAAAGTCTATATAAACAACTAATAATCATGAACATTTGAACAGAATTAAATTATACTTCTTTAATATCATCATCAGTCACTACTATTGATACGACAAACAAACAAATAAAAACAAATTTTCCCAAAAACATGTCTACTACTACTTTATCTGCTTCAACTTATCCAAAAGTTAAAGTTGCTGCTGTCCAAGCTGCTCCAGTTTATTTAGATTTAGATGCTACTATTGCTAAAAGTGTTAGAATTATTGAAGAAGCTGCTGCCAATGGTGCTAATTTAGTTGCTTTCCCAGAAGCTTTTGTTCCTGGATATCCATGGTTTGCTTTTATTGGACATCCAGAATATACTAGAAAGTATTATCATCAATTATACAAAAACGCTTTAGAAATCCCAAGTCCAGCTATTCAAAAGATTTCCAATGCTGCTAGAGATAATAATATTTTTGTTTCAATTTCTGGTTCTGAAAAGGACAAGGGAAGTTTATATTTATGTCAATTATGGTTTGATAACAAAGGTAATTTAATTGGTAAACATAGAAAACTTAGACCATCAGTTGCTGAAAGATTAATTTGGGGTGAAGGTTGTGGATCTTTATTACCAGTTATGAAAACTGAAATTGGTAATCTTGGAGGTTTAATGTGTTGGGAACATAATGTTCCATTAGATGTTGCAGCTTTGAATAATCAAAATGAACAAATTCATGTTGCTGCATGGCCAGGATACTTTGATGATGAAATTTCATCTCGTTATTATGCTATTTCAACTCAATCATTTGTAGTTATGACTGCTTCGATTTATAGTGAAGATATGAAACAAAAAATTTGTGAAACTCCAGAACAAAGAGCTTATTTTGATAGTTTCAAGAGTGGTCATACTTGTATTTATGGTCCAGATGGTGAACCTATTTCTGAAATGGTTCCAGCTGAAACTGAAGGTATTGCTTATGCTGATATTGATATTGCTAGAACTATTGATTTTAAATATTATATTGATCCTGCTGGTCACTATAGTAATAAATCGTTAACTGCTATTCATAATGTTACTGATACTAGAGCCATTAAACAAATTGGTAGTCCAACTTCTCAATTTATTGGCCATGAAGAATTAAGCCAATATGAAATTCTTTAGAGGGAGAACTGGTTCTCTCGTTTGATCTTGTTATTGCCCTTGCATAACTTTCTGATCCTATTACTTTTGCTTGCTTTTATTTTTATCTATCCCTTTATTTTATCTTTTACCTACTTTTTACTAAATATTCTATTCTTTTCCTTTGTTTACTTCAATTCGCCGTGATATCTTCCTTAGAATATTTGAAATATATGATGTTTTTTTTCTCTATATAAAAAAAAATTACCCGCTGTATATATGTAAAATTTGCAACCTTTTGAAGAAAAAACAAAATATTTCCACACTCAAGTACACGACTTCAATTTTTCATAAACAAACAAAATTAAAAATCTGTCTCGTATATAATATTTAATAACTATAAATTCACAATTTTATAAATCACACTATCCTTCCAACCCTACCATGGTGATCAAAGCTAAACCTAAGGATAAAGGGAATGTCTCATTAACGACTTTACAATATGCAATTATCGCATTGAACATAACTATCAGAATATATTCCTCATTATATATGATCATATCAGATTGTGATGAAACTTTTAATTATTGGGAACCATTAAATTTATTATTTAGAAAGTTTGGGAAGCAAACTTGGGAATATTCTCCTGAATTCGCTATACGAGATTATGTATATTTATTAATATATTACACTGTGGGCTTACCAATCTTAGTGATCTTAAAATGGTTTAGTCAAAATAATGAATTAACTTATACGGTGACATATTATCAATTTTACTTTTTAAGATTGATTGCATTGAATGGATTCACAAGTTTTGGGGAGATTTATTTATTTAAAACGTTGAATAATCATTTAACTCCATCCATTGCTAATTGGTTTTTGTTTTTTAATTCAATTGCCCCAGGTATGTCTCATGCTGGAGTGGCATTATTACCATCAACCCTTGCCATGCAAACCAATATGATTTCAATGGGATCTAGTATATTGGCATTTTCATCATGGAGTAGTGGAGTTAAATCAGGATCAGTGAATTTATTTGTGGGAGCTATAATTTGGATCTTGATTGGTGGACTTTTAGGATGGCCATTTTCATTAGCGCTTGGAATTCCGTTAGGTTTTTATATTATCTTTAATTATAAATTCTATCAAAGTTCTACTATTCTTGATAAACCTATTTTCCAAATTATTTTCAAAAGTTTAATTGCCTTGATTTTAATCTCAGGTGGTGATGTTCTCATTAATACCTACTATTACAAGAAACCTATCTTTGTCCCATTAAACATTGTATTATATAATGTATTTGGAGGTGAAGGAGAAGGACCTGAAATCTTTGGGGTTGAACCATTCAGTTATTATATTTTGAATTTATTACTTAATTTTAATATCACTGCTATATTAGGATATGGTGGAACTATCTTAAACCCATTAATTTATCAATCAAAGAAATCACTTATACTAATTGTGTTTTCATTACCAGTATTAGTATGGACCGGAATATTCTTTAGTCAACCTCATAAGGAAGAAAGATTTCTTTATCCAATTTATCCCTTGATAAGTATTAATGCATCATTATTGATTATAAAATTATTTGGATTTTCAAATCAAATATTATCAATCTTTATCAATGAAAATTATTCGATTAAATTAAACCGACTTGTCAAATACATTTTCATAACTTTGATATTCTTAATATCAACATTAAGAATCATAAATTTGGTAGATAATTACGCTACACCCTTGAATATATTCTCCTTAATATCCCAAGAACCACAAGACAATGATGAAAAAGACGTGCTTTATAATGTTTGTATCGGTCGTGAATGGTATCATTATCCAAATTCATTCTTCTTACCGGATAATTATCGATTAAGATTTGTTCAAAGTGGATTTGATGGATTATTACCAGGGGATTTTTCTGAAATTGGAAATATAAATGATATAACTTCATCTATACCGATTGGAATGAATAATAAAAATCAATTTGATATTCATAAAATCATAAATTTTAATGACTGTGATTATTATATTGATAATTCCGGTATAACGAATGATTTCGAACCTACGATATTAGCCGATGTAAAGAATGGAGATATTGAAAATTGGAAAGTTTTAGGATGTGAAAAATTAATTAATCCTGAAGGTGCCCATTCTGGAATTGGGAAATTCATTTATATTCCAACTGTGTTAAGATCAATTATTCCTCATAATGTTGAATATATGGATTTATGTGCTTTAAAAAAGGACAAGGAAAGTTTATAATTTATATAAAAAGTAAGTTTAGGTTTTTTTAAAATATACATATAATGATTATATTCTGTTTTGTTATAACTACAAAGTGGGTTTGGTAAATAAGATATAGAATGAATGAGGAATTGATTTCATTAGTACATCAAAGATAAATAATAATAATAGTAATAGAAAATGGATTCAGTTAAAAATGGAGTAGAATGAAAAGAAAACACATAAAAGATGAATGAAAAGATAAAAATTGGGAGGATGGAGGTAAAGAGGAGATAAACTTGATAATAGTGAGAGGAAAAAAAAACAGGAAAACTAACGATAATTAACTCTATTAGGATTGTGATATGGTTGGTTGGTTGGCTAGCGAAAGTGAAAGGATAAATGAATAATAAACACTAATATTCCACATCAAAAAATTCATTTAATGCAACTCTTGATTCGGCAAAAGCATCTCTTGCTTTATGTAAAGCATCTTTTATTAATATTATCCAAAAATCATCACTATCTTCACTTGGAATGGATGAAGTTGGAGGTTGCGGGAGAGGTTTCACATTATTCTGTATGGTGATTGAATCTTTTATTGGGGTTGATGATTCATCTTTTGATACTACTATAGGAGCAGATGAATCTAATTTAGATATTGGCTCTGGTACAGATGCAGGTATTGATGAAGATGAGGATGATGCTGGAGGATCTGAGGAAGAAGACTCATTAATATCGAAATTATCGAAATTCATTTTATGACCATAATTTTGAATTCTTTCACATTGAGAAGAAATTTGAATTAAACCAATGGCGGCAGCTGAACCTTTTAAATAATGACCTAAATCACTTAATTCATTTAAATCTTTACTAATTAAGTTTTTATCTAAAGATTGGAAAGTTTCAATCACTTGATCAACAAAAGTTTTAAATAAAAATAAAGAAAACCCTTCTTCATCTTCATCCATAACTAATAATTCACTAAAGACTGACCAATCAACTAAGCCGGTGTCTTGTAGTTTTTGTCTTTTATCTTCACCCATGCTGATGATGAATATGTAACTTTTTAGTTTATGAGTTGTAATGATAAGTAACCTTTTAAAAAAACGGTTTAACTATGTTGTAGTTTTTTTTTTAAGGTATGGGGTGTACGAGGTGAGAAGGTACAGAAAGTGGATTGAGTGAATGGTGGGAGGTTAAGGGTTCTAAGTTGAAGGGATGATGAATTGATTTCAATATAGAATGCAGAAACAAGGAAATGAGTAGTAGGTAGTAATGATGGTAGTGTGGCACAAGAATGAATATTGTAATGTGGATGATGTAAGCTGATGGAATTAGTATTGGTTATGAAGTGCAGAAACCAAAGATTCAATAGATTTAACAAGGACAATTGATGAGGGAGGAATGAAATGAAGGAGTCAATCTAACTATCAAGGAAGGAAGAAGTGAGGATGAGATGAGATGAGATGAGAAATGGAATAAGGATTGGTTGGTTATTATAAATAAATAAATAAATAATTAGTTATGAGACGATGTTTTGAAAATATGATATTTAAATTTTAATGACAAACTGACACTCTGACACTTTTTCTGTTTTGTCGTACTGTCTGAGTGAGTGTCGTTTTTTTTTTTTTTTTTTTATTTTCTTTTATTTTATTTTTTTTGTCTGGTATTTTTAGTCCTTATTTAAATTGTCTGTCTGTTTGGGTGTGTTTTGATTATCCGTGTCTCGAATAGACATACATATATCCATTTCATATTTATAAAATAACTATGACGACATTAAATCTCATAGTTTGGCGTTTATCGGATTTAATTATTATATAAGCGAATTAATTAATCATTTACTGTCTACTCTATTTCCTAATTAAGCTACTTATGTCTATTCTTACCCTTATTCCATATTGATTATGATCATGACGTTTTATATTTACTTTTAATCTTATGATAATGTTAACTTCTATTTATACTCATAAACGTTTTATATTATATTATGTTTTACTTTGCCTTTATTTACCTTTATAATCAGGCTTAGCAATCCATCATAGTTTAATAAAAGCAAGTCTAGACTTCAATTTCAACTATTTTTATCCAATTAAATAGAATATAATTTAATATTCATATGAATTATTGCAAAAGTAATTAGGATATAGATACAACTACAGAAATTGTCTGTTCTACATCAGCTTATTCTTACTGTTTATATAATTAACATTTAAAACAGTCTAGACTTCACTCATATATAAAACTTTTATTAATTCTACCGTAACTACTACTAAATCCACCAAATTACTACTCTTACACCTAGTTAAATTCAGCCGCTCGTATGTTGTTTCATTTTAATTACGAGTTAAAAACTTCATATGCATTCAACAAACTTTAAATATGACGTTTACTTTTATTCATTATTTTATACTTATTAGGTAAAACTTAATATCATATAGCTACAACCTGTCTAATTATGCTGGTTCATGTACGTACCTACACCGGTGAAGCAAATGGTTATTTATTTATCGATGTCGTCCAATTTCGAAATACTTCTTTCCATTACGTCATTTCTTCTCATTTTCTCATTTTCTCATAAATTTAAAGTTTTGTCGAATTTTTATTTTGTCAATTCTGTATGTCGCAAATGTTTTTGAATTTCCATTGAGAAAAATGACAAAACTTTTCGACAAATCAATCTTCAACTCACATCTTTATCTATAATATGATGTAAACAATGATACCTCTAAATTTAAATGAATTTAAACTATATACACTTATACTAACGTTATATTTAACAATAATTACCTACTTGAAAGTGATAATCTCTTATAATTAGTCTTGAATAAAACTAAAACCTACAATTTCATATTAAATCTTCATAATTTCGCAACATTATCTCAAAAAATTTCTATTAATTTATAAATTAATCTATATATATTCTATTCCTTAATTACTTACTTACTTATTATGATATTCAAATAAATCTCCAATTTTATTAGCATAATAAGTTGGAGCATTTCCATCATTCAATTTCAAGACATTTTCTTCAGTTTCAATACCAGTTAATACTAATAAAGTATCTAATCCTCCATCTCTACCAAACTTCATATCAGTATTTAATCTATCTCCAATCATTAATCCTCTCTTGGGGTTCAATTGTAATGATTCATGATCAGCTTTAATGGAATTCATCATTGATTGATTTGGTTTACCACATACAGCATCAGGTTGACGACCGGATGCAAATGATACAGTTTCAATAATTGATCCTGCTCCAATTAATAATTTCCCCTTGGATGGGAAAGTTGAATCAATATTAGTAGCAATAAATGGTAAAGATTTATTATCTTTTAAAAGATATTGCATGGTTAAAGATAATTTTAAATAATTTAAATTAAATGTTAACCCAACTATAACACATCCAACTTTTTCATCTAAATTGGATAATAATTCATGATCAGGACTAAATTTAACTCCATCTTCAATTAATTTCTTATCAGTACCACCAATCGTTTTATATCCTAATTCATGTAATTCTTGTTCAATACCTTCTTCACCTAAAATCCAAATTTTTTTCTCTTTAGATAATTTTAAAATTTTATCAATATAAATAGCTGAAGCATATGATGAACCAAATACTTCATCTTTACTAATTCCATCAATACCTAATTTAGCAAATTTCTTTAAATAATCTTGACGAGATTTAGTGGAATTATTAGTGACGAATATACATTGTTTATTTAATGATTTTAATAATTGAATGGTTTCAACTACACTAGGTAATAAATGATCTCCTAACCAAAGAACTCCATCACAATCAAATAAAAAGTAATCATAATCATCCAACACTTGATGGATCTTATCACTGGAATCCAACTTAACACTCATCTTGATTGATCTTCTGTATATCTATCTATCTATCTATCTATGGTAAAGAAATGGATTATACATGTGCGAGATTCTGTCAGCAATGGGAAAAAAACGAAAGTGGTCAAATTTTGAACATCAAGTGAATACTATACAACCTTACGACTTTTACGATAATCTAAATGATTTAATTAAATAAATGTATAATAATAGTAATAACAATAATAATAACTATAGAATAAACTAGTAATGGTCATACCAATTACCTTTGCATCCTTATTAGCAATGGAACAAAGCATGTTTGATATAACTATATGAAACCAAACTAAAAGTATGATCCACTCGACGGGATGATTACTATATATTCTTGATTATTATCATTGGGTCGAAATGAATAAGTTATGATGATGATTGGGTTTGTTGATTTATGTATCAATATAGAATATATTATCATATATATATTTGATAATATATTCATATGTTATATATGCATGAAAAGAATGATTGAAATGAGTCTAGAATAAAGGACGTTCTAGCTTCAATCTAATATGAAAAAGATACTTAACGATCAGCTGGATCAATTCCAACAGTATATTGGGGGAAACGGAATTTTGATTTATCATTATATATTTCTTTATCAAATTTAGCTTTAACTTCATCACTCATACTTTCTCTAACTAAATCTTGTCTGGCTTTTTCACTATAATATCTTCTAGCAACATTTCTATCTTCTTCAGCTAATAATAAAGGTTGTAAATAAAATCTACTCCATTGTTTTTCTCGTGATAATTCTCGTTGTTCATCAACTCCTTTATAAAATCGATAAAATCCAAATGCCATTAATCCAGTTATACCCCAGAAATATATACTGGCTCTGAATCCTCGGGATGGAAGATTTCTCTTCCATTGTACTGGTTCATACCCTCCAATAGGTGGTAAATCTTGCATTGTCCTATCTAGTTTAACCTTACTTAGTATACCATATAATTTGTATGTATGTATGTATTTTTTCTTTTTCTTTTTCAGTTTTTGATGATTTCTCAAATCTTTATTGGTAGAAGAAATTTGATCCAGAGCGCACGACCTCTTTGGTTTGGTTGCACAATGTAAATTTTACAACTATAACTAATTAAACTTAAAACGATAAATGATTTTTTATTATACAAAGACATATGATACTATATATAAGTAATTCTATCAATCAAGATTGATAGAATAGATCTATTTAATATCAAAAATAGGTTTCAATCTCCTGATTAATAACCAATCATCTCTTGAAACAGTATCACGGAATGCAGGATCTTTCAAAGTATCAATTGAACGACGAGAAATTAATGAATATAAACTATCAGTTTCATCAACATGTCTACCCCAGGTTGGTTGAGCTGAAGATGGATTATCCAATCTCATAGCTACACCAGCAGCAGTTTGACCTTTCTTAACGATATCAACTGCTTTATGATTCACTTCTAATGATGTAACTCTACCTAATACCATAATATTTGGTTGTCTAGTAGTTGGATCAGTACGAACAGCACAAATTGGAGTACCGATTCTAACAGCACCGTCTACCACATCAACCCCAATAATCATTGGATTACGTTTATTAATAATTTGAATCGTTTTTAAAGTACATGGTAAAACAGCATATTCCATGAAATTTTTACGTCTTTCTTCAAGTAATTTAGCTTGATAAGCAGTAAATGAATCAAATAAATGATAAATAATATCAGCATTAAAAATCTTAATATGATTGTCTTCAGCATATTGTTCAGCTTCTTTATCAATTTTAACATCAAAACATAACATAATAGCATATTCAGGGGCTTTTTCTAACATAGTAGTAGCTTTCATAACATCTCTTTTAAATACTGGTCCTAATCCAATAGACATAACTGGAATCTTCATATCCTTTAAGAAATCTAATAAAGCTTCTAATGATCCCAAGGTAGAGGCTTGAACAACAACCCCCTTACCTGAAGTATCAACAGAATCTAATAAACCAGTTAAATCATCCATTACTTCTTCCATAATTTCATCTTCATCATCATCTTCTCCAACCACAATTAATCTAGAACCAGCAACAGCTTTTTCTAAATCATTAGCAGCAATTTTAACCCCTAAAGCAGCTTTAACTTCTTTATGATGAACATATTCTGATTTAATACGCAATTCTCTTGATGGTGGTGGAGTTAATAAAGCTCTTATATTGGTAGCAATTGGACCATTCAAACCACATAATACCACTCGATCACCTTCTCGTAAAATACCATTGGATAATACTACATCAATAGTATAACCAAAACCTTCAACAACTTTAACTTCTAAAATAGTAGCTTCAACTTTAGATAAGTACATTAATTGTTTGGACATTCTCTTTTGAGTTAATTCTAATAATAACCATAATAAATCTGGAACACCTTCCCCAGTAACAGCTGAAGTTGGAACAATAGAAACATATTTAGACATGTTTTTATTTTGGTAATATAATTCAGAATTTAACCCTTGTTCAGCTAATGCTAATTTGATTTGATCATATCTATTTTGGAATTCAGATTGAACAGCTTTAGATTGTTTGGAGAATGAATCTCTGAATGAATTATCTGGAGTAGTTTCCCAATCATATAATCTATCAATCTTATTTAAAGCAACAATAAAAGGAGCCTTTCTATCTCTTAATAATCTAATAGATTCAAGAGTTTGTTGTTCTAAACCATGCATAATATCAATCACTAAAATAGCAATGTTACATAATGAAGAACCACGAGATCTTAAATTAGTAAAGGACTCGTGACCTGGAGTATCAATAATTAATAAACCTGGAACATCAAAGGTTTGTTTTTCATATTTGGCCATCACTTTAGTCTTTTGTTTAATAGCATCAACTGGGAAATAAGTAGCACCGATTTGTTGGGTAATACCACCAGCTTCACCACCTTGAACATTGGTTTGACGAATTTTGTCAAGTAATTTGGTTTTACCAGTATCAACATGACCTAAAATACAACAAATTGGAGAACGTAAATCTTTTTCGGATGATGGAGTTTCAGCAGCTTGCTTTTCTAACTCAGCAATCTTGACCTTAGCAGCTTCTTCTTCTTTAGCCTTTCTTTCGGCGGTTTCGGCGGCAGCAGCGGCGGCAGCAGCGGCAGCAGCAGCTTCAGCCTTAGCCTTTTCTTCAGCAGCAGCTTTTTCAGCTTCTTCATCGTCTTCTTCATCTTCGTCTTCTTCTTCATCATCGTCTTCATGTTTGACTTCAGAGTCACCATTAAAAGCAGATTCCCAATCATCAGCAACTGGTTCATCTTCTAATGCCATCTTTTCCCAATCATCAACTAAAACTTCTTCTTCTACATCATCAGCTTTCTTTGTTTCAACAACAACAGCAGCCTTTTGAGTGAAAGTCTTTGGTTTAGTTGATTTTTTCTTACCATATACCACTTTCTTTGGTTTTTGAACTTCTTCACCATCTTGATGTTGTTGTAAACCAGCAACAGTAACATTACCAGCTTGTAACAATTGTTCACGACGACGTTCTTGTAATTTCTTTTCTTCCTTTTGTTTTTTAGTAAGTAATTTACCATCAGCTTTTAATTGTTCTTTCTTTAATCTTTCCTTTTCCTTTTTAGCAGCCCTATCAGCTTCTTTCTTGGCATCTGCTTCAGCAATTAATCTTTCTTCTTCTAATCTTTTAGCTTCTTCTTCTTCTTCTAAACGACGTTCTTCTTCTTCCGCTTGTTTTTTCAATTCTAATTGACGTTTTAAAGCAGCAAGACCGGCTGGAACTTTCTTACCTGGTTTTTTTGGAGCTGGTTTATCTTCAGGTTCTGGAGTTGATGTAGATGATGAATTAGCAGCATTTTGTTTATTTGCTTCTTTAATTTGTTCTTTCTTACTAGCTTGTTGTTCCTTTTTCTTATTAGCTAATTCCTTCTTCTTAGCCTTTTCTTCTTCCTTTTTCAATTTTTCCTTTTCCTTTTTAGATAATAATTTTGGAGCATCATCTTTAGTTTTAGCCTTTTCATCTTCAACTTTTTGAGATTTCTTTTGTTTAGATTTTCTAATTGAGTTTAAGAAATCATCACCAAAATCATCTTCACCAGCTTCAGTTGGACCTTGAGGACCACCATTTGATTCTTCAGGTTCTTCAACTTCAGCACTTTCAGTAGTTTGATCTTCAGTAGCAGTTTGATCTGGAGTCAGACCCAATTCTTCAGGTTGAGGACTATCTTCAACGACATCATCGTCGGCCCAGATATCTTCCTGTTGCTTACCTCCTTTCTTAGCTTTCTTCGCCATTGTACTAGATTAATGTTATAGTACTAATACAACAAACTATCTTGAATGATTCAAATTGTTTCATGCTTAAATATAGAGATGGAAATTTTTTTTTCACCACCATACAAAATTATTTTGTTCGCGTACACACGACTCTTAAAGATTTTTTTTTTTTTCATTTCAATTTTTTTTTTCAGATCAGTTTAAAGGAAAGAACAAGAAGAAGAAGAAGCATCGAAGGGTTTACTTTCATCGTATAAAGAAACAGAGAACTCATAATGACGACTGTGGAAAAGATCAAGGCCATAGAAGATGAAATGGCGAAGACCCAAAAGAATAAGGCTACTTCCTTTCATTTGGGTCAATTAAAAGCCAAGTTGGCCAAATTAAGAAGAGAATTATTAACTGATGGAGCATCTGGTGGAGGTGGTGCAGGTATTGGTTTCGATGTGGCCAGAACTGGGGTTGCTACTATAGGGTTTGTTGGTTTCCCATCGGTGGGTAAATCTACTTTACTTAACAAATTAACTGGTACTCATTCTGAAGCAGCTGCATATGAATTTACAACTTTAACTACTGTTCCAGGGACAATTAAATATAAAGGTGCAAAACTTCAAATGCTAGATTTACCTGGTATTATTGAAGGTGCTAAGGATGGTAAAGGTAGAGGTAGACAAGTTATTGCTGTTGCCAGATCTGTTAATTTATTATTCTTGGTATTAGATGTTAATAAACCATTACAACATAAAAGAATCATTGAACATGAATTAGAAGGTATGGGAATCAGAATTAATAAAGAACCTCCTCATATTGTCATTACTAAAAAGGAACGTGGTGGTATAAATATCACTAAAACTGTTCCATTAACTCATTTAGATAATGATGAAATCAGAGCTGTCATGTCAGAATATAGAATTAATTCTGCTAATATAGCATTTAGATGTGATGCTACTGTTGATGATTTAATCGATGCTATAGAAGCCAATGCAAGAAGATATATCCCTGCTATCTATGTGTTAAACAAGATAGATTCATTTTCCATAGAAGAACTTGATTTATTATATAAAATTCCTGATGCTATTCCTATCTCATCTGGTAATGGATGGAATTTAGATGATTTATTGGAATTAATGTGGGACAAACTTAAGTTGGTAAGAGCATATACTAAACCAAAGGGGAAATTACCTGATTTCAATGAACCTGTGGTGTTAAGAAGTGATAGATGTACTGTAGAAGATTTCTGTAATTCTATCCATAAGTCATTAGTGGAAGATTTTAGAAATGCCTTGGTATATGGTACTTCTGTTAAACATCAACCTCAAATCGTAGGTCTTGGTCATACTTTAGAAGATGAAGATGTGATCACCATCTTAAAGAAATAGTCCCTGGGTATAAATAGGTTAAATAGATTTCATGTAATATATATAAATTGTAAATCCCATATAATTTTAAACAATGGTCTTTACACGTGATCCATTTCTCTTCCTAAAAATTTTTTTTTCTTAGTTAAAGAAAGAAAAGAAAAAAACAAGCCAGTGAAAAGATAAAATGAGTTCAAAAAGATCCAAGAGGTTTCATTGATTTAAAAGTCTTCACTTTCATCTCCTTACCATACACTTAGGAATTTTATAATTCGAAGTTCCTTTTTGTCAAGGGATTTTGTTGTCTGACTAGTGTTTATAAAGAAAAAGAAAGGTTCGACATCAGAGTCATGTCTGTGTTACCGGAAGATGTCCAAGGTGTGTTATCACAATTGTTGGATAATTTGAAATCGGCAGACAATTCCATTAGATCTGCTGCCGAAAAATCATTGGAAGATGATTGGAGTTCTAAAGATACGGTAGTGGCTTTATTGGTCTATTTAGCTGAACAAGCTTGTCTGGCAAGTGTGGAAGAAACAAGAAGTTTTGCTGCTGTTTTATTCAGACGTATTGCAATTAAATCTCCCAAGGAAATGGCCACTGTTACCGATAGAACTATTGGTGTTATTAGTGAACCAGCAAGGCAACAAATCAGATCTATTCTTTTAAAGGGGTTCTCCAATCATCAAAGTAATCAAGTTAGACATAAATTATCCGATGCTATTTCAGAAATGGCTAAAGATGATGCTTCACCAGCTGGTACTTGGAATGAACTTATACCTGCTTTATTTGAAGCTACTAGAAATCAAGATCCAAGTTTCCGTGAATCTGCTTTCCGTGTGTTTTCCTCGGCTCCTCAATTAATTGATAAATCATACATTCAACAAGTTTTACCAATCTTTAATGGTGGTTTTAATGATGAAAATGATGATGTTAGAATCTCTGCTTGTACTGCTTTTGTTGCTTTCTTTAGAGAATTACCAAAAAATAGTTGGCAATCATTATCTCCTTTATTACCTGATTTATTGAATTCATTACCAAGATTCTTACAAAATGGTCAAGATCAATCATTAACTTTAGTATTAGAATCTTTAATTGATTTAGTTGAATTAGCTCCAAAAATGTTTAAAGATATGTTTCCTACTATCATTGAATTTTGTGCTAATGTTTCCAAAAATAAAGAATTAGATCCAGCCACTAGAATGTCATCCCTTGAATTACTTACTACCTTTGCTGAAGTTTCTCCAAATATGTGTAAACGTACTCCTACTTATACCAGTGTCATGGTTGTTGTAACACTTTCCATGCTTACTGAAGTCTCCATTGATGATGATGAAGCTGCAGAATGGAATAATAATGATGATACTACTGATGAAGATGAAGAACCAGAACATGATGTTGCTCGTCAAGCATTAGACAGAGTAGCTTTAAAATTAAATGGACAAGCTCTTGCTGGTCCTCTTTTCCAATATTTACCAAATATGATTCAATCTGAAGATTGGAGAGAACGTCAAGCTGCTTTAATGGCATTATCATCAGTGGCTGAGGGATGTGTAGATGTCTTAATAGATGAAATCCCAAAGATTTTAGATTTAATCTTATCAACCTTAGAAGATAGTCATCCAAGAGTTCAATATGCTTGTTGTAATGCATTGGGTCAAATGTCAACTGATTTCTCCGATAAAATTCAAAATACTGCTGGTGATAGAATTTTACCCGCTTTAATTTCAAAATTAACTAATAAATCTGTTCCAAGAGTTCAAGCTCATGCTGCTGCTGCTTTAGTTAACTTCTCTGAAGCTGCAACCAAGGAAATATTAGAACCATATTTAGATGGCTTATTAACCAATTTACTTGGATTATTACAATCTCCAAAAAGATATGTCCAAGAACAAGTCTTAACTACCATCGCAATCATTGCTGATGCTGCTGAGAAAAAATTCATTAAATATTATGATACTTTAATGCCATTATTAACTGATGTATTGAAAACTGAAATGGGTGATGAAAATAGATTATTAAAAGCTAAATGTATTGAATGTTCAACCCTTATTGCTTTAGCTGTCGGAAAGGAAAAATTCGCTCCTCATTGTCAAGATTTAATTCAATTATTCGGTCATATTCAAGAAACTGCAACCGAAGAAGATGATCCTGTTAAACAATACTTAGAACAAGCTTGGGGTAGAATATGTCGTATTATTGGAAAAGATTTCTTACCATACTTACCTGCAGTCTTACCTCCATTATTAGCCGCTGCAAAGGCAACTCAAGATATTTCTTTATTAGAAGAAGATCAAGCTGAAGAATTCAATTCAAATGAAGAATGGGATGTTATAAATTTATCCGGAAAACTTATTGCAGTACATACCGCTGCTTTAGATGAAAAGGTATCAGCCATGGATTTACTTAGAACTTATGCTAATCAATTAAAAGGTGACTTTTTCCCATGGGTTAAAGAAATTATTCAAGATATTGGTATACCCGCCTTAGATTTCTATTTACATGATGGTGTTAGAGGTTCTGCTGCTTTAACTTTAGCTTCTTTATTAAGATGTTCTGTTTATGCTACTGGTAATACATCCAATGAAACTCTTGGATTTTGGGCTCAAATTTCAGATAAATTGGTTGATGTTTTAAATAATGAACCAGTTCCAGAATTATTAGTTGCTTATTATACTGCCTTGGTTGAATGCATAAATGTGATTGGTCAAAATTCATTATCTGTTACCCAATTAGAATCATTAGCCAAATCAATTAATACTAATTTGGTTGAAATATATGAACGTATCAAGGCAAGAGATAATGAAGATGATGAATTTACTGAAGATGTTGAAGAAGACGAAGAAGAATATACTGATGAAGAATTATTAGATGAAATTAATAAAGCTATTTCAGCTATTTTCAAGAATGCCAAATCTAATTTCCTTCCAGCATTTCAAATATTGGCACCAACCATTTCATCTTTTATTAAAGATGAAAATAGTAATATAAAACTTTGTGGTTTGTGTGTGATATGTGATACTATAGAACATTGTGGTGCTGAATCATCGATGTATAAGGAAATGTTTGTCAATGTTGTTGCTGAATCCTTAACTTCTTCTCATGCTGGTGTTCGTCAAATTGCATCATATGCTGTCGGTGTTGCTGCTCAATTTGGTGGTGATGTATACGCTGATTTTTGTTTAGCTTGTCTTGAAACTATGTTTAAAATGGCTTCAGTTCCAGATGCTAAAGCTGAAGAAAATATCTATGCTACTGAAAATTCAGTTACTGCTATTGCTAAAGTATGTCATAGATTTGCATCATCTATTCCAGATGTTAATGCTATACTTGAACAATGGGTAGGGTTCCTTCCTATTCTTCAAGATGAAACTGCTGCTCCATTTTCATACACCTTTTTAAGTGAACTTATTCAAAATCAACATCCAGCTGTCACCACTCAAATACCAAAAGTGGTTGATTCTGTTATTCAAGCGTTGAACCATGCATCTATTTCAGGTAATACAGCTGACAGAGTAGTTGCATCCACCCGACAATTGTTAGGATCAATTCCTCCTAATGAAGCCATGGCATTGTTGCAAAAGAATCCTACTGATATAGAGACTGTTAAAAAGTGGTTCTCTTAATAAATTCGAAGCATTGTATTGTTAGTATATATGACTAAACTAGTTTTTTTTGTATCTGCTATCTTTTTAAATATCCCCATGTCATTTATATTAATTAATAATAACATTCATTCCTTTAATATATATAAAAATTTTATCTTTCACCTTCATTGTATATGTTAAATTTGTACGCGTTCATGTTAAAAAGCTTAAATCGAATTGAATCAAAAACTTCAAATCGAAAAAAAAAGAAAAATTGATTTTAATTATACGAAACAAGATATAGAGATAAAGTGATAAAGTGATCAAAGGTTGACACCATGACTACACCCGCCGTCTCAGCATCAGCATCAACGTCGTCAACTACATCAACCTCAACATCAACTTCATCAGCTCAATCGGGAGGCAAGCGATATTCTATGAATACCATCGAGTCTAGTGTTACAAGACTACTAGTATCAACAAAACATCTATTAGAAAGTTTAACACAATGGGCAAGACAAGAAGCTGATGACAAGTTTGTTTCCGATGCATATGTAAAGTTGGGTAATGATTTCAGAGCCGCAACAAGGGTTCTTCATACCAATGGGGTGGATGTATCTGATATTGGAGATGTTCCTCAAGCATTGAGAATTATTCTAGAAGCAGCATTAAGTGAAGCTCCAAGTCAAGAAAACTTAGATCGTTTCTTACCAAACATTAGAAATATTATAGTGACACTACTTCAGAATTTAAAGACCAAACAATTGAAAGCAAAATCACTTAGTCAAGAGTCTCGAAAAGCTACTGAGTTAGCTCCGACGATTGAAGAGAGAAAACCTGAAAGAAATGAATCTATTCCAACTCTTACATCTGATACTGTCAAAGAACCAGTACCAAGTAATGCATTATCACAATTACAAAATGGAAATGCAATGCAACGACGTGCTTCAAAAAGATTCAGTGCTTATCAATACGCAAAGCTTACAAATATAACTCCATCATTGCCTAGAATACTGTCCCCAGACCAGACCATCGAAGAAAGATCTATAGCCAAAGACACTGAAGTTACAAATGAAATAAAGCATGATGAGGAAAAGACCAGACCACAGAAAGATATCACGTCAGCAGATATATTCTTGAAAATTGGGTCTAAAGTAAAGAAGTTAAACATAAAATTACCGGTAACTTTTGCTTCACTTAGACTTATGTTTGTGGAGAAGTTTGCTTATTCTCCAGGTTCAAATCCTTTTCCAGAAGTTTACATACAAGATAACAAGAGTGGAATCGCCTATGAATTAGAAGATCATATGTTGCATGAAGTTAAAGAGGGAAGTATCTTATCGTTAAACGAACCTGATGCTCATTCAGCTGCAATAGAACAATTACAAGGAAAGATTTCTGATTTGAACTTAAAGATTGAAGCTATGGATTCAAACATAGTTTCTGTAGTGAAAGAAGCAATTGGTTCTATAGAATTTCCAGCTCCTATAATCCAAACTCAGCAAGAAACTGCAAAGAATGATAATCCAAGTAAATCAAATAACACATTTAATTCTAAAGAGTTAATTGAAATTCAAAATGAGTTAAGGGCAATAAAACAAATTCAAAGTAAAGCAGGAAAGACCATTAGATCAACAATTGGAGAAATATCTAAGGAAGTAAGCGCCTTCCAAGAAGCAGGTTTGGAAGTATCTAAGTCTTCAAATAGAGCTTATATGGAATCATGCCACTTAAAATTATCCGAAGAGTCTGATGTATTATTAACTAAAGTAGATGACTTACAAGATATTATGGAAGCTTTAAGAAAGGATGTTGCTCAAAGAGGGGTGAGGGTCAGTGAAAAACAATTGAGAAATACATATAAAGAAATTGAAGAAGCTAACCTGGCTTTGAAGAAGATGAGTAATTATATTACAAAGGAAAGATCTGTATGGAAGAAGATTTGGGAGTCTGAATTAGATAAAGTTTGTGAAGAGCAACAATTTTTCAACCTTCAAGATGACTTAACTAAGGATTTAGATGAAGATATTAAAAAGATTGAAGAAACTTTTGATTTAATTGAACAATGTTCATTAGAGCAAAACAAACAGACTACGTATAAGAGAAATAAAGTTGTCGCTCAATTACATATTCCTCAACCTGGAGAAAGTATACATAATCTCAAAGAAGCTGTTTTGAGTGAAGTAGCAATTTTGAAACCAGATCATGAAGGTAGAGTTGAAGCCATCGAAAAAGCAGAGAGATTAAGAGAAAAAGAAAGAGAATTGATGAAACTCACAAAATTCCAGGAAGAACTAGGGGATTTTGTAGATGATAATAAGTTTAAGAATTCAGGTGGTATTGAAGAACTTGAAAAGATGAGGCAATTAAAAGACAGCGAAAATCTTAAAAGCTCATTGGGTATCTTCTGATAGTGTATATTAAGTCTACTTTACATAATTTTAATTCTGCATTATACAATTAATAATATCATTAAACCTGGATCTTCTCGAAAGACTGTCACAGATTGTTGACTTAAAATGTAATTTGATTTCTTCATTATAAATACTGCTTGAATTTAAAGTTTCAAATTTGGACAATGTCTTCTCCAACAAATCCAACAAGAACTTTACGAAAGGAATATCTTCGAACTGATCATAGGCGGCAATATTATGAAAATTAATAATAAATGAATCCAAAACGCTTGCAAGTAAAGCTTTAATATTATGAAAGGCTGAGTCCAATGTTCCAGACTTCAAGCTTACTAAAAAGTCAGTCAACCGAGACTTATAGCTCCAGGATAAATAACTATAACTTGATGGAAATGATCGCTTCAGTTTTAGAGCTGAAAATGCATCCTTAGGAAATTCTCTTGTAATTTCTAGAGTAACAGTATTAATATCCAAGCCTATAAATTTCAAGGTTGGAGCTCGTAGCTGGAAACCAACTATTTGGGTTTTATCTATATTGACAAATGCACCATATTCATCCAAGAAATCCCCATTGATGAGTCTTGTAACTCTCTTACAAGCCGATATATTGGTAGTAACAAGAAGGAAATCGTCCACCACTCGTAAGAGAAGATTTTCAGGATCTGATTCTAGAAATGAGAACTCTAAATCTACCAAATTATTATACACTATATCACAGAAAGTAGACAGAAGTGGGAATCCCTGAAATACTCCAGTTTTTCTTCTATAATAGGTTTTGTTCTCCAACATTAACGAATCACATATTTGTGATCTGCATATCAGCAAAACATCCTTTTTGGTAAATTTAAACATCTTGCTTCTGTCGATCAAAACATTTCGTTTTCGAATCCTTTTGTCTTTATTTGCACTATCAAGGTCAAACTCATCTAGTTGACCACTATCTTTAACGAAAGAGACTTGTTTCCTTCTAGTAGTGCTTCCAATTTTTGATGAGTAATAGTTCCTTACAAAGTAAGTCTTCGAATCTTCTTGATTTTCAAAGAGTCTCTCCACTTCTTCAATAACTTTCGCATGACTCAAGTTGTCATAACAATGTCTCATATCAAACTTAACGAAGAAAAGTTCAGGCAATTTATTATTATTCTTTTCAAGAAGACTAGCTTTATAACGAACAATGTTCCGAGCTACATCACCAACCGAGTAGCATCTGGGAGAACATTTTAGTGTCCTTGTCATATCATTATCACTCAATCTAGATTTTAAAATATGCCTTATTGGATTGATAGTCTCATTAGCATAACTTAAGAATTCAAAAATTTGCTTGTCCCTATCTGTAGCATCTTCTGGATACCTGAAGGGCATTCGACTAGGAATGCAAATCAATCTAAAATCATTTGTTTTAGGAATTAGCCTTGAATGCCCATGATTAAACTTCGTGGACAATCCTTTTATATAGCAAGTATCATTTTCAGTAACCGGTACCAAATACGTTTCAATATATTTATCCATAAACTCTGAACGGTGAATATTCCAAACACTATGAGGAAAGTAATATAATTTAGAATCTTCAAGACTCGCAGATTCTGTAACATGCCAAAACAATTGAATAACCTTTTGGATGAAGGACATGAAGAACCATTCAAGAAATTTGATAAATGTACTAATCCTATGAGCAGAATCCTGTTGTGAAGTCATAGTTCTCGATTTACCAAGCCATTCAATATCCGAAATTTTGATATATTTTATTAAATCATTAAATAATATCTTCACATGTGAACCAGAATTAATAAATTCTACCACCCTTTCAGTGATATGTGATTTATTAGCAGACGAACCCCAAATTTCCAAGGGGAATACTTTATTCATTATTATAAGCACAAACTTTATTACCGAATGAATTGGTGTACAACTCTTCAACAAACTTCGACTGTCAGTAACTGGTATTACATTTTCAAATATGCTATTATATCTGCAATTCTGGTCTAGCAATTTCACCGTCTTTAGAATCATTGATAATTTCCTAAAATTCTTGGGTAGAGTCTTCCGTTTGTCTAATTCACTTGAATATATAGATTCTAGTATTGTTTTGCTCGAAGAAGCAAATAGCCCAGTCACTTTGTAGCCATGACGCGTCCTATATAACATCAGGGAGTTTGTAATACCCTGAACCTTTGCATAGTTCAGTTTACTCAAGCATCCAAAGACCTGAATCAAACGACCATCTTGAGATTGCTCATATGCTTTATACTTTAAAATTAACTCTAATAATGCAGAGCCTCCAATAACACTGTAAAGAGTTCGCCAACATTTTCCTCGTAGAAGCTTCACATGTAAGTTCATCAGTGGATTTACCAACTTAGATTTCCAATTGTTATTTAATGATGGATCTGTATATCCTGTTACAAGAATACTCGGTATATTCTCTTGAATTAAGAGGGAAAGCAAAGAATCAATAAAATTGGTATATGACTCCAACTCCTTTAATGATACACGAACTGATCTAACAGCATTCTGATCCGACACAACTATGGTTGTTCTTAAAAATTTGATAAATTCATTGGACACATCTTTAGAACTTATAATTGTACTAAACTCTGGGATTGTATTCTTCAAATATTTCTCTAGACTGGGCATAGCATTATCCACTATAGCACAACTCTTATTTATGCGTTAAATTTAAATTAAATTTTCTTTGAACCAAAAAATTTAAACAAGCTACTTAAAAGTCCTAAGCATGGCAAGGAAAAATAGAACTATAGGCAGCGATCATGTTGATATTGAAAATGGAATACTATATGGTGTTATAAAACAAATACGAGCGAAAGATCTGGAGTCATTTAGAAGTAACACGGCATCATTGGTCAATGTTTGGTGCTGTCAAATACAGCCATCTCAAACTCAACTTTTGGCAGCCGCTATTAGAGATCATATCAATTCTAAGGATGAGGTTAGCTTAGTCCATCTCAAACGTTTCCTAAAGGAGGAAGACGAATCAGGGAATGTTTTTTTAAAGGCGATCATATGTTCCACAGAGTATTTAACTACAAGAAGTGAAGTTGAAAATTTTCTTACATTACATTTACATACCACAATATCTGATATTTATATTATAGAGGTACCAAAGTTTCCCGCTTCTACAAAAGAAATCTCTGATGATTGGTCTGAAAAGTATTGGCCAATGTCATGGAAAGGCAATCCAAACCACCAATTTTTGAATTCAGTAAACTTTAATATGAAGTTTGAAAGAGAAATTGTATCACAGTTAATTGAAGAGTATCGTCAATCAAAAGATTTTCCGACACTGGTAACAATTATAGTCAAAGAAACGAAAAACCAAGAGGGTGAAATACTTGCTGTAGTCCGTGGTGGCAACTGTAATAATCCCTTTGAACATAGTATTATGAAGGGTATTGATTTTGTTTCTAAATCAGAACAACAAAGAAGAAAACACTCAATTCATGAAACAAGTGATCCATCCAATTATCTCTGCCATAATTTGTGGTTCTATGTATCACATGAACCCTGTGTAATGTGCTCCATGGCCCTTGTACATTCTAGGATTGGGAGAGTGACTTTTCTAGAATCATCACCATCTTCTGGTGGTTTAGAATCATATTATCAATTAGGCGATAGGGATGGTTTAAATTGGAAATTTCAAATATGGAAGTGGATTGATGAAAATGATATTAATGTGATTAACAAAATCTATAAGTCACCGACTCCAATTAATTATTAATGATTAGTCGAGACGTAAGTGATTTTCTAATTTATTACAACTTTCAATTGATTCATTTGTCAAACTATCAACCTTTTCTATACTTTTTGCATATCTAAGATCATTTAATTCATCGACTATCTCGTTTACCTCTTTTAATAGCATATTTATTTGGACATCATAATACTTACTATCCAGACTAGTACTATCAATAATATTTTGTAGCAGTTGACTAAGCTCCTTCAAAGAATTCTTCTTTATCTGTGAACCATTCACTTGACTCATGACTGTTTCTATAGGCAAGTCAAATGAGTCCTGGATATTGTTGGTAACTGGCTCTATAGAGATTTCTTCCCTTTGAGATGTTAAATCATCATATATGGATTCGACAAATGTTTCGTCAACGTTGGATGGAAATAGTTTTTTGAATTGATGAAAAGGTATTATAGTCTCGAGATATGACCTCTTCAAAAGAAATCCCGATAATATAGTCTTGCAGTCCATAGCACTTTAAGTAATAAACCAACTGTTAATAGATACACAGTGTTTACATATTATTTACTGTGATTCAAATATTCGCGTCTTGTGGTCGTGTGGTGATACCAAATTGAAACTGGTAGAAAAGTGAAGAAAATAAAAAAAAACAATACCAATTTAAGTTACCGTTGATATCTAGACCTAGTTTGATAGATCAATATCCGATGTCATCATCATCAGTTTCTTATGATAGTACATCTTTCTATGTACAAGCACTTGCTACAAGCTTTGCTAAAAGGTTGTCCGATGAACCAGACAATTCGTTATTTTTAAATATTGCTCCAGTTGGTAGACAAGCCAAAAGAAACGCCCAACAGATAAATTATTCAGAAGATTATGTGGATGACTTTGATTTTGAAGATTCTCCTTCTTCAAGTTTTGCAAAGACTTCGACTTCTATCTCGCAACAACAAACCAATTTGCAGAGATTAACTCCAGCTAGAAATACTCCTAATATAGCAAATTTGGACGATGAACAAAAATTATCCGAATTAGTGAACAAACCTGAAGTTCTTGTACCTATAAAGTTGCTATTAGAAAATGGTACCTCGACTCATAAGATTGTTGATTCTTTTATGTGGAATCTTAATGAGCTGTTGATAACGCCATCAGATTTTGCTGCAATTATCTGTAATGATCTAGAATTGTCAGGATCTATGCAGCTGCAGATTACGGAATCAATAATCCAACAAATTGAAGATTACGCCTTTGCTTCAAACTTACAAATTCCATCAGATACGCCTTGTGTCGTTATTATTGACTTATCTGTCAATTTAAATAAACAGTTATACCAAGATAAATTCGAATGGGACTTAAACCAAACTGAAGTAACACCAGAAGATTTTGCTCAAATAGTAGTAGATGATTTAGGTTTACCATTGGAATTCAAAGCTGCAATTTCACATTCATTACATGAAATTATTATCAGAGTAAAAAAGGAGATAAGTGACGGTACATATAATAGTGAATTCCAAAACTTGCATCTAGTCAGAGGTTTAATTTTTGAAAGTGGAATTAGAATCTTCACCGAAAACAGTATTCAAAATGGTACAGACCATTGGGAACCAATAGTAGAAGTATTAACTCCCGCTGAAATCGAAAAGAGAGAAAATGAAAGAATTAGAAATTTGAGAAGATTAAAAAGAGAAAATATGAAGAGAGACTATGATGATTTTGGAAGTAAAAGACGCCAGGTTGTAGGAAGGAGGAAATTCGATGAATTAGAAGGGACTTGGAGAAGTTTTTAGTATGTAGCATATTGTAATATAAATCAAAATAATAGACCAATAACAAAATCACCACTGCAATGATCTGTCAAAATACTGTCTTTTTCAAAATTTGTTATAAATTCGCTATAGAAATATAGAATTTATATAAAAAGAAAATGTACAACTAGTTGAGGAAGAGAAAAGTTAAAAATAATTAGAAAGGTGTCAAATAAGAGGGATAAGTTGCTTTTTGCCAAATTTATTTTCCAAATTTGTTATATATTCTTACTCTAAATCACTATAAAACTATAGAATTTATATAAAGAGAAAGTATATAAACGGTAAAGCCGAACCTTCTTTTTGTAGGATGTATCGTCGACGTCCTCGTAATTTATGAACTGCAAAGAGGTATCGATTGAGAGCGATTAGTTGGTTTTTATCCTATTCTGGATTCGCTATAATAATTTCCCATGCTATTGTTTAATTTAGCTTTAGAACCACTATTATCCAAATTAGAAAGATCTTTGGAGGGTATTAGTCTCAAACTAAACAATGGAAGGACCAAACCAATTAAATACTTAGCTTTTGCCGATGATGTCACAGTATTTCTCAAAAAAGAGGAAGATTATGTCATATTAAATCAAGAATTAAAGGATTTTGCAGCCGCTTCAAGTTCACATATCAATACAACTAAATCCAAAATATATTATTTTAAAGAAGACCACATGGATGACATAAAGGATATACTCAATTTTCCACTACACGATGTTAATGAAGCTGATTTAAAATACTTAGGAATCAAAATTCATAATTTCAGTTGGTCAGAATATTTTCAATCACTAAGAATTCAACTTTCCAAGCACACCATAGATCAACTACCTATTCACTTAAAAGCAAGAGGCATTTCACAATATGTATTCTCTAAAATCTACTATAGAGATTATCACTGTCCAATGAATCAAGAGGAAATCGCCCAACTACTGCAATTAGTAAAAAACTATTTCCGATATATATCCTCTGAAAACCTAACCGCCTTGGGCAACCAGGGTGGCTATGGGCTTCAAGATATAGGAGTTCAACTTTCTGGTAGAAGAGCAAAATCCATCTATCTAATGCTAACGGATTCTCATCATTTAATGAATGTGGTCTTAAGAGATAAACTACAAAAATATATCAACGACCTGATAGAAGTACCTCATGTCCCTCATCACCAATCAGGTAAGCGATATATTATTCCATGGTATCGAGTGCTAATAGGTAATAATATTCAACACAAGAATCGAGGTTCACTCAAGAATCACCTCACCAAAGATGAATATTTCAGTCCAGGGGAAAGAGCTAGATTTGCGGCATGGTTTGAAATTACAAAGCCTAAGAATCGGAGACTCCAAGAAAAGCCAATATTGGTAACCGAAGATGAAGAAAGGCAATTAATACTTTTTTTTTTTTCCAAATTTGTTATATATTCTTACTCCTAAATACTATAAAACTATAGAATTTATATAAAGAGAAAGTATATAACTAGTTGAGGGAGAGAAAGGTTTTTTTTTTTTTTTAAAAATAAGAATTATTTTAAACTTAAAACTCTCTTGATTTGATGATAAAGTAGCTATTTTGTAAGATTTGATTGAAAATTGAAGATCAATCTAGTGATTTATTTAAAGATTATGAATGTAGAACGATACCCATGATGAAATAAAAGAAGAGTTGAGCGGTAAAGCTGAACCTTCTTTTTGTAGGATGTATCGTCGACGTCCTCGTAATTTATGAACAGCAAAGAGGTATCGATTGAGAGCGATTAATTGGTTTTTATCCAATTCTGGATTGGCTATTATAATTTCCCAGGCTAATGGAAGTGTGATTCCCATTTTGGTCCATATTTGGCGACTTATGGAACATTCCAAGTATAGATGATCTGAGTAAGTAATCGATACCGGTTGATCACAAAGTTCACAATTACCTGATGATGGTAGTTGTAGATGTATTCGGTGTCCTAGATTCACTCTATGTATCTCTTCAAACCTGTAGGGGTCTTGTGCTTTAAATGAAGATAGTTTAGACCAAAATTCTACCCATTCTTCTTCATTTATTTGTATCTTTTGTGTCCAGGTAGTTGGTTGTAAGCATTTCCTTTTTGCCAACTGGCTCTTCTTACTTCTACTCTTGAATGTATTTAGATTGATTTTCATCATAGCATCGGACCAATTATTAATTGGAGGAGGATTATGTATTAATTGCCTTTCTTCATCTTCGGTTACCAATATTGGCTTTTCTTGGAGTCTCCGATTCTTAGGCTTTGTAATTTCAAACCATGCAGCAAATCTAGCTCTTTCCCCTGGACTGAAATATTCATCTTTGGTGAGGTGATTCTTGAGTGAACCTCGATTCTTGTGTTGAATATTATTACCTATTAGCACTCGATACCATGGAATAATATATCGCTTACCTGATTGGTGATGAGGGACATGAGGTACTTCTATCAGGTCGTTGATATATTTTTGTAGTTTATCTCTTAAGACCACATTCATTAAATGATGAGAGATCTTCAATTTTCAATCAAATCTTACAAAATAGCTCATCTAATCAAGAGAGTTTTAAGTTTAAAATAATTCTTATTTTTAACCTTTCCCTCCCTCAACTAGTTATATACTTTCTCTTTATATAAATTCTATAGTTTTATAGTATTTTAGAGTAAGAATATATAACAAATTTGGAAAAAAGAAAGTTGAAAAAAGAAAAAAAGTTGGTTTAATTTAGGAATTAGTTCAACTAGATCATTATTTATTTCATGATTCATTGGTTTTTCTGAGTTCTCGTCTTGACTTTTGTAATTACAAGTTGGGTAAAGTGGCAAATATACTTGTTAAAAGCTTGGATTGGTGAATTTAAGAAATTTTGCACTCAATTTTGTAATTTAAAGATTTAATTTTTTGAGTTTATATTACATTGTGATTGGTAGCGCCCATTGTATTCTATAGATTGTGATCTTTTAAAATTATGTAGGTCTCATTGTAATGTTTATAAGTTTATTTTGAGCTTTAGTTGATCTGTTGTAAGTATTGCATGTTGGTGTTGGTTCAAATTTTTACTCTGTTTGGTTTGGTTTTAAATTGATCTTCAAATAAATCTTACAAAACAACTACCTACTCACAGTTTTAAAGTTAATTCACCTTTCTCTCCCTGAATTCTATATCTTCTTTTTATGTAACTTCTGTTGTCTTATAGCTTTTGAGGAGTAAGAATATATAACAAGTTTGGCAGAAAAAAATTAGGAGAAAATGCATATATAACAAATTTGTAAAAAAAGAAGTTACAATCGAATCGGCTGTTTGGTTTGCGAAATACAGCTTTGAAATGATCTGCTATGTTACTCTTGAAATTGGCGTTAAATAATATACACAATCTAAATTCTAGTTTGATGATTAATTATTTACATATCCTGAAGCTAGATCTCATAGGAATATTCGTAGCGCTTTGTACATTAATAAATAGCTAATACTTAATTATTTAGGTTTTAGTCTTCATTTTGAAGAAAAGAATATCAGCTAAATGGAACTTAACGGGTTAAGGTAGTTCAATTAATATTCAACAACATTGTTGTCTGTATCTGTGACCTTACAGCTTTCAATAGTGATTAAAACAATTGCATTGTCCTTATCCTCAATATAGTTTTTGGATTGAACTTCATCTATTTTAGCATTATTTAAATGCAATGATTTATAAAAGTCATGTTTTTCATTATCTTCTTTGATAACTTCTGCTTTACCATTGATCATAACTGAAACTCTACTGAGTTCATTCTTATTCAAATTGGCTAATAATTCATATAATGAATTTCTTCTCTTAGATGAGACTGGTTCTCCAGTTTCAGCTTCACTACCATTTTTAACTGAAATCCAATCATGAACTAAGATGGAAATATTAGGATTCTGTAAAATATTATTATATTTAGTAGTACATGTTGGAGTTGATATTATAATGTAATCATTTCCTTCAGTATGATAATATGTGTAGTTCATTAACGAAACATGGGGGAAATCTTTATAAGATGTAGCCAAATGAATGAATCTCCCTGTTTTCAAAAGATTCGTCACTGATTGTGGTAATTGTTCTTTACTAGTCATTGTTGTTGTAAGTATGTAGTAGGTTTAACTTGTAACTTGATTGATGAATAAAGCTTTTGTTATAAGAGTCTTACAAATTTTGATTTCAATTATGATTTTATTACTAAAGTAGCGAGCCCGACATTTTTTTATCAGTTTCGTATTTTTTCGTATTATTATTTTTCAATATATATATATATATATACTTATACTATTACAATTTTGTAAGTCTTTTGAATATAGGATCATTAACTAGATTTCCAAGCTCTTCAAGAGTTACATCTATCTGGACCATTTTGTTTTCTTCAATAATTAAGTTTTTGTTTAAATTTACATTGGTAATAATATGACCGTCATTATTAGTAGTAACACCAGCAGAATCTAATAAAATCCCCATTTTATATAGCGCTTCCCAACTATTCTTTAATATTTTGGAAGACCAAATCTTTTGATTAATCTTGAAGTTAGCTCTAAATCTACTATCAAGAATGTTTGTAGAAGAACTGGAACTAACATTAAAATCTTTCATCATTTCTTGATATTCAGCATATGCCAAATTAAAATTAATAGCTGGAATATCAAATTTCTCAACTGATCTTGCTGCCGCTATAATTAAAATCAATTCTAAGTTGGAAAGAGTACTTATAATACTTTGAATATTGTTAATTTCTTGACAACTTGAATATTTTAAAAAGTTAGCATCATCAGGAAATGGGTTCTTCTTATTAACTTTTGCAATCACCACTGCACAATCATTATTGAACGATTTGAAATTCTTTAAAGTATAGTAGTTGTGATATACTAATTTTTTAAGATTTGATAACTTCTTTCCTTCCTCTGTTTCGTCATAAAGTTGCTCCACTTTAGTATTCCATAAATGTCCATAGCTTGGATCATTCAAAGACTCTATAAACTCCAGATTCAAAGTTAGTCCTAGCTTAGCATTAGACCAGAACTCATCAACAGTTGTAGACTTTGTGATGGTAATAATTCTCTGTGAAAATCTACTCCTTACTCTTTTTTCTAATAACTCTCTTGTAGTTACTTTTGATGAAACACCTACCACAGTTATAGCGGAACTACTGCTCTGTGATAAATCAAACAAATTATACAAAAGTGTTTGCTTGTTACTATTAGTAAATTTCTCAAACTCGTCAATGATGAAAATAATTGGAATTTTTGCTTGTGATGAATTTTGATTATGACTATCTTTATCAAGAATGGATAATATATTTGCAAAAGTATCGTTAATAGATCTCTGTTCAAAATTACCGCCTTCATCATCTGACATCTCCGAGTCTTTAGTATCACTCAATTCCTTGACCTTTAGATCTAACTGTCTAGCAATTTCTCTCAAAGCAATAGTATCATCAGAATGAATAAAAAAGTTTAACCTAACAACTAAAAAATGATCCTTATGCTTTTTAGAAAGTTCTTGTATGGCGGTATTTATAATTGATGTCTTTCCACACATTCTTGGACCAAATAACAACACTGAATGACCTTCGTTGTGCAATATAGTGTTTTCAAACATACGATAGATTTCGAAATACTTATCTGACAATAGTTTTGATTCTTGTACGTTTATAAAATCCTCAAGCAATTGACGTAAAACTCGACTTTTTACAGCTGAAATATCATCTTCGTTAGTCAGGTAAATGTTATCATCAATATCATTAGAATCAATATCATTAGAATCAATATCATCTTTTATGTTCGCTATTTGGGGTGTTTCCGGCTCAGGTATATTTTCTTTGGTTGAACCATTTTCTCCATTTTTGTTTAGTGGAACTGAATCTATTGAAATATCAGGTTCATTCATAATTGAAGTTTCGTTCTCTATTGGTAATATTTGCTTGAGCGGAATCTGGATAGTATCTTCTTCTTCAACGATGGTTGGAACCAAACCTTCATTTAATGTTTTATCAGGAGTTGAAACTATACCACTAAGCGCGTCAAAGGAATCAGAAGTCAAAGTGAGTTGACTAGTGTCGACTATAGCAGCCAGCGTATCCCTGTCAGATAATATTTGTTCATTAAACGGATTAAAGAAATCATGACGTGCTTTAGTTAACTTGATACCACGAATCTTACTGAACTTGTCAACTTTTGATTTTGAAACTGTTTTAGTAATAGGACCAATTAGTTCATTCTTCTTTGATTGTTTGGAAATTTGAAACTCATTGACGTCTTTCCGTTTAATTCCTGATGTGAGGACAACGGTATTGGTTGGATTTGATGAACTAGACTCGTTACCATTATCTTTATAGAGTAATTTAGATCTTTGTTTTAACTTTTGAAATGATTTATCATTTTTCAATTCTTGAAGCGATAAAACCCTAACATCTCTGAAGTCATCTTTGAAGTCATCTAAACTACCATCTGGATTGGAACTCATCTTCAGAATAACGACAGTTCCTACACTTCTTCAATTGATACCAAATAGACACAATTCAATATTTGTTTACATTGTTAATTTTGATTTCACATTTGATGTTTTTTTTTGGTGAGAACAGTTAGCGATAACACATATTAACTACTTCATTTTAATAATCAATATTGTGGTTTATTTAAGAGATGACTAAGTTGTTTGCATCAACTTATATGGTGTATCTAGTTGGTCAGCATATTTTAAACGCTTTCTTTATTTAAATGTAGTCAAGTTAAATATATGGATATGTTGCAATGATGATTCCAGAAAATATTTCCTATTTCGGAATTATGAAACAAATTTATTGAAAAATAACTTACTATATCAATATGATATGAAACCCAGAAATTTGCAAACTAAAATGGGTTGAAACGTATAAGTTTGTAGTTCTTTTTGAACAAGCTTACATGTTTCACAATTTAAAATATAAATGATTTGAAGATTCCTTTGTTATCAGACATGGATTATTCTTCTGTTTTTTAGTTAAGGCTTTGATTGCATCTAACGCTATCCTATATGAAGACTGAAATTTCCAAACTTAAACTGAGTGATAATTCATCACTCGAGGAGCAAGCAGCTCCTATTCACTTGACGCTTCCTATTAACACCGCTAATAAGTCAAAGCCACTTCATGAAACCATCCTTAATAACTTCAATAAAACTCAAAGTGGGAAAATTTACGAGAAGGATATCAAGGATATTTATTCAATGATGTTAATATGTTTAGATTTAACTGATCATTCGAAGTCCAGGTTTCATATTTTACATAAATACTATCCATTTTGCTTTAGTTGTGAGACAGCTTTACAAGTTATGCAGAAACTTGATGTTAGTATCGAACTTTCAACAACCACTACAACGATTTCATACAGTATCAAACCAGAGTTAGGTTTGGTTCTTCTTAAAAAGTTTTATGCAGCTAAGCTTTTACATTCACCAGCAGATAGAACTAGGAATGAACCAAAGCATAATGTTCAATTACAACCAACTCCTAAAGGTGTTTGCATTTTACAAGATTTTTGCAAAAAAATTGGCATGAAAAGAACAAAATATCCTTTAATCTTGGACACTAATTTTAATTCTATTGATTTATTTAAATTTGATAGAGATCAAGTAACAGATAAGATTATTTACTCTGAATACTTTTTGCACTTGTTATTTATTAAATTATTTGGTGAAAAGCCGAATGTCTGGAGTCCAAAGAATTTACCAGATCCTTTACCTTCAAGAGATGAAGCTGCTGATTCAGATACTGGATTTGATTTCAATTTTAATGCAAGCAAATATAATGGTTTTGCTAGTATTGTTGCACCTGTTCCAACTGTTCAAAATGATTCAAAGGCTCCAAGTACAGTAGAAGATCCTGGTGTTAGTCCATTTTTTCATATCTTTTTTGCAAATCCTGATTCTGATGCTCATGTTCAATATTATGTATCATCAGTGGGTGTTAGATTAGTGAAGGATAAGATATTCAGATCTGAAACAGGTAAAGATGTTTCCATTCCGTATGTGGTAAGTGGAAAGGCAATCTGTCAATGGTTATGTGATTGTACTGATGTTATGTCTTTAAAACATGCTAAGGAAATAGCTTCATTAATTTTAAAGGCTAAGTTAATTAAAGCCTTAGTTTGGCCACCTTCAAAATCTGATATATCAAAATTCCACGCTGATCGTGAATGTTATTATACTTTGACTAACTTTGGAGAAGAAGTTTGTCATTGGAATAATCCAAGTAAAAAGATTCATAATTTACATTCACCAAACTTAAGCAACCAAATAAGCAAACTTGGCCTTGAATTATCTTGGAATACCTCACTTGAATCGAGTAATGTTAAAGATTCAAAAATGTCACTTGAAGTGATACTTAATGATCCTGGAATGAGATATTTGTTTAAGAAGCATTTAGAGAAGGAATTCTGTTCTGAAAATTTGGATGCTTATTTGCAGCTTAAATTATATGATAGACAGTTAGGTTGTTTGAGAAAGCTTTTAGAAGCAAACAAAGGTTCAAATAGTCATAGTATCAGTTTGAAATTGATTAAAATTGCTAATGTTACCTTGTCGTTAGCATATCATATTTATTTCACTTATTTATCTTCCGAAGCTCCTTTTGTTTTGAACATTGATTATAATTTGAGAGTTAAAATAACTAGTGTTTTGATTAAACCAGATGCTGCTCTTTCACCCATTGATGCATATAGGGACTATTTGAAGACTCCAACTACTACAACTTTTGGCAGAGAAAGTTCACCCAAATTGATTCAGGAATTAGCTCCAGCGCCAGTGATATTAGAAGTTGAAGAAACTGAAAAAGCAAAAGATATAGCTTTTGAAACATGGGAATCAGATTCAAGTTCTGATAAAATCACTAGTCAAAATATTTACTATGATCCAACCAATAGAAATTCAACATCTAGTGATGTTGATATGGAATTAACATTAACTAGTTTACAAAAGATATCTACCATATTTCATGAAATCTCAAAGCATATTTACAGACTTATGGAAGTTGATTCACTTCCTAAATTCTTAAGTAGTTCTATGTATACTGATACATTCATTAATCCGTAAATATTCATCTTATGTTATGAACAAATATATATATATATTAGAAATATGTAGCTATAAATACAATGAGTTTATGAAGTTTAAACTAATTCAATAGATCATGCAGTTGGTTCTAAAACAGTACCCTTTTTGATTGTAGCCCAACCGATTAAACGCCAATGTTTATCTATACGTCTTGATAAGGCAATCTTTTCATTGACTTCAGTACAAGCAGGAGAAGTTAATTGTAAACGAGCCATATCAGCCTTGACAGCTAAAACTTTAGCACCCGTAGCAGTAGAACCAATGTTAACCATTAAAACTTCACCAGCTTCCAATCTTTTAACTTTAGCACCTTGTTTTTGACCTTCAGTCTTGACACCTAATAATCTTCTTAATAAGAAATAATTAACTTCGATATCAGTATAAATGGATGGTAAGTTACCTTTAGCACCAACAACTTGACCAACTAATCTATCAGCTCTACATAAAGTTGGATCGACTTTAGTACCCACACCAATTAAACCACCTGGAACAGCGAATTTTAAATCGTTATGTTCGGCGAATAATGAAACAATGTTGGAGAAAATTGGTTTACATTGAATCTTACCATTATCATCTTTAGTAACAATACCTGGTCTGATTTCAATTTCATCACCAATCTTAAACACACCGGTTAAAATAGAACCACCAGCAACACCACCTTTCAAGTCTTCTATTTCAGCACCTGGTTTATTGACATCGAAAGATCTAATAACAATTAATCTTGGAGTAGCAGCGAAATCTCTTAATGGAACTGGAATATATTTGACAATATATTCATTGACAGCATCAATATTATATTTCAATTGAGCAGAGATTGGAACTATTGGAGCACCATCAGCAATAGTACCCCTTATAAAGGATAAGATTGATTTTTGATGTTCTAAAGCTGATTCTTCTCTCATTAAATCAACTTTATTTTGTAAAATGATAACATGCTTTAATTTCATAATTTCTATAGCAGCTAAATGTTCTGAAGTTTGAGGTTGTGGACAACTTTCGTTACCAGCAATTAATAAAAGAGCAGCATCCATAACAGCTGCACCTGACAACATAGTACTCATTAAAATATCATGACCTGGACAATCAACGAATGAAACATGTCTAAGTAATTTATATCTTCCTTCGCAACCTGGACGAGCACATTTCGGTCTGATTTCTTTGTCTGATTTAAATGATTTATAACAATCTGGTTCTGGACAATCTTCATTGTCACATTTATAAATTTTTGCGTTAGCATAACCCAATTTAATGGTAATATTTCTTTCCAATTCATCTTTGAAACGAACAGTTTGAACACCAGAGATAGCTCTGACCACAGTAGATTTACCATGAGCCACATGACCAATAGTACCAATATTTATGGTAGCTTGTCTATTAATAATATCAGCAGATAATGGGGTATATTCAGTGAAATTAGGATTTTCTGGTTGTTCTGGTAAACCACCACCTTCTTCGAATTCTCTCTTGGCTTCTTCTTCATCAAATTCATCGTCTAAACCAGCAAAGGCTACAGACTTCTTTTCTTTGATTTCTTCTTCAACATTGATCTGGCCATCATCGGCTTGTTCATTATCACTTTCAATATCAAATTGATATTCATCTTGTTCGTCTTCAATATTGCCTCCGATCACAATATCAGGAACAGCATTTTCAATATCGTCGTAAGACATATTTTATTAATTATCTATGGAATACGAATCTAGAGTCTTGATTACTGAAACTTATGACACACACGATAGTGATGAAATTTTTTTTAACAGAAAAGAAAAAGTTTGTTACAAGTCTTGAACCGTTCGCACGACCACGATTTTTTTTTTCACTTCAATTTCCCAAAATAGATTTGATGTAGTGTGCCCTTACCAGATCTTACAATATATAGGGAAGTATAATTTTACAGCTAATTTCTATTATGTTTACATATATTACAAAATATAAAGTCTTACTTAATGTGTATGGAACCCAAAATCGTTCATCACACTGTCCACATCCTTCCAAAGCATGTCAGTGTTCATATCAAAGTTATCCATCTCTAAGTTTTCCAATCCTGCTTGAATTGGAGATTCGTTAAAGATTGCTTCGGTTACATTCTGAGCATTATTGAAATTATTATTTGGAGTCATTGCTGCGGTAGCAACTTGATTACTAGTAATCATAGCAGGTTGTGATGGAAGAGTTTGAGATGAGGTTGGAATATTATCTGGAAGTTGTGGTGCTGTGTGTTCTGGTAAAGGTTCAAATGTCACTTGCGGTCTTTCGCTATGAGCTGACCTTTGTGCATGTTGTTGTTGATTGGATGGTGAAATGAAATTAGGTGATCCTTCTGATTTAACATATGGAGAACTGTCGTTCGATGCATTTACAACTTTGAATATTGAACTTCTCTTACCACTTACAGCAATTGGTTGTGGATCTAAAGGAATAGTACGAATAATCTTTCTTGCATTAGATTCGGCATTAACTGTATTTGATAATGATCTTTGTTTTCTCATTCTGGCTGAAGATGTTGTACTACCAGGTGTAGATTTTTGACTTCCTCCATTACCAACTCCATTTGTTTCAGTATCAGATTCAACTGCTTCTTCATTCTCATCACTATTTTTATAACCATATTCTTCACCATCATTAGATGAACCATCTTCAGCATCCTCTTCTTCATCTTCTTCAGGAATCTTTTGATCTGTTCTACTATTCAACTTGGTCATACCAACTTGATCTCTTAAAAGATATAAACAATCAAAGAAAACAGATGCTGACATTCTTGCTCTAATATCAATACTAAGAGTACTCATTTTCTTTTCATCTAAAGTTCTAAACAATTGCCACATATTTCTCATTATACCACTAGATCTATGAGCCATATCATGTTTCATAATAGAAGCCTTTGCAGCTAAAGAAATAGCAGCTTGATAACTTTGTTTACCTGAACCGGCATCAATTACTTTTTTCAAAGGTGAGTGGGTTAATTTACCAATAATACAAGCTGCTTGCCAAATATTTAAGATATGAACACCAGGTAAATACTTAACAAACTTTCTATCTTTTGATTGAAAGTATTGAGCAAGATTAATCAATGCAGTAGCTGCATTAAATAAATTAACTAATCCTCGTTTAAGTTCGAAATCGGCAATACGAGATGAGTCCATGAAAAAGTATGTTAATAAATGAACTCTAGCTGATAATAATTGAAATCTTCTGAATCCATCATCGGATGGTAATTCGTGTAATAATTTGAGTTCAATTTCATCTAAACGAGCAAGTAAAAGTTTTAATAATGGTAATCTTTCAGCTGGATCTACTAAACCATAAGCATCTTGAGGATTAGAATTCAAAGTTCTTGCCACTTGATCTTCAAAATGAGCAATTTCCATCATGAGTTGAATTGTTTTGGGAATAGTAATTGGTCCCCCTGGTCTGCATGTCCATAAAGATGTATCAAATTGAACAAATGCAGGAAACCCAAATGAAGTTGCAATAGTTTGGGATACAATATTACAAACAATCCAAGTTTTAGCCAGTTCTTGAGCCATGGCTAATTGTTGAGGAGTCTTTTGACGAACTTCGGATACTTCAAATGCACCTGGTGAATGTAAACCAATTCTAATGGCCAGGAATAAAGCGGTACCAGTTGTGGTGTAGGAGGTATCTGCACTTAACGAAGATGTAATAGGTGGCCAATATGAATAAAGTAAGAAAGCTTGTACAGAATAAACTGAACTTGCATTTAAAATAGGTTCATCTTCTTCAGTTGGATTATATCTTGTTATTGGTGAAATCATAATTTCAGCCAAAACACTCTTAACAATACGAGATAATTCTAAAAGTAATGATTTCTGGGAATCTTCTTGAAATCTTCTTAATGAAACAAACATGATTGTCCAAAATAATGCAGGACACAATCTATAAACTCTTTCAGGACCTTTTAAAACATCAACCACTGGTAATATAGGATGATATCTTTCAACATATTCCACATATAAAGATCTGATGGTTTCTGGTGGTAAAGTGACAGTGTCGATGGATTTTTCTTCACACACAAGTGCATAATCTGGAACAACAACCTTAGTATCCACCATCTTTAATGATTCCGATTGATTTCTATTCATGGTTCCCTCATACAGTCTATATATTGATGGAGTATTTGGAATTGACGTGTTTGTATCGGAAGAATTATGAGAGTATCTAACATCATATGGGAAGGGGGAAGCTGTTGATGGATTTGCATTCTGCCAACCACTTTCTTGATTTACTCTTTGAGGAAATGGTAAACCAGAAACAGTTGACAGTATTGGTGGAAGAGGATAACCACGGTTATCTGAGCTTTGACCATGTCGTATGGACTGTTGTTGTTGCTGTGGATTTGCTTGTTGTGGTTGTAAAATATGATTATTTGGAGGTGAACCTTGTTGAACTCCTTTAACTAATAGTTCAGCAGCTTGCGCTTCAGATAATGATCTCTTTAATTCTAAATATTCTTTCTCCATTTGAGCCACTCTTGCTCTTTTATAAGTTCTTCTATAATCAGCTTTCATATCACATTTTAATCCCTTTTTTGAACATCTTGTACAAGCATCCGGTTGTCTTTCAAATGCATCACATTTCGATTTTTGTTGACGACATTCAACACATGCCATCTTCTTAGCTTTAGCATATTTCAGACTTTGCAGAGATGAACCTTGTGGAGGAGGAGTACTAGCAGTCGAAGTTGGTGCCGTGATGTTTATGTTGCTTCCTCCCATACCATGATTAGGAGGCGATGCGCTGGAGTTTAGTTGATGATTAAGCGATTGTAATTCATGTGTCATATTTGCAATATGAGCTAAACTATCTAAGGACCTCTGCCCTGTCCCGTTAGACATATTCTTCAACTTATCAGCTAATGCTTCTAAAGGCCTAAATCTGTTTCTGTATTCTTTTTTTTTTTTACACTATCCTTAACTTAAATGTCTTCTTTTGGAATTTTTGTTAGTTGCTATATGCAGTATATAAAATCACGTGCGGCTTAAATCGAATCTCGAATTATTATTAGTATATTTGTAATGGTTTACTGTTCCTACATTTAACGAAGTATTTAAAAGAATATATAGACAACATTTTATTGAAAATCACAAATAGGTTTAGCGAATGTCTATTTGGACAGAAAATTTATAACGTATTTAAGACTTTTTTTTTGGTAGCATTTTTATATAGTTAAAAACAAAAAATAAGGAAGGTCACAAAGACCTTTTAACCCCAGGACCAAACTCCACTATGAGTCCAATCTAAATCAAAATTAGGAGATTCACTTCCAAAGAGTTTGATCATTGGTAAACCAGTAAGACAATCAGTAATAATTTCAACCTTGTCATCAGTAGCATCTTGAGATGAGTTATCTAACAGATTTGGGAAATAATTCAAAAGATGATCATAGAATAATTGAGTTGGAACTGAACTTGGTAAATCATTTAAAGCTAAGTAGATCTCTTTCAGGAAGTTAATACTACGATTCTTACCAACATAACAAGCAGTAGCAAGAAGGATATCCCAATCTTGGAAATTGTAACCTCCTAATTCATTCAAAGTACCAAATGAAGATGATCTTCTTGAACCAGTTACTGGATCAGAGTGTAATTCACCCATACCTAAGATAAACATACTTCTTTGCATCAAAGTATTCCAAAGAATATAATAAGATTTCTGTTGTAATTCATTAGTAAGAATTGCACCTTGAATATCAGTAAATTCAATCTTTTCGGGAGTACTATTAGAATATTTAGCATAATGATTTTCAGTACTAACATGCCATTTAACAGTTTCATAATCTGGTTTTAAAGCAACTTTTGAAACTGAAAATTGTTGAGCTGAAGATTTTCTTCTTTGACCTGGGACGCTATTAGTTTTATCTTCAGTTATCGAACTTAAAAAACTTGATGAACCAGATTTAGCGGATTCTAAAATATCATGAACATTAGTTAAAGATGAAGATGGATGATGAGAAGAACCTTGTAATTCCAGATGAAAGATCATTTTATTCAAATCAGTTAAGATTTCTAATTCTTTACGTTGATAAATTGAATTAATAATATTTTGATCATCAAGATTCGATCCACGAAGTAATTTCAATTTCTTACCTCCTCCTACTACTGTAGAATATTCATTTTTAATAAGATCTTTAATGATTGATTCTTGCTTTTCAGAAATAATAGAATGAGGCAATCTAAATGATTCCATGGGGAAAGCTTTAAATCCAAATCTTTCATAATATTTACCAACACCAGAATATAAATACCAAAAATATTCCTTAGATAAATAGTAATTAGCCAATTGAGTATCAATTTGACCATCAGCTTTAGTTACCATATTTTTAAAACTATCCTTTTTCAGGGCATCACTTTCTTTTAATTTTCTGGTGATGATATCATTTTCAAGATATTTAATCGATTCACCTACAATGAATTTAGCAATACCTTGATTTCTAAAATCTTTATGAGTTGAAACATATCCAACTAATAAGAATTTAACATTTTTAACCCCAATTGCAGCCGGATCAGGAACTGAAGATAATGCTGAACTTCTATCAGCAGCTTTAAAAAATCCATCAACTTCTCTAACTGTAGTGGAGGCAATTACTTTACCAGTACCTTTTTCTTCCACATAGAACCCATAAAGATTACCACCATCATTTAAAACCTTAACGTGTTTGCCAGACTCTAAGTCTGCAAATTCTTCTGGAGTAATAGTAGCACTAAACGCGTCCCCACAAACGGTATAGATTTCTCTAAGCTTTGCTGGATCACTCGTAACTCCAAATTGATACTTTTCCGACATCTTGACTAGCTTTAAAAGGTATGATAAGACAATACTAAGTCAAGAAGAAAAAGGAAAATTCTTCAATTATTTAATCTTCTTCTTCTTCTTCGTAATTACTTCCTTTACGCGAGGACCTACACTGCGGTTTAATAATAACCCTTCTTATTCTAGAAGTTGCGCTAAGTTCCCAATTAGGAATGTAAGATGTCGCATAAATGTCTCATTACAAAAAATGACATTTGTCTCTCTCATCAGATGATTTCGCTGTCAGTCTGTTCCTATAATTAACCAACTGAAGAATAGTTTACTGTCTGACCAATAGATTTTATACAAGATATCGTATAAATGAAACAACCTTTCGGTTAGACGATAGATAGAGATCACTTATTTTCTTGTAAGACGGCGAATGCTGCCTCATCGAAACATAAGAAAACAGACTAAAAACCAATGACTCTAACATGAATTTGCAACGTATGGTGATCTTGTGGTTGCAAGAAATAAACAGCGTTTAATAACAAGAAAATCTCATTGGACCTTATACTTCCCTCTAGAGATTTTGAATTTCTTTTTTGTTATTATTAAATGATTTTCTTATGCATTATTATATACCTAAAGTATTATGATCAGTTGACTATACCCCTAAAATAGGCTTTTGAAATTGACACTATATACCGGAAACGAGATGATATTGCCGCACACCATACAAAATTTGCAGTATAATTGCCGTAAATAACCAAATTCTTAGCAGCCTGTAACGGAAACTTTACTTATATCAATTAACCAAAGAAAGAATTTTTTCATATAAATATGTAGATGAATGTGTCAAAGTCATTTCTTTTTCAAATATATTGGTCTAGGGTCTTTATAGAAATTATTCATCATGGATAGTAAAGGTCAACAAACTTCTATTAGTAAAACTAATAGTGATGATAAAATATATACTCAAACTACCAATGAAATATCACAACATATAATTTCTTCACCATCAAAATGGCAAAATTTCAAAGATTCATTCAAAAGAAAAGAACATCATCATAATGATAATTCATCAGGTTCATCATTAGACTTAGAACTTAAACCAGAAATAACAACCAACATACAGAACAATGATTTAAAAAATGGTCTTAAAAAGAGACAATTACAAATGATAGCATTAGGAGGATGTGTGGGGAGTGGACTTTTAGTTGCATCTGGTATGGCTTTAAGAAATGGTCCTGGAAGTTTATTAGTGGCTTGGGCTATTGTTTCATCATTTTTATATTGTACTATGCAATCATTAGCTGAATTATCAGCTGCTTTCCCCGTATCAGGTTCATTTGCAACTTATGCCACTCGATTTATTGATCCATCTTGGGGTTTTGCTATGGGTTGGAATTATGCTATTTTTTGGGTGGTTGTTTTACCCTTAGAATTAGTAGCTGCATCCATGACGATAAATTTCTGGGAATCTAAAATTAATTCCGTAGTTTGGATTGCTTTATTTTATGTATTAATCTTTGTGTTAAATTTATGTGGAAATAGAGGATTTGGGGAAACTGAATTCGTAGCATCTATTATTAAATTATTAGGTATAGTTGGTTTTAATATTTTAGCTATTATTTTAATTTGTGGTGGTGGTGATCAAGGTTTTATTGGAGGGAGATATTATATAAATCCTGGTTCATTTACAACTGGAGTTAAAGGAGTTGTTTCTGTTTTAATTACTGCTACTTATTCCCTAGCTGGTACCGAATTAATTGGGTTAACTACCACTGAATCAGAAGGAAATCCAAGAATTGTATTACCAAAAGCTATCAAACAAGTGTTTTGGAGAATTATTATCTTTTATATGATAACTTTAACTTTAGTTGGATTCTTAGTACCAGCAAATTCAGATCAACTTATTGGTGCTTCATCAAATGCATCTGCTTCACCATTTGTCATTGCTATTAGAGCAGGAGGTATTAAAGTTTTACCAACAATTTTCAATGTGGTTGTTTTAGTAGCATTATTAGCCATTGGAAATTCTGCCGTATATGGATTTTCAAGAACTATTTTAGCATTATCAGAACAAGGGCTAGCACCAAAGATTTTTAATTATGTTGATAGAAAAGGTAGACCATTAGTTGGTATTGCTGCATGTGCTATAGTTGGACTTTTAGCATTTGTATCAGTTTCACCTAAACAATCAGAAGTCTTTGCATGGTTAGTTGCTTTATCAGGTCTTTCAACTTTATTTACTTGGGGTAGTATTAATGCTTCATTTTTAAGATTTAGAGCTGCTTATAAATATCAAGGTAAAGATTTACAAGAATTACCATATATTTCCAACACTGGTATTTGGGGAGCTTATTATGGATTAATTATGAATATTGTGGTATTGGCATTTGAAATATTTTGGATTGGAATTTGGCCAATTGGAAGTAAACCTGATCCTGTCGTTTATTTCCAAAATAATTTAGCATTTTTCATTGTCATTGCCTTTTATATCGGTCATAAATTATACAGTAGAAGTCTTAAATTTTATAAAAAAGTTGATGAAATAGATATTGATACCGGTAGAACTCCTGAAGAAATTGATTTACTTTTACAAGAAAAGGAAGAAGAGAAACAATTTGCAAAGACTCGTCCAATTTATAAAAAAATCCTTAATTTTTGGTGTTGAAATCAGGGAAAGCTGTACCGTTTTCAATAATGCTTTATACATACATAGCTTAATAACAGCATTTTAATGATAATTTACATGAAAGTTGTAGAACATTAAGTGATAATTTGTAAAAAATTATATACATTATTTCGCGTTATATAGTCATTGTTGCAAAATTGGTATTAGATTGCTTAATTTGAATGATTAACTAGATTGTAAAGACAGTCAATCATCAACCTAGGACTACAAGGCATGTCCTTTATAAGCGCCATTAAGTATCATTCTCTATTATGAATTTTCTGAATGCATACGTTATGCATACTAAAATTAGCTAATAACAGTAATACATTCATTAAACGGGGGCTCATAACAAAAATGATTCATATTGACAAGGCTAATATATAATTGATTTAATAAAAAGTAAATCTACAAATGTGACTTGCAATTGATTTATAAGGTATGTATGGTTTATTTTAACTATTACACAATTAAACGGAGGAGGAGGAATGTTTTAGAGAACACAAGAATGAAATGAAGAAAGGCCGAAAATGAAATGAAATGAAATTGACGTAATAAAAAACTTTGATATACCGATTTAGATCTAGCTATTGTGTTGATGGATTGATGGATGGATGGATGAATTGACGGATGGATTGATTGATTGACTTTTCTTGTTATGCCTCTAATTTATACAGTTAACATCAATTTTTTTCTTAAAGTCATGATTAAGCAGCCTAGAAAAGCATATCCAAGGTACAACAGATACACATGGCACCTAAACAAGCCATTAAACAATCATCATTTCTTTGGGGTTGTTGTTGAACATATACTGGTTGTTGTTGTTGGTAATAACCACCTTGAGGAGGTCCATAATTTTGTTGTTGTTGATAACCTTGTTGTTGATAATAACCACCTTGAGGAGGAGGAGGACCACCGTATCCTTGTTGTTGTTGTTGGTAACCGCCATACCCTCTATCTTGTTGTTGATTATTATAATTTGGTTGACCTTGAGGAGTGTAACCTTGTTGTTGTTGGCCATTACCCCACGAAGCTGGTGCACCAGTTGGAGGACTATATTCTTTTGACATGTTTATTCTTTGGATGTGAAGTGAGAGTTTAGACTAATTGAACGCCAAATCAATCGATACCAGATAAAACTATCAAAAGATGAAGATATGATATTAATATTTATATTGATATAGGATTGGGATTTATAGAAATTTATTTTTAGCATTGCCCTTTTTTTTTCTTTTACGACTGACACTCTCCCTCCTCCTCCCTTTAGACCAAATATATGGCTGAATTTATATACAGGAAATTAGTTAAATATTTCTATTAATATCTATCTATATAGGCTTAAATGGAATAGGTCATGAATATTATTAAGATGTGTAGTTTGAGATGATTTTGCTCAGCTTTTGAGACTAGTTTTAAGACGATATGAAATGTAATAGCAAATAAATGATCTATTAGGAGAAGAGATGATCATACCTAGAAGTTAGATCGGCTACCGGTACATAGTACCGGTACAGTATAAGCAGTTCCAGACTATTTTTAGCCGATCTGATCTATTTATAACAATAGATACTCGTGATACACAATATGAAACTTCGATTTCAGTACTCATATGCCTTAATTAAACAATTCTACTTTTACATATTTTGCAACTTATTACCTCTTGAACTAATCATTTATTAAGATTAAAGGGGGTATATACGTAAAAAATTATTATTAAAGAGTCATTTTTATCATTAAAATGCATAAATGTTTGATTAGAATTAAAAAAGCAATATAGGAACTTGTCCCATAGATGATATTGGGTTTGAAACTATTATAGCTCAACTTTTTTTTGTAGGGACTTTTTGTATTTTTTGATTAATATAAGTAAACAAAATTTGGATTTCTATCACCAGCATTGATTCGTTCTCTAGATGGTAATTCATTAAACTTTTGAATATAAGCTTCAGTCTTTTTAGCTTTATTTAATCTTAAAACGGCAAAGAAATAAGCTATTGATGCAAGAATGGAAAATATAACTGCTGCAATACAAGTTACTAAACCTGGTTTATAAACGGGAGCATCAGCAGCTAAGAAAATAAATGTTGCAATAATACCCCCAATATTACCAAAACCAATTTGCCAGGCGGTACCAACTGATTTTCTTAAATGAGATCCATTATTTAAAGCAGCCCAACAAACAATTAATGGCATAGCAGTATATAAACCTGAAGCAGTTAAGAAACACCCGGCATACCTAATTCTTGGAGTATGTTTAGCACCTAAAACCATAGCTAAACCAATAATAGCAAGGAATGATGAAGCTAAAGCAAATGGTAATCTTCTTTTAAATCTATCTGATATAAATGCCACCACATTAATTAAAACAAACGCAGCTAACCATGGATAAACTGAATGTTGATTGGCACTTACAGCAGTATAACCCATTTGTTTAATAATAGTAGCAGCGAAATAAGCATAACCATAAGATGGAATAATTAAACCAAAATAAGCTAAAGCAGGTAACCAAATTAAAATATCTTTAAAACATTTACCGACATCTTTTAAACTATTTTTAATTTCATAAGCTGATACTGAACCCGATAAAATTTCTAATTTACGTTTAAGAAATTCTCTTTCAGTATGAGATAAAAATCTACTTTCTTCAGGGAAATCAGCAATTGTAAAGAATAAAAGGAATGCACAACCCATAGTAATAGCACCTTCAATGATGAAAACCCATTGCCAAGCAGCAATACCATGAACTCCATCTAAATCATTAATTTTAAACGCAATAGCACCACTTGCAGCTCCAGCTAAAGCAGTACAACTAAAGAAAGCTGAAAATCTTCTTTGAGATTCATGTTTTGAATAATAAGTTGATAATAAATAAAAAATCGATGGGAAAGTTGAAGCTTCCGTTATACCAATTAAAAAACGACATGCTACTAAACCACCAAAATTAGTAACAAATCCCATTCCAATTGAAATACCACCAAATAAAAAGATTAAAGTACTTAACCAAATATGAGGTTTAACAAATTTAATACAATAATTAGCTAAAACTTCAAACACAATATATGGAACGAAAAATACTGTTAAAGCAATATTATATTGATTACCAGTTAAATTTAAATCTTCAGCTAAACCATAAAGATTAGCATTTGAAATATTAACTCTATCTAAAAATGAAAGGAAATATAATAAACAAAAAGCAGGAACCACACAAAGATCAATTTTCCACATTAATTTTTTTTGATTTATTCCAAGTGATTGAGCTAATTCTTCAACTTCAACTTGTAATTCAGTTTCAGTACGTTGAACTGGTTGTTGAAATTCTTCTTTTTCAAGTGAATTTAATTCAGGATCAGATGCATAAGACGATGTCTCTTTTTCTAAAATTCCTGACATGATGATTATCGTTGTTTGGTATTAGTATAAAATTTTAGTTAAGGAAGTTTATAAAAGCGAAGGTATAATAAATATTTCATCCATTTGTGGGAGGACATAACCTATATATATGAAAATTTATTTATCTAATCTGACATTACGAGAAATAAATTTCCTATTATGATTCATCCATAGTAAAAAATTCCGTCATAGGCTTATGTTATTTTTAACCTTAACAATAGCAGTAGTAACACATTCACTAAAAAAAGCTGGGGAAACAAAATTAATAAGAGTGCAGCCCCTCCTTATCATGGTTTATGTACAGGAACGGGCCGGAATTATATATTATACATACTTTCCACATTCCCTTTGTGTCAAAAACTAAATCAATTAGAGTAATTATTATTATTATTATTATGACTCTTGGTTAGCGGATAACTGGAAATGAACAGTGACTGGATAGAACCAGAAGTTGAATCGCCTAAGTTGGAGTCATACTGTCTATGACAAACAGATGTAAGTTTGATGGTGTGATTCAAGGTAATTTAATTTAATTTAATTTAATTTAATTTTAATTAATGTAATAATTCATATAATAATAATTCATAAGGTGCATTTTACGATCACCACCGAACATGGTAAATGAGTCAATAAGTAAACGTTGGAAATAATAGCTTGATACATTATGTTAATTTCCATCCCGCCTTCAAGGCAATTTGGTATTATTAATATATTCTAGTTTACGAATAATATAAAGCTAATTTTGATTTCTCCTCTTTACCTCCACTTTTACACAGTTCGATATATTACAAGAATCACAGTTGTTGTCATCGAAACAGTTTTAATTATTATTATTATTATTATTATTATTATTATTTAAATTTAAGTTGCACTGAGTTGAATTCGGAGAAGCTTAAAGTGACACCGGCCCTTAATTCGCACATCTAAAATATATTTTTCGGGCAAATCCAAATGTTACATTTTGCGTGTTTTATCTCCATTTTAGGCTATTCAATGCTTATACTCATACCACGTTAGATGAAAGTTTAATGAAGTAAAGTAGAGTGAAGTGAACTGATGCGATGGGATCGATCTGATCTGATTTGATCTGATTTAATCTGATCCAAGACAATATGAGTGGCTGTATGTATGTAGTTTTTTCTTTTTGACCTTAAGCGTCTCGTATTTCATCTGTCTAATAGTTAAGTCCATGACAGACAGACAGCGTCTTAGGCTTAACAAAAAAACATTCCTCCAAACATCCATACATCAAAAAATACAAAATTAAACACGTGATCAAAATCACACCACCAGATCAGACTCAAATATTCACATCAGTCCAGAATTTACATTTCCTAATTGGGCGTATGAGGAAAATTTTTCGATAAAAGAAAAAAAATTTGTTCGTCAATTTACATGCAGGATGTGGAACCCATCATATTTTAATTTAGCAGTTAATGGGGTCAAGGGGGTAATTGATCTAGAGTTGAATGATCTTGATTTGATGGATTATTATTCTGAAGTAAAAGTGGTGTAATGGAAAGAAATGTGTAGACAGAGACAGTATGATCGATTGTAGTTTAAATAGAAGAAAGTAGAAATGAAATGGTTGAATTATGATGTTTATGATCTCAGATCACTTAAATTAACACGTATAAACAATAGATATGAACAAACATCTGGTGAACCACAAATTGAAAATTCTCAGAAATTGATTGAATTGATTTCAACCATTCATATAAATGATATTACTGAATATAATTCAATTAGATTCAAATATGGTTGATATATTGATCATTTTATGATATTCACCTTATAATTCAATTTTGATCGAATTGCTCACGTGACACAAACTAGGGTTTCCAACCCTAAATAAATGACCCAATTAGGAAGGTGTGCTCATAAATTCAATAGTTAACGATCAATTTGGACAAATATGAGCACACAATATCCGGGTAAATACCAATTTTTGTCTCACAGACAGACAGAAAAAAATTTGTACCAGTTCATCATTATAGATTTTTGAAAAATATAAAAATTTATTTTAAAGGTTCCTTTAAAAGTACATATCAACCAACTACAAACTATAGTATTTATCATGTCTGACGTTGAAGAACAATACGTTGAAGAACAACAAGTTGAAGAAGAAGAACAACCAGTTGTTCAAGAAGAATTACAATTAGTTGAATTAGCTACTGCTATTCCAGCTGATGTTCAAGCTGCTCAACAAGAAGTTAAATTATTCAACAAATGGTCATTTGCTGAAGTTGAAATCAAAGATAAATCATTAAACGGTTACATTCAAATCAGAGATGCCGTCTTTGTTTCCCACACTGCTGGAAGATATGCTTCTAAAAGATTCAGAAAAGCTCAATGTCCTATTGTTGAAAGATTAACCAACTCATTAATGATGAATGGTAGAAACAATGGTAAAAAATTAAAGGCTGTTAGAATCGTTAAACATGCTTTAGAAATTGTTCACGTTTTAACCGAACAAAACCCAATCCAAGTTTTAGTTGATGCTATTGTTAACTCTGGTGCCAGAGAAGATTCCACCAGAATTGGTTCTTCCGGTACTGTTAGAAGACAAGCTGTTGATGTTTCTCCATTAAGAAGAGTTAATCAAGCTGTTGCTTTATTAACTGTTGGTGCTAGAGAAGCTTCTTTCAGAAATGTTAAAACTATTGCTGAATGTTTAGCTGAAGAATTAATCAATGCTGCTAAAGGTTCTTCAACTTCTTATGCTATTAAGAAAAAGGATGAATTAGAAAGAGTTGCTAAATCTAATCGTTAAGAAAATTTTGTACATTATTTCTTTACTTCAATCATCAATAATTACTATCATAATACTTTCATATCATCCATATCATCATATCATATAAAGTCTATCCATCATCAAAATCACCTCATGATCATACAAAAAGTTTATACATACCTAAATACATATATATAAACGATCATAAACGTATTAATATAAAAAAAATATAAGAGTTTATTTAAGGTTACACTTGTAAGAAAATAATAAATATATTGTAAGCTTGTACTAACCTACCTCTATGTAAAAATGATTTATATAAGATTAAACTTTTATAGGATAAAAGAGTCTTAAAATGAAAGATATTGGAGTTGGAGATAACAATCGATTATATCTCTCTATTCTTTCTTCTAATATTTGTAATTCTTGAATTAATTCCGGATTGGTCTTTTCTGAACTTTGTAAAGGTTGTAAATCGGATGTTGTTAAATAATTGGTCGATTTCTTTGATATTGATGATTTTAATTTTTTAATTTGTCCTTGAGATATATTTAATCGTTTCTTTAATTTATCTCTTACTAACCATTCTCTAACTGTTAACATCAAAAACCCACATCCTACAAAACAACAACCAGCAAAGATTTGAGAATTTAAAAATGGTCTGGTTGAATTATCATTGGTTAATGATAATGAAATAACTTCAGCAATTAAACAAAAAAATGACACGAAAATATTCATTCCTGCCCATGCAGCAGGTAATCGATAAGGAGTATCTTCTAAAATATCAGTAGCAATAGGTTGAGCCATTGAACTACCTATCCCAACTACTAATCCAATTAATACTGAAAATCCAATTAATGTAGGATAAGTAGTGGCATTAATCCAGAATGCAAATAAAAGTATAGCAATTGAAAAACTCATACCACTAGCTAAATTAGTTCTCCCAATTTTATCTCCAACAATACCCATACATGGTCTACCTACTACTTGAGCAGCATTTAAAATGGAGGTTAAAGCTGAACCTTGAGAACTTTTTAATCCAATTGATGTTGCATAGGCTGCAATGGAAAATAAAAGTAACATATATCCTAATAATGCAATAGCAAACCAAAATGCTAATACTATAAGAGCATAATTTTTAAATACTTTTATATCAAATACAGCCTTAACACTTATATAAAAGTTTTGTTTGGTTAAAGTATCTTTTAATTTAGGAGGATTTTTTAATTTTCGAGGTCTCATAATTAATGTAGCAAACATAGTTATAACAAATGTTACAATTCCACACATTCTAAGAGCCCATCTTTGATCACCTGTCTTTTCAATCAAACTATTAACTGATAATGAAAAGATAACCCCACCTAACCCAGCACCAGAAACAGCTATACCCATTGAAGTTGCTCTTCTTTTTTTAACCCAAGTTGGTAATACTAAAGTAGCAGGTAAAAATACAAATGCAAATGAAATACCCACTAATACACCTTGAGTTAAGAATAAATGCCATATTTTGGTAGCGAATGATGCTAGTATATAAGCAATAGTTTGAATTGTTACTCCAAATAATGCTACTCTTTTAAATCCAAAGATTTTAAACGCAATAATACTTACGGGAGCTAAAAATTGTGCTAAAAATACCACTAATCCTCCAATTAATGCAAAATCATATTGGGTTGCTCCTGGGAATTGACCTGATGATAAATAAAAATCTAAAAATACCCCATATGCACTATTCACCCCCCAACATGATACAATTAAAAACATGGTACATAATGACATTAAGATTGAAAACCATCCATCTATAGGATGTTCACCCTCCACCACTTCATCTTCTGGTCTTACTGTTTCTGGTTTGAAATCATCGGATAAACCATCATCATCATCATCATACTCATCATCATCTTCATTGGCTTTAGCTTTATCATGAGATGCAGAAAGCAGTAAATCATTCTTGGTACTATGTCTTGATATCATATCTAATTGATTGACTAAGATTGATTCAGGATACGCTCTTTCAGCATACAGTTTAGCATCTGTTTCACCTTCATGGAGTTGGAGATCATCTCTTATCCCACTTATGATTCTTGATAATTCTGTTTGATTTGTTTTAACTCTGAATAGACTTTCATTTTCATCAATATCTTCAGCTAATGATGATTCACGATGAATAGGATTGACATGACTAATAGCACCTTCATCATCCGTACCATGATGTAAGGGGAATGCAGCTATGGAGTTATTGGTATCATCATGAGATTCAATATCTGAATTTGAATATTTGTTAGACATTTAAGGTTAGCTTTTGAATTGATATCGTATTTGATTTTGTTTCTTTTTTTTTGTTTCTGGCTTTGGTTTGGTATACCGTTTAAGATATCTGTTTCTCCACAGTACCAATTTGAATCAACTTTGGTATAGTTTATGATATAGGGATGGTAACGTATAAATAAGTCATAGACAGGTAACTTCTATACCCTTCAAACTCAAGAAAGATATTCATTCAAATATATTGAAATTTCTATAAGTTTTGATGTCTTACTAATGACTAATGTCGGAATAAAAATTATTTAAGCCGCACATGATAAAATAAAATTGAGCCATCAAACCGAAGGATAGCGGCTAAAATTATAAGCTTCCATTTAAGTTTATAATTATTCCAATAATTATAGTTGGGATTAGTATGGTGAATTATTGTAGTAACAACTCCATGGCTCACGAATTGAGTTAATGATGGTGTGGTAGAAGGTTAAGTATAACTGAATTGTCTATAGAAGGTGATCGGATGTACTGAGCCGTACATCGCTTCCTAATTTGGAAAATAAGCCGATATCGAATCATTTATTTAGCAGCCAATTTTTATGATTCAACCTAGATAAGAAATAATAAACTACTGCCAAGGGTTCATAAGTAAACATTAATGGATATTAGTGTGGTTATTACAAATACCTTACTTAGACATTTAACTTCAATTCGATGATGATTGGTGAAATAGTGTTTCAGTTTATCCCGGATTAGGCCGAACTCTTTCTGATGCTAAAATTATCGAGTTCTAGTAACTTCAATGGACTATGAATTAAACATCAAAGGAAACATCATGTCTACCACACTAAATGAATGATATATCACACACAGTATCAACAAGCACTTGTTTGAAATTAAATAGAGATTATTTTTTATTATTTCATATCATTAAATAATTTTCCATATTAAAATATTATTATGAATGATTATGTTAAAGTTAAGAACCAATTTAAAAAATAAACTCACTATAGAATAAGACGAATATTATCATTTCATATTCGTAAATCATCAAAGTTTAATCATTACATTTAATATACTTAGCCTTGATACTATTTTTAACTAGAAAATTTTCTATTTTAAGATACAGGAAAATTATAAATTGCACCCAATGGTATAGTTGGAACATTGATACTATTGATAGATATAATACGAAAATGAGTGATAACTTCACTGATTCATCTTAAAACTTATTAATTAATTGAATCTGTTATTTTTTAGTTCCTATCAATCTATTTATGATATTAAAAGGAAGATTATAAATACAAGGATAATTCCTCATTAATTGGATTCAAATATATTTCTAATTCTCATCTTTCAAAGAAAACCCAAAGAGTATTCTTACTACTACTACTACTACTACTACTACAAATTAATTCAAAAATGGTCGGTTTAATCATCCTGTTATGTAGACTCTTAATTGGTGTCATGATCATCTGCATAGCTATTTATGTTTGTGCAAGACATGATCGTAGAACATGATTATTAAGTGACTGGTGTGCTATTGGAGTTATGCTTTCTGGCGTTGATGCTATTTATCATTAAATATAATATAAATATAAGTCTATTATCTAGCATTACATTATTTAAATTGTAGTAAATGTAATTACACCTTTATACCAAATCGCATCATGTGACCAGATCTTTTGTCGTAATTACATGCAGGATTCTCCTAATTATTTGGTGAGAAAGTGAAAGAGTGAAAGGGTGGAGGTGAAGGGAGGAGAGAAGATGGTGTAGAGATAACAAATTGTGGGATACATACAACTTGGAGATCTCATAGATAAATCATAGAGATATACATATCATAAGAGTGTGAATATGTCTGGAGCATCAGACTTTTTATCGAAGGGAATAGATTTAGTTCAAAAAGCTATTGATGCTGATACTGCCACTCGATATGAAGAAGCTTATAAATTATATTATAATGGATTAGATTATTTAATGTTAGCGATTAAATATGAAAAGAATCCTAAATCGAAAGAATTAGTGAAATCGAAATTCACTGAATATTTAACTAGAGCTGAACAATTGAAAGATCATTTAGAAAAACAACAAAATAAAAATGGAGGTGGAGAAAGTTCATCAAGTAATGGATCTACAAAAGCTAAGAAAGATGGTGGTTCAGGTGGTTCAGGTGGTGGTGATGATGAAGATGCTGATAATAAGAAATTAAGAGGGGCTTTAGCAGGAGCTATTCTTTCTGAAAAACCCAATGTTAGTTGGAGTGATATTGCAGGTTTAGAAACTGCTAAGGAAGCTCTTAAAGAAGCAGTCATTTTACCCGTTAAATTTCCTCAATTATTCGTAGGTAATAGAAAACCAACTAGTGGTATATTATTATATGGACCACCAGGTACAGGTAAATCATATCTAGCTAAAGCTGTTGCCACTGAAGCTAATTCTACATTTTTTTCCGTTAGTTCATCAGATTTAGTATCGAAATGGATGGGAGAATCAGAAAGATTAGTTAAACAATTATTCACTATGGCTCGAGAAAATAAACCATCGATTATATTCATTGATGAAGTCGATGCTCTTTGTGGTCCAAGAGGTGAAGGTGAAAGTGAAGCTCTGAGAAGAATTAAAACAGAATTATTAGTACAAATGAATGGGGTTGGAAATGATTCATCAGGGGTATTAGTATTAGGTGCCACCAATATTCCATGGCAATTGGATGCTGCTATTAGAAGAAGATTTGAAAGAAGAATTTATATACCATTACCTGAACTTGAAGGTAGAACTCGAATGTTTGAATTAAATATTGGTGAAACTCCTTGTGAATTAGGAAATCAAGATTATAAATTATTAGCTGAAATGACAGATGGTTATTCTGGTAGTGATATTGCCGTGGCTGTAAGAGATGCATTAATGGAACCAATTAGAAAAATTCAACAAGCCACTCATTTTAAACCAGTTACGATTGATGGAGATGATAAAGAAAGATATACTCCATGTTCACCTGGAGATGTAGGAGCTAGAGAAATGAATTGGATGGATATTGAAAGTGATGAATTACAAGAACCTCCTTTAACCATAAAGGATTTCATTAAAGCCATCAAGAATAATAGACCAACTGTTAATGCTGCTGATATTGAAAATCATGTTAAATTTACAAATGATTTTGGTCAAGAAGGTAACTAAGTGTGTACTTTATGTAATTTTACTTTTTTTTATATTTGTTCATTTCTTTTGAAAGTTGTTTATTTAACTTTTTTATATTTTTTTAATTCTAGCATATATACTATTATACATAATGATATTTTTACATTTTTCAACGTCTACTTGGAGATCTTTCTCTTTCTCTTAACTTATAAGCAAATAAATCTTCTTCTTCTTCTTCTTCTTGATGATCAGGAACTATTTCATTAGGATGATCAAAATTAGCTGTTCTATCATTAGTTCTTGTGAAATTAACTCTATTTGGATTATTTATCTTTTCAGCAAATAAATCTTCATCATCATCATTAGCCTTTTGTTCTTCTTCTTCTTGTTCATTACGTCTTGGACGACGTTCTCTATCCCTGTAGTTATTCCTTCTATAATTGGTTTGTCTTTCTGGTTCACCATGTAATAAATAATATCTTGAATAAAGTTTTGCATTTTTAACTTTTCGATCTGATTGGAATGCTTGTCTTAAATATAATACAATAGAAGATTCATCTTCTTCCATAGATGGTTGTTGTGCTACTGCTTCTTCACCATCTTCACCTCCTTCTTTACTTATACCTAATCCTAATCTTGCACTTAAATCTCGATGTTTTATAAAATTTAAAATAGGAGTATATGGTTTTGATTCTCGTTCTTGAATTATATCAGCAACATAATCGACATTTTCAATAGTTAATTCTTGAGGCTGTTCACTAGTATAAATAGCAGGATTTGAACTGGTTATAGATAATTTCTTTAACACTTTAAAACATTCTTCATGAGTTTTAAATGTAACATTTATACTTGAATCATTAACCCATTGAATTCTAAATGTAATTTGTTCATCCAAAGGTAATTGTTCATATTGTTCTTGATTGGTTTCTTCATCTTTAGTAACGATATAATTGACATAATAATCCACAAATGATTTAATATCCTCACTTGATAAATTATCCACTCCTCTAATATGTAAAGCTTCAGGTCTAATGGTTTCAGTAGTACCATTGATATTAACTTCAATAGATGATTGTTCTTGTAATTTTTGTTCTCTTTCTTTTTCTTCATCGAGAGTTTTCACCAAGAAACCTCCATATGGAGCCACGGCTGGACCTGACATGATTGAATGGGATGTTGTGTCGTATGATGTGGTGTAGAACTTCCTGGTAATGAATAATCTAATGGTGATTTTACAGTTGTTCATTTTTTTTTGTTTGTGGTTGTCAAAATTTATGCGCTACACATTAAACAGGGAAGTGTAAATGATTGAATACTACGTAATTATAATGGATATATATGTGTATAAATGCCGTTAATTAATGAATGAATGGTACAACTATCTAGATAGCTAAATAGGAAATCTATATAATACAGTAAAAGAATGGGATGCAGAGGGAGGAGGAGGAGGAGATGGTAAGTATATGATGAACCTTAATCTTTCATCTCTTCACTATCAACTTTTTCAGAGGCATCTTCTTCATCCTTTTCTTCTTGTTCTTCTTCAACCTCTTTATCTTCACCTTCATCTTGACTTACCTTGTTAGCAGATCCATTACCACTTCCCACTGATGGGACCAAATCTTCTCTTATAAATAATACATTATTACATCTAATAAATATTTCTCCAATCAATTCTTCCTTTCTGTCATTATCTTCATATAATATTTCAGAAGTATGATCCAACTGTAAGTTCATATAATTATCTATCGATATAAGTGTCCCTTTATACTCTGTCTTATTCCATTTTAAACGAACTATGACTTTTTTATTTATTAATGTTTTTAAGAATGGTTTTGGATTTATAGGATGAAACTAGAAATAGATTAGTTAGTACTTCGTTCTTTCTTTTGAATCGAAGGGACGATTCATCCAATCTTAGGTATACATACCGATGACATTGTTACTTTACAACCTCTATGCTATGCTATGCTATGATGTGATATGATATGATAGTTAACGGTTACTTATAATCTGTTGCCATTTTCTGAAAATTTGATTTTGAATGGGAACCAAAAGAAACATCCTTACCTCAATGACAACTACCACCACTAGACTGAAAAAAAAAATCAAAACACGTATAAGCAACCAAATTATCATCAACCAAGCTATTTAAAACCACTTCATATACCCACGACAGATTGATGGTATGACTAAATTGAATCAAGTATTGATAATAGGAGGTCTTATTAGATTTCTAATCCCCACTTTATTACCTCAAGTGGTTCCTATATTATCATCAATTAATGAAATATCAACCCCCATAAATTCATTTAAATCATTACAAGAAGCATTCTATTATTTTGCTAATGGAATAGAATTATATGATGGTGGGATCAATCATCATCCTCCAGTATTGGTCATTCTTTTATCATTTGTTAATGATCTTGGATATCCTGTTTTATCCAATATTATCTTCAATTTAATCTATACTTTGTGTGATATATATATAACTTATCGATTAATTGCTTTAAATCAATGGTATCATGATCAATGGTCATCTAAATCAGGATCAAATAAATATAATGATGATTTAATTGCTAGTTTTTATTTATTCAATCCATTGATTATCGTTACCAATTTATCTCATTCTACATTAGTATTTTCTGTATTATTCATTATTGAAACTTTACATCAATTATTAGTGATTAAAAATCTTCCCAGATCAATGATTGCATTATCAATTGCAAGTTATTTATCATATACACCCGTATGGTTAGTCATTCCATTATTAGCTTTAATGCAAGTAACTAATCCTGATGTACCAAAAGTTGAAATTTATGGTCGGAATTTTGGATTCTTTTTAATGGGATTAATGTTATTCATTATCATGTCATTTTTAATCACTGCATCATGGCAATTCTTTTATCAATGTTATGGAACCATCTTCCTCTTTAATAAAATCCAACCTAATATCGGATTATGGTGGTATATCTTTACCGAAATGTTTGAATTCTTTACCCCATTTTATATTGGAGTATTCAATCTTTATAGTATAATATTCATCTTTCCTATCACATTAAGATTCACTAATGATGGAGTATTTGCATTCATATTATCATTAATCTGGTTAAGTTTTACAAAATCATATCCTACTATTGGAGATTTAGGTTATATTTTATCTATTCTTCCAATTTTCAAATCAAGTTTTCTTAATTATTGTAAATTCTCCATTGTTTACATCATCTTACTTATAATCTGTTTAATCTTATCGCCCATCTTTTATTATTGTTGGATTGTATTAGGTAATGGTAATTCCAATTTCTTCTACAGTATAAATTTAATATGGGGAGTGATTTATTTATTTATTATGATGGATTTAATATGGGCTAAATTAACATTAGATTATATTATGGATAATGATATTAAAGATAAAGAACAAATTGATAAATTAAGATTAACTCAACTTTAGTTTCATTTATATACCTTAAAATAGCATTTCACCTTTTAAAAATTCCTAATAAAATTGATTAATTAATAGAATTTATTTAAAATCGGTATACATTTACAGGTTACCCATATTTAATATGTAAAAAACCAGTTAATCTGTAAAATACTCCCATTAATCTGTAAAATTCTCATTTTCTCCAATAAAAAATCGACAAAAAGAAACCAGGCCTGAAAAAAAAAAAAAAAAAAAAATTAAATTGTGTGAAAACAAATTGAAAAGACAGACAGTGGTTCAATTCATTTTAGTTCAATTAGCCAACCCTCATCATCATCATAAACATAATGTTATCTCGTGCTGCTACTCGTCGTGCCTATAGTACTGCTGCTGCCCAAGCTGTGGTCAAGACCACTGCCAAGGATACCAGTGGTAATTTAACCAACTTGACTGTGGTTGTTAATAATGCTGGTGCCAAAGTTGGTAAATCAGGTATTGCTCATTTATTATCTAAATTCAATTTCTTAAATACTGGTGCCAAATCTGCTTTAAGATTCACTAGAGAATCTGAATTATTAGGAGCTCAATTTTCTTCAAATGTTACTAGAGATGCTCTTGTTTTAAATACATCATTTTTAAAAGCTGATTTACCTTATTTCGTTGAAGCTTTAGGTAATGTATTAGTAAACACAAGTTTCAGACCTCATGAATTAGTTGAAAATGTTTATCCAACTGCCAAGGCTGATTATGAAACTGCCATTAAATCAAATAGTTATGTTGGTTTAGAAGAATTACATGAATTATCATTTAGAAAAGGTTTAGGTAATGGATTATTATATGATGGTTCAAATAAAATCACTCTTGATGAAATTAAACAATTTGCTCAACAAGCTTATACTAAATCTAATGTATCTGTATTTGGTGCTGGTGCCGTTGAAGAAGATTTAGTTAAATTCATTAATGAAAGTCCATTTGCTGAATTACCAACTGGTGAAACTATTAAATCATCAGTTTCAATTTTCAAAGGTAAAGAATCAAGAATTAAAACCTATGGTGAATCTGCTGTCTTAGTAGGTATTCCAATTAAACCAACTGAATTTGGTAAATTTGAAGTTTTATCATCTGCCATTGGTTCATCAGTATTATCAAGTGATATTTCTGCTCCATTATTCAATTTACCTGGTGTTGATGCTTCATCTACTGTACTTAAATATCAAGATGCTGGTTTATTCGTTATCACCATCAAAGGTGCTTCATCAGCTGATGTTTCAGCTGCTGTTAAACAAGTTAAGAAAATTGTTGAATCAGCTGATTTAAAGTCTGCTACTAAGAAAGCTGAATTATCTATTGCATTACAATCAACTTTTGAAGCTCCATTAAGTTTGAAAGTCGATGCCACCACTCCAATCAAATTAGTTGAATTCAATTATGTTGCTGTTGGTGAAGTTGATGCTTTACCATATGCTGATGAATTATAAATCATTTCATAGAAAGAAATCATCATCTCATTCATAAATACATTCTCATCAGTTTTGACATTCCAATCCCATGTGCATAATAATATTAATCAACAAAAACAAAAGACATACCATCCCCTTTTCATTTATTCCATTCTAGAATATACAATTGACATACTTACCTATCTGTTAACTTCCCAAACCAAACCTAACATTATCCTACTATTTTTTCTTCAACCTTTATACAAAATAGTTCTTTATAGTATCTATATTCATATACATACATACTTAGTTTCCAATTTTTATTCTTATTATTTCTTATTATTCTTATTTAATACATACATAACCAGTTTATAACTTAATCATAACTATTTGCAACCATCCATTCATTGAATTGATCTCTATAGTATAAATTTTGATTTGACATGGTGGTCGTGCATTCTGTTCAAAAAATCAGATTTTTTTTCCAGTTAATTTTTCAGATGGATTCAAACAAACCTCAATCAATATAACATCTATATATCTATATATACTTTATTTGATATATCTCATAGAAGCATATCATAATAATCAGGATGTCAGATTTCGAAGATAATGCCTTTACTGAAGGTGCTGAAAACTATGATGATTTCGATCAAGCTGACCATTTTTCCGATGAAGAATTCAATGAACCAAATAATGATGATGAAGGATTAAATGGTGGTGATTATGGTCAAACCACTAGTGATGGTAGAACCATTATAAACGGTGGAGATGGTAATACTGTTCCTGCTAACAAAGTCACATCCAAACAATTAGCTATACCTAAAGAAAAGAGAAATACCACTCCATATATGACTAAATATGAACGAGCTAGAGTATTAGGGACAAGAGCTTTACAAATTTCTTTAAATGCTCCTGTATTGGTTGATATTGAAGGTGAAAGTGATCCTTTACAAATTGCTATGAAAGAATTGGCTCAAAGAAAAATCCCATTGGTTATAAGAAGATATTTACCTGATGGATCTTATGAAGATTGGGGTTGTGATGAATTAATCATTGATCATTAGACCTGTAATAATAATACATTTAACAACCAACATCAAAAAATTATAAAACAGCATCAATAGAGTATTTTGTTCCATCCATCCATCTTTCCTTCCTTGCTACCACCTTTTATTTCGTTCTTTCCTGGCAATTCCTTTTGCTTATTCTGCATATGTATATTTCTATTTTGTATAATACTAATAATATGATTTATTATCAACATGATGTGTGTGTGTCTGTGTGTGTATTACGTTATTACTCATTCTATATAACTCTCTAACCAATTATTTACTAAGAAGATTTTCTTTCCTTCGATAGTTTGTTTAACATATCCTTTTATTATAGCATCAAATACTTGAGGGGATAATTTATGATCACCACTACCTATTTCACCTAATTGAACTGAACAACAGGCTGATTTCAATTCATCCACATCAATCTCAAGATCAGTTGGATCTCCATTATTGTTATTCTTACTCTTTTTCTTATTGAATATTTGTAGGGCATTGTAAATTGTATGTCGATCTTCAAATTTAGATAATTCATCCGCCATCAATGTCAGGAATTGAGTGAAGTTAATTCCTGGCTCACTTCCACTTTCACTTGGAGTCGCATTCTGTAACATCGTCAGCAAGGTGTCTTCAGAAGGTATCGACATTCCTAAAGTTTTATATAATCTGATTAAATCTGTTTTTGTAATTAAAGCATCTCGAGATTCCCCATCGATTAATTTGAATGCATTTCTGATCTGGGTCTTTTGGGTATGTGTAAGTGTACTCAACGATGACATTGTGAGTAGTATGTTATGGTATGATATCTAACCTGAACTTGATACTGTTGATATTTGAACCTTAATGATCTGATCTGATTGATGATTGTTGACGGTTAGTGGTAGAAAAAAAAAGGTAAACAAAAACTGTACGCGTAAATATCAACTTCAAACATAAATCTCTTGGAAGGGGTCTTATCAATATACACTATACACACACATAGTTACATGGACGGTGATCTATATAATCAACCTGTTGTGATAGACAATGGATCAGGGAACTTGAAAGCAGGGTTTGCAGGAGAAGATAAACCCAAAACTTATGCATCAGCCATAGTGGGACGACCTAAATATCCTCGAATAATGACAGGATCATTATTACCAGAAGTCACTAATGTCGATGGTATTGGTAAAGAAGATACCTTTATTGGTAATTTAGCTCAACAATATCGTGGATTACTTAAATTATCATATCCTATAAGTCATGGTATAGTGGAGAATTGGGATGATATGGAATTATTATGGAATCATACTTATCAACAAGAATTAAAGATTAATAGTCAAGATCATCCATTATTAATCACAGAAGCTCCATTGAATCCTCGTCACAATAGAGATAAAATGTGTGAATTGTTATTTGAACTGTTTAATATCCCTTGTATATATGTCTCGATTCAAGCAGTGTTATCATTATATAGTAGTGGTCGAACTACAGGAGTTGTGGTGGATAGTGGAGATGGTATAACTCATATTGTTCCTGTTTATGAAGGTTTCGCCTTACCTACATCAATAAAGAGATTAGATATTGGAGGAAGAGATATCACTGAACAATTGGGATATAATTTACGACGGATGTTAGGAATCAATTTAACTTCAAGTAGTTCTGAATTTGAAATTTTAAGATTAATTAAAGAGAATTGTTGTTTTATTAGTAAGGATCCAATTAGAGATGAAAAATTATATTCATCTATAATTTATAATAGTCAAAATGAAAATTTATCAAGTTATAAATTACCTGATGGGAAGACATTACAAATTGGAGTTGAAAAATTTCGATCCCCAGAGATTTTATTTAATCCTCAATTAATTGGCAATGAAAGTCCAGGTATACATGAATTAATTACATTATCGATAAATAAAACCGATTTAGATTTAAGACCTATATTATATCAAAATTTAATCTTATCAGGAGGGAATACATTATTAAAAGGGTTTGGAGATCGATTATTATCTGAATTAAAACAAATTCAAGGTCATGATAAAACAAAGATAAAGATTTATGCACCACCGGAACGGAAATATTCAACTTGGATTGGAGGATCGATCTTAGCTGGATTATCAACTTTTAAAAAGATGTGGATCACCAATCAAGAATATCAAGAAAATCCAGATATAATTCATATAAAGTGTTTATAAGTTCTTTCATCATATACAATAATATCTATCACCAAAATCACCTAAACCAGGAACAATATATTTATGTTCATCTAATTTTTCATCAATTCCACCGGTAATGATTTTAATATCAGGATATTTAGATTGGAAATGTTCAATTCCTTCGGGAGCAGCTAAAAGATTTAAAAAGAATATCCGATTCATCTTAACTCCTCTTCTTAATAAAACTTCAACTGCCATCATGGCACTACCACCTGTAGCTAACATTGGATCTAATAAAAATACATATCTTTCACTTATATCTTCAGGTAATTTTTCATAAAATAATTTGGGTAATGCTGTTTCTTCATCTCTTTGAATTAAAATTTTCCCAATTCTAACTGAACGACAACAATCTCTTAATCCCATTTCCATAGATTCACCAGCTCTAACAATAGATACTCCACAGATCTTTCCTAAGAACTTGGCTCCTTTGTATTCATGACTTCCATGACATTTTATAATCGTTTCTTCGACGGGTAATTGATTTAATCCTTCTTCTACTAATAATCGAATGATACGATCTGAATAAAACACAAAATCACCTCGTTTGGTGGATTGATCTCGAATGATGGAATATAAACCGATTAATTGATTGGTTTGTGGGAGGAGTATAACATTCTTATGAACTTCCAGAGGCACTGACATGATGTAATTGATGTAGATGTAGTTGTTGTAGATTGTTATGGATCTGGAGATGGATCCTTTTTTTCGTTTTAGAGATAGCCAAAAATTATTTTTTTGGATGGGCTGAACCGATTCTGAGGGGAGAGATATTCACACACACTAAAGGGTTTACGAAATTAAGTAGTTTACGAAGTATTTTTTTATTGTTAAAGGTTGGTATAGCCTAATAGAGATATAATATGTCTGTCGGGTAGAACTACTCTAATTGAGTTAGATTAACTAGGGTAGAATTTATTTTGTTTTAAACTTATATTTTTAGAAAATATACAAGATATACTACTGACTCTGTGTTTCTTCAAATTACCAAGTTGAAAACGACTATAATACAAAGGATTATGAATTCTTTTAATGATATGGGGTAGATCTGACTTATTGTTGTTCAATCACATATGGATTATCAATGATTTCAGTACCATCGACTGGAGAAATAGTTAACAATGAAGTGCATCTTACCACCACTTTACCATTGAAAGATCTAGTTTTATTAGTTAAGACCGTATCATCATCTTCATCTCTTAAATTTTCTTCAACTTGTTCCAATACTAAATTCATTAATTGATCGAACCCTTTTAATATTCCTGTAATTTGTCTACCTCCAATGAATTTAACTCTGATTTTTTGATCTTTATATTTATTTAAATCCAAGATGGCTTCTCTTTTAGGACCTTCTTGTTTTTGACTTTGATTTTGATTTTGATGTCTTCCACCTCTTCTATTATTATTATTATTATTATTATTATTATTATTATTATTATTATTATTATTATTATTATGCTGTTGATTATTATTATTATTGTTATTTCTCTAGAAATGGTTAGTTAGTATGAACTGAACTGGTACAACCGTTTAATTCGATTGAATTAATACATACTCTTTCCGACATGATGATTATATTATATGATATATCTATATGGTATGGAAGTCTATTGATCAAGTAAAGGTTCTTCATACTTCTAATTGTTCAAACCAACGAGAAGAAAAAAAAATTAGTTAGCAAAAGAAGGAAGTGTACTTACCAATATGATTTGAAGTTCTACAACTTTACTAACTACAATGATAAATGGGTATATAATGCAAGGTTATTGTATAATAAGGGGTGGAGGAGTGTATACTGAGGTAGTGTTAATATAGACAAGCTAATTACAGTATGGGATGGGATAGAACCCATCATTATATACATATATGTACAAGGGAGTGGTAAAAAAAGCTTTTCAATTAAAATTCATTTCTTAACCATAATTTAACTCTTTTAGCTCGTTCTTCTTTTCTCTTAATTTGAGTTGGTTTAATACATTGATAATCACCATCTTTAGTTAATTCAGTATCTAATTTTCCTGAAAATACATTGATTCTATGAGGAGAAATATTAAATTTGGTACTTAATTTAGCAATAGTCCATACATTTGGATCTTCTAATCTTAAACGTTTAATTTCATCAATGATTTCAGGAGTGATGGAATAATCTCTTTCATTTTGAGGTTGATAATTCTGTATGATGGGATAATTATTTAATTCATCTTTAGTATAAGTGGGTTTATTTTGTAATAATCTTCTTGGATCATTAGGAGGAAGGAAAGCAAGGGGGGTTTTCGATGGTTTGAATATGGATGCAGGAGGATTATATATTAATCCTTGTAAGTTTTTAGATTTATCCTTAGTAGGTTTGAAATTGAAGGGAGATCTAGTTTGATTATATTTATTTATAGGAACTGGTTGAAATGGAATAGATGATGATTTGGATGCAGTGTTCGTAGATGAACGACGTATGGAATTCCTCAACATGGTGGATATATGATATTATGTAATGTGTCTAGATTTGAATGATATGACTTATGAAGAAAGTATATATATACAGAATCAATCAAACCTAAAGTTGGTAGTAATAATTAGTTAATCATCAAAACTTTTCAAAACTTTTAATTGTTGAAATTTTTTTATAGCGCACACGAAAGAAAGAAAGAATTTGAAAATAAAAAAAAAAAAAAACAATGTTTACAGTTTATATGGATTATGTAATTATTTACAAGTTATACTACCAAATCATACAATCAGTCAGTTCACAGCATTATAATTAATTTAATTAAACATGTTCACTATTTATGAAAGTTATTTATCCTAAACTTTAGTTAAATGATTTTTATGATGTTCTATGTTCTCGGTGTATATAACAATATCATCAATATAGTTTGTTACATACGGTATGTACCTATCAATTTAATCGAAAATATGGTTTCATTATATCATTTTGCAATATTTGATAAATGATGATTTCATTAAAAGTATTAAAATCAAACAAATCACAGAAGAGTCTTTACAGTTAAGATATTATAACAATTCAGAAGATTACTTCACCAATAAAACGAATAAAGATAAGAAGTTACTTAAAACTGTACTTTCTTTAACCAAAGATGATCCTTATAACGTAATACCACTTACATTTAGTATTAGCTGCTCTGAAACACTTCCAATTCAATTTTTAAATGACTTATTGAGTAATGTAAACAACTTTGAATTATCTTTAAGATTTTTGAGTTTGAATGATAACCAATATCAATTATTAAGAACTTACAAGAAATCATCTGATATCACATCTAGTTTACTTCTACAACAAAAATTTGATAGCTCAAATGGCATAATACTTGACTCAAACAGTGATTGGCCACCAAATGTGTTGGGTTTATCTCTTTTATGTCTTCAAAATATTCAACCTCTAATAGATTATGGTTTACCAGCTAATTTGGAAGGTTTATGTATATTGGCAACTTTTAAAACGACTGACTTTTTACTGGAGTCACCACCACATGTTACTGACTTGGTAATTGGTGCCATTGATGGCCAATTAATCAATTTTAAAGACATATTTAAGTTGACACTACAATATATTTCTTTATATTGTATAGAAATTGGGACACAGGTAGATAACATTTATCTTCCACCTGGATTAGAAATGTTTGAATGGCAAATTCCAGTATGTCTGAGTTCATTGGACTTTATTTGTTTCGACAATGCCAAATCAACTTTGAATTCTATAGAGCTTGGTTATGATGAACCGGTAATTGATGATCTGAAAACTTTATTTACAAAATTGGACTTCAGTGAATTTTCAAGCTTGACATATATGAAATTAGACGATTGCAATATTATAAATCTTGACAATTTCTTCTTACCAATAAGTCTAGAAGAGTTGGAAATCCATAACGAGCATTTTGATTCACTTGATCAAACATGTCCATTTCTAAGTGATTCATACAAATATCCACTTACAGGAACTAAAATTGATAGATTGTGACTTTGGTTACATCTCCCCTAGAATACAATTACCAATCAATTTAATAACTTTGTATATTCCTTATTACAGAGATAGTACGATCAAATCTGGTTTTTTTTGACAAAGTTGAAATTGCTTTCAGGAAGAAAATTGTTAATAGAAATACTTCTGGGCATGATCGTAACCGTTATCTTCGCTTGGCCTAGTGGGAACTGTTGTTTATGTGTTCTTTGAAAAACTTTTGCAGCAAAAATGACAACCGAAAAAAAGACTGGAATTTCTTATATAGGATTAATATAAATATAAAATTAATATACACAGTTTACATATAACTATTTTCTGTGGAAAATTAACTGAAACTATTGAAGTTTTTCACTTGTAGTGTTAGGTTGAGATTCAGAAGTATCTTCCTTGTTGGAGTCTACATTTTCTTTCAAGTCACTTTTTTCATCAGAATTCAGACTTTTGAAACCTATGTAATCTACAGCGGTGGCAGCAGTAGCAGCTATAACCCCAGATAAACCACCAAAAGCACCACCAGTAGCATATGACTCTGTTGTGGTTTTCTTATCTTTATTTGAATTAATATCAGTATCTGTTGATTTTGGGGTTGAAATTGGTTGATTATAAACTGCAGTTGTAGAAACATTTTCATCACAAATTTCAGTCAAGTTAGGATTAAGTACATGTTTATCAGATGTGGGAGATAATGATCCACTTGTCCCTTCATTGATTGGTTTTGATGTTGAGTCTGGTTCCACTTTAGCGGTATTTCCTTTAGATAATGCCTCTCTGGTTTCTCTTAATTTCCTTTGTTTTTCAGTTTCCATTACAGCTTGAGTAGCTTGTTCTTTTGTTCCTTCCGTAGTGGTATTCTTGGGATAATAAAAGTTTCCGGTCCCATTTGTTATCTTTGCATTATCAGTATAGTATGGATTATAATTTTCATTTAAGCCAGGAGGTTGGTTGATAACAGTTTCATGTGTAGGGAGTTTATAATTTGTATAATCACCATGTAAATCCGGTGGTAAAGGTTCCTTTTGAGTTTTAGGAGGGAAAGTTTGAAGTTTGCCCTTGGAAGTTTGAGTTATTATTGACTCTTTACTATCCTGTGATTCTTTAATTGCTGGAGGTTCCAGTGGTTTTTCAGATTCATCATTCAATGTATTATGTTTGCTAGATTTGAATGGTTTCTTAAGTTTATGGAATAAATCCTTGCTGCTTGTCATGATGAATAAGGATGTTAGTAATAATTGGAGAAGAAAACGTTTTAATGAAATAAATGAAAATTGGGGATAACTTTAACTTTAAATACTATTTAGCAATGATCATCAATTTAAGATTTTGGGGCCATTCTCCGATAGCAATTTTAAATGCGAAATTTTTTATTATATGTAACATACGGGGATGTGTGTCCATATCAATTTATACTAACTACTCTGTGATTGTTCGCCTAAAATCCTTTCAGGGTCATTGGTTTGTTACTGGGAGATAAGGTACTACTCAGTCACAAAGATCTCGGATGTTATATGTTCTATGCATTAAAATATACTTACTTAGTTATACCTATTATATGTATATTATTTGTATTCTGGTTTCTTTTGATTTTTATTATATATTAATCTTGTAACCAACCATTCTAAACTTTCTTGAATACCTTGATTTTCTAATACAGAAACTGGTAATAATTTTGAATCAGTAGCTTCTAATTCACTAACCAATTTTATAAATACACCTGTTTTTAATGATACTAAATCTACCGCTTGAGGTAAGTCCTGCTTATTTGCTAGCATTAGAATAGGTACATTAACTATGGCCTCTGCATCACCATTGATATTAGCCCAGGTTTGATCATGAGCTATCTCTATTAAAGTTTCATAACATTCTTGAAATCGAGCTGTATCAGTCGAATCTATAATGAATATAATACCATGACATGAATTATAATATCGTGACCACATATTTCTTAATGATCTTTGACCCCCAAGATCCCAAAATTTCAAATTTATATTTCTGAATTGGGATGAAAATTCAGAATCTGAATTTGATTGGAATTTGATTGTGGTTGTATTTTGACCAACAGTAGGTAATATCCTTCTTGCTTTTAATATATCTGAAGTTGATCGTGAGCCATTACTGGAATTGTCTGATGATTTAGATTTCAGTTTCGTAGTGGCCTCTACTGGTGAAGGGAATAGTAATTTGATATGTTCTAGAAACGTTGTTTTACCAGCATTATCAAGCCCTAAGATAAGTATATTATATTGTTCTCGTTTGGTATATTGGGTATATAAAGATGAAGCCAAATGAAACATCTCTTTCTCTGTTTTTCCTCCTCCTGCTGCGTCACCTATGATCACACTAACCCTAATTGATCAATTGAATGGTTGATCTACTTGTTACTGATCTGATTCTTATTCTGATCTGATCTGATCTAGAGTTTTGATAAATTTGGTGTGTGTTATTTTATTACGTGTACGCCAATTTTTCTTTACCCGGAAACTCCTTGGCTTAATGAAAAAAAATATCAATTTTTTTTTTCATCATCATCATCAACCTTTTCTCTTGATAGAAGAATATGTATTTGATATGATAAGATGATTGGATCAAAGTGTATGTATATGTGGTTTACAGTAGGATGAATAGATAATTGCAAGAAGACTTATTATGATGAATAATTTGATAGGGACAACTGAGCGATGCTTTGAAGATGTTGTTCATAAGATAGTAGAATAATCTGATATAACAAGTGAAATAATTTTTGCAATTCATTCATAATTCTACATTTGGTTTACATAAAGTGACTTTATACTAACTATTATTAATAAGAATATTGATATATTTTAGATTTTCAATTTTTAGTTTGATTTGATTTATCTATATGGATACTATTATATATGTATCTATTTAAATATTTTTCTTTTCATCATCAGTTTTACTGATATAGATATAATTTACAACGAATAAGAACCATGCGACGATAACTAAAGCTGCACTGGCAATGTATAACCATGAGTTAGTGATATCCCATGATCTCTTGAATTCATCATTGGCTAAATGTCTAACAGTGACAATTTTTTTATCTTCTAAGAATGATAAACCAACTCTCTTATAATCTAATTCAAATGTAAACATACCATGATGATCTGGAAGTGTGAAGTTAGTATAGTAAACATAAGTATCTAAATCACTACCACCTTCAATAGAAGCAGCTGGACCTAATGGAAGTAAATTTAATCTTTGATATGGATCTAACATTTTAAATGAAAGTTGTAATTGATCCTCATCATTAGTAACTTCAAATGGAATCCATTTACCATCTTCTGATAATTCAGATACACCCACAGTATAAATAGTTTGATCTTTGATTCTATATAAAGTATGATTTGGATTTTCTGGTTCATCATTCTTATAATGTTGAACAAATTGTAATTTTAAAACATGTTTCTTTTGGAAAGTCCAATTGATTAAATCATCAGTGATTAATGATTCAGATCCAACCCATACTAATCTGGCGTTATTTAAAGCTTGGAATCCAACAGCAGCAAAACCTTGACTACCAAAAGTCCAAGTTGTATCTTGTTCAACTTTTTCAATACCAGCTTTAGCAGTAAAACTTGTTGGTGAACCTTTAATAATAGGAAATAATAATTCATTATTGGAAATTATAGCAGCTCCTCCTTTATAGTTAGTATTAGTAATAGATTTAACCACACGATTATTAGATACTAAATTAGTTTCATCACTTAAAATCACTTCATCACCACCATTAGAATTAAAATGATCTAATAATTGGAAATTCTTTGGAGCAGGATAAATACCTAATTGATTTAAAAATCCTCTAGTTGAATCAGGTAAGACAGCTTCAATACCACCAACAACCAAAACATTACCACCTTGATTAACATAATCTATTAATTTATGTTGACTTAAAGCAGCTTTAGCAGCAATTACTTTTTTGGAAGATGGTAAAATAACTAAATGATCAAATCTTGGAGAATCTTCATAAAACAATTTAATATCTTCATCTTCATAACTATGATATTGGACTTTATATTGACTTTCAAGATTATCAATCAATGTTTTTATAGGTGAACTTAATGATGATTTATCAGTTAAATCTTGAAAATGACTGTCATAAATAACTAAGGCATTTTCAGTCTTAAGATCAACGGTACCAATGGCACAGACAATCCCAATAAAGCAAAGAATTACCCAATTACTTAGTCTAGCACCAAACATTTATGATTATACTTGTCAATTTATGGTAAAAGAATAAGAATTGTACAATAGTTCTGGCCAACAATATTAATATATCCATGTCCTCTACGTGTTTGAAAATTTCCACTTCCAATTTTTGGCATAACGAAACACGAGGAGTATATGCAGGTACTAACAATTGGATTTTTTTTATAGTTGCCTAAATTTTCTTATGATGATCTTACCAGTCATGATAGTGATAGGTTCATCATAGAGGTATAAACAATAATAATGGCTATAAAGATAAAGGTAGAGTTCTTAGGTGGATTAGATATAATATCAAGTAGTGTCAGAGAACATAAATGTTCTGTACCTTTAGAAGAAGGTGAAGCTACCATGAAAGATTTAATTGAATATGTTACTAAAAATATAATAACTGATCCAAAGGATATACCTGTTTTCATAGAAGATGATACTGTTCGTCCTGGTATTTTGGTGCTTATTAACGATACCGATTGGGAATTAGAAGGAATGGAAGACTATGTTTTAGAAAGTGGTGATGTCTTTACTTTCACTAGTACTTTACATGGAGGTTAAATAGTTCAAACTCATTCATTATTATTATTATTATTATTATTATTATTATTATTATTATTATTATTATTATTATTATTATTATTATTATTATTATTATTATTATCTGTATATATATGCTTATAGAATTTGTTTCTTGTTCATAAAGGAATCAATCTACATCCCAATAATCCTTGTCCACCCCAGTTATTTGTAGGCTTTAGATATAAAATTGTTGATTGATTATTATCTCTTAGTATTTCAACTGGTATCGATTTATTGATACCATTCTTCACACTAGATACAACTCCAGATAATCTATTATGATTGGCAGCATGGATATGATTATCGAATAAAACAATCTTATCCCCTTCTTGTAATCCAGCATTAAATGCTGGACCATTGGGTGCGATCTCTGAAACTCTTGCGAATGGCACAGTATACTTTATAGTGGATGAAGCGGATTCCAGTGTTGATTGAGATGGTTCAACTGTATTACTCTCTGATGACGTATCCTTAATTGATTGGAAATGCTCTACTAATTTCACTTCCAATACTTTTAATAAATGTTTATGATCATTTCTTAATCTGATAATTTTAACTCTGATTAATCTAATACTAACCACATCAATATCATTTCTAGGAAATCCATCCGATGTCAACAATTTGGTATCCATATCAGCATTATATTTCTGTTTTAGAAGATCAAATAATAGACTTAATTGAGATTCGATGATTTGTTTGATTTGAGATAATCTTTGAAATGATAATTCTTCATAATTAGTTTGATATTCTTGGAATTGTGATTCATCAAGATTAAGATTCTTCATTAATCCTCTAAAGGAATCATCTGAAATATCACTTTCATCAATCGTCATGGTGAGTTAATCCTATATTCTCTTTGTTATCCTGGTTGAAGTGGTTGCTTCCAGAGGCAAAATGGTTTCCAAAATTTAAACTTCAAATTTGCAGTGCGCAAGCACATTTTTTGCCGTTATAATATATATATATATTTGTGTATATGAATAAGTGAATATTTATGCTAAATAGTATAGTTTACAAAAGAGTAGAAGACTCATTTAAGATTGTTCTTCAGTGCTGACAGCGAATGAATAAGTACTAACTGCTTCCACATCATCTTCCTCATTACCTTCACTAATTTCTCTCCAAGATGCTACGGTTAATACCACAAATCCAATCACCACCAATAAATCCCCTAATAATTGTTGAGCATCTAATTTATTATTAAATAAAATCCATTCCACTATTCCAATAAGGAAAATGGTTAATAATGAACTTACTGATGATAAAACTGGACTAGTTAATGCCATTAATGTAAGGAATGAAGCACTAAAGATTAAATTTGAAAATATTGATCCAACGATATAACCCCATATTTTACCTGTCTTTGGACCATAATTGAAGAAATTAAATTGATGAATTTGAAATAATTCAAGAAATAAAACTAATGTAATAACGATTAAACTTGTAAAGAATCCAAAGAATCCCATTACAAAATTTGCAAATGTCAGTTGACGACGTGGAGTTATGATTTTAGCTAAATGATGAGGAATACAAAGATATTTCTTATAAAGAACTTCATAATAACCATATAAGACTGCTCCTATCAATATAATCAAATTACCCCAGAATCGATAAGGATATTGAGATTCATCTGGTTGATCATCAGTTGAACCTGAATAAGCGACAATGAAAACACCCGCTACTGCTATGATTACTGAACTTGCTTTCAACCAGGAAAACTTTTCATGTAATAAGGGGATAGCAAACGCATAAGCCGTGAATGCTGAACAATTATAAATGGCAGTTACATCAGCTGCATAAGTCATAGACATGGCTCCATACCAAGTTGAACCAGCAATAGTAAGGACCAAAGTTACGAGAAATGCTTTGAAGACAATGTATTTAATAGCTGGAGTTTTAAAGAATGAATCAATACATTTAATAAATGAATCAGAGGTTGAAACATGAGGATTTTGGGCAATTAATTGATCTAAATTTTCCGTTCTTTCATCATGATTTACATTACCTTCATAAACAAGAATAGCTGTATGATAAACATTATGGAACTGTTTAACTAAAGCCTTTTTGAAATATTCAAATAAATTGACTTGTTTTCTTGTGGATAAATTTTCTTCTAATAATTGGGAATTAACATTCAATCTTTGATAACCGGAATTCCCCAAATGAGTTCCATTTCTATTTTGATCTCGATATTTACTTATGGTTCTTATTAATGAAACTGTAAGGGCTTGTAAAGGCCATAATATCCACCATGAACCATGGGTGACCAATAATAGTATGATAGGTTCACTAAACCCTAGTTGATAAGCTTGTGATGTGAATTCTGTTTGAGTTACGAATGATATCAAAGATAACAAAAACATAAATATTATAAAGATGATTTTTGTTTTGGAAGCATGAGGTGATGAATGATCAGCCGTAGCTTCATTCAAAGTAGTTATAGCCATGGTTTTAATATATAAAATACAATAGTTTTTATATCATTTGTTCATGTATTGAAAGAGGAATGTTATATGTCGATAATTAGCAAATTTATCAAATTTAGAAATTTGTTATATGTACAATTTTAGTGCTCCTATATACAGGAAAATGGTATATATACTATAATTACATTCCGTTAATTAATCACTATCACTTTCAAAGTCACTATCTGGTTCATTGTCGTTATTGGTTGTGATTGTAATGGTTCTCTTTGAATTTGCATCATTGACGATGTCAGATTCGTTATCATCTCCATCATCCTCTTCTTCTTCTTCCTCCTCATCCTTTTCATGATGATACTGTTTTGGTTCGATTAAACCATTTTCAACCAACGTAATTCTAGGAGTTAATCTTGGTAAGATGATATTTACAACTCTTTCATTAACTAATAAATCATCAATCCATTCATCCATATAAGTTAATTTGAAATTAATCGGTATACCGAATTTATTAAATTCAGGAGATTTCAATTTGATTCTTAATTTTCTAAAATCTTGACCAAACTTATCAAATGTAGAATAAACCAATGATGAATTATACGTGATTCTAATATATATAAGGATCAATGCCGTTAAATACTTGAATTCATTGAATCCTAATTGTGTAAGGTATGAATCAATGATTTCTTGTGATGGATCTAATTCTAATAATCGGAAAAGACAACTTAAGAATTGACAAGATTTCCCAATGGAATCAGTCCCACCAATGAATTTAACATGATCAATTATAATCGGTAAGATAGTAGCTTCATTCGTAAGATAAAGATATTGTTTATAAAATATAGAATCTTGAATTCGATGTCGTATAATCGGTTCTATCAAATAAGCTTTATTGGTGACATTCCGTTTATCGTTATACGACGGTTGAGATTGTTTCTTAGTACTAGCTTTATCTGTCATATAGGTATCATCAACCACTGGAATCGTAGGAGTTAATTGGGTATTATTAAGTTATATCTTCCTTTCTAAAGGATTGATAAAAATAGAAACTTTTTGTTAAAGAAATCGGCACGTGATCCGTTTTTCTAGCCAAAGTACACACCCTTTCCAGCCTTGTTTTCAAAGAACTTAACTATCAACACCAAATCAATTTTAACACATTTCAAAAAATCATCAGATTTTATAAATCATCGATATATCATATCAATTGATCCATTAAACGTCGATATATATATAAGTCACTACTGTCACGATGTCATCATTCAAGTTTCCCACTTTTCAATCTATTCAAGAATCCTTACCAACTGTTGATCAAGTTAAGGAATCATTAGCTAAGGTTAATGTTAGTAAGAATGTTGATCAATTTAGAGAACAAATCACTCCCTTTGCTAATAAGACTACTCAATTGATTTCTACTCAATTACAACAAGTTCAACAATTGGCTAATGCTAATTTAGTAGGTGATTCTAAAATTGAAGTTAGTCAATTACCAACTGAATATACTGAATTAGAAAATAATTGTGATTTATTATTAAAATTATATACTGATTTGATTCATTATAATAATGAAACTTATAGTAAAATTAGTTATGATTATCCACCTGGTAATTATGCTATTAATAAAATAAGAGAAGCTAATGTTGGAGGAGTTCTTTCATCTAAATTTAATCAATTAAAGAATGTATCATCCCCTCAAGAATTAGAAAATATCTTATTAGGTAAACAACAAGAAGATATTAATGCCCATACTACTGAACATGATGAAGAATTATCGATTCAAACCACTTCAGCTAATATTCCAAAGACTTTATATGGTCAATTATCAGTTATTACTGAAAAACATAGTGAAGAATTAAAATCATCAAATAACGCGTTATCATTAGCTTTATTACAAATTTCATCAACTTATTTAGAAGTGGCTAATGCAAGATTAGACCAAGATAAAAAAATCATTAAGGATGTTAATGATAAATTAGTGGCTATTTTAAATGAAAATTTCATTAAAGTTACTGAATTAAGAAAAACAGTTTATGCCACTAGATCTGAATTTGATTTATTAAGATCCAAAGTTGATGAAAATGATCAAGAAAATGAAGAATTAATTAGTAAAGAAGATGAATTAGTTAGTGCTACTGAAACTGCTGTGGTTGAAATGAAAAAATTATTAAAACCTTCTAAAAATATTAATCTTTTAAAGATTTTCATTCAAGCTCAAAGAGAATATTTTGAATTAAGTGCAAAGAAATTAGCTAGTTTAAGTGCTAGTTTAGATACTATTGAAGTTAATGATGAAGATGAAGATGATGAATAAGTATAACCTTGTCATTCTTTTTATTTATTTTAATTTTATATAGTCCTTTTTGCTGTTTTTCATTTATATTATTATTTGCTTCTTCTTCTTTATTGTCTTTACACTTTTTTTTTTATATTTTATTTCACTTTTATATTATGTTTAGGGGGGAAATTTTATATATAGCTTTTTATATTGGAAGTATTGTTTAATGTCCATTACTTTGAGTTATTAGAATTTTAAGTATTTTAAATATTTATCATAGATATATTTAGTATGTGTAAATTTTAGTGAGCAAAAAAAATCTGAGATCAACGATAATTTTCAAATTTACTCTAAAACTAACTATACTACCAATAACCAATAGACAACAACATCATCATCAACAAGCATGTCAACGGCAGAACCAACCCAACAAGAGAAAGAACAGAAATCTCAAGTATTACAACAACAATATAATCAATTCCAAGAAAACATAGCGGAATTGGAAACTCAAATATCAACGGTTGTATCTCAAATTCAAGAACATATTATAGTAGATAAAACTTTAACTTCTATAAAGCCAGAAGATAGAGAAGGGAGGAAATGTTTCAAGATGATTGGAGGGGTGTTGATTAATAAATCTGTTGATGAAGTGATTAAGATTCTTAGTGATGAATTGAAGAATTTAACTCAACAGAAAGAAACCATTGAAAAAGAATTGAATAAGAATAGATCAGGATTACAAGATTGGTTAAAGAATAATCATGTTAAGATCATTAAAGGTAATCAATAGAAGTAGATCAGGTCATTTTGTAAATAGAAATGTATAAGTTATTAAGTTTAATGTAAATAATATATATATTAAATTAAAAAAAAAATAAAAGAATATAACTATAAAATAAAACATATGATACCAGGAATAGTTTAACAATAAGTATGTGTAGGGAGAGGATAAAGGAAAGATTAGATAAGTGAAGTGAATGAACATAAACATTAGAGATCAGATCCATTGGATCTGATAAAGATAAGTTAATTGGTAAGATAACTTACGAAGTCTAAGCAGCGATTGCTTTAACATATTCTTCACGAGCTTCAGTGTTTCTACCAGTATCTCTATTGATAGCTTCCCATTTTGGTTCATCTTTAAATAATCTAATAGCTTCAACTTCTTTTAATTCATCAGATAAAGTGAATCTATGATAAATCCCAGCAGGTAAGATTAATAAATCATGAGGAGATAATTTAGCTCTAATCCATGTATCCCCTTTATTTCTAACATCAAAATAACCTTCACCATCAACAATATATCTAATTTCTTCATCTTCATGATAATGTTCTTTATAAAATTGAGTCATTTTAGCATTATAAGCATCTAAATTATGATTAAAAGCAGCTAAATTCAATTTAACTACATCTCTGTTTTTATAATTTCTTTTAGTAGCGATTTCATTTAATTCATCAATGGTAGGAACGTATTTATAGAACACTCCAATAGCTTCTAATTCTTCAACGCTAACTTCTTTACCTGAATTATGAGCTTCAGTGAAGTTATCTTGAGTATCTTGATTGTCGTGATAATAGAATTCAACCATATTTAGTGATATAAGGATGTGATATGATGATTTAACTATTTGAATCAAATAATGGATCAATTGATATGTTTATATAGTTTGAAGTAATATATATGCTTATGAATTAATTTTGTGTGTCTAGCCCATTTGAGCCCATGAGGTCAAACCCAAAAAAAAAAATGTCTGACAATTTTATAACTGTGGCTAACCTAATAATAATAACTTTAACAGAGCCTCCACTAACCTTTTTCTTATCATTTAAGGAGTATGGTTTTAACCTGTAATGTGTAGACGAAATGTAAGCATGTGGACTTATCAGTCCACTTTTTATATGTCATAACCTTTCATTATTACTATCAATAGATCGATTCAATTAACTTTCAAGTTGTTGTCAGTTCCACAGTTTTTTTGACAGTATTTTAAATTGCAAAAAGACAAAAAAAAAAATAATTTAATTCAGAAATTTCTCCCGGGGGTGAGTCGAACACCCGATCTCAAGATATCTTTGAGGAAACTCATTACAGTCTCGCGCCTTAGCCAGCTTGGCCACCGGGAGTGATTTCTGTTCGACCAAAATTTGAATGTTTCTCATAAACTGTTATGTGGAGTCACGTTTTTGATCACGTTTTGGTCTGGAAACGACCTTTTTGCTATCAAAAATTGATGAAAAATTGCAAAATTTAACCTTAATTTGTTAAGAATTGTTAATGTGAATGTGAAATTAACTATGTTTTTTCAGTATGATTATGTTTATAGTTATATTCTATATAATATCAGATGCTATAGTACTTATATTCAACTGTATTTAGTAAGTGAAGTTTCCCGTAATGTATAACATTTGCACAATTCAGATAAAATTACATTAAATCAATTTTGTAGTAAAAGTGTTGCAATTTGAATTATATGAAGAACAATCTTAGCGACATCTCTTTAAACCATAATTTCAAAGTGAAAATATCTTGAACTTAAACCATTCATATACTGCCAGCATTTTAAGAAGAAGTTGACATCAGCACTTAACTGATTTTGTCATATGTATACAGTTCTGATAATGGCAACAGAAATATACATTTTAACAATTGAAGAGATATTTAACCATTTTAAGAACCTTGGATAGTTTAACAGATGTTTTTTCTTTTGGCCAGATTTCTGGTTTCATCAAATATATTCAATTGTATATGATTTCAGTAACTCAGATTAACTTCTCATTTTGGCATTAAATTTGTCAATCCTGTAAAATAAGTCAAGACAATTCTTTACACAATTCACAAGATGGTATATCACTTCAACTTAAGAACCTTAACTACATATTTACACCCAAAACATCTTAAGCTTCAGCAGATAATATCCTATTTCATACCAATTCTTTCAATACTTAGTTAACTTAAACGTATCACCTTATAAAAAGTCGTGTGCTGTTTGAGAAAAAATCTGAAAAAAAAAGTGGACAAACCAAAAAAAAAAAATTGGTCAAATTTGAATCATTAAAAAGATCAATGTACAAATCATAGCTTTAGATATCTCAAATACAACTACAACGAAACGGTATGGAGAATCCATTAAGTATCACCTTAGGTGCTCGTATGAGCGCTTATCTTGTTACACCTGAAGATTACCGTAAACAAAGACAAAGACTCAACAAGAGATTGAATAAATTACGTCATGAATTAAACATTATAACCAAAGATACTAAGAACTATAAGACTAAAGAAAAGATTACGAAGATCAATCAAGAAGATTATGAATCTAATGATAAATATGGATTATTATTGTTATTGACTGCTGAAAGAGATGTGCTTTATGCCCTTGAAATCAAAACTCAATTAGAAATAACTAGTGAAAAAGTTTCATCATATAAGAATCTTATGATAAGTAAGATTAAAAGAGCATTATTAACATGTAAGAAATTATTAGATATAACTTCTAAAGATTCAAATGATATTAAAAAACTTGAACTTTATGTATATACAAGTTTAATCCAAGGTTTATTATCTGTCACTAAGAAACAATGGTCATTAGCTTTAAATTCATTTTCAATTGCTAAATGTTCATTAGAATTCTTATTAAGTAAGAAATATAATAATGATGATAATGAAGAGTTTGAAGATGATGAAGAAGAAAATGTTGAACAATATAAAACTTTAATTCATGAATTACTTGAATCATTAGTTGATCCTTCCTTAAATTTATCCATTAATCAAAGTGATAATATTCAACCAACTTCAGATTTAAAAACCATTTCTAGAATTCATTGTCATGATAAATCATTACCTTATTTAACCAATGCAATTAAAATCATTGAAACTATCGATCCATCCTTTGTGGCTCAATTATCATCATCGGTAGAATTAATTAAAACCATTCAATGGAGACATCATGAAGCCACTATATATAATGATGAAATTGCCTTTAAAATCATGAAATTAACTACTTCTAATCAATGGGAAAATTTCGATGAAGTTAATGAATTTGATAGTTTGATTACAGGTTGGAGTGAAGTATTAGATTTACATACTAATGATCAATCCAAAAATCAAGATGATGATGATTTAGAAAAAGTTCAAGATCGTGCAATTTTATTAACTTATATCAATTATAATTTATTATTCACTAGATTAAAGAGAGATTTAGTATTAGTTGATCAATTAACTAATTCAGTCAATGCCAATAATAAAGATACTTATAGATTATATACCGGTATTATAACTATATGTCAAGAATTACAAGAATTACCTGGGGTTTATAATGATGATGAATTATATGAATCATTACAAAATTTGGAAAAATTCTTTCAAGGGAAAAAGAATGTGGTATTAGCTACTACTTATCAACAAATTAATAAATTCATTGAAGCTTTACAAATTTATGAATATACTGATAAATCAATTTCTTCTGCTATTGGTAAGAAACAACCTTATACTATAGAGGAATTTCCATATAAAGTTACATCAAATGAAGAATTTTTAACGTTTAAACAAGATTTAAATAAAAAATTATTACATTGTCATATTTCTGCTCAATTTTTACATGATTCATCCAATCAAAATGTTCAACAATTTGTAGTTGAAAATGTTAATAAATACCCTACCACTTCATTATCCAACATCATCAATACTGGTAAAATCTTACCTATCTTAAGTAAACCAGTATTATTCGATGTTGGTTATAATTATATTTCATATCCATCTACTGGAACTTCATCCATTGCTGCTGCTGTTGGTAATGCCAGCTCAAAAATTAGTTCTGCTATTGGAGATAATGATGAACAAGAAGCTTCTAAACGTGGTGGGTTCTTTGGAATCTTTGGTCGTGGATAAACTATTCAACCAATGGTATACTTTACTTCTACATATACTACGCTTGTAATATATACTCTGTCATAACTATAATATATATACAATTTATCCTATTACATTACGCTACCTTGTAGAAAGACGCAATTTTTTTTTTTTTTTGGCTGAAAATAAAAAAATGCTAAAAACGCCAAAAAGGGACACGAATTAAAAAAATTTGAAACCAAACTGATTTTAAAACAATAATATTCAACTTCAGTTCAACCAGCAACCAGAAACAACAGCATTATATAGAGGATGACACAAGTGTCGAAGAAAGGACTGGTAATAACATTGGTGGTATGTGTGCTAGGATTATATGGTTCATTTCTATCGTGGTCCATCTTACAAGAAAGAATCAATACCAAACCATATGGTGATGAATATTTCAAAGCACCATTGATAGTTAATATCACCCAAGCATTGTTTGCATCTATCGTGGGACTTATTTATTCATTAATAGCCACGAGATCCAATCCATTCACAATTTTCACTCATAATGAAAAGCCTATTGCATATAAATTATTAACCTCATTTATTTTGATTTCAATTACTTCAAGTTTATCATCTCCATTAGGTTATATGTCATTAAAACATGTCGATTATTTAGCTTTTTTATTGGCTAAATCATGTAAATTAATTCCTGTCATGTTAGTTCATCTTGTATTTTATAGAACCAGATTCCCCTTATTCAAATATATCGTGGCATCATCAATTACCTTTGGAGTGATATTATTCACCGTATTCCATTCCAAAAAGAAAGAAAAGGATACTCTTAATGATGGTAAGACTGTATTAGGAATGATTCAATTAGTAGGTTCAATGTTACTAGATGGATTAACCAATTCAACTCAAGATCAAATCTTTAAATTAAATAAATCATCATCATCAATTGTAAAAGTTACGGGAGCTAAATTAATGTGTATTTTAAATTTATTTGTGTTTATCTTAAGTTTAGGTTATGCATTAATATTTGAATATGATTCTGAAATCACTTATACGGTTAATTTCATTCATAAGTATCCTCAAGTTTTAATGAATATTTTAGAATTCTCCGTATTTGGAGCTATTGGTCAAATATTTGTATTTATAATACTAGAAAAGTTCGATTCCCTTATTTTAATCACAGCAACAGTCACCAGAAAGATGATTAGTATGATTCTTAGTGTGATCTTGTTTGGTCATTATTTAACTAGTTTACAATGGTGTGGAGTTGGGTTAGTATTTGGAGGGATTGGATATGAAGCCTTAGTAAAGTTGACTAGTTCACCAAAACCATCGTCATCTAAAGAGACTAATCTCCACAAGGAAAAGAAAGAGTAATAGGTTAGATCATACAAACAAAAAGTAAATTTTATAGAATTTTGTACTTATAATAAATAACATATATTAAAAATTCTAGATTAACTTACACAATTGATTGATAACCATAATTGCACTCTGCAATAAAAATATGTTTCCTATAGCATTCTATAAAATTATAGTGAGTGAAAGTTACCTAGATATATTAGATGTTAGTATAAACGCTATTTATAAGTATAGAGTCAACTTATATTCAGTTCATAGGTCGACTTCGAGATAAAGGAGTCTCCAACATAATGTATAATTAGTTAGTATGTATATATCCTAGATATAAATATTATGGGTTAAACACATTATTGACTGGAAATCTAAAAAACTAAAGTAAAACAACATATCTCCACTTTCGAGAGCCAACTAACAGCTTTCAGCGAGACTCTTGAGATATTATGAGCATTATCTATTAGTTGAATATGTAAATTAAAATTGATCTGGTTTCAAAAATCCTAATCTTTTTTGGTATCGCCACACGACCATATCCTGTATATAAAATACACATAACAAACACATAAAACTGAAATCAATAAATTATATATATACACTTAACTGAAATTAGGTTAGTTGTGGGATTACAACTATCAAAGGAATTGATGCTAATATCTCAGCCTATGATTATGTTAAAACAACGACCTTCTTGGTTATTATCAACAGAACGATTCTGTTGTTTTTTAGCCTCATTATTTCCTAAAGTATTCTTTACGTCATTATCATTATGGTCACTTTATGTGTTAATCTTTGTCGTAAATGAAGAATATATCAATCAAGAATATCATAAACCCACCTTAGCTATAATCAGTAGTATCTTTGGAGTACTTCTATGTGCTTTATCTGTATATACTTATTATAAGGTTATATGGATTGGTGCTGGATCGCCGTTGGATTTTGATATGCTTCACCTTTCAAATCCATCACCTCAATATTTATCATCAAATCCATTTGATGTGGTTCCACCAGAATCATCCCAACCATTACTAGATAATGATGATATTGAAAATCATCATAATAATAGACAGAATGATATTTTCCCTCCCGAACCTCCATCTCAATACATATCATTCCATACATTTTCAAGTTCAAAACCAGTAAGATATTGTAATAAATGTCAAGTTTGGAAACCAGATAGAACTCATCATTGCTCCAGTAGTAATAAATGTATCTTAAGAATGGATCATTACTGTCCTTGGTTTTCTACTTGTATTGGATTTAGGAATCAAAAATTCTTTATTCAATTCTTAGGTTATCTTGCCACTTATTCATTTTATTTATTCATTCTGTCATTTGCTGTATTATATGTGTTTTTCATAGAAGAACAATATACTAATGGATTCATATCAGTTAGTTTAATTATTTTATTTGTCCTTAGTCTTTCATTCTCCCTTGCCTTGGGTGTATTCTTTTTATTTTCCGTATATTTATTATTACAAAATTTAACTACCATTGAATTCCAAGATCAAAGATGGGCTAAACATGAAAGTAATAGTTTCTTATATGAATTTGATCCCAGAGGTAAGAAACAGAAATTAGGTCATATTTATGATTTAGGTTATAAGAAGAATTGGACCAGTATAATGGGAGATAATTGGGTTCATTGGATATTACCTATCGCATCAACATCAAATTCAATTACGGATAAATATAATAATGGAGTTAATTTTGAAATTGATGAACCAGTTTATGAAAAATGGACAAAGAATTTACAATTACAAGAACAATTAAATCAACAATTGGCTGATTATAAGAATAGATTAAGAACGGAACGGGAAGCAGGTAATATAGTATGAATGTTTCCCCAATATATTTCCCTCTTTCTTTAATTATTATTTATTTTTATTTATTTATTAGTTAGGTGAAATCACTAGCAAATCATTAGAAGTGTTTATCAAACCATTGTAGATAGATAAGATACATTATTGAAGTACTATCTATTACATACTTTAACTTTTATAGTGTGGGTGTAATGGCGGGTAAATAATTTCGTCCGCATCTTTTTTATGTGCAGGAATTTTCAATTTTCGAAGTGTTTGTAAATTTTAGACAAGTCCAAATTACAATCCAAAGATAATAGAGTTAAACAGATAGATATCATCAACAATCTTTCACTTTTATCAAAGTTGAATAGATTTGTCATAACTTCAAGGTGATTCCAAAGCATCTCCATACCCAATACAACCAAACAAAGTGTTGATTATCAAAAAAAGAATCTAGCGGGACATAACATAATCATAATGTATACTCAATTACCCTTTGATGAATTAAAGGTAGATCCAACTCAAAAGAAAAGAATAGCTTACTTTTACGATGCAGATATAGGTAACTACGCCTATGGTGCTGGTCATCCTATGAAACCTCATCGTATAAGAATGGCACATTCCTTAATTATGAATTATGGATTATATAAAAAAATGGAAATTTATCGTGCTAAACCAGCTACTAAGCAAGAAATGTGTCAATTTCATACTGATGAATATATTGATTTTTTAAGTAGAGTTACTCCTGATAATTTAGATATGTTTTCAAAAGAACAAATTAAATTTAATGTGGGAGATGATTGTCCTGTATTTGATGGATTATTTGAATATTGTGGTATTTCAGGTGGTGGATCAATGGAAGGTGCAGCAAGATTAAATAGAGGTAAATGTGATATTGCTATAAATTATGCTGGTGGGTTACATCATGCTAAGAAATCAGAAGCTTCTGGATTTTGTTATTTAAATGATATTGTTCTTGGTATCATTGAATTATTAAGATATCATCCAAGAGTATTATATATTGATATTGATGTTCATCATGGTGATGGGGTTGAAGAAGCATTTTATACTACCGATAGAGTTATGACATGTTCATTTCATAAATATGGAGAATTTTTCCCTGGTACTGGTGAATTAAGAGATATTGGGGTTGGTAAAGGTAAACATTATTCTGTCAATGTACCATTAAGAGATGGTATTGATGATTCAACTTATAAATCTATATTTGAACCTTTAATAAGTAAGATTGTTGAATGGTATCAACCATCCGCTATTGTATTACAATGTGGAGGAGATTCATTAAGTGGAGATAGATTAGGATGTTTTAATTTATCAATGGCAGGTCATGCCAATTGTATAAATTTTGTTAAATCATTTAATATTCCAATGATGGTGGTTGGTGGAGGTGGTTATACTATGAGAAATGTGGCCAGAACTTGGGCTTATGAATCAGGATTATTAAACAATGTTTTATTACCTACTGAATTACCTTATAATGAATATTATGAATATTATGGTCCTGATTATAAATTAGATGTTAGACCATCAAATATGTATAATGCAAATTCCCCAGAATTTTTAAATAAGATTTTAACTACCATTATAACCAATTTAGAAAATACTAAATTTGCTCCATCAGTACAAATGAATTATGTTCCAAATGATGCTGAAGAATTAGGTGATGTTGATGAAGATACTAGGGAAGCCATTGATACGAAAGGTGGTTCACAACAAGCTAGAGATGAACAAATACAGCCTGATAATGAATTCTATGATGAAGAAGATAAAGATAGTGGTGAAAAGCATATAGAGGTTCAAAATGGAGCTGAAAAGAAAACATCAGTAACAACAGTGCCGATAGTATCAGCTCCAGTATCACAAGATTCAAAGGATGATGAAGAAGAGGAAGCACGTCCAACCACTTCAGGATCTGAAGCAGTAACTGCTACTACTAATGGAACTACACCACCAACCACTGCCAATTCAAATACCAATACTAGTGAAACTGCGGCATCAAGTAATAAAGATAGTAGTGTATTGACTGATGAAGAAATGAAGGAGATCGATGAATTGAATGGTGATGATGATGATGCTTAGGGGGGAAAGGTAGTTTTTTAATCATTCATTTCTTAATTAGAAGTTTATTCTGTAATATGTATATTATGTTGATTTATTTGTTTATTGTTTATTGTTTATTGTTTATTGTTTTTGTTTTTGTTTTTGTTATTTGCTATTTCTCCTTTGTCACTATTATTCATACTGGTATAGTCTTACATATCTGGTTAACTATATCGTTTAAAATAAAAAAGTATGTATGCTCTTACATAAATTTGTAGTTATCACCAGATAATAGAATAATTTCTTTTTTTGCGTAAAGTTCAAATTTATTATAAGTAATAGATAAATCATAACTTCTCCACGGATAATTGAAACTTTAAGTATCAGTTAACTATAATTCAACAACAGCCACCAACAGATAGTGAAGTATCTCTACCTCCAATCCATTACAAACACCATTGACTCCCCCACCCACCCCAAACTCATTAGTATCTAACGGCTAGTAATTAATATCTCAATAATCACACCATCAAAATATCCAAGCTTAAAATAAGTCACAGGTAAAATTTAATCCGATTCTCCCCCCACATATTAATTTGGCTAGAACCAATTACTTTACAAATACAATTTAATAAATAGACTTTTCCTTTTGACATAATTATGATAATAAATCGTCATTTGTTCTTAAAGGGGAATCTATTTAAACTGACTGTTAATAAGACTTCATCATCAATAACAACAGAACAAATACGATCAATTATGACTAAGAATCGAATCAGAATAGAATCAATCAATGCATTGAAGGATCATACTATAGTGCAACCCAAGTTTGTCAAGACTTCAGTATTATCTAAACTTCATCATGTTCATTGGTCAAAACCATTACAAAATATATATATTGTGAAGAAACCATGGAATTATAATGTAAGAGATGCCATGATTAAAGTTATAGAACATCTCCATACCAATTATCCATCATTAAAGATCATTGTTAATAAGACTGTGGCGGATGAATTATGGGAAGAATATAAAGTTAATCATAAATCAACAACATCAGAGAATAGTGATGATGTGGTATTATATACGGGTGAAATTGAAGATATTGTACAAAAGACAGATTTAATTATAACTTTAGGAGGTGATGGAACTATTTTAAGAGCTGTAAGTGCATTTCTGAATGTTAATGTACCGCCAGTATTAAGTTTTTCATTAGGAACTTTAGGATTTTTATTACCATTTGATTTTAAATCATTTGAATCGACATTTAAAAATGTTTATGAAAATAAAGGTCAAGCCATTCATAGAAGTAGATTAGAATGCCATTTAATTCGAAAAGAAAATATCCAAGAAGAAGATCCCAGTATGATTCATGCTATGAATGATATTTCTTTACATAGAGGTAGTCAACCAAATTTAACTGCTTTAGATATTATTATTGATAATGAATTATTAACCACTACAACATGTGATGGAGTTATATTAAGTACTCCAACAGGATCAACTGCTTATTCCCTAAGTGCAGGTGGTTCTATAAGTCATCCTTCAGTTCCATGTATATTATTAACTCCAATTTGTCCTCGATCACTTTCATTTCGTCCATTAATCTTACCTTCGACATCACATATTATTTTAAGAATCAATGAAAGTAATCGAAATGGATCAATTAATTTGAGTATAGATGGGATAACTCAAGCCGATATGAAACCAGGTGATCAAATCCATGTAAATAGTGATAAAAATGGTAATGGAAAGATATCTAATGATGATACCAATAGTGGTATATGGTGTTTTGCTAGAAGTGAACATGATTGGACGAAAGATATTAATGAATTGTTAGGATTCAATTCTTCATTCAGAGCTCAAAAGCAACATCATATATAGTATAGTAGTAGTATATATATATATATTAGTTATTATTATTTAATGAATGGATGAAAATTTTTTATTACTATTGACATAGACATGTGACCTGACATCATGTGATTGATTTTTAAATTACCTGCATATACCATATACTGATTAAAAAATAAAAGTAAACCAAATTACGAAGTTGACGCCGTTATGAAAAGGAACGAGAAAAAAAAAAAAAAGAAACGAAAAAAGAAAAAAAGACAAAGCCCAAAAATATTTAGTGAGAGAGAACAGCGAGGATGGAAAAATAGGGGAAATAATTAGCAGGAACAATATATTTTAGCAGCAGCAGCAGCAGGAGCAACAGGAGCTGTCAGGAATAATTATTTGTGGAAAATGGAAAAATTTACCCTGGCGAGACAAAAAAAATAGTTTATCCATTTCAAAGGCGGAGGCTATAAGGTTATTTAAATCAGTTAATAACTAACTAGCATATGATAGGGGTTTACCGATCTCTCTATACGAGAAAATGGAATATGGAAAATGACTATGATAATTAATTAATTATAACATTGTGAAACATATGGAGTTAGAACCAAAAGGGAACTATTTACTGACTCTCTCGGGTGGCGTCTGCTTCCCAAATTAAATGTGAAACAAAGCCGTAAAATTTGTTTGAAATTTTTAAACTAAATCTAGCTTAACATAGAAAATCTATTTGTTTTGTTTATACACCCCCTATTAAGTTAAGACTGATTATATGTATAACGGTTAAGAGTGAAAAAAATCAGGAGAGTACAATTACGTGTGATGTAAGATGAGTAAATGTAATTTGAATTGATAATCGCGGTTACTATCGATGGTGATGGATTGGATTCAGTGAAAGATGGTGGAGGAATTTTTTTATTTATTTTTTTTTATTTATTTTTTTTTTATTTTAGTTTTAGTTGTTAAGTAGCCCGAGAAGCCTGTATGCAGTCCATATACACCCCATACCTGACAATATAAGAAAATGCTTCTGTTGATATAAGAAAAAATAAAATTAAAAAAAAAATAAAACTTAAAATAAAAATAAAAAAAACAAAAGAATTAAAAATTAGATTATGAACGAAAAAAAAAAAAAAACATGGGGTGTAAAACAAACAAACAAGTAAAAAAAAGTTTATTCGAAAATGTTCACTTATTACGCCATGATGATGATGTTGATTGATTGATTGATAATGTTTGTTGAATATATTTTCTTCACAGAAGTTGTCAGTTGATTACGTCAAGAACTTATATATAAAAACAGCAACCTATACACCTCGGAGCCAAGGAATCTTTTATTTTGTTTTGTTTTGTTTCTTTAATCATATATAGTTTTATCAACTTTTGTCTTTTCTCTCATTAGATAGAGCTTAGCCTTCTAAAAAAAATCTAAAATTTAAAAATAGCATGACGATCTAGCTTTCACCTTTAACTCTCTCTTCGTCCAAAAATATCACCACTCATTTTTTTTTTTTTAATTTAATTTAATTTAATTTTTTTTTATTTTTTTAATTTTTATTTATCGACACCCCCTATTTCAGATGAATACACCCCATGTTTTCCATAATTTCCCTTTTCTGCTCATTTCTTTTCATTTTTATTATTAAGTTAGATTGATAGTGGTTAGTAAGTGGGTAATAGGTGATGAGTCGTCGGTTCAAGTTGAACAAATCAGAAATTGAAGATATATTTTGATAATGATCATTCATTTTTTTAGTTACTTATTCTTTTAGTTACGAAAAATGACTAACCTATTCTGACAGCTATCTAAACAATACTCTGTTCATAGCAGCCAATGAAATGAGTATATAAATAGAAGTTGGAGCTGGAGTTCAAAGTCGGCGTAAACGGTAAACTAAAGCTAAGCATTTCAAATTTTGATAGCGAATGGATGTATGTAACAGTTTCATTCATTCATTCTATTTCACCCCACCGCTACTGCTGCTGCCCAAAAATTTATTGCTGTTCCAGTCAGATTTTTTTTTTGCGCAAAAAAATAAAAAAATAAAAAAATAAAAATAGTGTTTAGATCTATTTTTCTTTTGGGGCCACCACTCAAAAATGAATCATTTCTTTTTTTTTTTTAGTGAGAGAGTGAGTGAGAGTTGTCAATTTTTCTGTTTGGTTGCTTTACCTTAAGGAACATTACACAAAATTATAGTGAACGAGAATTTATTTCTGCTTAAAAAAAGTTGTCGTCGTCGCATAATTTATCACTACTGGCTGACTAACTAAATAGCGAGCATTATCTCTATTTTATCCCCCTAGAAAAAAAAACAAAAAACGAAGAAATTAAAAATTAAAAAAATTAAAAAATTAAAAAATTAAAAAATTAAATTAAATTAAATTAAATTAAATTAAAAAAAAAAAAAATAATTGACCACAAAAAAAGAATCAGTAAAAACTTCAATTACAGAAAAAATAACGACAACGTAAAATAAAATAAAAAAAATTTCCAGTGCTTGAAATCCCTTAAATTTTCTGGCCTCTTTTTTCCAATTGTTTACAACTTCTCTTTTTACAACCTTATTCATCATTATCCATTCCCACCCTCCGATCTAATCGATCACCTAATCCATCCATCCATCCATCAATCAATCAATCGATCGATCCATACGGAATCAAACTAAGCGTCGATTCAAAACAAATCTCGTCCACTTATTCCGCTTCCTTTTTTTTTCCCTTTCCTGTCTGTTAGCTAGCCTCACACATTCATTATCTTTAGCCTAACTTTTAGCTCCACCTTCCACCATCAACCTCAACCCCATTTATAAAAAATCATTTTTTATCAATCCATTACTTTTAAACAAAAACAATCAATCAGTTCCTTGATCAAATTAGTCACTAATCTATTAAGTCAATACTTTCATTGTTCTCCACCTTTTCTTTATTTTGTTCACTCAGTTAGTCATTCTTCAAACTATTCATTTTTTTTGTTTTATTTGTCACTATTATCCTTCTGTAAACATAATATAATTGGTTCAAATGGCTTCCCTAAATAATAATAAACAACCTCAACCTTTAAATGGTTCATTACATGCCCATCATCTTATGGATTTACAACAAGCACCTCAACAGCAACAACAACCTCCTCAACCTCCATTGGTGGCTGCTGCTGCTGTAGCTGCTGCTCAACAACAGCAACAACAACAACAAGTGGCTAATGGTCCAAGTAATATCTTAAGTGAAACCACTGCTGCCACTTGGTTAGCCATTGGTTCCTTGGCTGAAAGCTTAGGAGATGTTGATAAAGCTTTAGCATCTTATGATTCTGCTTTAAGACATTCATCAAATAATCCAGAAGCTTTAATCAAATTAGCTAATATTTATCGTTCTAAAGATGTGTTTTTCAAAGCTGCTGAATTATATGAACAAGCTCTTAATTATAATCCTGAAAGTGGTGAAACTTGGGGTTTATTAGGTCATTGTTATTTAATGTTGGATGATTTACAAAGAGCTTATATTGCTTATCAAAGAGCTCTTTATTATTTAGAAAATCCAAATGTTCCTAAATTATGGCATGGAATTGGTATTCTATATGATAGATATGGTTCATTAGAATATGCCGAAGAAGCATTTGTAAGAGTTTTAGAATTAGATCCAAATTTTGATAAAGCAAATGAAATTTATTTTAGATTAGGTATCATTTATAAACATCAAGGGAAATTACAACTGGCTTTAGAATGTTTCCAATATATTTTAAATAATCCTCCTCATCCTTTAACTCAACCTGATGTTTGGTTTCAAATTGGTACGGTTTTAGAACAACAAAAAGATTGGTATGGTGCTAAAGAAGCTTATGAAAAAGTTCTTCAAGTAAATCCTCAACATGCTAAAGTATTACAACAATTAGGTTGTCTTTATTCTCAAGCTGAATCTTCACCTTCAACTCCTGCTCAACATCAAAATGGTAATTCTCAACCCTTCCAACAAGATTTAAACATTGCTTTAAAATATTTAACTCATTCATTAGAAATCGATCAAGCTGATGCTCATTCTTGGTATTATTTAGGTAGAGTTCATATGATTAGAGGTGATTTTAATGCTGCTTATGAATCTTTCCAACAAGCGGTTAATCGTGATTCCAGAAATCCAACCTTTTGGTGTTCAATTGGAGTATTATATTATCAAATTAGTCAATATCGTGATGCTTTAGATGCTTATACTAGAGCTATTAGATTAAATCCTTATATTAGTGAAGTTTGGTATGATTTAGGTACGTTATATGAAACTTGTAATAATCAAATTAGTGATGCTTTAGATGCTTATAGACAAGCTGAAAGATTAGATCCTGGTAATCCTCATATTAAAGCAAGATTAGAACAATTAATTAAATATCAACAAGAAGGTAATACTCATCCTCCTCAACCTCCTCCAGTTTCTCAACAACCAAGATTACCTCAAGGTATGGTTTTGGAATCTACTCAACAAGATCCTCAAGTTCCTCCTCCTCCTCATCCTCAACAACAACCTCCACAACATCAACATCAACAAGCTCCACCTCTACCACAACAACAACTTCCTCAAGGTGGTTTAGGTAGTCAACTCCCTCAACCTCCTGTCCCACAACAACACCATCTTCAACAACCTCCTCAACATATCCCACAACAATTACTGTTACCTCAAGCCCAACCTCCTCAACAAATACAACAAGTGGCTCCAATTCAACAACTTCATCAACCTCCACCACCTCCACCACAACAACAACCACAACCTCCAGTTCAAGTTCAACCAATTCATCAAGAATCTCCAGCTGTTCCTGCACCAATTCTTAATGCAGTTCAATCGCAACCACCAATCCCAACCACTCTTCCTCCAACTGTTATTCCTCAAGTTAATATTCAAGTACCATCACCAGCTCCACAAGTATCTCCATCTCAAGCTCCGGTTGTAATTGAACAACCACCAGCCAAAGTAGAAGAACCACCCCAACAACAACAACCAATTGAACAACCAGTTCAAAATCCAACTCCTCCTATTTCGAATGATTCAGTAGCTCCAAAACGTGAATTAGAAGATGGTCAAGATTCAAAAGTGGTTAAGAAACCAACTATTGCTGAAACTACTGCTCCAGCTGAACCTGTCAATTCATTAAATTCTCTTATGAATGCTGCTATTTCGGTGGCCAATAATGAAGAAAGAGAAAGGGCTGAAGCTGCTGCTGCTGTGGCTGCCGTTGCTGCTAAAGCTGATGAACCTGTTGCAGAACCAGTCCAAGCCCCTGTTGAAGTTGCTGCACCTACTGTAGCTGAATCAGTTGTTGCTGAACCAGTTGCCGAACCAGCTCCGGTTGCTGAGCCAGTTACTGAAGAAGTTTCTGCTGCTCCTGCTCCTGAACCTGAACCTGCTGCTCCAGTGGTTGAAGCTCCAGTGGTTGAAAAAACCGAGCCAGTTGCAACTCCAGAAGTTGCTGCTCCAGCACCAGTTACTGAAACCACTGCTGCTCCAACTGAACCAGAAACTGCTGTTGCTGCTCCAGCTCCTGTTGATACCACTACTGAAGCACCAACTACTAATGGTTCTGAAACTAAAGAAGAAGTTAAACCAGAAGTTGAATTACCTAAATTTTCAAGTAATGTAACAGGTAAAGAAACCACTACCACCACCACTACTAAGGAAGCAACTCCTGAAAAGGAAGAAGTTGAAGAAGAAAAGAAAGATGAACCAGTTGAACCACCATTAAGAAAAGTTGAAGAAGATGAAGATTATGATGATGAATAGACTTTAAAAAAAGAAAAGAAAAGAAATTCCTACCAACTGTGTTATATATGATATTATCGAATATTATTATTATTATTATTATTTTTATAATCAAACTTTTTTACTTCCAATCAGTACTTATTATAATTTTGTATTATTTTTACATTTTACCCCTCCTCTCTATATTTAACCCATAATTTTGTTCTCTTATATATTATTATCATTATTAAAAATATAAATATTTATATACAAATCATATATATAATAATACCCCATTAAAATCCCAAATCTTCTTCAATATCAGTTTCATTATCTTGATTAATAATAGTTGATGAAGATACTGATGAAGATTTATCAATGGTTAATAAAGCCATTTTTGAAATTTGACTAGCCTTTTTCCAACATAAAAATAAATTAAATAAGTCCTTTACAATAACCATTGAAATTATTCCCATTAAATTACTTATTAACATTAATTTATCTGATGATAATGTACCATTCTTATCAAATTTATACTTTTTTAATATGAAATGAAATATTAAACTACCAATTTTTGAACTTGCATATGGCCAAACTAATGTAGTTAATAATCTTATGGTAAATGATTTATGTAATAAAGTACTGGAATAATCACTTTTAAAACAAGCAATGGTATTATAATAGCTTGATATAATTTGACATTTGGCATGGTTTATAACAGAACCAAATTTAAATAATCTTAATCTGATGAATAAATATTTATAAACCGATGAAATGACAGGGATCTTCTTAATTGATTGATTATCAATATCATATTTCTTATTAGCTTGAGTTAATAATCTTGAATAATTTAATTTATAATTGTTTAAATCATTATTAATGATTTCTAAATTATCAACTTCATCTTGACTTAAACTATTAGCAATATCTCTTGGTCTAATTTTCATAGCAATATTGAAATAAAGTCGATTAATAGTTAATCTGAATAAAGCATCATATATCCAACGAGCAGGTATTAATAATGAAATTAAATTATTAGCCTTTAAAAAATCAATACCTTTAAATATTTGTTCAATGGTTAAATATTTATAAAATTGTAATGGATTTGATGAAATTTTTAATAATATTGAATGATTATTTTTAATTAATGATCTTATTAATTCATGATTTCCTAATGATGAAATATATCCTGTAAGCATTAATTCAGTAAACCAATTATTAAATGAATCATTTGATTTTTTATCTAAAATACAATTTAATAAAGATGATGATCTTAATCTATATAATACAATGGGTAACACTGGAATTCTGGAAAATTTAAGAGGATCAATTAATCCTTTTACCAATGCTTGTTCTAAATTATCAATAGCATAACTATCAGGATTACCTAATAAAAGTTGAGATAAACTTGATAATGAAGCTGATGTAGTTGATGCATTAATAGATGGTTTAGTTAACATTCTTACTAATAATGGACCTGGAATAATACAATCAATCATTTTTAAACCACAAGTGGTCAAACCAATATATCCCATTGAAACTATCCCAGTTATAGCTGATGTAAAACCAAGGAAAATAGCTCCATATTGAACACTTCGTATAATGGCATTTTTGGTAGCATTTGTAAGGGCAAGAAATGATGATCGATTCATACTAAATATGATATCTTGTTTACATTGAGGACATGAAGCTATTAAGAATGCCACATAAGTACCATCGATTTCTTTTGAAGGAGATCCTGATCCATCAACATTATTGATTGGGGATCGAGGGAATGACTCTGTTAATCTACTTATACGAGTAGAACGTTGATTATGAGAATCTGATATGGCGGTTAATGTAGCAGGTGAACCTGAACCATCATTGTTATCATTGATAGGAGTATTTCTAGTATCAGAAAAGTTCATTCTGAATGAAAGATTACCTAACCATTGACCTAAAGTATGAGAACTTAAATTTATATGAAGATCATTATTATTAATTGGTGGTTGACCCATTCCAATTTCACCTATATTAGTGGGACTAGATGAGTTTGGTATGGCATCATCTTCAAAGAATGATCCTGGCATGGTGGTACTAGCAGTATTTGATGAAAAGGTATTATCATCATTATCATTATTATCATTAGTAGTAGGAGAATGATTATGGGATGAAGATTGATTAACAGCGGCGTCAAATTCTTTTATGGAATCAGCATCGATGATTTGTAATTTATCGGCTGGTAATGAGTTAAACCAATCCAAAAGACATTTAGAATGAGCTTTTAATGAACATGTTGAACATGGTTTTATAAATGATTTAGCATCATCTAAATTACCAAATGGTGGTATATCAGTATCACCACCAAGACAAAAACTACAAACGTTTTCATCCAAATCGATTTGATCACTCATTATCTATATTTGATATGATATATTATCCCTTTAACCTTCCAATCGTTTAAGAAGAAGTTAAAATAGTATAGTTTATATATATATATATATATGAATTCAGTGGTTTTAAATATCACTGGATAATTATAAAATTTTGGGTGGTAATCCCCAAAATTAAAACATCCATGACGCAGTACTCTACATAGTTTTTGTGGTATCATACCTCTAAATTTAGATCTTATATAGATATAATATATACTTTAGATATCTAGATTATGATAAGACAGATTTAGCTAAATCTAAACCGACAGCAAAATGATACAACCTAGCATCAATGGTACAACCTTCCTTTTCAATTAATTGTTCTAAACTTTGTAATAAATTATGTAAGGGTAATTTTATAACTTCAATAAATTCACCATCTTCTAATTGAGCAATAGGATTAATATTTTTAGGATCATTTAAATCAACATCAACGTAAGCTAAGACCATATTAGCATTAGTTAAGCCAGGATCACTATATACTACGATTGATTGTTTAACAAATGTTCCATGATAACCTGTTTCTTCAATTAATTCCCGTACGGCAGTTGATTCAATGGTTTCATTGGGATCAATTAATCCGGCTGGTAATTCCAATACTACTTTTTCAGTTGGAGGTCTGAATTGTTTAACAATAATGATTTCTTTATCATGATTTGTTGAATTTAATATAGTTACAATTGAAACAGCATCTATATTAGTTGTAGTGGTTCTGGTTGATCTAACTGCCATTTCCCAAATTCTTGGAGTTCCAGCTGGATCTTGATATTCAATTTTACGAGTTTGAATCCATTTCCCATCATTTGAATTCAGAATATTAGTAATTTTTGCTTGATAAGGTGAAGGTTTTGATGTCATTTTGTAAGTTCTAATTAATTGTAATGGTAAAGTTGATGAATTTCGTTTGATGATTAATGAATGAAATGAATTTGTAGTAAGTTTAACTTTCATTAACTTCAATTGATCCAAGTTATAGATTAAGAATTGAACCTTTAAGATTGAATCCAGTAGTAATAGTTGTTGTTGTTGTTATATAATTATTCAAAATTGGAGAATTATTTATGTGTTTCCTGTATATTACTCACACACTAATTTTTTTTCGTTGCGGTAGCTCAAACAATTGAATGAACAGTAACGTATAACTAACTAGAAAGCCCTATAATCAATCCCATATACATACAAATCAATATAGATACAACAGACAAGATGACACAACAACAAGAAGAACTTGATCAAATCAAATCACAGATCCAAGATCATTTAATCTCATCAGGAAATTACGATATAATAAACAAACAATTAAAATTAAAATTATATGAATCAGGATGGTATGATAAAGTATCCCAATTAACTAATCAACAATTAACCGAATCAAGTAAAAGTAATGGTAATGACGAAGGACAGATTAATTTCGATCAGTTGATGGCTAATGTTAAACCAAAAGCTGATGAATTGGTATCTAAGAATGTTAAACAAGAAATTATGGAAAAGATAAAGGATTATTTAGAAGAGATTATTCAATAGTACATATTATCATGGAATGAAGTAAAATTGTTTTACTGATACATTGAAATAAGGAATGGTGATTAAAAGGGCATACATATATACATACATACATATTTTTTTCACGTTTAATGAATATAATGAATTTAATATTAATTAGAGTTGATTGTAAATTTTAGCCAACTCAACTCATTGTATACTTGTATCTTGGATGCACCAACAATCTGTTACTATCAAGCTTAGAGTATCCACTTCACTGTCGATCTGATTACTTCTGACTGTCTTTCCTAATTTAGACAACTCAATAACACGAACACATCTCCAAGTATCTACTATTCATCAAAGCCTTTCCCCTGGGGATTGATCAAGCATTTGAAGTAAACAAAAAGATATCCAACAAATGACACTGCAAAGAGAAGTCTACTTATGTTAATGAATAATTCTAATAGCTTAGACCAACCAGTTTTTGGCCTTTGTTGATTAAATTGATTAATTGGTATTATATCAGATCGCTTCTCTATATCATCCATATTCCTACGTTGACGTTGATTGGGACAAACTCATAGGAATAAGAATGTCAATGTAGATAAAATACAATCAATATTAGTCTAATATTTAAACACTTGCAACCATACAGCGAACCCTTGGTTAAATAACAATATGATAATTAGTAAAAACAGCAATGAGTTAACATTTGTGAAGAGGAAACAAAGAAGCTGTTTATAGAGATAGAGTTGTAATGGGAAATCAACAGTTTAGTTATTATTAGTCTTTCATGTGAAAACCCTCCTAATTATATGTTGTAGTATATAGTATTAGATATTTCTCTATATAAAATGTCGTATGTCTCCAAGATGTCGTATCCAATCATAACTTATAAATTTTTGCTTAGTTGAGGATTTTACCTTTAACCAAAAGAGAGAGAGAAAAAAAAATTTAAACAGTAAATAGTTAAAGATTAACTGAAGTATATTGAAAGAAGAAGGTATCTTTAATTGATTTGGGAAGATAATTGTCATATACATATATATCTAAGATATTCAATCCAATCTTATAATAAACTTTCATTCATCTTTATTCCCTGTAATATCATCTTCAATATCATTATAAATTGATCAACCATTAAGTCAAGTCAATAGCAATACCACACATCAACAACAACAACAACAACATCATAATCATAATAATAATATCATCATGTACGCATTATCTAAAAGAAGTTTAATAACTTCTATGGTTAAATTCCAACCCATTGTTCATAAACAAATTGGTTCTAATTTAATTAATCAACAAAGATATATTTCAAGTAAAGATCTTACTCCAAAACCATTAGAAACTGAATTTCCATTAATGAGTCAAAAGACTGCTTCAAGTCCAGTTGATTATGTTTTAACTTCATTAGATTCTATAGCTAATTGGGCAAGAAAATCTTCATTTTGGCCAGTTACATTTGGGTTAGCATGTTGTGCAGTAGAAATGATGCATGTATCAGCACCAAGATATGATCAAGATAGATTAGGGATTATTTTCAGAGCTTCACCACGTCAATCTGATATTATGATTGTGGCTGGTACTGTTACTAATAAAATGGCTCCAGCTTTAAGACAAGTTTATGATCAAATGCCAGATCCAAGATGGGTTATAAGTATGGGATCATGTGCTAATGGAGGAGGATATTATCATTATTCATATAGTGTGGTTAGAGGATGTGATAGAATTGTTCCAGTTGATGTTTATGTTCCAGGATGTCCCCCAACCTCTGAAGCATTAATGTATGGAGTTTTCCAATTACAAAAGAAGATGATGAAAACTAGAATCACAAGATTATGGTATAGAAGTTAGTTGGAGTATTTCATTCCATCTATTTAATCAATCAATATTTGATTGATTGGTTCTATAATAAAACATTATTCATACATTAGTCCTTAGGGATACACACAGATATAGACATTCACCTCATTTACAGCCAATGAATCCATCAATTCATCAATCAATCAATCAATCAATCCATCATAGTTTCCTTTCTTTCTCTATATATATTAGTATATATTTCATTATTATTATTATTATTTAACCTTCATTCATTCATTCATTCATATATGTATATATATAAATCAAATATATTAATGGCATATTAAGTAGTTAGTTGTTGTAAATGGAAGTAAGTTTGGCAGCAGACGATAGAACAGTGTAGAACAAAAGAAACAAGAACGTGACTCGTCACGTTCTTGGGATATTACCTAAATAGGAAGTGCGAACATTTTCTTTCTTTTCTCTTTTTAAAATTCCAAAAAATGTTCGCATTAAAAATTTAAATTATTTAGCCCCCTCAAAAAATGATCAAATTATTTACACCATTTTTCCTCATAATTAACTGTACCAAAAAAAGGTGAGAGCAACTGTACCTCAAATTCCGTGGGTCTTTCGTACGTCGTAATATGAACTGAGCAGATTTACACTTTACACACACACACCTCACACTTAAAATTAGACAGAAGGCAAAAATTTAATTAAAACATCATCAATTTCCTCATCATTCTATTTCTAAATTTTATCCCTTTCCTTATAAATTTTTATATACCACTTTTTCTTTTACAACCCTTTTTTTAAAAAAAGTTTCTTTCTTTCTTTACTTAATTACTTAGTTTTATTCATTAATCATGGCCAGAACTAAACAAACAGCCAGAAAGTCTACTGGTGGTAAAGCCCCAAGAAAACAATTAGCTTCTAAAGCTGCCAGAAAATCCGCTCCAGTTAGTGGTGGGGTTAAAAAACCTCATAGATATAAGCCAGGTACTGTTGCCTTAAGAGAAATTAGAAGATTTCAAAAATCAACTGAATTATTAATTAGAAAATTACCTTTCCAAAGATTAGTTCGTGAAATTGCTCAAGATTTTAAATCTGATTTAAGATTTCAATCTTCTGCTATTGGTGCTTTACAAGAAGCTGTTGAAGCTTATTTAGTTTCATTATTTGAAGATACTAATTTATGTGCCATTCATGCTAAAAGAGTTACTATTCAAAAGAAAGATATTCAATTAGCTAGAAGATTAAGAGGTGAAAGATCTTAGATTTTACTTTAACTGTTATCATTATCGTTTATTATCATTAATTAATTAATGATTTTATTTTTGGGTCCGGTCCTTTAGTTTATTCTTATGATTATCACAACGTGATAATATCTAACTTAGTATAAGTTAATCTTGTTTTGTTAGAGTTTGTATACTCCTTTTTTTTTATTAATGTGTTGTCGTTGGTTTTTATCCCTTGTTTCTTATATATTTGTGATTTAAATGTATATCAAATTTGTTAGTATTGAAAACAATTATGTTTAATTTGTAGTTTAAGTAAAGCGCTTAAGTTAGTCAGGTCAAGAAATACATGATATGATTGGTCAGATTACCCATCAAAAGGGGTTACGATGATTTTATTATTATCCGTTACGTTGACAAATCAATGTTTAATCAGTCCATAATAAGCGATATGTAAGTACTTTATCTAAAGTGCACAAAATCAAACACCTTAAAAATAGAATAGTAACAGTTGGGTTTATTACTACTTTTATCATTGCAGTATAACTGTAGAATATTATAATCAGATGATCTAGAGTAGTTATATGGTAAAGTATATACTGTTCTACTGTATCATTTCTAGAAAATAGTAGATCAATTTCGACGTTTTTAAGACAACATTCTCTCGTTGTAGACTGGAAAAATTGTACTAATTCCCGGAAGATTCCATACAAACATATTATTAGTAATAACAATTAACCTGACTCTCTAAGCTTAATGGTTGACAATTGATCATATCATTGAGTACGTTGGTCATCTGTAATGATACCGTAGTACTTTGATATTACTTCAATGCTATCATTTACTACCTTTACAGTACAAATTTCTATGCCACAAAGCATACAAATATTCATATTTGCAACTGATTTATTAATACATATAAACCAACACCAACATATGTAACATCATTCTGAATAAACCAGTAAAACCATTCTCTACCGATCAATTAGTTCTCTTTACCCTTTTAAACTCTCAGCATAAGCGAGTATATCAGCTTTAGCTCTAGTATAATGTTCAATAACTTGTTCATCACTAACATTGGGAGGTTCTTCCACATAATCATCATCAGGAAGAATAGGAATAACATTATCAGATGGAACTTCAGCAGTAAGAATCTTACTAAAATATTCCCCTACAATCAATGGATCAACATCTTTAATCGTTTTAATTGCCATACTCCATCAACCTTAAAATAAGCAGATTCCATTTCAAATCGAACTAATTCTCCAGTATTGGCAATCTCAGGTCCACTAAGATATCTAATTTGACCAGTGGATGGTCCAGTATGAATAAGATAGGGATAAGTTACTGGTACATCTAATTCAGGTTGGCCTAATGAGGCCCAATATCCCGTTGAACTTGAAGTAGCCATGATTGTACTCACTAAAATAGCTAAAATTGTAACAACAACAATTTATTTCATAATTAACAAGGTTATATATATGTCAGAGTTATAAAGAGAAATGGATTGTTTATTTATAGTTTATAATCCTTATCCAGTTGGTTTGGATTTAACCAACCTCCTCCTCCTTAAACTGGATTAGCTTGGCTGTCTCTCTCTATGCGCAATATAAATTTGTAAGGGGGAAATTGGTTATAAGAGTCATTTCAGTACCGTACGGCTCATCTATGTTCATAAGTGTTTCTTAAGTTAACTTATATTTGATTTATGGGTGATCATTTATAATTAATATAACTTATGACATTGTAATTGGTTCGTTGTCATTAATTAATTCTGTAAAATCAGTCATTACCCTAATTAAATTTGCAACTTAAAAATTTAATCAAAATATTAAATATATACCATTGATAGAAGTAAACAATACTAACTATAACAAAAACTAACTAAAAACAAAGAAAACTAAATAAACTAAAACACAACATGAATGTTCAAATACACTTGTATAACAGAGACTGTGAGAAGAAAATCAAACTAAAACAAAATAATAACATTTGACACAACAAAAAAATGTTAACTAAAAGTATAAATGAATGAATAATTATAGTGATTAAAAAACACTATATGAGGGGAGAAGGGTATAATAATATTCAACAAGTCATCAAGGGAGATAATGATAATGATGATGAAGATGATATTGAAAGTATTAATAATACTTTTTCTTCTTTTTCTTTGTCCAAGTATCCAAAAAATATAAATATAAACGTTTAAAAAAAAATAAAACTAATAAACAATTGATTGATTGATAATATATAAATTAAAACATAAAAACATCCATTTCATAAAGACATTTCATTAAAAAGTATTCATTCATTCCTCTTTCTCGTCCTTCTCTACTTCTTCCTTTTCTTCTTTCTCAACCACTTCTCCTTTCTCTTCCGATTGTTCTTCCTCTTCTTCATCAGCGGCTACACCACCTTCGGGATTACTACCACTACTATCATTATGACTATGATTAATTTGATTATTACTGTTATTATGGTAAGGGGTGCTTGTAGGTGAAGGACTTCCATTTGAATAAGAGGGTATACCGGCATTAGCAGCCACGGCAGCTGCAGCAGCAGCAGAAGCAGGAATGAATTGTTGATATGTTAAATCAGGAATTCCAAATGCTCCATACATATTTGGAGGAGGGATTAAATACCCACCGGCTGCTAAACCATTAGGATCATCAAGTAAGGCATTACCACTATTAACACCTGATCCACCAACACTTCCCATACCACCTGAAGAATCAAGACTTAAATTTCCCATTGATTGTAATAATTGTTCATGATTACCCGCATGACCAGCCCCTCCTATGGGTAAATAATATTGAGGAGAATGATTTGAATCATCAAATGATCCTGAATTATCACTATTATGACTATTATCATAATCTTGGGATCCATATGTTCCTGGTGGTGGTAATGGTCCAGCATGGATACCTAATGGAGGAGGTAATGGTCCATGATGACCTGGCATTACCCCTAATTGACCTGGTGGAGCATTTGGATGAGGTGGAGGCATTTGACCATAGCCTAACCCCATAGACAAAGCAACTTGTTGTTGATGATGATGTTGTTGCTGTTGATGATGTTGTTGTTGGTGTTGTTGTTGGTGTTGGAATTTTTTATTATTCATCGATACTTTCCCCCAACTTAATCGAACTCGATTACCACCAATTATAAATCCTTGCATTGAAGCAATAGCTTCTTCTGCTTCTTCTCGACTTGAATATTTTATAAATCCACAATTCTTACCGGGAGGGATTTTAACTTGTTGAATTAATCCAAATTGTTTAAATAATGTAAATAACGTAGGTTCATTAACTTCAGATGATAATCCTCCTACAAATACGGTAGTATTATTAGGATCGGAAAATGATTGATTTTGAATAACAGCACCAGGAGGGATGGCCATTGGCATGGGAGATTTAATTTGACCATAATTATCATAATTGATGGCATCTTGAGGTAAATCAAATGGAGATCCTACACTTCCTGGAGGTGGTAATTGAGGAGTTCCATAATAACCACCAGGAGGTGGACCTCCGGGTGGACCTGGAGCTAAATTATGATTTTGATTTGGTGGAGGAGGTGGACCACCTAAAAACATTAGATTTTGTTGAGAATCGGCTGGTATACCATTTCCATAGAATTGACCACCTCCAACAACACTACCACCACCATTTCCACCACCGACACCTAATATATCATTATCAAGTTGATTATTTCCAACTCCACCTTGGAATTTACGAGTTGAAGTTCTGGCCGTAGCCAATGCCACTCTTAATGGTCTACCACCAAACCAAACACCATTCATTTCAATTAATGCTCGTTGTCTTTCCAGTTCATCTGTAAATCTGACAAATCCAAAACATCTTGATTTACCCGATACAGGATCCGTCATAACTCTAACAGTTTTAATTGAATTAGGGAAATTTTTTTGAAAAAATGCTAATAAATGAGCTTCAGTAGTTGATGCTGATAAATCACCTACAAATAAAGAATATTCGGGAGTTTGAACTATAGGAGCATTTAAAGTTGCTCCACTAGCCCAATTTAACCGGAAATATTTCTTTTGATTATCAGGATTATTAGGAAAATGTTGTTGAGATGGCATAGCTATATCAGGTAATAATTGACCATTTAAACCTAAAGCTTGTTGAGCATCTTCATATGATGAAAATTGAATAAAACAATATCCTGAATGAGATAATCCTTGATAATTGGCCAGATCAGGTTTGATACTCTTGGGTTTAATGATTTTAACATCGACATGTTTTTGTAAGATTTTCCACCATAAATCAACGATAGCTTGTTCATCTAACCAAGGATCTAAATCTCCCATCCATAAAGTTCGAGGATGATCGATTTCACCTGATGATAAAGGATTTGATAATCCAGAAGCTTCTCGTTCACGTTCAGCTGCCACACTTGATTGTTGAGTTGAAACAGGAGGTTGAGGAATTGCAAATCCAGATAACATCTCTTGTTCTTTATGATGTTGATGACTTACGGTATTTGAAGTGGTAGTATTGGCATTAATAGGGAGGACAGTTGGACCTGATATATTTGTTTTAGGTAAAGTAGGTAAATGATTTGCAGTAGTGGGACTTAATAGGGGGTTATCTTGAGTATTATTGTTATTATTGGTACCACTACCATCAGAAGAATTGGTACTAGTTTCTAGGATGATGGAATTGTTTCCACCTGATTGATACGAGCTTGTATCATCTTGATTTGATTGAAGGAATGATGACATGATGAGAAAGTATAAACAATATTTATGATTGATTGAAAAAATAGGAATACAAACAAACAAGGATAAGACAAGACAAGACAAGACAAGATAAAGACAAGACAAAGACGAAAGCAAAGTTAAAACAAAAAAACTAAATGGATCCAAAAGGGGAAGGGGTATAACGAAAATGAAAGCAAATAACTAGAACACCAAACTTTGAGATATGATCTTATATATAATATAATATGATATGATATGATATGATATGAAAAGAGTGATTTAACCAAATTGAATTGAAAAAAAAAAAAGAATCAAACAAAAGTTGGTAAATCGGATTGGATGGAGGGTGGGGGGAGGGGGGCAGAGGTATGAGACAGGGAGTAGTAGTGAGTATGGGGTTGTTTAAACGATTAAGGAGACATGCAACATCAATTGAATCAATTGGATTGATTGATGGACGGGAATTGCAAGGGACAAGGACACCTCTCTCTTGTATCTAACTTGTATGATTGAATAGCACTTTGGAGCCTTTTAATTTGAATTGAATTTGAGGATTAAAGAATTAAAGATTATAAATTGAATTTTGGGGAATCAGCCTTTTTTTTTTTTTTTTTTTAGTGTGTTCCTTTTCCCTCTTTTTTTTAATTTGTATGGGCTTCTTTTTTTAATTGTTAGTGAAAAGTGTTGGTGGTTTTGATTTAAAATTTTTCAAATTGACTTTTTATTACAATGGAGATATTACAGTTTTTGACGACGTGTGTGTCAGTAAAAAGATTTTTATTTAAGTATTTAAGGAAGTTAAGGAAAGGATATTTGAATAAAAAGTTTAACTGAATTTACAGTGTTGTTGCTGCTGTTTAATGAGGGGCGGACGGATCGTTACCAATTACAACCCGTTGACTCTGCCAGTCCATTGATAGTTATGATCATGACTAACTAACTCCTATGAACAGTATTCTTACCATTTGGTATAGTTCCGATTTAACAATGTAAGAATTGTCGAAGAAAAGATATATCGTACAAAACGGGAACAATTATATTCTACGTATTTAGAGGAATGAAAATGGCCAGTGAGTCGCTAAAACACTACACTGTTTTCAGAACAATGGAAATCAAAATATTTTTACTGAATAGGATGTTTATACCTTTTGATACAACTTTAGTAACTATAATCTATTCATCAATTATATGAATTATAGAGTTATTGAGTTATAGTGTACCAATCTTGGAGTCGTTAGAATGCATGTAAGTTCCTGCACCTAATTTAAAGGTATTGGTCCTTCTACTCCTTAAGCGATTCCCTAATTCCCAGTAAATCTTAATGTCAATTCTTATTCATATTAACATTCAATATTCAATAAATAACCACTAACATATATCGTAACTACTTATACCCAACATTATATGATTCAATTTACTGTTTTATATTACTTGTATCTAAATTTAGCTCACCTATTTGTTTATTTGTATATGTTTATGTTGTTGTCTTGCGGTCTCTCCTTAAACCTGTTTTAGCGTAAAGTTACGTCACACTCCCTAAAAAAAAAGAATCACAAAAAAATAGAGCTAATCTGCAAAAAATATCATTTACACTTTAATACACCTTAACATGTAATTAAATTAATTATTCTTTTACAGGTTAAAAATGTAAACAAAAATATTGTGAAAAAAAATGTAAACATCAAAATCAGTTTTCATATTTGCAACAGGGGCCTTATCTCATTCAATTATCAAATCTAAACAGATCAATCAAGATCATTAGTTAGTCATATCTCATCCCCAATCAATCATGAATGGTCTTCGATTGAATCTGGATACTTCCTCCTCTGGTCAAAGTTCTATGAATGTCAATAAATTCATTCAAGAAACTGATAAAATCATGAATCGAAGTACTTCAACCAATCAAACATCTATAGAGGAAGAACCAATCAATCAAAACTCAGATATACCATATGAATCAATTGGTAAGAGTATACCGCCTAACGATCATCAATTACAACAACAACAACAAGAAGAAGAAGAAGATAGATTAAATCCTATAGCAGAAGAATCAATATCAAAAGTTGAACAAGAAAAACATGATTATCAAGATATACTTCAACGTAGATCTCCAGCTCGTACGGTTAGAACCAGTTCTTATCAAGATAAATTAGCCTATCAAGTCAATAAAGATTTCAATTATGATAAAAATTCCAACTCTTTTACATCAACTCCATCTTCATCAATTCCAAATACTTTTAAAAATAAATCCCATCCAAATGCTAAAACTAAAACTTCATTAGGTTTATCGACTCTAGCGGCTGATTTAAATGATAATGATTCTCATAATGTAAGTAAAAAGTCTAATATTGGAAATGATAATGATAATGATGATGATGAATTTAATACTCCCCCTATTAAAACTTCTACTATCAAACTTCCCAAGGAATCAAATAATAATAATAATAATAATAATAATAATAATAATAATAATAATAATAATAATAATAATTCAACTTCAGATTGGATGCCATCAGTATTAAATGTTCCCTGGACTGGACCAATTGAAACTCAACTACCAACAACCATTAATAATAATAGCCAATCCATTGTTGATTTTAATTCATCAGTTAGAATTAATAAAAAACCAGGTAATGAACCAAATCAAGAATTAATCGATTTAAACTTAGAATTTGCATCTGGTAATACTATCCTTCATAATTCAAAATTTAATACTACTGATAATGAACCCCAATGGAAAAAGCATGCTCAAGCATATAATGATCAAAAAGAATCTCAATCTCATCTTCAAAATATATTTCTATCAGTTGATTCTCATGATAAATCTGCATCTGGTCATGATGGTAATCATCCTGGTAATAGTCAATCATTATCTTCAACTATATCCACTCCCATGGTTACATTATCAAATTTCCAAGGTAAAGATAATAATAAATCTAATAGTGTTCCTCAAACTTTACCAAATTCACATGTTGAAGAAGTAGTATCTAAAAATCCTGAATCTCCTCTCAAGTTATATGGTGATAATTATAATACTTATACAAAGGGTGTATTAAGTGGAATAATGAATAATTTTAATTATAGATCAAAACAAAATACTCCTATACAAGGTCAAAGTTTAAAACCGGAAGATTTCGATTCTTTACAACAACATCCTCCTCCCAAACTTGAAATTACCAAAGTATCGGAATCAAAAATGAGATCTCCAAAATCAAAAATTAAAATGTTTACTAAAAGTGGTGATTATACTGAAGAAAAATACTTACAGAATGCTGATAATATATTTAAAAATATTAAGAAAAGAGGGTTTAAAATCCCGTTTAATGAACCTTCATCTAACAATCTCACTAATACAACTGCTGCTACTGCTACATCTACTCCTAAAATAAATAAAATTATTGATGATAAACCTGAATCTCAAGATGAATTTTCGACTTTTTCAAGTTTATCTCAAGAGAAGATTTCAGATGCAGAATATCATCAATTTAATTCTGATATAGCTGCCACTAATAATGAATATACTTCATTTGATCATTCTTCTAAACTTCAAGATAGTACTGAATTCCCTAATACTGCCATGGATAATTTACGTAATCTTGAACAAGTTCCCGAATTTGAAAATGAAAGTTCTTATACTTTTGAAGATTTATCGGACAATAATGAAATATCAAGAAGTAAATTAGAGAAGCTTTCATCACCTAAAAAGATCATCAAGACTAATGAGGTTGTAGCAGCCAGAATTTCTGAACAGTCTACTAATATCAAGGTTCATCATGATACATTTGATGGTAATGATAGTAATATTATCAGATGGAAGAGACCATCTCAGTTAAGGCTCTCTCAAGGGTATAATGTTCAAGATCATCCATCCAATGATTCTAAACCTCAACAACGTGTTGTACGGGGTAGAATCCTTCAAGCCCCTGATTTACCTATTGAATATGAAAATATGAAATTAGATGTTGAGAATCAAAAATGGATGACCAATAATAATGATGATAAAGAGAATTTCCAAGGTAGTTTAGATTCCATTGAAGATTTGATATCTAATTCTGAAGATTTAAGAATTAATGAAAGTTTAAATAATCAAGGGAAGAAGAATAAATTAGAAGTCTCATTTCATTTACCAAATCATGATAATAATAAAGGAGATAATGAAGGGGATGAGAAAAGTCCTTCTTTTAATGCTGATATTACAAGAATTTCACAAGTTAATGATATGACTTTTTCCCAGACTAGACAAAAATTAGCATCACTTCTTACTGATATTATCTCCTTAGATGAAAATTTACTGTTTACTCCTTGGAATGAAATTTTAGATATTTCTTTAAATGGGAATGAATTAGAATCGATAAAGGATTTAGATAAATTTTTACCTCATTTACGATATATTGATCTTTCGGATAATTTATTGACATATGTTGAAGGATTACCCAAACATATTTTAAATTTGAATTTAAAGAATAATCATATTCAAAATTTAACTCCATTTTATCAATTGCATGATTTACAATATATCAATATAACTAATAATGAAATGGTGACGCTTTCAAATTTCAATAAAAATATTCATTTACGAGAAATCATTGCCCCATCTAATCAATTGATGTCATTAAGTGGGATTAATATTTTAACAAATTTAACTAAATTAGATGTTTCGGATAATAAATTAAAAGGAATTATTAATTTTGAAGATTTTGATTTACCAAATTTACAAGATTTAAGACTTTCACGGAATAAAATATCATCAATTAAAAAATTAGAAAATTTACCTCAATTAAGATTATTATATGTTGATGAGAATGAATTAACTGAATTTGAATGTGAGGGGGGTCATAATCATTTAAAGAAACTTCTGGTTAAATTGAATAAAATCACCGAATTAGATTTAATGCAATTCCCTGCCTTAAGAGTATTAAGAGTTGATGGTAATCCATTAAAGAAATTAGTCAATTTACGTCGATTGAAATATTTAGAAGAATTATCATGTAAATCTCAAATCAATCGAGAAATTATTACTGAATTATTTAATAAGGGTCAATTGGATTTGAAAGTTTTCGATTTATCAGGTAATATTGAATTTAATTTAAATGAATATCTTTCACAAACATTAATTAAGATTAATCCATTTTTAAATGTTAATGTATTATCACTTTCCGCTATGAATTTAACTCATATTCCGGATTCATTAGCGGTTTGGTTTCCAAATTTAAGAGAATTAGATTTAAATTTTAATATGATTAATAATCTTGATGGATTATCTAAATTAACTAATCTTCGAAAATTAAGTTTATTAAGTAATCGAATTGAAAAATTTGAATCGATTTTAATTGGGATTCAAGGGTCAAGATTGAATTTACGACAATTGGATTTAAGACTTAATCCATGTACGATTGATTTTTATCCCTATGTATTTGTCCCTCATGAATTATCATTAGTTAGAAAAGAAAATTCAGTTAATAAAAGTCCAATCCCATTAGAGAGTCCAGATGAGATTGATTATTTCGTGGAATATTTCAAAACGGTGGATAGAGAATCAGATTGGTATGAAAGAGATATAAATTTCATTAATAAATTACTTGATGAATCCAATTCCATCATTGAACAACGGTTCAATTATGAAACATTGCTTATAAATTATTTACTTAAATTAAGAAAACTCGATGGAGGGGAAGTTGATAAATCAAAGAGGGTATCCCATAAGGAAAGATTATCTCTGATATTGAATGTGTAAATATACATTTATTATTGTTGCTGGTTTATATAGATTAGATAAAATGTTGCAAAATCAATTTTAGGAAATTAGTTCCGTGCGGCTCTATATTTTGTAGAAAATATGCGATAAGTCTCAAAATGGATATTCCGCCAAAGAATCGATATGATAACATGGAAATTTATCAAAACTATATATAAACAGCAATATAGATATTATGAAGAAGTTATAGTCATTTATAGAGCTAAAGATCAATAATATCATTCACTAATAGTACAATGGTCGTATCAACACGTGTATCCTTACAATGGGGTTCAGAAGAACCTGAAGAATTATCCTATACTATGGCATTCACATCACCCCAAAATCATTATGTTGATATTAGAATCTTTAAACATAAGAATCCATATAAGGGAGATGGAAGTGACTCGTTTGATCAAGTGTTCCAATGGTTATTGGCTGGGATTGAAGAACCTATTCCTGATACTGGTAAGATCAATTTCAAGAATTATATTGATTCTCAAGCCGTTACAAGATCAATTAAAAGTGGTAAACCATTAGTGATAGGATCTGACATTGGAGATTTTTCCGATATTGAAGGTAGTTTAGATCGAAAAGAAGTTGGAGCAATGCTTAATCCTGATACTGGGGTTGAACAATCATATATTGAAATATGGAGATCGTTAGATCCTACTAAATTAACTCCAACTAATGAAGTTAGAGAAAGTGAAGTTGAAGATGATACTATTCCAGTATTCACTTTACAAGTTGAAGAAAGTGATGATATAAGAGGTAAGATTATTCGATTAGGTAATTGGGTTCAAGGTATAACTTTTGATAAGTCAACCAACACATTTAATGTGATTAGAAGTTTTCTTAATGAAGGGAAATGGGAAAATCAAATTGAATATGGTGATATTAGTTTATTCCCATTAGAGTTTAAGGGGAAAGTAAATGATAAAGTTAAGACTTCGAATCCAGCTATTGTTTGGAAATGTTTAGAAATTGATAATATCTAATTGAATTAGCTCAAACTGAATTAATATACAAAAAAAACATTATCTAATAAATATTATTATATTAACTTATGTACTAACTTGTTATAGATGTCAACTCTTGAATCACCCAAGCACAATCATGAGTCGAAGTAAGAGTTAAGAAGAATAGTAAGTGATAAGAAACTACTATCAATCCATGATCACAAAACCAAAACAAATGCAAAAATGAGGAAAGAATAGCAATGAGTTTTTCAGCCAGAGCCAGAACTTTGCAATACATAAATGAGAATATATAGAGAACAAGTACTTTCATATTATCATTATTATTCTTCAAAGCAAGATGTCACATATCTCATCATATAGGGATAGAGATATCAGACCACCGCCATATAACGATGCCATCAATAGCTTGAATGAAATAGGATCACTACCACAAAACAGAACATCGTTTACTGAATTTGTTAACATCAAAAAATCAATAGTTAGAAAGATTAAAGATATTGACAGAAATATAAAGAACATTAAGAGAACCTTGAAGTCTAGTTCGGTTGTTAATGCTAAAAGCGATGAATCAGAGTGCCAGAATTGTTTTACAATTATTTTTATAACATTGTATATTGGTTTTTTCTGGGCTTGTCTTTATATTCTTTATATATTCCTAATAAAGGATAATTATAACTCTAGAATAGTAGAATTACAAAGCGTTATGTAACTAGTGACTAGATAAATGCAATGAAATATATACCACAATAACTTATCATCGCCCTTCCACTAGATATGGTTTCATCTATTAGAGGAAAACTGTAATATCTGATCGAGTAAGCTCAAAATAAAATTATTATGGAATAAACATATTTTTTCATTCTAATTCTAATAAATATTAATCTATTCACTTCTATATAGAGATAAAATATGATTATCCCCTTTACCACCTCAAGAAGTAACTATATTCTATATTTTAAGTCAAGACTTTTATAAGACACCCTAAAATATTTTCAACTCTTAATAAACACCAAATTTAATATGAACTTCTCATCTAGAATTATTCAAAGCTATAATTTTAAACATTAAGTATTATTTATTAGAAAGTAATAATATGAAGAACCACAACCATTTCTCTGGACGGAAATGTAGAAATACTTAAAAAGTACTAAAAATAATCTGTGATCAGAGGTGAAGTGAACTAACTACAGTAGAATCAAAATACCTAACCACTAGATTTGTTTTCCTCGATTAGAGGGAAACTATATTGTACCCAAGAAAAAGGCTCTTAAGCTTGAACTGCCCAGAACAATTATTGCTCTAATTAATAAAATTCCTTGATATATGTAGCTTGACTTTTTAGGAAATGAAGGGAAAATACAATGGAAAATAGTATCAAATAAACCGGTAAGCATTATTGGAGTGATAATACAAGTATATATGTAGATGACAAAGTCACCAAGCATTGAGTTGGAACTCATTTCTAAAATACACTCTTCTAAACCTCCTCTTGAATCTAACCATTGAAGAAAGTGTGATGCAATAATGATTAAGGGCAACTCTATTAAAAAGAGTATCACCCATAAACATACATTTGCTTTGATGAATCCATCAGCTGCAAGCATAAGGACAATGAAGTGAATAACGTAAACCAGTCCTACTAAATATATATCCCTTCCAAGTGGGATACTTGATGGTGAGATTTGACCATTGACTAAGGATTCCTTAACTTTATCATCAGAAGCACCATTTGATGAGAGTTGGATGTCAACATTATCTTTATTGTTGGAATCAGTTAAATTTATCTGTTTATTTTCCTCTTGTAAAGTGTTGGTAGGTTGAATAAGTGATGATGGAGTTTTTGGTGATATGGACTTCATTCCCATCTTCAAACCTCTCTTCTTGGAGCTTCTTTTCATTTTCTCCATTTCCACTTGATTCACCCTCTATTGTTGATTGATTGATGATATTAATCTTGTTGTTTGGTTTAATTAAAGTGTTGGCTGCCTTTTTTTTAGATTTTGGCTGCCTTTTATATTTTGGCTGCCATTCTAAGTATGGTAGCATCATAATCTGATAACGTGACTTTGCACATGACTAAAACGACATTTTATAAAATTAAAAGATATGGGAAGGGGTGCGACATAGAGTATCAGAGAAAGAACAGAGAGACATTACTTTTGAGGATCAAATAAAAGTAAAAATCATCAATTCAGATTTGTTCAATTACCAATTTGGAATCGTTTAACTTCATCTCGTTATAAACAATCATATAGATCATCAAACATAAACACTATGACTGGTGAAGGTTGGTATGTATATCTTGATGTTAAGATGGGCTTGCTGTTTTCTGAACTGGTATTGATTATCTTTTACTCTGTTCACCCAAAGCATAATGAAATTTTGGAACGGCAATCACCAATCGTCTAAAATATAAAAAGTTGATTTATACTAACATTCTATGACTGTCTAGGTTATTTATTCTTGCTGTCATTGTCAATGCAGTCAATTTATTCTCCCAAGTGTTTTTCACTATCATGTATTCTGATTTAGAATGTGATTATATCAATCCAATTGAATTATGTAATAAATTAAATCCATGGTTTATTCCAGAAGCTGGTTTACATGCTTTCATTACAGCATTATTCTTACTCAATGGTTTTTGGTTTGTGTTCTTATTAAACTTACCATTAGTTGCCTATAACGTTAATAAGTTTGTTAATAAGAATCATTTATTAGATGCTACTGAAATTTTTAGAACTTTATCAAAACATAAAAAGGAATCATTCCTTAAATTAGGATTCCATTTATTAATGTTCTTCTTCTACTTGTATAGAATGATTATGGCATTAGTTACTGAAGGTGAACAATTATAAGTAAATGGGTGATACATCTTGATGAATTGATCCTATTATTTCTTTCCTTCCTTCCATTCCATTTTCCCCTGTTTGCATTATTCTTTGATGTCCATAGCTTAGAAAGTAGCAATGGCCTAGCCTCTTGATACGGATGATATAATGTGAATCGTTTATATTTCTGTAATATATTTATTTTATAACATCAACCATAGTCTTATTTTTATTAGTTTATATTTTGTTCTTTTATTTTTACACAGTTTTAATCAATAATTTTCTTTTACTTATTTACATTTTTATAAGTATTATTGGCGTTTTAATATAAGTCTGTCATTAATTATATCGTTTATTTAAAGTATATATGTAATCATTAATCTAGAGAATTATCAAGTTGAGATAATTTTTCATTAACAAGTTTTAATTTATGAAAAATACCTGAATTTGGATTTATGATTTTATTAACCTCTAATATATTATCATTAACCAAATTATCCACATTAATCTCTTCATCAAGTTCATGTCCACCTTTACTCAATTGAGATAATTCATCATTTATAAAATTCAAATTATCAATTGATTTCTTATCACGATTATAATTAACTCTAACCACATTCAATTCTTTCCCAAGTTCACCATGATCATGTCTTAATTCAAAGATTCGTTTTCGGAAATCATGTTTTTGCTTTTGAACTTGACTTATTCGTGTCGTTAAATCATTTATAGTACCATAAATATCACTTAAATATTGAAGTTGTGATAAGACATGAGCCTTGAAGTCTTGTTGTAATATGGACTCTTTAATCACGGTGGAATTGACTGTTGGTGGTTCGAAATCTCTTATTAAATACTTCAACACATCTAAGGTGTTTACTTTGGCTCTTCTATCTTTGTTATTAACCTCTCTTAATCTTTCCACATCGATAGTTAATGGTTTTTGTTTTTCCTTAATTTTTGTTTTGAAAAGTGGAATCGGAATAGATGGTTTGGCGGTGGTGGTAACATTTACTCTTGGACGAAGTGCTCTAGTAGTAGCTGGTTTAACCACAGACGAAGATTTCTGTCTCTTTCTGTTATTCAATTCATTATCTCTTTGATGGACAAGTTTTGAAATTTTAGATACTTTATCAAGTAATGAATTTCCCGATTCAAGTCTTTCTTGCTTTACTTTTGACTTCAGTTTCAGATGTGACGATAATAAATCTTTTAATTTTGATGATCCTCTCAAAGTTTGATTAGTTAAATTAACTTTAGCGGAATATAATACCGTATCGTTTTCAAGTGATGCTTCTAAATCATCATCACTGGGGATTTCCTTTAATTTCAATGGCTTGCTAGATCTCGGTATGGATAATCTAGTAGGATGTTCATCAGGTAACACATTGAATTCATTGTCATTCTCTTTTACTTTCTTCTTGGGTCTACCTTTACTTCTTTTATTTGGATCATGTTCAACTTTAACTTTCTTAGGTCGACCTCTATTTGATTTAGGAGTTGGCGGTATGATTTCTTCTTCTTTATCAACTGTCATGGTGATATCCAGGGATATATCATCATTGATATTGTTATTATAATCATCATCATAATCGAAATTCCCATCTCCAAATTGTTCATCAGAATCATCATTATTATTAGTAGTAGTATTCTTATTCCGTGGTAATTCGATTTCATCATATACTGACAGTTTGATCTGATGGGCTGGTGTTACATTCTCATACAGCAAATCAGGCCGAGCAATGGCATCTAAAGCAGGTATACTTGGTTTGGTAGCTGTTGATGATGATGATATTGATTTTGTGGTTGGAGTTGGTCTGGTTGATTTACTTCTTAATCGAGGTAAATTCTCAATATTATCAGGATTTATCAAAGCTGATTGTAAGTTGTTTATACTTCTTCTCCCACTTGATCTACGTTTATTTGGTTTTATATTGAAATCATTATTATTTTGAATATTCCTTTTCCTATAGATAAATGTTTAGTTAGTATAAAAAGGGCTGTTTCAATTGGGATTTGGACTAATGATGGTGGTGGTACATACCCTGAACCTCTAATTCTTGATTCCTTCCGTATGACTCTATCATGAATGGCCATTATTAAAGATGTGTGGGGAGGGAATAGCACAATGTGTTTATCGTGAATTGATTGATTGATTGTTTTGGTTTAGATTTATTTACTTCACAGTTTAAATATTTTACGCGCAGTTATTAAAAAGCTACCATTTTTATAGTATATAAGCAGTAGATGTATAATTATGATTGCAAAAGTTTACCATTCACACACATTTGAATGAGCTTAAACTGATTCTATCTGTCTGGTATAACACTCTAATAACAGTTCATCAACGATACTCATCACTTTACTTACAATTTCTTTGGTATAAATATACCTTCTTTTTCATAAAAACCACAGAAATAGTTTGATGTATATTTTTAAAGATTGATTAATTATATTACAAAATTTTAAAACTATCCTATAATCCTCATAAGATTAGGTTTGATTTCAAATAGACAACTTCAAAAAAGAAAAAAAGCATCTTCGATACTTTTATCATTTCTTTAATTGTTCATTTATTGTTGAGAGAAATGTTCTAATAAGATATTTCTTTCATCAGAATCAGCACCCCAGTTCTTGACAACAACACAAGAAGCACCAACAACTTTTCTAGCGTTACCTTCTCTATCTAATTGACATAAACCAGCCCATTCACCTAATAATTTAGCATCAGAGACTTTGATTAATGGGATTTTAGATTCATTAGTTAAAGCTTCAACCAATTTAATGATTGATTCTTCAGTGACGGAATCACAAAGGACACATAATTGAGCTTCACCTTTGGATAAAGCTTTAGAAGCTTCTCTTAAACCTCTAGCTAAACCATCATGGACTAAAGAGATTCTTAAAACAACTTTTAAAGCATCTTCAACAGAGATGGATCCAGTTTCAGTTTGTTCAACAGCAACTTCTTCAACGATTTGTTCTTGTTCAATATCAGACATTATTATTTTTGTTTAGTAATATATTACGACTTCTTCGACAGGTATTTAATTAACTTGCTCAGTACAGAATTAAGAAAGGAAAGTATATATATGAATAAATTGATTAGATTAAATTTTTCACCAGACGTTTGGTACCATTCGCACCAGCTCTCACTATAAAAAAAATGATGGTAGTGCGAAAATGTTCAATTTAGGTCTGCAACCCTGTTTAGTTTCACAGCACGTGATTGGACATATAACCACCATACAATTATAATTATATATATCTATTGAACAACACTATTAAGTTAAGGGGGAAACTTTGTATAATAAAAATGTGTATAATATATAACCAAGCATTAAAATAACAAATTACTAAAAGAATTAGATATTTATAAATATATAAAAAGTAAGTAAATAAATAAACAAACAAACAAATATATAAAACTAGATACTAAACATAAGGAAGGGCAAACTAGGAAAACAAACAGATTTCATGGGGATAGAATTTAAACAAACAGAGTAGAATAACTAAAGACTAATAGGATAATAAAAAGATTTGTATAAGATATTATTAAGTCAGGAATGAATAAATAAATAAGTGAGTTGATTGATTGATTGATTGATTGATTGATTGATTGATAATGTAAATAGTGACAATATTTAAATGTTAATGTGGAGTAAGGGAAAAGGAGGAGTAAGATTAATTAATTAATTGTAATAGATTTTTTAAATTTAATAACAGTAGCAAGAATTGAAAGTAATAATAATAATAAGTAGTAGTAGTAGTAAGAATATAATAAGTTTGTAGTAATTAATAGTTAATAGTTGTAGTTGAAGGTGTAATATGGGATAATCAACCAATCATTAGCATCGTTATTATGAGTATCATTATCAAATATTGTCATAACAAGGGAAAGAAAAGAAACAAACAAAGAAAGAAAGAAAAAGGGGAAAGCAAACAGAACATAAACAATAAACTTGAAAGCATAATCTAAACTAGGAGGGGGGGGGGGGGGGGATTACAATTCCATGTTATCAACATCAGTACCAAAAGGTTCATGATTATCATCATCATCGTCATCATCAATGGCAATATCATTACTATTATCTTCATCACTAGAATCTTCAATCACATTTTCATCACTGGTAGAATTACCACCACCAACTATACCTCCTATTGAAGTGGTTGATTTAGTATGTACTAAATTGGCATCATCAATATGAGCATTAGCAATGGTATTAGCTGCTGTAGTGGTGGTTGAAGATCTAGTATAATCATCATTGCCTTCATCATCTTCATCTTCAAAATCAACATCAAAGAAATCTTCATCTGAACCAGTGATTTTAGAATAAATTAATTTCGTTTCAGTTATAATTCCATCATAACTTAATTCTGAACTTAACATATTGGTAAAGATTATATCTGATGATGCAGGGGATTTCAAAATAACATTATTTGATTCTGAAGCTTGGAAAACATTAGTTAAATCAGGATTAATTAAGGTTTTTTGGACAAATCCCACTTTACATACAATTTCTAATTTCTCCTTTGGAACGAAATTTTGTAAATGTTCCCCTAATTTAAATGAATTAACCATGATTGGAGTTGTTGAATAAATATTGGCAGAACTATTGATTTTAAAATCTTCATCATTTAAATTCTTTTCTAAATTTGATTCAGTTTCTCTTAATAATGAAGCTTCCATTTTTTCAAAAGCTGATTCTAAATCCAATTTAGCTCTATTTAAATCAGGTTCAGAAGTATGACTAAACCAAATCGATTGACCAGATGGACAAATCCCAGTACCACCATTTTGAATAATAACTTGAACTGATTGATTATTTTGAGTTGGTAAAGATAATGGAGGAAATACAACTATAGCACTTGATTCTTGATCTGACATCCATTCTTTACAATCTCTTCTTACCACTGTGATTAATCTGGTGATATTATAAGTTGGTAAAGGAGATATTTCATCATTAACTAATTCATTATAAGTAGATTGTAAGAATTTAGGTAATTGAGTTGGACTAATAATGATTTTTTCATTAATTTTTATATTTGAACCATCACTAAATTGAGCAATTTTAGTATGAGGATCATAATCCACTAAATTAGTATTTAATTTATAAATGGTTCCAGCCACAGCAGCACTTCTACAAAAACCTTGAGAAATTTCACCTGGTCCACCATATTTTGATATCATAACAGGGAAATTACCATAAACATCAAATGAAACAAGGAATCGTTTAATTTTAGCAATGGCTTCAGGAGTTTTTGTAGTTGGTTTTATACAAAGACCAATAGAATAAACCAATTCATTAATTTGAGGATCTTCTAAATTGAATTGACCCTTTAAGAAATCAATTATGGTTTGTTTTGAATTTTCAAATAATAATTGTTTCTTTTCAGGATTTTTATTATCAGTTAAAATGAATTTTAAAAATTTCATTAAATTTCTTTTGGTTAATAATGAAAGGGAATTATTTGAAAATATATCTTCCTTTGAAGTTGAATTTGATATTTTTTTATTAAAATCATCATTTTCAAATACATGAAAATTACTTAAACTTTGAAATTCCAAATATTTATAAACTCTTGATTTAATTAATAAACTTAATAAATCTGATTTACAAAACATAATTTTAGGAGTTAAATCTATTCCATAATCTTTTGATTTAAATTTATTAGTTGATTTCCCACCTGGGATATAAATTTGAGCATCTTGAAAATTAGGTAATTTACCTTGATTAACTTCAATACACCATTTTTTTAATTGATCAATGGTTAAAGTTGAAGCTGAATCACCATAATAGGATTTATTATCAAGATGTAAGACTTGAACTCCTTGCCAAGATAATGCAGCCGCTAATATACTTTCAATTAATCCAGTTCCTAAGATAAGAACATCAGCTTGATCTAATTCGATATGATTTTGTTGAGGTTTTTCCAACCCTTCTAAATGAGGGATTACAGGAGGAGTATAAGACATGGAAGGTCTTCTTTCAGCCATTGATTCTCTTCTTTCGACTCTTGAAAAAGGTGGCATATTGAGAATTTATATGATTATGTGGGGCAGGGGAGGAGTTTTAACTAATAAAGTTGATTAATCAACTTGATTGATTTAATGGATGAATTGAATGATGGTGGATTACTTGGATAACAAGTAATGATTAGATTAGATTAGATGGGGTGAAAGGAGAAAGGTATTAATTAAAATAACTTTGTAATTGAATTGAAGGTTTGAACTGTGGAGGTAATAAGGGGAGACAAACGGTTAAAACAATCAACTTGGTTGATTGATTGATTGATCAAACTGGTTAGATCAACTGACACCACTTGAACTTGATTGATTGAATCAAAACGATGGATGTTGTAAATCGACTTCCACAATTGATTAATTGTTTGACTGTAAAAAAGTGTCAAACTAAACACAAAAAGACAGGGTAGATACTCAACGGAGGGGAATAGACACGGGGAGAGGAGTTGTTGTTGTTGTTGTTGTTTGTAGATTGTAGTGGGGTGAGATGGCTACTACCAATTATCAATTAGTAGGAGTAGGGAGTAGTATGAATTGTAATGATGATATGATAATAATAGAATAATGATAATTTGTAATTTGTAATTTGTTGAATTAGAGTTCAATTCAATTCAGACTCCAAATTGAGCTTGTAAAAATTTTCTCTTTTTCTGATTGTTAAAATTCGCGCTTTAAAAAAAAAATTTTCTTCTCTCTCAGTAAATTAATTAAAAATAGAGTCATTCAGTTAAAGAGTTAGTGGGTGACTGGACAGTTAGGGGGAGATTATCACTAAAGTGGAGAGATTGAATTTTAAGTTAAACTGATTATTATTATTATTATTATTATAGTTAACTAAGTAAATAAATGGTGAGTGGTGTTATAGATTGATATAGATCGATCATTAATGATATACAGATTAGATCTACTTAATACCTTACTTACTAATTAAAGGGTAGTGGGTGGTGGTTGTTATCGGTTAGTCTCGGTACATTTTTGAAAAGTTTTGTGTGTTTGTTGCCGTCCCATACAACGTAACACTAATTATTACTACTACCCATCCACCCACCCATCCAATCTAATTTAATTGATTATAAACCCATATAACTATATGTTATGTTATGTAATAACTCATTCATTCATTCATTGTTATTACATTGTGGTAATTGTGCTGGTATAGTAATGGTAATTCTTACCCATAATAAAATTTTAAAATTGTTAATTTAAGCAGAAGCAGCAACAGCGTGGGACATATTCCCACTGCCACTGCCACTTCCACACTCCCACTCTCTCTCAGTAAACACTACACACTACACATACAAACTAAATACTTTAACACACCACTTCCCTCTACCCACTAACTGATTACTATTTACTATACAATCTCAACTATTAACTTCATTCAATTATAACACTTCCATCTTTAATTATCTTTTTTTTAACAATATTATATGACTTCCCCTCCCCCACTATCGTACTACTAATAATTAATATTTAATTAACACTTATCTCTCTTTATCTCATTAATTTTAAAATTCCTATTTTGCGTTACGGTAATTTTATCCCTAAAAAAAAATGAAAAAGTCGTGTCCTTTGCCCCCAAGAAATTTGATATAAATTAAGATGGTAGCGTTGAGCCTGTATATAACATCACTTCATCTTTAAAAAATATCAAACACCGGTAATGCAATCAAATTTTATAGATCTATATTGATAGATATATAGTGACAATACACCTATACATAACTCCTACGATGACTTCAGATATAAAAGGGTCATTGTTATTAGCATGGCAAGTTAAACAAAAACATTGTTTGGTAATAGGCAGTGGTGATGTTGCATTAAGTAGAATAAATCATCTTATTATTGCTCAAGCTAAAATTTCAGTTATAACTGGTTCAGGTCATATTCATCCAACTATTTTACAATTAAATGATCAACATCAATTTGAACATTTCATAACTCGTGATTATCAATCATCTGATTTGTCAATGTTGAAGAAAACGTCTACTCATGAGTTCAATCTTGATGATATTAATAATGAAGAGGTTTATAATCAAATTTCTCATAATTTTAATCATGAACGATTTGAAATTATATGTTGTTGTATTGATGATTATCAATTATCAACTCAAATCTATTATCAATGTAAATATCTTCACCTTAATTGTAATATAGCTGATAAACCATTGCTTTGTGATTTTTATTTCGGATCAATGATTAATGAACAAAATTTCCAAATTTTAATATCAACTAATGGTAAATCACCTCGATTTTCAAAAATTTTAAAAGATTTAATCTATAAGGGAATTAATGATAATGTTGAAGGAGATCTAAACTTTGCTATTGAGAATTTAGGTAATTTAAGATTAAAATTACGACAATTGAAATTACAAAATAATCATGATTTAATCACAGTTGATAAAAGAATGCATTGGATTAAAACTTTAACTGATATGTACACTATAAATGAATGGAGTTTAAATTTACTTAACAATGATCAAATTGAATCAATCATTAATTATTATCCAAATTTCCCTCCTAAGGACTTACTTCAAAGGTAAATCTTCATGAATGAATACTTTATTACCTCCTGCTCCCACATATTCAGAAACAATATGACCATTCCCTTTCAATTGATATTGATAACTCATTAATCCTTCTAATCCCACTGGTCCACGAGCATGGATCTTATTGGTACTGATTCCAACTTCAGTTCCAAATCCATATCTGAATCCATCAGCAAATCGAGTTGAACAATTCCAATATACTCCTGCACTATCTATTCCTTTTAAGAATTTTTCCGCTTTGGTTTTATTAGCAGTGATTATACAATCAGTATGTTTGGAGGAATGAAGATTAATATGACTTATGGCTTGATCTAAGGAATCAATTAATGTAATGGCGATTTCAAATGATAAGAATTCTTTATCGAATGAATCTGATTCAACTGATTTGATATAGTCTGAATTAATAGTTGTTGTTAATAATGACTTCACTTCATCAGTTACATTACATATAACTTTACTTTCAATTAATTTATTTATAATATGATTAATATCAATTTGTGATACATTTTTATTAATTAAAAGTTGTTCAACTGCATTACATCCAGCAGGATAATTTGTTTTTGAATCAATAATGATATTGATAGCTTTATTAATATCATCGAATTCATCATCAACATAAATAGCACAAATCCCATCGGCATGACCCAATACTGGGATCTTGGTAGATGATTTAATATTACGAACTAATTCATTCGATCCTCTTGGAATTACTAAATCAATATATCTATCTTGACTTAATAAATCATTAACTTCATTTCTCAGTTCAATTAATTGAATTGCTTTATTAGGGACTTTAGTCTTTTGTTGTAAAATTTGAGATATAATATTACTCATAACTTTAAAAGTTTGATAACTTTCCTTACCTCCTTTTAAAATAGCCGAATTCCCTGATTTAATCGCTAAACTAGTGATATTAGCAATTACTTCAGGTCTACTTTCAAATATAATTAATAATGTCCCAATTGGAGCCGTAACTCGATATAAATTTAATCCATCATCTAATTTCTTAGCTAATGTGATTTTCCCTACCGGATCTTCTAAATTAGCCACATCTAAAATCCCTTGTAACATACTATCGAATTTCCCCTTATCTTCTAAATTCAATCGTCTTACTAATGACGATGATAAATTATGATCAATAGCATTTTTCATATCAATCTTATTGGCATCTAAGATATCTTGTTTATGATCTTTTAAACCATGATAGATTTGATGTAAGGCGTCTGATCTTTCTTCGTCAGTTAATGTTTTCAATATGGAGAATGCTTGAGCACCATCCTTGGCTATTATCTCAGCTTGACTGGACATGGTTGTTGTTGTTCTGATCTTTATAGTTATTAATAAATTGAAATATTTGAATTTACGATTGATTGATTGAAAAAAAAAGAAATGAAGATGGTCCTGTATATACCAACACATCCATACCTCGAAATGAAAAGGCCTGTGCCTCGAAATCATTTTTTTTCTTTCTGTATGATCTCTCTGTATGGGTGTAAAGGCAGTAACTATAACACAACATCAACAATTGGAGGTATAAGCTATATTTCAATTCATTTCATATTCAAATTCATTTCTAATTAGTGATATCAAATCAAGTGGTTACTTGTTGATTGATCGATTATTGCATCTGACTACTTAATCATCGTCAAAACAATCCCTACCCTAATCAACCACGTACACTTCGTAGAGTTCAGTTCATCTTTCTAGATCAAATTATCATACAGATTTAAACCATTTCCTTCAATACACCTCATTACAGTCAATTGATCAATGTCTTACTCTCAACCGAATGGAGGAGGGAAGAATCCATTCAATGATCCCTCGAGTAATCTTATAGATTTGGATCTAGAAGCAGGTAATGGTTCAACTTCATCAAATCGAAATCATCGAAATCAAAATCAAAGTATCGACAATCCTTATGATGAATTAAGTTATCAACAACAATATACTTCAGATAACTATAATCCCAACACCACATACCAATCAACCACCCATAATACTGCCAATGGTGTCAATGGTGCCAATCCATTTGAAGATGATGTGTTTAATTTATCCGATGAAGAAGATGATGATGATTTTCAAGATCATATAAATACCACCGATGGAACTTTTGATTCATTCAATCGTCATAATAGTAATAGTCATCTAAATGGTAATGATCCTAATCATATCAACAATAATAATAATAACGCAAGGAATGGTCAAGCTAATGCCAAACCATCATCATCAGGATTCCGATTGTTTGGATCGAAAAATAAAGAATATATCGATATGAACGATTATAATAATCCAACTCCAGCTGCCAGTAGTAATGATTTTGATATTCGAAAAATCTTCAATTGGAAATCATCATCCCAAAACAAACAAAAGGATTTATCTCATCTTGGTCCTAGACATATTCATATTATGAATCATGAATCGAATGCTCATTTTGGTTATTATGGTAATCATATATCCACTACTAAATATAATTTTGCCACTTTTTTACCTAAATTCTTATTCGAACAATTTAGTAAATATGCTAATTTGTTCTTTCTTTTCACATCCATAATTCAACAAGTACCGAATGTTTCACCTACCAATCGTTATACAACCATTGGAACTTTAATTGTGGTGTTATTGGTTTCGGCTACAAAGGAAATTTCTGAAGATGTTAAACGTGCCAATGCTGATAAAGAATTAAATAATACAAGAGTCCAAATTCTTGATCCTCATACAGGAGAATTTGTGTTAAAGAAATGGATTCTGGTGAAAGTTGGAGATATAGTAAGAATTAATAATGAAGAAGCATTTCCAGCTGATTTATTATTATTAAGTTCTTCAGAACCTGAAGGATTATGTTATATTGAAACTGCCAATTTAGATGGTGAAACCAATTTAAAAATTAAAGAATCAAATCAAGAAACTGCTCTGTTAATTAATCCTCATAATTTAGTTAATGCTCTTTCAAAATCAGAAATCTTATCTGAACAACCAAATAGTTCATTATATACTTATGAAGGGACCATGAAAAACTTTGGTACAAGTGATTTACCTTTAACTCCTGATCAATTATTATTAAGAGGGGCAACGTTAAGAAATACCCAATGGATTCATGGTGTTGTAGTATTTACGGGTCATGAAACTAAATTAATGCGTAATGCTACTGCTACACCAATTAAGAGAACAGATGTAGAAAGAATTATTAATTTACAAATTGTGGCCTTATTTTGTATTTTAATTGTTTTATCATTGGTTTCTTCAGCTGGTAATGTCATTAAAAATCATGTAAGTGGAAGTTCATTAAGTTATTTAAAATTAGAAGGTACATCAAGTGCAAAATTATTCTTTCAAGATATTTTAACTTATTGGATTTTATTTTCAAATTTAGTCCCTATTTCATTATTCGTTACTGTTGAACTTATTAAATATTATCAAGCATTTATGATTGGTAGTGATTTAGATATGTATTATGAAGAAACTGACACACCAACTGGGGTTAGAACTTCATCTTTAGTGGAAGAATTAGGTCAAATTGATTATATCTTCAGTGATAAAACAGGTACATTAACTCGAAATATTATGGAATTTAAAAGTTGTTCGATTGGAGGAAGATGTTATATTGCTGAAATTCCTGAAGATGGTCAAGCTCAAATCGTTGATGGTGGTATTGAAGTTGGGTTCCATACATTTGAGGAATTATTTAGTGAATTAAGAAGTACATCTCTGGAACAGTCCGCCATTATAAATGAATTCTTAACGTTATTAAGTACTTGTCATACTGTTATTCCTGAAGTTAATGATGTAACAGGTGAAATCAAATATCAAGCAGCTTCACCTGATGAAGGTGCCTTAGTGCAAGGTGCAGCTGATTTAGGGTATAAATTCATTATTCGTAGACCAAAAGGGGTTACTATTGAAAATACTTTAGCTCAAATTAAATCAGAATATGAATTATTAAATATTTGTGAATTTAATTCCACCAGAAAGAGAATGTCAGCTATTTTCAGATGTCCAGATGGTATCATTAGATTATTTTGTAAAGGTGCTGATACCGTTATATTAGAACGATTATCTAAAGATGAACCTCAATCATTTGTCGATGCTACTGTTCGTCATTTAGAAGATTTTGCCGTGGAAGGTTTAAGAACTTTATGTATTGCATCTAGAATCATTGATGATCAAGAATATCAAGATTGGTCTCAAAAATATTATGAAGCTTCAACATCATTAGATAATAGAGGAGATAAATTAGATGAAGTAGCGGAAATGATTGAGAATAATTTATTCTTACTTGGTGCTACTGCCATTGAAGATAAATTACAAGATGGAGTTCCTGAAACCATTCATACTTTGCAAGAAGCAGGGATTAAAATTTGGGTTTTAACTGGTGATAGACAAGAAACTGCCATTAATATTGGTATGTCATGTAAATTATTAAGTGAAGATATGAATTTATTAATTGTTAATGAAGAAACCAAGAATAATGTTCGATTAAATTTAGAAGAGAAGTTAAAAGCCATTAATGAACATCAATTTGATTTAGATGAAGGAGCATTAGAATCTTCATTAGCTTTAATTATTGATGGTCATTCATTGGCATTTGCTTTGGAACCAGATTTAGAAGATTTATTCATTCAATTAGGTACCAAATGTAAAGCAGTGGTATGTTGTAGAGTATCACCTTTACAAAAGGCATTGGTAGTTAAAATGGTAAAAAGAAAGAAGAAATCATCTTTATTATTGGCTATTGGTGATGGTGCTAATGATGTTTCTATGATTCAAGCTGCTCATGTTGGTGTGGGTATAAGTGGTATGGAAGGTATGCAAGCTGCTAGAAGTGCTGATATTTCCATTGGACAATTTAAATACTTGAGAAAATTATTATTGGTTCATGGATCTTGGTCATATCATCGTATTTCAAATGCCATTTTATATTCATTCTATAAGAATTGTGCATTATATATGGTTCAATTCTGGTATGTTTTTGTTAATGGATTTTCAGGTCAATCAATGTTTGAATCATGGACTTTAACCCTTTATAATGTGTTCTTTACTGTTTTCCCACCCTTTGTCATTGGAGTATTTGATCAATTTGTTAGTGCAAGATTATTAGATCGTTATCCTCAATTATATCAATTAGGACAACTGAGAAAATTCTTTAATGTGGGAATTTTCTGGGGTTGGGTAGCTAATGGATTTTATCATTCTGGAATAATTTTCTTATGTTCATTTTTCATTTATCAACATGGTGATCAACTTTCAAGTGGTCTTAATGTTGACCATTGGTCTTATGGTGTGGCAGTATATACTACATGTACTTTAACTGCATTAGGTAAAGCGGCATTGGTAGTATCAATGTGGACTAAATTTACCTTATTTGCTATTCCTGGTTCTTTCCTTTTCTGGTTATGGTTTTTCCCAGTATATGCCGCCGTTGCACCAAGAATCAATATTTCAAGAGAATTTTGGGGAGTCTTACCTCATACTTATCCTTCATTAACGTTTTGGACCATGGTATTCGGATTGCCAGTATTATGTCTTCTTCGTGATTTTGCCTGGAAATTTTATAAAAGAAGTTATATTCCAGAAAGTTATCATTATGTTCAAGAAATTCAAAAATATAATATTCAAGATCATAGGCCAAGAATGGAATTATTCCAAAGAGCGATTAGAAAAGTTAGACAAGTTCAAAGAATTAAGAAACAAAGAGGATTTGCCTTCTCTCAAGTTGAAAATCAAAATCAAGAAAAGATTGTTAGATTATATGATACTACCAAAAAGAGGGGTGCTTTTGGTGAATTAACTGAAAGTTCATAAATCATTACCTCCTAATAGATATGTAAATACATAGTTAATTAAACCATAAAAAACATTGAAAGTATAGGACTTTTCAATAATCAAAATATAATATAATTATAAGTATACTAGTTAATTATTGTGTAGTGCACTACTTTTTTTCTGATCTCAAACCCGTTTAAATTTTTTTTGAGTTCTGACTCAATGATGTTTGATATTGATTGATTTGAACCATATCGAAGTATGAGTGAAGCTGCTGTATCTGGTCCTAAGGCTCCTGTTCCTGAGAAGGGGAAGCCAGTTGGTGACGCTGCTCCAGCTGACGGCGAAAATAAAGGGCTTTCCAATAAAGAATTAAAGGAATTAAAGAAGAAAGAGAAAGCTGCCAAAAGAGCTGCTGAAAAGGAAGCTAAAGGTATAACTCCTGAACAACAACAAAAGATAGCAGAACAAAAGATAGAGAAGAAGCAAGCCACTACTAGTACGAAATTGAAAAAGCAGTTGAATCAAACATTGATAAAGGTTGAAGATAAGAATCGTATTCCATCTCTTTTCAGTCATTTAGAAACTAGAGAGCAAAGAAATGCTTCATCTCCATCAATTTCACACATTGTTCATCCTGCTATACTTGCATTGACTTTAAAGTATTCATCTTATAAAATAGTGGGTTCAACATCAAGATTAAAGAATATGTTGGAAGCATTTAAAGTTGTTATTGCTGATTATCAAACTCCAGCTAATACTACTTTAACCAGACATTTAACCGGTCATTTATCAATTCAAATTGAATATTTAAAAACTGCACGTCCATTATCAGTCTCAATGGGTAATGCCATTAGATGGTTGAAACAAGAAATATCTCATATCTCCATTGATATTACTGAAAATCAAGCTAAAGAATTCTTAGTATCTAAAATCGATGATTTCATAAAGGAAAAGATTGACTTTTCTGATCAAGTTATTATTGAAAATGCATCTCAACATATCACTAATAATTGTACAATTTTAACCTATGGTCATTCTCAAGTATTGGAAGAATTATTTAAATATTGTGTTCTTGAACAAAATAAAACGTTTAATTTAATTATTGTTGATTCAAGACCATTATTTGAAGGTAAGAAGTTATTAACTAATTTAGCAAATACAAACTTCACTCAAGATCAAGATGAATTAGAATCTGATTTGGAATCGATTTCAAGTAGAGGTATAAGAAGTTGTCGTCCAATTACTCAACTGAATCTTAAAATCCATTATGTTTTAATAAATTCAATTTCTACTACTATCTTAGAAGATGTTGATTATGTTTTCTTAGGTGCTCATGCCATGTTATCAAATGGTCGTCTTTATGCCAGAGTTGGAACTGCTCTTATTGCTATGATGTGTCATACTAGAAACATCCCTGTACTTACATGTTGTGAATCGGTTAAATTCTCCGATAAAGTTCAATTGGATTCTGTTACTACCAATGAACTTGCTGATGTTGATGATTTACTTCAAAATATTAATTCTAAAAAACCACCTCAAAAGAAGTCATTTGCTTTAGAACAATTCATAAAACAATGTGAAGAACAAAAGAAATCTGAACTGGAAGCCAATAATAAGAATAAACAACAGCAACAACAACAGCAGAAGAAAGCTGAAGCTGCTGCCCAAGAAGCCATTGCTGATGGAGAATCTCCCATTAAGAATTGGAGAGATATTCCAAATCTTAACATATTAAATATCATGTACGATTTGACTCCACCAGAATACATTAAGAAGGTCATTACTGAATTGGGTTCATTACCACCATCTTCAGTTCCAGTCATCTTAAGAGAATATAAGAATACATAGATATCTGTACATACATCATAATATATATATAAATTTAATCTGGAAGCGCATTGTAATTGTGTAATTGTTGATAAAAATCAAAATAGTGCGAGATTGAGATTGAAATTTTTTTGGTGGTAAATATTTTGCCTTTGCCACCACCTTTGCAGTCAATCTTGATTTATAGATATATACGTTCATTTCATTCAGTTTCATTGGAATTGATAGTTACAGTGATCAATTGGGTTGATTAAGGGATAAATTCATATACTACAATGGCTGATAAAGAATTGGACTTGGTAAATAAGGTTGAATTACGTATTGCCTTAGCTGAGAATGATAAACAATTTGAACATTCATTGCAATTATACCTTGCTCCTATATTGTTAAAGTTAGCGAGTCCTCACTCTGAAGTAAGAAATACAGTATTGAAGATTGTTCAACAGCTTATCCCAAGAATCTCCGCTGCTAGATCTATAAAGTTACCCGTTGAAGCTCTTTTAAAACAAGTGAAAAATCCAACTATTCCTCAAGGTGCTGATGCCACTTCAGTCAGATTATTTTCCCTTATATTTGTATCTAGAGGAATTGAAAGATTGAATGCAGAGGAGAAAACTGCTCTTGTTCCCCAAGTGATAGAAGGGATATCAACGTTTTCAACTAATGTGTCGGCCAGATTATTCAATGTGTTATCAAAATTATTAGAATCTTGGAAAGCTCCAAGTCTTGATACTGATGAATATAAAAATATGGCTACGTTCTTACAATTCGATAAGAATCCTAATGATGAAGTTTTCCTTTCCAAAACTATCAGTAAGTTCTTTTTATTACAACCGACTCCTACTGCCGTACAGTTACCAGGGTTAAGCGTTAAGGATAATGAATATTTTAATAGAGATGCTGGTGTTCAATATAAGACAAATGCAGAAATATTTGAGGTTAAATTGCATTTGTTGGATTTCTTGAAATCAGGATTTCAAGATAAGCATTTGATCATACCTTATTTGATAGGATCAGTCGACTCTTCATCTAAAATAAATGATACTGCAGAAGTGTTATTTCGTAAATTGACAATTGATTATGAAGATGAATCTTTAATAAATAGTCTTGCAGATTTATTTTTAGGTGTTGGTGATATTCCACCTGTTTCATCAACCATTCAAGAAAAAATCGTTCAAGTTTTCTTAAAGAGTAAGGTTGCCACGACCATTTCAAGAGTGTCAGATATTTCTAGTTTAGGTTTATCTTCTGAATATGCTCGTTTGAAACAATCTACTGTCCAGTTCATCAAATGGGTTAGTAACAATGATAGTGAATTCTCAGAAGCTCAAGCCAAGTCCTTACGTGAATTTAATACAACCATGGCAGGTGAATTGAGAAATAATTTAATAAATGAAGGTTGGCCACAGTTCGATACTGAAAATATTAGAAACTATTCAGCTGCTCTTTCTCAAAGACTGTTACAATATGAAGCACTTGGAAATATTCTTAGATCCAATCCAGAATTATTTTGGCATGATATATCATATATTGAATTCTTATTTCAATCTTTAGAAGGAGAATTACCTGATTTAAGAGGTACCATTCAAGATGCATTATCTAGTTTAACTGTTCATTTACCTCAATTATCTGACCCATCCAGAATTAGTCTTAAAAAACTTGCTGAGAAATATTTGGCTGAAAAGAACCATCATAATGAGAATTTACATTCGTGTCGTTATGTGGCTATAAAGTATATTAATAGTACATTTCCATTTCAAGATTCTGAAGCTAGGTATTTATGTATATTAGGTACCGCAAAAGAGAATCGGTCAGATACTATTGAAGAAGCCTTAAAAGGTTTACATCCTCATTGGTTTAACATCTTACAATCATCTAATACCTTGAAATTCAAATCAACTAGAGATTTATTAGGAGAGAATAGTAAAGTTGATTTTCCATCATTTCATGAGTATGTTTCAGTTTTAAAACAAGAACTTGATAAAGCTAGTGAACATGGTAGTACTGTTTATCAATCATTGCCTAAAGCTATTAAATTTGGATTACAAATATTGGTAATGCAAGCGGTTAATGGTAAATCTACCGTCATTGTTCCTGATGAAGATTGGATTGTGAGATTAGATAAAGCTTTAGAAGTGGATAAAACAGTTCAAAATTTATTAATTGAAGAAATCAAACAAGTATCTCAGCCTGATGAAGAAATGAATGGTGAATCCAGGGTCAATAATAATGTCTTTAATCTATACTTGTCCATTGTGTTTGATACTTTAGTGGGGCAATATTTCGATACTGCCAGAATTCAATCAGATATAGTTTATGTGGAAACATTCACCAAGTTGGTGACTTTAGCACCACCTGCAGTAATTGAACAAATGACATTATTAATTGATAGGTTATTAGATTTGGTCAATGGTAAGGTACTTAATGATATAGCTCTTGCTCGAGTATCAAAAGCATTTGCTATCATAGCAAGTACTTCAAAAGTATCTAATGAAGAAATTATCACCTTACTTAAAAAATTAGACGTAACTAATGCAACTCCATATTTATTGAAGGGAAGATTGTTAGCTACTAGTTTTCTTATTTCAAGACTATTCTTAAGAAAAAGAATTGATGTGGTTGAAGCTTCTTCTTTAACAGCTTACTACGATGTTCTCATTCGTTACTTAAAGGAAGAATCATTATACACAACTGTTTTGGAATGTATTAATCAATTATCAATTTTTGGAGCTTTAGGACCAATTCAAAATCAGGAATTATCTTCATATGTATTGCAATTCGTTGAACTTATTACTCCAAAAGTTAAGAAATGTGATGAAAAATCAGTTATTACATTATCATACTTGTCATTAGCGCTCAATAAAGTTGAAAGTGATGAATTGAGTGATTATGAAAAATTAGTCTATGATACACATGTTTCAAAACAAGTGGAATACACTTTTACTAGTGGTGAAGCTTTCCTGGTCATGGCTGTAGGTTGGAAGTCAACTTATTTAGAAAGATATCTTGATATTCAAGGTGAAACTATAGCTTATATCCCTGATGATATTTCTCGATTACCAACTATTTTAAAAGCTGTATTAAAGGCATGTTCTGATACAAAGCCTGCCTTAAGAAAAGCAGGATGTATTTGGTTATTATCTTTAACTCAGTATTGTGGACATTTACAACTTATCAAAGATAAAAGTCCTGAAATTCACGTATCATTTATGAGATTCCTTGCTGATAGAGATGAATTAATTCAAGAATCTGCTTCAAGAGGGTTAAGTTTAGTATATGAAATGGGAGATGTTGATTTAAAGGATACATTAGTTCGTGGATTATTGAAGTCATTCACTGATTCAAATTCAACTACAAAATTCACCTCTGGATCAGTTGAACATGACACTGAATTATTTGAACCAGAATTATTGAAGACTAATGATGGATCAGTTTCGACTTATAAAGATGTATTGAGCTTAGCTTCTGATGTTGGAGATCCAAGTTTAGTTTATAAGTTCATGTCATTGGCTAAATCATCCGCATTATGGTCATCAAGAAAAGGGTTAGCATTTGGATTAGGTTCAATCTTATCCAAGGCACAATTAGATAAGTTATTAACCACAAATAAGAATTTGGCTAATCGATTAATTCCCAAATTATTCAGATATAGATATGATCCTAATAGTTCAGTTCAAAAATCGATGAATGATATTTGGAATGCATTAATCACTGATACTTCTAAAGTTGTCAAAGAAAACTTTGATATAATTTTACCTGAATTATTAAAAGGAATGGGTAATAAAGAATGGAGAGTCAGACAAGCTAGTACGGTTGGATTAAGTGATTTATTACAATTAGTTCCGGTTGAAAGCTATGAATTTAAATTAGAAGAAATTTGGAATATGAGTTTCAGAGTAATGGATGATATTAAAGAAAGTGTTAGAAAGGAAGGTATAAAATTAACCAAGAGTTTAGCTACTACCTTAGTTAGAATCATTGATCCTAAGAATAAATCATCAGCTACTACATCGGCTGAATCGATTGAAATTCTTGAAACTTTGATTCCATTTTTATTAGGTAACAAAGGTTTATTAAGTGATTCTGAAGATGTTAGAAATTTCGCATTGGATACTATTTTAAAACTTTGTAAAGTTGGTGGTAAATCAATTAAAGCATTTGTACCTCGATTAATTGAAAATTTCATTAATTTAATGTCAACTTTAGAACCAGAAGTTATCAATTATTTAGTATTAAATGCTGATAAATATAACTTAAAGTCAAATGATATTGATGCTAAACGTTTACAAAGTTTAGGTCATTCACCCATGATGGATGCAATTGAGAAATTATTAGATGAATTAGATGATTCATTAATGGATGATTTCATAACTAAATTAGAATCAGCAGTAAAAAGATCTGTTGGTTTACCATCTAAAGTTTGTGGATCAAGAGTATTAGTTCAATTAATTACAAAACATTATCACTTAATTAAGCCATATGGAGATAAATTATTAAAGATTTCGATTCAACAAATCAAAGATAAGAATGATGCTATATCATCGTCATACTCTACAGCAGCTGGATATCTTTGTAAGATTGCTTCTATCCCATCAGTCATAACTTATTCTAAATTAATCAATAAATTATATTTTGAAAGTGAAGATGATAGATCAAGAGAGATAGCATCGATTGCTAGTGAAAATGTTTCTAAATATAGTGGACTGGATAAATTTGAATTAATCGCCAGTGCCTTTTTACCATTATCATTCATTGGTAAATATGATAGTAATAAAACGGTTAGATTAAATTTTGAACGTGAATGGATTGAAAATACGAGTGGGAATAATAATTCAATTAAATTATATATGAATGAGATCTTACAATTCTTCAAGAGTTATATTCAATCGAATAAATTTGAGATTAGAAAGATTTTAGCTACCTCCATATCAAACTTAAGTAATTTGATTGATAATGCCAATCAATTATCTCAAGATACGATTAAAGAATTATTACAATTATTAATTGAATCTAACAAGGGGAAATCTTGGGATGGGAAAGAGTTAGTTTTAGATTCGTTAATCTCATTTTCAATCATATGTAAAGATTATTTGAAAGAAAGTGATGATATCTTACAACAGATTAATAAAGTGGTGATAGTTGAAGCTAAAAGACGTAATAAAGCCTATCAAAAACATGCTATTAAACTTTTAGGTAAATATATTCATGAATTCCATGAAGATGAAGATTTAATTGAAACTTATATTGAAGTAATAGGTAAAGCCTTGCAGGATAAATATTATCGTGATGATGATGAAGATAGTGATGACGATGAAGATGCTATGGAAGTTGATTTAAAATCGAAATTAACCGTTAAAGAAAATCTTGAATTAGAAGAAGAGAGATTGACATTTATAAAGAATCTTGGTGAAAGTTTTTATACTGATAATGATGATTATAATCATGAATTAGGAACATTCACCTTTCAACAATTCTACAATATCTTCCATTCAAAATTGATTGAGAATACATGGAGATCAAAATTACAAATCATTGAATCATTCCAAAAAGTATTAACTCTATTAAAGGAGTTTAAAACCATTCATGATATTGAATTGATTTATAAGAATTGGTCCCAATTACATGATTTATGTTTAAATAAGGATAATATTGAAAATGTTAAGATTCAATTCTTAAGATTGTCGTCAACTTTAATCGGTATACTTGAGAATTTAAATGAAATTGAAAAATTACATCTTGTTAATGAAAAGTTGAATGAATTTAAACTCATTGAAACATCGAATATAATTCAAACCGAATTATTAAAGACATTATCATCGCAATAGATGTACTACAAGGTTTGTTAAAAGCTCTTTTAAAGGGGCATCAAAATGTATAAAATTTATTTAAAAAAATCACTACTGTAATTTGTATATAAAAATAAGACATTAATATCTATATACTTAAAACATTCACTCAAAAAATTAAATTTTCACCCTTTAAAAACATACAATTCACGAGAAGATAGATAAATCTATTGACCACCTCTTAATCTTAAGACTAAGTGTAAAGTGGATTCCTTTTGGATATTGTAATCAGATAAAGTTCTACCGTCTTCTAATTGTTTACCAGCAAAGATTAAACGTTGTTGATCAGGTGGAATACCTTCTTTATCTTGAATTTTAGACTTGACATTATCAATGGTGTCTGAGGATTCAACTTCTAAAGTAATAGTTTTACCAGTTAAAGTTTTAACGAAGATTTGCATACCACCTCTTAATCTTAAGACTAAATGTAAAGTGGATTCCTTTTGGATATTGTAATCAGATAAAGTTCTACCGTCTTCTAATTGTTTACCAGCAAAGATTAAACGTTGTTGATCAGGTGGAATACCTTCTTTATCTTGAATTTTAGATTTAACGTTATCAATGGTGTCTGAGGATTCAACTTCTAAAGTAATAGTTTTACCAGTTAAAGTTTTGACGAAAATTTGCATACCACCTCTTAATCTTAAGACTAAATGTAAAGTGGATTCCTTTTGGATATTGTAATCAGATAAAGTTCTACCGTCTTCTAATTGTTTACCAGCAAAGATTAAACGTTGTTGATCAGGTGGAATACCTTCTTTATCTTGAATTTTAGACTTGACATTATCAATGGTGTCTGAGGATTCAACTTCTAAAGTAATAGTTTTACCAGTTAAAGTTTTAACGAAGATTTGCATACCACCTCTTAATCTTAAGACTAAATGTAAAGTGGATTCCTTTTGGATATTGTAATCAGATAAAGTTCTACCGTCTTCTAATTGCTTACCAGCAAAGATTAAACGTTGTTGATCAGGTGGAATACCTTCTTTATCTTGAATTTTAGACTTGACATTATCAATGGTGTCTGAGGATTCAACTTCTAAGGTAATAGTTTTACCAGTTAAAGTTTTGACAAAGATTTGCATACCACCTCTCAATCTTAAGACTAAGTGTAAAGTGGATTCCTTTTGGATATTGTAATCAGATAAAGTTCTACCGTCTTCTAATTGTTTACCAGCAAAGATTAAACGTTGTTGATCAGGTGGAATACCTTCTTTATCTTGAATTTTAGATTTGACATTGTCAATAGTGTCGGAGGATTCAACTTCTAAGGTAATGGTCTTACCAGTTAAAGTTTTAACGAAGATTTGCATTGTGTGTATATAAGTATTAATTAACTAATCGATTGATTGATTGATTGATTGATTGATGGAAGTAAAAGAAGAAAGGAAAAGGAGAAGCAGAAGAAAGATTATTAATTGTAATTACAAAAAGTGGCGATAATTGTATCCCTTTATATACTTAGTCGCTCACCTCCTCCTTCGCTCTCCCTTCCACAAATAAAACATCTAATTTTGGAGGATCACGCATCCATGCATCTGTTATGTTATGCTTAGTTTCCATTTAGTACAGACTTCCAGCCTTCTTTTCTTTCTGCTTCCCCCTATTTTTTTTGTCTGTCTGGAATTTTCCATTTATTTCTTTTTAATTTTATGCTTCTTAACTATGGACCGGTCACGTGCACTCTAGTTAAAAAAATGACTTTTTTAAATTAATACCGCAAACTGAGGACTAATTTGTCTTTACGACATGACAAAAAAAAAGAAATTTAAATTTGTATCGCATACTTTAAAAATTTTTTGTTTGAGTCATGTCATGCGTTTCTTATCACGATTATGCACTCGTGCAGGACCTTCTATTAATAATATAAATGATCCGTTATATACAGGATGTCATCTCAATTGAAAAACTTCACTTTTGTTTGTTCTATGATATCCTTCCCCCAGTTTTACTTCCTATTTTCATTGTCTATAACGTAAAAGCCTTGATGACCTTATTACTACATTTGGCAATATACTAATATGTTTATTTATGTAATATGTTATATATAGTATCAATTGAATAACCGATTAACTAAAAATTAAAGAAATCAAACCAGTAATTGTTAATGTTGTTCTCCTTCTATGAACGTGTTTGAAATTGTCGTTAAAAGTTTAAATTTTAAATTATTGCTCTGGCTGCCAAAACCGAAAAGAAAAAAAAACATACCATTATTTTTCTAACCGTTAAAAAACACGATTGATTAAAATTAGCAAAAGTATATATGGCTGACCATAGAATGAAAACTTTTTCACAAGTTGTATTGGCGATCGTAATAAGTCTAGAATATTTATGTATGTATGTATGTATGTATGTGTTTCAAATCATTGATTGACTAACTGTTTGATTAATGTTTGAAGTGAATGAATGAATGAATGAACTCAAGTTAAATTGCTTGAGATCAACTCAATGTTTAATTTATGACCTGATAAATAAATAAAGTTGTTGTTTTCATGTTAAGTGAATATACGAATAAATAAATAAATAAGTAAATGAATGAATGAATGAATGCGAAAAACGTTTTCTTTAATCATAATAATGATGATCATTATCTGAATATGAAGAAGTATTTGAATACGAATATGAATGACTTCTTGATTGATGGTGATTATTATGATTATGATTATGGTTATGAGAAGTTCTATTATTATGATTCAGATATGGATGAGATGAAGATGATTTAGGAATCATATTATTATTCTTATATGTGATAGTAGTGGTATCTTCAATGTCATCAGTATCAAATAAAGCGTGATAATGATTATGAGGTTCTGATTTACTTGGTTTATGATATGAATAATGGGTAGTACTATAATCATCATCATCTTCTTCTTCCATTAATGTCATTAAAGTATTGTTTTGATTATTACTATTATTATTTGAAGATGATGATAATGATGATGATGAAGGATCAGCACTGGTGATAAGATTATTATTCCCATCAAATGAATTTCTCTTTATACCTGGAGTTGATAAATCATTTTTTAATTTATTAAAATTTAATTTAAATTGATTTAAATTATTTAAATCATCAAATAAATTTAAAATCTTAATTAATTTAAATTTAATTGATTCTAAATATTTAATGGGAATTGATTGATAATTTTGATTTATTAAGATTAAATTAGGTAAAATAAATTGTTTATAATTTGCCTTTAACCATTTTAAAAACTCCACTGATCCATTTTGGATTAAGTATAGTATGACTGTTAACGTTTTTAATAATTGAAGATAATTTGATTCATCTCCAATTGATGATGATGATGATGATGATGATGAAGGTGATGCTGATGACAGATTTAATGATGATGAAGGTAATGAAAATGATCGTTGAATCAATGGTGGTGATTGATTATTCGAAGATTTCTCACTACTTGAACGTTTTATACTAAAACTATGACGATGATTTTGATTATTATTGTTAGGTTGATAATGATGATGTTCTAAATCGGTTAATATGGATAATCGTTTAATTAAGATTGATGTAATGATATGTAATGATGATTGATCGAATGTTAATCTTGATAATTCGATTAATTCATGATTATAAGGTCCTAAAGGTTCATTATTAGTGGCTTCAAATTAGGGTTCGTTAGTTAGTAATAGGGCATTTTTGGTTGTAAAAAAAAAAGATGTTGCACTTACCATGCTTTATTTTTGATTCGGTAGAATTGGTTAAATTCTTTATAGATTTGAATAGATTAATCATTCAATTACTATTATTGATAAGACATAGTATGAATAAAGAAGGAATATAAAGGAGAAGAAATTTAGGGTTAATTATATATACCTCTATAATTTTTGACATCTTTTCATCATCATGTTATAATTACTATTTGTAGTATAAATAATACGGTCTATTCGGATAATTGTCATAATTAATTAATTAGTACTGTACAGAGTACAGAGTACTGTCATTATCTGATAATGCTTGTTCACCATTACGATTAATTTTACTAACTGATCGGTTATATACAGTACAGGATCCATACTACAATACTAATCGTGATTCCGAAGGAAACGAACTTCTGTTTTTAAACCGAATCACTTTTTTTCTCGGTGATAAACTTCCATAAAATTTAAATTTTTAAATTTAAATTTAAATTTACAGTTTATATCTTGTCGTGAGAGGAAGGTTGAAAAGAGACATTTTATTTATTATTTATTATTATTATGTTTATTTTCGTTTTCGGTTGTTACTCCGTACCTGTATACAAACCACTGTGTTGTGTGCAAGTTAAGTGTGGTGGATTTATTTTTTTTTTTGGTTATAATGTCGTAAGAGTGATTATCATAAACGGAAAAAATAAAATAAAAAAAGAAATTTTAAGCATAGCAGACAAATTTTTAGTGAGTTATTTTTCTTAAATGGCGACTGCTCCTCATTAAACCTCTCAGTAAAATTGAGAATTTCTCCCTAAACGTTAACGACATTTGAAAATTTTTTTTAAAAACTCAGAAGACCATTAAAAAAATTTGAGTGGCTCTGGAGGAGAGAGAGAGAGGACTTTTTTGATTTTGATAAAAATTTCCAACTTTTTAAGCTTTTTCTTTTCTGGTTTGATTTGTTCAATTCATTGTTAGTTCATCATCGTCGTTATTCATCATCCTCTTCTTCAATCCATTCCATCAATCATCCAATCCATCCCATCAGAGTGATCTGTATCATCATCATAATATAGAGCCATTCCTAAACGCAAAGCTTTATAAAACAGTTATCAATCTTTCTATTCCAGTTCAACTTTTGATTGATTGATTGATTGATTGATTACTACTCCACACTCCACCCCATCCCATCTTATCCTTACTTATACTTGGATAGCTTCAAAGCAGTAATCATATCATTTAACTTATCCTTATCCATCCATCTATCTTATCTATTCCTTCCCTCCTTCCTTTAAAGTTTACGAGATAGATTCACCATTCATTCCCCCATATCCCAATCAAACATTCTATTTTACTCCTAGTTTTTTTTTTATTATAAATTCATTTTCCCATCTTATTTCTTGCTTTAATTATATCCATTAAATCATGAATTCTAATTGATAATAATTCAATCTATCTACTTACTCAGTCATTTTATAAGTCCTACCCCCTCCATTTTCTATCATTTTGTTGCTTATAGCTTTTATTTTGTTGGGTTTTACTAATTTGCCATTATTAGTATATTAAAACCTTTTTGCACCTTTACTTTTTCATTTTGCATATCATCAAGCATATCATATCACTTATTAATAATGAGTCAAGAACCAATCTTACCTTATTCCCCTCAAGTACCAACCACCAATACCAATACAACTACAACTTTCACTATTGATTCTCCTATAATATTACCTGAATCTCCATTTGTATCTTCTCCTCCATCACCTCAATTATCATCATCAGCATCTTCAAGTATAAATCCTTCTAATCCAAAAGATGAAAAACCTTCATTCCATTATGATTTAGAATTATTTACTATTTGTAAACATTATCTTGATACTAAAAATCATCATGGTTTAGCTTTAATAACTCGTCAAAAGGGGGGTACCACCTTTTCTTCGATTTAAAATTTGGCCTATACTATTAAAATATCATCCATTTGTATTGAATCCATTCCTTCAACCTGATGAAGATTTAACTAAAGGAGGTAAGAATTCTCATGGTGGTGAATCTTCATCAACATCTGGATCTGCTGAAAATAGTAGTAATGAAGAAGCTATACTTGATGATGAAGAAGAAGAAATTAAATTGAAGATTAAAAAAGATTTAAAAAAATATATTCAAAGATTAAAATATTCTTCAAATATAAATGTATCATCAACTGAAAAAACTATATTTAATATATTAGAACATTCAATTTTAAAATTTAGTCTTAAATGGGGAGAAATTATTAAATATGATTCATCATTAACTTGGATGGCACTTAATTTAGCTGAATGGTTTCCACCAATTCCAAATTCAAGTTTAGTATTAATGGGAAGAGATCATTCGTCATCAACAAACTCATTAACCATTGATTTATTTGATGATTATTCAAATTATATTGATAATATACCATGGCTAAAAGATTATTTACATGAATTAATTCAAGATGATAAGATTTCTAATTTATCATTTCATGATGTTTATGAAAGATTAGTATTGGTATTATTACATTGTCCACCTAAAACTCAAAAGAAGAAAGATTCTAAAAAGACTTCATCATCATCAATGTCATCACATACTTCTGCATCACCTGAATCTAATGTCACCACTACTGATGTTCCTCAAAAGGTTAATAAATCATTACTTCCATTAAATGGAGGTACCATTGAAGAACGAGTTTCATTTTTCATTTATAGTTTAAGAAAAGTATTACCTGAATTATCTCAATTTTTTCATGAAGAACAAATTTTAACTAAATTTGGTAGTCAAGATGATGAATGGTTGATTTGGTGGTTAAAATTTTGTGGATCTAAAGTGTGGTCAAAATTTGATAGAGGTAGAATTTGGGATCTCTTGTTAGGGTGGAGATTAAAAAATCCTAAGAAAGATTTATCTTATTATTATGATAAATTAGAAATTACGGATAATAATTTCTTAACTAAATTAGGTCCTGATATTTTTTGGTCATTAAGTAGTAATGAAGAAAATAATAATAATGATTTAACATCAACTGCTACACCATTAAAAACGAGAGAAGTTTCAATTGATAGAAGAAATTCCCTTCGAGATTTAGTATCGCAATTAAATAATGATTTATATTTGACTTCGGTTGATGAAACTTCAGAAGAATATTCAAGACGTACATCTTCATCATCAGCAAATTCAAATTCAACTACTGCTTCAACTATTTCAAGTGTGACATCATCAAATAATGCTACTATTAAGAAAATTAATCTTTTACCAATTCCATTTTCAAGATTAGATGCTCATGTTGAATTAATATTTGTATCATTAGCATTATTAAAATCAAAAGAAAATTTACTTGTGGAATTAGATCAACATGAAATCAGACAAATTTTATCAAGATTACCAACTAAATCAATCAAATATAAACATAAAAAACATCATGTAACTCATCAATCACAACAACAACAACAACAACAACAACAACAACAACCGTCTGATTCTACCACTTCTTCGCCAACTTCCACATCTCCATCAACATCAACATCACCAAAGTTGGATATACCGTCTCCTGTACTTGAACCAGGTCAAAAACATGAAAATATTATCATTTCAAATGATTCTATCAATAATCATAAAGTGAATTTCATAGATAATATCATTACGGAAGCAGGAGAGTTATGGAGAAAATGGTTATGGTATGAGATGGTTGAAGATAATTAGAACAACAACAACAACAACAACAACAACATAATACTTAATAATTAAAAAAACACGAATATATACGACTATTTTACGGACCCTTTTTGCTTTTTCCTTTTCCTTTTTGCTTTTTACTTTACTTTACTTTATTTTATTAGACTGATTTTATGTTTTTTAGTGTAGTGTGTTTCTATTGTTTTATTTCATTCATTCATTCATTCTTTTCTTTATTTCATGTATATTAGAATTCATATTATAAAAGACATTATTCACTTTATTTTAAACCTATTTGTAGACAGTATACTATTCTTTTTTTCTGTTGCAGCTAAATATTTCTCATCCTGAAAAAAAGTTGAGATGAGAACAGAAGAAATATCTTTAACCAGTTCAAATCAGGTATATTTCCAACCACAGATAACCATAATGAGTAAAGAGGATCTGATCAAGTCTGGCTCTGTCAAAGAGAGTAAGAAGGATAAGAGGGATCGTAAAGATGCTAAAAAGAATAAATCCAAAAAGAGATCAAGTGATGTTTTAGAAGAAGAAGTGGTAGTTGAAGATCAAGAAGAATCAAAAGAAGAAGAAGAAGAAGAACAAGAACAAGATAACGATGATGAGGAAGAAGAACATGATGCTAATCCAAAACATACTGATTATGAAGAAATCGCCATCGATTTAAATGCTGGTATCCCATTATCTAAGAAACAACAACGTAGATTAAAGAAAGGGAAATTGGATTTAGAAAAATTAGCTAAAAAGCATCCAGCTCCAAAACCAGAATTATCCCCTGAAGAACAAGCTAAACAAGATGAAGAAGAAAAGAAAACTAAAAAATCAGAATATGCCGTTTGGATTGGTAATTTATCCTTCGATACTACTAAAGAAGATTTAGTTCGTTTTATTGTCGGTAAAACTTCTCATATTGATGAATCAAATAGTGATTTAGTTAAACTTGAAGAATCAGATATTACTAGAGTAAACTTACCTAAAAAGGATAATAAGATTAAAGGTTTCGCATATGTTGATTTCGCAAATATTAAACAAGTTAATACTGTGGTATCATTAAGTGAATCTCCTTTAAATGGTAGAAAATTATTAATTAAAAATGCTACTTCATTCGAAGGTAGACCTCAACAATCTCCTACTGCATCATTATCGAAAAATCCTCCTTCAAGAATCTTATTCGTAGGTAATTTATCATTTGATACTACTCAAGAATTATTAGATGAACATTTTAGAGCGTTTGGAGATATTATAAAAGTTAGAATGGCAACTTTTGAAGATACTGGTAAATGTAAAGGGTTTGCATTTATAGATTATAAAGATGAAGCAGGTCCAACTGCTGCTTTAAAATCTAAATTAGCTAAAAAATTAATTAATAGACCTTTAAGATTAGAATTTGGAGAAGATAGATCGAAAAGAACTCCAAATCATATTAGAAAATTAGAAAGTCAAGTTGAAGAAGGTGAAGTTAGAGAATCACTGTTTAAACCAGTGAGTAGAGAAAGAAATGAAGGATTTGAAGCTCCTGCCGTGGATGCTAGACCTATTAAAAAGAGAGTCATCAGAGATGATTTCAAGAGCAATAATAATAATAATAATTATAATAATAGAAATAACAATAGTTATAATGATCATAATAATAATAATGGTAAGAGACTTAAATCTTCAGTTGCATTAGCTACCGCTCAAAGAGCAAGTGCCGCTATCGTACCTTCATCAGGTAAAAAGATAACCTTTGATTAAAATCCCCTGTTTCATTTTAGTTCTGTTTTGAGACTGTCTGTGTATATTAGTATTAGTATTTATTTACCTCTACAATAAATTATTTTACAATAAAATCAATGAATAATGTATTTTGTTTTATTATGATCTTCTTTTTTGGAAATATTGATAAATAATACAGTAAACATAATAAAACATGATAATAAAAACAACATATAGAAACAAAATAATAATAAAAATAGATATGATAAAAAAAAATGGTTTGATTTTTGAACAGTCAATCAAAACAATAATAGTATAAAAACAATATAACAAATAATAAAAATCAAGCAAAACATAGAAATAAAACGAATGGAGTGGAATGGAATGTGGGATAAATGCTAAGAATCATACTCATAGTAGAATATGTCTTCTTATACCCTTAATTTAACCCCATGATGCTTTTGGAAATCTTCATCACTAACTTCCAAATAATTTGGATCATTCCTATTGGCTTCGAATTCATCATCGCCAACTTCTTCATATACGGAATAACTTGACCATTCAGATTCAACTTCACCAGTTACACCATCTGGTTGATGACTAAGATTAACTGGTGATACGGTTTCTTCAGGAACAACAACTTCAGCAGCTTTAGGTTTAGATACTGGTGTTACAGTTTTTGGCTTTGGTTTAGATGGAGATGAATCACTCTTGAATAATGATTTAAAAGATTTGGTAATACTACTGGATCTTTTAGAATCAGCTTTTGGAGTTGATACTTTTGGAGTTGATACTTTTGGGGTTGAGATTTTTGGAGTGGAGGAGGCAACGGCAGCAGTAACACCGCCGACGGCAGCCGCAACTGCACCAGCAGCTGCAACTTTTGGAATGATTGATTCTTTCTTTTCTGGTTCTGGTTCAATAGATTTAGATTCAATTACTGGAGCAGAAACAGGGGCAGTAAATTCTGGAGCTGAAATTTCAGGGATGGCTCGTGTATCCGAAGATAAGTCATTGCTAATCCCTAAAAAAGGCTTTGATTCTTTTGCTCCACCATATAATTCACTATCATCATATTCAATTTGTTTAGTTAATTTGGCAACTTCAATTTCACGTTCTTCAATTAATTTTTGAATATCATCTAATTGAGATGTCTTTTGAACTTCAGTTTCTAATCTTGCTTTTTCTTCTCTTAATTGTCTAATTTTCTTCAAGTTTTCAACTTCTTCTAATAATCTTTGTTTTTGTAATTCTTCAAATTCTAATCTTGATTGATATAATTTTAATCTGGCTTCATGTTCTTCCTTTAATCTTTGGATTTCTTCAGCTTTAAGTTGAGCTAATTTTTCAGCTTCTAATCTTTCAGCTTCAGCCTTAGCACTCTTTTGATTCTTTAATTCTTCAATTTCAGCAGCTAATTTATCAGCTTCATCACGTTCTTTCAATTTACGATCATTATAGAGACGATCACTTTCTTCTCTATCGGACAATAATTGTTTTTGAAGCAGTTCACGTTCTCTAATTCTTAAAATTTGAGGATAATTTGGATCTAATTTCAAACGTTCTTCTTCTTCTCTTTCCGATTGAGATTTAAGTAATTTTTCCTTTTGTTCCCATTCAGCTTGTTCTTGTTCTAATCTAGCTAAATCTTCAGCATCCTTCTTAGCCTTCTTTTCTTTTTCTTCAGCTTCCTTTTGTTCTTGGATAGCTCTTTCTTCAGCTTCTTCAGCTTCTTGTCTTTCCTTTTCCTTCTTTAATCTTTCACGTTCTTCTTCTTCTTCCTTTTCTTTCAATTCACGTTCTTCCTTTAATCTTTGTCTTTCAAGTTCAGCTTCAACTCTAGCAGTTTCAGCTGCTTCAACGGCATCTGCTCTCTTACGTTCATGTTCTTCAGCAACTTGTTTGGCAATAGCTTGTTTATCAGCTTCCCAAGTAGAATAATGCTGTTTAGCTTCATCTAATCTACCAACTCTAGCTTCCTTTTCAGAATGTAAAGTGGCTAAATGAGCACCATAAGCACCAAGAGTTCCAGCTAAGACAGCAATTTCAGCGGTATAATTATCATGTTTAGCTTGTTTATCTTCTAAATCTTTTTTACTAGTGGCTAATTTAGAATCTAATTCTTCCTTGGTGGCTAAATTCTTAGCAATACCATCAGTTTTTTCAGCATGTTGAGATTTTAAATCATCAAGTTTTGAAATATGTTCTTCTAATTCAGCTTGTAAAGCTTCAATTTGATTGGATAATTCGGAATTTTTATTATCTAAATCACCCTTCTTTTCATGTAAGGCTTCAATTTCTTGAGTAGTAGTTTCTTGACCAGTCTTGGCATCTTCTAATTCTTGTTGTTTGGTAGCTAATAATTCATCATGATTTTTAATTAAAGTTTCTTTATCAGTACCATGTTTTTCAATAGCAGCAGTTTCACGATCAGCATATTCAGTATTGGCAGTTTCAATTTCACCTTTAGTAGTTTCATGGAATTTTAAAGCGGTATTTTCAGCATTTTTTTGTAATCTAGTAATATCATCTGATTTTCCATCAATTTCTTTAGTGAATTTTTCCTTTTGTTTATCTAATTTTTTAACATGTTTATCAAAATCCTCAGCTAATTTTCTTTCATGACCTTGAACTTTAAATGATAATTCCTTTTGTCTTTTAATTTCATCTTCTTGTCTACTTTTAGCAACTTCATCATTAATATTGGCTAAAACTGGAGCAATTCTTTTAGCAGCAATAGCTAATAATTGTTCTTGAGACATTTTTAAACCAGAACCTAAATCAATAACTTTTTTAGGATCATCTAATTCACGAGATAATGAACCAAGAGCAGCAGCATTTAATTCTTCATAACGACTTAAAAGAAGTGGTTTATCTTTTAATTTTTCATAAACTTCCTTATTAGGTAATTCGACTGGAACATATTTAGCTTCAGATTCAGTACCAATTTCAAGAGGAGTTTCTTTAACTTGTTGTTCAATGTTATCGTCACCAGCTTCTGGAAGAATTTCTTTGGTTTCAGTTTCTGGTTCGACTTCAGTTGCTGGAGCAACTTCAGTTTCTTCTTCTTCTGCTTCGGCTTCTGGAGCGACTTCAGCTTCAGCTTCTGGAGCAGCTTCTTCTTCTTCTTCTTTGGCTTCGCCATTTACAGCTTCTTCTTCACCTTCTTCACCTTCTTCGGCTTCTTCACCTTCTTCAGCTTCAGGTTCAGGTTCAGCGGCAGCTGCTGCAGCATCAGCTTCAGCCTTGGCTTCAGCTTCAGCTTTTTTGGTTCTTTCTTCAGCGGCTAATCTTTTAGTTTCAGCTTCTAAAACAGGATGAGCAGTATATTTTTGAGGTACTTTTAAATGTTCAACTTTATTTGATTCTTGGAATTGTTTAAGAGGACTTACTTTATTAGTATTTGGAGCTGTTGCTGTTCTTTGTTGTCTGAAAGGAGATACCCAATTTGAAGCGGTAGTTAATTTTTTCAATCTACTTTGTGGACCGGAATTGGTTTTCTTCGGCAGGAGGTTCAATTACTTCAGACATTATTAGTTTAATTAGTTAGTTAATTGATTAATTGATTGAATGGTATAGGTTTATATAGAAGGAAAATGATTGTATGAATAAATTGGAGATGGATGGGATGGAGGAATGCGATGCAGGGTGGAGCAAGGATAATGAGGGAGGGAAGGAGGGGGGGGGGAGGAAAGGTACGTGTCTTAAGGGTGACGAAAAATACCTTGTATGGGGGAGATGATGGGATGAATGAATCAATTAGTCTTACAATAAGTCAATTGCTCGAGTAAAGATATGATGATGAATAATAGAATAACTAAATGTAATTAAATTGAAAAGAAGAAAGAAGGATAAGTAATTAAAAAACTGAAAACTGAAATTCCATTCTGGTATTTTCCCACAATTGGAAATGGAATTGGAAATGGAAATGGAACTGGCAATGGAACTGGAAATGGTCGCTCGTTCGTTCACAAAGTTAAGCAAACAAAAATAAAAAGGGGGTTCACTAAAAGTAATTTGAGCCTTACCACACTAACACACAGTGCGTACCACTAACTAAATTTTACTGGGTGGTACACAGTAAAGCAGTAACGACAATTTCAATTTAGTGAGGGAGAGAGAACTTCCAGAAAACTTTAATGAGATAAGAGTTACGAGGGCAATCGAGGGTAATTGTTATTATTTGATCATGTGATGTAATACATACATAATATGATCGATTCCGACGAAACTCATCCCCCTATTTTCTTGTGGTGGGTTTATCTATCTATATCGTTAACTATATACAGTACGCTTAATTTTATGATAATTAAAGGGATATATGAAATGACGATGATATCAAATTATATCATATTGACGGACCAATGTACTTTTAAAAAACCTTAATCTTGTATATATAATGATGACTGTGATGATTCTAATTATTATTATTATTATTTAACTTATACAAGTTGAATTGACAAAGTTACTTATTATTATATATATATGACTCTAGTTGTTATACCCCGGAAAGCAACCATTTCTTAACCTTTATAGCAATATTTATATAATTAAACGTTTACTTATTACGTAGTTAATGATTATTATTATTTTGCTATTTCAATCAATTGATGACACTACTAATAGTAATGTTCCATTGACAACCAACCTTAGTTAAACTTGGTTGAACTAATTAGTTATACTCTGTTTAACAAATAGGATAAAATACAACCCTAAGATTTACTTAACTATTATTGATAATTACCCGCTATAAACTGTATAATCTAATCCACTTCACCCACCACTTAATTATGATAAATTAATAGATATTTATAATGAATACGTCATAGAAGTATAATTAGACCATGATAACTAATGTACAATATATTAATCTTATATAGTTAATATTACATTATCTTATCTAGGTGGATTACCCTTTTAAGCAGAGTTACCATTACCGCTAGTGAGACCCCATTTTAGTGATAAAATTTTATTTATTTTTAAGATTGTTACCGAAAAAAAGAACTCATTTTTAGTGAGACAGTGCAGAGTGGTGGAGGAGGAGAAGGAAGGAAAGAAAGAAGGACGAAAAATTTTAAAACCCAAAATTAAATTTATTTACAGCCCAATTTTAAATCTTAGACCTTCAAGTTTAAACGTGTAGTCATCTCCATCCATCAATCCATCTTATCAATCAATCAATCAATCAATCAATCAATTGACCAACTAACCAATCATTCCTTCTTTTTTTATGTACTGAAATCTCACCATCTCTTCCTAACTACCAAACATATTTCTTGTTTTGCATTCCTATTCATTGTCATCATCTTTTGATCTTGTTCAATTGTCTCAATTCCCGTTTAATGTATTATCAATCATTCATCTCATCATTGACTTTAATCTAATCCTTACCCTTTTACCTCCCTCCCAATTTTCAATTCCCATCGTCTGCTCGTCCTAATCAAGAACAATAACAATAACATTCACAATAACATTACATTAATAAACGCTAGTGGGGAATAACAGTAATCATAAAAAATCATCGTGAATAAAATCAACTAATAATCCATCAATTAAAATAATAATAGAATCAATCACATACAATCATGGCCACTTTAATACCGGCTTCAAGTGCTTGTTATACTCTACTGTTACCTCCCACTGAAAAAGATGAAAGATTAAATCTTAATGTAAGGACTGGTTCCTCATCAACTTTATATAATTCATTAGTTTTAACTTTTGGAGGTTTAACCATTGGTATTGAATTATATGAATTAACTATAGATGAAATTCATCATACTTTTTATGATAAAATATCAACTTCAAATTCAAAATATAAAACTTTAGAAAAATATCTTTCAGGAGAATTATTTTATTTAAGTTTAATTGAAAGATCTTGGACAAGAGTTGAATTTGATAAAGATGTTATTAGACCAAGACCAAGATTACTTCATCAAATTTGTGCTATCAATAATTGTTTATATTTATTTGGTGGTTTAATTTTATCAGGTAATGATTTACTGGAATCTTTAATTCCTTGTAATGATTTATGGGAATTTGATTTAGAAACTAAAAAATGGACTTTATTACATGATGGTAATGGTTATGAAAATGATTCAACCATCCCAATACCAAGATTTAATCATAAAATGACTCTGATTGGAAGTCTTACCTTTGTTAATAGAAAAGATCATTTTGGTATCTTTATTGCTGGTGGTAAAGATAAAAATTCAAATCCAATTTATAATAATGTAATGTTTGATTTAGTTGAAAAAAAATATGTTGGTACTGAACCAATTATATTAAAAACTTCATCCGGTAATTCTCAAAAGGATTCTCATCTTGGTCTTGATAATGTGGTAGCGAATGATGATCATGAATTAAGTGTTGATTATCTTAATAGTATGATTTTAAATTATACTGAAGAATTAGAACTGTCAACTCCAACCACTTCAATTTCAACTCCAAATCAACCTAATAATAATTCCCAATCTCAAATTCGAAAAGATTCAAAACAACCTTCAGGTAAGGTTGTCACTAATAAAAATGAAGTTAATTTAACTACAAATCATGAAGAATCAATTATAGTTTATGCTCCAACTACGAATAAAAATCCTGATGCATTATTAAATCCTTTATTATCATTTAAAATTAGTAAACATATAAAATCAGCTCGTCCATTACCAGTTCATAAAAAGAAAATATTAAAACATACAAAAGCAACAACAACAACAACAACAACTCCTCCTGTAAATGTAAAAAATACTTTAAATCAAACTGTACCTTTCAATTTACGATATCCAACTGGAGGATTATTTGGTCAAAATATCGTTATAACAGGGTTTTTACCAAATGATTTTGATATTTCTATTTTCATTTATAATAAACCAACCGGTAAATGGTCTCGATTAAATGTATTTTGTAATCATGATTATGGATCTCATCGATTTTGGGGTGGTTTTGCATGGCAATCTCATCATAAAGTAGTATTAATTGGAAATTATTTAACATCAAGAACTACAAGTAGTATTAGATTTTTTACCGTGATGATAACAGTTAGTTTACCGGTAACCAATATTCTTGCTAGTTCTGAAATGGCCGGTGTTCATCATCATCATCATCATGGAAAGAGAATTGCTCATAGACAAGTATCTCGAAATTCATTTTCAAGTGGTGCTAGAACAGGTGATGAATTAACTGATGAAACTTGTAGTAGTGTATCAGTGGATGATTTAACTGATGATGAAGGTTATGAAGATGAAGATAGTTTATCTGATGAAGATGATATTGGATCAAATTCAAAAACTAGAAGATCATCAAATTTATCTCAAACTAGTAGTGCTACATCTCCAACCACTATTTCATTTAGTGAATATGTTCATTATGCTGCTCCCAAAACTAATTTTACCAATATTAGATCAGTTTTCCCTCCTGCTGCTATAACTTTAGGAAGAAATGCATTTGATAGATATGGTGATTTAATATCTGATTTTGAATTAGTTTCTTGTACAGGTGATAGAATTCCAGTAGCATTAATTGTTCTTATGGAAAGATGGGGTAGCTATTTTATAAAGCTTTTAGCAAGAGGTTATATTCAAGCGGTTGATAAATTTGAATCTGATCAAGCTTTAGGTGTATTTCATAATGATGATAAAGGAAGATTAAGAACTTCAAAAAGTACTGGTGGTGGAAGTACATCAAGTTCAAATGCATCTAATTTACAATCTCATCAATCTAAATTAAAAACTATTGAACCTGCAAATTCAATTATTAGTGATTTGGGTTCTGGTTCTGGTTCTGGTTCAGGTTCAGAATCAACTTCTTCAAAAGATGAAGGTCCAAAGGATAAATTCTTCTTATCAATCCCAGTTCCACAGCAAGCTTCTACAAAAGATGCTCCTCAATTCAGATTACCATTTCAAGATACATCATCTCATTCATCTCTTAATATAAATAAAGATGAACATCATCATTCAAGTGATGAAAGTGGTCCAACTGCAACTCATGTTTCTGATGATTTGGAAAATACTTCACCATCATCTGCCCCTGATAATTCTAATAATGATGATATAAATAGGCCACCATTGCTGGCAAGTTCATCTGCTGTTGATCCTCATCTGGTTAATTTTAGAAAGGATTCAGTTAGTTCTTTTTCATCTAGTAATTCATTACTAGCTTCACAATTACAAGATATACCACCTCAATTACCTTTACCAGTTGATCAAATTCCAGCCGTACCCACTAATACTTCATTCAGAGCTTCATCAAGAAAGAATTCTCAAGATTTTAATTCTCCAAGAGCTTCATTGATTCATACTTTAACAGCATTAAGAAATATTCCTTTATCAAGATCACCGAAGGATTCACCATATGCTTCTCCTCGTGCATCTTTATCAGCTCAAGGTGGAACTACTACGATTATTGGTTCAGGTGATTTATATGCTAATACCATTCCAAGTTTAAGACCAAATAAATCTAAATTTAATGAATCATATAATGATTTAGGAACTGATCCTACTGATACATCAACAACAAGAAGAGAATCTAATTTATCAAGTGTTGATTTAAAGGAAGGAGTTCAAAAGAATTCATCGGTTTCAACTGTACTTTCTGAGCCATTTTCTGTATCATCTGAAAAAGATAGTCATGATGATGGTGGTGAAGATGATGAAGACTATTCTGAACATAATGATACATCTGAACATTTATTTTCTGAAAAGGAAGATAGACCAAAATCAGGATTATTTGATAATGTATTATTAAATTTTGATAATTTAGAAAATGATAAATTTCAAATGGAACCATCATTGATTCCAAGAAAATTATATGTTCCATTTTCAACTGTTACATTAAAAGCATTTTGTGAATATCTTTATACGGGACAAGTGGGGAATAAATGGTTATTAACTCCAACAGCTTTAGATAATTTAGCCATTGCTAAATTTTTTAAAGTTCCATTATTATATGATTTAATTAGTGAAGTTTTATTTGGTATAATTGGTAGAAAGGAAGTTTATGTGGTCAGAGAAGGAAATAAATTAAAACGAAGATATTTCCAACTTTTAGATGCTACCAATACTCCATTAGATCCTAAATTTAGATTCCCCTTAGATGAATATGAAGGGTTTATGGATACAGTTGATGATGGATATTTGGATATTGCTTTATTAAAAAAGACATCTAATATTAATAAACTTTCAGTTGTTTCGTTTCAAAGTTCAAGAAAGAAAAAATCAATTGCTTCATCCTTACATCGTCCTTCTGAAAGTGGAATCACTGAAAATGATGAAGAAGATGATGATGAAGAAGAAAATGTGAAAGTTCCAGTTAATGAAAAAGATGATGAAGTTAAAGATAATTCAACTGATGAATCATCCGATAAGAAACTTACTTCTACTAGTGAAGAAGATAATGAAAATGATATTGAATTAGGATTTCTTAATTCTCATGAAGTTCCTACTACAGGAGTGGGACCTCGATCTAAATCAGTATTTGATAGATCTAATACTGTTTATAATGAATTTGCCAATGTTACAGCTGCTGCAGATGAAGATGGTCATAATGAAAAGGATAAAGCTGCCAGATTAACTTTAGAACAATTGGTATCTCCTAATTCTGAAGTTCCAAGTGATTATATTATTGATTTGATTTATGAAAGTGCCGCTATTGTAACTGATTTAAAAATCATGTTGAGAGCTGCTAATGCTAGATTAATGAGTAAAACTTTACAAGAAAGTAAAATTGAAATTGGAGCTAAGATTCAAGAATTAAAACAAAAATATGAAGCACAAAAGAATGCTGAAAATTTAGCTAAAGAAGTTGCTGATACAACTGGGTTTATTCCTGTTTCTGGTGTTACTACTGTTTCAAGTGTTAGATCTCGTTCTAAAACTCCTGGACCTGAATTTGAACCTTTTAATCAATCATCAACTGATTTAAAACCAAGTATATCACAAGCATCATTAACTACGGTTGGATCAGTTAAATATAATGCATCATTAGAAAAAGTTAAATCAAATACAAGTTTTAGAAATATTGGAGGATTTACTCCATTTAAAACATCTAAACCTGAAAAGGAAATTGATAAGAGATTAAATAAAATTATGAAAAAGGAAGATAAATTAAAATCTAAAACTGATATTTATCCATCTCAAGATAAAGATTCTAAGAAGAAGAATAAATTTTTTTCAAGTAGTTCAACTAGAGTAAATGAAATTAATAATAATACTCAACCATCAGGTACTTCACCTACACCATCTATAACCTCAACTACTACCAATAGTGGATTAAGTAAGAAACATCATGGATTATTTCATTTAACGAAGAAGAGAGAAACCAATGATGATTCATCAGTTGAATCGGGACCAAAATTAATTCGAACTCAATCATCTACTGGGAGTATTAATTCATCAACTAGTAAATCTGATGCTAGTAGTAATGGTAAAAAGAAGCATGGATTATTTAGTTTTAAAAAGCATACTTAAATTAATTAATCCTTGTCTATATAATTCGTAAATATAAATATATAAATATATATATATAATATAAATGTAATGAAATCATAAGTATGAGTTAGTTGCAAATAGCAGCAAAATAAATGGTAGTTATGAACCCTGAAATGGACTGAAATGGAGAAACAGAGAGAGAGGGGATATGGATTCCTCATAGTTTAATTATAAATAAATATAATCAATCGACGGCTTATATAATTATTTATTTGGGTTATGGTGATTAGAGATTTTGCGAGAAATTGAAACACGGGGAGCCTTCCTAAAATGAATTAGTGAGTGCTTAATTTTATTAGTAAGTTTTTGTGGGGGATCCCATTCACAATTAAATCTCACTAAACTTTAAAGACACCACAGGGGGAGGGAGTAAAGGAGGGGGGGAGTGTGGAGGATTTGACAGTTAATTTGTTCCACAGTGCCATAGACGAACAACAGGGTTGAAATTTTTCAATTGCCACATTTGACATAAACTATAAATACAATGATTATTCCTTGATTCATTCCAATTGTCATTTCCAATTTCTTTTTCTGTAATTCAATTTCAAATTTCAATTGCAATTGCTTATTATATATCATCATGACTAAATTATCTAAAAGTACTACCACCTTCACCTTAAACAATGGTGTCAAGATCCCAGCTGTTGGTCTTGGTACTTGGCAAGCCAGTGAAAAGGGGGCTGCTCGTAATGCCACCAAAGTTGCCATTGAAAATGGTTATAGACATATTGATACTGCTGCTGGTTATCAAAATGAAGGTGAAGTTGGGGAAGGGATTAAAGATTCTGGTGTTCCAAGAGAAGAAATTTTCATTACTACTAAATTAACTAATGAAGATCATAAAAGAGTGGCTGCTGCTTTTGAAGAATCTTTAAAGAAATTAGATGTGGATTATATTGATTTATATTTAGTTCATTGGCCAGTTTCAACTGATCCTGTCACCAAAAAGGCTTTTGAAGATTGGGATTATGTTGATACTTATAAAGAAGTTCAAAAACTTTATAAAGCTGGTAAAGTGAAATCAATTGGGGTTTCAAATTTCACTATTAACAAATTAGAAAGATTATTAAGTGATCCAGAAGTTGATGTCGTTCCAGCTGTTAATCAAATTGAAGCTCATCCTTTCTTACTTCAAACTGAATTATTTGATTATCTTAAGAAAAAAGGTATTTTAATCGAAGCTTATTCTCCATTAGGTTCAACCAATGCTCCATTAGTTCAAAATGAAGTCATTACTGAAGTAGCTAAAAAGAATGATGTTACTCCAACTAGTGTTTTAATCTCTTGGGCTATTCAAAGAGGTACTGTTGTGTTACCAAAATCAGTTACTGATTCAAGAATTATTGCTAATTTAGAAACTTTTGAATTATCTGAAGCTGATTTCGAAGCTTTAAATAAAATCTCTGGAAAATTTGGTATTAAAAGATTCGCTAACCCACCATGGAATAATTTCGATGATTAAATAGATTTTTTGTATTAATTGTATTAATATATATATTCACATTTAAACTATGTTTCGGAGGTCCCCAATTAGGAATCCTTATTCGTATAGATCAATTGGCAGTAGGTACCACTCTAATTGTTCTTCTATACTTCCATTGACCCTTTATTGACATTGACTAAAAGAAATGTCTAGCGATAATTGATATATCGAGTGCAAAAGATTTTGAATGATTTTTCATTTTGTGGAGAAAGTCTGGATAACTTTCCGAATTAGTACATACCGACACATATGTCAATCAGCCTTACATCATCATTGTTAACAATTTGAAAACCGTTTAACATCAAATAGAACTAGAGGGTGCAATTACATTTATAGTTTCATAACTTGTGGGGATGCCTGGATAATTTTCTAAATTAGTACATACCCGAAAGACATCCGTCAACCTTATATCATCAGTATCATCACCATCACCATCATCCATTTATCCATTCTGTAACAGAAACGTTCAGTACCAATTGGAATACCGAGTTTAAAGATTTTGAATGATATTTCAATTTGTGGGGATGTCTGGATAACTTACTGAATTTGGCATATGCCCTTTAAGTTAGCCACGCATCACCTTCCTCTTCTTCTATATCATTCTTTAACAGAAACGTTTAGCTCCAATTGGAAAATAGGGTGCAAATACTTTTACGGTTTTGCAATTTATGGGGAGAACCTGGATAACTTTCCAAATCAGTACAATCCCGTAAAAACAACAATCAGTCTTTGGTCATCATTATCATTATCGTCGTCTTACATTTATCCATTTATCCATTTATCCATTCATTCGTTGACTAACAGGAACTTTCAGCTCCACTTACAATAGTGGGTGCAAGGATTCTGTACGATTTTGCAATTTGTGGGGAGTCCTGGATAACTTTCCAAATCAGTATATACCCGCAAATATGTCATTCGGATTTAAATCATCATCACCGTCAACTTCTTCATCGTTATCCATTCATCTGTAAGTGCAACTCATCTTGACATTGACTAAGTACAACGTTTAGCATCAGCTGGAATCTTGTATGATTTTGCAATTTGTGGGGAGAGTCTGGATACCTTTCCGAATTCGTACACTCTCGTAAATATATATACATATATCACTCAGCCTTTCATCTATATCATCATTATCCATTCATCTGTATATATACGGCTCGCCATAGAAGTTCTTTGTTCTTTTCATATGATTATAAAAATATATATTCACATAAACTGTTATTCGGACGTCCCAATTAGGGAACCTTATTCATATAGATCATCTAACTTCAACAGCTGGATATTCTACCATATATTATACTTCCATTGACCCTTGAATATCTATCTTGGCACAATTGTACCAAGAAAAACGTTTAACACCACCACCACCACCACCAATTGGAATAAAGAGTGCAAAGATGATTTCGCATTCTCTCTCTCTTTTTTTTAATTTGTGCGGGGTGGATAACTTTCCGAATTAGTACAACCTCGCAAAGATATCTGAGTTACCGTTTATTCATTTATAAATACGACACATCATCTTGTAACAAAGTTCTTTCGAGATTCTTTTGTTTAATAGAATTATAGACAATCAGGTTCATTCATACCGTTGTATCTATCATCATCATTTTCAAGGTTCAAACAATTATCAATGACTTCTGGAGAAATAGATCACGAATTAGTCAAATATGTTCGTTCAACTTTGAAAAATCTTCCTGAAACAGTTGAATACGATAAGATGATTCTGAGTATTCCTTACGATTGTTATGATAAAGAACTTCATATGAGAAGAAATCTTGCTCATGAAGTTGTGTTGGATTACGCCAATGTTAGATTGAAAGATTTTGATTTCGATTTAGAAAAACATCGTAAAGCCAGAGTTGAATATTTATCTAATGTCTTCGGTAAAATTGAAGATGATATTCATCTTGAACCACCATTCTTTGTCGATTATGGATTTAATACTATCATTGGTAAACATTTTTATGGAAATTTCAACCTTACATTATTAGATTGTTGTGTAATTACCATTGGTGATAATGTCATGGTTGCACCCAATGTAACCCTTACAACTGCCACACATCCAACAGATCCACAACTTAGACTTCAAGGAGTGGAATATTCCCAACCAATCACTATTGGTAATAACGTTTGGATTGGATCCGATGCAGTCATTCTTCCTGGAGTGGTTGTGGGTGATGGTGCTGTCATTGCGGCTGGTGCAGTGGTAACCAAAAGTGTGGAAGCATATACTGTTGTTGCCGGAGTTCCAGCTAAAGTCATTAATAGATTAAAACCAATTGAAACCTAAAATCATGAATATATATTCTATGTTTAGATAATGTATTAAAAGTTGTAAAATGCTATATAAATAGATTTTGTAAGAAAATTCAATCACGTGAACATATTTTTAAGAGGCTCAGTTTGAATTTAAAACTAACATTCTTGAGGACAGACAAGACAGATACACATATCCCACTTTTGATCAATCAAACCAATCAATTGCTAATCATGTCACATAACGATTGGAATAGTAGTTCGGCAACTACTCCCGATGCTGATGATTTCATAATACCCGATGAAGAATTCGAAGATTCATCGGCTCCAGTCCCAAAATCAACTCCTAATACAAATTCATATGGTACAAATAGTAGTAGTAGTAATACCAATAATAATGCCAGTAATAACATATTCAGTCAATTTGGATTCACTCCAAAAGTTGATTTATCATCTACATTTGCTCCATTCACATCTTCAGCCAACTTACCTGGTAATAATACCGTTAGAGAACGTCAATATAGTGGAGGTGAGACTTTAGATGAACCAATTTTGGAAACTTTAAAGAGAGATGTATTTCAAATTGGAAGACGATTATTGATTGTGTTATGGCCTATGCAATTATCTAAATTAGCTAAGACTCAACAGCTGAGATTAGTTGATTTTGCCTCTGCTAATGGAGTAAGATTACCTGCACTGATAATTGCCAATCGTTCAAATGGTGGTGAATTCGGAGATGATGATGAAGAAGAACAAGAAGCTACTACTGGGATTGAATCGGGTGATTTAATAAATGAAGGTAATTTAGAATGGGATTTATGGGGTCCATTGATCTTTTCATTACTTTATTCCGTTACTTTAGGAGTTACAGCTCAAAATCAACAAACTAATCTGGTATTTTCAGGATCATTTTCATTCATATGGTTATTTTTCATTGTGATTGGATTAAATATTCAATTGTTAGGAGGAACCATTTCATTCATGTCAGCCATTAGTGCTGCTGGTTATTCGATGTTCCCTATTGTAGTTGGAAGTTTAATTAGTGCATTAGTTATAAAATGGAAACTCCTTAGATTAGGAGTATTGATAATCTTAAATATTTGGAGTATTTATGTGGGTGTATTAAGTTTAAAATGTTCAGGAGTATTACCTGGTCGTGTATTGTTGGCTATCTATCCTGTTGCATTGATGTATTCAGTATTGAGTTGGTTAGTGGTTATTACATAGACAATTTTTTATAACTACTTTATATATATATAAATAAGTGTATATTGAAAAATAAAGCAAAAACTTTTATTTGTAAATTAAAGTCATAAGAAGAAGGAAAAGGAACAAATTAAAAAAACAAAACAAAAAATGAAAGGATGAAGGAGATGGGGTATATGATATGTGATAGATCAATCAATCAATTCTATATATGCTGGGGAAGTATGTAAAAGATTATAGATAAATGATTGGTGGAAGAAAGAATTAAACAATTGAAATGCATACAATGACAGCAATCGCTAATAAATGTAATGAAGTGAATGAAAATTGAGTATCAACACCGTTGACTTTTCTATTAGATGTGGAATTATTATTAGTTGAGTTAGTCTTACTCACTGATGATGATGAAGAAGACGACTTTGATGTTGATGATGAAGATGATGAATATGAAGAAGTTATAGTGGTTGGTAAAGATAAAGTAATGGATGATGGTGAAGATGATGAAGGAGTTGGATTTTTAATTTGAAATGAATTAATATTTAATTCACCAAATCCTAATTGTTGATTTGATAAATCAAAAATTGTATAAAATTTATTAAGAAATGCTGCTCCTAAAACCCAATATTCATAATCATTTATACCTTGAATTTTTGAAGCACAATAGCCTTGTAAATCAGGAGTTGAATAAGCATTACCCATGAAATTTGTACTTGATAAATTTAATTGAGTATCTCCAATATTAAAAATTATACTGGCATCACCATTGGTTGAATTACATGGGAATGCATAATTACCTTGACCATCAGTGATATAAGAATCACCAAATAATTGTTGATGAATGATATCGGCATCTTCAACGGGAAATACAATCCCAGTTGTACCAGTATCGATAATGGCTTGACGAGAAATTGGAGTGGATGATGAATTAAAATTAGAAATATCATTGATTAAATTTGATACTTCAATGTTGGTGACATTAATTAACCAATAAGAATTATCATTAGGTAAGATATCAGTATAATGAACTTGAGTTGAATTTGTAAAATTAGATTGTAAATCCAATGCTTTTGAACCAAAGATAATTAAACCACCAAAATCTTGAGGTAAATTATTGGATGAAGAATATTCAGTACTATTATTTATATCTTCATCATTAGCAGAAATTAAAAATAAGGAAAAGATTTGTTGATCAATAACTTGATCAACATAAAATTGATGCATTAAATTTCTTGAATCAGCAGTTGATGAAGAAATCCCAAGTAATCCACTGATATTATAACCATCAAACATTTCAGGTGAATCATTGGTTAATCCAATCGAGATATTATTAAAAGTTAAATCATTACCAAACACAATATCGATATTATTATGAATTAAAGAAATGGTATTACCAGTAACTTGTTGACCAGTATATGATAATTGAAAACTTGAATCGAGACTTAAAGGTTTGGAATAATCATTGAATTTATTAATATTGGGATTATTACAACCATTTTGATTACATGATTCATTATAAAGCCATGAGATAGCACTACCAGTATCTAATAATAATGGGAATTGTTCATTATAATTAGTTGAGGTATCAATGATTGAAGTCATTAAATAGTAGATAGAGTTATCAACATCAGTAAGAAGCATTTGAACATCATTTCCTAACTCTATTATGGGTACATTTTGATTGTTATTATTATTAGAATTGTCAGGGTCTTGATTGTTAAGAACAGTTTGCTTTCTTTGATGCTTTTGTAAGACTAAATTTTTATTAAAACTGATTGTTTTTGAGGTTGGATCATTAAGATCATCAACTCTGAAATCCTTAACTGGCCATAAAGCATATGACTGTGTGATGTAGAAGAGAAGTGTTAGTATACTAGACACTTTCATGATATGTTATTATTATTATTATTATTATTATTATTATTGTTGATGAAATGAATGAATGAATGTGATGATGCAAATGGTATAATTATGTATAAGAATGGGTAATAGTTGAAGATATGATTGACTTATATGCTTATGAATGATAGAGACGAATGCGTACGAATGTTATGACTATGGATGAATGAATGGGTTGATATAAGAATTTTGTTACTCGTAGAAGAACTTTTGGAGTAATATTTAGTTTACACGATTGCAGTAATGTTTTTTGATACGATGAAGTTGGGCGGTGGGCGGATCTGCAAGGGTGGTGGTATTATGGATGAAGAAGCTTAGTATTAACTTCTTTGGTGCTATGAGTGAGAGGATGGGTGGGATGGATGGGTGGAATGGATGGATGGATGGATGGACGATGATATGATGAATAAGATGTATAAGTAGAGAGATGAAATGAATGGTGGTGGAAGGTGCTGCTAAAGATGAAAAAAAATTATTTAGTTATTGAAAATGGAAATGGAAATTACAGTTATTATTATTATTATTACTATACAAACTGAAATAGTCAATAGAAAATATTATTTTACACAAACAGCTAGGCAGTCTAAATAGGTAAATTAGTCGGTAGTGATGGGTGGGTGGGTAATGGTTATGGTGGCCTCAGTTAGATAATTTTCAATCTGGGCCAAGTTTAACACCATAAATTTTCGTTCTATTTGGTTGCGCCCATATTTTACCTAATTGGGATTTTGTGGATTTATTGCTACCATTTTGTGATGTTGTTTTGATTTAGTTTGTTTTTGTATACGCGTCTAGTTAATCATAGTTATACTGACCTCTACCTCTAACTGTTTGACGATACTATTAATAGTATATAAATCTAAGGTTGACGACAAAGAATTTCTTGGTAGAAGGTTAGACAGGGGTGTTATGCGTCCATTAATCATTAGTTTAACAGATAGCGTACCTTCTTCGTCTTCTTCTTCTTCTTCTTCTTCTTATCACTGAGTTGGCTTTTATTTTTATTTTTATTATTATTTTTGTTCGTATTCTTTTTGGGTAAATGTTTTTATTGTGCTTGATTCAATGTAATTATATGATGTACTCTATTTACAAAACCAACTATGAACAATACCCATTAACCACAACAAAGGATCTAAAACAATAGTAGACATAAATAATATCAGTTATGTTTATTTAAAGAAGTTTCTTTTGTGTATTTGACCATTGCCTAATTGGGACATACCAAAATAAAATTAAATTTTTTATCGTAATAATCAAAATAATCAAAATAATAACATCAAAACAATATAAACTTTCCATCTTTGACGTTGTTCCCTTACATACATAGAGATAGATTTCTACAAAAGTAGAAATCGATTTATAAATCAAAATAAATCAATCAACTCAAAAAAAAATAATATAAATATTCCCCCACCTATTACTTAATCTCACTTGATCTTTATCCTTCCCTTATTGGCTTATATTGTAAGGTTGACTATTGCTCTATTTCCATTTCTTAACATTTTTTGTTATCTATTTATCTTCTCCCCACTATGAGTCCACTTTGATTCAACTCTTTGAATACAATGTGGTCAAGGGGTCATAACTAAAATACGGCTAAACCTTATCATAATATCAACTTTAGTCTAATTAATGTTGACGATTTCTGATCTCAATTATCCTTGATTTGTAATATATCTCTCTCTATATACTCTTGAATACATCATGGAGATACTAATGTTTGTTTTTGTTTTGATTTAAATTTTAGTAAACCCTTGTTAATGTTGCATTTTTAATTCTCATCTCTTTTTTTTTAGCAAACATTTTGTTGCAAAACTTTTTCGTTATGAAATTCATATTCAATCTTCCGCCTTAGTCCAACATAAAAATATTAAACTGAATTAAGCCAGGAGCTATAACTGTCATTTTACTAGAATTTGAAACTCACTTGATTCAATTATAACTTAAATTTGAGGAAGTAAAATTCATCGAACGATGGTCAAAATCGGTGGTTGTTTTTCGGATATCGTCCGAAATGTCCTCAAATTTAACAGTGATTTCCTGTCCACACAACTACTCAAATAACTTTAAATGAATTAGAAAGGTGTAATAATGACAAAAGAACATGATGACATCAACTTTAGGTCAAAATTCCTTCAACATTGCCAGATTTAGTCATTTTTAAAAATATAATTAGGACCCCACCCCACTTACTTCTCGACTTCCGGTTTAGTACTTTGCTTGCTTGTGTCCAAGTGGTCAGAATCACGGGCTTTGATTTGATTATAGTGTTTTGAATTTGAAGTTTGAAAATTTCAAAATATTCAAAGACATTTTCAATAGAATCATCCTGTCCCTGGTTCGAATTTGGATGCGCGCAAACATTTGAAAAGTATTATAAAAATTTTATTATGATGAATAAAATGGATGTGAACAATCTCTGAGTTTAATCAAACGATTAAGCATGGATTACAAAACCTGCCTTCCTACTGACAAAATAAAATAATAACCTATTTAACTTATTAAATAACTTTATTATTTTGATATCTTTGTCGAGATTTATTTTTTTTGTATTGTATTGTAGGTGATAATATATATTTATATTTATGTGACGAAAACTATTATACAATAAGAATATAAATCTCCTTAACCAAATATGAGTCAGTGGATGGATGATAACTAATAATAAACTATACATTTATAAAAAAAAATAAGAGTGATATTAAACAATTAACATTAACTATTAATAACGATAATAATAATATTAGTGCTAATCAGGATATAAAGGTGGCTTTTAATGTTTAATGTTTACCTTTTTGACGTCTCTTTTTTCTTTCTAATTTTGCAATTTGTTTAAGATCATCTTCACTTGGTTCATAAATATGCCATATAGTATAATGAGGTAATCCACCCACACTAAATCCCATCTTTTTAGCCATTTTACCAAATGCTTCAGTTTCTGCATGATTTAAAAATGTAAACGCTGGGAAATGAACCCCTTGTCTAAAAATCTTGGCTCTGGCTAAAATTGAAACTCCTCCAACCCCATCAAGATCAACAACTTCTTTAGGATTACCATTTGGATCTCTGATATAAGCTAAATGAGCTCTCCAGGTAGGATATTCAGCATAACCTTCAACAATAACATCATCTTCATCTAAAGTAGCAGCTAATTCTAAAGCTGGTTCAGATTCAATCCATGAATTTAAATCATACGGTTGTTCATTACCTAAAAAGGTTGGTAATGGTCTCCAAACATTTGGTACCATTACATCATAATCATGTTGCATTAAATCTTCAATTACATTTCCAGGACAAGTTTCAATATCAACATCTCTCCAATAAACCCAAGAATGATAAGCTTTTAATGCACTTGATGTTAACCAATTTCTAGCTCTACCCATCAATTTACGACGAATACCTTGAACTTTAACTGCATGTCTATCACTAAAACCTTGACCAATGATTTGACCAAAATCTTTTTTAAAGATTGATACGGATCGGAATGGTTTTCTATACCCCTTATGATGTTCTTCAGGATGTTTATAAGCTTTACGAACTCCATCCATATAACCTTGATCCATATATAATTGATATAAATCGTTAGAACCCTGCACTGAACGACTATTTCTTTCATCTTCTTCTTGTTTCAATTTATCAACTAAAGTACCATTTTGTAATGCAACAGAATATTCAAATACAGTTTCTAAAGTTCGATCATTAGGGGAACAATCAGAAACTAAAAATGCAATATCAATTAATGAATGATCATAAGTTAAATTCATTAAATTATAAAACGCCATTGGTAATACATTTTCAGCATTTCTTAATGGCATAAGGAATAATACAATATCACCCTTGGTGTTACCTTCTGCTGACCCTCTATAATCATTTAAATCATAAAAATCAACGGTATCCCTGAAAAAACTTTCAGATGCAGCATATTCATCAATTTCATCTTCAGCTTGTTGACCACTGGTATCTTGTTTCGTAACTCCATCCTTAGTGACTTTATATAAGTCATAATCACCATCAAGATCATTGTCATCATTAGCCAAAGATCGTGTCGGTGAACTTGAATGTGAATTTCTGAAAAACAATGCCCAGATCATCAATAGTGAAACTGATCCAATAAGTACTCTATTGATCCATATTCTCCTATTATACTTACGCGGTGTATATTTGGTATGTCTATATGAGAATGATGTTAGTATTAAAAGTTCTGATGTTTCCAATATATCAGATGCATCCTTTCTATTGAAATTGTTGAAATTGACCAAAACAACAAGATTAGGGAAATGAATGTCAATCCATTGTTAAGTAAAGCTTTCAAATATACATACATTGGTAAATCGGTCTTTTTACCGAAACTGTCTATTACCATTGTGTACAGCAGCACGTCTTATATATATGTATGGGATGATCCAGTCAGTGATTTGATAGTTTACAGTCTGTTTCAAACTTTAAAGTCTTTTGAATGGTGGTTGAATTTTTGTTTTGTCTGTTTGTTCCAGTAATTTTTTTTTTTTGCGTGTCTTGATTTTTGGCCTGCCTGACCTGTGTGTGGTATGAATTAATTCCCACACTATACAAAATAGTGATGGAGATCGGGGAAGAGCCATTGGCAAGTCCATTGTTTAATTTAACTATTATAGATTATTATGTATGTATATTTATATATAAGGTTATCTTTAATACTTGTGCGATGATCGTGTGCCGGTGCCATTCACTAAATAAAGGCTTATTTACCCACTATTTAAACATTCTCTTCTAAATCATTAATATCTGGTTTAAACCATTCTGTCTTTAATGTATCCCAACATTTTCTAGCTAAGGTAACCGCATTGATCTCAGATATATTTGATTTACCTTCAATGTAAACTTTTAATTTAGGTTCAGTACCTGATCCACGACATGTGAATCTAACTTGATCTTCACTTGATGGTAATTGCAATATAGCTGTTATCATTTGCGAAGTGGGATCAATCGGTAACAATGGTACATTATCTATTGTAGTAGAATCAAATCCAATGGTTAAATCTCTCCATGCTTTAACTTCGAAATCTCCAATCGTTCCTGGGAAAGATTGAGGTAAAATTGACTTTCTAATACCTTCAAAGATTTCTTTGGTTTTACCTAAATCTTTAAGTTTATAATAACCATTACATTCTTTAAACCATCCATATTTTTTATATCCTTGTTCCAATTTAGTTTCAATATCATTGGTTCCATTTGCAAACCATTCCTTATAAAGTTGTAAAAATACAATGGCACTGGATATCCCATCTTTATCATTGACAATATCAAACATGAATCCTATAGCTTCTTCATAACCAAATGGAACATAATACCCTTCTTTCTTTAAATCAATAGCTTTGTTTCCTATCCATTTAAATCCAGTAAGAGTATCTTGGAAATGAAAACCATGTTTTTCTGCCATCGAACTTAAAATTTGGGATGAAACGGTTGAATTTAAAAAGTAGGTATTTTCAAATTTGGCATGTTTAGGAATGATTTCTTCCACATAGTATAATGCAAATAAAAATCCAATTTCATTTCCAGTTAATTGTCTCCAAGAAGATGATCTAGTCTTGAATGCTGCACTAAAACGATCAGCATCCGGATCATTGGCAATAACTAATGGATAATTATTCTCGTCGGCGGTTTGAATAGCTAAATCTAATGCACCCTTTTCTTCAGGATTTGGGAATTTCACAGTACGGAAGGTAGGATCAGGTTGAGCTTGTTCTTTAACTGTTTGATACTTTGGATTTTCGTAATTAACAATGGCTTTTTCAAATATTTCTAATCCAATTCCATGCATTGGAGTATAGACAAATTCAAAATTTAATTTTGGTTGAGTTATAAGACGGTCCTTAATAGTATCGATATATTTTGTTTGTAATTCTTTTTTATAACTTGATAATAATCCATTCTTAATTCCAATTTTAAAATTACCAGTAACATCCCAAACATTATCTTTTATCCAAGGTTTTAAATTGTTTTCTATACTACTAGCAATCCCGGAATCAATAGGAGGAATTATTTGACAACCATTACTGTAATAAACTTTATAACCATTATCTCTTGCGGGATTATGAGATGCAGTTACCATCACACCAGCAGATGCTTTGAAAGTATCAATGGCAAATGGAACCAATGGAGTATGAACATAACCACGATCAGCTGCACTGTTATTTTCATATGCTGATGATGACAACTTTATCGATTCTTGGGATAAATTATCAATTGATCCCAAATAGTATACTTTAACATTTTTAGAAATTGCAACACTAGCTGTAAGTTCAGCATATCTTTGAGAATTAAACCGATGATCATAACCGACAACTATTGATAAATTTTCCCCTTTGATGTTATCTATCAAATATTGAATCAAACCTTGAGCAGCTTGTAATACCGTGACATCATTCATATGAGCAAACCCTGCTTCCATTGATGACCTTAACCCAGCTGTTCCAAATGCAATTCGATTGGATAATTTTCGTTCAAGAGTTTTATAATCATTTTTCAATTGTAATTGGATAATTTCATCTCTTGATTCTGGATTTATATCAACTGCAAGCCATTCGTCGATCAATTGGTCAATTGCAGCTATATCTGACATGCTTGGTATAGTGATTAAAGATCTGGGGTAAAACATTGAAATATTTGGATTGAAACGTTTTTCTCAACTCTTTTAGCAAAATTGAAAAATATTTTGCGACATCAGACAATTACCAGTTTTCTATAAAGATTGCAAAAGTAAGATCTATCTACATGGTTAAAGGCTTCAATAATTTAAATGTTATCAACTCTATATAGATTCATTCTTATTTAATATTACAAAGTTTACTACCTAATTATACAGTAATTCAAATTCAATAATTGATGATTTATCAGTCAATACAAAGAATTTAATCTCATTATTCTCCTTGAATGATTCATCTTCAGCATCAGTAATCAATTCAATTTGGGTTATATTACCGTCTTCTTCCTTTAATGAGTATTCCGCTATAGCCTTAGACCAAGATTTGGTCTTTTTGATATATCTATAAAGTTGGATTTTATTTTCTTCATTATAAGATATTAAAACTGATGATGATGGATCAATTATAAAACCTTGTAAATTGTCACCTTCAAATGTATGAGATACAACTCCTTTTCTTAAATCAATGATTTCAATTACACTTGAATCATCATCTTTCGATAACGATACTAACCAATACCCATTTAAGGCAAATTTAATATGGGATACAATCTTAAGTCCCACATCTATTTCTGAAATCACTTTCCCATCGGCCACATCAAGGATTTGGACTTTTCCTTCATCATTACCAATTCCGAAAATAGCACCATCAACATGAATATCTCCACTAATTATACCATTTGGAAATTTACTTGAAGAATATAATAAAGATTCTGTGGTTTCTTTTTCTGAATCATGTAATGACCAAGTATTGTCTTCTGACAAGGTTATATATAAATTCTTCAATGATGGATGTACTAAAATATGTGATACTTTTGCACTATGGTTATTTGGGAATGATTTCTTATTGTTATCAATTATGAATTTTGATTTATATGCTAAAATAGGCTCAGAATTTTGTTCTAAGGATACGGTATTAATCGATGTTATAGTAGTTTTAGCAGGAGTATACTTAGATAACTGTTCTTGAGGAATCTTCAAGTTGTATTTGGCTACTGTACCACTGGTAGTACCAATGAAAATATCTTTAGTAGATGGATCAAAATGTAAGGTTGAAATCTTTTTAAAGGGATAGTTGAATGAATTTTTGGAGATAATGGAAACTTGTTGATCAGGTTTAACTGAGAATGTAGGTTTTTGAGATTTATGTAATTTGAAAAGTTCATCACGAGCATTGTTTATATCTTCAACTGGTGCCTTGGATGATACTGAAGTAGGATTATTTTGACTTCCATTTTCTCCATTTATATTAAGGGTACTACCATTTCCAATGGCGATAGAAAGTTGTTCAAGAGCAGCCTTAGCCTCGTCTCTTTCCCGTATAGCATTAGCTGCTACTCTTACAGCAGCATCATGATGATAAAGAGCAGCACTCAACTCTTCTCGTGCTTTAAAAAGTTGTTTTCGAAGTGAAAAGACTTCTAATGCGATTGCATCCCATTCATTTTGGAATGTTGAAAGTAAACTAGGGATAGAAGTAGCAGACGGTAACTTTGGCGGTACAATGGTTGGAATAGATGTACTTATTGATACTAATTCTGCTTCCGTAAGTGGTTCATCATTTATAGGATCTGTTCCACTTGTAGATATATAATTGACGATATTTTTCCTTTCAAATATAGCACCACTTTTTGGCGATACTACTGGATCAGTAGGCACTTCTCCTGATATTGAACATATCATTATATCTTTATACTATGGTAGAATATTGACCTAAACTAAATTGATGTAGTCAAGTATATTTTGTTTAGTTTGTAAAGAGTTTAAAAACGAAAAAAAAACTTTGGTTGCGCACTACCAAATTATTTTCAATTATAATGTATAGACCTTTGTACAAACTACTGTTATCTACAAAGTTGCAAAATTGATAAAATATTAGTTTTAAAAGAACCGAGAATTGACCTATCAATTAAATCGAAATAATAATATACACAATGTTTAAACATAATTAAGGAGGGGAAGGAAATAGAGTAACGAAGAATTGAAAAAAGGAGTGATGAAATTAATGAACTGTTGATGAGGTTATGAAGATGATGATCGTTTCACATGATTTAATCTGATTCATCATCATACATTTCTTTATGTTCATAAGCAGCAGCAGGAGCAACGGCTCTGTACCTTCTACGACCAGTACCGAATAAACCACAACAATGACCCAATAAGTTAAATATAACTACTAGTAATGCTGCAACGACGGATGACCAAAGGAAGGCATATAAATTGATGGATAAGAAAGCTTTAATACCGAATTCAGTCGTATTATCATTAATTTGACTTCTGGTGAAATAATAAGCTCCGGTAGCTAAACCAGCACCAACTATGGAAAGGATGAAAATAAGTAATTCGAATGAAAAATTCAAGAATGAAAGACAGCAATTATCAGGAGAGAAACAACAACCGAATAATTGAAGAATAACGGAAATGAATGATAATACAGCCACAGCTAATATTATCCCAAATGAAGCGACAGTTAAACCATTAAGTAAAGTAAGTTGAGCTTTTAAATCACCTGGTAAATTCAAGTTATCCCAAGTAAGATTTTGTAATAAGAGTTGTAAAGCAGTTGTAGCCGCTTGAGTTAAAATTGGAGAAACTTCAGTACTAGCACCTTCGATTGTATTATTTAATTTATTTCCAATTTCAGTTTTAAAGATTACGAGGGGGTCGAATTTGAAACCTGCTTTTGGAGGGGAACACCAAGTATAATTGACATGACTATTATCAAAAGGTTTTAATACTGAACCTAAAGTACCACCATAAGCTTCTTCTTTAAGAACGTAACCTTTACAATAACCCCAATAACCAATTTGATAAACATCAGCAAGACCTAATTCAGCATAAGTAAAACCACTAGTAACTTCACTAATAGCAGATTGAATCAGCAGATCGATATCACTTGCTGCAGTACCAGTTTGAACTGAACTCCAAAATTCAGAAGTAGCGGAAGCAATATCAGCACCAATACTTCTTTTATCAAGACCATCGGTAATAATAGCTGATAAATTAGCTTGAGTTAAATGGAAATTTAATAAGTAAGTGGAAGTTAAATAAGATTTGTTGGCGTAGGACCCTACCAAGGCAAACACTGAAAGGACAGTACAAGCCAAGGAGAAGACTATAAGTATGAATCTGAAGAATTTAAACATTTGATTGCTATGTGTCTAATATAGATCAGGATAAATGAATAAGGAATAATACTTTTAAATAACAAAAATCTGGAAAAAAAGTAAACTATAAGGGAGGGCCAAGTGGCTATTTATATATGACTGGATCAAATCAAAAGAACAATTAGTAGATCAGAATCACAAGTCAATTTAAATCATGATTCAGGTCCAGGTTTAAAAGCTGGTTGCTAACCCCAAATCAGGTAAGAAAAAATAAATTTTTGTGTTGTTACTAAAAATGGAATGGCTGGTTACCTTAAGCGGATAATAAAAATTAAAATTAGACAGGGACAATTTTGAAGTGAGTGAGCAATTATAAGATTGCGTAATCACTATTTTATATATATATAATATATATGTTATCACAAAGTTAATTTGGGAGATGATCTAATGTCGTTTGCTATTATATGTCACCACCTCAACATCATCGTTTGCATTACTTTATCTCATCTCTTTTGACCCCCTCCTATGACGATAAAAACGACAATGGTGTTCTGTGCTATTGTTACTATAAATAGCCAGCTTTAACATATTCATCTCCAACATTAACCATCCGTAATCGAAAAACTTCTTATTCGAATATATTATATCATATAAAATATATATACACTCCAAATGCATTATTAGTACATATTATACACAAGTTAAATAAAACACATCATATCGATATCGTAGTTAAATACCTACCAATACTGCTCAAACAATAACTTACTCTTCAAGATCATCAAACCCATCAAGTAATTGTTTCTCAAGATCGTCTACATCATCTTCACTAGTAACTACTTCTTCTTCTTTCTCTTCAACTTTTTGTTTCTTGAAGGAAATGTTTCCATTAGTGCTATCATGATGACCCAGATGTTCATTATCATCATCTTCTTCTTCATCTTCATCCGCTTCATTTTCAGAATCTTCGGCATTTTCTAACAGTCTCTTTTTTGCTTTATAAAGATCCTTTATAAAACTAGCACCAGTATTATTGGCACTATCTTCTTCTTCTTCATCATCATCTTCTTCCCCATCATCATTACCTCCATTCTCATATCCATTCAATGGAGTATCTTCATCTTCACTAATATCATCTAAAAATGCATCCACTTCATCATCAGCATTAGCAAGATCATATTCTTCAAGTGAAGTAATAGAATCAAATCTTGGTCTCTCCATTCGATTAGCTAATTTTTCTTTAACGAATTTTTGATATTTTTCAATATCACGACTTGGAACCGTCCATTGTTTTTCATCATCTCTTGGAATTAAATAATCTTTTTCATCTAATTTTTTCCAGGAACTTAAACAATCAAATAACCAATCTGGATTAACTATACTGGCATTAGGTAATGTTTTATTAGCAACTCTGGCTTTAAATGTTGGTCCTTGACCGGTAGCTGGATCACGACAAACCACATGAGTTATTTCAGGGACAACTTCACTAACCACATTAACTCCAAATTGTTTACACCATATAACAATATCAGCTGAATCGGTATTAATCCCTAATGGAATTATACCGGAAAACAATATTGTTATACCTTTAAGACAAGCACTTTTCATAGTGGGGATTATTTTGGTTAAGGTTGGTTTTATTTCAGCTGTTTCATCATAAACTTTATAATATTCAGAATGAATATTTAATAATACTTTTTTAAGTGATGATAATTCATTATCATCATCATATAATAAATTATCATCTTCATCATCATCAATATCTTCATCATCATCTTCTTCACCTGAAGATCCATCAGGCGAACTTGATCTGGAATGCGTATCATGTTCATGATGATGCATTTTTTCTAAATTATGTTGTAATTTAGCCAATGGTCTATCATTTTGTTGTTGTTCTATGGATTGACTTCTAGTTAAGGATTGTTCCATTAATAAACTGGTATTACCTTCTCCACCACCTAATTCTAACATACGTTCCACGGGTGAAGGATTATCTATTTCTTCTTGTAATTTAGCTGCTGCAGCAGCTGCAATTGATGAAACTTCTCCATTATCATCAATAAATTTTTCATCATCATCATCTTTATCTTCATCAAAGGGGATTTTTTCTTCAATTATAACTGCTTCTTGTTGAGCTTCTAATCTGGCAATTGATTTTCTCTTTTTAGTTGGACCACTTAATTGACCACTCTTTTTAGGTAAAAAACTAGAATTAATATCTCCAATACCAACGAAAAAATCATACGGTACAACTTTAATTAAATTACTTTCCCATTGCCATACATCACCTCTATCATCAATTATAGCCACCATAGATTGATCTACGGGGAATAACCGTTTTAAATTCTTATGAGTTAAAGATCCACTTTCATCTCTACTAAGAATTCGATCACCAAAATATTTCCCATTTGGATCTATAATTTTTGCAATGGCTAAAGCATAATTTCGAGTAGCCATAGTATAAATATGCATTTCATAAAATTTGGAAACTTCTTCTAAAAATTCAGATAATCCAGGTCTAACTTTAACATAATACCAACATTTTGTAGGAGGAAGTTTTGGTCCTGTCCAACCTGGTGGGACCATTGGTTCTTCTTCTAATACAAATGTCCTAACATCTTTAATAGCAGGATAATTTGGATTAGTGGGATCTTGTTGCCATTCACCAACTGTTGGGTCGACAGTAGCATGAATAACAGTTTGATCAAGATCAACCACTAAGATCAATTTTTGTTCTTTAGCAAGTCTATCAGTACTGTTTTGTTCTATTTTAGCAGCTTCATCAAGACTTATTTTCAAGCCTGTATTATCATAAGACATAGAGATAGTGGCTCTATCTTCATAGTTATAACCGGTATAATCTTTTTCATCTTCAATGGCTTTCCCACATAAAGCACATAATCCACCATATTGAACGGTATGAGTACATGGTTCCTTTATAGAACATAATTCAACGCCACTATGTTGGATTTCTTCTTGAACGGCGATATTTATGGTTTCGATTTCACCTTCAATCGGACTTTCAAATGAACCTATTCTTTCCACTCGAATTTTGGGTGGTACTTCATCTTTTGAATTAGGGTCATCTTGATAATCCCAATATTTATATTTAAAGATAGTCTTATGTTTCAGGATGGTTTCACCAACCGTGCACAAGATGGATGTGACGGTGACAGGGAATGGAACTGACTTAGGCAATGTTATAGGAGTCAGTTCCGACATGGAGGGGTGGAGGGGGGACACTTGAGATTTTTGTTTGGAATTGTGGTCTTAGCCTTTCGTGTTTGGGGAGGAGGAGGGGAGGCAATGAGGGACTTGAAATATTTAGAGTCACGCAATCAATTGTTCATTCAATGAATCAAGACTTGGCTCTATGGTGTGGAATAGATTGTGATATGTGTGTATGTGGATGTGGATAAATGGTGTTGTATATATCAGTGGTTGCTCTTAGAATTGTATGTTGAATTGTTTATTTGTTTGTTTAGCTTACAGTTTGGGTTTGGTGGAGTTATTATTATTAATTTTTCTGATGATGAGAATTTTAAGTTTTTAAATTAAACTGAGTGAGACAAACAATGCTTGTCATTTTTAATTATTGTCATGTCATTTTTTTCTTTTGACAATTTATGACAAATATTTCATATATGAAATATATGGACATCTAATTACTTAAGAATGGTATGAGTAGAGAGACCTTATTACGATCATTGGGTGATAGTCATTGTCATCTAGATGTCAATTGTTCTAATGATGATATCGATCAATTGGCACAGTTATTCAATTCTCCTCATTTTGTGGTTAATAATAGGATCAACTATTTTCATATCATGACCACTTATCATTTGGATCTACAATTATTAGATCGATTATTAAATCAATTGAATGATAATATAGTGGTTCCTTATTTTGGAGTTCATCCCTGGTATTCTCATTTATTTACCACTGTTAAATATGATGTAAATGATAATGATAATATCAAACAACTTCATTATAATTCTGTTCTAAATCCACCTCCATCTCCTGAATTATTACAAATATTACCTGATCCTATAAATCTTGATGATCATATCAATAACATAGAGACATTAATTACCACCTATCAATCGAAATTCACTTATGGTATAGGTGAAATTGGATTAGATAAATTATTTAGAGTTCCCATGAATGGATATTTTGGTAATCAAATGTATCCCAATAATGGAGATATTAAATTATCTCCATGTAAAGTAACTATAGATCATCAACTTAAAGTATTTGAACTTCAATTATCATTAGCAAATCGATTACATAAACAAATCTCGGTTCATTGTGTTAAAGCTCATGGATTATTATTTGATACTATACCGAAATATACTAATATTTCGAATATTATCTTACATTCATTTAGTGGATCAATTGATCAAGGTATTAGATGGATAAATCAATATAAATCAAATAATCAACAACGATTATATTTTTCATTTTCAAATTGGATTAATGGGGCTGATAATAAACGAGATTTACTTCAAAATTTAATCCCAAAATTAAATCAAAATCAAATTTTAATTGAAACTGATATTTCAATTGATAGATTCTTATTACAAAAGTCTACAATGGCTACACAAGATGAATATTTTCAACATCTTATTGATATTTACACAAAAATTTGTCATATTAGAGATTGGAAACCTTATGAAATGAACGATTCAATCCTTCAAAATTTAACACATTCAATTATATAGAAATTAGATAATAAACGTTAAATTATTTATAATCTTGATTTAATAATGTCAACAAATTCTGGTTTTAAAGAGGCACCACCAACTAAGAAACCATCAACATCAACTTTATCTTTGAAATCTGGAGCATTCTTACCATTAACTGAACCACCATATAAAATTCTAACTTTACCAGCTTGTTCAGCACCAATAGTTTTAACTAAATGTTCTCTAATACCTTTATGAGTATCTTGAGCATCTTGAGCAGTGGCAGCTAAACCAGTACCAATGGCCCAAACTGGTTCATAAGCTACGACAATATTAGTCCAATCAGAAACAATTTTAGAAACAGCATCTAATTGTCTAGCAGTAACTTCTAAAGTAATACCACCTTGTCTTTCTTCTAAAGTTTCACCAATACATAAAATAACAGAAACACCAGAATCTAAAGCAAATTTGGTTTTTTCAGCAATGAATTCATCAGATTCTTTAATGATGGTTCTTCTTTCAGAATGACCAGTTAAAGTCCAATGAACTCCTAAATCTTTTAATTGTTGAGGAGAAATTTCACCAGTATAAGCACCAGAAGCTTTATTAAAGACATTTTGAGATGAAATAAATACTGTTTTTTGTTTATTTTCAGCAACGGCTAAACTTAAATAAGGAGCAGGAGGAGCAATAACAACTTCAACATTTGAAGGTAATTCAGCTTTATTTAAATTATCAATGATAGAAGTAAGGGATTCCTTGGTACCATTCATTTTGAAGTTACCACCGACGAAGAATTGACGAGCCATTGTTATAGATTAGTGATGTGATTGAGTTAGTATGAGATCAATTGAATTGAATTGAATTAAATTAAAACAGATCAAAAGAAAGAGAGAAAGAAGAAGAGGTGAAAATTGGAAATGATATTTTAATTATATAATTTAATTGGATTGGATTGTTCGTTCATATTTTCACGCACCACCCTCCCACTCATAGTTAATTTCTGTATAGTAGTTAAATTGTGTAAGGTCTCACCATCAGTTGATGAGGGAAGGAAAGGATCATTCTGTTCCGGGGGAGTCGCAATGCGAATACGGTACGGTAGTGAAATTCCGGGTCTTGAGCTCTTACTTTTTTATTTAGTGGTGCTAGTGGTTTTTTTCCCTGGCAGGTCAGTAGCACCACTCACCACTGCCAGTAATTTCCAGGGAGGACACAGAAATATAAAAATACGTCACTAAAAATTTAGTGAGAATAGTAGAGAACAGATGTGGCAAGGTGGGGTGGGGTGGTGAAAGATGGGTGTGTGTGGTCTGCCTATTCTATTGTTTGGTCTGCTGTCGGTAAACACTTTCTAACCGTTACTTGTCTATTTACGACCTTTATATTTATAAATAAGTTGTTTGTATGTTTTGAATATTTTAAATTAAATTAATCACATACATACCAATATGACCATAAATTTTACTAAATTAAATTAAATTAAATTAAACTCTAAGCAGCTGAAAGATCTTCAGCGCTATTAACCACACTTTGATTATCAATCTTAAATCTTGATATCCTTTTTGATGCATAATCAGTATACCCATTATTATGAATCTTTTCATACATATCTTTAAGTTGTCTATTTTTCTCTCTAGTTGATCTTATAGCTTCTCTTTGAGCTTTTATAATACTTTGAATATCTAAATCTTCAGGATTTGATATTTTATTTTTAGAATTAAAACATACTTCATCTCCTACTTCTTTTGAAACTTGTTCATCTAATTCTGAATCGGCTAAATCGTCATCATCCCATGTATGAAGTCTTGTTTTTAAACTAAATTTTGAATCTTCATCCTTTTTCATAATTAAATATTGACAATGAGGTATATTCTTTAATGATTCAAATTCTTCATAACTCCATCTAAACCATTTCATTAAAAATACTCTAGCCCAAACTCCATGAGTTACTAAGACTAAAATATTTGGAAAATCATCTTGTTGAAATTGTCTAAATAAAGTTTCATTAAAACTTGAAATTCGATCATAAACATCAGCTGCACTTTCACCATGAGGAATTCTATAAAAGAAATGACCATAATGAGCTCTTTCTTCCCAAATTTTTTCCATTTCTTCAGCTGTACTTTGAAAATTTCCAAAATCTTGTTCTCTCATTCTTGGTTCTTCTTTAATATCATATTCAACTCCTTCAACATCTTTTATCCCTTCAACTATATTATTACATGTTTGTCGAGCTCTTAAATAAGGTGAAGTATAAAACATTACTGATCTAGCATTCTTCTTAGGTGATTCTTCACAAATACTTAATTGTTCAAGGAAATCCTTTAGTACTGCTCCAGCAGCTGTAGCTTGATAATGACCTTGAGATGTTAAACAAACTTTATGATTGGGAGTATATCTATTAACTGATTTATCACAATTTCCTTCAGATTCTCCATGTCTGACTAATAATATATACTATAACGGAGGTTAGTTATATGTTATTGATTATGATATCGTATGAGATGACTAAGACATCCACCCACACAGTCACCATCATCATAACTCTAAAGTAGAAGCGATGGATAAAATATACATACTCTTGGTCTACCCATAATGGTTATTGTTGTATGAAAAAGTCTATTGAATAATGTATAATGAATAAAACTACTTTAAAACTAGGAAGTAAAGTAAAAAGAAAGTAGTAGTTGATATATCTAATTTTAGTAATGGAATTGATTTTAGCGGATAAAGACAAGGTTATTATAATAATAATAATTACACACACTAAATTAAAGTAAAAATTGCGATAGACCACAGTAAAGTCAGTAACGTCAGCTAAACTGTCTCCCTAAAAATTTATTTATCATTCATGACTAAACTGCGAAAATTGTTACACATCGCTTTAACGGATGTTTTCATATCATATTATATTATATCATATCATAATCTCTTACATCTCGTATGACTTAACTAGTCATGTATGATAGGATATCGTAAATATAGATCCATACATCTTATGTGTGGACTTCCTTTTACAAAGCCTCTTGTTTGGACCTACCTCCCAATACTAAAAGTGGGGTTAAACAATATACACAAACGTATGATTTATATTAATTATATATATATAGGTATATATATATAATGAATTATCTAAATAATATACATGATGAATGATGAGGAGGAGGAGGAGGAGGAGGATGAACTGAAGAAATGAAAACGAGTTTAATTATTAAAGGTTAATTTTCTTTCAATAGCAACACTTTTAGTTAATTCTTCTTCACATTTCTTTAAAATATCATCGGCTAATACATCAATAGCATGACTATGTAACATATTATTATATCTTGAAGGTTCACTTGGTAATCTAAAGATTGATTTCCATTCTTCAGTATCTAATTCTGGATCACCTCTTTTAGCTCTTTCTAAATTATCTAATTTTCTTTGTTGTTTCCATTGACTAATTTTTGAAATTTCCTTTTGTTGTTGTCTTTGGAAATAATTAAAATTATTTTGATCATAATTATAAGAATCAACTTGACTATATAATGATTCTAATAATTGAGCAGTAACGTTTTGATTGGATGATAAATTCAATACATCAAATTCATCTTGTTCACCTTCATCTTGTTGTTGATTTAAATTTGATAAATATAAATTAACTAAATTTTGATTATGAATATTAATGGGTAATTCAGTAAAGATATTTAAATAAGATATTTTATTGGATTCTAAATCTTTTGATTTCCATTTCCCATCTAAATAAGCTCCAATAAATCCTTCTGATAATCTTAAAGCTTTTAATTCAATTTCTTTATTAACTGATGACATATTATGAATTAAAATAAATGAATTTTTATTAATCAATTGTTGTTGAGCTAATCCTTCAATTAATTGAGTAGTTATGAAATTACCAGCAATAGTAGATTGAAACCATCCTTGAAATTCAACTCCATAACCTAATTTCTTTAAACTTTCTAAAATTTCTTGTTGATATTTAGCTCCACTTCTTGATCTAAATGATCCACCTTCATATTGATCAGGATATGGGAAAGGATAGACATGTGTTATATCGATGGATCCTTCATCATCTTCAAATCCTAATAAAGTACCAGAAAATAAAGATGGATAGTTTTCAGATGTATGTCTGATTAATGATAATAAAACACTTGATTCAACATTGATTGATGTAGCAGTTGGTGCTTGATATTTCTTACTATAGATTTAGGTTAGTATCTTTTGAACGTGTCATATATCCCGCTGGACATAGTCTATACATACGTTTGTTTGGATGACATGATGGGTGAGGGTATCAAACTATCTATCTATATATATGTATATATTCTATCAAATCTATCTATCCTTCCCTTTAAGGTTCATCCTCTCAGTTTTAAAACTTTTCATTCCTTCAACAGAACAAAAAAAAAAATTATTTGGAAAACGTTATATACAGGATAATTTGAATTACATAATTTCTTATGTCATCATTCTATTTTTTTCCAATGAGTCGTCCTTTGAGCAATGGAAGAAACCATAAAAAAATTTTAGATATCTCTGAACAAGATCAAAAGATCAATCAGTTTAGATAATTAATTATCAAAACACAATGTCTGACCAAGCTGTTAACGAAGTTACTGAACAAGTCCAAAAGACTTATCTTGATGACGTCACTGGAGAACAAGTCTCCAAGACTGAATTAAAGAGAAGACAAAAGGCTAGAGCTGTTGACGCTAAAAAGGCTGCTAAGTCAGCTAATGCTACTACGGTTGCAGCTCCAAAAGTTAATAAAAAGAAAGCTGATGATGAACAAGAATTGACTCCAAACCAATACTTTGAAATCAGATCGGCTAAGATTAATGAATTAAGAGAAACCAATAATGCTGATTCAACTGCTTTAAATCCTTATCCTCATAAATTCCATGTTTCAATCAGATTACCTGAATTTGTTGAAAAATATAGTAAATTAGAAAAAGGGGAATATTTAAAGGATATTGAAGTTAGTGTTTCAGGTAGAATCATGGCTAAAAGAGAAGCTGGTTCTAAATTAAAATTTTATGTTTTAAAAGGTGATGGAGCAGAAGTTCAAATTATGGGTCAAGCTCAAGATGTTGAAAGTGAAGAAGAATATGAAAAAATGCATGAAAATTTAAGAAGAGGTGATATTATTGGTGTTACTGGTTATCCTGGTAGAACCAATCCAAAGAAAGGTGGTGAAGGTGAACTTTCTGTCTTTGCAACTTCAATTATTTTATTAACTCCATGTTTACATATGTTACCAACTGAACATTTTGGTTTTAAAGATCAAGAAGCAAGATATAGAAAACGTTATTTGGATTTAATTATGAATGATTCTACTAAAAAGAGATTCCAAGTTAGATCTAAAATTATTAGTTTTATTCGTAAATTTTTAGATTCAAGAGATTTCTTAGAAGTTGAAACTCCAATTTTAAATGTTATTGCTGGTGGTGCTACTGCTAAACCATTCACAACTCATCATAATGATTTAAATATGGAAATGTTCCTTAGAATTGCCCCTGAATTATTCTTAAAAGAATTAGTGGTTGGTGGTTTAGATAGAGTTTATGAAATTGGAAGACAATTTAGAAATGAAGGTATTGATATGACTCATAATCCTGAATTTACTACATGTGAATTCTATCAAGCTTATGCTGATGTATTTGATTTAATGGATATGACTGAATTATTATTTTCGGAAATGGTTAAAGATATTACTGGTGATTATGTGGTTAAATATCATCCAGAAGGTAAAGATGGTAAAGAATTGACTTTAGATTTTACTAGACCATGGAAGAGAGTTAATATGATTGAAGAATTAGAAAAAGTCTTTAATGTTAAATTCCCACCTGGTGATGAATTACATACTGCTGAAACTGGTGATTTCTTAAAGAAAGTTTTAAAGGATAATAAATTAGATTGTTCTCCTCCATTAACTAATGCTAGAATGTTAGATAAATTAGTTGGTGAATTAGAAGATGCTTCCATTAATCCAACTTTTATTTTCGGTCATCCTCAAATGATGTCTCCATTAGCTAAAAAGGATAGAAATATTCCTGGTTTATGTGAAAGATTTGAAGTTTTCGTGGCAACCAAGGAAATTTGTAATGCTTATACCGAATTGAATGATCCATTTGATCAAAGACAAAGATTCGAAGAACAAGCAAGACAAAAGGCTCAAGGTGATGATGAAGCTCAATTAGTTGATGAAGTTTTCTGTAATGCCTTAGAATACGGTTTACCACCTACTGCTGGTTGGGGTTGTGGTATTGATAGATTAGCCATGTTCTTAACTGATTCTAATACTATCAGAGAAGTGTTATTATTCCCAACTTTAAAACCAGATGCTTTCACTAAAGGTGAAGAAACCATTTAAATAAATAAATAAATAAATAAATGTAAGTAGATGTTTAAATTAGATAATTTCTATATATAATTTATTCCTTATAGTATTTTCTATATAATATATACATATAACTATAATAATAATAATGGTACACTATGATACAAGCCCTTTTGTTGGTTGTAATTCTCAACGTCTTACTAAATCTCCTCTTCTCTTCATTTCTAAAGCCTTTTTATATGGTGGAGCAGTTGGCATTTGAACTGGATCTAATCCTTTAACAGTACTATCAATATCAATAGTATAAGTAGCATCAGAATCACCATCATTTAAATCTCCACAAGCAATAAATTTAGCGATTTTTCTTTCTTCAGGATCAGGTAATTCAAAATGTTGTAAATTATAACTTTTACCAATATTAGCATCTTCAAAAAATTCTTCAGTTGATTTATTTAATTCTAAAGTTGGATTCCATCCTGATCTAGGTTTATATCCTAAACATACTATGAAGGCTTCTAATGATGTTCCTCTTGATGATCTTGGTTTGGCACATATCACTTTATCAAATAAATATCCTAATTGACTATATAATAAATCAATATCTCTACCTCTAAAAATTTTTGCAACAAATGATCCTCCTGGTTTTAATATACATGTAGTTAATTGTAAAGCAGATAAAATTAATTGGGCTTGAATATATTCATCTAAATCATGTAAACCAGTTACATCAGGAGCACCATCACTACAAACGAAATCAGCTGGTTCACCTCCAAAGATTTCTAATATTGATTGTAAAGTTTTAGGATGAGTTATATCAGCTTGAATAGTAGTTACCCCTTCAATCGGAGTCATGGGTTGTAAATCAACCGCTACAATCTTGGCATCCTTTTGATTTTGATTTTGATATAATTCTCGACTTAAGACTTGTGACCATGAACCTGGAGCAGCACATAAATCAACTACTCTTTTAACACCATTAAATAATTGAAATTCATCATTTAATTGAAGTAATTTGAAGGCAGATCTGGCTCTCCAACCTTGTTCTTTGGCCCTTCTATAGTAGATATCCCTCTTATCCTTACTTGATTTACCCATCTTGAAGTAATGAAGTGGAGTGGTTGGTAAACCTATATGATATAAACTATGACAATCAACTTTGACCTCATCATAGAAATATTTCACACCTAAAAAAATTTAGTCTGTTCAGTACGTACTGTACCAAAGACGACAGTGGGAAGAAAAAAATTTTGAACAAATTGAAAAAAAAAAAATATTAAATGGTTGTAAAGGTATTGGATCATTAACTTCAACAACAGACCATAGAAGGATGTTTGTAGTTAGAAGACAACTAAGAGTAAGTGGTGGGAGAAGTATAGCTTCATTCTCCACTGGTTCAATAATACATAAGAAACAAGATTCAGTCAAATTCACCTCACCCCAAGAACATATTGAAGAACAGAAATTAAATAAAGTTGCAGAACAACAATATCAACAAACGTTATTACAAGAAGATTTTGAATATAATCCAAAGTATGTCAGTGAGTCTAAGGTGAATCCTATAACAGGCAGACCAATTCCTATTAATGTTGAATTATTAAAATATAAACCCATCACTTTAAAACCAACTCATGGAAATGAAGTAGCTACTATTAAATTTAGAGGTTATGAAGAAGATTCATTAATTAGAGCAGGTGAATTTGCTTTAAGATCAGCTTTTTATTTAGGTATACCTACTTCAAATTTAACTAGTTTAAAAACTGAAAAAAGATTATATACTGTTATTAAATCACCATTTGCTCAAGCTAAAACTAAACAAAATTTTCATAGAGTTACCTTTAATAAAACTATAACTGCTTTTGATGCTAATCCTGAAGTGATTGATTTATGGTTATCATACATTAATAAACATAGCATAGAGGGAGTTAAATATGAAGCTAAGATGATCACTAATGAATCATTAGATTTCAGTAAAGAATTACAAAGTTTGGATGAAATTGAATTATCATCAACTTATAATGAATTGAATGATCCTATTGGTAATAAAGTTAAGGAATTATTACAATCGGATAATTTTAAACAATTTCTTAAAGAAAGTAAATAGATTAATTTATATTATTTAACTTGTACATATACATACATATAAAACAATCAATAACAAACCAATTATATATTTTATCCATAATTCTGCCAATCATCATCTTCTTCTTCTTCATCTTCCTCTTCTAATCGTTTCAATTCAGCAGCAAGTTTCTCACGTCTAAATTTATCAGCCTCCAATACATCAAATCTACATAATGGACAGGTTGAATTAAATTTTAACCAAGGACCAATACATTCTAAATCAAATATATGATCCACTTTAGTATGAAGACAAGGTAATTTTACAATCAAAGGATATTTATTATCGACGAATTTATTAGTACAGATGGGACAATCAGCATCTGGTTTAAGTTTTTTCAAATCAACTCGAGGTAAAGCATCAATGAATTCTTGTTCAACTCCTTTGATTTTTTTAGAATGGGGTAAATCTAAATTCTCAGTATCAATTTGAGATAATAATTGTTCAACTACTTCTGATCCATTTTCTTCATTTAACATTCGTAATGCATTGCTGACGATTTCTTCACTGGGGACTTCACTTACTACTCCTGTATTTTCTTGAGTTAAGAAGGATTGAATGATTGATGATAATGATTGATGTTGTCTTGATCTCGGTTGAGGTTGAGGAGATTGACGGTTGGAATTCGCTATATTGTGATCATCTATAGATAAGTTAGTAATAGTTCGTTAGTTATATCCATATGATATAGACTTACCTTCGTATGTAGACATGGTTGTAGTCCTCTTAACTAGAATAAATCGTTATCAAATAGTTGAAATCTCACTACAATTTTCGATTCAACTTGTGTTTTTTTTTTTTTGCCGCTAAAAATATATTCTTCCTTTTATTTAATATATCAGAAAATACTATTTAAAAAAATTACCCTTGGAAACCGCCGCCGCCCTATTTATTTAAACTCTATAAAAATCTCTCTCTTTTACTTCATCTCGTAATCATTGACTTTAGTCAGATTCCCAATCACTTCATCAATCTCATCGTCAAGATCATCATCATTATTATTAATACTATTTTGAACCGTTTGTTCATCAATCCTATAATTCCCAAAATATGAATCTTGTGCAACACTAGGACTTATATTCTTATTAAGATATAATGGTGTCATAGGTGGATCTTCTAATGGAGTTTGAACTGGATCCAATGTAGGTGAATCACCTCCATTTGTAGTTGAATTTATTGGAATTGAAGAACTAACTTGAGTTGTATTATTGACATTAGTTAATGGGATATATGTTGGATGTTGGGGTTGATACATGTGATTTCTATTTAAGGTTCTTTGACCATTAGGAGGAGTTTGAGATGATAACCAGAATCGAGATGGTGATCCACCCACTGATGTTGCATCTAAATAGGGTGATTCAGGTACTTCCATAACCATATCATTTGGATTTGAAGGTAAATTATTCTTGGTTGGTATAGTTTGAGCTGTAGTTGTAGAGTGAGACAAGATATATTCAGGATAATAATGAGTTACATTAGATGTAGTTGGATTTGATGATGCAGAAGATGCTGGTGGAGGAGGAGGAGGAGGAGATGTTAATCTTTGATATGGTTGTAAACGTTGTTGATTTAAATGAGTTAAAGAACCTCTACTTATAATATTACTGAATGAATTTTTTCTATCTATTGAGGTTGGTTGTTGTAAAGGAGGTTGTTGTTGAAAAGTTGATTGTTGTAAAACTTTAGGAGATTTTTGATTATATAAATATTGTTGTTGTTGTTGTGGTTGTGGTTGATGATGATGGATTGGTGCTTGTTGTGATTGATCGTGATTATAATTTAAAGATAATAAACTTATAGTTGAAGAAGATGGAAGTAATGTACCATCGATTTCTTTACCTACTGAAGTTGCTAATAATTCTGGTTCTGGATGTTCATCAGTATAATTTGATGATGATTTACTTGTCGGTATATCGATATTTATAGATTGACTTTGAGTGAAATTGGTATGGGATGAAGAAGTATAATGAGGTTGATCATTTATGGTATTATAATTGATTGAAGTGGTTGAATTTATAATATTTCTCTTTTCACCTGCTAATGAAGATGATAATAATGATTTCTTTGGTATTTGTTTGATTTGATTCGATGTGTTATTGTTATTATTTGATTGAAGTAACGGTATGAAGGTGGCGTTTGAGTTATTGGAGGCATTCAACATTAAACCAGAACTATCAATATCAACATCTTCATCATCATCGTCTTCATCTTCATCATCATTATAATTCAGTCGATTTGAGGAAGAAGTTGTAGATTGATTATTTGAAGTTGAATTTGATGATTGATCTACCAAAGATAGATTATCTAGTTTATTATTTATATGATCAGTTGAAAAAGACATCATTTAGATAGGTGATGTTTGGGTAGTAGTGGATGACAATAGACTAAATCTATCCTCAATAAAGAAATGAAATGGTAAACCCTTTGAAGATTCAAATAAGCAAACTTTTTATCAACAAAATCTGATGATAGTTCTAGGGTATAAGATCTGATTTTAAGGTTGATTGAAATCGTACTGTAGATTACGCTGATTACGATGTTGATCAAACCAAAAGTCAAGCAAAAAAAATCACTCAACTAAAAACTTGTTTGTCTGAACTGAAGTGAACTGAAACTTTTTTTTGACTGTCAGTGTCTGAACTGATTTTTCTCTTCTGTCTCTTATTTTTTTTTTCAACGCTGTGAGTTTTAAACTAAAGTCAACCTTGAAAGAAACGAAAAGCTATAGATGGTTTTATCAACGGATAGGATAAAGATAATAACGTATAATAATAGTTGATAGTAGATATAAATAAGATAATGAATTAAAAACAGAAGAAGATAAATTTATATGTTTATATTATATTATAAAGCAGAAACTTTCCAGTTTCAAAGTCCTCTTTCTCTCACCAGAATTAGAAATAGAAACCTCACTCACTCGCACAATCAGTGACACTTTCTGACACTTTAATCAGACATTTTTTTTTTGTTTTAATTTTTTAATTTTAATTTTTTTTTTATTATTTTTTTATTTTAATTTTTTTTTTTTATTTTTTTATTATTTATTTTTCTGTTATCTTACAGATTAAGTACAACCCCTTTTTTTTCTTTTGGTTATCTATTATGTGCGATAAAAAAAAGCAGAAGAAATTTCTAAAATAGTCATCTCTCTCTGCCTCTCCACAAGTTAAGCTAATTTTGAAGTCAAAAATTTTTAGATTGAGTTTCATCATCTAATAATAATAATATATAATATTGATAATAATAATTAATTTTTAGTACCGTGCCGAGATTAAGATAGTAGTGGATTACGTACATTGTGTTAATTACGTTATTAATAATGATAATAATTATTCATAATAATAAAATATTCTCTAGTTACCATGTGCTTTGTCATGAGTAAAATGAACATTCCTAATTAAGTAAACTTATACCCTATTCCTTTTCATTCAATTTATCTCTTCTTAACAATATATACATATGCGTTTAAAAAATTTACTATGAAACATACACATACACTTTAAATGTGACAATCATCATTTTCATTGTTGACTATTATTAATTTGTTTGATAGTCTATATAGTAATTATAAAAAGAAATTCCATCTATCGTATGTCTGATCTCCACATAAAACAATAAATAACTTATCTAATTATTATAAGACAATGAGTAGTAGTTTAAATATAATATATAATATCACATAACCAGCGTTAACTTCTAACTCTAAAAATAAAAATTAAAAATTTAATTTTTAACTCTTTTTTTTTTTTTTTTTTTTCGAGAAAAATATTTTTTTTTAAACTCAAATTTTAAATTTTTTAAATCAGACAGACAGACAGTGAAAAAAAAAGGAGTTTTTATTTCCCCTCTTATCTCAGTTTTTGTGGGGAAATGAAAAATTTGTAATATACTTACTGTCTGTAATTAATACCAATAGCTTATTTACGATAAGATATCATATAATAGAATATTATTATTATGTTTGGGTTGGGTTGCAAAACTTTAACTTATCAATCTTCCTCCTCCCCATTTTTTTCTTTTGCTACTTACTTTTCACAGTCTGATTATTAAAATCTATTAACTTTAATTTTATTATTCGTCTATAAAATAAAACTTCCATATTCAACAACTATAATCTAATATTCACCTTTATCTTCAGGATCAATTCTAAAAATCTTATCAGGATTTAAAATTCGTTTAGGATCTAAGGCTAATTTTAATTTCCTCATTAAACTTATAGTATCTTCACCTAATTCAATAGCAAGATAATTCCGTTTAGCATTCCCAACTCCATGTTCTCCTGTACATGTACCTTCATTATCTAATCCAATTTGAACCATTTGTTTAATCACTTGTTCACACTTCTTTTTATCTTCTGGTTTATAATATAAATCAGCATGAAAATTCCCATCTCCAGCATGAGCTAATATAATTGATTCAAATCCACTTGATTTAATTAATTGATGAATTTCATTTAAAACAGGTGATAATCTTGATAATGGTACCGCAATATCGGTAACCCAAATTCTCATATCTTCATCAATTTCACTTCTACCATATTCAATCATGGCATAAAATGCATTCTTACGAGCTGAAAATAATGATTCACCTTCTTCTTTATTTTTAGCAAATTTAAATAATTCAACATTATTATGATATGAAATTTGTTTAATTTGTTTAATATATTCATCAACCACTATTTTATTTAATCCTCCAATTTTAAAAAATATAGTTGGTTTTTCATCCCAACTTGAATCACAATATCCACTATATTTTAAACATTTCATCATATCACTATCTAAAAATTCAATAGCATTAGGTTGAATCCCTAGTTTGAAAATATCAGCAACAGTGTTAGTACTATCTAAAATAGTAGGAAATTGACATATCACAACAGTTTCATATTTTGGTAATACATGTAATTTAATAGTAGCTTCAGTAACTATCCCTAAAGTACCTTCACTACCAATAAATAATTGAGTTAAATTATATCCTGCACTAGATTTTCTTGGTCTTTGTTTTGTCTTTATAATAGTTCCATCAGCTAATACCACTGTAATGGATATCACATTAGTATTCATAGCTCCATATCTTGAAGCATTTATTCCTGAAGCATTAGTATTTATCATTCCTGATATTAATCCACCATGACCACAATCAGCTCCAATCATTAATCCTTTAGGTTCTAAATATTGATTCAATTCTTGCCAATTGACCCCGGCTTGAACCACACAATCCAAATCTTCATCATGAACATCAAGGATTTTATTCATTCTTGATGTGTTTAATATAACTCCTTGACGAGTTGAAAAAAAATGTCCTTCTAATGATGTTCCTCCACTGAAAGGTACTACTGGGACATTATATTTATTTAAGATTTTCAAAATCTGGGACACTTGTTCAGTAGTATAACTATATATGATGAATTGAGGTTTTTCATGATCTAATGGTAAATGAGGAGTGAAATCATTTTTAGTATGATGTAAAATTTCAACATCTTTATTAGTAATAGTAACTTCCGGTATTAATTGTTTAATTTCTTCAATGGCAATAATTATTTCAGCATCAGAACTATATTTCGGCAGTTCTAATTCTTGTAACCTCGTAATAGAACCTAAGGGGAATAAATTTGGTGGAGGATTCTTTATTAATTCATATTGACCATATTTATAAAATCCATACCCAGAAATAATCGCACCACCAGTAATACCAAGAAGAACATTACGAATAGAATTTGATTTTTGAATACTCGGTTTGGAATTGGAACTAAATAGTCTAGTGTTTACTCGACTGTTTAGTCTAATAAATGATTTAAACATGTATAATAGTGTCTTATCGTGGTGATAGTTTTCAGTATGTTTGATAGATAAGAAATCCACATTTTTCTTTGTTTGTTTAACCAACTGAAAAATTGCGTCTTAGAAATGATTTCAGATTTTCACGTGACTTGTAATTTATTTTCAATATTTGCAATTTTAACTTATAATTAAGATGAATAAACTTTTGTTTCGTGAATATTATTACTGTATAACGGTCCTAAATCATCAATTGTATCATTCTAATTGATTTAATTATAAAATTATTGAAACTTCTAGGTGATATGATTGATATTAGAAATGTTATTCACTGAAAAATCTTCGAAATTTGATGAAAAAAACCAACGTCAAAATGACACCACAAATTATTCAAATTCTCAAATAAACATTCCTACTATATTATAAACCACATTTAAAACCAATATTCATAGTTATTAGGTTAAAAAAGTCAAAATTTAATGAATTTTCATCACGTGATCACAAGAGGGGCGCACGTGCTACAGATATTTTTTGTATATACAAGACGCCTGCGTAGCGTAATGGTTAACGCGTTTGACTTCTAATCAAAAGATTCCGGGTTCGACTCCCGGCGTGGGTTGTTCTACAATCTTTACAAAGCGGTTTTAGCTCAGTTGGGAGAGCGTCAGACTGAAGATCTGAAGGTCCTGTGTTCGATCCACAGAAATCGCATATTTTTTTGCATTTTCAACCTATATATGTCATAATAAATGGTATATTGATGGTTTAGTATATTTTTAATATTTTAAAGTGGGTATAATAAATGTGTATTGTAAAAATAATAATGTACGCAGAAGAAGGGAAGAATTAAATTATAAAACTAATATACAGAGAAAAGTCACATTTAGGGTCGTCTTTGTTTTATTTGCGATCATTAGAATACCATAACCAAATTTTCATCAATATCATCATAATGATCTTCTTTCAAAGCTTCAGAATAATCAATATCATCTAAGGAATGTTTAAAATATTGTTCACTTTTATATTGATCATCATTTTCATCGATATCTTCATTATCTTTAACGATTAAAAACATGATATTTTCAATTAAAGATAATGTTGAAGTATAACTATCTTTCTTTTGTTCATTTAAAGTATTGATTAATTTTTCACGTTCTAAAGCTTCTAATTCAAGTGATTTTCGATTATTGACGGGCAATTTGGTAGCGTTTTCTTGATTTAGAATCTTTATAAATTCATTTATATTATAAGAATTTGTTGTACGATGAATCTTTTTAAGATTATGATGTTGTTGATTTGATGATGATGATTGAGATTTTCTATATAAAGATTTTTTATTTGATTGATTTAAGATATTTGGGAAATTTTGCTCAGTTGGTGAAGATTCATTACTTATACTACTTATTGAAGCATCAGAAGAATCAAAATCTTGACTTGTATTTTCAAAATCAGTGAATTTTATTGAACTTTGATCCATTAATGTATCTACTGAAGTTATAGTTTCTGGACTAATATGAGGAGGTGATATTCTTCCACTATATTGCAGTTTATGACTAACATTATCTGATTCAGAAGGATTATATGATATGATATTATTAAGAAACATTGAAGATCTTAAACCTCGAGTATGAAGTTGATTAATGGTATTTTTAGTAGAAGTCGCAGTGGCAGTAGCTGCAGTAGTTGAAACAGTTACAGAATGGGATGACGATTGATTTAAATTTAAATTCAAGTTTAAATTTAAATTAGGAGCACTTGATCTTAATTTTAATGATTTAGTTCTGGTATGTATAGGTGTTGGATTTATATTTTCTTTATCATCCGTTGATGATGATAATGATGATGATCCATGATATTGTCTTTGTTGTGCAGCTGAGGATGAATGAGAAATTGGATTCAATTTATTGGATGTATCAAACTTTTGATGTAAGTTATTGGAAGTAACACTTGTATTTAATGGTTTAGGATTATTATTATTATTGGAACGAGCAGTTGAATCCACTATGGAATGTAAATCATTGGATGAAGCTTTTCTAGATCTGAATGAACTAAAGAAATTGGAAGATTTCGATTTCCTTTGATCATTTAGATTGGAAATGCTTTGACTCCTTAACATGATTATGGAATTGAAGTCAGGATAAGATGTTTAACTAGCGAATGAAGGAAAGGTCAGTCTCAACTAAGAATCAACTATTTTGATTACTAGTTATGAAATGAAAAGAGAAAGAATTTGGAAAAGAGGTAAAAATTATCGATAATTGTTGTGTTTGTTTTGAATTTGAAGCTGAGCTTCTGAGTTTGTGATATGCCATGGAATCACAATTGCTATTTTGTTTTTTGGTTACAGTGAATTTTGTGGTTGATTTAGATAATAAGGAGTTGTTTTTTGTTTATATTTTATTAAGCGCAAATGCCCTTTTAACAATAAAAAAAGAAAGCGCGTCTGGGTTTAAAATTGTTTAATTCAAAATTTGTATTGTCAATTTTTGATTTCGGCGACTAAACTTAGTTTATAAAATATTATTTTATTTCATTGTCCCACACTTTCTCCTTTGTAAATCAGTTCATTAAGCGGGCAAAGTAAGCTCGTGTAATAAGGAGTACCTACTTCATTTTTTTATATCTATGTCAATTAATCCATCATTCCCTTTTTCCTTCTTCTTATTATTAAAATCAGAATATCTTCAATGGTCGCAGGGAATCATAGGAAATAGACTTTCCTAACCTAATTCTCATGAAATACGATAGCATCGTCATACGACTAGCGTCAATCACGACGTCCCATTGCAGCCAAGTTAACTATAAACTTCTTAGATGATGGTGATGGCTGGACCATCATGCTTACCAACACAAACTATTAAAAATAAAAAAAGATTTTCGGTTTCCTGTATACTCCTATCAACTCATACACACATTTTTTTTACCACATTAAAATTGTTTTGTTGTTCAATTTTTTTACTGTTTGCTGCTCGCTTTCAATTTCTTTTTATTTTTTTTTTTTTTTTCCTTTTCCTTTTCGCTTTTATTTTTTCTGTTCATTCTGGTTTACTTCCAGTGTAAAATAATAATATTACATCTTTCTTTCGCTTAAATTACGCGCGCATTAAAAAGTGAAAATTATTTTTTATGCTTTTCTTTTTTTTTTTTTTTTTTTTTTTTCGTTGATTTATTAAACGACAATTTCCGTTTAAGATGCCGACAGGCTTATATACAGGACTACTTACGGTTTATAATTATACACACAAAAAAAGAAAAAGATAATGATCATCTCCAATATCATTTATCTACCATATCTATATATATACAAGTTTTATTGATTATTCAACCCAATAATCATATTTATTTTCTTCGTTAAGAACAGTGCTGGCATCATAATTAATGGGTTTCGAAGTTTGACTACCTGCAAATTCCCTAATTCTCTTATAATCAAGCAATACTTGATCTGGATTAGCACCTTTAGATGCTTTATCAGAACTTAAATCTTCTAATGTTAATAATAATTCCTTATCATTAGCACATGTAATTAATTTACTTGAAAATGGAGTTTTCCCACTATATCGTTTGAATGCAAATGTACTCTTTTTAGAAATATTTTCTTTGGTTAATGGATTACCATTCTTATCTCTACCACTGAATGTCTTTGCAAGATATTGACTTATAGGTTGTCTAATCTTAGCTTCTAACCCTTTAGGTAAATATAAGATGAATGGTTCATTTGTTGCTTTAGCTCCTGTTGCAACTAAATTAATATGTCCTAAATTAGATATTACTAAATCAATTGATCCATAAAATGGTGGTATAATGAATCTTTGTAAATCCTTAATAGTATTCTTATCATATTCAATAACAAATTTATCTTTAAAACTTGGCATCAGATCATAATTCAATGAAACATCAAGGGCTTTGTTAAATGATTTAAAGACATGCATATCATTATTAATACAATTTCTAACTTGGACCATTGACAGAGTTGGAACATTTAAATAAAATAATCCTCCCATAGAAAGACATTGACCACCACTGACACTAATATACTTAGAATAAAACATCCCTCTTTCTTGGATATTAGATCCTTTACTTATATTCTTCATTGATTTAGGATCTTTAAGTAAATTATAAAAATAGGGAAGATCTTTGGAATTAACAAATCCAGGAACATCATACATTACTTTATTATCAGGTAAATCAATCTTCATAAATGATCTGGTGAATCCTGGAATATATGATATACCAGGCCCTGAATGAGCTTTAAAATGTTCCTCAAATTTCTTGATTTCTTTCTTCTTTCTCAGAGTCAATACAACATTAGCTCTAATGGTCTTCTCTTGTAATTTTTCAACATATCTTTGTTCTTTATTAGCTAATAACTTTTCTAATTTTTGCTTTCTTTCTAATTCAATAGTGAATAATAAAGATGTCATGACGGTTGATTTACCACTATTAGTACACCCCATTAGATAACATGTTCCATCAGTATTTATAAAATTTAAAACCTTATCGATATTCCAATTTGTTTTCCCACTTACCATAATTACATTTTCTCTTGGAATTCCATGCTTTACATTAAGATAATCTTGAAAAAACGTTAACCCGTATTTAATATTGTGTTCATTTGATTTAAATAATAAATCACTCTTGTTAATGATGAAGAAAAGTTCTGATGATAATCTATGTTGAAATATTTTTGGATCTAATGAAATAGGAAAGTCTTGGGCACTAACAACATAAACAATCTTTTCATTACGTGGAATTTGGCTAACGATACTATCTAAACTCATGACTGGAAATTCTTTAGTATCTAATTTTTTAAAATCTGATCTATAAGATGCATCACGACATCTAATACATTCCAAAGACTCTGGTTCAACTATTTTATTCTTTGTATTTTCCTCCAATATGTGGTTTCTGAGTACATCAGTTGTATTCCTATAATAAGCAGCTATATGCTTTCTAGTGGCATTTTCACCTAAGGTTTTAGTAAATAGGAAATTCTTATTCATCAATAATATTCGATCTTCAACTGGTAATTGACTATATTTATCATTGAACACCACATCCTCATGTTTCACATATGGCTTTTTATTGATTTCTCTATCAGCATCATTCAAATAATAACCTGGTTTAGTCTTATCCATAGTTTGCAATCTAATCCCACAAGAACGGCAAGTAGGAAAAATATTGGCCAATAATGCCGAAGTCGATGTAAGAGAATCCAAAGTCGAGTTAAACCTGCGAAATGCAAGCTTAACACACCTGTTCGCTATCCCTATTCTGCTGAACCGGTACATACCCCCACTAAAAGAAGTTATTGGAGAGGTCATTACAACCATATTTGATGAGAAGCACTTTAAAAAAAATTATTCAAAAAAGAGATTTTGGTTTGATTTGGTATATACAGGAAAATATAAACAAACGTACAGTCACGTGATCAAATGATGATGAATTTCATTTTAATTGTTTGTTCATAGCATATAATGCTTGAAAGTATTATGTGTTGGTTCCTTGGTGAATTTAGCAAATTAGGCAGAGTAATAGGATAATAAATTTTGAAAAGGAAACTAAGTTCTTATAACTAATTAAATTTCTTTCAGGCTTTGTTAGTAATATTTATAACTTTTTAATAAAGTGAAATTAGAGCATAAAGTTATTTTGATTTTCATCTACCTAATTCTAGTTATTTTCAGTAATTAGAATTCTTGCATGAATGGGAAGTTAAGATTTAAGCTAAAGGAAATTAACTAAGGAAATGCCTAATTAACTTTCTTGAATCTTAATCAACGTGGAAGCTGGTCTTTATTAGATTTATTGCAACATTCACTAAAGAGACAAGACATAAGATCCCCACAAGGGAATAGCTTATTTATATTACCAGGAAGGAAAGTTTAATATGAAGACCGATTCTGTGAATTCAAGAAAATTCTTGTAGATTTAGAATGAGTACAATACCAAAATTTTGAGATAACATTCAAGATGATCGCCTAATTAAAGCGAAAATGCCTACGTGGTTACTATTTATGAACTATAAAACGCAGCATAATGAGTAAAAAAGTGAATGTTTCAGAGAGAATGATAAAGTAAGAAATCAGAGGCAGCAACTTACACGAGAAATAGACCTAGTATGTCTTTTAAAGAACATTTCAGTCCGATTAATTTTAGGTGGTACATGTCTCACCCACAATATGTTGTACTCCACCGCACTTTAGTGATACTTTTCCAGATAGCTTCCATGACATTTGTCAAATTTCATAAGTAATTTCAATGTAAATAATTAACCATTTGCCACGAAAATGATCATGTTACGAGCATCGAAAGTATACAAATTTTGACAATTAAAGCATAACATGGGGCAATAGATTCTTTTTATACAAAATTTCAAGGTAATTATGGCACAAGAATCAGGAAAAAGAAAAGAACCGCAGTGAGACAAAGAAAAAAATAACCTTTAAGCTTTTAAATTTGAGTGCTTCGAATGCATGTTCTAATATTTTTTGATGTGCATTCGAAATCTCATGCATAGCCATGCGGATAAATGCATATGTAGAAAATAATATAGGAGAAAAAAAGAAGGAAAAAAAAAATAGTGAATCAACAAAGCAACTGATGAAAAAGTAAAAATTCATGCTTTTTCTGTAACTTTGTTAAATTAACCACATAGTGTCACGTAAATACCGACATAAAACTAATTTAATCAATTAATCGATAGAATTTGATATCTACTAATTATATTACATTTATATTAGCGAATAGGATGTTGTTGATGAGTGTGGCGGGTGTTATATATTAAGATTGAGTTCAGAGAGATTAGTAATGATGAGAAAATAATTGAACAAGCTTAGCCAAAATAGCTTGGTGATTTATGATCGCTGGACCCAGGGATTTTCGCAATTTAAAATTTAAAGGAAAAACTAAAAATAAAAACAATGGAAACTTCGAACCTTAAATAAGAGAAATTGAGATTAACAGTTTCGAATTGCCTTTTTAATATTTTATATCCTTTCTTTATTAGGTAATTTTTCTAGCTCCTTGCATATTTTCTGAGAACTATTTTTATCATTGTGCATTATTTTCAACAATAACACCAGCCCAAAAAAAATGCTCGTAACTAAAACCTAAAATTTCAACAGTTTGATTTGCCTTTAAGGCAACCGGAAACTGTTTCAATAATGATATTATCCATTCTAGTTTAATTTCAATCTTTAATCTCCAACTAATGTAGACTGAACTAGAAACTCTAAACACAAAGCATTAGGAAACTATTATTTATTTTTAATGCGAGACAACTTGAATATTACCACTTTTTAAATAAATGATTTATTTTATTGCCATTCGGGCCCCCCCAATTTCTGTTCGCAAAATCAAAATCAAAAATAAAAAAAGTGCGAATACAAAAAAAAAAAACGAGAGGAAACGAAGATGATTTATGCAAGTATTAAAGATTTTACTACTATACTTTCCAATTGTTTCGAAAAATATATGATATTTCTGTTTCACTGAATAAATAATAATTTTTTTTCTTTTATTTTCTTCATGTGTTTGATGTTGAATGAAGAATTCGTATTCAAGCGATATATACTGCTCCTCAAGTGTGACGCCGACATTGTACCTTATTCATTACTTCACAACACAACTCAACACAATTGAAATAAATGTGTGATCAATACAAGAAATAGTCCACTTATTATAAATATTGCATTGATTATTAATAATTGTCCCTTCATTGTAGTTATAATAGGTTACATTAATTACAGTTCCACAAGTAATTGTAATTAAGTTTGTTTGAACGGGTTTAAATATATCGTCAATTAAAAACAGTATGCTCATAAACATGAAATTGGGCCAAAGAGACGATGGGATATTTGTATCCGCTTTGTTGAAGCCCTCCCAAAAATAGTAAAAAAAGTAAAAAAAAAAAATAAAAAAAAGAAAAAAAAACAAACATAACATAACGTAAGTAATGCAGGAGCATTAGATCAGCAATGATACGTAAGAAAAGCTGATAATTATGGAGAAGACATCTCGTTTCATTCACCGCCATTCCCTATATTATGTTCCAATTTCCCTACTTTTTTTTATTTTAACATATATTGTCATAGCTTCGAGACTACCGATCTAGAACCAAGAAGGTAAAAGTTTAATAGTGTAGAAAATGTTTTTATATCCAAGTGATATTAACGGAAATACACTATAAATCATGTCACAATACTGCCGCGCAATTTTAAGGAACTTAAATTTATATAACTGATCGAATTGCCATGTTACCAAAGATCTCAATATTTAATTTTGAACAGGAAGATTGAAGGGCGTTAGGAGTTGATTTTATATTAATTTGAAGATAAGGATTGCTAAAATTGCATTGAAGAACATGGAATTCTGGTTGCTTAGTTCTCCTGAAGAAAAGGTGCTCGTTTTCCTAAAAAATTAAATTTTCAACAGTTTAGTGCATCTGCAGGATGCAATACAGCATGCAAGAGGGAAATGATTGTTTATTTCAGAATCTAAAAATTTAAAAAATAAGCTCATGCACATTAAATAAAAAACTTAACAGATTACAGTAACAGGCGCGCACAGAAATGAAGGCTTAAATACCATAATGTTCACAACTCGAAATGTGGTACAACCCCCCCTCACCTACTATCGTCATTTATCGTATGTGGTGATACTTTGCCTTATCCAAATTCTCTCATGTGTTTAACATACTATCAATAATAGCATACCATAGTATAATTATAAAATTTCCTTATTCTGGTTGTATCCACTTCGGCGATATTTGGTTTTCTTGTTGCGCATTATCTGTCCGTATTTCAAATCATATCTTTTTTATTTTTCCTTGCCATTATGTGCTCCATTGTACGACAATTATTTTTTTATTACATTATTTTGATTACCATTCATTTAAATATTTTTTTGGTTTAAATACAATATTATTTTATTAATTTTATTCATTTTTGCCCGTTTCTTCTCTTCAAAACTAAAAAAAAGAAAGGACATATATTTATATATATTTTCTTAATTATTTTTCAATATTTTTTAATGCAACTATTTTTTTTAATTTTTCTGCATCTGCTTTGATTCTATTGTAACTTGTTTAAACTTTCCTAGTAAATTCTTGCATAATTTTTTCAGCTAAAACCATTATTTTTTCAATTTACGTTTTTTCTACCTGCTATTCTTCATCAAAATCAAAATAATATTCTGTCTTTATTTATTTTTTAACCTGATATTTTTTACCTTTTATTTTTTATCTTTTTTTATTTTTTATTTTTTATTTTATTTTTTTTTTAAATTTTTTGCTCTCTTGTTTCAAAAAAAGGTGGTAACAATCCCACTTTTCTCTACTGACAACATTTTTTTAAACATACCTCTGTTCTTCTTGGTTTCAGTGAACTTTTATTATTCACGAAGGTCATTTCACAGTTTCATATAAATCATAATAGAATATCCGATGGTGAAAAGACAGCAAGAGTTATCGCCAAGGACAAAGCGTCAAAGAACCGGATCTCAAAGTGATTTTATTCACAATTATGAATCGACAGCTGCCGACACATGGATCGCTTGTGGTAATTGTGCCAATACATTGGGCCTCATAGTTCCAGCAATTAAAGCGTTCGAAAGAGCAGTGAATCATGATCCATCTAGCTTAAAAGCGTTATGTGGTTTAAGTTACTCGTTGAGATTAAATGATATTAACTTGAATGAAACAGTTGGTTCCCAGAATTCCATAGAAAGATTAAATAAATCATTGGAACTTTATCCAGAATTATTAAAAGATTCATCAATTTTTAAAGAATTGGCCGAATGTTATTTGTTAATAGGTCTCAATGATCAAGCACACCAATCAATTCAGACCGCTATACAATTATCTCAAAATGATGCATCACTTTGGTTGTTAAGCGCCCAAACATTAATTCGTGTAGGTGCAAGAAATCATGCTGCTGGATCTTTAACACATTGTTTATCCATATTACCAGAGTCGTTATCTCCTGCCGATGTTGAAACTGCCAGAGCGGCTCATGCCGAGTTAGCTGCCATTGCCGCCGCCGATGGAAGTATTGAATTATCAATAGCTGAATTGACAGCCACTTTATCTTTACCACCACCTCCATTATCAAGAATTGATGAGCACATTGCCTTATGGTGTGCATTGTCAACAGCAAAAGAAAGAGCAAACGATATTCCTGGTGCCATTCAAGCTTGTGAAAATGCAGAAAAGGCTGTTGGCAATTCTCCAAGAATTTTAATGACACATTCATATTTGTTGCTTTTGAATCAAAATAAAGGTGATGCAGATCTCGCTATTGAATTATTAAGTAAGATAATTGATCTTGAAAAAGAAAAAGAAAAGGATGCTAATACTGATCAACCAAACAACGACGGTGATTTCTTACCATGGTATTTATTAGGTAAAGCTTACTCCTTAGTAGATCAACCAAGATTAGCTTATGATTCTTACCAAGTAGCATTAAGAAGGGCATCAAACTCGCCAATTACATGGTTGGCAGTAGGGAAGTTGTATTTGGAGTTAAAGCAATTACCAGATGCTTTAGCAGCATATTCTCAAGCCCTCAGATTACAAATAGATGAAGCATCCCCTGGAACAGCAACTGCTTGGGATGGTTTAAGTTGTGTTTATGAAAGATGTGATGAGCAATTACTGGATGCAGCAGACGCTTGTAGTAGATCTGCTTCATGCTTCAGAGCAATAAGTGATACAAAGAATGCTGCATTTTTTGAAGAAAGAGCTACCGCATTGTCTAAAGCATTCAAGAAAGAAGGTCCAATCCCTGCATTAAGAGATCCTCCAGATGTCCCAAGCTTCTTTTTAAGAGATCTTGTAGCTTTACTTCCATCAGAAAGAATTGCATTTATTCAAGGATCCTCACAAACACAACCACTGGCTCAAGAAGCTCAACAGCAAGCCCAACAACAACAACAACAACAACTTCAATCGCATGATCTTCAACAAACTCCACAACAACGTACTCCAGTTCCTCCACATCATAGTCCCGCAGTTCAAATAATTCAACCCCACCAAACACCACAACAAGTCCCTGTTCAAGCTTTTGGCCAACATACTCCATTTTATGGTCCACAGTCGTTTAAACAAGAGCAAAAATCACCACATCAACTCCCACCTCAATTACCTCCACCACATGCACAACAGGCTTGGTCTCCAAATCAACAGCCACAATATTTCTACCAAGCTCCAATGCCGCTTCAACCTCAAGTGGTAGCACAACCTCCTCAACGTTCTCCAATGACTCATCAACAGGTTATCCAAGGAGGTGGAGCTGCCCAAGCATATGCTGTTGCTCAACCACCACCACCAGGATATGCTTATGGTCAATATGTACCAGTTCAAGGAGGAGTAATCCAACAACAATATGCTGCACCTGTTAATAATTGGAGAAGATAGTGTATTATTATTATTATTTTTAACAACTTCATTATTATTATAACTCTTATTTCATTCTTAACTATTTATCTACTTAAAAGAAATTAATTTATTTAGTTCATCCCAATTCCCTACGTATAGTCTATCTTTAATAAATATGTATTTTTGCATCGAATCCGAAAGAGAACTACCTTCTATTACAATACCTGTATTTGCTTCTAATAATGATAGTAAATCTGTCGAACTATCACCTACGTACATTATGTTTTGATTTGTTTCAAGTAAATGTTCTGTAATCTGTAATTTATCAATCGCAGTTCTGATACTAGGTTGTGGATTCCATTTACCAGTAGTAACTTCTTGACCGAATTTGTTAGATTTAAATTCGAATTCATTCACCATAAATGTAATTCCATTGTTGGTATCTATACCAGCATTATCAAGGGTTTGCTTAATCAAGATACTTGTCCAGTTAATACTCAAAATCACAATGGGTATATTAGTCTGTTGACTATTTTTTACAAACTCAATGAAGCCTGGTTTCAATTTAACATTCTTTGCCTGATCTTGGAATTGTTGCTTTGTCAAGTCTTTAAACAAATTATGATCTGTAATTGCATTTATAGAACTCAATTCAACCATTTTCATACCTGTCTGGAACTTTATTTCTTTCTCTAAACTATCACGATGACCAATTTCATGTTGGAATTGAGTACTATATTTCTTATAACTATCCAAATATATTTCTGTGAAATAAGAAAATTTAGGTTGAAAATCTGGTTTATTGATGTATGGTACACTTGCTACAAGTTTAATTGTATCTTCTAGAGTGGCAGTTTCATCCCAATCTGTGATTATCAAGTCTGGAAACCATCGTTCAGTTGGTAAACGCTTTAAAGTCAGTAATGGTCGAAGCATTAGTGTTTAGACTAAATATATAAAAATAAACAAAAATGGAAAATAAATTATATCGTGGGATATCGCACGACTTGAGCCTTCGTAGAAAAATAAATAAAATCAGGGGGTAAATTTCAATTTGAAATACAATAGTGTTCTGACTCTTTTATCTTGAATTCAATTACTATTGATATTTAACATTAAAGTTATCGTTTATAATCAGAATTACAAGTATGAGTTCAGACGAAAACCAACAAAAAGAATTTGGCCAATTAGGTGATATTGTTAAGGATGTCACTGGAGATGATATTGATACCAGCAATTTACCAGAATCCGCAACAGAAAGCGTTGCAAAGTTTGAAAACTTATCAGATCAAGACAAAGAAGATATTGCCAAGGGAGCATTAGGTAAGGTTGAAAGTAGTGAGAAACAATAAGTAATAGCTACTAGATTATTTATTTATTTATTTATTTACGTTGTTTATGTTGTTTAGTATGGTTTTTTATTTATTGATGGTTGTAGAAAAACTAAATTCAAAAAAAAAGAGAATATAAATATCTGCTAGCAAATACACATATATCATCTTTTCTTAGTATTATTAAAGCTTTGTATATTTGAACATATCCATCGTTGACTTCTATTCAAAGTAAAGCACAATGGTAACGAAGATTGAAGAAATCACTGATGAAAATGAGGTTGGTGGAAGCTTTCCTGAACAAGAACATTTAGTACAAATAGCTCGGTCTGTGTTCAATCCTAATGGGGATAACGTTGAAATGGACGAGTTTATCTCTAGCTCATTTCAGTATATTCTGGAAGTGATGTATAAGATGACAAATACTACTGATAAAGAAGAGACTGCCAAACAAGTAGCAGAAGATTTAAATAGCAAATTTGATACTTGGAAAGCCAATAGGGAATCCAATAATCAAGAGACAAAAGAATAGGATTTTTTTCTCGAAACCATATATAGACAACTAATTAATATACTTAAATATAACTATTATTCATCATAAATTAAAATGTATACTAGTGTATTATTCTTATTGTTAAGTTTCATTGTGTCGATAGCGAATGCTGTTCGTCCATTAAGTCTTAACCAGAACGTTCTTGCTTTCAATTCAGACTTTGAAGGGTTACAAGATATCTATGTCAACGATTTATCATTATTAGAACTCCACAAGTCTTTGATAGAAATTGAGTCTATTTCCAATGCTGAAACTAACGTGGCATTATACTTAAAGAAATATTTAGAGAATACTGGATTAACAGTAGAATTACAGGAGATTCATGATGAATATGAGAAGAGGTACAATGTTTATGCTTATTTAGGAAAGACTAGAAATACAAAAGTCTTACTTACTTCCCATATTGACACTGTTCCTCCATATCTCACATACAACATCGATGGTACCAAGATATATGGAAGAGGTTCATGTGATGCAAAAGGTTCAGTGGCTACCCAAATAATTACGTTTTTATCTTTGGTAGATAGAGGATTATTGAAGGAAGGAGATGTATCCTTATTATTCGTGGTTGGAGAGGAAGTCAGTGGTGTGGGTATGAAGTTAGCTGAAGATTTACATGCCAGTTGGGATATTGGTATTTTTGGAGAACCAACAGAACTTAAATTAGGAAGGGGACATAAAGGTATAATTGTATTCAAATTGATTGCAAATGGTAAAGCATCACATTCTGGTTATCCTGAATTGGGGGTGTCAGCTTCAGAAATATTGGTACCAGTATTAAATCTGTTATTGAATTTGAAACTTCCTACCAATGATTTACTTGGTCCATCTACTTTGAATATAGGAGAATTTTCAGGAGGAGTTGCTGCAAATGTGATACCTGCTAATGCCGAGGCATTAGTCCTGATAAGAGTAGCCACTGATGCTGATGAAGTACTTCAATCGGTTAAGGATTTAATCAAAGATGTTCCAAATTTGGAGTTTGAATTACATCAAAAGACATCACCTCAATATTTAGATTTTGATATTGATGATTTTGAAACCATTGCGTTAGCATATGGTACTGATATTCCTAATTTAACAGTTGAATTAAAGAAAAGATATCTTTTTGGACCTGGATCAATCCATGTGGCTCATTCAGACCATGAATTCATTGAAAATTCTGATCTTATCCAAGCTGTAAAAGACTACGAAAGAATTATTAAATACGCTTTAACCAATTAGTGATGTTTACAATCTCTATATCCATTATAAGTAAGTATATTTCATAACGGACTCAAACCATGTAATCTTCTATATAGCTAAAACACAATCGAACGAATCTACTAATAAAATACGTCTCTGTAGTAATTAGCATAAGTTTTATAATGTTAAAAGAAAACAGATCTTAATTATTTTTTCATAGATGCCCATCACAATTTTCTTTTCAGTGTGAGTATTTTTCATTTATTTATTTTGGAATTAATTTTTTTTTGGTTGACTTTATAGGGTTAACAGGTTTATTGTAACGTTTGATAAATAAAACAAATATCGATTATAACAATGTCAGATAAAGTACCAGCTTGGAAGCGAATAGGGCTTAAGTTAAAGCAAGAGTTAGAGGTAGATCCGTTAGCCATAAGTCAACATGTATCAGATTCAAACTTAACAACCAACCAAATCAAGAAATTAAACAAACAAAAGAGACAGCTTGAAACCAATAAGAAAGATGATAAAAAACCACCTAAAAGAGTTAAGTTACCAAAAAGTGAAAGACCAGAACCTCCTGTGAAAGATCAATTAACTTACTTGAGACAATTTCTGAATGATAGAGAGAACTGGAAGTTTAGTAAACAGAAACAAAATTGGATTTTAAAGAATATTAAAGATATACCATCAAGTTATGAACCAGATTTGATTAAATATCTTGAAGGATTACAAGGAGGTTCAAGAAGTCGAGTAGTTGAAGATATGAAGAAAACAATTCAAGTTTGGAATTTGTCGGTAGAAGAAGTTGAAGCAAAAATTGAACAAGAAATCAATCTGAAACTTCACCCAGAAACCAAAGTACAGGAAAATGAAAGCGATAAAGTAACAAAAGAAGACAATAAAACTAACCGAAAGGAATCAAAGGAAATAAAACAAGAAGTTAAACCAGATAAATCATCAGTATTAAGATTTAAACGAATATTACTGGTTTTGACTGATGAAGAAATAGAAGTTAAAGGAGTCGAAGCATCTGAAATAACAAATGATGATGCTGCAGAAGAAGAAGAAGAAGAAGAAGAAGAAACCAATGATGTTGAATCAGAAGAAGATAACTTAATAGTAGAAGAAGTAGATGTGGATTAGTTTAACTATTAATAGATTTGTTTCGCACACGCACAATGTAGAAATGTCAATATTTAAATAATTTTGAATCGCAAGATCAATAGTAATAACCTTTTTGCCATTGTCTATCAATCAAGATGCTGACGTTTAATATCAATGCATTGAAGGACAAGTCACTCGACGTTGATCCAGATTTGCGGTTCATGGCCCTTGAAGATTTCAGAAAGGGATTGCCAGCAGAGAAGGCTAATACACCTAATCAAGCGATTGAAGCTTTCATACCCGTCTTATTTCGATTATTAAAAGATGAAAATTCTTACGTGCAGAATCTGGCGGTTAAGTCTTTTGAACCAATAATCGGATTCATCAGTGATAAAGCTTTGATAAAAATGGTACAAGGCTTATTCTCATTGGCTGTTATTGATCAAAGTGATAGTACGCGAGGTCTCAAAAGTTTTACAACCTCAATTCCAACTATGACTTTAAAGTCCTTATTAAATTCTCCAATTTTATTAGATAAGAAAGATGTATGCAGAAAAATTATGGAGTTTGTTCTTCCTAAAACTAAAGAGCTTTCTGTAACAATTGATGTGGTGGAAATATTGGCGGATTTGACAAAGAATCTATCATACGTATTGGTCAAAGATGAGATATACAATCTATTGGTTTACTTATTAGATTTGATTGTAAACCATAAAGGTATTATCAGTAAGAGGTCAATTGCGTCATTTGAATACCTTTTTAAGTATGTGAAAGATTCAGATATCAAAACCAAGATTTTAACACTTATTCAGCGAGTCTCAGATGTTTTAGTCAAATTTCAACTTTATTCAATTGCATTCAAGAATAAGGTTAGCGTTAACGATAAATTAGTTCAAGATGTATTTGGTGAAGTTGTACAAGCATTGGATATAAATCAGTCTTCCATTGATCTTGATGATTTTGACTATGACTCCTTGGTAGAATTAAACATAATTAGGGAACAGTCGTTGACATTATTAGCTGACATGTTGGATATTTTGACTCCATTTTATGACAAAGTTTTTGATATAATATTCCATTTCTTAAGTTTCAATCCACTTCAGAGAGATGATCTTGACACATTTATTGATTCAGATGATGATATCGACTTTGAGGATGAAGAAGAAATAGAAGATAATTTCGGTGATGACGATAATCTGTGGAAATTAAGATTAAAGTCTTGTGAGATCTTACAACTTTGTATATCCGAATCTTCTTTATTTTTTCCAAAACTAAGCCAGTCCTTAGTGTCTAAAATTCCTGTGGATGATACAAATGATTTGGTGTCAAATGAAGCCTTAAAAACGTTCATCAGCATTGCTAGTACATTTAGTACATCAGATGATGAAAGATTTACGTATATTAAGCTGCGGGTGTCTGGTATTCTTCAGATCAAAAGCAAGATTGGTCAATTTCCCACACTTTTTGCATTAATAAAGGAGATGAACCGTTTTCAAGATGGTACCATAATCTCTGATACATTTAGTAGCTTTAAAAGCTTAACCATAAATTCGAGAGGAGCATCAGAATATTTGTCATTTTATAATAGTGTGCTTGATACTTACGTTAGAGAAGGTGCTTTGTCTAATAGCACAGTTGACTTTATGGCGAATGATTTAATTTCTGCTCTTGACGAAAAAGGAATTTCTGTATTGACTGAAATTATGAGAACATTAAAAAAGCTCTTAAAGAATCCAAATAGCATATTTATTTGCAATGATTTGGTTGTGGAATTGAAAGTAGCATTATTGTCCAAAGTTTCCAATGCCAGAACATATAGTAGTGATTTTATTCAAAATTGTATCGATGTTGTTGCAGTCCTTGCTACTACCATTGTAAAAAACGATGTCGAAATTGTGGATGTCTTATGGAACTGTTTAAGTAATGAGATTCTTTCCAAGACCTCACTAGAAGCTTTACTTGTAATTTATTCATCAGAATCAACCATAAGTGGAGCCATTTCATTATCAGAGTTGTCAAGATTGATTAGCAAAGGTGATGAAAGTACTTACATTTTAGCTTTAGATTTGGCATATTTGGTGATTCCAAAGACGACTCTACTGACTGATGACATAATAGACGTCATTTTAAGACGAAAGGGTGAAAACGATATTGGCCGTATCTTTGCAGTTTTAAATTTAATTTTTGTACAAGGTAGAATGTCACCTAAGTATCTTCAAGAAATCATAGAGTTTTCTATAAGTTTGGTCAATTCAGGTACTATCAAAATAGATGATAATTCCTTTTTTGAATTTATCGGAAATGTTTCAAGAGCACAATCTGATTTGTTTTTTGATCTCTCTCAACATCTCAATTTTAATTTGGAACTGTCATCAAAAGCTTTGGCAATTGTTTGTGTTGGTGCTCAGTTAAATAATGAGATAGAAAAAGCAGAACAATTATTTTTGCAGCAAGCTGATAGTTTCTTGTTCAGCATTCAGTTTTTGGGTTATGTAGGGAAATATATTCCCTTCAAAAACATAAGTGCCTTAGATTTCTTCAAATTATTGAATAATGTGAACGATGAAGCAACGAAAGAAGCTATTGCTGTTGCCATTGGAAATTTCACTTTAAAAAATATAACTGAAGGACTTGATATCTTGTTGGAAAACTTTTCTGCTACTGATTCAAAAAACAGCATTTTCCTTATCACTTCCTTTAGATTAATTTTACCGGATTGCACCAAGGAACAGTTAGAACTGATTTGGAAAAAGGTATGGCTGGAAACTAAAAAATTACCCTTTGATCACTCTGTGTGTTTACAATTGAGGTCTATTGGTGACTTGTTAGGAGATATAGTAGTTCAACATAATGTATTGGTATATTCCATTTTAGAAAAATATGGAGATAATACCATTTCAGAGTTCAATTTCACAGAGATTTATACTATTTCAGTTGTATTGAAGCAGTTAATAAACAAGCTTGATAATTCGGAAGAATCTCTTTCCATATTAGAAAAATTGATTAGAATTTCAGCTTATTGGACAGACTTACTAAGCATTGATATAAGACAGCTAGTTATTGGAAATTTTTTGACGGCCTTACATACTATTCCCTCCATAGTCTTATGTCATCTACAATCCCTAATTCTTCCACAATTGTATAAACAGTTGAGTGCAGAAGAAAAGTTTAAAAAAATTATTCTGATGGGTCCATCTAAATACATCCTTGACGAAGGGTTAGAAATTAGAAAGTTGACTTACGAATTTTTATACGCATTGTTATCATTTGCTAATGAAACTTTAACTCAGTATAATATTAGTTTGTATGAGATTGGAATCAATATAGTAAACAAAGGTTTAAAGGATGAACAGGTAGATATTATAGTTTTGGCTTGCATTAATATCATTAATTTTCTTAATAATCACGAGCAAGAATTTGTGGATATTATCTTGTCTGGTGATGGAGAAATCCTAATCAGTATTATCGGTAGTTTGAAAAAGCTGTTAGATAAAAAGTTGTCTGACAAGGCATCTTCACAAGAAACGGAAAATCACCAAGAAAGAATGAAAGCTGTGACTAAATCAAGCAAGAGGCTTGCTCGTTCAATTGACACACTTCAATGCATACTACCACCCGCTGCAGAGCTCGCTTGGCTGGAATATATTGTAAACTTAAAGACGAAGTATTCAATTTATTACATGAGTTCTGAGGATGATTATTCCAAGTAAATCAGATTGTCTAATAGTAAATCTTAACAAAATAGATTAATAATATAAAGCACCTTGTCTGTAGACTGATTCTCTCTTTTTTGAAATCTAGAACTGATGGTAGCACCAACAAATAATCATTTTTTGATCACTTGATCAACTTCACGTGATAAATATAATTTATGAGGAACAAACAAATTTAAAAATTTGTGAATACGGCTTCGTGGCCAAGCTGGCTAAGGCGTGAGACTGTTAATCTCAAGATCGTGAGTTCAATCCTCACCGAGGTCGCTATTTTTTTTTGCATTTTTGCAGAAACTTGTTAAAGTTGTTCACCTGGTATGAATTACTTAACATCTACAGTTCAAAACGACGAACTAATATAAAGTTAAATTTGAAGGATTAAAATAGAAGTAATCGATAAACAAATTATTTATTACAAATCGACTAGTGAAAAATACAGTAAATTTTAAAGATGAATTGATCTATTTTGCTTTCCTAGCTTTTTTCATGGCAGATAATCGCTTTTCTTGTTCCAATTCCCGTTTATCTTCGAGTTCAGCTGTCCTTCTCGACCTGTTTTCTTCCTCTAATATGTCGGCTCCCGTAGCCTCCATATCAGAATCAGAATCAGAATCAGAATATACTTGACGATTATAGCTTCTCTTATTCCCTTTATTAAATATGGCCCAAATTTCATCTCTATTATAACCTAAATCTCTTCCTTCTTCTTCTTCCTCATCCGATGCAATAAAAGAGCTCATATCATCGTCATCGTCATCACTATTATGCAGAGCTGTTCTTGAAGATTTAACTAATCTATTATTGTTTCCACCAACTTTCTGGCGCTTGTTTAAATTTTCTTGCAACTTGGCTGACGGACCTCTAAATGGGATGGATGATTTTTTGGCCACTGGATCTCTTTCCACTATCTTGGAACTTTTGACCGATTTCTGACTTACGGGCACCTTCTTATGATCTTTCTTATTCAAAATCCTGCTTGAACTTAGTTCTTTTCGTTTCTCACCCTTTTCTATGTATGGAACTGTACGAGATATTTGTTCAGACGTCTTCTGAATATGTCGTGACTTATTCTGAATAGGACTTACCAAAGCAGATTTGGATTTGAGAGAAGCGGATGTTTTAATTTCTCGATTAGGAAGCTTATTTAATTTAACAGGTTCTTTTTGAGTAGTTGAGGAATTATTATTGAGGAATTTTGAAGTTATCGGCGGTCTGATTTGATTGTTATTCACCTTAACATTAGGGACTGAGGATTTATAGTCAGTATTTGGTCTTTTTTGAGAAGCTAAAACCCTGTTCTGTGTGCTTGTTGTTTCTGGTGATTTTGATCGCAGACTGAAATTAATAGAAAGTTTGGTTTGATCAACCTTGGATGCTTTTTTCATCAATTCATTAAACTTGAACTTCTTTACAGATGTAGGCTTTGTAGTAGTAGATGTTGTAGTTGTATTCGTTCGAGAACCACCAACCGATGCATTTGTGTTGACCATCTTTGAAGGTGTACCTCTATTGATTCCAGCATTAGATTTGACGATACCTTTGGTTAGACCCTTACCACTCCCACTTGATATCGGAATCTTCCTCTCCTTCTTATCATGAGTCAACATCCTGTCTACAGATGTAATCTGATTACAACAAGTGCTGAAATCAGAATCTTCATCTTTGCGTATCATTTCTTAAATTTTTCTCACTTTTTCTGAGCACACAATTAGATGAGTATACGTTTATTGAGTCTACTTTAATAAATATTTTCTAATTATTTAACTAGACTAAACACTTAATCCTTTGGACCAATCATTTTTTCTGGGCGAACCCATTCATCGAATTCAGCTTCAGAAAGGACACCTAATTCAAGTGCAGATTCTTTCAAGGTTAATCCTTTCTTATGAGCGTTCTTTGCTGTTTTAGAAGCGGCATCGTAACCAATCTTTGGATTTAAAGCAGTGACCAACATCAAAGATTCATGTAAGGTTTTTTCGATTTTTTCTACATTAGCTTGGATACCATCAACACAATGAACTCTGAAAGATGCAGAACCATCGGCAATTAATCTAATAGACGATAACAAGTTAGCAATCATAACTGGTTTGAAAACGTTCAATTCAAATTGACCAGAGGCACCAGCAAAGGTAATTGCTGAATGATTACCAAAAACTTGAGTAGCCACCATGGTCAATGCTTCATTTTGGGTAGGATTAACCTTACCAGGCATAATAGAAGAACCAGGTTCGTTTTCAGGTAAAGATAATTCACCGTAACCACATCTTGGACCGGAACCCAAATATCTGATGTCGTTAGCAATCTTAAATAAAGACACAGCAACGGTATTTAAGGCCCCTGATGCTTCAACAATGGCGTCATGAGCAGCTAAAGCTTCAAACTTATTTGGAGCAGTCTTAAATGGCAATCCAGTTAAGGCTGAAACTTGTTCAGCAATTTTGACATCAAAACCCTTTCTAGTATTTAAACCAGTACCAACAGCAGTACCACCTTGAGCCAAAAATAATAAGTTTGGTAATGACTTTTCAACTCTTTCAATACCATTGGTTAATTGTTGTACATAACCAGAGAATTCTTGACCCAAAGTAAGAGGAGTAGCATCTTGTAAATGTGTTCTACCGATCTTGATAATATCTTTAAATTCATCAGATTTAGCTTGTAATGAATCACGTAACTTAGTGAGCTCTGGAATCAATGAACCACTGATTTCAGTAACAGCAGCAATATGCATAACGGTTGGGAAAGTATCGTTGGAAGATTGTGACATATTACAATGATCATTTGGATGAACAGGCTTTTTAGAACCTAATTCACCACCTAAGATTTCAATGGCTCTGTTAGAGATAACTTCATTAGCATTCATATTTGATTGAGTACCTGAACCAGTTTGAAAGATGACTAATGGGAAATGATCATCTAACTTACCTTCTGAGACTTCAGTGGCAGCTTGTTGGATAGCAGTAGATATTTTTGGATCTAAAGCACCCACGCTTTCGTTAACAATTGCAGCTGCTTTTTTTAAAATACCAAATGATCTGACTATAGGAATAGGCATACGGGCTGCTGGACCACCAATCTTAAAGTTATGCTTAGATCTGGCAGTTTGAGCACCATAGTATTTGGAAGCATCAACTTCGATTTCACCAAATGCATCGGATTCGATCCTGGTGGCTTTGAGCAATGATGCTGTAGTTGAAAAGGTTCTAAGGTTACCCTTAGCGACGGATGCTGATCTAGATGAAAAACGTAACATCTTGTAGAGTCTATCTTCAAAAAGTGTTAAATTCTGGGGTATATTTCATTTTTAATTTTTTTTGATCTTTTGAAAAATTCATGGAGAGATTTCGGAGCGCACAAATTGAAATTTGATTGGTCAAAATATAGAGGATGCAAAAAACCTACCAGAATGGGATCTTTATAATAAAAATAATTTAGTAGAGCGAACTACTAATTTAATACCTCTATATATTACAAATCTATATACAACAAATAATACATATTTACAATTTGTTATTCTATTTTATTCTTTAGTTTAAATTGGCTTAATTCTGTAGAAGTTGGCCAGTCCCAGCTCAGAGAATCTGAAATATTTTCCAGTTTGTTAACAGTATTTTCACTCCCATTGATAAGTTTAAAATGATCTATATACCTTTGTGAGTACTCTTTTGGTAGTGAAGATAATAGAAGCAACAATGTAACTTGATCAGGTCTGAATTTTAATTTTTCCCAAAACTGGATAATTCCTGCTAATTCATGAACATAATCAAATTTAGCTAACATTCGAATATACCGTCTCCAAAGTATTTGTGACTTATAAACATCTTTCACTACTCGCTTAAATTCTGCAATTGCAACTTGAGGAGCATATAAATCTCCCCAAATAATTTGACCGTTCGCAGTCTTAGTAGAAGCACTAATAAGAGCTAGAATGCACCCATCATTAGGAGGAACATCTTTCAGTATCAATTCACTTTTATAAAGCTCATAAACACCTGTTGGATTCACAATTGCCTCACCTTGCAACATTATAGATATGGTGCTAACTGATTTGTTGTTGATACAGTCACGAAAAAGAAGCCTAGCATATTCTATGACACTGAATTCCAGTGGATTTCTATCATCCCAAGGAAACTTCTGTAATTTTACACCGTTTGATCTATAGTTCTTATACAATATCTTTAAATATCTCGGTAGCAAAAGTCCTTTCAAAGATAGAAAAAGCTTTTCATCACAAGCGGCTATTAAGTTCACAAATTCATTAAAATGATCAAGTCCATTTATCGGTTCTATTAGAACGGAAATTAGATCCTTAGTTATTACTAATGTATCTTTCCTTTTTAGGATCTCAACAAGTACCTTTTTGGATCTCATAGCAGTTAACAAGTTGAAAGATTTCAATTTCAACAAGAAAACCAACCATAGACTATCTGAAAACAGACTTGAATCCGATGTTGAGTTAAAATTCTTGACAAGTTCCTCTGGCGTCTTGGATAGAAATATCTTCGCTAGATTATAGGAGACGATATGTTTGTGAGAATAATCAGCATGAGTCTTGTGAAATCTCCCTTCACCAACAGCAAAGAGTCGATCAGCAACATCGGTAGATTTGAAACCAATTGTAATAACTATTCCCATGTATGCTTTAAGGTCTAATTGTTCGATGACATTCTCATTCTGCCTGGATAGAAATTTTATCAACATTTCATGACACGATATCACACTTGAAGCATCTTGATGTGCAAAGCTTTTTAGAAGGCAAAATGACGAGTGCCAGATTAATTCTTCCACAAAAACTCTATTCAATAGTACATTTGCATAACTTTTGTTTGGACGTTCGAGCCTTTCAATTGTTCTGTTTATCAATTGTGGTAAAAATTGAATGTCATATATAATACAATATGAAACTAAATTTTTAAAACATAGTTTTAAATAGGAAGTCTTTTCAATACCTGCTTCCATTATTTCATCAAAGTATTCAAACCAAATATCTTGCTGTAAGTGGAAATCTTGTTTTGACATAGGTGATCTTAACAAAATATCTGTCAAAACAAATGCTGGAATTCCCTGTAATCCCTCTAATAACATACAACTTTGTCTAACAGAACCAGCAGTCAAGGAATGAATCCACTTTTTAAGATCGTTAATGCTATATTTTCCTTTGGAAATGTCTAAGAATCTTCTGACACCTTCCACTAATGGCTGAGGTAAGTTATCCTGATGATCAGGATCAAGTAGCTGTAAACAACTGCTTTTGATATCCCCCACAAAAGATATATCGTTCATTGAATGCTTAACAGTTAACTCATTCATGTTCTCGATTTGTGCTCTCGTGATTATTTCGATATGCTGTTTGTTAATCTTGGTATCATTGTACAAGTAGTAGACTGATAGTATAATATGATACACATATATTTCCAATAACATATTCCTTTTCAAGGGAACAAATTTAGAATTCAAAATAATATCCTCATGATTTCCCTCGACCTCCCTCTGAAGTTGAAATAGTAGATGACGAATTGTAGGTTGTATCTTTATATCTGATTTGTTGTATTTCTTCTTTTCTTTTAGTAAAGAATTGTAAAAAGAACGATGCACTTTATCCAGAGACTTTTGTTCAATCAAAGTTTGATGCAATTTATAGAATGATTTATAAGAAGATGACAAATGAAATCGTCGTAGACTTATTTCCCCATGTATTCGTATTTGCTTATTCATAATATTATCGTTTTCCCATGTTAGTTCACTTAACCTAACAATTCATTCAAATATTTTTCAAAATAAAAATAGTCAAATTTTTTGATGCGTCTGATAACGCATTTGGTAAATGAACAGACGAGGTATATAGCCATTTATGACTGACTATCCTGGATTACCATACAAAGAATTGATAAGAGATGCTATAAAAAATGACTTAGATACCCAAATAAAGAAACGAAGGAGATTGAATAGTCCTGAGGTTATCGAGATTCAAGATAGTACACCCTCAGCGGAACCAGAATCAGACTCTGATGACTTCGAAGACGTTGCTTTGAATTTGACTACCGAGATAGCGAGCGAACCCGACGAGAAGGAGCCGTTAAAAATCACATTGAACCCAATTCAAAATGAGAAGAGTCCTGTTAAAAGAGTCATCTTCATATCCAAAGCAGAACGAGAATACAGGAAACAAATACATAAACAATCTATATTGCTACAGATTATTCACGGGGCTCTTCGGAATAGGTGGTTAAACGATTATAGTACAGGTCAAGAACTAAAGAAGTTAATACCCAGTACAGTCTTAACTCTTATAGATCAAGATGCTTATCCTGATAATGATTTGGTGAAATCCAGAAGATTTCTAGATGCACTTCAAAAGATCTTAAAAATATACTCCAGCAAGTTTAGAACTATCTCGCAAGGTTTAATAAGGAAAGAGTGGGATGAACTTTCTTTGAGCCAACCAAATACCGAAAGTGTTAGCTTTGCGAAGTTTAAAAGATTGGTTAAAAATTATAGAGGTTCTAGAGATATTGGTGCCCAAGGATTTGTTTCTTTATTGAGATCAATTGGCCTTAATGCTAGATTGATATTTTCGTTACAACCTCCAGATTTTACTAATATCTCGTACTCTCCAGCGAAGGCCACCGCAGATGAAGAAAACATCCAAAAGGATAATAAAGACGCGAAATCAACAAGCAACACGCGTATACAGGGTAGTCATAACAGCAAATCCAGACTCTTGTTTCACAATAGATCTAATTTTAAAAGCATTACGCCACTGAACAAGTCTGAGGCCCGTTTTATTGATTCGAGTTTTCCTATATTTTGGGTTGAGGTGTGGAATAAATATTCTCAAAAATGGGTTAGTATTGATCCGGTTGTAAATCAAATACTAGAATATGTACTGCTTAGGTCAAAGTCAAAGTTTGAACCTCCACTAACAGATACAAGAAATCAATTAACTTATGTGATAGCATTTGATAGACTTGGAGGTGTGAGAGATGTCACACGTCGATATAGCAAACTTTTGAATGCAAAAACCTCAAAAAAGAGAATCGGTGCAGTTTCTGACAGTGAAAAGCATTGGTATGACAAGATACTACGATGTCTGTCTAGTATGATAAGGAGAAATTTAAGTAAATTGGATATTTTGGAGCTTAAAGAATTCCATAATCGAGATTTAGCTGAAGGAATGCCTAACAATTTATCTGACTTCAAGAACCACCCGACTTATGTTTTAGAATCACAACTAAGAAAGAATGAAATACTTTACCCAAAAGAAGAGTGTGGATCATTCAGAACAGGGCGTGGAAATAGCTCTCAGCCCGTTTACAAAAGATCTAACGTGCATCAACTAAAATCGTCTCGTGCCTGGTATATGAGAGGTAGAATTCTTCGAGTTGGAGAACAGCCTATGAGAATTAGACAAAATCCCAAATTGCCAGATGATGAAAACGAGGTACGTTTATATTGCGAATTCCAAACTCAATTATACAACCCACCCAGGATAGAAAATGGAACTGTCCCCAAGAATGCTTACGGAAATATAGATGTTTATGTTCCCAGTATGTTGCCAGAGAATGGAGTTTTACTATCAAATTTGGCAGATTATCCTATCACAATAATGGAAAAGGCTGCAAAGCTTTTAAATATAGACTACGCTAAAGCAATTGTTGCATTCGACTTCTCTGGAAAGAAAAAAGTCCATGGTGTTCCTAAGGTCAAGGAAGGTGGAATTGTTATTTATGAAGGTTATAAGGAGGCAATGATGTTAGCGTTAGAAGAACTAGCAGAAAATGAAAGAGATGAATTAGTTGAAAAAGCTAAAATGAACTCACTTAATAACTGGAAGTTCTTCCTTTTAAGACTAAGAATATCCCAACGGTTAGACAAAATGCATGGGAAGGTGGATGAAATTGATGATATCGATGAAGTTGATGATGATGAAGACGATGATGAGGAAGAGGAAGAATATGAAACCTATGAAGAAGAGTATGATAATGATGACGAAGACGAATACGAGAACGAAGACGAACAATATGCTTTGGAAGCAGCCAAGTCTTCGGCTGCATACAATTTAGAAAATATTCCAGAAATTACGCACATTGTGGCAGACAATAATAGAAGTGAAGAGGATAAGGTTGATCATTCTATAGATAATATGTCTGTAGATATTTATCAAGATAATGACAGCACTGAAGATGAAGATAGTATGGGTGGATTTCTACTCGATGATGAGACAAATAGTAATCAAGTTGTTCAAGTGGATGCAAAGCTGGAAGAGGAAAGTGAGATCGAAGACGATTTGCCTGACGAACTTTTTACCGAAGACGAAGGCGGAGAGCTAGTGTATGCTCCAAACCGGGACAATTCAAATGCTACAAACAGAGACGATGTTCATCCGATTATAGAGGTTGATACCGCTGAAAATTTTGATTTTGATTATAGTGAGTCAGATTAAGCTATTGGAGCCACCACATCGCTAGAGGTCAAAATTTGTGTTTATAGGCTGACTTTGTAGCAAATATATATTGCATCATTTCTTTTTCCGTTTCCTCTTTCAATATTGGCAGCGCATTTTTATGACTGCGCGAGGAATGAATAACTGTTTTAGGAAGCTTGACACCGCACTAAAGAAGACATTAAAATTTTTTTTCTTAGTATATAAACTAATAAATATCCTTTAATTAGATCTTCATATATGATCTGATGTATACGACCATAACTTTCTGGTCATTAGTTCAAGATGTATAATGCTATAGCTGTGAATGTCTTAGGGACAGCTGGGACAATATTTTGGTGTATTCAATTGGTTCCCCAGATCATTAGAAACTATAAGGTCAAAAATTGTGAGGGTCTTCCTCCATTAATGTTGTTTCTTTGGGCAGCAAGTGGTGTTCCATTTTCAATATACTTTATAGGTACAGATGGTAGTATTCCATTAAGAATCCAACCTCAATTATTCACATTTTTCTGTACTTTTACATGGGCACAATCGTTATATTATCCTCCATTTCAGCTTTCTCGTAAGAGATTGTGGCTTTACATTTCTGCATTTGTCATAATTTCGGTTGCATTAGAAGTTGGATTTATACTATGGTTAAGACCACTTTATCGTCGTGGTATTCACTGGCCAATGCTTATTATGGGTATTATCGCATCTGTTTTGTTAGCAGCGGGATTAGTTCCTCCATACTTTGAATTGGCAAAGCGTAAAGGACGTGTCGTGGGTATTAATTTCATATTTTTATTCATGGATTCAATGGGAGCATTATTATCCATGTTAAGTATTGTTGTTGGTACTTTTGATGTCATGAGTATGGTACTTTATGCTATTGTCTTGGCTATGGAAATTGGAATAGCAGTAAGTCAACTTGTGTGGTATTTAAGAATAGGTAAAAGAATCTTAAAGGAAGAGAAATTACTCGCCCTTGAAAATGAATCTACTATCGAAAAGTCTGAAGAAGAATATTCCCTGGATGATGTTGTAGTTATTGAAGACCTAGAAACTAAGAAGTCAGAAGAGGTGTAGGCAAATAATAGTCAAAAATTCGTATCCTCGAATAATGTGTCTCTTACTAGAGATCATGTATCATAGTTCAACATAATAGTGTAACATAGATAGACGTTTATAGATGTCTTATATACAGTTTAATATAATTTAATTTAATGGCATTAGATAAAATGATAATTTATATTGTCTGCAACCACTGTAAAGTTTTGTGCGAGAGAGAGTATAGTTTTTGTTTACAGATAAATTTGATGTTCAACTGTCAACAGAGTATTATACCAGAGAAGTCAATTACAGCCAATGTCATCGTTTTCTCCTTTGAATGCTACAGAAGATCCGGCTTCCAAAAAGGATCTAGAAGAAGAGCATACCAGAGAATTACAGGTTGAACAAGCCTTTAAGTTATTTCAAAAGGCATTGGTATCGCAAAAGGAAAATAGACTAGAGGAAGCATATTTGCAGTATGAGGAACTTTTCAAGTTTGACGTTATATCAAATCATTACTTAGAAGAAGAAGATTATATTCGAGGAATTCAAATAGGAGGATCTACTGCCGATGATTTATCCTATTTATCTCCAAACGTGAAGTCTTTAAGATACTTGATATTTAGAAACAGAGGGTTCTTATATTTAAAAGTATTGAAAGACGGACATGAATTAATTGAAAAGTTAAGCAAAAAGGACAACGTCAAAGAACGATTCAAAGAAATGTTCTATACTTTGATGGATGATTTCTCAATATGTTTGCTATACCAAGATGGTGATGAATTGCTAACTCAGTATTTGTTTGAAATCTATTTGTATATGAAAAATTACCGTCTTGCTCGGTTCGCCTTAGAGTACAGTATAAGTGGTTCCGAAGAGAGTGAAGAATTTTATGGATTAATTCCTGTTAAACGATTGAAGACAATCAACAAAGCGTTATTCGGACTTACTCCATCTACACATCCTATCAGTTATTTCCAGAAAATCGAGAACAAGTTTCATTACTTAGAATCAGTGAGATTGGATTATCAAAAACAAGTAAACAATGCTGACAATTTACATTTATCTTCTTTTAAAATTCGATCTAAAACAAATTCAAGCTGGTCTTCATTAATTGATTCAATAAATGTCGAAGTCAAAGACAATCAAGATGAAAACAAAGCTGGAGATACAAACCGTACCAAACTTAAGTCATTGGAAGCATATTTCTTAACAACCAATCCTATGGAAAGAATTAATTTTGATGTTACAAATGATCTTGATATGGAAGATACTATTGTACCTGTCATAGAGGAAGAGATCCCAAAAACTACTCCTGATGATATAAAGGATGATATCGAAAAGGAAAATGAAAAAGAAAAAGAGAAAGATCTACAAGATGAAACAACACTCAAGCAAACCACGATTCAGAGGTCATCAAAAAGGTTGGCCAGAGACTCAGTATCAGTTGATTCACCAGAAGTAATAGTTAATGTACAGCACTTTGCTGAGACAAAAGCTTTCTTCGATAATCTTAATTTGTATTTCCAGAAAATGAGAATATCAAGATTGAAGGATGTAACACACATTTACGTTGAAACTGACGGTCTTCGTGGTTACATTTCAGATTTTGTGCTTTCTCTAAATGAATGGTCTAAAGAATATACACTGGCATTTTTGGCTGATGATTCACCAAAAGGAACTGATGATGATAAGTTGAAGTTGTTGGATGTCTTGGGAACATTTGGAGGACTAATAATGGAAAAAAGCTCAACAAATGTTTCTCAAATAGATGAATTTAAAGGGTGTGATAATGCACGGACCTTTATATTAAAGTCCAATCAAGATGACTGGCATTATATGGACTTGAAAGTTAGCATCCTTAAGCAACTATTGACTTACATAACTGATGCATATTATGGTGATCATTTATTTATAAGATTAAGAGAGTGGATCCTTCAAGTGGATTCTTATATATTGGAAAATAACAATATAGACTTACAGTTTGGTGTGGGAATTTTTGAGGTATTAGTTGACTATTTGATCTCCTTAAAAAATCAAATTATTCTGACTATAAATCAGAATCAAAAGAGATCAACCAAATCAAGTATAAACGCTATTAGCCTTGAACTCGTAAAGGTAATGGATAAGTTGAATCGATGGAAGACACATATTGATCACTTATTAGAGACTGAGACTAACGGCGATGATAGCTTACTGCTTATATGTCGATTTAAGTGGAGCATAATTCTCAAGGAAAATGCCTTGACATCGCTGTTGGACGATAGCAATTACGTATTGGGAGAGTTACAAGATCTTAAAAGTTTGATCGAGCAGTCCGATTCCCTCCTTTCTGTTAGTTTTCCAAACTTTGATAGCATACCGTTATTAAACTTGAACAATGTTACATCACTAATTACTAATGTCATTGTATTAACTACTTTTTCAAAGCTTTTATATTCTAACTCAGATTCCAGTGCTACTATATCTGTGTTGGAAGAAATATTGATTAATCGACCTGGAAACAAACGTGTTGGTAGCATCTCGTTGATTAGAAGGTTTCTTGATGATTCTCCAATAGACATGAAATTAAAACTATGGAAGATATTGTTTCTGTATTATAATAACCACGACAAACTTGAAAATTTTCAATTTGGATTCGAAAAGATATTAGAATTTATGTTTAAATTTTTACTAAGCTCAGATTACGAATCAATTGAACTGATTGAGGAGAGAACTGCTACGTTATTTAGAATGCTTGGGTTTTATAATGAAATATTAATGTCTTTCTTAACAAGTTTGAGTAAGAATAGTTGGAAATTACCTATAGCTAGAAAAAATAAGCAAGCCTTAGAACGTTTATCAAAATTATTTGAGATGATTTATCTGTTCAGTCTTCATGAGGAGGCTTCCATTATATCGACTTTAAAAATTTCCATTAAAACAAGATCGACTAACACTTATCAGAAATTAAAGGACCTTCTTGTTAGGTCAGCTTCTATTCTAGTATTATACATGCGAAACTATGATACTAAGCTTAACACCCGGAACTTAATTAGTACTATACATGATCAGATTGGTATAAGGGGACTATGTGATAGCTCGGAGGGTCTATTTTTGAAGATGGCACAGGACTTGCTTACTTCGCTTAGTGATTGTGAAACAGAGCTTTCACAATTGATATTTTGTCGATATCACTATAACGTGGGTCATATGAGCTCCAAAGACCACCACACGGCTTCTAAAGAGGATCTTGACGCAAATTCGACAAAAGAGTTGGCTAAATTTGTTCTTCCGTTATGTTTTACTAGGAACCCTCTTGTTCAAGTTCCAAAACATGAATTGAAAGCACTTGTTGATGAATTTTACTCAGTTATTGGAGATCCAGATTTTGACTCTTGCGAGACTTTACATAGAAATTTTGCTTCTTTAGATCATTTTCTTGACAGCACAAGAATAACTCAACGGTTTGTTCGTGATGCATTTTACGGACTTATAAATTTGGGGGTATCAGAGCCTAGAATTGATTCAAAAAAAATAATACAAGATGGATTATACTATTTGGAAGGCCTATTTATTTTCAGTTCTTATAAGGTTAGGAAAAAGAACATGCAAAGTCGTATAGTTGAGTTGGAGAATGTGATAATGCTATTGAAAAATGATTTGATATATGGTACTGATAGAATTGGTAGTTGGTTTTTACTAGGTCAAGCGTTTGGGTTTTTGGTAGAAGATGATCTAATTTGGACATCTGACAAATTAACGGTTGCGGATCGTAAAATAGGGACGTCGAATTTGCAACGAAAATCTCTTATTTGTTATCTTATGGCCATTAATGCATCCAATAAAGAATCAGAGCAATCCATAAAGCCTATATTAGGTAGTTTAATGTCATCATTTGGAAAAGAATTGTATTCAGCTTGTATGGAACCAATGGCAATGCATGCTTTTAAAGTACAAGTCAACTCAAAATTTATCAGAAAGCCATCAGGAGCAGCTTTTATCAACGTTGACAAAGAAAGTAGTATTCCTATGAGATTATGCTTAAAAATAATGCAGCAATGCTTTCAACTTTCTATAAAGGCTAAAGGAGATGATTGGACTAATTACTACTATTTAGCTAAAATCCAAAGAAAGCTTAAAAAAGACCCCTCTGTTGTGTTGAGAAATATCCAAATGGCTTGTATTTTAGCTGAAGAATATAGTTCGTCGTCTGAGCATATTATTGAACCACATTATATAATATGTTCGTTTATATATAAATATGTGAAGTCTGATGAATTGTCAGTTGAGGAATCTTTGAAGTTTCTTCAAGAAAATCCGGTTATTATGTTATCGTCAGATGTTAGTGCCACATCGAAAATAGAGTTCTACTCCGTTATTATTGATGCGTTGCGTAAAGTGGATTCGTACGATAAGAAGAATTGGCATCACAAGCCTAATTACAGAATAGCTAAAATTTTGTTTGAGGAGTTTGATAAAGTAGAAGATGCTGTGGAGGAGATGTCATCAATAATATCATTGAAGGCAACAAGTAAAACATTGGTGCTGATATGGAAACCAGAACAAGAAAGACCTGGGAAACATTTCTACTACACATATCAATATTCGTCACTTTATATAACATTACTAGCAAACAAGCTGGACTTGATTAGCTTGATACTGATGTTGCCCAAACTTCGGAGATCTAACTCCACTATGGTTCTGCTTTATACAACATGGGAAAGTTTATGCTCATCTATTTGTAAGATAATCAGAGCCCTGTTAGACATAGGAGAGAGTTTTGCCTTTACTGAAAATTTTCTACAAGTACCATATCAGACTTTTATGCTTAATGCCAAATCATTACTTGATTTAATAGAAGCTAATGGTCTCCCAACAAAATTGGAGCCTCATGTCTGCTTCCTTCACGCTATCAACGATATGAAAAAATTCAATAACGGGTTTGGTCCAACTTCTCTTATAGATGATACAATTGTGGGGATTTTCAATAGGATTTATTTATACTATCATAAAGATTTAGATATTGGTCAAGCTTCACAGGTTACAAATACTACTGAGTCTCCGGGTGGTAAAATTAAAAAGTTGGCTAAGCGTGATATATTCCCGTTTGCCAATGATCTTTTGAAGAATTTACGAAGAGAGATCGAAACCATACTAAAGGACAAGCCAAATATCTATAATGATTTCGTTCACAGCGTTCTTACTAAAAAGCCAGAGGAACAGAAGTCAACTAACAGCGAAAGCGCTAAAGTCACCGAATCTGAGGATTTGATGCCTAATAGGAAAAGGCAAAAGATAAACGGTCAGCCATCGACCATTTACGAGATATTGGATTCAGATAGTGATGATAATACAAAACATGGTGAAGAAACCCCCATGGGTAATATAGACTAAATAGGCAATTCTCATGTGAGTAAAAAATATAATTTTTTCGTAGATTCTATTATTTGAAAGACTGTAGAAGTTTATCTGGTCATATTTACAACTCAATTGGTTTACAACTACTATGATGACGAGCTCTACTTCTATTAAAAGAGTATTGTGCTTGCCTGGATTTTTGCAAAGTGGAAGAGTTCTTGCGGAGAAGTCTTCAGGTTTGCGTAAGATTTTAACCAAAAAGTATGGCTTTGAGTTAGATTATATAAGTCCACCAAACATTATTCCAAACAAAGAGCAATTACCATTTAAGTTGGGGCAGACGGAGGAGGAGGAAAATGATAAATGGAACTACATAGTTGAAAATGAAACCAACAGAAGTTGGTGGGATCACCAAGATCCTGGATTATATCTTGGATTTGACGAAGCAATACAATACATTGGTAAATATATCAAAGAGAATGGACCATATGATGCGATAATAGGATTTTCTCAAGGAGCAGCCATGGCAGCTATCACTACGAACTGTATTCAAGAAATTGTACCAGGTCACCCACCATTTGAAGTAGCACTTTTGATATCGGGTTTTGCATTTACCATATTGAAAGAAAATAATACCCGAGAAAATAGATGGAACGTTAATTACGAGGTTGAAGATTTAGAAGAATACAAACAAAAGGTAGAGATTCAGAAAGACTATCTTAAATATTTCCAACCTCCATCTGATATGAATACGAAAATAATAAGCGTATATGGAAAGTTAGATAACACTGTTCCACCCATTAGATCAAAATTTCTTTCAAGTATTTATAAAGAAGCGAATTTGGTTTCATTCGAACATGAAGGGGCCCATCTTGTTCCAAATAAGAAGACCTTCTTAGAACCTATAGTAACCTTATTTAGAGAGAGTTTGCAACCAAAATCAAGTTTATAGAGGTTTATAGTTAAGAATTTGATAGATGATCGCACTTTTGTGGTGGTAATGATATTTTTGAGCGTTGGAGAAAATTAAGCTAAATGAAAATTTAAAGATCTTGTAGAAGTTGAAAGCCATCAAACATTCAAATCTGTATAATTTTGCTACGAGAAATGTCTACTCAAGAGAGGGGTGATAGCCTTAGTTCATCTCGGATGCTGCCATCGTATCTGGTTACCAATGAAGATGGACAAAAAAGAACGGCGTCTACTCGAGGTCTAAGCAGAAGAACTGCAGAAGATAAGGCTCCAGTAATAACATCTGCTTATAATGAAGAGAAAAAGAGTGCCCCTGGTTGGTTAAAAAGTGAAAGACCTGAGGATAAGTATGAAAAATATGGTGCTAGAAGAAAGCACATAGTTGATGAATCATCGGATTCAAGATATTCAAGATATAAAACTGATACCAGTTCAATTCCTGCTAAAAGACAGAGGGATGATTCTCCTGAAAGTGAGTCAAAGAGACAAGCATATGTGACTCCATATAGTAATATTGAGGTTGCTAATCCATCTGCAGATCATCATAGATCTAAAAATTATCAAACGTTTGAAAGTCATATTAGGAATCGAGAAACTGGAGATATTAATAGTATTGTTCGTAGTCATTATAACCAAAGAACTGCTCATTCAAAGCATCAAGGACCAAGAACCAATTCACCCATATATAAGTTACGTAATTTCAACAATGCTATCAAGTATATGTTAATCGGAAACAATGTTAGAAGAGATAAGAATGATAAGGGTAAATTATTCACCTTGCTTGATTTATGTTGTGGTAAAGGGGGAGATTTAAACAAATGTGAATTTGTTGAAATTGAACAATATATAGGAATTGATATATCTGATATGTCAGTTCGAGAAGCATTTACAAGATACAATCAGAAGAGAGCAAAATTTAAACAATTACATGGTAGAGATAAGAATAAGTATAATTTTGAAGCTTGTTTTGCAACTGGTGATTGTTTTGGTCAGACAATTCCTGAAATTTTAGAGCCAAACTTTCCTGGTATTATAGATAAAACCTTCCCAGTTGATGCTGTTTCTATTCAATTTTCATTACATTATTCATTTGAAACTGAAGAAAGGGTTAGGACATTAATAACAAATATTTCCAAATCATTAAGACCAGGGGGTACATTTATTGGTACCATTCCATCATCTGATTTTATAAGAGGGAAAATTCAAAGGAAAGAATATATTACTGAAGAAGGTGGATCAAATGAAAAGAAAAAGTTTGGAAATTCAATTTATTCTGTAACATTTGAGAAGGAACCACCAGCAGATGGAGTATTCAGACCACCATTTGGTAACAAATATACTTATAATTTAATTGATGCGGTTGATAATGTTCCAGAATATGTGGTTCCATTTGAAACATTGAGAAGTATATGTGAAGATTATGGACTTGAATTAAAATATAAGAAGAATTTCATTGATATTTTCAATGAAGAAATTCCTAATTATTTTAAAAAGTTAAATAAGAATTTAATTGAAGGTATGAAAAGATCAGATGGAAATTATGGAGCTGAAGGTGATGAAAAGGAAGCAGTTGGATTTTATTTGGGGTTTGTATTTGAAAAATTAGGTAACTAATAGAGGTTACCATCAAACCAAGCATAGTAAGAAATATACATACATATAAATATAACCACGTATACAAAACCAAGCCTTGTAGTAGAAATAATTATAGTAGTAGATTTGATCGTCTTGTCGAAGAGCCGAAGAATTAGAAGATGAATAAGATAGAGAAGAACAAGATTAATGAGAAGAAGAAGAAGAAGAAGAAGAAAACAACTAAAATTGGTCTCTTTCAGATGCATAATACTATATTTTAATAATATTAACCTGCATTAGTTTGGATTTGCATTTAGGTTGAAATGCGAATAATTCCGCTGTAAGTATTGAGGGTTAAATGTGCTGAACCAACCACAAAATATGTACACTAAGAATAAAATAGATTGCTATTATAGAGTGCTTAGCAGGATTATTATAATTATTATATTATTATTATATTATTATTATTATTATTATTATGGTTATCAATATGATAATTATTTTTTTCTTTGCAACACTATTATTTATACCACTATTGTTACATTCTGACGTCAGATAATATAATATAGAAGCTAGTTATTCAAAACCAAACATTAAGAATTAAAACATCTCAAATGTATTTCCCTACTTCTTCCCTCTTCCCTTATCATCTCCAATATTTGATCCGGAAACTATTTTTTTTCCCACTAAATTTGCCATACGCTGACCCTCACAGCCTAAAAAATAATGAATAAATTAAAATAATTTACCAACCCTCCCCCATACCCCTCACAGAACGAAAGAAAGAATGAATGAAAAAAAAAAAAAGATTCAGCGAGATATACCGGCAGACAGGAGAGAAAAAAAGTGAATGAATTTGAAGTACAAAAAAGATGATTCAATCTCTGCGTATAATACAATGGAAGGTATTCGGTATATGTACCTAGATTTATGTAAGTGGTTTTAGATTTAGTTTTTATTTTTCTTTATTATTGGCATGGAATTGACTCTGTTGACTATGACGACTCTAAAACTAGGACGGAATTTGCTTCCTAATAAGGGATCGTAACATAATATAGCATAGACTATGATTTGAAATTAGACTAAATAAATAAATGAAGTGGGGTTTTTGCTTATCCTTCTTGCATCTGTTTAAATTAATTAATTGATTAAATTGATTTATTTATTTTTTATCTTATTTTTCTTTTTTTTTTTTTGATTTTTTTTTTTCATATTTTTTATTATTTTTTTTTTTTTGATTTACTTCATTCAAAATTCCTTCCTTCCTTCGATGTATTCCTGCTCCAACGGTTTTTGTTTTTTTTATTTGTCTTATTTTTCTCTCTGTCTGTTCGCCATCTTTTTTTTTTCTTTCATGCTGAATTTTGTATTTTTGTTACCGTTTTATGCATCACTGTAACGATTTTCCCATCTGTCGATGGCTATAGTTGAAAGTTTAACTGATCGTTATCTAAAGGGTATACTTAATCCAAGAAATAATATAAGAGAAAATAGAAGCAAGCATAGGCATTTACTAAAAATAAAAAGAGATTTAAGAATGAGGGAAGGAATAAAATATAAAATAATTTGACTTATCAAAGGAAGGGAAGGCCCCTAACAAAAAAAATAATCTATTGAAAAATAAAGAAAGAAAAAAAAAAGACAATAATAAATAAAAAGAATGGATTAAAATCAATTTTAGAATTAGATTCATTTTAAATTAGATTAAATTAAGTACTAAGAAAATTGCATTTGAGAATGGCTACATAATCATTAAAATCCAAACACTTTATGAATTCGAAGATGTGTCTAGTGGTCAAAGCATTAGGAAATCTTCGGACAATAACCATTACGTATCATAAAGAAGTAGAATTCCATCCCTGCTTTTTTTTTTTTTTTGCATGTGGTACAGAGTAAAATACCAATCGAACTTTGGTCTATAGTCCAGGAAACCCAACACAAATTTAGAATTTCAAAATACTGAATAAAAATAAATACATAAAAAAAATTAAATATTATTAATATTATTATTATTTATCAAAAAAAAAAAAAAGAATTAAATTTAAAACCCTAAAAAACAATATAAGTACTGCCTGGTAATACAATTTTTTCTTCTGTCCGTCCCGTAAGTTTGTAATATAGCCAAGTACGCCAATTCCCTAAAAACTAAAATAACAATAGCGAGAGTTTTTCCTTTTGAACCACGCAACTTTGCATATTCAAATCCAACTTAGCAGGAGTCCAGTATCACATACCAATGTTTGGGTATTTTTTTTCTCTGCCAGTATGTTTAAACCAATATAAAAAAAAGCATCCTGAATAGACAGGTTTAAGTCGGGTCCTTTTTGTCATTGTTTCTCTTAAAAAAAAATCGTTTTGAAAGTGATGTGAAATTTAGCATCCTTAATTTAAAATAAATTAAATAAGAATAATATTTTGTGTGTAAGATGCATACTGATATACATATTATATGTATATGAGTATGCAAGTATGTGCATAACTAGGTTGTTGAGAGTCTGAACATGCATAAAACTCTATTTCGGTCTCTTTGTTGTCTTTGTTAACGTGCTGTACACTTGCTAATTTTACTTTATATACAGTATGAGAATTGTAGGACCACTTTTTTTTGTGAACTGTGAACATTTTGATCTGAGTAAGTTGACATAAACTTTAGTCTTAAACTTTAATCTTCAAGCTGAATAACTTTTTGTTTACTATTTGGACCCTTACCTAATTTCATTTTAATGTGTTTTTAACACATTTGGGAGTTTCAGATTTATAAATTGGCTTCGTCACACACAGTATTTTAATCCGGAAGTCACCTTTATATGAAACTGCTTCCTGTAAAATGTACCAGTAATGACAACCTTATTTTAATTAAGAAAAAGAGTTGTGAGATTATATATGTATGTATATATGTACGGCGAAATTATCGATGCCATCATATTTTCGTCAAGTTTATTATGATTAGACCATAGGTGACGAATACGATACCCCCATGTCTAAGAATCGATCCATTATTACGTGAGTTACGCATTTTTAGTGAATTGCTAGGGGGAAATTTTTTTTCTTACTGACGTATTTAATATTTTTGTAGTCCTGTTGTTATTGTTAAACTTAAAGTTTAATGTCCATTAACTCAAGGTTATTTCTACATAACCTTATTACACAATTAGAAAAAATGTTAAGTTTCTTAATCCAAAGTAGATAACGGAGAAACGCATATTTGATGCAACTGTGTATCGTCGTATTCATTTATTGTAGTTATAGTTAAAGTCATCTAAGAAACTCTGTTTTGTGGTTAATATTGCTTGATTTATTCTTTGAATCTCATTTTTGACTTATATGTGTGTATCTTAGCGAAACGAAATTCTCAAAAAATATAATGTATATTTCCCTAATAGGCATCTGAAAAAATATTATTATGTTCTATGTTAGGAGGTAAAATCGAAGGTACATTCACCTTTACGCGAATGCGCCACCACTAATCAATAGAAAGTCTATAGTATATTTTAAAAAAGGTTAGGGGGAAAATCAATTATCTTCATTAGACTATTCATTAGTAAAGGAACCATTGTCGTTGATGTTCATTTCAGTTATATTTATGTCACCTTTTATCGAGACATATGATTGTTCCTATTATTGGAAAACATTCTTTGATCGAGGTTAAAATTTTATTATTTAATTTTTTTCTCCGTGTCCAGTTTAAAGAGGTATTTGTCCCCTTTTTTTTGATCGAATCTCGAGACGTTTGCTTAAAACAAGCTTTTGTAAGAAAATTATATCAAAAATTATTTACACAAACAAGCTAGAGCGGTCCAATTACCTAATGCAATCAGACAATAAAGTCAATATTAATTTTTTAATTTTATTGTGAAATGAAATTTTCTCAATGTTGCTAATTAATTTTCTTAGTTGTGTAAAGAGCATTGAACCTAAAAATTTGGAAAACAAAATAAATTGGAATGGCCCCCTATCAAAATGGAGCCCAGACCTATTCACACCTAAATAATAAAATCGTCGTAGATAAAATAATTTTATTGTTATTATTATTTATTAATGTTACTATGTTTATACTATTAGACTGCGATACTACTATATATAAATAGGTTCCCAGTAATAGTTTTGGGTGCTTATTTCGAGTCTCGGATAATATAAGATTTTCCTGTAACCTGCACCTTCACAATAATTATAACCGCAAATCATTCCCTTAATCAAAAATAAAGCGGATATAGAACAAACCGTAATGACACATACGCTAGTTAGCGTTTAGATCACCGAATCGCTACCATAACTGCAAATATTCATTCTTGGAGCTTTTAATAAGGGCATTTATCAATAAAAGTCTAAAATTGTTGTCTGATGTTACTTGTTTTGTTTTACACTTGAATTGAGCCGATTACATAAAGTTTATGTACATCCGTTGACCCAAATTCTCGTATTGAAAACGTTTCTACAAACAAAGTTTGCTTAAAGAATAGTGTGACACAATTTAAAGCAAAGGTAACTAGTTATAGTTAATTTGCAAAGGCGGTCACTGATCTAATAGTGCAGTCTATATATGTAGATCAAAAATTTAGGTGAACAGCTAGAAAAAAAATAATTTGAAATACCTAGAACACAAATAATACAGACAAATAAAATAGCTAGACATTTCAAAAAAAAAAAAAAAAAAAAAAGAGAATGAAAGTAGCTTCACATCATTAGAATTCTAGTCCTGTGGTATGCATAGTTTATATTGCCTAACCCACTTTGGGTCGATTTAAACTTTTCCAAATGATCTTAATAGTAGTATGAAAACTTTGATAAAGATTGTGAAATGGTAGTAACGTTTCATGTTACGCTGGTTTGAGTCGTTATAACTCCGATGGGGGTTCGTACCATTTAGTTGGCATGATTGAATTGGGGTTGTACTTTTTGCTTTTGTATTATGCACCCAGTTGATATATGTTGGGCCAAGGAAATCTTGTACTCACATGAATTGTTAAATTTTGTTCTCTTTGAGATTTGACCTGCTTTATATACTCTGTACGAGGCTGATATAACGTCGGCATATTTGTTGTCCTTGCCCCGGACTTTTCTTTGACAATCATATGTATATTATTGTGTTGTTCAATTGATTTACATCCATGTTACTTTTTTTTCATTAAGCAATGAATTACCACATTCGGAGTATGACGGAAAAAATGAATGTTGAGGAAGAAAAATAATGAATTTCATGCCGAAATACAACAACGGTCCTCCACTGCGAAAGATACCTGATCGATATGTCTAATAATACGAAGTTAAAACCCTCACAATAGCATCTAACACCTTAAATTTTAGGTGCTTGTAAAATTGTAAGTCGATTTCTTTTTTTTGGATTTCAATCGCTTCTCCATATTTATCTTACCCAGGGAGAAAGGGAAACATAACATTGGTTTAAAGAGATTTTCTTTTTTATTTTTTTTGCTCGTACAAAAACATTATTTGTGACTCTCTTTCCGAATCAGGAAACTCACCGTAAAAGCAAAGAGGCATCGAAAGAATTTCAAAAATAGAAAAAATAAACGAATTTTGCTAGTTTAAAACTCTAACCTTCTTTGCCATTTTTTTGACTTTAGTTTAAAAACGATTAGAAGCACTTCTTTACGCAGTAGTATTAAAAGATACATCTAAAAGTTAATTCACCACCTGTTTATCAGGTAGCAAATATGTCCAATTTGCTTACCATAGAGCCTCAAGTATTGATCATGCGTTCAAAAATAAAATAATGAAATCTAGCAAAAAATAAAAATAAAAATAAAAAAAAAATAAAAAAAAAAAAAAAAATAACGTGCGATAGGAAGCATAATTGCAAAGGCTCAGATCCGAAGCAATTTTTACTTTCACATTTCCTAAATGATTGACTATATTTAACCATCTCAGTTTAATATCGCCTATCCTGATCTAAACTAATGTAACCATAATTACAGTGATCTAATTATTACTAAAGAGAACTAAATAGTTATAAGAGAAAACCACAGACAATCAAATGGTCTAACCGAAACTGAAATATGCTTGCAGTCATGTATAATGCCAATAATTGTACGAGTAGCTTTCACGTCTTGTCATAATCTGCTGTATTCTTGCCTCTGTTTGAAAAAGCGCCTTATTTTTACCAATTTGAAAATACCCCTTTTTTAGCTGCTCATAGTACCATACTTTCACGCGCAAGTGAAAAAAACCACTCGTTTTTTGGAAATTTTATTTACGAACTAACCTTATCTCTTCACTTAGACAGAGAGAATGAACAAAAGAAAATACAACAACGAATATTTCAAAAGAAATGACATGAAGACCAGATCCGTTTCAAACTTTTCCACGGAACATAACTTTGAAAGTGGTTGGAGAAAAGGAATGATGTCAAGCGGGGTCAGTAAATTATGACTTATAGACCAATGCATTTTAAAAAAAAGATAAAGATCAATCGTAAGGCTAACAATTTTAGTTGATAAAACAAGACCAATGCAAAACATACACATTTGTTGAAATTTTTCTTCTCATTGTCAATATAGATATTATAATGCATTTATTTGTTGAAAGCTTATAGTTTAAAGAGAAAAAAAATTAAGCGAATTTATTAATTAGCAAAATTTCAATTGATTTCTTCTTCAGGCTACAAAATTCAAAAAAAAATTAAGGAAAAGAAATCATTGAACTGTTTCAGTGACAAAAACACAGCTTGAAGGAAAAATTCGTAATAAGAGACAAATCATAAAATATATTCTCCCTAAAGATTTATTTAAACTTCTAGACAAGTTGTCGAAGATATCCAGAATGAACAACATAGTTCTTTAGGTTTAAGAAACCACATTATAGTACCATATTATCCCTGTAAGACGGGTGTTTGGGACTTTTAAAAATTAAACTAGGCAAAAAAAATTAACAATCCACAATTATAATAAACTTTTTTGTGCATAAATTATTTTTTTATTTTAGAATTTTTATGCATAAAAAATTAAATTTTAACAGAAGTTATTAAATTGTTTTTTTTTATTTTTTCAAAATTGAAAGAGTATTTATTTATAATTATCAATGATAGGCACCCCAAATGTTAATAAGGGCCGAGCGAACATATAAGGATATATATATATGTATATATATACCCAATAGTTCAACCAATACTATTTTACAAGGGCTTTTTTTTTGTTTTTTGAAGTTTCTCTTTTAAAGGAGTATTTGGCGGTTTTTTGATTTCATAAAAGCACAGATTTATTTTTTATTATATAAATTCCAGATTTCATTTTTCGAAATTGGGTATACAAATCTTGGTTTATATCAACAACAGATCTCATTTGAATTCGAGATTCTTCGATACATTGCTTTCTTTCACAACCACTTACTCTTCGTTCCTTCTTTTTTGTTATACATATATTTTTGTAAAAGTTGTGAATATAGATAAGCAATCGTGGGTTAATCAAAGAAGCTTCATTAAATAATAAATCATCAAATTTGTTAAAAAATAATCATTGTCATTCGTAAATTCATAAAAAAGAGAAATTTCGTTCCATCAAAGTAAACAGATACTACAATACTTCAAATCATAAAAGAAGTGGACCTAAACTCAGACAGTTGATCTTAGCTTTCTTTGAAATTAATATCCTAAAGATTTAATAAAGATCCTCCATTGGTAGGGAATACTTCAATTCAATTTTAATCATTCAAAAGTTCAGCATATATGTTTCCTAGTTGAATACAACCCTATCACATAAATTATTTATTAACAGGAATCAAGAGCATTTACAAATTTGTCAATTTTAGTATTCCAGTCATTCTGAACGTTACTATCACAAAAATTCCACATAAGCATCGGCATTTGAAATAGCTTGAACCCCAGTATTCGCCATTTAGAAGTACAAAGGGTTTAAAACATACTAAAAATTTGTTACAATTTTCCAGCATTTATATTTCCCCAGATAAGTTAAGTTTATCTAGGTTCCTTTTTGGATTTTGACTTCATCAATTGTTGCAGGATAATAAAAAGTGTCAATAGCTTCGGTAGTTTTCACTTTTCCAAAATTTGTTTGTGTTTCTTTATAGTTTGTTTGTTTCAAAAGTTGTATTATATTAATCTTTACATTGTTTGATTTCCATATATTGGGAATTTGTATTATTTCATAGCAAAAATGTCACCAGATCACCACCAAATAGTATCACCAAATGTTAAAAATGACGTTCAAGATAAGCCAAAGCTACAGTCAGAAAAGGAGCCATATCTAGACGGTAATGTTGAACTAAAGAAAGAGAATAATGAACTGTCGGAAGATGGCAGAAGTTATAAAAATGTCTCGATCAATCTGATACTAAACATTCATGGGAGGACGATAGACTCAAATTCAGGAGCAGCTAGGCTACCGTCGTTGGAGTCGGCAATTAGTTCCACAAAGCCATTTCAGTCAAATTTGCAATCATCACCTTCCTATAGTCAATACTATGGTCATTCACAACAAGGGTCATCAAATCTTGATGTAAGGTTATCATCAGCATCATATTATGAGCCACATTTACAAAATTCACAAGCTGTATCTAATAATTATCCATCAAACTTGTATCATAATAAACACATACTTCCAGAGCATAGACCCCCAATAACATCATTAGTGAATTCAAATTCTAATCAAGCTACAACAAATAACTACCCACACAACATGGTCTCGGTACCATATCCACAAGTAAATCTGTATGCTCAATCAACAGGAATGAATGTATCACAAAGTGTTCCGGCTGGGGCTCCATTAAACGTTTCATATCATGCCTTGGAACATCAAACTCATCTGGCACTGGACTTAGATCCTTTGCATGAAAATAAAAGAGGAAGACGATTTAGAAGAAGGTACAATCAAATTGTACGGAAATATAGTTGTTCTTTTCCAGGTTGTGTTAAGAGCTATGGATCATTGAATCATTTAAATACACATATAGTTACGAAGAAACATGGTCATAGAAAATCAAAAGCTGATTTCCAACATAGTCATCTTCTAAGCGAAGAAATTTCCAAAGGTCATTATATTGATGGCAATGCATCACATTTACATCAACAAGGTCCTCAACAATCACATTCTGAGTATACATCGGGAAACTACTGGTATGGATTTCCCGTTCAAGCAAGAGGAACAACTAATCAAACAATTCCAATGGCAGATCATTCAGTGATTGTAAATTCGGCTCCTCCTCCGCCACCTCCACCAGTTGGTTATATGTATTATTCATCAAATTATCCAGGACAACCGGTACAACAGCCGCAAGTGAATCAGCAAAGAATTGCTGTTGGTTGGCCACAACAAGCAGGATATCAACCCTTTTCGCAGCTGCAACAGACGAACTACAATAACACATTAAGCGAGCAAATACTTCCACAATCTAATGCTGATAAAAATAAGGATAAAAATATAAATACATCGCAACATCCTAAATAATAGAATCATAATAAAGCGAACATTCTCTTGTAAATAAAATGTCAGCCTGGATAGATTTAAAATTTTATAAATATGTTTGTTTGTATATTTATTCATTAATAAAAATATGTACATTAGACTTGAATCAATTACATAGTAACTAGTTCAATGACTTGTATTTACAACTATAGAGATTCCTTATTAAACCAAATGTAGTAGATATTTCGAGCCTAAAAGTCTTTTTTTTTTTTTTTTTTTTTTATTTATTTTTTTGATCTCAGAATTTTTTAAAGGACAGGAAAATCAGAAGTGTATGTGTTAATTGTTGACATCACATTGTGACAACAAACACATTCACTTATTAAGTCCAACCGTATTCAAAGAATGGGGAAAAGAAGACCCAAGCATGAGAGTGAAGGTTCTGAATTACCTGAGACTGATTCTGATGCCAATTTGATATTGAAAACAAAAGTGGATGAGACTGTGGATATGGAAAATTCAAACAACATAGATATAGAGAACACTGATCTACCGGTAAAAGATTTGAAGTCTTCAGTGGAAGAAGATCCAATTGACAAGAATATAACAGATCTGGTATTGGACAAAACTGAATTCAACGGTTCACATGAAGAAACGGAGGTACAAGATACATCTTCAATCAATATTGATATCGATAATGCCGCCAATACAGAAGCTAATACATCTTCTACTAGCCCTACTCAAGAACTAGTAGAAGCGGCACCAGTCACCAAGAAAAGATTAACATTACAAGAAAGATTGGCATTGGCAGCAAAGGGGAAGAAATCGAAATCGAAACCTATATCAAGTCCGAATGTTGATAATTCAATTGTTTCTTCTCCAAATTCGTTAACCCCTTCAACTAGCAATGATCGTGATACCTTGGACAAACAACTTGATGTATCTGGAACTGATCAGATAATAAATAATGAGACAGAAATAAAGGATGATGTACATCAATTGAAGGATCAGATAGAAAAATTACAAGCCAGTAATTCTTACTTACTGAATCAAGTCAAAAGTTTGTCAAAACAAAGAACTACTGTTTTTGATTCAAATGCCTTGTCATCTTTTGAAAAGGAGAAGCAAGAATTGATTGCAAAAGTTGAAGCTAAAGATGAGACTATCAAGCAATTACTTCTGGAAGGTGAAGCTTTATCAGTTAAGGAGCTTAAATTGAATGAAACAATTAAAAAATTGAAAAGTTCTAATGCAGATTTAGAGACTAGTTTGTTGGCGTATTCAGAAAAGAATGAAGAAAGCTCATTGGCATTAGGAGAAATGGAAGACTTTTTAAAAGTCCATAGATTCAACTCTGTATCTCACTTAATGGAGCAGCATGTTAAAATGTCCCAGAAGTTAGAAGAGGTACAGTCAGATCTTGAGAAAGAATTAGGTATGAAATGGGAAGCAAAGTATAGGGAACAACAAATACTATATGAAGAGCAACTTTCATCAAAAAAACAGTCTATAAAGGATTTTAATGAGTTAAAGATACAGCATGATATGTATAAAAGGCAACATGAACTAGAGTTAGATAGTAAGGATGCTTTGATTTCTGATCTTAAAAATGAAATTGCTAACCTAAAGAGTAATAATAATAAAGAGGTAGCTCGTTTGGAGTATAAAATTGAGTTGTTAAGAATAGAGAATGAAACATCGCAGAATGGTCAATCAGACAGCAATCAGAAATCTAAAGGAGATTCACAACATCAACATGATTCGGAAAGAATAAACCAAAAGTCAATTGACTACGATGAGTTTGTTACCTTGTCCCAAACGCATCATCAATTACAGCAACAATTCTTGGCTTCTCAAGAAAATTGGAAGGTTATAGAATCCAATCTTCTAAGCAAAATTGATAATTTGGCAACAACCGTTGATTCACTTCAACGTTCTAAGCAAAAATTAACGCATGAATTGAAAAGATCGACAAATACTTTGACTAAGAAAGAAGAAGATTATGTTAATATTCAAAATACTTATAAATCGGCATTAAACGACAAGGAAGAAATAGAATTTGCATTGCAGATGAAAGAAAACGAATTAGGTGATTTACATGACAAGCTTGAAAAGCTTAAAGACGTTTATAATAATGATAGAGTGAACTTAACAGCAAAGATAAAATCCTTAACTGATTCACTTGAAAAATCAGCTGCACCAGTTACTTCTGATCTTCTGTTGGGCTTGAGTCAAAGAAGATTTAATGGTAGTGGTTTAAATATAAATATAGAGCAAGCTTCAAAGACTCCAAATTTCAGATCCAATTCATCTCAGAGTATTCCAGATACGGCCTATGGTTCAAATTGGCAAGACATTAAATTTGGTGAATCTTCTACAACCCCAGCAATTCCAAAAGATTTTGCATTCAATAACAATTCAGATACGTCCTTGGATGAAAGTTTTGATAATATCAATGAGGATAACTATTCGATAGGATCAAGGTATGCTAGTCAAGTATTACATTCGAATAATAGTAACATTGTACAGGGAAGTATTTCTAGTACTATACCTGCAGGCAATGGTGGTGGAAATATACAATTAATAAATAAAATGAGTTCAAATATTAGACGTCTAGAGATTGAATTGAATACATTAAGAGAAGAAAACAATCTGTTGATAATAGAAAAAGAAAAGACAGAACAAGATATCCTAGGAGGATTCAAATTGCATGAAGAATTAGAAGCATTGAATACCAAGATCCAAACTTTAGAAACAGAACTCGATTCGAAGAGCAAGAAAGAACAAACTATGCTTGAGGTGATTGGAGAAAAATCTGAACAAGTGGAAGAGTTAAAGGCTGATGTTCAAGATTTAAAGGAGCTCTGTAAATTACAAATTCAACAGTTAATTGAATTTCAAGATGCTAAATAGATTAATATATAAAGATCGTAAAGTGTCTTTTTTACCATATATTTTAAATTTTGTAGATGCGAAGACTTTAAAGGTCGTGCACTTCAGTTGTTAAAAAAAATTATTTTTATTTTTCATAGAGAAGACCTTATATTGCAAAATTTACATTCATTATCATTAGAATCAACATGTCATTAGAGGTTAGAGGGATGTTTGATGATTCGTTGAAGTACTTCGCGAATGTGATATCAAACAACCTAAGAAATGAGGTTCAACTTATAGAGGTTGAAGAGGAAAGTACTCAAATCATCGCAAGAAATTATGTTTGTAAATACGAACTTGAACCAGAACAGAAGATATCGAGTATTGAATGGATTCAAAGAGTTTCTTCTTCCAATAATAGAAAGGGAAGAGGTAAGAAGAGATCTGCACATCCTGAAGATGTAAACCATAACGGTTTGTCCTTACCTGTTTTAGCAGTATTGTTAAATAGTACCGAGGTATGGTTATTTACACCTGGTATTAGTCAACCAACTGGAAAGATTTCAACTGATTTTCCTATTTCATGCATCTCCAAGTCATATAATACAGAAAATTCATTATTAGTGTTTGATTCTGAACACAATAGATTGATTGAATATTCATTAGATACATTAGAACAAACCAAAGTAATACTGTTAAAGAGCAAAACTTCAGTGAAATCTGTGGTTGGTCTTGCATCAGATAAAAGGAAAGCTTTATTAGTAGGAGATCATTCTGTGTCTTTGATTAGTTTAACTAATACAAAGAATCCATTAATAACTGTATTTTCAAAATTTGAGGGTACTATTTCTCATGTGCATCCAAGTTATGATCAACAAAAATAATTTTATTGTT